CCCCATCTCGGGGACGCCAAAGATTAAATCAGTCGCGAGGAAGTCTAATAATCTGCCATGTCCAGCAGCATCGGCATTGTTGGCAATGGGGGGGCATGGCCAGTGCTCCTGGGCTGGGCCTGCCTGCCTGCACCGCGAGGGTACGTACGTCCAGGGTTGTGGAAGAAGCTTACATCCCGGCGGGAGAGAGAAGACACGGCGAAGCAAAGAGGCGAGCCTCGTAGCGCCGTGGTGGGGAGGAGTCCGGGAGTCTCATCACGGCAGGGACATCACCTCCAACCTCCCTGGCTTCCAACCCGCTCTGAGCTAAGGCTCCTCCTACGCATCCATGCATGATGACAAGGGTGACGGGATCAAATTCTTGCGCATGAAAGTAGATGCCCTGGCGCCACAGTCCAGGACGGCGATGCAGAGGACTTGGGGCAGACGGTGTCCAACAGCCGGTATACTGGAGATCGTCCTGCTCAGCTTGTTGAGTAGCTGTCATTGGTGATCATGTTCGTAGTTGCAAGGGACCTCCCAAGTGCCCGCACGCTAGCCCAGGCTCTGATGGTCTGGACTGTTCTCAGTGTCGATTTTACTACGATGTCTTCCATCGCCATCGCATCAGTGTCTTGCGCCGCACGAGAACGCTTGTCAGGCTGCCGCCTGTAAGGGAAACAGGAGAGGCGAGCACCGGCGCCTCTGACAGAGCAGTCGTAAGCCTCTGGGTAGCACGGTCCAGAAAAGACGTTGACTGGGTACAGAAACAATGTCTGGCGGGAAAGAGAAGCATATCTGCAGTGACGCCGTCCCATCCAATGCCCTCCCGCCCTGTTCCGGGGTGCAAGGCTCTCATTGGACTGGTCTCTGGCTTCCCTGGCCTGCAGTTGCTGGAAGTGGTGGAATTCTGAGGCTATTCGCTGGCTTGACTGGGGCCATCTTGAGGAATGTCGCACATCTGAGGAGCACTGGCCAGGAAGATCTCGCAGCTTACGGGCCGCCGCTTCTGGCCGGCCTCATAAGCGTAAAATCATCAACGTTGCTTAAAAAAGAACCGCCCAGGACGGGTCTGCTCTTTCTTGGGGGTTGCGGCGGTAGGGCGTGCAACCCACACACCACACGCAGTCCTGCCGCGCTCTGCCTCCGCCTATCGCTATCGCTCGAAGGGATTGGGTGTCATGAGTTGTGAATCAATGTACTGGTACCTTCTCTACCGATTCACCTTCAAGATGTGTGGGTCTCCTGATCAAGACCCCAAAAGCCATCTGCTGAAGATTATTCATCAAGGAATTTTCCAGTTTCGTAACATCAGGAACGGCTGCATTAGAGCTGTGCCATAAAGTCAGCAGCATGGGCAATAAAAAAAAATCCCATCTTCGTGCAGCGTGTCTGACGGGCTCAAAGTAAAAGAGGTCCTATCGCAAGCATTCTCTTTGAACTGTCAAGCCATCGTGGTTCATGCAGGTCGCAGTCCGTCCCTGTCGTCCCTGTCGTCTCTGGTCTTGAGAGCGAGTGGGCTGGATTTTCTAGTGCGCCCAGTTCCGAGCCTGTGTTTGGGACGAATTTAGTCCAACCATTCTCGTGGGACAGAGCGGCTTTCTTCGTGACAAGAAGCTCTACCCGAGCCGAGAAATCTGCCCAATCTGCAAGGACCGCAGGTTGTCGGGTGTCTTAGACGTTAGTTGTGCTAGACTGAGGTCCGAAAGAGCAGGCTGGCAAGTCGCCTTTCCCCGGATTTGTTGGTGGCCAGAATCGTTCGATCCGGCCGATGGGTAGATTACGGTCCCCTGTGCCTTGCAGTGGAAGAGAGCGCCACACAATGACGATGGGGAGTGGACTGTGCTCGCCAGCATCGGCATAGTCCGGGGCTTTGCGGTGGACAACAGCGGTGACCACGAAAGTGGCGAGATATCTGAACTCTGTCAAGTTCGGCCAGCTTAGCCGTGCGGATGGGCGAGGTCTTGATTTTGCGCAACGACTGATCGACGGCGTCTTTGCCTTGCGGTTGGCGAAGATCATGAACAGAGCCGCATCGAGAACGGGCCTGTGCTCTGAACCTTGCTGATTGTCAGACTGCCATGTTCCGCGAGTTGAAACTGAGCATCACCGATGAGGAAAGTCATCTCAAGATGCGGTTAGATGCCCTGCTCTCAGACATGACGACGGCTTGTTGATGGGCCACCCTTGCAACTGTGACCGCCTTCTTCGCTGCTCTCCGCTCGCGCGGGTTGAGGAGCAGAACAAGCGTTCACTTGTGGAATTGATGGTCACTCCTCCGATGAACTTCACGTCTGGTTCACTTCCAGTTGATTTGGCCCTCGCAAGTCGCAGGTCTCTCTGTCCCCTCTCTCTCTCTCGCGCGCTCTCTCTCTCTGTGTGTTTGCTGGGCCTGGTCCTGGCCCTGGTCCTGGCCCTGGTGCAGTGGACAGCAAAGTAGTGGTACACGTGCATGGCACCATGGACATGGCCGAGGAAGAGTCGGTCTTTTTTGCCTGTCCCCCACCTCTATGCCCTCCCCCAAAAAGCCTCCCGCACCCCCGTCGCATCGCATCGGGGGAAAGACGAGCCAGCAAGCAGGGAGTAAGTCCAAAGAGACGCTGGCCGTTGCCCTCGCTTGCTTGAACAAAGGCCGAATCGGGGAGTGATGCCAGCTGCCGCGAGTCGACGGCCTGGACCCCACCCACCTCAAATTCTGAAGGGGCGCGGAGATGGCTTCCTCTTTGGGGGTCCTTGCAATTCTGAAACATGGTGGAGAAGCGGGCAAGGGAGAGGGCGCTTTGCTTCAGAAAATAAGTGCGAGGGCGCTACCGCCTACAGTAGCACTGCGGAGTACTACGGTACGGTACCTAGTGTGGTACTATGCAGTGCGACATTAGGTCAAATCACTGCAAGGGTTGGCCCAGTCAACGTCGTGCCCTCGTCCCGCTTGTCTCAAAGTCCACTCTTTTCTTCCATCAATTGAGTCCAGAACGTTTTGTTGATACGAGAGATCGCTCTGTCTCTCTCTCTCTCGCTCTGTGTGTGTGTGTGTGTGTGTGTATGATAAGTACTCAGGTACAGTGCCATGTTCGTACAGAAATGGTAAGTCTTGGGGCACATCATCTCGGTGCCCGTGCGCTTTTCACAGTACCACATGACCACAACGCCCCGGGGTTAGGAGGGAGAGGACCCTGTCCGAGATGATGACGGTGATGATTCCAATGACTATGACAGAATGAACTGTTCTTGGGTTCTCATGGGGTCTTCGAGGCTGCCGCCATTGTGCAAGTTGCCGATACTTCGGCTTCTTCATGCTGTCAAATTGCGCCTCTCGGGGTCATCTGAACCTTGGAAGAACCTGGCCCGTAGAGGCGTCCCGCATGGAAGTGGCTGGGCGGGAGCAAACCATATCGCGCAGGCACCGGCTGGGAAGAGAGCCTTTCCAGGGTGGGTTGTGTCTGGGTCTTTTTGATGACAAAACTTTCCATAATAATCTCGAGCAGCCTTGCTATTTGGGGTTTGAATCCGTGCTACTGTCAAGGAGGGACTATAGCAGACCGTGGCGAGCCCTGGCCGGGCCGATCTAGTTAGATTGGGCAGCTAGCCACCCGTCCAGCCCGTCGAGATTGTTTATGCCCCATTGAGGGTTGATGCTGAACGACTGGCATTCCCAGGAAGGACACACGGTCTACGCCCGCGCGCAGGGCATGGCATTCCGCAGTGTGTCCCGACGGTGTAATAGTGTGTGGATTTCCATGTGGGACGGGCGTCAAAACAAAAAGAACCCCTGGCTCTGCAGTGCACTGCAGTGCAGTGTGCAACGGATGCATCAATCGATCCATCGTTCCTGGCAAAAGCCTCATGGTATCCATGATCGTCATCGTCATCGTCAAGGGTGGTCGCTCTACTGCACGAACATGGTAGGATATATCATCACGCATGCAGGCTGGCAGGGCAGGGCAGCAGAGTTCCCAAGGTGTGGGTTGCGGCACAGCACAGCGGAGCGTGGTTAGCTGTGGTGAGTGGTGATCTCTCTCTGTGTGTGTGTGTGGTTTGTGGTCTGGGTGGGTGTGATGTGGAGAAAGAGACCCCAGCCGAAAAGAGAAGGTCGAGTGTTTGATCATCCACCTGCCGAGCATAATGCCGATTGACGAATTAACCAACTGACGACATGAAACTTGACACGCGATGCAAGGAGACCGCAGCTAATTTAACAGCAAGCGAGCAGTACCGTACTACTGCATGTTCGTAGGGCTTCACACCAGCATCAGCACAACATGCATCAAGCACCGCATGGTGGCTGACTCTTGACGCTCAACCCATGCCCTGGGAAATGCCTCGAGTCGGATGAATGGGCCGATAGTGGTGGTCTTTCCTGTGCGCAAGTGGGCAAGTGGGCAAGTGGGCAGGAGGGCAGGTGGGCAGGAGGCTCATCTCTTCGCCGTCGTCTGAACGTAGGCAGCCTGCCTTCTGTACGAGCCTGCCTAGGCCTAGGCCTAGGTAGGTAGTGATGCCGCCGCGCACGCTGCTGGATGCTGCCCTTCCCTGCGACAGACGACATGACGGCAGCAACGGTGATGTGGTGCGTGCAGGCCGCCCACAAGTCAAGTCAACGTGCTCATGATCGTGCTCGTGCTCTGGCTCATGCCCGTGCTTGTCTCGTGCTCACCGTAACCCACAGCCGCTGGACGCTGCTCTGTGCTGCGCTGCGCTGTGGTGCGCTGTGCTGCGCTGTGGTGCGCTGTGGTGCGCTGTGCTGCGCTGTGGTGTGCTGTGTACAACTGGCTCATCATCATTCCTCCTTCCTTTCCATGCCCACCACCCTGCCACTGTGGCACCGCGGGTGCCGCCAGGCACGATCCAAGACGGCGCGCAGAACATTGTTTCACGATATTTACCCAGCCAGCGAACAAACGTGCCCGGCAACGATGCTATTTCGGGAGGCGCTTGCTTCATCAGACTAAACAATCCGGCAAGACGGCAGAGCCAAACAAGTGCCTCCCCCACAGCTTGGGTCATCTGTGCAACTCACCAAGATCATGGTATGCACCACCAAGACCAAGGCAGACCGGTTCCCACGGCCTAGCTCCCGTGCACGCATGCGTGCGATGCCCCGGTTTGGCTGCCGCAATTCGAAACAAGACGCCGCGAGCGGGTGGGATTGGGGACGGGGGGTTAGGCGGTGGGAGACGGGCGACGAGGGAATGGGCTGGGCATTGGAGGAGAATGCGAGCGCGGGAAAGCGAGAGGCTGGTGCATTGAGCATTGCCGGCGTCACGCTCATGCTCACGCTCACGCTCTCGCTCTACGGGGGGCTCGCTCGCCAATCTCAGCGGCGGACTCAGTCATTGCAAGGTCGTCTGGGTCCTTTCCTCTACCGGCCCCATCACCCGCCAGCCAGTCGTCTGCCGGGACATGACCTCGCCTCCCGCCCTCCAGGGTATCGGTTCCCGCCCTGGTGGTGCTGCCACGCCCGACGGGCATTTGCCGGCGCTGTTGCTGCCTCAACAACAACAACGGCAACATCAACATTGGCGTCGCTCTCATCAACGGGCCCGCCTGCCCGCTATGGAGGGATAGACCCACTCGTGAGCGGTTTCATCAGGGGGCAAGGGACAGGACGTGCCTGCACAGAGGCTAGGCACGTCTAGTGGGATGAGAAGCTTAAAGACCGGTACGCTACGCTACGCTACGGAGCACCCCTGGCTTGTCTGAAGCACGCCCACTTTTGCTGGGGGAGGTAGCTCTTCAGGAACGTGATTGGGCCCTGCTGTCCATGCACTTGCAGATTTTCACTTATCCACTTCCGACTTCATCGCGCCCGAGCACCTCTCTGCGCGCTCGGGTCACCACATGGACGACAAGAATAGCACCTCGAGAGCCTTGCGTGCACCGGATGCCGCTCTGTTGCTCCTGCGGATGTCCTGCGGATGCCATCCATCTCATTTTCCTCTCCGCCTGACCTCCACTGCACATGGAGAGCAACTCCTGCGGGTTCCACTAAGCTTTTGCTGGCATCGCGGAGCCGCTGCACATGTGCCGTCTGGGGAGCTCGTGACCTCCAGCACGCTGCTTCCGCGAAACGCCCCGACTTCATATCATTCCCACAGCTCGCAGCCGTTGTGGCTTCATCCTTACCCACCATGACAAGCGCTGCTCGGCAATCTCGCTGGTGAACGACAGCGGTGAGTGTTTCGAACCGTTGACTACCACTAGATGTGGTCGAAACACCATGCCAATAACGAAGCTGAAGCTTGCGCCCATCACCCACTAGCACGAAACAAGCGGGAGAATTTGACCAGAAACTTCTGCGCGTATTCTTTCCCATGTTTGAGATGGAATGCAACCGTCAAGGAAACATGTTCTCGCCGAGTCCAGGGCAGTCAGCGTTGCTGGGATACGAGATCACTGCATCTATCACCTTGTCGCGGGATTTGCCATGGGTTCTGAAACACCAAGGCAAGAGTGCCGATCTGTATCGCATCTCTTGAAACGTTGACATCCACCACTACCACCCTCACCACCGGAGTTGGGCAAGCACATGAGCAAGCACATGAACTACGGGTCTTTGACAACTCACACCACCCATTCCGTGCGTGCACGGAGGTCCCTGGTCACCTGTGCTCACTGTGCGCCTGGCGTCGGAGGAAAGTAATGTTTTCACGCTGTTCCCCTTGGCTTTGCATGAACTTGACCTAGGTTGGGGCTTCAAAAATGCTTCCGTACCCAGCACGCCACAGGTGGCCAACGCCGACAACTTCCCCGTGCTGGGAGACAGTGTCAAGGGGAGACAGTCTCGGTGACGAATGTCTGTCAGTTATCATGAGATTTGCTTGCATCTGCCGTCACTGTGGATACTCACTGACTAGTCACCAGAGATAGATGCCCGGGGAAGTGCAATGTGCCCAAAGTTGGGTCATTTTTGAAGCAATCGTCTAGACGGTTATGCGGACTTCAAACAAGCGCCGGTGGGGATGGTCACGGCTGATGGTGACTACCCCTCACCCTGTCAGGTACATGAAACACCACCAGCCTTGTCACCACCGGTTCAACCGCGGCGCTAGTCTTTATGTTCTTCCAGAAGCCTTGGTGACAAGCCAAATCACCGCATGCAAACACCCCAACGCCCTGCCTTCGCTCGAAATAGTGCCAAACATAGGGCGCCTATGAGCCGACCCAAGTGGCATCACCCATGTCTTCGCGGAGCTCACTGCGATCTACGACAGGCCTGTGCTCACCCGCCCACTTCTCTGTTGTTTGAGATGCTCGAAGGGAGCGTAGGCATTTCCCCTCTCGTCGGTTTGCCCCGACTTTAGCGGATCTTGTCGTCGTCGATCACATTGGCGCTGGGTCGAGGCCCAGGATGACATTGGCCTCGCCCGTTCACTCTGACGGCACTTGGGCCGATGAACGCAAATGGCCAGCCAATCTGCTACCTTCCTAGAATGCGAACCCTGCCTACCTCCGTTACCAGCCTCCAGGTCCCAAGAGGCCATCAGAAGCAGCCCTGAGGGCAGTCTCGCAAGTGCGCGGACGATCCTCATCGGCCTCTTGGCACGGAAACATGTCACCGTACACAGCAAGTACCGTGGCTGCTTGGGCGATCCTCCCCAGGGCCCGAGTTGGGGAACATCGTTTTGCGATTGTACGGGATGCCCGAATGGCTGGCAAAAAGTCATGTCATATGCCACATGATAAACTTTCGGACCAAGATCTCCAAATCCCCTAGGACTGACGCCTCAAAGGATCACCCATCGGCGATTACGCAAGGCATCTTTGCAATGCGCGAGAGCTTGAAAGAAAGTTCAGGCACTCGGGCGTATCCCAGAAAATCAATTTCGACGATCCCATATACCGCGGCCTATGTGTTTCAGCCGCGAGGTGGCTCCTACGAGCACGCGCCTGCATTGTGATAGCAGACGGAGCAAGAGCCTTGGCAGGTGGCAAGCCGTCCGTCACCCATCTGATCAAGCCGGCAATATTCCATCTGAGGTTCTGCTTGATCACTCTTTAGACGCTGCTAGGCTTACCGCAAGTGGACGTCTGAGACGCTGACAGAAGGCAAGTTGAGCCTCTCATTCTTATCCAGTCCAAGCGTCGCCCAAGAAGACGCGGTGACTGGATGGCTGGGAGAATCCGTCTTTATGCATGCCCTCCAGTGTGGTCCCCTTGTTTGCTTGTTTGCTTGACTTTATCCTTGCGGAATCTGGATAGCAGGGCTTGGTTGGTTTCTTATCTCGCTCTCTCTTTTTCTCCCATAACCTACAATGACCCTATCTGCTTCAGTAGATATACGAAGGGGTAGCCCTTGAGCCGCCCGCAATTGCGTAGTTCTTAGGGAACTCTTTCTCAGGGGCCCTTTTTTGTTTCGACCGCAACCAGGATCCCTTCGACTCTCATTGGCAATCACACGCCCTGTACCCTTCTACCGGAAGTCTCCCGTAGCCGATGACCTTGTCGTGCCTGCCCAGTGCGTCCAGACCGGTCGTGCTGAAGATCGACTTCTGAAACCGCCTAACAAGCCGAAGCATTGGACTGGTGGATATGGCTTGGTTCTCGGTACCGAGCTTATTGGTCAGTCTGGTTCAACAGCGGCAGCCTCGAGGTCGGCGCCCGCATGAAAAGCCTACGTCAAGGCCTATGCTGATTGTGGATAACTGGACGAGGCTACGGCAATGGGTTGTGGACGAGAATCAGCGTGCCTTCAGTGATTGCCAGCCTAGCCTCTCCTGCTCTGTTTCTAACTTGACACGAATTGCCTCTGAGTGGTGTGCTTAATCTAGAGATCCAGTTCCCCATCAGCCTTCTGGGCAGTCTACACCATCTTTGCTCACTTGGTCCCTGGCCCTGGGCAAAGCCAGTTAAGCGACAGCTTGTGCCCAAGCTCGTCCGAGCTCCCGTCATGGAACGGAAGGCATACATGCTTTGTAGCTTGCTCTCGGTCTGGTCACTGTGAATGGCATGTATTCGTCATCCCTGTGTATATAAACCATCAATAACTGTGCGATACTATACACACGAGCGAATCTGTGTCCCTGGTCCAATTTACGGTCAACGACGGAACGGGTGGTCCTGGCCTTGGCGCAGTCTCGCCGCTGCTGGAGATCAGTGCTGCGGGAGAGCCGTCTGCGCCCAGGCCGAGCTGTTGGGGTGGGCACCGCTCGGTCCAGCCTGAATGTTATAGATCGACAGACAATGGCTAGCGAGAAGTCTAAGGCATGATGGGACACTGCTGTTCCTCGAACACAGCAGTTGCTTCCTGTCCTTGAACAACCTCAGCGGCATTGCCACTTGGTTACGGTTGATGATGTCGTCCGCTCGGGCATTTTGTTGTTGACCTTATTTGACATGTCAGAATGTGCAGCGACCAAGAGTCAGGGTTGTCACGGAGTATCGTTCCTGGACGTCGAGGTGGTTCATCGAGTCAGCTAGACTGAGTCCAGCTCGACAACACGGAACGCAAGACCATCTGCAGGATGCGGTGACGCAATAGGCAAGCTGCTCCAACTGGGCATAAGTGGAGGAGATCTAGTGAGGCTGGATTGCTCGCGATATTGAGTCAGCAGTGTCTGTGTGAGCCACCACGTGATGCAAGACATGGCAACGGAGGTCCTTCCAGGGGTTTTCAGCCTCGTCTACGCCGTAGGTCATAGGTCATAAGAGACGTCAAGTCGTTGGAAATGACACGAGTCTACGGCGATCCGTTGGGCCTTGCTGAGATTATTGTCAATTTCGATGTGCCTGTTCGCTGCTCTCGTGCCTCACCACAGACCGCTCGTCGACATTAACCAACGGCAGCTAGTGGATTGTTAATAGTCTGTGGCCCCCTAATATAGAACCAACGGGCTCTGGTGAGACAAAGATCTACCATGAGCCAACGTGTGCTCAACTTCAGTTGATTTTGAGCAACCTCACGATTCTAGCAGTACCACGTATCTCATGCGTGCGGCTCGAAGCCCGCAGTCACTACTGAACCCCTTCACACCCTTCCAGACTAACACCGTCGTGCATTCGCGTCCTGATACGTGCGAAACATATGCAGGTCGACCTTGAACCAACGCGGACAGGTCTCCCGGCAATGAGAGACCGACTTACTAACGTTGGGAGGAGGATTGCCCCTTCTCAAACAGCCGCCGGCCCCGGGCTGAGATCAGATCCTGCGTCCAAGCGCAATTGCAAATCCCAGATGTTCGGGATCAAGCGCAACTCAATCTGTCATATCTCGTTCTAGAAAGCATCATGGAACTTCCTGCGCTTTGCCCCAACAGAGCACGCTCGCGTGTGCACAGGACACAACAGAGTCGCCGCTAGCCTGCCCGTTTTTCTCAGCACCGCCGGGCGGACCACCTCGACATTGACCATACTAGCGAGACCGGCTTTTGGGCTACCTAAGCAATGGTCGGTGCGACCACGTACCTGCATTGGCGAGCACGCTACCCGTACGCACGTACGGCCACACAATGTACATGACTACTTCCACGTCGTGTTCTCCGGTAGCGAATTTTGCTACAGCGTAGTGTCGTCAGGTCGTTAGGCTCGGATAACCGCCATCTATCAGGCAAGGCTCCACTGAGCCAAATAACCTTGGAAGTGTACCCCAGCCTTCCCGAACGCCCGTTCCTGCTACTGCCGTTAGCTTTCTGTGGCTCGGGTGGGGATAGTCACTGAGAGCGTTGCAACCCGGGTCCTGGTCCATTTATCGTAGACATAGCGCACCCGCAACACGAGCAATGGGGCCGGGTGTGACTATGTCGGAGTGACGGGAGAGCGCTGTGATGCAGACAGAGCGAGAGACGCGGCCTTGGCGGCGGCAGGCGGAGAGTCAGTGCCGCCAGGAAAGCTTGCAGCAAGGTCTGGAACAGCCCATCGCGGGACAGCTCGGGAAGTGGACATGCTCTGCGTGCGACTAGGCTGTCGGAGGAGACGCGCTGAGTAGTGGGACGGGACGGGCAATCTCCCCTTTGCTCGCTGGTAGACCGAGCGCGCAAAAGGACGGGAGTCAGTCGGCGAACTCCTCGAGGCGGGCGCGCATGATGAGTACCTCGGAGGATGGTGTGTATCAACTCGAGTCAGTTGGCTATTTTTCGCCTTCGACACAATGCAGGAGGGCGCCCTGTCGCCCTGGGGTTTGCAGCTCAGGTCGCGAATAGGCAGAGTCATTTGATACTGATCGATTGCCTTGATTACCGGGTAGTCAATGTGTTGATGATACGGATCCCTATCTCACAGCGTTCGGAGACTCTTCTCTAGCAGCTTTTGTCCCTCGCGGACCTTGGGACAGTAATGCCTCCTCAGCAATTCCCCCTCCCAGACCGTAGCCGCAAATGGGTTGCTTCCCTCGACAGATTCACTGAGCGGGTTGTAGGTCCCATCGCCTTTTCTCTCCTCCGTATTCCATATCGACCCTATCTTCTTTCCGTGCGTATAAGTCACGTCGTTCATTAAGGCGAGTACGGCCTGACACGACTTCTCCGGCATCTGTAAGGCGATGGTCATCAGCTGCTTGGCAAATGCTGCGATGCGCAGTGGAGGGACCGAGCGGATGTTCCACGGCGGCAGAAGGATTGCCGTGAGACACCTGATCAGGAGCACCGTCGTTGTCTGTAGGTTGACTTTGTTGAGTTTAGGAACCTGGTGGCTGTCTGGGTCCGGAAGGTGCAAAGACTTCGCTCCCAGCTCCAGATCAGCGTCCATCGAAAGGGGAAAGAGGCCTTGGAAGAGGTGCGTCGAGAAGTAGGATAGATCCAAATGCAAATCTGCGCGGGCGTTGTGTGCGTCCTGGCCCGCGAGGAGTGTGAACGCCGTGACTGTACATAGCAGCGCCTCACGGCTTGTATTCCGAACAGACACATCCTCATCCTCGTGCTCTCCATCTTCATCATCAATCTCGGCATCCTCCTCGCTGTGCCGAATGAGGTCCTTCATGGCCTCAAGCAAATCGCCAAAGAAGTCCTGGTTGATGAGGTGAGCATATTTCGCCAACCCTTCAAGCACAGCTCCCATAAGCTGTGGTTGTCGTTGCTTTAAGATCCGGAAATAAGTAGCAAAGACAAGCTTCAACGTCTCTGACTGCATGTGATCTCGCTCCTCGTGGCTCACCAGAGCATCTGCCTGCGCCATCACCTTGGACAAAGCCTTCTCTTCCTTCAAAGCTTTCCGTTCACGCTTCGTCCGATGCTCCCATTTCTTTTTCGGGGCCTTGTTCTCGCCGTTGGCCATGTCCACTCCGTCTTTCGAGGCTTTCCCGGAGAACTCAGAGAGCAGCCGCAGGGAGAGAAAGAGATTGAGGACACTTTCGTCAACCAAGTATCGCCGCGCTTTCATCATTTTTGCAAGGAGCGATACTGCCTCCATGGTTGGTCTTCCCTCTTCATCTTCCTGGAACAAGGTCTCAAGGGCTTTCAGGCATTTTTTAGAGGATTCATCGACCTTCCTAGCACTCAGCTTGCCCACCAAAATCTTCAAGAGCTCCGTTCGGAAGTTGAAGTGAGGAACCGATGTGACCAAGGTGCAGGCGCATGTAATGGCAACCTTCGCCAGACTGTTGTTGTCTGCGGAGCCCTTGAGCTTGGCATACTCTGTCAACTTCTTCAAGTATGCTTGGTAGCCAGCCACTAGAGCGTGTTCATATGACCGCAAACTCTTGACTTCCTTGGACAATTTCGCCCCGGCGGGATCCTCAGTGCTCGGTCGTATCCGATAGCCTGGGATGACATCTTTGTATATCGCCAGCTGTGTCACTACGCAGAGCTTGCGAATGGCAGGAATGCTTGACTCCCCGAGCTTCCCCAGCTGTTTGAAAGCCCCAGGGTACTCCTCTGGGTTCTCGCTTAGATGTTGACCGATCTTCGCCAGCTCCTCCTTCGTTTTGATGATCTGTTCACGCTCCGACATCGTTGGTTCGGCCGGATGAAGTTCCTGGGCAGACTCCGAGGCTGCCCCATCGCTCTCGTTCCCGTCCAGCCATTCATCGTCGCTCTCAATGGGAGCAATCTCGTCGATCACGGCCACCTGCTCCAAGCGACCATCTGCCGTCTTGATGGGAAGTTTGTTGCTCTCCTTCTCCTTCTTCTTTCCTTTCCTTGGACGCGACTCGTAGTCCTGCTCTAGGTTCCAACTGGCAGCATTCTTGAAGAACGCATTCTGTACCTTCGCGCCTGAAATGTTCTCATCCGACTGAGGCGGGCTTAGACGCCTCTTCTTGGAAGGGGGCCCCATCGCGCGATCGCTTCGTTCGTGGATCGGGTTCCTTGCTGTGTGAAGCTGATCTGTCGGTGACGATACTAAGGAATGATGCAGATCGATTGCTGCAATTGAGTCTGTTGTGAAAGAAAGAAAGAGAAAAATAGGATCAGCACCGAAGTTGGTGATTCCTTGCGCCAAATGCTTGTACATGGACCTGACGGGAGAAAAAGCACCAAAAAAAAGATTGAGCGGCCTGCGATAAGCTGGATTTGCCCCACTTCAGACCTCTTATCGCTGCAAAACAGCCAATCAACGCGCAGACAGAGAGCTTCGAATACTGGAAAAGTTCAGGGAGCCGAGGGCCCCTTGATCGAAATTGTTCCTGAACCTGATCGTCACCACCGCTCATGTCTTAGGGCACGCGCACCGCCAGACAGAGACATGGCGCCATCATCGCTCGCGGCGCAGTTGGCGCAAATCGCCGTCAACTCCAAGAGCACCCTCAACGTCAAGGCGCAGAAGGCCGCGCACGCCAAGTCCTTGATTTTCGAGCCCAAAGTTGCTGCCGGCCAGAGTTTCCAGACCGTGTACGATATTTGCCATGAGGGCTTCGAGGAACTATGTCGCCTCGATGCTCGGTTCCTTCCGTATGAGCAGACACTGTTCAGCGAGCAAAGTCAAGACGAAGACCGCACGCAGATGACCGCCGCCGAAAATGCCGAACTGGACAAGACCGCACAGGCTTTCTTGCGCCTAGTCGCGGGGAGGCTGAGGCTCATGCCGGCTATCAAGGCCGTAGAGTGGCTTGTACGGAGATTTAGGTAGGCTTCTTGCCCATGTGGTAGCCCGAACACGCTCTGACGGTGCCTAGGATACACGAATATAGCACGTCCTCCCTCATAACGACGTTCCTACCTTACCACTCTGCGCCACTCTTCGTCACGCTCATGTCCATCCTTCCCACAAAACTGCCAAACCAGTACAGATTCCTCGACCCATACGTGCGATCTTTGACTGCACCTCCTAGGGCTATTCTGGTCCAACAAGCAATTCACCATTTCGAGCTCTTGTCGGGAATATCAGATGCAACATTGGAATCATGCCGAGCGCAACAGCATTACCCGGGCCTAATCTCATTCTGGGGTGGTTTAATGACTGAGGCTATCAATGGCATGCTGGATCACATGAAATCGGGCAGGAGGGCCCTTCAGAAAGATCATGACCAAGACCTTCTCCAGAAGATCCTACCCATTCTCAGTGAGACTCTGATGATGAAAAAGGTCCCTGGCCTTCAAATTGCGAGCTATATGGTCATATCCGTCTATGCTTCGAAGGGCGGCCTAGAGGATGCTGTGCTCCTGGAATTTATGCATCAACTAGTCTTGGGTTGGTCGAGTGAGACTGTCAGGCCCGGATTGGTCTGCCTGTCCATTCTCGCCCAGTGCAGGTCCGCCAAGCAGCTCTCATGGAGAGTGGCTAAGTCATTAGTCAAAGTGCAAGACTTGGAGGTGTTACTGCAGGACCTACAGAAGGAGCACCGAGTTGACAAGCTGGCCAACGGTCTTGCGATTGCTCTAGTCGAAAGGCTCACCAAGAAGGGCGAAGTTCGAGGGCTCCCGTTGATCAAAACGATCCTCTTAGCGCAAATGCTAAGCGAGAAGCAATCATCGGTTATCATCCGATCCTTGCTCGTGGCTGGACACAAGATTTCCGACGAAGTTGATGAAGACGGACAAGCCCGGAAACAGCTGGGACAAATAATTGTGGCTCTCTCCCAGGCTCCCGATCAAGCCGGAGAACTATTCCGCAAAGTCATTGAGGAGGCTGAGTTCGATATTGATGAGCTGGAGCTGAAACTCAAGGCGTCAATCCGCCCAAAGAAGGCTGTCAAGTCGAATGGAGAAGGCAACAAAGCCTTGACTGACGGTGCGGAAGCCGCTTTGGCTGAAGAACTGGATTTGGACGCTGGCCTCAGCCGACTGTCGAAGCATAAGAAGCCTCCAGCTCGCACCTGTCTGTCCAGCGACTCAGACCCCATCTTTGAGGAGCTTTGCCAGATTTTCATATCTGCTGCTTCAGATAAGTCGGCCTTGCTGAAGCTGGATGAGGCCCCCATACTCGACAGCGAATCTGCGCCCTCTGATTGCTTCTACTTCTCTTTCTACATGCGTATGTGGCTTGGTCCATATCCGATTCTGGCTCGAGCACGTGCGCTTGAGATGGCCAAAAGTCGACTGCAACAGCCAGACTGCTCGAAAATCGACTTCCAGGCACTCCAGCCCTACTGCATCGCTGCTCTGGGAGACCCAGCAAAGAAGGTCCGCCGTGCTGCAGCTGAGTTGCTTGCCGTGCTGCAAACAAACAATAGCGATAGCGGAACCCGCAAGAAGAATGAAACGCCATGGGGTTCCCGAGCATTGTACAAGACGGGACAAGAACCCAAGTGGATGACACCCGAGGCCAGTCGGACCTTGCTTCAAGAGGTTGTTATCCCCGCGCTGGAGGAATCCATCATGCACGAAGATCACATCACCGCTGCCCTCAAGGAAGCTCTTGGAAGCTCAAGCAAGTCCTCAACGGAGAAAGAGGCGTCGAAAAAGGGACACATCTCCTCAAGTGTTCGCGCTGCCATTTTCAGCTTTCTAGCATCGCATGTAGTCGAGTCTCCCTTGTTGAACTTCGACCTCAGACTGCTCAAAGCCTTGAACCAGGTGCAAAAAGTCGGCAGCACCTCCAGAACTCAACTACTTTTGCCCTCTTTGCAGTGGTGGTCTGGACTCGGCCATGATGAGGCTCTCAACTTGCTCAACAAGGAAGGATTAGATGGAGACAAGGTCACCGCGAGCTTCGTTGATGTCGTTGTGCCAAACGACTCTACCGGGCTTGACTGTCTCTTCGATATCGTGGAAGGCAATCGAGCAGAGGAGCGTCCAGATCTTGTGCGCTGCGTCTTCTCCAGAATACGCAAGATGTGGCCGTCAATGAAAGACAGGATCAAAAAGGAGGTTGCACAAAAGGCCCTAAACCTCTCGCAGCGGGAGGGCATGGTCTCAGAAGAAGCACTCGAGCTACTTAGAAGCGTACCCTTAACTACGGAGATTCTTCTAGACTTCCTCGGGTCTCTCCAAGATGTCACACAACTTGCAGTGGAAGCGCCTACAAGCAAGCGGAGAAGAACGAGCTCATCAGAACACCATCGATCGGCTGATCCGCACAACTCCCCGGAGCTCGCCGCTGCGTTGAGTAAGGTTACTGTTGTTTTGCACCTGGTCGAGTCGTCGAAGCCGGGCGAGCATCCCGAGCTGCTTCAGAGCTTGTTCATGATTTTGTCAGAGCTTCAGACATTCAGGACCCTTATAGGGTCCGAACTGGGTTACCTTCAGAACTTGGTGCTCAGTAGCTTGTTGGCCATGATGCCCACATACCGCGATGACAAGAACCTCAAGATCGACACATCAGTTGGTCACGGAGACGTGTTGGTGTCTTGCATTCAAAAGTCTTCGAGCCCCGCTGTGCAGAACTCGGCCCTTCTTTTGGTTGCAAGTCTGGCCAAGACTGCCCCTGATGTTGTCCTGCACAGCGTCATGCCCATATTCACATTCATGGGAAGCTCTGTGCTCCGGCAAAGCGACGATTACTCTGCGCATGTTATCAACCAGACCATTCGAGAGGTGATACCGCCATTGATTGATACCTTCCGCAAGGGACGAAGACACCTCGTTGCTAGTGCATCAGAGCTTTTGGCAAGCTTTGTCATTGCTTATGAGCACATACCTTCTCACAGAAGACAAGGCCTTTTCATTTCCCTGGTTGAAAATCTCGGACCACAGGACTTCCTCTTCGCGCTGGTGGCCATGTTTGTCGACAGATATGGAACGTCTGATAACATCCAGACGTTTACAGCCGACCTGATGAACCACTTCAACGTGGAGACCCAACTGCAGACGTTGATCAAATTCCTTGATCTCGTGGCCGACATGTTCAAACCAAAGCCGAATCTTTCCGCCGTTATGTTTGGAAAGAAGGAGGGAGATGAAGAGATCAACAAGACGGCGTTGAAGCAACTTACTCTACTGCCTCATCTTCTAGCCAGTCGATCGCTTAAGCGGGAAGTAGGGAAGCTAGCCGAGCGGGACGACATGGAAACTGCAAAGATCCGCGAGCTCTACGCACAACTTCTAGAAGACGTTCTCACGGTGGCTGACACCGTCAAGACCAGAAAGGCACTGCACATCCGTTGCGGCGACGCACTGTCCAACTTACTGAACCTCCTCTCGGTAGGCGAGTTCATCAAGTCGGTTGAAACCCTACTTGATCGGCCGAACGTTGGTCTCCGGCAGAAGGTCCTACGCGCACTTGAGACACGCGTGGATAAGGAGAAACAGGGTGATGCGCAGTCAAGAACAGCTCTCCTAGCGTTCTTGCCTCAGCTGACCGCTGTCATTCGCGACTCAGACGACATCCATTACAAGCATACCGCTGTCAATTGTGTCGACAAGATTTCAGAGAAATATGGCAAGAAGGATTTGGAGGCTGTTGCAGCGGCCGCCTCGACTATCGCGGGCAAGCAATGCCTTGGTCAAGACGACAGGCGTCTCCGTATCATGGCTCTACTTTGTCTTGCGTCACTTGTCGATGTGCTACAGGATGGCATTGTCCCGATCCTGCCCACAGCCATTCCGAAGACGTTGGAGTACCTGTCCATCTCAATTGACGGCGTGGACTCTGACACAGAGCTTCACGACGCTTGCTATGCTCTCATGACAGCACTGGCTCAATATTTGCCGTACATGGTATCTGGGGCCTATCTGGATCAACTCTTGATTGTGTCGAATAAGTCTGCAGAGTCGACTGTCGATGACGACGTACACGACAACAGGAAACAATGTCTGCACTTCCTTGCGAAGCAGCTAGATGCCAAGGTGCTTTTCAACGCATTGCAGAAGAACTGGTCGTCCGCAATGGACGCCGGCTACTCGGTAGGACAAGACACTCGGTCTCAAAGATCAACGGCTAACGGTTTACAGGCCATGAATGAATTTGTCGAAATCCTCGGTTTCGGTATTGACAAGCATTCAAAAGCGGAAGTCGCCAAGAACGTGTCATCCTTATCCGCCATCTTCCTGGCCACCTTTGATCTTCGCCGCCTTGAACAAGTCAAGTCGCGAACAAACGCAAGCCAGTTGGAAGGCCTAGAAGAATCAATCAACGATGTGGCCTTGAAGATGATATACAAGCTGAACGATGCGGCCTTCAGACCAATCTTCACTCAGCTTATTGAGTGGTCCAGCTCTGGGCTTCCTAAGTCGGACATACTCGGCATCACACTTCGGCAACAGAGCGTCTACGGATTTCTCTACAAGTTCTTTGATAGTCTCAAGTCGATCGTCACAAGCTATAGCTCCTATGTCGTCGACCAGGCTGCCAAGATCCTGCAAGAAACCGACATAAAGGACGCCGCGCAGCGCGAGCTCTGGAGACGTGTTCTCAGGACTCTCACCAAGTCCTTCGAGCACGACCAAGACGACTTTTGGCAGGCACCTTCACACTTCAGCGCCATAGGGCCTGTTCTAGTTCAGCAGTTCCGCCACGCGTCACACGTAGATCTCGGTGAGGATCTGTCCCCGGCCGTGGTGGAGCTCGCGAGCGCGGCCGACTCCCAAGAACACCAAAAGGAGCTCAACGCAACGCTGCTCAAGCATCTGCGGAACGAGACGCCAGCTGTGCGATTGGCCGTTGTAAAATGCGAGCAGGAGCTTGTGGACAAGGTGGGAGAGGAGTGGCTGTCCATGTTACCTGAGATGTTACCGTACATCAGTGAGCTTCAGGACGACGACGACGAGGTGGTCGATAGGGAAACACATAAGTGGATCGTCAAGATAGAAGGGGTTTTGGGTGAAAGTTTGGATTCAATGCTGCAGTAGAGGTATTGATACAAAAGTTAATGCCGCAATTCGGCTTGTTTTGTATGTAGCGGCCACACGGCGGTCTAGAAGCAAGCAATTGCATGAATTGTTCACAAATTGTGCATGGATTGGTCCAAAGAGGATGCCCATTCACTAGCAAATGATTTGTGCGGAGACCTCAGTTTCCACCTCGTTTCTTTCCGTGTTGATCTCGAACAGAGCTTGCCTGGCCGTCCCGGTGACCGCGGGCTCCAGCGGGAGGTCCGTCGGTGGAACTCTGGACATTCCGGAAACTCGCGAGGAGGCTGAAGCCCTCGCGTAATCTTACCTCCACAACGCGGGTCATCGGCGGGACACAACTGCCCGTCATTAAACTCGTTTGACAATTTGATATTCATTGGCAGCCATTCGTCAAAAGTGTTATGCACAACAATGTCTTACCCTGCGTACAAATTCATGTCATGCGAGCTTTGCGTGTTAGTTTGTGACACCGCAAGATCGTGGCCGTCATGGGAATATTTCCCGTGTCCATTTCCGTGTAGTATATACTTTTAAATTATGTGCTCTAATGCGTGACTAGAATTAGATTCGATTCTAATATGCAGTCAATTCTTGACACGTCTCGGCGCGGCACAGCACCATTTACCACGACCAAGCTTGAGTCAACTCCGGCCGCAAGCGTTATCTTCCAAGACACTCCAGGGGACAACACTGCTTTCCCCACCCACTTTCTCTACGAAACCCGCCGGCCGGGTCAAGGAAATCCTCTCGATGGGCGCAAAAGCCGCACCATCGATAGTTGCAGTTACGTCCTCGGTAGCATGCCGGCCTCGGCGCCGTGGGGCATTCTCACGACGAGGTCTGCGCCGCCTCACTGCTTTTGCCGGGTAGCCCATCGTAGACTTGCGGCATGGAAGAGAAGCTTACTAGGCGGCGTGTCCAGGGTGGTCATGACGAGGTTGAAAGGGCTGGCCGTGGCATTCTACTATGAAGGACACCTCACTCTCCGTGGTGGCCCATCTGATAATGGTGCCAAGCAATCGCCAACGAAATGGGTGGGCATAACGAAGCAAGTGGTGCAGTGCAGACCCTGTCGTGCACGTGGGAGAGATTGGATGGCCGTTCATGCAGGGCCAGTTCAGAGAGGCTCAAATTGAGTTGGACATCCTGGTCCCGGACCGCGATGTCCGGCCGACCACAATTTGTCTCCGTCCCCGTCCGCCTCTGGGTGGGTCTCGCCGTCTCCTGTCGTTCCGACATTCGCCGGAAAACCAACAAGCTTTCACTGCAAACCAACTGGGCAGGCAACAAAACCGAAAGCTTTGATAGAGAAACTCGCCCAGCTGAGCTATGTTTAGCTTTAGTAAGAGAGCAATGTCATCTAGATTATGCCCTGGCGGGAGTGTAAGACCTTTTCACAGCCGGGATGCTCGGGGCCTATAGGGGAGTCCGTAGTCCGCTCACCCGGATAACGTCACACCAACGACATCGGGCAATGATGCCTTTTAAGAGATAACATGCTCGCTCTGAATACCAAACGCGAGCCCACAGGGTAGGAAACCGCCTCGAATTTGCCGCAGATCCCTATAACGATAACCTCATTTTCTGGACTCCAGGAGGAGAAGGGAGAGAGAGAGAGAGAGAGAAAAATCAAGATGGCGTCAAGTCTCACCAAATCAACAACGGCGAGGCTGGTTACACAGAGCACCCTGTCGATCGCCAGGAGGAGCGAGTGTGCTCGGTGCTTCGCGACAAGCGTTGAGTCAAGCAAAGGTGCGTCGCACTCCTTATATCGGTCCTAGGGAAGCACAGGTGTGGGCCCTGCGGGAGCCTCAAGTCGGACAACTTCCATGCGGCTGGTGCAATAAGCACGGAGAGCGTAGTCCCTCTCGGTGACCGAACCTAAGAATCTCACCCTCTTCCTCAAAATAAATACTGTCTGTGCGGCCACAGCTGGCGAGGAAGCTGGGATGATACTCACCTGAGAATGGCTGGTGAACAGCTGCGTGCGCTCATCGTGAGCGGTATTCGTCGTCTGACGGGTCGAGCAGGCAAGAAGCGGGAGAGGATAGTTATTTTAGGATCTGGTAGGTCCCAGTGACTCGGACCTTCTCACACATCCATCCCCCACTGACGCTGCGAGTAGGCTGGGCGGGCTACGCCTTCGCTAGGAAACTTGATCCGGCCAAGTATGAAAGAATAATTATCTCGCCGCGCTCCTATTTTGTCTTCACCCCCCTCTTGGCCTCGACGTCCGTCGGCACGCTCGAATTCAGGACGATCTTGGAGTCAGTCCGCAGGCTGGGGGATGTTGAGTTCCACCAGGGCTGGGCAGATGATATAGACTTCTCTCGCAAGCTTATACGTGTAGAGGAGAACCAGGCAGACGACCTTTCCAGCCAGACCATCTTACCGCCTCCCAAGAAGAATCCCGAGAGCAATGAGATTCAAGTCGAGCCGCCGCAAATCCCCAAGGGGCCAGTAATGAATGTTGGTTACGACAAGCTCGTCATTGCTGTTGGCGCTTACAGTCAAACCTTCGGAATCGACGGTGTTAGACAGCATGCTCATTTCTTGAGAGATATTGGAGACGCGAGGAGGGTTCGCTTGAGAGTGTTGTCGTTATTTGAGCAGTGCTCAAGTCCGACCATCTGTAAGTGAAAACATGGCTGTCCTTGTCACAGTCCAGCTGCTGAATTCACAATATAGCTGAAGAGAACCGCCACAAATTACTTCACTTTGCTGTTGTAGGCGGCGGGCCAACTGGTATAGAATTTGCAGGTGAGGAGCTTCCAAGGACTGGTGTCCTTCAGGACAAAGTCATAAAATTCGCAAGCTCTCACATGCTATAGATGTATTGGGCTGTAGCTTGTGAGGCAGACTGACGCTACGCATCGTTTTACTCTTCCTCACACAAACATCCCTTCTTAGTCGATAGCTGACTCCGGATGTTGTAGCCGAACTCCACGATCTCATCCACGACGACCTCTCCAAGATCTACCCCGACCTCGTGAAATATGCAAAAATAACCGTATACGATATTTCCCCCAAGATACTGCCTATGTTCGACCAAGCACTCGCTTCCTACGCCATGAGAGCCATCCAGAAGCAGAACATCGATATCAAGACCGCTCATACCATACAGCGCGTGCGGCCCGACACGGACAGCACTGGCGGCCTGAAGATCAAGATCAAGGAGTATGGCGACGAGGAGGTTGGCGCCGGCATCGTGGTATGGAGCACAGGGCTGATGCAGAACCCTCTCATCGAGAAGCTCATGAGCAAGAGCCTGTCAGGCGCATTGCCCGTCGAGGGGCAGGAGGCGCCGCGGGAGTTCAGGCTGGAGAGAGACAGCAAGACCGGCGGGATCATCACTGACGGCCGGTTCCGCGCACAGCTGGCTGACTCCACCGCTCTGAAGGGGGACAACACCGCCACCAACGGGCCGGCCGCGGGCCTGCAGACGCAGATCCTGAACGACGTGTTCGTCATCGGCGACTGCGCCGTCATCTCGGACCAGCCGACGCTCCCCAAGACGGCCCAGGTGGCGTCGCAAGAAGCCTCTTATCTCGCGAAGGCGCTGAACAAGGGGTCGATGGAGGAGGAGAAGCCGTTCGCCTTCCGCAACCTGGGCACGATGACTTATCTGGGCAACGTAGGTCCCCTTTGCATACATGAGACCATGGAATCTGCTAGAAATGCTGACGATAAGCTATGCAGTGGAAGGCACTTTTCCAGGGAACTTCAGGCGACCTGACTGGGTTTATGGCCTGGGTGCTGTGGCGAGGAGCCTACCTAACAAAATCTATGAGCTGGAAGAATAAGCTACTGATTCCTGTATATGTGAGTCGTCATTTCCCGCTTAAGAAGAACAAGGTGGTATTATTTGCTGCAAAGCACGATTCAGCGACTGACGGGATGTTTTTACAGTGGTTTGTGTCTTGGGTCTTCGGCCGGGACATATCTCGCTTTTGAACCGGTGGGGGAGTACAATGCTGTGTTTTAAAGAATTGGCTTCATTCACCCCTGAAAGTCTGGTCTGCAGAGATAGGCTAGGTGAGAATGTATTATTTTGACCAGAGCGTTTTGTGCTTGACAGGAGTGATTGTAGTGTCTTAGACCAACATAGAAGAGCTTTAGTTCCCGATTCTTGCTCAATTTACTATTTAGACGTACTGCCGTCACAAAATCCATGAACCTTAGCACGTCAACTGTCTTTATTCGTGAAGGTGACTTTTCATTTCATCTGCTAAGAAGCATCTATCTGCGGTATAACAGCATAGGCTAGTTTACTTCCCTCCATTTCATCATGCGGATGAAGTCAAACAAGCCAGGCCCATCTATCTGGTTCTGCAAACCAGACAGAAATTGGACTTTCAAATGAGCAATCTCTCGCTGTGGTCATTCTTAATCCCCTCAAGATGCTCCTCGTTTATTCCTGTCCCTGTCATGAGGAGCACCGTAGACACGCACCCAACCTTTGGTTGTTTCTGATTCCATTCGTACATTACCTAGTGATAACTCGTGGAACTGCACTTTCCCTTCGATTCGGCCTTCCATCTGTCTCAGTTCCCTACGCCTTGCGGTTCATGAATTGGGTGTTGTACCAATCCTTGAAAGCCACGTCGTTGAAAGGACTCGCCGAAGAGGTGTTAGCCGGTGGTGTAAGTGGCTTTTTGTCAACAGGCTGCGCGAAGGCTGGAGCACGACTGGGCTCAACAGCGGGACTAACATTGGTGTTAGGCCGTTGGACAGATGGCATTCGGAGGTCGGCAGCCCCTCGGCTTGTTCGGGTCAACGGAGGAGTAGGATGCTGGCCGAAGGCGGGACCCTGAGAGGGGGCATCAAAGGCTGCAGGATTGCAGCTAGTCTGCACAGTGGGCTCAACCTCAGCAGAATGAGGAGGCAGTTTGACAGTGATCTTCCCAGATTGCACGGTCGCTCCACTCGATGGAGGTCCCACAGTCCGAGCTGCGCTCTGCACATCGTTGGACTGGATAGTCGAGCTGGCTTGAGCAGATTGAGCCTCAGCAGCACCCTTCTTCTTGATTGAAAGCGCCTTGTATTCCGCAGACAGATCGGACAGCCAGTCCGAGCTACGATAGACCGGCTCTAGTGTGGATGGGTCCGGGTACTGAGGAGCCAGAGAAGAGTGGGACTCGTTCTTTGACGCAGACGCCGCCCATCTGGAACCATACAAGCCCTTGTTCATCGAACTGCCAGAATTGTCGGCATTTTTGATAATGGCTTCCTGGGTAGAAGCCGTACCGGAGATTCTGCTTGTATTGGTACTTGAGTCGGGAACAGGGCTGGCTTCGCTCGACTTGGAAGCCTTGAGCAGGCTCTCGGGGGATGGATCCGCTTGAATAAGCTTGGGAGTGAGCGAATCTTGGTCAACGTCCATAAACTCAGAACCATCGACGGCCTTGACGTCAGAGACAGGTTTAACACTTCCAGAAGTGGCCCATCGAGAGCTACCAAGGCTGCGGCCACCTACTGGCGTGGTGGAATTGACGGATCGAGTCTCTTGAGGCACACCAGAGCGGGAATCGACCTGCATGGGATCGAAGTGGTCGGCAAGTTTAGAAGCTGGTTGTTGAGTGACAGGCGTGGGAGTGTTCTGAAAAACAGAAGTGGGCACAGGGCTGGGCCGACCGAACAGCTGCTCCGGTGTCGCAAGCTTCTGAGGCGTGGCCTGGCGCGAGTTGCCACGAGGAGTTCCAGTAACACCAAGGCCAGACGAGGTCATGTTGTTGTAGCTCGGGTCCGTCATATTCGGGGAGCGACTTCCTCCACGGGATGGAGCGCGACTGCTACGACGGTCGGTCGCACGACTGACCTCGTTTTGGAACTTGATGGCCTCGGCCAACTGTTGTTCTTTCGTCAAAGGTTTGCCAGCCATGTCAATTGCGTTCAGACTTGAATGTCCTCAAGGCCGTCTCGTCAGGTGTATTCGTCGCGTCAGTCAGGCTGCTAAAGTTTGACAGGTCAGCCGCAGGCAAGGAAGTCAATGGAAAGGCAAATCATACCTGGGCCTTGTCTAGCTGTTGGATGAATCGATGGTCTTGGTTTTTGAGAAAGACGTTGTGTTTTCTCCGAAAGAAGGGTAAGTAGACAGCAGTTTCTCGTGACGCGTCAAGAACAGAAAAAGAGGGACACTGGATCAGTGAACTGCATCAAGGCAACAAGAATAGAGTACAGTTCAAAGAAGACTGTGTTCTTGTGATGGAGGCAGAAAGAGAAAAAGACCTTAATTGTTTTGGCCAAGTTGGGTCATGGTTGCAAGCTTGGCTAGGAAGAAAGGTTGTAGGACGGAGGAAGGTGGGCGCAAAAAGCAGCTTCGAAGGGGGGTGCGGAGGTTCTGCCATGCACTGCTGGGGACTTTTTTCCCCCTTTCAAACCTTGTCAAGGCAATGATTCTAAGCTGTGGAAGGAGCTCCTGCTCTGCGTTCTTGCTAATTAAGTATCCAGCAAGGAAGGAGCAGAAGGGACATAAGGGGCAGGAGAGACACATCAAAGTCATGGACACAGGAAAGGCCCAGCACCGAGAAAACGAACAAGACGAACAATCCACTTCGAAAAACAGAATCTCTCAGATTTTCGACCCAGTGAAATAGAAGAAAACCTTTGATAGAAGGGAAAGTTCCAAGACATTCCCTCCTTATGCATGTTGGTCCTTGCTAGTGGAAAGAACTCGATGTCCAGCACCTATCTGGTGTAAAGAAATCAGGACGGATGACATTCTTCATTTTTTTTGGTCTGTTTTAGTAAATTTCAATCCTGCAAAGTCATTGAAAGTTGTCCTGCGCTCAATATTTCCAAAACAGTTTCGGCAAGAAGGTCTTTGAGAATTACCACTAACCTGACTGACTTTGTACATCGCAGCGCCCAACGAGCTTGAGGACATGGACAGCATGGCGCCCGTACCGTATCCAGTATTAGTATTCTGCCTAAGTCTTATCGACCCTTATCCCTTCTTCTGACGTTTCGTCCCTATGGGGGCCTGAATCGTATTGATCTTGGTCTCACGGAAAACATCCTTGCCACCATCTTCTAGCCATGGAGCCTCAACTGGAGGCACCTGCTGGCGGACGAAGTCTACCAGTGCTTTCAACTGACCACTATCGCCGGCACGTAAAGCAACACTCGAAACCCTGGGGATGCCAAGACACGTGCTCATTTTCTCTTCGCAGGACTTTGAGAATCCAACGAGGCGAATGGGTTCCTTTAGTTGGCGGGATGCCACGGCGACCATTTGGGGGAGATGGCTGAAGAATGTTGAAGGTGGGCCTGACCTGACTACAAAGACGATCGAGTAGGGGGAGCCCTGGTCGTGACCATCATGGTCGCCTGCTCCAGTCTGGGTCGTCGGAGAAGACACTTCAAGATTTCTGGTGATGTCGGTCAAGCCCACGTCCACCGAGGCTGCCACAGCCGGCGGTGGCGGTACTAGAACTTGGGCTTGGATCTTGTTTGGCTCATCGCGCTTCCTCTTCCGGACCTTGGCCTTTTTGCCTTTGGACGGGTGAATGTATGAACTGCGATGCTGGCCTATCGGAGACAGGAGGCTGCGGAATGCCTATTAGCATCCGTTCGTCAGAGGTACAATACGGTCGTGTGCAGGTATCAGCCACGACGCAACGAGCACATGTACCTGCAAAGTAGATCCAGCATTTCATCCTGATCCTGCTGGGAGATTTTTGGCCTAGTATATGTTGTAAGATAAAGGCAATCGACACGATCAGAAGGAGAGTGATGGGTGGTGAAGGGATTTACTCACCATTGCACGCTGGAGAATGGAGTATCAAGCTGGTACACCAGCCTCGTTTTCTCCATGTTTCAAAGCTTGGGCTGATACAATACGTCTCAGAGGCTTTTAATCATTGTTCCCCGTTGTTCTCTTGCGGAATTTAAAATATCTGTCGGGGACCGAGATAAGTGGAAGAGTGGCTTCAGGTCCTCGTTTTCCAGGTTCACCTTCACAACTGACGTTAATAGGGTTAGGGCTCTTTCCCAGCTAACAGAAGATTGAGGTGCCAGTCCCGAACAGAGCACCGCTCCCGCGGTTGCTGGGTCCTTATAAGACCAAGTCTATTAGGTATCGATTCGACAACGGTTGAAGAACAAATCTTGCAGGGCTATAAGTCGTGCAGGACCATGAGCTGGCGGGTTGATACCTCCCAGGCTGCTGAAATATAGGGGTGTACACCATGAGGCACAACGAGCTACTAGGCCATAGTGTGGTTGATATGTTTCACCACTCGCCGAGCATTCAAGCTGCCCGCGAGCATCCGACCGGTGTCTGCTGATCAACAAGGCTGTTCAAGAGAGCCCCAGCCTCGGACTTGTTGTCCTAGGCATGTGGCCTACATGGCAGCACGGCCGCGGAAAACGCTCCGCTCTGACGGCGGGCCATGGGTGGGCCCAGCCCCAGGCTAGGTTACCCCAGCAAGGCCTAAATAGCTCCGTCATCACAAGTGGCATGGCGACGATTATTTACTGGAGAGGTGGAATGGACAATTTCAGACTCTGAGACGGAGCGAAAGAAACAAGTCTCACAGAGCTCCGGGGGACCCGAGGGCGACGGTAGTACGCAAATCCCGTGGACGTCCAGCTGAACGACATCTTGCGTCACAAAGAAGGCCTCCCCAGCATCTTGCACGGCAGCATATTTAAATACACACCGCTGTGGGTCTATCAGACGCGAGAACGCGTCTCGCGATGATTTCCATTTAGGCCCCTGCACAGTGGATGATCCACATGCCCAAATGGAATAGTGCCTGGGCTTGAAGTGTCTTTGGTGGGAAAAGGCTGGACTGCATCAAGCCTTCGCATCTCACCGGGTTGACAAGAAAGACCGGCTTTGGAATACCTGGACAACTAGGTACACGCAGGTATGGATGGCATTTTCAGCCAAGCTCTGATCGCGCGGCCGCGCGGCCCCGACCGACTGAGAGCAACCCTCTGGACCAGCTACAGTTAGGAACGCAACTGCGTCTGGACGATATCTCGACCTGTTGGCAATGGTGGATCCAATGCCGGAAGCTCCGAAAGGTCGTCAGGCCTTCGGAGCCGCGGAGGACAGGAACAGAAGGACTGGGTGACTGGGTGGTATGCGGACCACCCCAGAATGAGGACTGGGTCTGAGGGTTTGGCATAGGCCAGTTGAAAACGGCGTGGCCAAACATTGCCAGTAGATAGATATTCGAGCAGTAGTGAGATAGAGTACTGGATAGGGCTGTCTGTACTTTGGCATCTAGCTTGCTTTAATTCTAACAGTCTTGCAGGAGTGCCTAATAAGCCTCGAAGACTAGAGGTGTTCATGTATCTCCTGTGTTGCCCCAGCTCTATGATGGTGTGTGATGTCAAGCTGCACAGACAAGGCAAGACCTGATACGGGCAAACTCGCAAAGAACGAGAGCCCACCCTGTCTGGCAGCCTGTGGACATCGCACCCAAGCTGCCGTAGCTTCAAGGTTGTTAGGTGGCTCTGGGTGTCTGGGTGCCTACCTGCCAGCCTAGGTACATGCGAGCTTGTCCTTGCAGCAGTAGCTCCTGCCAGGATCCCTGCTGTCACGACCCACAATCCCTGGGCTACCTACGTACCAAGCCTTGAAGGTTTCCACCAGAGCTCCCTCGCGGGACAATTTACACAGCAACCCAAACCATCCAGGTCGGGACTGGCTGCATCTTCAGGTTGCCATTTTTTGAACGGCATTCCGACGACAATCAATCACTCTTGGGCATCCTCACACATCCACATATCATAAGCCAGTATACCTCACCAAGCACTACCTAGGTAGTGAATTACCAGCGGTCCTGGCCTTGTGCCTCAGGGTTGCCCAAGACCTGTCGGCGTTTGATGGGTCGCAGGGACCCAGGAGAGCTGCTTGCCAGAGCTTCCCTCTGGAACCGCCACCACCAGCAGCAAGGTGAGCCTGTCCTAGACACGCACCCCTACCCCGCCATCTCCATACCCCACCACCAACACGCAGTCCAAATGGGATCAATGTCAACGACGAACAAGACTGCACAAAGCACAGGCTGCTCTTCCCAAGCATCATCATTCATTTCCACCACTCTTGGTCATACTTGCAATACCCTCTCCTTGTTCCACCCTGAAAAGCCCCGCCACCACCGCTGCTGCTGCCACCAGCACCATCACCACCACCCACAACACATGTGCCGTCATTCCTCCCACGCCCCCACAAGCAGGCAAACCTAGCCCACTTCAGCCTTGTGAGCTCTGCCAGGGCCGCTCTGCGGGTGCCTCATTGCCTCATTGTTGACATCCGCATCTTCCCCTTGCGTCAATCTGCCTCATCCGATACCACGCTGCCAGCCCACATGCTAAAATCGAAGCCATCCGAGCAGAGCTGCCCTCAGCCCAGGGCTCGCACAAGAACCGTGACTCTGTGAGGCTCCAGGCTTACTGAGCTCGCATGCCAGCAAGCCAAATCCAGATGGACCGAGCTTCGAATTCCCCAGTTGGATCGAGAGAACGTGCTGTCTCCTCCGAGCCCTGCTCAACCCGACCGAACCCATTCGACGACGACGACGGATCCTCGGCCCGCAAGCGACGCCGCACCTCTCTCAACGGTGCCTCGCGCAGCCGGTCCCTCGAGTCCGATAAGTCCTCCCACAATAGTTCAGCCCGCCTTGTAGAGGACGACATACAAGGTCAGTCGGTGGACCGGGATATCAAAATGACGATGGATTCTTCGCCTGCGAGGCCTCAAACACCCGAGCACCAGCAGCAACAAACACAGCCCGTATCAGAGTCCAAGCCAACCAAGATCACTCTGAACTTGAAGAATAGGAAGCACGCGCCGCGATCAACACCCTCGTCACCTACATCCTTGAAGGACGCCGACGCAGAGCTCGATACGATTTACGAGAATGGCATTCGGGCTAGCGTGGAGGATGCTGACCTGGGTTCCTCAAACGCTCTGCCACCCTTCGCTACGGCGGACTCTTCATCCTTGGACGCCGACGATAACGACGAACCCCTTATAGAAAGCGTGGACGACAACGACGCCTCGCAGCTAGCAGAACTCCAGGATATTGAGCTCCAGCTCGCAGACCCTGTACATGAATTCCCGGCCCGTCAAGACGAATCTCTGCCAGATGCTCTCCAGAACTTATGTGGCGCAATATCGACCTATCGAGAGGCGGCCCCAAAGCTCTCCAGGTGGATCGAAGAATACCTGACTTGGGCACAGGAGTGCGCTCCCTATATCCTCTTCCAAAATTATGAGCAGCATCGTGATTTCTGGAGAGAACTTCCGCGACTGATATGGGAGAACACTTCCATAGGAAGGGGTGCTCCTGCACGAGGGTCCCAGCTCTCGCGTTTGGTTTTTGAATTGCACAAGTCTTTCACGAAGTTGACAGCTTTGTTCATCGATCTCGACCATCTGATGCTTCAATCCGTCGAAGCTGGGGAGAATATCTACCAAGAACTCACCTCGCCGCTCTACATAATGTTCCTCAACCAGTACTTGATGGAATATGGGGGTCAGACAGGCAATTTGAACTGTATTGACGCTGATCCTCTAGGAGTTGAGTACATGAGTGGACTGATCGATACCTTTCGGTTATTTCCTGTCTACGGCTCTCATACACCAAACTGCTCGCCTTTCCACCTGGGCCAACTCATGGCTTCTCTTGTGCCCCGAATTCCGAGACTGATTGACAACTTGCACCTGGTTGGGCAATTGGCCGCGTTTTTGATTCGCGACATCAGCGAGCGACTGCAGCTATCTCAGCCCGCCCAAGAGCCTGAAGAAGGCGTGACTTTCCTGGAACAGGGCTACCAACTCTCTGAGGCCATGTCACAGGCCCTCGAAGCTTGTATTGAGAAGAGCGTCAATCAGATTCAAGCAGACGTGGCTGAAAACTCGATGTTCGTCCTCACGAATCTCCGCCGCCTGTGTCTGCGTGCGGAGTGCGGGCACGCAGCGACCGCGATAATGGAGCATCAGCGCAAACACCCCGATATCCCTCGAGCTTTCTCAATCGACGTTATGGTTGACGAATGGCGTCTCAAGACTCTGACAAAGTTCATCATGTCCAGCCAAATGCAACTCAGGCTTCTGGCTGCACAGATGATGTGCCAAGATCTGGTGCGCATCTTCAAGGAACATTCAGGGCACAGCATCGAACCCTCCCAACAGCCGCTTCTGTGTCATGTTTCGAACACCTTGTTACAATCAGGCGTCGTTACATACATCTTGGGCCCAACGTGTCATCCAGAGGTAACGACTGCGAGCGGTAACATCATTGGATTTCTGTTTGCGTCGCATACTTTTACTGAAGACCACCTGGACTTCATGTGGCAGACAATGACGACGTGCCAGATCTCCGGCGTATCAGAGAGCTTGTCTGGGATGTTCATCCATATCGTCCATCTCTTTACGGCGGCCGACCTGCTCGCTTTCTGCCGCAAAATGCAGACCGTCCCGATCGAGGCTTTCAGCCCAACAATCAAAGAACTCTGTGTTGCCATTATCAACCAGCTCTGTCAAAAGCACGATGCTGTACAGGAGCTTCTTCCCTACTCCTTGATGTTCCGGCTGTTGAGGGAGTCGTCTGCTCTCGGGCCGCCGTTCTATCAGGTTGTCCACAGGTGGGCCGCACAGACTATTGCTCAGCTCCTTAAGTTCGGGCCGTCCTATGAGGATAAAGCGTTGCTCTACCAGGAGTGCTTGAGAGACATTGCCCAAAAGACGCCATTCACACTGGGTAGTATACACTGTCTTGCCTTTTTGTGTCGACCGATCGCTAGGGAGCTACAGCTGCTCACTTCACAACACGACTTGCCAAAACTCCTCATCGACGAGTTTGAGCATGCAGTCTCTACCAGACAAGATTCTGGGAAATTGCACGTGCTTAGTGGTTTGGAGAACAAGCCTCGCCTGGATATGCTCACCAACATCATCAACCACCAGCCAGAAGCCATTCGGGGAGAGCTTGGGTCGACATTGTGGGAACTTTTGGTCGGAAAGCACGCAGCATCTCAGGAAGATCGCAACTGCGGCTGGCAAAGTCTCAATTCTGCACTGGGAGGTCGTCACGACAACCCGTTCCTGGAGACCTGTTTCGATGTGTACCTGCCCACACTGGCGCCAGAGTTGTTTTGCGAAGGTAGCCTGGATTTTGCTCTTCAGAAGATCAGTCGGCTCGTAGATGACAAGGACAGTGTTGTTCTCGACGACGATGATTCACGGGAGCACCTGGCTATCGAACATCTGTGGAAGATCGCTCTCACTGCACCCACCGACACGATCGAGCAGCCGGCGATAAGGGCGCTTGTCAAAGGTGTTTACATTGACAGCCGCTGTATCCAGCACTTTTCGAGCCACCGAGCACGAAAAGTTCACCTTGCTTTGGTCAACCGGTGCTTGGAGCAATTATCCTTGGCGGCGAAACGCTTGACAGCGGCCGGAGATGAAATTGATGCGATGGACGTCACGTCCAATGGGAGCGAGTTACAAGATCAGAGACTCCTCTTCAGCCGCTCTCTCCAAATCCTCCGAGCTTTCAACGAGCATTACCATGCAGCTTCGCAGTTCTCCACCCCAGACATGCGATCGCTGGTGTTGCCCAAGAACATTGATGTTCAAGGGGCATCGGCTGAGCTGAAATTCCAGTCGTTCGATGGGGACAGGCAGACCGAGGTGAAGCCCTTGCCGATAGGCAAAGCGAATACGGCTGGATCTTTGCTGGCCAGTATTCGTGATGCAACCGGCTTTGACAATTATCGTCTGTACTACAAGGGACAAGCCCTCACGCCGTCGGAGCAGGACATTTGCAGATCTCTGGACGAGCTTCAAATTTGTGAAGGACTCATTCTCGTCAAACGTGAGTCAGACACCATCGACCAGCCCCTCCAGGTAAGGCCCGGAGCTTCTGCCGTGGAGATAGAGATCCTGAGGCACTTCGAAGAGCTGTGGCATTTCCTGGGATTGGAGGAGACACTGGCGACTGAGGTAAGGTGATCGCTTGCCCTTTCTGAAATTTGCTGCATCTAATAGATATTGCAGGTATATGCTTTTCTCAACACGCTACCCGTGGACGACCGTATACTTGCAAGCCTTGACCAGGAGACACCCAATTACCAACAAGTTTTCCCCGTCGCCCAACCATTGAAATCTCTGTATGCGGTCTACGCAATTCAAGAGTACCTCAGCATACAGTTCTCTCTGGCGAAGTCCAACAATGAACATGGATCTTACAACAATGCGTTGGCACGAGCCCTGAGGTTGGTAGTTTGGGCGATCTCCGACCCCGACGTAGCCGATCAAAACTCCAGTGAAGAATTGAGAATCAGGCTTGCGTCGAAACTTGTGGAGCAGCTTCTCTCTATTCTGAAAGGTGTGTTGGCCCGAGTGTGTTCCATTGTTTCTTAGCTAACTGGTATAGATCCTCTGCGGGCTCCATCCGTGCCTGAGTGCCTCGACATTACATTATTGGAGAGACTGGTCGATATCATGTCTTTTTGCATGACCGCACATCCAACGACGTCTTGCACGAGCCTGCTCACGGTCACTTTCCAAGCCATTTTGGACACATGTTCCTTGAGAGTAGAGCTCTGGGCTGAGTTGTGCTCTCGGGCTGACGTCAAATCCGTCGTGAAGAAACTACTTCTTGATGACCCTAGAGGTACCTTGAGAAAGTCGACCGCGCTGGCAATTGGCGAGAAGACAGTTCACCTTCTGAGGTATGGCCCTTCCGTCCATAAATTGCGATTAGCGAAGCTGACCCTCTTGTGTTTAGCCCCTCAGCTGCTGCTGAACCAGTATTTCGGGACTACTTCTGGACTCTTTTGATTGATCTGATACCATATGGTCTCAAGCAGCCCGCGACGTGTTTGGAGCTCTTCCAGCTTGCAGTTGCTCTGTTCAAGTCAATGAAGGAGGCAAAGTCAAATGTGCTTAACTTGCCCAGAACAATCCAATTCTTGAGCCGACTGCTTTTGGACTATAAGCCCCAGGAGGTTGGCAGCCCCGACCCCGTGAATTCAGATCGCTTATTTGCTGACATATTACTGTACAGGATATCATACAGCCTGGCGCTGTGGATTTGGCAGCTCAGGGCCTTGTAGGCCTGCTGCATTTCATCTTGTGCGACATTCATGAGCATATTGATGTGGAGATGCTACCTCCCAGGTAAGGCCTTGTTGGAACGGGTGTCGTCTCAACTTTAAAAACTGTCCCCAGACCAGACACTGACTGTCCCTGCTCTAGCTTCGTGACACAATTGTTCTGGCATCATCTGTTCCCGCGCCGCTGGTCAAGTTCCAACCCTCTTTGGCAGGGCGATGTGATCTTCAATGAGTCCAGCCGGTGCCAACTCATTGATATCATTCTGAGAGTCTCGGCAAGAAGTCCAGGACAGATCCACCAGCTCATAGAGGACCTCAAGTCACTGGTTTCATGCTCAACTAATGATGAAATTGAAGATGGTCTGATTCGCCCTACAGCACGCTCCGTCTCCCACACTTCTGAAGCTAACTATTTCCTTCAGGCCTTCCGTATCAATACGATCTTCCGATCAACAACTTCGAGAGATTCAAGGCTATCAGATCCCACTGTGGCTATGCAGGCCTGAGAAACTTGTCCAACACTTGCTACTTGAATTCTCTTTGCACACAGTTGTTCATGAACATTGATTTCCGAAAGTTCATGCTCAGCGCTGCAGTTGGTGGTGGAGATAAGACTCAGTCTCTGCTTTACCACACACAACGCATGTTTGGTCAACTCCAAAGCAGCCATCGCCGATTCGTAGACCCTGAGGCTTTTGTGGCCAGCATCAAGACCTATGACGACGATCTGATCAACATTCACAATCAAATGGATGTTGAGGAATTCTTCAATCTACTCAATGACAGGTGGGAAGGCCAATTGCGTTCTGAGGAGGCAATACAACGATTTCGATCTTTCTACGGCGGACAACTAGTAACACAAACCAAGTCGAAAGAGTGCGAACACCTCTCGGAGGTGATGGAGCCATTCTCTGCTATTCAATGCGACATCAAAGGCAAGAAGGACTTGTTGGAGAGTCTTGACGCATATGTTGATGGGGAGCACATGGAAGGGGGTAAGGCCAGAAACAATTAGCCCAGGGCTTTTCCGTTGAACTCAATGAGCTGATTACTCTTGGCAGACAACAAGTACAACTGCACCACTTGCGGTCGACATGTCGATGCGGTTAGGCGGTATGCTTGTCTCCTTTCCCCGTCCCCATTCTTCACTAAAACTTTGCTAACAAAAGTTTAGGTCATGCCTGAAGGAAGTTCCCGACTCCCTGATCTTCCATCTGAAGCGCTTCGATTTCAACCTGAGGACTCTGGCACGCAACAAGATAAATGACTACTTCGCGTTCCCAGATCGCATTGACATGCGGCCATACACGATCGAGCACCTCGGCAATCCAGCAGCAGGCTCCTCCGAGGACTGGTTTGAGCTGGTTGGTGTTCTTGTCCACGCTGGCACGGCAGAGTCCGGACATTATTACAGCTTCATCCGAGAGCGGCCGACATCCCGTGCAAACCAGGACTGGTTCGAATTCAACGATGACACCGTGACGCCCTGGAACCCCTTGAAAATGGAGGCTTCTTGCTATGGTGGTACGGAGCCTTCCTGGGATGCTGGCGGCGTTACATATGAGAAGAACTACTGTGCCTACATGCTATTCTACGAACGCTCTTCGGCCCTGCAGAAAAAGAATCATGAGCTACAGCAGTCATTGTCGTCGAGCCCGGTTCAAGCCTCCATGCCTGCGATACTCACAAACGCTATCAGAGAGGACAATTTACGGCTGATACAGAGGCACTGCCTGTTTGATCCCCACCACATCCGGCTCGTGGACGGTGCCATAGAGCACATGATTGGATTGAACGGGGGAGCTTGTTCCGAGTTCCACGAGGCCGAGACCTCAGCGGTCGAGATGGCGCTTGGTCACCTCGATCAAGTTGCTGCCAGGGCGAAGGATATCCCCGATGCTCAGAGATTAGTGCAACGATTGAAAGAGATGGCTGCTTCTTGTGCACATTGCGCTTTTGTCGTCTACGAATACTTCAGCGATCGGCACGAGTCTTTTAGGAGCCTGGTACAGCGAAACGCGGAGCCAGAGGTCCGGCAATCCGTATCAGATCTGCTCATGATAGCTCTGCAATCCATCAAGGCAGCATTTCCAGGAAATTACTACGCTCATACAACATCTCCTATCAGACTGGACAACTTCGAAGACAACGTTGTCTCTGGAGTGTGCGCCATGTTCGAGACATTATGGGACAATTTCCACACCCACCTTAGGTCATGGTTCGAGGTTTTCCATCTTATGGCCAGATTCGTAGCCCTTGGCAAAGAGGAGCTTCTGGCTTTCACGGGTTACAACTTCCTGTACAAGACGATACTTATTATCGTGGCGGAAAATCTGTCACACCAGGAATTGGATCAGCAGTTCGCCAGGCTGAGCAACACCTTGGCTAGAAGACAGAATAGGCCACCCTCGTTTTCGAGCATCATGGATTTGCTAAGTATCATATTTGCGTCAGTCACTGTGGACAACCCAGTCAGCACTCACGCCGTGCGCGAGGATAGATACCTCAAGGATCCTGAGTCACCACTCCGGCTGATCGTGTCTGAAGTAACTCAGATGGAACAGAAATGGGATGGGGGCTGCAGCATATTCCTGGACAAGCTCATCTACATCAACCAGAACCCAGAGGCCACAGACGCCATCTTTTCGAACCTTCTGAAGCGGGACTGGTCACTTGAGGAGGACATTCTGGAGACCTTAATGATTAATACCCAGGTCCAGCAGTCTTTTCTCGTTCATGCTCCGTATCTTCGGGTGGCGGCGCTGTACTGTCATCTCAGCCGTGAGCCGGCGAATATCGACAGGCTCATTGAGCACATAGCCAGAAACAGCAACATTTTGGCGAACAGTGAGCCCAAGGCGGTATTGGGCTTCTTCACCAACAATGCAGTGATCGATGGCAATCGAGAGAATTCTGGCGAGACTAAGCAAGCGATCCACATGCAGTGTCTTGAATACCTGCCACTTTGGATGCCCGGTCTACTGGCACACTACGACCACAATATCAGCAATGAGGTCAAGCAAGTGCTACATGAGAAGGTCTTTCGACATGGTCCGGATCCGACTTTTGAAGAGAAGCATGGGGGCCAAGAACGAGCTGAGGCGGTCGTGCGCAGTGCGAGGCGCGTCGGAACAGAGTGTCTGCATTACGTTCATGAAAATTACATCAAGCGTGGTACCTCGGTCCCGGCACAGACTGTCGTGGTGCTACAGGGCGTATTTGAGCAGTGTGGCGGCTTTTTCGGTGCCGTTGACGAGGCGGCTGGTGAAAGCCTGAAGTTCTTCAGAGAACGCCAAGGTACGTTTACAATAACCACAAGTCGAAACCACCTAATATCTGGCGGACCGGTCTATATGATGCTATTGGTACTGACCGTTTCTTATTTTAGTCATCCTGGATAGCCTTCGAAGACTGAGCGTCGACGACCTGGAGGACGACGGTTCTGGTATGTCTGACAGCGACTCTTCCCTTCTCAGCTTACCCGTGCCTTCTTTCCCTCCACAGTACCGAGAGCTGACGCTTCCACCTTTTCAAGATTGGGAGAACTCTGTGGCATCGTCCGACCAGATGGACAGCCTTGGAGACGATGACATCAGGGATGTGGACTCCTAGGACCCCTAGTGGTGTGTGGCTGTCTTTGAGATATACTGTGACCAGCAAGCTACGATCACAGAGACGTTGAGAGATCAAGGGTTCTTGAGGCAGTCACGTTCGTGTGTATCTGCTTGTGATAGGTGTTTACATCATTTGCGATTAGGAGGCCAGAACGGAGCTTGGCCAAGCAGGAATAGGTTGTTTTTCCAACCACGTGCCGCGAGCGACGATAGACGAAACGGCCTACCCTCACATCAGGAGTTCAGGTCAAATGTTTAAGGGATTGGCATAGCTTAATGGCGTGCTGGCGTCAGGGATACAGGGCCAAATAGGTGGCCGGGCATGATGACACACATCAATGGTCCATGCGGACTGGAATTATTGGTATTCATGAAATTTTGACGACCGAAGGAGTTCGATGGGTGTGTACAAGTGACTCGATCGACCTCAGTGATGGAAGTTTGTGGGTATGGGCAGCAGTTGGAGCAAGGTCCAGGCCTCGAGACCTGAAGGAAGCGCAGAGCAGAGGCCCACAAGGGAAGAAGACTCGCAGCGCTTCTTCTTGCCCACGAGGTGTGTACTGAATCAAACTGCCGACTTCTTAGGGCACAGGAAAAGTCTATGCATGCAGTGCCTAAAATGTCTGAAGTGGGTGCGTGGTTTGAGACGCGAGCCAGCCCTCCGCGGGCACGGACATTGCCCGACGACGACATCGCCGATATATTTGCAAGCCGCAGCGCACAGACTCTGATTTATCGTCTCCGGATTCACCAGCTCCGGCGTATCGAGAATAAAATTCTGGCCAGGCGCGAAGGCGTAGAGCAGAATCTCAGGGGGGGTTTCTCTGTGACGGCCCATTCGGGGAGGTTGTTGCTATATTTGGGACTGGAGACCAGTGGGGATTTGAGAGCGATGGGCGCTTAATTCTTTCTACGATGGTCTTTTGGTGGCGATTTAGATATTCGCGGTGAGCAAAGTTGCTCGCGAGCAAGGAGCTCTGGACATGTTACGAGAGTTGGTAACATTGAGCCAGGAATAGGACGATCAGATGGAGGATCATGGCTGGAAACAGCTATTTCACAATGCCAGTGGTCATGCTACGAGAATATAATTAGGATATACGGTCACCCAGCCAATGTTTGGACGAAGTCCCGGGGAGGGTCGCAGGGTTGAAAGCGTTCCCGGTTCCTGACAATGACAACGACCACGGAGGTTGGGCCAGGACTGTCATGTATGAAACCAAACCCAGCTCGAGCATTGGTCTACTCCGACTTGTCATGACTGGCAGGTTGCTCCTAAGTTAACGATGACAGACACGGTGCCTTGGCCCGATATTTCTGGCCCCGTCGGCCGCGGGCCGCTCTTGAGGCCGGATGACCTATGCTCGCGAAGTTGTATGTCACCTTAGGCTCGGACCTGTGACGGTTGTAATTCGCCAGCCAGTCCCTTCTCTCAACTTTTGACTTCAGTTCCTTGCAGATCTTGGATGTATGGGAGCCATGGCCGCATCCGACACAGAGAATCAGCACATCCACACAACATTGAGATGCTGATCTCGCAGACCATCGGCGTTGTCCGTGCTCGGCGTGCTTCACTTCCGTGGCAACTGTCCGTCGGTTCGTCCTTGTCGTGGTTCTAAAGATGGAAATGAAAGAATCGCCTCCGAGTGGATATATGAGTTGTTCAATCCCGTCTAGCCCGGGCGGTTAGCCCTCAGGAGATTGTTATTTGCTCAATTGGTACAGCACCGAGGGGCGAGGGGGTAGTTGAGAGAGATATGAGAGCGAGGTATAAGCGGTGTCGTTGAGGACGTTGGGGACGGGCTCTAAAAATAAAGATATGTCGACACCCAGTCAACAAGGGCACGTCCCCCCGCTCGTCACTGTGCTCCTCCACTTCTAGCTTGATGATTGGCTGCTCCAACAGTCGGCTGCCCGAAAATAGCCTGTAAGCGCCGTGCTAGAGCTGCAAGTCATCAAAAGTGCCGTCTTGACTCTCTGCCTCGCGAGTTCTCTTCCACTTTCTTCACGTCACCCGTTGGCCATGGAGACGGCATTTTGACTATGCAAGCCAGGCCTGACCAAGTCACATTGCTACATATCCAAATCAGTACCGTGCCAACTCTGATTACCCCGCGTTATATGGGCCTCGGCCGCCCCTCCTCACGATATCCCCCCCCTTCGAACTGCATCTATGTCCAGGTCTGTTGTACATTGTATAATGTATTCCAGCCTATAGAGAACGCAAACAAGAAACCGGGAAAGATCCACATCCGTCACCTTGCCTCTAGATATCTAGTAATTATCTCATCACATTGTCACGCTGCACCCGGGCCCCTATACACCGCACATGGGGCCTAAAAAAAGAAACATGTCCATCACTCGACTCCGGTAGGTTGGACCACGGACCTGCCATTGCTTGTTCTTTTGCCCGAAGCTATCAAGGTGTGTTTCGAGATCTGCTGTTTCAGGTTTGTGTGTCTGCCGACAGCCTACCCGTCTGCATGTCAGCATGTTTCGAAACTAGATCTACATATATCTGGAGATGCCTCCCCATGGTGGATAGTGCACACGATCAACAGCTTCACTCTCAAGCCACATCTGCTTTAGACATAGTAGATATTTCTTTGTGATTAAATCACTCGCACTCTCATTCTCTGCTTACTTGTTTGTTTGTTTCTTCCTTGCATGTCAAGGTATACACGGGTCTTGCTGGGCAAGCCTCAGTCCAGTCCTCAGCGGCGTCTCTCTTCTCAGTCCATCGATACGATACCTAGTTGCCCTCATAAAAGGGAACACACCTGCCGCCCATCCTTTGCCTCCTGGTCCATCTTCAGATATCATGGATCTCAAGAGCCTTAGAATTTCCTCGCCCCTTGAGGCGGGCACCTCCATCCTCGACGCACATCATCTGCCGTCCTGCTACAACCCAGTATTCGAGTACACGTCCAAAAGACTCGCCAGGAAGGGGCTACATATAACCCTAGTTGTCACACGGAGAGAAACTCAGACCGTGGACGACAGTCATGCGGCGACGACATTGGATGACCCGGTGGTCACCATGACGCCGCCACAGACTCCTGATGTCGTGCCCCGGACGCCGGGGTTCTCCACCTTCAAGTCGCTGGTGCGGTCAAAGACACAACACCACTCGGCCAATACCGAGGAGCCAGACTTCAAGATTCCAAAACGGAGCAAGACAATTGCTGCGCTGCCAAAGAAGCCCTCGCTGGCATCGCTGCTATGGCCAATGTCGCCGAGTACCCCGATCACTCCCAGAACGCCTGCGACACCTAGAACTCCTGCCACTCCCAGAACACCCGCAACCCCAGCCTCCACGATGACGGCTTCCTCCACCACTACATATTCAACTGGTGGTTCACCGGAGACTCTGGACCCCGATTTCCAGCTCATCCATACTGCATCTCTGACCACGCGGGCAGAGAGAGTCGTCAAGACCACTCTGGAACGCGCCACTCGCAAATTTCACCTGAGCACTCCACTTGTCGCTCATGATCCATCTGCTCATAAGATTCCTTCAGATGTCATCCATCGCTCCATTCTCCAGAATGAGCTTCTATTTTCATCTGAAGGCCTAACCGTACTGTCACTGGACCACCTGTACACGTTCAAGAGCGCACTGGCACGCTACGCCTCCTCGATGCATGAGCCTGGAAGCGATTTCCGATTAGAAGATGCCGTGGATGAGTTACGGCGGTACGTCTTGTCGTCATCTGGCGGGCGCCGACGATTGCTGAAGAGCAGGCTGGTCAGATCCTATGAGTGGCTGGGCCCTGTTAGCGACGCAGCCTTGGATGGTGTGATGAAGATGTATTGCCGGGCATATGGCGGTGTCACCAAAGAAACCGGGATTGAGAACGATTTGGTCATACATCAAGGGGACCCAACCAGAACAATCCCACCTACGCCGCCTCCCAAGCCCGACGCGAGGTTTGGAATGGTTGTCCCCCATGCCATCCCATGTATTCCAAGCTTCGGCGAGATCTCGTCTTCGGCGAACCAGCCACTTTCGCCTCAGAACAGAGTCCCGGAGACCTCTTCCCCTGTGGTGGACGAGGACGTGACCGACCTTCCTGGGACACCAGTGGTGAAAGACAGCATACATATGCCCATTCACAAGTTGAATACCGGAGATAATGCAACAGAGGTTGACAACGATAAAACTCCCACGAAAGTCCAGGGCACGGAGGAGGTGCAGGACACCACAACAACAGAAACCCATATGGAGATTTTGGTACAGCGCCCCAAACCACAATACTCGCCGAGGGCCTCACCGAAAGCAGCGCTGCCCACACTAAAGCTGCAGACATCATTCCCATCGCTCCCGTCGAAACGGAAGGTGACACCAATGCCCGGTGCATTCCAGAAGAAGCCCCCCACAGCAGGACCATCGACGAGCGACGTGGAGGGCGACATCAAGATTGAGATCGCCGCCGATGACGACGGCGACATCACAGACTTCGAGGACGGCGACCTGACCGCCCGGCCCCCGCCGACGGCCACAAGCGCAACCTTCTGGGTCGGCGGGTCCATCGACGAGATGCTCAGCAACAAGCAGCGGGGGAGCACCGGCACCGGCTACTCCTGGCGCCACCACCGGAGGAGCTCGTCCTGGGGCCAGTCGCCGCAGCGCCTGGGGCCGGTGACGCCGAACGGGGCCGACGACCTCTCGCCCATCACGAGGGGCGAGTGGGGTTTCCTGATGGTCAGCGACCCGTTCAAGTTCAAGACTGCCGCCGTGGAGACTTGTTGAGCAGAGGTCTAAACCACTGGGCAGGACTCAGGGGGAAAGGGGGGGAAGGGGGGGAGTAAATGATGTATATGTAAATTAGACTTCTTGTATTACTGAAACTGCGGAGCGTTCAGGGACGCAAGGCGGTGCATGACGTTATGAATTCTCTCAGATAAAGATACCACCATCACTGGATTAGATACTTGCATGGCATATGGTCGGAGTTTCGAATGATATATTCCTTCTCAAAAGTCTCAGCTGGTGCACTGACTGGCACGTCACATTTGTGCATAAGCTCTAACTAGTGTCTTGTGTTTGTGCAGTGATCTGTCCTCCAGATAGATTAAGCTCCCTACGATTGCGACAGTAGGTCAAGTTCTGTCACGGCCTTATATTAACCAATAGCCTCAGATATACATGCTCTTAGCCAAAAGGAATCACAGAGGTTAGACAGCTTGTGATTTGTGAATGTTTTTTTTCATTAGATGCAGCCGCAACCTAGCCGCAACCTTATTCCTGATACCAGCAGTGCTGTTATAGGACAGGATCATTCTTGGAGTGCCCTCTTAAATATGTAGGCATCCGAACTTGACTTTATGGTTTAAGTATTATGACCTAACCGACCCCAAACACCCAATAAATATAAACGTAGAAGGGTATCCCGTCCAGTCTTGCTTTTCTTTTGACGCTGGACCAACTTCCCACCACCATATGCCACAACTGCATTCGCTTACAGGTTGGCGAAGATAGCAGCACCTCCGAGCAGGGCTCCCATGCCGACGGCGGCCGTCTTCATGGGCGCAGGGTTGCTCGAGCTGGAGCCCGAGGCCGACGAGTCGGAGTCGCTCGAGGAGCTGCTGGTCTTGGTGGAGGAGCTGGAAGAGCTGGTCACGGTCTTGATGCCGCTGGCGCCGGCGCTGCCCGTGGCGCGGCCGGTGGCCGTGGCAGCGGCACCCGAGGCACCGGTGGCGGCGGCGCCGGTTGCGGAGGCCACGAGGGACGAAGCCTGTCCCAACAGCGATGATGCCGCCGCGCCGCCGGCGCCGGTTGCGGAAGCGAGCTCGGACGTCACGTCGCCGACGACGCTGCCGGCCAGCGAGGTCGCGTCGCCCACGAGGGAGCCGACGGCGGAGGGTGCGCCACCCAGGGCGCTGGTGACTTGGCTTACGATGGAGTTGAGGTCGCCTGAGGCCGTCTCGAGAGCGCCGCTTGGGTCGACGGCTGACTCAACACCTGAGAGTGCGGCGCCGAGGTCTTGGGCCTATGGTGATCCTGTTAGTTCCCTGGTCCTTGGTGTGGCCTGTCTGGTGGTTGCGGGTATTCAGGGGCTTACCGAGACAGCGGCAGCGAGGCCGAGGAGGATCATGGAGGAACGCATCTTGAGGGTTGAGATGTGTGGAACTGATTAATGAGGATTGTCGAGTTGAGAGGGATGAGTTCGAAGACAAGTTGGGAGTCAGTTGGATTGAAAAGTGTCACAATAAATAAAGCTCAGCAACTGGTTCTATGTTGAGAATCTGAGGTCGCCCCATGCCGCCTTCTACTTATAAACAGTAACATTATCCCTTCCTCTCCACAATTAATCATGTATCAAGGGTTGCACGGTGACAGGCAGGACAACACACCGACGGGGCAAAATCAAGGCAACGATCCTTGTTACCGTGCGCTTTCAGTGAGTTGGCCAGCTCGTATCATCTGCTGAGGCTCTGGCATGTTGGCACTGGCTTACAGCTGAACAAGTCGAAAACTTGTAGTCTCGCGGCTGAGCATGTCCGTATTGAAGAGAAGTGACACATCGGCTCCAGTTCTGCACGTCTAAGGCTGAATCATGTCAGCGATTTGCAGCTAACTCTATCGATTCCCATCGAAAATCCTCGAGGCTTTGAGGACTTTCAACATCTCGTGCCCTCCTTACGAGCAGCGCCCACTGGGCTTTTGCCTAAGACGTTGCGTCATCATGGAGTTGTTGGCCTCTCATGACTCTGGTCAGCCCAGTCCAGCCCGTGATGGTGCTTTCGTATTGAGTGGCTGAGCAAGGGCCCTGACTGCCGAAATGGGGCCTTCCGCCCTACGCCCCTTTACCCGAGATGTGGAGCCCGGGACGATCGAAATCTTCTAGGTGTCCGGGGCTACTGGGCCAGACTGGTTGGCAAAGCCTACGGGGTCGTCTTCGCGATGTGAACAGACACTTTGCACACAACATTAGGAGACCCGCTGTCGAGATAAGCCTTAAGGGGATGTCTTGGAAGGCAGGAAGGTTGTAAATCATGCCGGCCCCAACACTTCCTGAGCATTTCGGTTCCCCAGGGGTTTGCTGCAGGGGGCCTACGGGGCACTGCGATCCTGAAACCGGGGAGCCCTGCAAGGCCAAGCCTGCGATTTAGCTGGCACCGGAGGCTCTGGGGCGATACTCCTGAAGCAATCATGTGAATGCTTTCATGGAGCTCTCCCTCACTGGTTCAGTGACATTCCTTGTTTAATTGCCGTAACAATTTCGTTGGCTTCGTCCGCACTTTTGGTCTCAAAGTCGTATCGCTTGGACTCGCCATCGCGGAGAATAACGAACTGATCTGCTGTCAGTGCATGATCCTGGTTCCTGTAGCGGTCCACCAACTCACCTTGAACTGCGACGGATGTCTCCTGGACAAGTTGCAGCCCACAACATTGCTGAAATGGACTGTCGTCGTCTTGCTGCTGCTGTCTGCCAGCGGCTTGCCACCTGAGGATGGCGTGACGTGCACATATTCGCCTTCGATGGCAAAAAGCCTCTCATTCAGCCCCGCGAAGCGCATCGTCTGCTTGCGATAGACGACATAGCGGCGGAAATTGTTATTCCTGCTGAGTTCCTCCTGGGCGAGCGCCTCTTTGGCGAGAGGGTGGGGAACTGCTTTCGTCTTTGAGCTCTTCTTACCGCCAACGCCCAACTCGGAGAACAACAAGCGGCCCCCCGGTGAGTGACTGACAGGAGATTGACTCAATGTGGGATCGCCGAAGCGACGTCTGTGCAGCTCCAAGTCTTGCATCGTTCCAATTGCCGACACAGGCCGATCCAAAAGGGCAATGGCGCCGGAATTGGGTATCTTAAGAATATGGAAGTTCTTGTCTAGGTTGCGCTTTCGGCACACCAGCTCAAGCACCTCTTCGATATACATATCCGTCGTCACATCGAGGGTGACCATCTGACCAGGGGGTGCGTCCGGGGTCATTATATGAATGCGCAGGAATTTGTGCTGTCCCCTCTGTGTATTGCTCGTTGACACCTGCGGTCGTGGGGCATCAAGCATATTGGCGTCGGGGCGGTACGTAGTGGTCAGTACTGGGTTGAGTCGACCAGTTGCCGGTCTGGCTGATGCCGCCGCCAGCACGGATGTACTGGGTTGAGGAGTGCTTTGTAACATGTCTTCCTGACTTGTATCGTCGGCAACAGACTCCTCTGTGAACTGTGGAGTCAGAGCCTTATTCGATTCGAATTCATCTGCAGTGGCCTGCACAAGAGCGAAGTCATCGTGAATCTTGGTGTTTGACCGGCCCCTACCGAATCTAGGCATGACTGCTGTAGGTCGCGTTCCTTCATTCTTGTTGTTGGCCGCCGTGGCAAAAGAGATGACTGGCTTCGTGCGATCGAAGGGGGGAAAGTCATCGTCCACCTCACCACCTTCTTCCACCATCTTCAGTGTCCACCAGTTCACGTTGAGCTTATCGTTTGGGAGTGGTGGTTCGAGCGATTCATCGTTGTACCGCCAGAGAGCGAGACCAATGAGATCTGCCACGTTGACAGGGCGGTCGCCGGCATTGTCCTCACGCACGTTTCTTCGTATCAAGACTTCATATGGCTTGGATGGGTTCTTCGAGAAGGGAGCGTAGATGCGTATCATAAGCGGGCTCGCCTCGCCCTTGCCAGAAAGCGTGGCAAAGCTCTCGAAGGGGGCAGCAGGTTTCGTCTTCTTGACATTTAGAGCCTCGGATATCAGACTCCTGGGCTGAATCATGCTGATAGGCCTGATGGTGCTCGTCGGTCTCCTTGGGGGTAGGACACCACCTACAATTTGTGGGGGAGGTGGCATTGATTTTCGAATTGTTGACTGCCTCTTGAAGTCGCGGGGCGGAGTACCGACAAGTTGGCGCGACGGTGACATGTTCGCAAGCTGTTTCTCAATATCGCCGGCAAGAATTGATGCTGATTCAAGACTCTCGTTGAAGGCAGACGACATGTCTGAAGCATCCGAGTCTTCTTCTTCCTCTTCGAGAAGGTCGCTCTCTTGCCTCTTGACGCCTAGCCCCAGCGCTGGCTCCGACCTGTTGAGATTTGTCTGGATCCTGACCGTCTTGGCAGCAGCCCTGGCGGCATCCCTCTGCTTCTGGTACCCAGAAACGTCTAGCTCATTGTCCGATGAGACTTCACTGCTTGTAACAGTGTCTCGCCTTGCCCTTTCTTTGACCGTCTCCAGCGCAGACTGCGATCCTCTGCGAGGGGGAGGACGAGGAGAGCTGGCCGAGGTCGCTTGACGCAGGCTGGACGATTGTATCGGAGAGGAGCCGGAGCGATGCCGTACGGGCATTTTGGCAAATTTTATCTGCTGAGCTGCTCGTTGTTCCGACTCATCATCACTCTCGTCACTCAAGTCGCTGCTATCCTCCTCTTCCATCTGCTCTCGGCGGCGCCTTCGCTTCGTCGCAATTCCTGGACCCATAGTGTCATTACCACCGGCCGTTAGCATCCCGCCTTCTTCGGGCTCATCCTCAAGGTTGACCCCAACATGACGGGGTGCCTGGAAGTATTCGGATGCGACAGCAGTAGGGATCGGAGGCGAGTGCGTTCGCTTGATCAAGGAGGGGTTGGTCCGCCATCCCGCGGCTTTAAAGGGGGCCGAGTTTAGAAAGTTCTCGTTCAGAGTGATGAGTCGTTCTCCTACTCCGTCGGCTACTTCAGTGAGGTAACTGGCACGCAGCTGGTACGAGACCAGGCTGAAGAAAATCAAAGGATTAGTTCTCTTTCTCTTGCCGTTTCCAACTTCTTGGGCAAGGGGTACTCACTCTTCCACCTGAATGACGGACATTGTGAAGTTGGCCCAGCATGGACGTGGCCTCCTTGCCTATGGATCAATCGACTGATCAGTTAGCAGTCAGAAGTCCCAAATGTCAGTCATGGGTGCCCTAATGATTGCCATGGGCCAGCCACAACAAGTCGGCCTGATGCGGTGGACGTCGGAAGTGGGACAAGCGATGGTGAAGCTCCGATAAGTAAGATAGGCACTGTGGCGCGGGAGTGCATGTGCTGTGACGCTAGTGATCCCGGTCCTGCCTTGGCGGGATCGGCTGCAGTAGCGCATGTACCGTCACGCTGTGCGTCAGTGTGTAATCCACATACCCAGGTACCTTTAGGGTGCATCTTTCTGAAGACGGACGTCCATACAATCCAGCATCAACTGGTCTATTACCGACCTTCAAGCGCTGTTCAAACTGGATCATAAGGAGGGGAGTGATAATTACGAGATGAGGGTCATGAACAGAGTTCTCAATATCTTTATCCACAGTACTACGTCAACATGTATCCTGGTAAAAACCCCAGCCGCGGGCTCTTGAGTTTGCCTTGTGGAGGGACATCACGGCACTTGGATAGTAGCTTGAGACCTACGGCAAAAGAGTTTCAATACCTATGCAACCAGGATATCATACCGAAATGATCCCTCCCTCCGTTCGTGAAACACTGCAATACTGCGATTTACTCATACAAAGCAAGAAACACCACACTCGCCCGAACCCTAGAGACGCTTTCCGTCCCGCATTCGTGACAAAATAGCAAGCTCGCCAGCAAGGTCATTAGGGAAGCCACCACCTCCCAGCATGTACAGACCAGCCTCCCTCATTCCCATCTGAGTGACATGGCCAGCAGATTACCTTGGTGCCTGGCCCTCGACAAACTCAAGCGCGTCTTCCGTGTCGTAGCAGCCGATACCGCTCGACTTGTTGCGGAAGGTTACACCATAACACTTGTCGGCCACGTTGACAATCTCAGGTCGGAAGGTCGTGCAGATAAACTGTGTACCGGCCTCCTTTGACAGCGTCTGCAGCAGCTCGGCCACTGCTGTTCGGTACTGGGCGTCGAGGTTGGCGTCGACCTCGTCAAAAATGACAAAGGGGCTACTCTCAGTGCGCTGGAGTGCGAAAATCAGGCAAAGGGCACACAGACCTGAGGGCGGGTGGATTCATGAGTTAGCAGATATATTCGAATGCGCGTGAGAGGATCTGTTATTATTGACGCATTGCAGGGTAAGACTCACTCTTTTGCCCACCGCTGAGTTGTTGGATCTTCTGCTGCTCGTCCATCTTCGAGTTGAAGGACACTTTGATGCCAACTCCCGTGTAGTTCTCGACACTACCTCCATCTTGTTCATCCGAGTCTTCGGGTTCTCCCCGACGCTTATCGGCTTTTCGCTCGATGACCAAGCCGCCGCGTCCAGCAGGAACGAGCCGCTCAAAAATCTCCGCAAATTCTTTCGAGACTTGCTTGAAGGTCCGTTGGACAGCCTCGTCCTTGCGCTCGTCAAGATGCGCAATTAGCTCCTCAATGGATGCTTGAGAGGCGTCAAGTTCTTCTCGCCTCTTCAGCAACTGCTCTTGTTGCGTAGTGAAGCTGTTGTATTGCTCAAAGGCTTTCTTGTTGACATGCTTGTACTTCTTGAGCTTCTCGTTGACGTTCTTCAGCCGCTTCGTGATCTGGTTCGGAAAGATTAGTTTCTAGATGGCGTCTACAGGCACACAAGAAAGACATTACTGACCTCATTTGACTTGAGCTTGATGTACTTTGTGAAAGCCTCGTCCGGCAGCACACCCAAGTCTCGTATGCTCTTGGCCATCTCTTCGATCTGACCAGTGAGGATATGTTTCTTCTGTGCGCTCTTCTCTATCCTCTTTTGATGCCTCTCGATCTGACGGGCAAGCTCCTGGAGCTCCTGCTGCTTCACGTCGATTGACGACTCGATACCCGAGATTTGAGAGCCCAATTCCTCTGCTTGACCTTCATTCTGCTGTATTTTCTTCTCGATTGAGATAGTGGACTTCTGTATCTTCTTCAGTTCTTTTTGTGCATCTGAGTAGCTGCTGCCACCGTCGGCGGCAGTTGAGTTTTCGAAGGCCAAGCCGCTCAGTTGGTCTTCCTTGAGACGCAAGTTTTGACGCAGATCCGTCTCCAATATCTGCTTTCGCGTGCCAACTTCTCTGCGGGCTCTAGCGGCCACATTCCATTCTCTCTGCAGCTGTTGAACCTGCTGGGTAAGTTCTTCCACAGCTTGTTCCTCATCGCTAGACAGGGCCTTCTTGAAGTCAGAAGCTAATTCCGCCTCCATTGCTTCGAGATTGGCACCAAAATCGTGCATGTTCTTGTCGACTTGGTCTCTCCTATTTATCGCTGCATCGAGGTGCTCCCGTTCGCGTTCGAGTTGGCTGAGCTTGCTCCTCAGCTCAATCTTGAGGGGATCAAGTCCGCCATCAGCTCTCCGCAATTGCGACTCTCTCTTCTGCAGCTCGCCCAAAGCACGGGTGATCTCCTGGTCTTTTTGTTCGATCTGTCTCCGAGTCTCCGATGATTGTGACAGAATCTCCTCGTGTTTGTCACGCCACTGGTTCACTGCGGCGACAGCTTCCAGCCGGGATTTGCGCGTGTCGATGAATCCACCCGAGATGACACCCCTCTTGTTGATGATGTCTCCATCGGATGTAATGGCGTCCACATTGTGGCTCCTGGCATACTGCCCACCAACCTGCAAGTTGTTGGTGACAACAGTCTTGCCAAACACCTGCTGGAAGGCGTCTTCATACTCCTGGTCGTAGTTGATCTTGTTGATCAGCGGGACAATGTCGCTCGCGCGTGGCATATTGATACGCCTTGGCTTCAATTGGGCTAGAGGCATGAAAGTGATGCGACCTCCGTGTCTCTTAAATAGCTCCGTTGCAAGCATACTTGCGGTTCTTTCATTATCAACAACATAATGGAAGAGGCTCGTTCCGGCGGTCTGCTCGACAGCAATGCGATACGCCTCTGGGACTTCCATCAGCTCTGCGAGCGTTCCGTAGGCACCTGGAATGTCCTTCTCCCGTCTGAGTTGGCGCAAAGTAGCCAGACCTTTGGCCGTGGCATGGTCCATGGCATAGGAGAGTTCGCGTTCCGCTCGGTCCCTTTCTTCGCGTACTTTGGTCAGAACAGTGTCGAGCTTGTCGTCTTCGCGGCGCAGCCTCTTCCTCTCTTCGTTGAGATTGTCAAGGCTTTCTTGCGCTTGCGCGACCTCGTCGATCATAGACTGCCTGCCGCCACCCCAATTCTCAAGTTGACCACGAAGGTCTGCAACAGATCGCTCCAGTCCATCGATAGATTCAGTCACGTTCTTGACTTCTTCCTCAGCATCGATGAGGTTGGCCTTTTGCTTCGAAATGGTCAGATTGAGGTCGTTGATCTCCTTCCGCAAGTAGTCGTCTCTCTCAGCACGGTTTTTGAACTGTGAGCTCCGGGTCTGCTTGTTCAACAGGCGCATTCTCCGATTTTCGGCGTGATCCAGTGTTTGCTTCACTTCAGCCTCAGCCTTCTTGCGTTTCTCAAACTCAGGAATGAGCTTCTTAAGCTCTGTCTCCTTAGCTTTGATTTCTTTCCTGACGGCGTCCAATTCGGCGTCGTGTTGATGCTTCGCCATGTCTCGGGATGACTGACTGTCAGCCAGGTTTTTCACCTTGAGCTCGGCCTTGGCGCGCAATTTGGCTACTTCACGGCGATCCTCTTCGAGTTGACGCCTGTCGATTTTGAGTAGATTCTGCTGCTGCTGCAGGGAGCTGAGATTAGACTCCATCCCTGTGATAGCCTTTTCGCCTTTTGAGAAAGCCACACGCTGCTCTGTGTCATTCTCGCCGCCATCCTTTATGGCTGATCCCAACTCCTCGAGAGCTTCCTCGAAGTGAGTCTGCTGTTGGTAATAGTACGCATACTCGAGGCACCGCCGCTCTCTATCACTGTTCTGGAAACCTCGAAGCTCTTCCTTCTCCTCCTCCAGCTCACTCAAACGCTCCTTGATATATGCAAGGAGCTCGTCGATCTTTTCTCTCTTGTTGTTTGTTTCATTCATGATCTTCAGGGATTCGGCGCGCTTGTCTTCGTACAAATGGGTACCGGCGACTTCCTTGAGTAGGTTCAGACGCTCCTTTTCCTTCATGTTCGTCAAAGCCGTCACACGCCCCTGAGGCACAACGTAGAAGGGGTTCGACCTGGAAAATCCGGCGGTGTCGAGCAGCTGCAGGACTTCCTTCTTGGCCCAGACTTTCTTGTCCACAGAGTATTCATCCTTCTTGTGACCAATCGTCCGGCGTATCGCGACATCGTCCTTGTCAATGGTCTGGAATCGGCGATCCTCGTTGTCGAATATGATCTCGACGTAGGCGGTGGCGACAGCGGATCCGGAGCCCTCGTGTAGTAGGGCCGCGCGCTCCTCTCGGCTGAGGTTGGAGTAGGCATCGCTCAGGACGAATCGGATGGCAGCGAAGAAGTTGCTCTTGCCGGAGCCATTTCGTCCGACGACGACATTCGTGCCCGGAGAGAACGGCTCGATGATAGTCTGGTCCTTGTAGCTATGTTGAAAGAATCAGCATGCGATCGCATAGACACGTTTGTATAAAGTGGCGCGCAACCTCTTGAAGCCCTGGATGATGATCTGTTTGATGTACATCTTGCCGGCCGACACCACAGAGCGGAGCAGCTGTTAGGTCCCAAGGTTGACGCGGTCGCCTAGTCTGGCACCATGAGTGCAGTATCGCGTGTGGATAAAAAGAGGACAGTCGTCGTTGTGGACACGGCAAAAATTCGTTGATTGTCAGTTGCTTGAATGCTGGACTGGGCGGCGACGCGACGCGGTTGGGGGCGGGGATCCCTCAGTCGCGCCTGTGAGGCTGATTACCTAAGCACCCGTGTCCATGGACTTTCGGTCCCCAGAGACCCAGACTACGGGAGGTACAGTGTGTATCAATCGAGTCTTTCTGCTTGATAGGCACGCAGGAGACACCGACACCGTATGGCACGAGCGCGAGCCTTGCTTGGCTGCAGAATCATGTCCAGAACCTCGATTGGTTCACGCTATGCTAACCAGTGCTCCAAACATTGTTATCGACCTCTGCACGCTCTGATCACGGGCGACTCCGGGGCTACAGGGATGCTGAGCGTGTCCAAGCTCAAACCAAAAAGGGCGTGTACTCTTGCGAGAAGCGCAATTGATGCGAGGTTCTCGCAGGACAAGACCCGATCAGTACTTACAGACTGGTAACAATAGCAAACGGCCTCCCGATAGATTCGTGGGGGCTCAAACAAGACCTAGGGGGTAAACATTCTATCATAGCTCAAGAATGAGTGACACATAATATGCTACATTGCCGAAGCAAGCCTTGCAGATGCTCGTATGTGGAGGCGTGGCGGTGGGGGGCGACAGTTTAGATGTCGAGTGCGGCAAAGTGTCGATGAGGCAAGCGATGGTGATTTTCGGCTACAGGGGTCTAGTCTACTGCACTGTTCGTAGTAACGTCCATGACCCACCACCCATCTGAGATCGCAAGTCCCGATGAACATGGGAATGCCGTTTCATATCCTGGGTTCCGACCCGTCTGTCCGAGGTTGCCGACGCGACACCTTACGGCGCAGGGCGGGAGGCTTCTACGTGGCAAGGACTCGCCTCAAATGAGCCTTGATTGAACAGCTACTGCAGCCTTGGGGTCGGAGCTCAAGATCAACGCCCTACTAGGTGCATATGGGTTGAGATGCCCATGCATGAGGCTCCAGAGACGGTGTGGGTTGGGGGAGCAAGGATCCTGCTTCACCACGAAAAAGTTTCCGACGAGGGCCCGGGTCTGACTCGGAGCTGCCTGGGTATGCTGAGGCACACCACACACCAGAAGTCGTGGACGCCTCGGAGAGCTATGAAAAACCCGGTATAGTGCGCAGAAGGGAGCTACATGCCTTCTTCAGTGATAGCGCTGCTCGATCAGGAAGAAACACCCGTCTATCTTCATGTTTGGCCACACCCTGGAGCAGGCAGGGGGTGGGGGGGGGGGTGATGAGACGATGAGACGAATATCTTGTCCGCGGCTGATGGGGGATTTACGGCTTTGGACAACTTGGCAGACAACGGGACAGGATGCAGTTGATGATTGAGACACTCCGTCTCCTAAACGTTATCATGCGCAGGCCCTCGGCTGCAGGCGCATGCTAGCTACCTATGTGCATGTGGGCGCATATGTGTGTGCGCGTGTGTGTGTGTGTGTATTCACGTTCAACGGAAAGAATGGTGCGGGAGCGCGACGAACAATGCGGCAGTAAGAAGGCAGATGGGCAACGGACGAATAGCAGTGAAGAGAAGTCTGCCGAGTCGAGAACATATGAGCTGGGGGAGAAGCGTGGGAAATAAGGTTGGGTACGTCGCTGGTCGACGATGAGAGGGTCGGCGCATCTGGTAGCGGGCTGCAGCAGCGTTTGGTTGATGGATGATGAGATCAAAAGACGGAGAGAGAGGGACGTACCCAGGATGCCATCCCAGGCAAAGGCCAAGAAAAATCTGGTAGCCCAGCAGTGATGGGACTGATGGCAGGTGCGGCTTCTGCAGGGGTGGCCGATGCGCTAAAAATCAAAGTGCAGGAGCGACAGTGGCTCAGGTCTATTTAAACATGAGTGCCTCAGATTAGAAGAAGACCACCTTCCCCGTCGTCGTTTTTTCCCACAGCCCACAGCCCACTCAGGTTTTAGAAGGCCCAGCCCAGACCCAGCCCAGCCAGCCGGCCCAGCCCAGCCTGGTCCTTATTGCCTCGCAGCCAGCCAGCCAGCCAGCCAGCAAGCACAGCGCGCCTTTCCCCCGGCCAATCTGCAAGCAGCAGCAGCAGCAGCAGCAGCACAAGCACAGCAGGCACAAGCAACCTCCACCAGCGGGAAGGTCCATCCACCATCCACCTTCCACCTAGGCACCGCAGTGCAGCTCCTGCCTGCAAAACACCAGACGGTTTCCCCAAGAGCACAGGACACATCTTGATTAATGGTTCGCGACTGCACGCGCATACTTTGATCCTGGAGGAATCGCCCCCCAAATCATCATCACCACAAAAATCAGAAGCTGCGCTGCATCGCATCGCATAACATAACATCATCGCGTCGAATCTATAATTCAGCTTCGCATCCATCATCCATCATCCAACATCCAACAACTTGTTCCAATTCCACCGCCCACCCCCCGACCCGCTTGCATTGTTAGCGCAGGGATCCGCACATTCCATTCCGGCCAAGTCCCTTTGACGCAGTGTCCAAGTGTCCACTTTGCCAGCTCCTGATTGGGCAATACCTCACCTTGCACCCATCCATTCCAAGGTGAGCCAATCCCCCCTCCCCCCCTGTAGCTATCACAAGCTTCACCTTGATGCGCACCTACCTAGTCCAGTATTGGGTGCCAAGCCGTCCACCAAGGCCGGAGCATACCACAGCTGCGCTTTTATCTCCGGCTTGACTTTCTTTGCATGCACGGCCAACAAACAGAATGACTGACGGACTGACTGAGCCTCTTGGACAGTGCTTCTCGTAGCATAAGCAACAATCACTCCGCCATTACAATAGTCTGATGCTGCATTAACTTGATGGCTTTGTTGGCGCCGAGTCTTTGCTGCCAGTAGCATTTCTTCCATTATAACCATCAAGCCCATATATCATGACATGAGACAAGATGGCATCCAGGCTTGATCGACTTGTCACGTGAGTACCTTCTGCTCAGTTTCCTCTCAGTTGCTCATCATGCTCTTGTTCTTTTGGTCCCTTTTCACGTTCTTCATCCTTCGCTAGGGCCCTCTACCCTCAGCTACAGGGGCACTTCTTTCATTGCTTTAGCTATATAGACTGGGTTGAGATATAACTTGCTGACACCCTCCAGAATACTTGAGACCGGGAGTACCCGGCTCATCCGGGACACCGCAGTGAATCAGCTGGCCGATTGGCAGAAACAACAGCCAGAGGAATTATTTAACCTGCTCTCAAGAGTTGTCCCGTACCTGCGACACAAGGACTGGGAGACACGAACTACTGCGGCAAAGGCCATTGGCAAAATCGTTGAGAATGCCGAGACCTATGACCCGAACGCCGACGAGGAACCTGTCCAACCCAAGAAGGACGAGGATGCCGGCAATGGCTTTGTCAAGAAGGAGGAGGCGGATTCATCCATACCTGTCTACGACAGTCTAAGCCTAGGTACATTGAACGTGTCTGATATCATCAAGTACGGCAGACAATTGCTTCGCGGCGGCACAATTGACTACTCCCTCGGTGCTTTGGACCCTCAAGAGCGCCTGATACACCAAAAGAAGACTCTCATCGGCCGTCTCGGCCTGCTGGGTCGGCCTTACGAGGACGAAGAAATACCCATCCCGAACGAGTCTGCCGTGAGTCCTGGCACTCCGGCAGACACGAATGGGTCCCACGGCTTCGGCAGACCTGACAGCAATGGAGCTGGTACCACACCTTACCCCGCCGAAGAAAGCGGCATGAGCGCAAGGCAGCTGAACGTGCTCAAGCGAAAACGGAAACGGGAGGCTCAGAAGGCCGCCCAAGGCAAGGGCGGATTCGGCGACCTTTCGCTCCGACGGAATACAACAGCTGGCTCGGAAGGCCTTGCCGAAGACACGCCCATGGTCGATGCCGACTCAAAAAAGAATGGGAAGATGGCTGACTACTTCAGTCTTGATAGGCCCGCTGACCTCGAGGAAGACAGTAAGGTTGTATCCGAGTATAAAGGCGCAGTCCTACCCATCAAATCAGAATTGGAGACCGACAACATGGAAGGTTCCGAGTGGCCTTACGAGCGGTTATGTGAATTTCTCAAGGTCGATTTGTTCGACCCCTCCTGGGATACCAGGCATGGTGCGGCTATGGGCCTGAGAGAGCTAATCAGAGTCCACGGTGCAGGAGCTGGTCGGGTCCGGGGCGTTTCACGCAGTGAGAACGACGTGCTCAACAAAAAATGGCTCGATGATCTCGCCTGTCGGCTCTGCTGCGTTCTGATGCTGGACAGGTTCACAGACTACAGTTCAGACACATCGGTGGCGCCCATCAGAGAAACAGTCGGCCAAACACTCGGATCCGTCCTGTTCCACGTGTCTCCGGACTCAGTGCATGCCATCTACCGCATCCTACACCGCATGGTGATGCAAGAAGATTTGCCGTTAGACCAGCATGTCTGGCCCATCTGCCATGGCGGAATGGTTGGGCTTCGTTATGTCGTTGCGGTTCGCAAAGATCTCCTACTGAAAGACGGCGAAATGATCGACGGTATCATTGGCGCGGTCATGAAAGGTCTCGGCGACAGGGATGACGACGTTCGTTCTGTCAGCGCCGCCACGTTGACACCAATGGCAAAGGAATTCGTCACGCAACGTCCTGGCGAGTTGAATGGCCTCATCAATATCGTCTGGGAAGGTTTGGCTGACCTCAGCGATGATCTCAGTGCTTCGACTGGCAAGATCATGGATCTCCTTGCTGTTCTCTGCAGCTTTCCGGAAGTCCTGGCGGCTATGAAGGCTTCAGCGCAAGAGGACGAGGAGAGGACATTCACTGTTCTTGTCCCTAGGCTTTACCCGTTCCTCCGCCACACCATCACATCAGTCCGTCTGGCTGTCCTCAAGGCTCTCATGACCTTCGCCAAGCTTGACGCAGAATCAGCGCAAGGTTGGTTGAATGGCAGGATTCTCAGACTGATCTTTCAGAATATTCTGGTCGAGCGCGATTCAGAGACATTGAACATGTCTATTGAGCTATGGATCTCACTCGTCAAGTCTCTAGCTCAGAACCCAGCGGTGCTGGCAATGGAGTTCTCTTCTCATGTCGATCCATTGATGCAGCTGACTCTGCATCCCATCGGTGTCCAGCGCAACCCTATTCCCATGGACGCCACACTTTTCATGAAGCCATCAGGCGGTACATATGCCCCTATAAGCGGAGCACCGGCGCCACCCCGAAGATCTAGTCCATCAGATGGCCCGGAGCGTGCCACCAAGAGACGCAGGAAATCGACCAAGGTCGAGGAACCGCAAGCTGCGTCCCAATCGCACGATCTCGATGGCCGCATGATGCAAGGAGACGTTGATCTCGTCGGGATGGAAACGCTTGTGCGATCCCGAATCAGCGCTGCGAAAGCCATGGGCTTCATCATGTCGCTTCTGCCTGCAGCAGACCTGCAGGAATATGACGCAAGTATCATCAAGGGCCTTTCGTCCTCATACTCCTCCACACAGCTCAGCGCTTGCATGGTCGTGGATGAGTACGCGCGGAGCTCTTCAAACGTTGAGCAGTGCACAAGGTTCGCAACGTTGCTGCAGGAAATGGTGGCAGGTGAACGGCCATCTTGTTATCGAGACCTGGTTAGCTATATCCGAGGCGTCCGCGCTCAGTGCTCGCAACTGATACATCTATTCCGCGATTTCGGAAAGGTGTCATCCAGTAAGCTTCCGACACTTGCTGTGATCGTTCAGGGCGAGGCAGAGGCAGGACCGGGCGCGTTTTCGATCGCGAATGCTGAAAAGGTGGTGGGCGAGGATTACGAGAAGCTCAAGAAAGCAATGGCCCCCGGGCAACGGCTAATAGCCAGTCAACAGCTGGCGGAGTCTCGTGATCTTACCGTCCAGGCCATCGAAGAAGCCAAGGCCAAGAAAGAGACGCGCGATGTTCGGATCAAAGCGGCAGCGGCATGTGCTTTGGTGGCAATCAAACATTTGCCTAAGAAGCCAAGCCCGCTCATCAAGGCCATCATGGACAGCATCAAATACGAGGAAAACCAGGATCTTCAGAGCCGATCGGCATCGACAATCGCAAATCTCGTCCAATTCTTCACAGAGTCTGGTCGCCGGGGCCCCGCGGACAAGGTGGTAGGCAACCTCGTAAAGTTTTCTTGCATGGAGGTGGCAGAGACACCAGAATTCCCAGTCCACGCTAGTAAGACAGACGTGGTGCTTTCAATGCAGAAGGAAGAAGACCGTGTCGACCATCCTGATGCTGCTAAATGGGCGCGCGAGGCAAAGGCAGCTCGAATCACACGCCGTGGCGCGAAGGAGGCGTTGCAGATTTTATCGAAGACGTTCGGCGCTGAGCTTCTAAATGTTGTCCCCAGCGTTCGCACTTTCATGGAGCAGCCCCTCTTGCAGGCATTCTCTGGCGACCTGCCTCCTGAGGCAAGAGACCCAGAGAACACCTTCGGACAAGAGGTTGTCGACGCCATGTCCGTGATTCGCACGATGACGCCGACAATCGACCCTGCTCTCCATCCCTTCATCATGCAGATGGTCCCGCTCGTCATCAAAGCTTTGCGTTCTGAGCTGTCAGTATTCCGGTACATGGCTGCTAAATGCTTGGCAACGATCTGCAGCGTCATCACGGTGCAGGGCATGACAGCACTGGTCGAGAAGGTCTTACCGTCGATCAACAACCCCCTGGACCTCTACTTCCGACAAGGCGCCATCGAGGTCATATACCACTTGATAGCCGTCATGGGAGATGCGATCTTACCGTACGTCGTCTTCCTCATCGTCCCTGTCTTGGGCCGTATGAGTGACTCAGACAACGAGATTCGGCTGATAGCAACAACATCGTTTGCGACATTGGTGAAGCTTGTGCCGCTGGAGGCAGGCATACCTGACCCACCAGGTCTCTCGTCAGAACTGCTCAAGGGCAGGGACCGCGAGAGGACCTTCATTGCGCAGCTTCTGGATCCCAAGAAGGTCGAGGCCTTCTCGCTCCCGGTGGCCATCAAGGCCGAGCTCCGCTCCTACCAGCAGGACGGCGTGAACTGGCTGAACTTCCTCCGCCGCTACCACCTCCACGGTATCCTATGTGACGATATGGGCTTGGGCAAGACGCTGCAGACACTCTGCATAGTCGCCAGTGACCATCACGAGCGAGCCGAAGAGTTTTCCAAGACCGGATCGCCAGATGTCAGGCGGCTTCCATCGCTGATTGTGTGCCCTCCTACCCTGTCTGGTCATTGGCAGCAGGAGATCAAGACATACGCGCCGTTCCTTAGCGTCACCGCATACGTGGGCCCGCCTGCTGAGCGAAAGCTCATGAAGGACAAGCTTGAAAAGCCCGACATTGTTATTACTTCGTATGATGTGTGCCGCAATGACGTTGAGATTCTTGAGAGGTACAATTGGAACTATGTGGTCCTTGACGAGGGCCACCTCATCAAGAACGCAAAGGCAAAGATCAGCATAGCTGTGAAGAAGCTGGTTAGCAACCACCGGCTTATCCTGACCGGCACCCCGATCCAAAACAATGTGCTGGAGCTGTGGTCCCTCTTTGATTTCCTGATGCCTGGCTTCCTCGGGGCGGAGAAGGTCTTCGCTGATCGCTTCGTGAAGCCCATCTCTGCGTCCCGTTACAGCAAGGCCTCCTCGAAAGAGCAAGAAGCCGGGGCCCTCGCCATCGAAGCCCTGCACAAACAAGTCTTGCCTTTCCTCTTGCGGCGCCTGAAGGAAGAGGTACTAAACGACCTTCCGCCCAAGATTTTGCAAAATTACTATTGCGACCTTAGCGACCTGCAGAGGAAACTGTTCGATGAATTTTCGAAGCGCGAGTCGAAGAAGTTGGCCGATGAGGCAGGCCGTGACGACAAAGATGCCAAGCAGCACATCTTCCAGGCCTTGCAATACATGCGGAAGCTCTGCAACTCTCCTGCCATGGTGTTGAAGCCGGGCCACCCCAATTATGACGAGACTCAGCGTATCCTCGCTAAGGGAAACACCAGTCTGGAAGATGCCGCCCACGCCCCGAAACTCACGGCGCTCAGAGATCTGTTGGTAGACTGTGGCATCGGTACCGAGGGCCATGATTCAAACGATCCACTGTATCAGCCGATCAAACCTCATCGGGCACTGATCTTTTGTCAGATGAAAGAAATGCTGGATATGGTGCAAAACTCAGTATTGAAGGCTATGTTACCCTCAGTCACCTACCTCCGTCTTGATGGTGGCGTCGAAGCCAACAAACGCCAGGATATTGTGAACAAGTTCAACAGCGACCCATCATACGATTGTCTCCTTCTGACCACCAGCGTCGGTGGCCTGGGCCTCAATCTCACGGGAGCCGACACCGTCATATTCGTTGAGCATGACTGGAACCCGCAAAAGGACCTGCAGGCTATGGACCGTGCACATCGCATCGGTCAAAAGAAGGTGGTCAACGTGTACCGACTCATCACTCGCGGCACGTTGGAAGAGAAGATCCTGAGCCTGCAGCGTTTCAAGATCGATGTTGCTTCGACAGTTGTCAACCAGCAGAACGCCGGTTTGGCGACAATGGACACTGACCAGATTCTGGATTTGTTCAACATAGGCGAATCGGGGCCAGGCTTGATTACGGAGAAACCCTCCGGGGGCGGGTTTGAGGGACGTGAAGAGGACATGGTGGACATTGAAACGGGTGATGTTCGCCAGCCGGGCAAGAAGGCTGCTTGGTTAGAGGACTTGGACGATTTGTGGGACAATAAGCAGTACGAGGAGAGTTTTGATTTGGATGGGTTCTTGAAGACGATGGAGTAGAATGGTGCAGGTATGGGTGAGGAGGCATGTCTTCGCAGGGGGTTGGGTGTCTTTTGTGTTTGTGGTTCGTTACGCTATTGCTACGGATATGGAGCGTAGGAGCTGGGGTTGGCCTTCGGCATCATCATCTGCTCGTCCACAGAGACGGCAGGAAGGAGTTTTACGGTTGTGTGCAATACCATCCCACGAATCTGCCATGAATCCAGAGGGTGATTGCAGGCAGGCATAAAGGAGAACAAAACAGATTCTCCAAATACTAAGTAATCACGTCTACATCGCATCTATGTGCAGAAAAGCCAGATGTTCATGGGCATCCAAGTTCTTTTGACCGACAGTCAAGCCAAGTAAAGGCTTCCATGTTTTCTTAGTTGTCTTGATGTATCTACATGTAGCGAGGTCACGCCCATAAACACACCAAAGTACAACTTGAACTGCGTAGGGTGAATTTTCTCAAGCATCACCGCTGCAGAGGTACTTAGGTTGTCTAAATCGCAGCCTCGCCTGTGCTGAGCTTTAGACCCCTGATCGCTCCACAGGAGCCCAAGATACCCCGCCATCCCGATCCAATGCCCCTCCACTAACGTTCGAAGCTTCCAGAGCGCAGACGCATCTTGCTTCCGGGTGTGTCGTCAGACTAGTGGATGCTAACTTCCTCGCGTCCCTGCAGTTCTGCACTACAAGTACATTTGGAAATTTTGGGGAGACGACACATTCACGGTCCCGGATTATAAGCGAAAATGCCTGTCGACTACAGCAAATGGGCAAGTTACTCCCACGCCGTCTCGAGAGCGTTCGAGGGTGAGACTGGCACGAAGCTGACCATTACCACCGCTGTATAGGACGCACTGGAGCTCAGCGATGACTCCGACATCGAAGTCCACCCAAACGTGGATAAGCGGTCCTTTATCCGCGCGAAGCAGAACCAGATCCACCAAGAGCGGGAGCAGCGCAAGCTCCAGATCGTGACCCTGAAGTACGAGCGTCAGATCAACGACGCGTTGATACAGCGAATCACCTCGCTCCTGAACTCCCTCAAGGCCCACGCCGCCGACGTCGACAATGGGAAGCGCAGCCCCGGCGAGGTTGCTTTTGCGGCAGTCATGGAGTCCGCTGCAAACCTCAAGCCAGAGGACGACACGCCACCACCACGCCCCGCCGGCGTGCACAATGCGGAGGAGAAGCTGCCGACGTACAGCAAGATGATGGCTACGCTGCTCGATCAGGTGAACCAGGCCATGGAGGAGAAGAAGGTCAAGGACGAGGAGCGGTACCCAGCCATGGTTGCAGAGATTCAGGACCATTTGGATAAGGTCACAAATCTCCAGAAGGATCTGCATAAGAAGCTTGATGAGCTGGAGAAGGAGGAGGCCCGTAAGATCACGAGTGAGAGCATTCACACGGGCTTTGACAGCTCGCATGTGGCCAAGGCAACCGCCTCGTCGTCGTCAGAGGGAAAGAAAGACGACACCCAGGTCGAACTCCTGAATCCCAACTTCAGCAACCCGCCGCAGGCTGGAGAAAAGAGCTCTTCGGCGAAACCAGAAGATGATGACGAGGAGGTCGAGGCCTCACCAGCGGCGAAGCAGTTTGCAAAGATTCAGACTGGTTCCTACAGCGAGTCCCTCTCCTTCCTCGGCAAGCACCCCGAGATCCTCCAGGAAAAAGAAACCGACGGCCTGCTCATAATGGCTTTTGACGCACAACTCAGTGGAAAGGAAGAGTTCTCCCGGCAATGCGTGCACCAAGCCCTGCTCCTGCAGTATTGCCGCGCCTTGGGGCGGGATGGCGTCGGTCTCTTCTTCAAGCGCATCATGACAAAGGGTCACCAGGCGCAGGACGTCTTCTTCAAAGACGTGCAAGACACCTACCTAAAGATCAAGACACGCGCTGCTGAGATCAACAAGGAGCGCGCAGCATCCGGCTCAGGCCTTGCGGAGGGCGAGGGCGTCGAGCAGATCCAGCTGCACGCGGTAGAGCCGGGCACCGTGATCAACATCCAGGTGCCACCTGCCGACAGCGAGGACCCCGAGATACAGGAGGCCCGCAAGATCTTTGAATCTTTCAGCCCTGACATGAAGAAGGCGCTCGAGAGCGGCAGTCTGGACCAGGTGAACAAGGTGCTGGGCAATATGAAGGTGGACGAGGCGGAGGACTTGGTGGGGAAGTTCGGTGAGGCGGGCGTCCTGAGCCTCGAGCAGGAGATCATAGATGCGACTACGGATCAGGGCAAGGCAGAGTGGAAGCAGCTCCAGGACCAGGCAAAGCCGACCACGTCGGAGTCGCAGTATGCGGATGATCCCGAATAAGGATGGGCTGGAGGTTATGTTTGATTGGTCGTCGATTGCACGGAGCGTCGCACGGTGAGCATATACCATCATAGAATGCCATTAATGTAGGGGTCTCGCGCTACCTGGATCTCTCAAGGAAGCATCGGGCATTGGCCTTGTAGTGATCACAATGGGCATCAGCCCTATCCTGCGATCACACACGTATAATCCCTTGCCGTCTTCGATTCGCCGCTGGCCTTGCACCGAAAGGCGCCACTTGTCGCTAAATCATCATCGCCGTCCTAGTCACCGTGCTCCTCATCCTCCTCGCCGCTCTCCACACCGTTGTCCGTCACGATATAGTTGCCGACGTCCCTCGGTCCCTCTAGTCTTGTCTCCTTCACAATTACTGTGGAGTAAATAAAAGGCCATGGTCTCTCGTCAACATGACCCTCATACGCTGGGACTTCGAATTCAAGCTCGGCCGCTTCTAGGTCGAGATTCATCGCCCTAACCTCCCGGAGGCTCGGCTCGATGGAGTTTCTGTAATAAAGCCATGGGTCCATTCGGTTGCCTTTTGGCCGCCATAGCTCACGAGCCACTTCGATGGCTTCCTGGTTGGCAAGTTCCAGTGTAGTGAAGGCGCCCATATGCTCGTGCAAGTATTCGACGTCATTCCAGGAAAGCAACCCCAGATTTCCGCCGGGCTCAGAAGGCTCCAATGTGACGTCGGTTGCAACGGAATCGGTGTCGCTGTCCTCATTATCGCTCTCGCGTTTCTCGTCTTGAGCAGCCTTAGGCTCGGGGGTTGGAGGGGCAGAGAAAAGACTGTTGCTGTCTTCATCCACATTCTCCTTATCGGCTGACTCTGTCTCCTTTCCCGCAGCCGCGATGGGAGTCTTCTCCTCCGACCCCTTTTCCTTTTCCTTTTCCCCATCCGTGCTGGCGTCTTCTTTCTTGAGGAAGACCTTCGGAGTGACGGTCGTGTAGAATACATCGAAACGGGGGCGGTATACCTCCTTAAGCTTCTCCTCCACGAAAACATTGCGAAGATTCAGCTCGCTAGACATATGCCTCTCCCCCTGCACCATACACATGACTATCTTTCCATCAGCCAGCTCCTTCGATCCAAAGAACAGACCATCTTCAGGGCCAACACGGAACTGGATGGAAACGAGGTGCGAATCATGCAGGCGGTCGTTCCTGAGGACCGCCTCAGCATGCTTGTTGGCATCTTCCTTCTTGAGGAATTGATCAGCCAGGCGCTTCAGATCATAGCTGTCGAAGTCTTTTCCCTTGTCGACGGGGTCGCTGATGTACACGGCATACAGCATTATCGTAGCGCCAGGCTCAAGGGCCTCCATGACGGGGATCCCGCGCTGCTTTCTCTTTGGAGCAAGCGCTGAAGGCCGTTCGATTTGATCACCTGTTGTACCCCCATCTTCTTCAAGGAACTCGACTGTCAGAAGGCCGTGTGACTTCTGCGCCTGTCGCTTTTGATCGTTTCTCCTGAACCTCTCTCGCAGCGGGGCCAACCCAGCCTCGATGCGGCGCTCTTTGTTTTCCTTGGACTCGTTCGGGAACTCGTGGCTCGCTTCTGCCTCGAGTGCCAGCCGCTTTGCATCGATGGCTTTCTGACGGTATATGACCCTCTTCTCCGCAGCCCTCTTGAGTGAATCCTGGCGTTTGGGACCAAATCCCTTTCCAGTGTTTTTCAGTGCCATGAGGCGGCGATCCGCATAACTGGGCTTGCCCAAATTAGCAGGCACAGAGTCGACCAGGATGGTCTGGCGCTTCTGTGCTAGCTGTGAAAACCGATCCTTGAAAAAGGCTTCTGCTTCCTTGAGGGCCTCCCTGTGAGTTTCGGAGTCTCTTGGCTGCTGGAATTGTTTGCGGTGGTCGGCTGGTTGGGCAGTGTTGAGCTTTGACTGGGCATTACGTTGCTCTTGTTGGTCATACTTGTCGTACGCCTGTTGAGACTCCCGCATCCCAAGTTTTGGGAGCTCACGATCTTCAGGGTAATGTTCCTTTCGATACGCAGGCGCTTTCTGGCCAGCATTGCTCTCCAATGACTGTCGTGATGGCGTGGTACCGATTTCGAGGTCATTGAGCCCACCATGAGTTTCTTCAATATCCTCGTCTTGGTCATATGGCGCTGTCTGATCAGGATTGTTCTTTAAGCTGAGCTGAGATGCTGTTCTGACGGGTTGAAAGCCACTGGGGCCCCAATTCCCCTGCTCATCTTGAGCTGCCATCAGATACTTCTTCTTTCCCTGATGCTTACTAGATCGAGCGTGGTCCACATCATGTCGCCTCTTCATAGCCCGCGCAGCTTGTTTCTTAAGTGTCCTCTCGCGAGCTGAAGCTGGCCCTTGGCGATTGCGCTGGAAGCCACCTGGTCGGTATCTCGCAGAGCTCTTGGATGTATGCGTGGGCATGTCGCCCACGGAAGGGCATCTCTCGGCAACATTGATCCCACACCCGTCATCTAGACCTCTATCGGCAGTAACTTCCTTGCCACTGGTAGTGATGGGACCAGCATTTTGAGAGCAGAGTCGATTAGGAGTTCCTTCTCGGCCGCTGGGCTCGCGGATCTCCTGAGGACGCTGTGTCTCGAATTTCTCTTGGGCCTTGGACGACTTTCCGTGCCCAGATTCTCTGGTTTTGTTCACCGGGCTTTCGGAGACCGCTCGCAAGGGAGCAGACTTTGAGAAAACTTGCCCATCAACTTGATTCAACTGATGCGCTGGCTTCTTCTGGGAGCTCTTTATATCGCTGCGGTGCTTTCTCTTCTTTTTCTTTTCTGGACCAAATACCTCTTCCCTGACGATGTTGAGAATTTGGGGGTTAGTATTTCCAGCCGTTTGCACACCATTTTGAGCTTCCACGTCTTCGTTCTGTTGGGGTTTTGGGGGATCGGGCTCGTTGACAAGAGGCTTGCGGACGGACCAGAAATTGTCGAGGTCAGGCTTCAGGGGCTGGGAACCGACAAGGGAGCCGAGGGCTTCACGTGTTAAAGGAATGTAAGAACCACTAGATTTGGTTTGGGAGCCGCCAGTCTCATCAGAAACATGCTTGCGCTTCTTACTGCGGGCCAGTATGCTGCTTATGGTCAAGTCATCCTCTGATGAGATGTTACTTTCGTCCTGCGGATTTCTGGGGCTGAGCTCGGTGCCCTCAGTATGGTTCGACTCTGTCAGGGTGGTATCATCATCCCGTATGGTCTTCGGGCTGGACTCGCCAGAGTCATTTGGAGTCGACCCAGCCAGGGTGGAAGACTCGTATTCCACCTTCACTTTTGACTCAAGTAGGCTGTTGCTGGAAGTATCTGGCTCATCCAGCGAGGTCAGGTCTATTATCTCCGAGGCATGTGAATCAATGTCATCGGATGTCAAGTCAATGATGATTGACATCCTAGCAGGGGTTCCTCGAGATGACATTTTGCTGATAACCAAGTCTGTCTGCCGTAGCTTGTCGGACAGAAGAAATCAGAAGCCTGTTCGAATGAGAAAGAAAGATCGAAGGAGATGTCAAAGTGGTATAGATTACATTTGATCTAGGAAACAATCGGAACGGGCGGTGATACTTACTGCAGAAGCCAAGTATGAAACTAGCTTGGCTAGAGAATGATAATATCCACCAACATGGGAGCTGGCAATAACAGTGGTTTTGATGAAGTGTTTGCCAATTTGCAAGTCAAGCCGAGTAAACTTGCCGGCCAGAGGCTTTGGCAGGCTGAAGAGAGGCAGGCACTCAAGAGGCCGTCACACAATGGAATTGCGGGCTTTCTGCTCGGAAGGATGTATTTGGTGGTCCTGGTGACTTTGAAGTTCGTTGTGTCCCGAAGAGCAAACCAAAGTGTGGAGCTTTGTTGCCCAAGGGTATGTATGATGGTTGAGGTAATGCTCGAATGTAATGTACTCCGGGGTTAGGAACAAGTGGATGGAAGGATGCTGAGGAACGAGCCTGAACGTGACCAGAATATGCAAGAAACAAAGCAGGAAAAGGCCAAGTGTAGATGGCCACAGGGTATTTGCAGCCGTGTCTGCTAGTGTTCCTTCTGGTATGTGTGTCTTCGCTGGTAGAAGTTCGGTCTGTTTGTGAAGAGGAAAGGTTTTGTCCGTCCCGGTGTGACCTTCAAGACGAAAGATCTCTCGGGGTTTGGGCATGAAGTTTACGAGATAGGTGCACATGTCTACTGTGACCAGGTCCAGCACTTTCCTCTTCAAGGCAGAAATAAGTCTTTGGGGCCCATGACACTATGATTCAGAGCTTCAAAACACCAGATGAAAGTTTTTGACGATACATTACTCGAAGAGCATTGGATTTGGACAGAACTTTGAAGTGACCCTCAGATAAGACCATGGCATCGCATAGATTTTTGTACGGTTTTGCAGATAGGAACTCGCACAAGAGCGGGGAATGTTTCATTTTGGATATTTTGTTCATGCCAGTTGATAACAATATAGTATATCGGATAGATATCTATCTAGACCATGCCTTATTCTTGTGAAATCACTGTTAAATCATTTTTTATGTTGACCAAGATGACTTTAATGATACAGACTTGATTTGTCGTGACCGACAATTTGACCCAGATGGTGATCTTTGCAGATATATATCTGAGAATGGACCATACAAAGAATGCAATAGTATGATGATATATTTCTGGAATATATGGACTCACTAAAGACCATTTCTCATATAAATGATCGGTCTCGAAACCGCAATCATGTAAACATATAAAGATGCTTGATTGTCATTATCGGGAACTCGCAATATCTGGCACAAAATTTGACCACTTTGAGGGAAGCCCTATTATACAGAATGGATTCATCTGGGGAATTACATGTGCTTCATGGCATCGTGTAAAGAGAATCGTGTGGGATGGAGGTCTTACCTTGTACGCTCTGCAATACATAGGTGCCTGCAAAATTTCAACATCCCTGAGTGCTGCATTTGCTAGTCTAGCAGTACGAATCCGTCTTGTACGCAGTGGTCAAGCCCTTGACTGCCATCCTATATGAATTTTCCTGGCCCTATTGAATCCAGGCAATTCCTAGAGCTCTTAATGAAGTAAGTCCGGCGCTAAGCCTGCGATGGTGGCTAAATGGAACCTGAAATGATCAAAATTACCAACTCTTTGCTTTTCAATGAAACAGGCGAGCAAGAAGTGCTCCTAACACCGAAATGTCGGCTACACATCCTCATATGTGTTGACGATGGAGACTCAACCGAGTTGTACCTATTCTGATATGAGAAAAGCACACGTGTATATGACCCGGAGAGAATTGCGAGCTATGCATATAGATTCGCGGAGGCGACGCCCAAGGTGATTTGGGAAAGTAACCGGATTTCGAACGCTGAAGGTGTCCACACCCAAAGCAGTCATCACTGGCAAATTTACTGCAAGAAGGTAAAATCTCTAGCTCTAGACAGCTTGTATTTCTGGTTTCCCAGATCCCGTTTACAGCCCGCATAGACTCCTCGCGAGTTCTCACCATTTGCGTCTAGCTAATATTCGGTAAGATCTAACATTTACAAGAAGACCTCTAGATTGAACTCCAGCGCTGATACGGGGTATCTGCATATTGTTAGTCTCATCAAACTGATTGGAGGTATTTCCACACTCACCTGATATCAAAGGCCTCCAGCACAGTTGGGTCAAGAATGCCAAACTGGCCAATCTTCTGAGTCTTTCCATCCAGGCGCAGGTAAATAGCGGCCGCGTGGCCGTGGAAGAAAGTGGGCTCGTCAGTCTGCTCAAGCCAGTAACCGTCTTGTTTCGAGGGCTCCTGAACGACTTGGAAGTCAATGCTCTTTCCTTGCAAAGCCTCTTCGTGTGTTAGAAAAGCAGTCTGCAGCATTAGCAACTGCCGGTCCAGCAGTCCGTGCACCTCTTCGAATCCAGACGTCTTGCCGCAGAAGACAGCCGCAAAATTTCTCTGGTTGCGGGCCTTGCGCTCTTCAGCCTCATCCTTGAAAGCAACGTCCGAGCATTCAAAAATCTTGATCGGCAAGGCCTTGCTCTTGTTCTCTCGAATTGTCTTGAGAAGACCCGGCAGAAGTGACGTACGGACAACTTGGTACTCTGCTGTCTTTGGGTTCGCAAGCCGTATTGCCTTGCCGTCGTCTTTCTTGTTCAGATATGTATAGTTCTCGTCATGAGAACAGAGAATGAGTGGCAGCACCTCCGTCCAGCCTGCAAAAGCGGCTTCGAATCGCACAATGTCGGCCAATTTCTGGATTTTCGTCGATGCACCAACCGTTGCCGATTTGTGAGGTGATGATCTAGGAAGGTTGTTGTAGCCGTAGCAGATGGCCAGATCTTCCATCACGTCGCACTGATGGAGCACATCTGCTCTTGTCGGTGGTACAGAGACCTCTATCAAGTTCTTGTCCTTGGTGGACGGTTTGGCGGTATAGGCCATCTTCGTCAACAACTCACAAATGCGCTCTGGAGTCTCGTCGAGGCCTGTGCAACTCTTGAGGTAGTCGACCTCTGTCTCGATTATTTTTGGGGTGAGATCTGGGAAATTGCGCGTCCGCGTGTCGTCATACTCGTAGATGACCTTGACTGGCTCAATTGTGAAGGCGTCGGCGCAATACGTGGAGAACATTGTCACCATCATATTCGTAACGATCTCCAGCTTAGTCTCGTCGGTGGCAGTGAGATCAATGAAGACGTTCTTCGTCTTGGGCGAGATCTTGGAGTGCTCGCCGTTGATGATTGGGGGCATGGACAGTACGACGTTGTTTGCGTCGAGCATCACAGGGTAGACGGGGGCGTCCTTGATGATGTGAAGGTATTTCCCGAGATGCTTGTCCTTCTCGTAGAAATCCATGAGCTCGGTAGCCGTCATCGACTTCTGCTGGTTCAAAGGTTTGAATTTGATGTCATTTGGCGGCAGGGCATCGTACACAAAAGGCCCCTGGATCGTGTCGAGGTCGTGCGTTCCGATAGCCACCAATGTCCGTTGACGGGCTAGATTCATGTGCAACTTGTCCTGCAGCGCAATGAAAGACTCGTAGCTCTGCTGGGTGAAATTGATATTCCTCAGAATAGCACCGGCAGCGTAGGGACGAACTTTCTGGGTGTCGGACTTGATCGTCAAGGTCTGGACATTGCCATCCTTAGGCTCGACCACGCGGTAATTCGGGATAGGGGATTTTTGTCGGAAAATGTTGAGCATTAGCTGGATGCCTTCGAAACACAACATGTCGTAGCGGTTGGCCTGCATGATCGGTCAGTCTTGAGGCTGGCCATGCGTGGTGGATCGTAGGGGAGTAATACCGGTATCTCTGGACTACTCGTTAGAAACCGTGCTTCGCAAAATGATCTGTACTCCAGGACTGACCGATTTTCAGCTCCGGAGGCACGCCTGCCGGGCGTTCGTCCTCCTCGGTGTCTTCATCGAGCTCAATTCCAAATTCGAAACATAGGTCCTCGAATTCCTCCTTGGTGAACCTGCAGGATTGTAGTAGTGTGAGCTTCGTCTCTCGTAGGTAGATGGAGGGGCCAGGGTGGGCAAGCTCACTTCTGACCGAGGGCCTCGTAAAGGGCGTACTTGTCGACGGTAATGGTAGGCATGGTGGCGAGCGTCTATGCGACCAGTACACTGGTCGAGGTGAGTGAGAGGGATGACAAGAGGGGAGAGGGGCGGTTGAGGTCTGCTCGAGGCGTCGCGAAATTCCTATGCAGCAACTCGGCCAAAGTTGAGTCAGAGGCGGCCGACAGGGTCATGGAATTTTGGAGGGGTGCTGCTGCACCTTGACGAACACCCCCGCCATGCCCACCACCTCCTGATCTGAATAAGGGGCGGTACCTCTCCTAACCCTGACTACATGTAGAAACGCTTCGGACCTAGAGATGTTGTCCTACACAATTGGAGAGGAATCAGTTCTTCTGTGCATTTCACCTCGCAATCATATGATGATGATATCAGACTTGAGCGTGAAGTCTCTAGAAAACGGTGATTAGACACACTGGAACTTTGAAAGACGAGGTGGGCAAGCTATCGTCTTAATTCTCGGGGGAGAGCTCTACTGTGGTGCTGTACGGAGTACATATCTGCTACCTACATGGCCAGATGAAGCGAACAACGACGAGAAAATCTGGTGTAGAGGGTGTCTTCCCTGTTTAGTCACAGCCTGCGCTTGCAGACCGCAGAGGTAATTGGGTCTACTAGAGACGGCCTCAGAGGTGCAACCTTGCCGACGAGACTGAATGAAGAGGTACTGAGTTGCTTCCCTGGGAAATCGGTACCATACATCCATCGAACCGTATGGATATGTCACTTTCGCCATGCCTGGGACATCGAATTGGCTTTGATGATGGGCAAGAGACAGCATAAGCTTCAGCCAGTTGCACACATCAGGAGCCACCACAAGTCTTGTGCACGCAAACAAAATGCCACAAAATTGCCTCACGCAGGTGTAGCTACAGCAACTCTGCATTGGTGGCGAGGGGCGGCCACGGGCTGAGATCGGTACTTACGCCGCACGAGTGGTACTGAGCGTGGGCATGTACATGCGTTGCTTGCTGAGGTACCAAGGTAGGCAAAGGCAGCCTAGGTGTACATGGTAGGCTACCTAGGCATAGAATTGTTAGCCTGCCCCGGTTTCCTGATGAGACTGCTTGTGAGGGGGGGGGGGGGAGCGGCCAGCTGCCACCTTGGAGGGCCTGCCCACAGTGCACCAGTGACCAGTGCTGGCCTGCACAACAATGCCATCAATCACAGAGAGCTCCCCCTTCATCAAACCTGACTTCATCCCACCACCCCCTAAAAGCTACCGTATCACCGCCACGACGTCCACAGAAGCCATCGCCTGGCCTCCGTATCACAATCCCGAACCACCCCTCCGATCTTGTCTGATTCGTATCGGGCTTGACAACGGCAGCCAGTCCACAGCATCCATCCAAGGAAGCCTAGGGACCTGCTTCGCTCGGGCACATTGAGGCGACGCCGTCAGGACAGGAATCAGCTGCAAAAGTCGGTTGCATAATTACATCACCCCTCGCACGCGATCAAGCCTTCCTCGCGCTCACACTCGCCAGTCTTCCGAGATCCATACCACTGTTGTCCGACCACCCCTCCGAGATTGTCATTGCCTAAATCGCTCGCCATGGCTGACGCGCCGAATGCGAACGATGAGCTCTACCCCATCGCCGTGCTCATCGACGAGCTCAAGGTATGCGACGCCTTCGCCTCACACCACCCACTTGTTGCTCGTCCACCCTCGCGCACCAGGCTAACCCCATGTCCAGCACGACGATGTCATCCTCCGTCTCAATGCAATCCGACGCCTCTCTACCATCGCCCTGGCCCTGGGCGCCGAGCGCACTCGGGAGGAATTGATTCCCTTCCTCGATGGTCTGCGCCCTCCTCTACCCAACACATGCGTAACTCCTCTAACGTAGATACAGAGTCTGTCGAGGACGAGGACGAGGTACTGGTTGCGCTAAGTGAGGAGCTCGGTAATTTCATCGAGTACGTCGGTGGTCCTCAATGGGGTCACGTCCTGCTGTCCCCCCTGGAGAACCTCGCCGCAATCGAGGAGCCCGTCGTCCGGGACAAGGTGGGTTTGAACCGCTACAGGCAGGATGCGCTTTGGTACTGACGAACGTGACAGGCCGTCGAGTCCCTCAACAAGATCTGCGCCGATCTATCCTCCCAGCAGGTCGAAGAATATTTCATCCCACTAACGATCCGACTCTCTAAAGCCGACTGGTTCACCTCCAAGGTGTCAGGATGCGGGCTCTATACCAGTCCCTACCAGAAGGTTTCACCACCTATCCAGCAACAACTTCGCCAGCAGTTCGGGCAGCTCGTCCACGACGAGACCCCAATGGTGCGCCGTCAAGCCGCCACCAACCTATCAAAGTTCGTGAAGGAGATGCCAGCTTCGATTGTTGTGGAGGAAATGATACCCATGTTTCAGCACCTAGCGCAGGACGACCAAGACAGCGTGCGTCTGTTGACAGTTGAGGTGCTCATTGCCGTAGCCGAGGTCGTTCCCAAGGAACAACAGTCAAGTCACGGCGTCCTTCTCACCTCTCTTCGTAGCCTCATAGAAGACAAGAGCTGGCGAGTCAGGTACATGATTGCAGATCGGTTTGAGAAGGTGTGTCCATTCCGGTGCATTCTCCCTCCCCACTCTGGTTGCTGACTCTCAATCAGATCGCCAAAGCAGTCGATGAGGAGGTTGTAGCAAGGGACCTGGTGCCGTCATTTGTGAAGTTGCTCAAGGACAATGAGGCTGAAGTGCGGACGGCAATTGCAGGACAAATCCCAGGATTCTGTGCCCTGGTTGAGCGGACAACGTTGCTCAACGATATCATGGGCAGCATCGAAGATCTAGTCTCCGACAGCTCTCAGCACGTCCGTGCCGCTCTGGGCACTCAGATCAGTGGGCTTGCTCCTATACTGGGCAAGCAAGAGTACGTTGACAGAAGATGATCCCTGCTACGGGATTTGTGTGATACTGACTTAAAGCTAGGACTATTGACCACCTCTTGCCCATGTTCCTGCAGATGCTCAAGGATGAGTTCCCTGAGGTACGACTTCACATCATTTCGAAGCTTGAACTCGTTAACCAAGGTGAGTATTCCACGATTAAGTCTCCTGATTTGGCACTAATGTTCATAGTCATCGGCATTGACCTTCTGTCACAATCGCTACTCCCCGCAATTGTTCAGCTAGCCGAGGACAAGCAGTGGCGAGTTCGACTGGCCATTATCGAGTACATCCCCTTGCTGGCCAGCCAACTTGGTGTCAAGTTCTTCGATGAGAAGCTGAGTGCCCTCTGTATGGGCTGGCTGGGCGACACTGTCTTCTCTATTCGTGAGGCAGCGACACATAACTTGAAGAAGCTCACGGAGGTCTTCGGTGTTGAGTGGGCGAGTGAGGCCATTATTCCCAAGGTGATGGCTATGGGCAATCACCCGAACTATCTCTACAGAATGACTACCTGCTTCGCTATTACGGTATGTATCGAATTCTCGACTACTTGAACCCAACTAGGGCTAATCTCGTTTTAGACGCTGGCGACTGTCGTGAGCATGGACGTCATTGCTAAGTCAATCTTGCCCATGCTTGACAAGCTTGTTGTGGACGACATTCCCAACATCCGCTTCAACGTCGCGAAGACGTACGCGGTGCTCATCGATGTTCTCCAACGCCTGCCTGACGAGGGCACCGTCTATCAGCTCGAGAAATCCGGAGAGACTGGAACGCCGTCTCCACAGGGTCAGGAGCTGATCCAGCAACGGGTAATCCCGAGCCTGGAAAGGCTGCAGAAGGACGACGATGTAGATGTTCGTTATTTCGCGACGACCGCCGCTGCGGTTGTGACGGGGTCGGGAGGAGAGCCTATGAACACCTCTCCCTAGAATGGGAATGGCTCTGCTGAGTGGACAAATTGCGTAAGGGCGATACCGCTCGTGTCTTGACGCTTTCCGCAGAGGAACCATGTCACTCCATGCGGGTCTGGCCTTTGATTTCACCCAACCCTTGATCATATACCAGCGTTTTCACCCACGGGAATCCAAAAATACACCATTAGAAGACGGGACCAGGCATAAAGGAGCATCACCGATTCCCCAAAGTATACGCCTTGCGGTCTTATGCAGGCCTCCGAACCCATGGGCTTCAAGTGGATACCAGTAGGGCAGGCTGTACGGGTGGACTGTGTAGGAACCATGGCCTCGAATAATGTAGGATTATCCTGGAACCTCGAGCCTGAAGAGAGAGACCCCATTTAGCACACTTAGCACGTCGATGAATTACGCACGTATTATACAAGATCTGCGTCCCTCTTGTCGTTCACCACTGGGTATCTAGTTACTCTGCCTACGCCCTTTCTCTATGCCACTCAGGTCGTGGTATTTTCATGTGAAGAAAAGCTGTCACGTCAACCTCATTTCCTTTGGAAGCATAACGTGCTGATCGTCTGCCCTTTCACGCCTCCGAAACTGAAACTAGGGTAGTTCACCCTGCCCACCCTCACAAAAGCCCCGCCCTCGACGTCGGCACTGCCCTCGCCGAACCAGCCTTCGAGCTCCGCCTCGGTCCAGTTGCAGCTCGTGACGAGGAACAGGCCGCCGGGCCTGACGAGGCGCACCACGCGGCCCTTGTAGCCCTCGCTGATGCGCCTCCCGCCGCCGTCAGTCTCGTCGCTCAGCGAGATGGCGTCGAAGGTGCCCTTGTCGTGCACGACGTCCCACCCCTTATCCTCCACCGGGCCGGCCCCGCCTCCTCCGCCCAGCACGGCCTCGTACGGGCCCCGCAGCACGTCCCACTCGGCGAACTCGACCCGTTCGTCGCCGGCCACGGCGCCCGAGCCCGCGATCTGCCGCGCCAGCGCCACGCTCTCGGCGCTGTAGTCGACGCCCAGGCAGCGGCCCCGCCAGCCCTCCTCCCGCAGCGCGAACAGGAACGAGCCGTTGCCGCAGCCCAGGTCCAGGAAGGACGTCGACTGCTGGTCTAGGGCGGGGCAGCAGTCGGCGGCTGTTGTTGTTGTTGTTGTTGTTGTTGTTGTCTTCTCCCCCTCCTCCCCCTCCTCCGTCAGGTCCTCGAGGAACTGGAGCAGCTTCGCCTCGGCGTCCGAGTCGTCGAACCAGACCGTGCCGCGGTCGGTGGGGTCGGAGGTGTTGTTGACTAGCTCGCGTTTGTAGAGGTTGTCCCAGCTGTTTTGTTGTTGGCGGCTTCCCGTTAGCCTGCGGACGGGTTGTGCTGGGGTGGTTATCTGGGGGAGCAACATACTATTCCTTGGTGCCCAGTTCAGACGGCTCCAGGTGGTTTGGCTTGGAGGAATCGTTGTCTGCCATTTCTTACGGGTACCCTTCTGGCGGTCCGAACAATTGGTGTCCAAAATGCAGACCATGTGACGAGGAACAATATATTCTGCCATCACATCCGGGCATGGTCAACGGCAGTATTTGACAAGCTTGCGGGCCTGGTCACTTGTTGATGGCGGGGCACATCCAGGAACGGCAGGCGGTGATGAGGGCGTGCAAGGATGGCTGCTCGAGAGCAAGGAGCTTCATGAGAGAAGAAGTTAGACTAGCTATGGGCTTTGACCGTTCACACTTAGCAAGCTCTGTGAGCTGAGCAAACAAACTAGCTGCTTCGGGGTCATCACAAATACCACAGCTCTCTGCACACCAAGTAAATTGTTCTTTGCAGCTAAAGAAGTGTGCACAAGGTCCAGATCAGGGCCCTTGGAGCTTAGTGTCCATTTTGTCGTCATGTGTTTTGGTCATTGACATGCGGAGTGTCTTCTCCACCATTTCTGCATACAATAGGAAGTTGACCAGGAGGATAATCGATCCCCATCCTGGGTGGCAGGATCAGGACCCTTTCTCTTTCCCGGAGGCAAGAAAAGGACCTGATCAAATATGCCTATGGTGCAAACCCTGCCACCCAGGAATATTTTGCTGGCCATAGCTTCCAGGCCTCCCCGTCCTGTTCCACTTGCCCAACATCGGCGCAAGATATTAGAGAGTACGAGATGATGCTTCCCGTTCTCGAGGACAAGCATCATCTCCAATACAAGCCCAATCAATTTGCATCTCTGCAAATGGCCCTTGCGTCCTCTCACATGGAGATCCTCAACCCAACGTCCACACGGGCGCTTTGACGAGCACCTGTCGCCCTCGAACCTCGACGGCGAGGAATCCGGCGAACCGCAACTTGTTGCTGTCCTTTGGTGGCAAAGCTAAGGTTGTCGTCGAGTCAGTACCTGTGATCGAGGGCGCAGTCGATTGCTTCCGGCCAGATAATGACGCTTGCTGAGAAACCGAGGCCACACTGCCCTTCCGGCTACTACTGCTGCCAGGAACAAGCACCGACGGCGCGTTGCTGAGTAGACTTGAAAGGGTTGAACTTGTTGACATACCGGCTCTGGACTTGCTGTTGCGCTCTTTACTGCTGCTCTTCTCACCGCCGCTGTCCTTTCCATTGTCCTCCCCTCTCGAGTCCGCATCTCCGTCACTATCGGGTGGTCTTGTCTCGATCGGCGGAAGCGGCGCCTTTTCAACTTCCATGATGTTCGGTTGAAGGTTGTCCTGTGGTAGCGGATAAATGATTGCCACGTCCCGACTCTCCAGTGGTAGATTTGCTGCTATGCCGACAGCGAGCTCCACGATCATGCTTGCGCTCCCATCAACGCCAGCCGGGGGTGGCTCGGTGAGATGCTGGAAGAGATATGCAGTTAGATTTGACGTAGCTTTGCGGATGAAGTCTTGGCGGTGATCAGAACTCTCGGCCGACTGTAGAATGTGTTGCAGGCCGTCAAGTGTCGTCATCCTCCAGCTCACAACCTTGGATGTCAGAGCGTCATGCTCTTCCTGACTGGTCATCGTGTAGTTGCCCCTGCGAATGTTCTGCTCGATTTCTTTCAGCTGTCTGCTGAGTTCAGGGTCGAGCCCGGGATGGAAACAGCCGTGGAATATCTCCTCGACGATCCATCTTGTGATGACAGCTCGGCCAACTGCTGTCATCTCTTGTTTGCCTGTCTTGAGAGCCTCGCTGCTGACGTAGCTCTCCAACCAGCTCGGAACTGACACCCAGTCCTTGCGAATGTTGAAGGACAAATTGTTGATTGCCCCATTCAGCCTGTTAAACCTCGTCATGTACTCATTGTCGTCCAGTGCCGTGCGGGACTGTGTGATCCTTTGGTTGGCGACCGCATTCTGAAGCTGCTCCACCTGACCATTCAGTTGCTCGATCTGGGTCTTGCCATCGAAATACAAGCGCTTAACATTTTTGTACTTTGTCACTGCGGAACGGACATGTTAGATTTCTGGACCAATTCATATGTCACGGATGGGGGAACACCAACGCAAATCTTTAAAAGCCTTCTCGGGATCTTCTGAAGGTTGTGGGCTGTTGCGACCTTGCTCTCCTGCGCCGTCGAACTGCTGCTGCTGTTGCCTGTCTTGAATAGTGCTTTGACGAAAGCTAGGGTTCGGGCCTTGGGCGCTTTGTGAGCCTTGCGGGGCTGAAGGTAGAGTATTCATGCTGTTGGACGGCTGCTGACTGTGTCTGTAGCCAGGTGGGGGCCCTGGGGGAATATCGCCGCGGAGACTCTTTTCGGTTTCCTGCGACCGTCTTGTCTGAGGCGGCCCTCCCTGCGGAGCCATACCCTGTTGGCTGTGGTGCTCTTGTTGCTGGCCGTCCGGGGAAGACTGCTGCTGCTGTAGTTGCTGGTTGTGTGGCTGCAGAGACGTCGATCGAGAGGGAAAGTCTTGGACGTGGCCCGAGTACCTCACAGCAGGGGATGTTGCTGTGGAATGCGCGTTGGAAGAGAGGAGGTGTTCTCCGTCGGTAGCAGGCGACTCATGCGACAACTGGGATATTGTCTCTGGGTTGTGGTGCTGTTCGGCACCTAAGTGACCAGAGAACGCAGGCTGGTTGCCTTCGGGCTGCAGCTGTCTCTGGGGAGAATGGGATATGAACTGGTACTGTCGCGTCGCTGGATCGAAGGCGACCTGACCCAAGTGTTGCTGTTGGTCGGGCGTCAGCTGGGTCTGGATATGGATCTGACCGTGCGGGTGAATGAAACCGCCGTCGTCTGAATACGGTGACGTATCCTGGTTCGTAGGAACTCGACGGAGGGTGGGTTGCTGGAACTCGTGAGGGTTCTGCAATCGTAAAATGGTCAGTCAGACAAACGCTCCCTGCGATACCCAGGGCGGAGGCGCGAGAAACGAAACTGAACTTACGTTTTGCAAGGGCGATGGTTGGGTCTGGGGTCCTTGGGACTGCCACTCGGCGGGCTGCTGGTCGAGGGAAACCTGAGACGGGCCGGTCCGTAGTGCAGGCGGGTTGCTGATGCGCTTGGACGGCCGACGGGCAAGGCCAGCGGTGTTGTCGTAGGCGTGCTGGGAGTGGGAGGGGTGATGGTGGGGCGTGTACTCGGAGCGACCCTGGTCCTGCTTGTTGAGGTTGGGAGCGCCGGCGAGGATGTTCTTGATCAGTCGGCGGGTGGAGCGCCTGGACTCGACGGGAGGCGGGGCTTGCTGCTGCTGCTGCTGCTGCTGCTGCTGCTGCTGGAGCTGCGGCTGGGGTTGGTGATGCTGATGGTGGTGGTAAGCGAGGGGCGGTTGCGGGGGGTTGAAGGGCTTGGAGAGGTCTTCGTAGGAGGAGCCAAAGGAGGGGTTAGGCTGGACGGGGGTGGCTACTTGGTGATATCTCTGAGACTGCGATCTGGCGACAGCATCTGCGAATTCATGCGCAGCCTTGCGGACCCTCGCGTCGGGGACAGGGCTGGCGGTGTTGAGGGGGTGCAGCTGGTGCAATTGGTTTTGGTGATGGGACGACGAGTTTGGACTCGACGAGGCGGTGGAAGCTGACGAGTACAGGTGAGATGGCGGCGGCGGCGGTGGTTGGTTGGCAGCCCGCAGATCCTGGACGAAGGATTCAGAGGTGTTGCTGGAGGGGCCCAAGGCTGAAGAAGAGGTGGAGGAGGGGCCCTGAGATTGGGCTCCGACCAGATGGGACTGGGACCGGGACAGAGACTGGGACTGGGACTGGGACTGGGACTGAGAATGCGAATGGGAAATGGACTGGGCTTGACTGTGACCGAGACCGTGACCGTGACCGTGACCGGGACCGGGTTGAACGCCAGCGACGCCGGAAGTGGAAATGCCTTGGCCGGCAGCAGAGGCAGATGCAGACGAGACAGAGGCAGAAGAAGCACCTCCAGCGGAATCGACGCCGGCAGCAGCTTGCGAGGAGCCAGAAACGGCGGCGGGCCCAGCCGATTCAACCAGGTGTTGTTGAGATCGGTTGTTTGGTTTGGCGGAACGACCGAAAGGCATTATCATAATAAAGAAAACGGGGTAAGGCGGTCGCCGGCAGAGACAGGCGGCCTTCTTTATTTAGAAAACACTGGCTGCTTTTGGTCTTTGGGTCGCTGCGTTGCGCTGCGTTGCGTTGCGTCGCTGCGCTGCTGCTGAGCTGCTGAGCTGCTAAGCTGCTGCTACTGCTGCTGCTGTGCTGGGGCTGGCGTTGCGCTGCCGTCCGAATCCAGCCAAAGCACCCAAAAGGTTCGAGCTGCCCCCCAGCCCAAAGAGAGACTGAGCAGATCAGATCAGATCAGACCAGACCAGACCAGACCAGGCCACACCAGAGCACACACCAAGCCGAGGGTGAGGCAAGGCGAGGCAAAGGCAGGACAGGACAGGACAGGGCAGGCAGGGCAGGGCAAGGCAAAGCAAGGCAGGACAGGGCAGCACGACTCAAAGCAAGGCCCAGGGATTTTTCTGTTGTCACTGTCTTGTCACTCGTTCGCTCGCTCTCACTCCCTCAGCGAGAGATCCGAGCGCAAGCGCGACAGGCGGGGATCTGGACAGGTCTCGTGTGAGGCTTAGAGGCTTAGATATGTGAGTGTGAGATGAGATGAAAGGAGAGAAAGCGAATGAGAGGCGGGCTCTGGCGCTGGCGAGCTTGAAGGCCAGTGCAAGACAGGACAGGACAGGAAAGGATAGGATAGGACAGGAGAGGATGGGGTCGGATAGGGTAGGGTGTGGACAGGAGAAACTGTGGTGGTGATACCCGGTCTCTGCAGCCAGAATGTAAATGTTCCCACCTTCTCACGCCTGTGCCTGAGCCTGAGCCTGAGCCTAAGCCAGGGCAGAGCCCGGGTTGGCCTGCACACGGCGAAAGGACCGCGGTCTGGTGCTGATGACTGCTTCTGCGCGGTGGAGAATCTCACCCAACACAAGCACGAGTCCAACCAAGCTTGGAAGAGCTGGATAGGGAGGCAGATGCTACCTAGGTGGGAGGGAGAGGGGGGCGCGTGCGGGTGTCCATTCAGACGCCGACCCGAAGAGGAGCGCTTTTATTGCTGGGGGCAGTGCAGGAACATCGAGAAATCCTCTGCAGCTCACCGGCAGGAGAACCAGACCTCATCAGACCTGCTCCGTGTGCCACCAAGATGTCATGTCCAGCCTCAGCTTGGGCTGCAAGTCCCCACTTCGAGATACACCACCTCAGGAGCACGGGTGCAAGTAAGTGCGTGCGTGCGTGCGTGCCTGCACATGTACATGCACAGTACAATATGGCATGGTAAGGTAAGGCAATGGTATGATATGTATGGTAGGTATATGGTAGTATGGGGTATGGGGAGAACATGAAACAGGAAACAGAACAGAGAAGGATAATAATAACAACAACAATATACTGGGAGTCGTACCTTGGTACAGGTGGTATGTGCGTGGTGCTGCTGCTGCTTCTGCTGCGATGGAACCGTTCTCGATAAAAGCAAATCGATGTGTTTCATCTGGTGTCTTTTCGCTTTTGGCTTTTGGCTTTTCCCCTCCAGCCGTGGTGGCAACCTCACGATGACCGGTATTGAACAGATGCAGACATGCACCAGCCAAGCCACAATTGCCTGGAGGACTAGACGGAGAAGAATACGCGCCGTGGGGCCAAAATTCAAACACAACACAACGCAGGTTACTTGCTTGCTTGCTTGAGAAATATGTGTTGGAGAGGATGAACCGGGTCCAGCTAGTGCCCGTTGTTATCGAAGGATGGAAATTGACCCATATACTGGCATGGGCAGCAGAGTCAGCAAACAGTTCCTAGAGGTAGATCTTCCCCGCCCATTTCTGCCAGGCCCTGCTCAATCATCATCTTCTCCTCCTCCTCCTCCTGCATCTCGTCTCCACGTCTCGAGTCCGTTCTACCTCTTCTAGCAATTCAGCCCGGTCAACGGCCAACGGCCGACTCAACGGTCAGCGGGAGATTGTGTGGTAAGCAACTGCTACCCGTCTAGGCTGTCTGGCTGTGTAGGCCGGTAGACTATCTAATAGATCGCCGCCCAGCGTCAATCTTCTCTTGTCTCGGTCTGGGCCCCATGGGTAAGCTACTGACCTACTGTACTACTGTACCTGCAACAAGTATCCCGACCCCTGCTCGCATGCGTCCGTCAATGGCTCCGAAAGCCCTTCGCGGAAATACCAGCGCTCTCTGGAGACTTTCCGCTTGCAGTGTTCTGGTTCTGGCTGAACAGACCTCATTGACAGACCGCCGCCTTGGATAGTTCCGAGGGGGACACGTACTCCTGCCTGCTCCAGTCAGGCTGTCAGGCTGTTCAAGCTGTCCAGACTGTCCAGGCTGGGGCTGCCTATGTTGCGAATTGTCCGGCAAAGAACCGAACCTGGAGAGGGGACTGACTGGGACTTTGCCTCCACGTGTGTGCCTCCATCGACGGGAAAAGGCGCGTGGGAGTGGGTTCCAACAGCCACGCTAACGGCGGGGACCAACACCAACGCGACCCCCAACGGCCCAGCGAAGGCTGACGAGCTGACGAGCCGATAGGCGATGGCGGAACTGGAAAATGGGACTGAAATGCGCGAGAATTCATGGACCATATGGGCGCTCATGGCCCAAGCTCCCAGCGTCGCATCGCCATATCACTCCCCCCAGCTAACGTCACCAGTTCCCCGATTGACTTTTTTTCTTTCTTACTTTGCCTCACCTTCTTTCTCGTCCAGAGGACATAGCACCTTGGACCCTGAGTTGGCTTCTGTCAACATCAGACTATCAGTAATCACCACCGTGGCAGTAAGTTCTGGTGAAGCATCATGAAGCATCAGTCCTTGTTCCGTTCACGGCCGGAATGCAACCTTGACATGGTCACCACCGACAATCTTTTGGAAGCTCTTTGCTTGCCTTGCTGGGTCCCCATCCCACCATCCACCCTGCCTGTCACCTCAGCCCCGCCGCCCTCTATATTTAGCACCTTCTAGGTTTTAGGGGACCTCCACACCAACTCTCTTTTTGCCTGGTAATCGTCTTATGTCCTCCTGTGCGTGCCCCAGTGTTTACTAAGTGAGTGTGCGCCCCGAGGCGGTGACACCCGGCCAGTCGGCGTCGTTCTCGCCTCCGCAAACCCACGGGAAATACGCCTATGTTTCCCTTGCCTGCTACACACGCGTGCCATTCCTAGGTACCTCTACAGTACCACCCAATGACCACCCAATTACCACCCAGCTGTGAACAGTGGCGACACCGGAACTGCGTCAAATGAGTGATGTCAATTGACGTTCCCGGGGAAATAGGAACGCAGACATCCCACAATCCACAATCCACAATCCACGACCCTCAACCCGTTTCCGCCCCCCCCCTTTCTATCCCAAAAGAAACCTGTTCCACCCGCATGGCAGAGGGGTGGTCAGAACCGAAAAGAAAGAAGAAGGGCATCGCCCCAATGTGATGTTCCCGCTTCTGTGTACGTACGTACGTACTTTTCCTCCTCACTGCACGCCGCCACCCACGACACGACGCGGCCGAGGGCGCGCCGAGTGGGCTCCGCCGCCCGCTTGCATGAACAGGTCCGGACTAGCCCGGGCGGGCTCCCCAGACAATGCTGAGTCGTGATAGTTGCGCTTGACCCATCCCTAGGGGGTAGGGGGGATAAACTTTCGCGCATGGTGTTATGAGCTGAGCGTCTATCGTGCGCCTCAGCTGGTGGCGACGGGGCCAAGGATCAACACGTCTTTGGGGGGGAGGGGAGGGGACCTCGTCCCAGACGAGGTGGCCAGGGGGGACGGGGGAGAGCAGGTCTCGGCCGAATACATGTGCTAGGAGTGGCCTGCGCGTATAGGAGGATACACTCACGCCGTCAAAGGCACGGGCTCATCCTTGGGCGCGCGCCTTATGCGTGGTGCAGACACGGGCGTGCTACATCAGTCCCAGCGAGCTGATGTTGCCGCACGAATGGCCCGAAACGCTGACCCTGACTGCCAAGTATACCACCGACGGTGCCATCCTGAATACCTGGCTTGCCTCCAGGAAGCAGTCATGGCAAGGGGATGGTCGAGCGCTGTGGAGCGGCGAAGCAATAGTAGAATAAGAATAATGGGGGGCCCTTTAGATCACGGACGGCCAGAAGCAGAAGGCGGCGACACTGGGCCCCATGTAATTTACCTTCCGGGATAGTTGCCAATGTAATCCATAGCTATGCATGCTTTCTTGCGTTCTTACTTTCCCTGAGGCGTCTTTGCGAGCCAGACAAAACAGGTTACGAACCAATCAATCCCTTCCCGCTATTCACGACTGCCACCTGGCTCGGCTGGCAACCATCCGTACATTCGTATATCATACCAGCCACTGATGCCCAAACCCTTCCACCTTCCAGGACTTAAGAAGTAAAAACACAAAAGGGGAATTGAAACTTGGCCTTCCTCTCCAAAAGCTAGTTATAGAACAGCACTCCACAGCCTCGGCCCTCTCTTTCTTGACGGAGTCTGGCTCTATACCTCCCGGCCACCCTGCCTACCGACCCACCAAGAACAAGACGTCCAAGGACTGGAAGACGCAGCCAATATGCCCTTCTCGGAATGAGGACGAGCCTCGGGTCGGCCCTTGGTCACTGCCCACCTCAAAATGACACCAACGACGGGCTTTGACACAATTTCCTGCACAAAGCACGCACCGGGGTCTCCGAGGGAGGTGCCTCAAGACCCCGACTGACCGAGTTGAGCACTTCGACAATGCCCAAGCCGGTGTCTCCTGAGTTCGCCCTGAGGGGTTTGCCAGCCAGCGTATTGTCCGCCCCCACTTAAGCGATCCTAGGTCGGGGGTTCTTGCTGGACTCTGATAGCGGTTGCAGTCGTTGAACGTCCAACGATCTCGTCAAGCCTTGGCCCTCAGTGGCCCCAATGGTTGTTTTGACCGAAACCCTCCTCGAGCGTTCTCTCTTCCAGGTTCCGGATGAAGTCCCGATTGCTCCTGGCCCCTCCTCTCTGCGCCTGGCTACCCCTCCTGCCGCCGGCCCGTGCAGAAGCCGGATCTATAAGGCCACCTCCGTCCGCTGGTGGAGGATAGTATGCAGGGCTCGGCTGCAGCCGAATGGGCGCGTTGGGGTCGAGGTGGCTGGCGACCCTTTGTATCGCTGCCGGTATGCCGCTTTGTTGCTGTTCCATAGTCGAAGCCCGCTGCCGTCTCACCGCTTGCTGGTACATGCCGGGTTGCTGAGTTACTGCACTATAATTCGCGTTCGGCATCTGCGCGGGGTTCATGCCGACCTGGCTGTATGGATTCGGCTGCGAAGCATATGCAGGAGGCGGTCCAGCATGACTGGGCGAATACATGTTGTTTCCGCCGTAGGCCGGACCTGCGCCGTGGCTGGAAGAAGCATACTGGCCAGTGGCCATGGAGTAAGCTCCCTGGGCCGCTGTGTTGGCTTGTGCCTGAGCCGCCTGCGCCCTTTGCTTGCTTATCGCCTCGGCTTGCTGCTGCTGTTGCGTTCCAGGCGCCGGTGACCTGTTCAGTGAGCTTGCCTTGAGGTTCATCGGCGGTACGAAAGGACCGGTGAACTTGGTTTGAGTGATGAACGGATGGAGCTTAGCCTGCTGCGGTGACCACCTTTCCAGGGGGTTGATAGTGAGGAGACCTCTCACGAAGTCGATGAAGGCGATCCGATTGTTCATTTCTGTCACATGTCAGTATCGGCTGTCTTGATCCTGATGAGAGCTGGCCACATACCTCTTTCTATCTCGATCGGCTTCATGTTCTTCCGAGGCATGGGGTAGGACTTGATGATCTCAGGCAATGTCTCGGCCTGGAAGTACTTTTTGCTAGGCTGTTCTTTAGTGCCGTGTTCTCTCGAGTACTGCTCCATGCTCTTAAGGTGGTATGTCCGACGGCCGAATTCGTCCTGTCTCTTCTCGAAGAATTCGCCCGCTTGCTTGCCCATCTCGATCATCCAGTTTGGCGGGTTGCCGAGCATTTCAACGATTCGTGAGACCTGGTTGTATTCGGATGACCCCGGGAACAGTGGCAGGCCGAGGAAGAGCTCAACGACGATACAGCCGAGCGACCACATGTCTATTGCTGAAGAGTAGGGCAGGCCTAACAAGACCTCCGGCGAACGGTAAAATCTTGACTGGATGTACGTGTACACAGTCTGCCGCTCGTCGCATGCCGAACCGAAGTCGATAATCTTGATGATAGGGCTTTCGAGATTTTTCAGGAGAATGTTTTCGGGTTTCAGGTCACAGTGAATGAGGCGAGCTTTATTCAGAAGCGCCAGCCCGTTCAGGAGTTGTTGAGCGAAGACCCTGACCAACGTTGTGCTAAGACCGCGGAACTGGTTCTGCTTGATCAACTCGTACAGGTTGACACTGAGGAGCTCGAAGACCAGGCACAAATGCTGTTTGTGTATAAAGGTGTCTTTCAACCTCAGCAAATGATGATCATCGTTCTTGTCGAGTTTGGTGTTGAGCTGTGTAGATGTCAGCAAGGCACAGAAGCTCGCAACCGTAGGTAGACCTACCAGGTCCAGCACCGATACCTCCATCATACTCTGGTTGAAGTATGCAGTGCGGTTTTTGATGACCTTCACAGCGACAACCTCCTGGGTCTTCAGATTCTGGCATTTGACAACCTGACCGAATGTACCCTGACCCAAAACGTCCAATATCAAATACCGATTCCTGTTGTGAATGTTTAGCTGGCCGAGCCCTTGCCACGAGGGGTTTGGGTCAACTCACTTGTGCCCAGCTTCCTCCGAGCCGAGGATATCATTGACATAGAGGATGTAGTCACTGTCCTCATTGTCATAGCCATCATTTTTACAGCCTTTGCTCGGCTTCGTCAGGACTCGCCGCGGGTTGCGCGATGACTCGTACTTGAAGCTCGGGTTGCATATCCGGTATGTCGCTGGCAGATGGACGGTCAGGGCTTGAAGGGGCTGCAAGTTATTTGTCAGTCTGTGATTGTGGCCCAATATCCGGGACAAACAGGGGTGTGACCTACACTAATAAACCCGCCTTCTGGATTCGCTCGCCGGAAGGCTGGCTGCGTGTTTACCCTTGGTTGGAGATCTTGCGATGTCCTTATCTTCTTGAACTCGGGCACCGGCCCTTTGTTCACCACGGGGCCTGACGACATAGAAAGCATCCGTTTGGGAGATGTAGGATCATTCGGCCAGGTGTCTCCCCTTGGGCTCATGACACCGGCCTGGGGGAATTGTTCAAGACCAGCGGGGAAAGATGACATAGGCGGCAGCTGCTGCGATGCTTGCCGACTGTTCTGATAGTACGGACTCTGGGGCGAGTGGTAATCGGCCGACCGCGTCGGAGACTGTCGCGTCGTCGGGGGTGCAGAAAACTGGCCGCCTCCGGCTTTGGCGTACGGGGAGGTTGGGGACAGCACCTCCATGGGCGAGTATCGTTGGGCAGCGGCAGAGGTTTCCTGCGGGGAGTGCAGGGTGGACGATCGGCTGCCACTGGAGACGTGTGTCGAGTGGTGGGGCCGCATGGGCATTCTCATGCTCGCATAAGGATCGTTGGCGTCGGCCATGGCGACGTCGCCGTTGTTGTCGCGCAGCTGCGGAGTGGTGACGGGGGAGGTCGCGGAACTGGAGGCATGTGAACTGAGACCTCCCTGGAACTGGTCGTATTTGAATCCTGCGGGCGCCTGGGCCGGCGCTTGAGCTGGCTGGGCAGCGTAGCCTCTGGGGCCCATCTGGTCATTGTCATTGTATCGCCTTGTCGCGCCGGCAGGGTCGTGGTAGCCTGGCCCCCACTGATCCATGGCTGCGGCTAGTTGGTGACGTGAAAGCCACTGTCGGGATTGACGTCGCTATTCGAAGGTGGAAGGTCTGACGCGGATGGGGTGGGCGGTCGGACGGTGAGGCAAGTCGGCGGGTGGCAGATGGCAGGATCCTCAGGACAGAGGCCGTGCAGGAGAAACAACAGCGTTGTTGGGTTCGCCTCCGTCCCTCTCTTGGTCGAGAGATGGGAAGAGATGACGAACGTCCGGGATGCAGACCCTGGAGCAACGTCGATGGGCGGGCAGCAAGCACCGTTGTTATCGTTGGCTGGGGGGGAGGGTGCTAGGCGAGCAAAAAGTGGGTTGGGTTGTAGGTCGACTGCGAAGGGGAGGGGGATGACACCAGAACCAGAAACCAGAGGGACAAGGCCGCCCGGCGGAAATGACCTGGTTGAGCTGGGCCTGGGCCGATCAATTGGGCACAAACGCGTCCCAAGAAAGGTGCCGAGGCGAGACCCGTTGTCGAGTCGCTCTCTAGACGTTCATTATGGAATGGACGGGCACAGCACAGTAAACAATACGTCAGAGGCGGCGGTGGGTTCGCTGGCGGTTGTTGCTGATGATGCTGTTGAGATGGGCGGGCTTGGAGTCGTTTGAAAAGCGTGCCACTGCTTTTTGGCAGTTTCAATGCCAGTCCAGAATGTCTGGGCACACAATGGGGGGGTGGGAGGACGGGGACTGGGACGGGGACGGGGGTGCGAGTGAATGAGAGGGAGAGGAAGAGAGGGAGCAACGCTGTCCCGCGGGCGCCAAGCCCCAGTCAGTCAGTCAGTCAGTCAGACAGACAGACAGACAGACAGACAGACCGACCGACCTGGATAGAGAGCGGGCTAGCAGCACCTAAGGTCAAGCAGCAGAAGAGGCTGCTTGCTCACTGATCTCAGTGAGCAAAGCTGGGGCAGCTGGGCAAAGCCGGCCAGAGGGGCCGGGAGAGCTGAGCTGGGTTGGGTGCACAGCAAGACCAAGACAGCAAGGTAACCTTCTAAGGTTGGTCGAGGAAACCTTGGGACCTACAGCTTGGCTGGGGTTGGGCACTAACAGGCGCCAGCTCATTTCCAACCTCGTGCGCGACGTAGCACAGTGTGGATCCGTTTTCATCGCGGGGCTGTTGGGGCCCAGTTGGGACTGTCACTCACACGGTACAGTCTGTGCCGGACTCTTTGCCAGAGCAAGCCATCACAACCACCGGCACCTCAGGATTCCTGCCAATCGTTGCTCCTAGAGTCATGACCACCCGAGCAGCCGACCATGATACGTCCGAATACCAGCACTATTTCAACCGCTCTATAGCTGCCCGTGGCCATCCCGAGTCATTTACATCTGCTGCAGTCGATGCTGACAGCCTCTTGAGGAGGGGGGGACTGGTGCCGGTAACTCAAGAGCCGTCTCACCAACGTCAGCCAGGTTTCGGAAGCATCGATTACGACAATCATGACGAGGTCCTCTGCACCCTGGACCAAATGCACCCGATGCCACCTCGTAGTTAGCACCACAGTCTACCTACTCAGAGCTCAGAATCACCTCGCACAGCTACGCGGCGCTGCTGGCCTATCACCCATTCATTCGACTCGCTCGCTCGCTCGCTCGTACTGAACAGGTCGATACACAGCCCTTGACTCCATCTCCCGCCAAAGAAAGGAAAAGACAAGAAACCCAGGAATGCCACCAGCAACAGTCGAAACGAGGAGCAGAAAAGAGGTATGAATTTGCAGTCAACGTGAGAAGTAGAGAAATTCGTAAAGTCATCCCAAAGTATAACATCTTCACAGACGAGCCACCTCGATGGTCTCGTTTGCATATCAAAATTGGAAAGTGAGCTCCCCATGTAGGACCCGAAAACGTTCCCAGCAGCGTGAAGACAAATGTGGTATCCAGCGTACGAATGAAAGCACACGCAACCTGATAATTTTGTGACAGCGGACAGTCAGGAAAACCCTCCAGGGCGCGGAACGGGACATCCGGCAACTATGATCTGAACAGAAACGTGGAACTTTGATGTGGAATACATGAGAACGAAATTTCCTCTGCGATTCACCAGCAATGTCAAGACATCGAGACTGCCCAGCACCGATGCCATCAAAGTTCTTCAATCATTCCCACGCTCTTAAAATGCTTGCAGAATATCCCACGGAAAAGAGTTGTTGGAAGAGTAGAGAGGCGCCAATAAACTTGGAACTGATGTTGGAATTGATGCTGTAATTCATGTAAAGGGGCAATGGTCGACAAGTGGGCATTTGTTCCTGCCATTTCTTTTCTGAACCATTTAAGCGCGACAAAGAACGAACCCGGGTGTTGTGATACCTTGTTCGCTTTGTTCGCCAGAGGTTTAGCCCTGGTAGCCGCCATAGGCAGCGTTGGGCCCCTGAGGTGGTGCCCACTGGGCATTGGGTAGCTGCTGGCCACGACCATAGCCACCGGCGCTCGGTGGTCCGCTGAAGCCCATCTGAGGTCCATAACCTGCAGGGGACTGAGCGGCCGGACCACCGTAGTTACCTTGCTGTCCGTACTGCGCTGCGGGGGAAGTCAGCGACATGACAGAGCATCCAACGGGGTTGGTAAAGCGGGCTATCTCACCTCCTGCATATTGCGGAAAGTAGGTGTTGGGGGTGCCGGGGAAGGCAGAAGCCTGAGCACTCTGGGGGCTGTAGGCTTGATTGGGATCGAAGCCGCCCGGAGGGTTGCTAGGAGTCTTGTCCTTGCCCCACTTGTGAGAGGATTAGCATCTGTTCAGTGGTTATGTCGAAAGAGGTTTCCGGAATGGTACTCACGCTACACTTCAGAGGCCTGCCATTGACGTTGTAGCCATTGAGTTGGCAGATCGCCATTGCAGCGTTCTCATGCGAATCCATTTTAATGAAAGCAAAACCACGATCAGCCTGGAAGCGTGACTCAACGACGTAACCGAAGTTCGAAAAGAGGGGAACCAGGTCATTCTGCGTGGTGTAAGGGGTCAGATTGCCAACGTAGCAAGTCGTCTGCCATGCCGGTGTCTGGTTCACGATCATGTCGTAGCTGTGAACTCCGTGGGTTGGGAAGTGGTGGTGGCCATAGGGAGTCGTGGGAGTCATGCCCATCGACTGCATTGCCTGCTGCTGTGCGATAGATGGCTGACCCTTTTGATTCGCCCAGTTACAGCGAATCGCACGCGAACCAAGCCACTCGCCGTCCATCGAGCTGAGAGCCTTCTCCGCTTCACCACGGTCTCGGAACGCCACAAATCCATAGCCACGGGAACGTCCGGTCTTCATATCCCACATGACCCGGGCTTCAGAGACGGAGCCGAATGCAGAGAAGGCTTGGAGGAGGACCTCGTCGTTCACTTCGTTCGACAAATCACCAACGAAGATATGAAAGTGGTTTGAGGTATCCTCCTTGTTGGCCGTGTTGGACTGATAGGCCCAGTTGACACGGATCTCCTGTACAAGGTGTTAATTTCCAAAAGGGTTAAGCAACACATCTTTCTGCTTTACGCACCATCTGGTGAACACGTCGACCGTTCAAAGTCTGCATGGCACGCTCGGCCGCGCCAGGGTCATCGTACTCAACGAAGCCATAGTTGAAGCCCTTGTTCTAGGCAACAAAAGTCAGCAACTCGGAAGCAAATAGCAAATGGCAGGCAGTTTCTCCACTAACATTCTTGTCTGGAATGATCTTGACATTCTGCACATGACCAGTAGTCTCAAAGATCTGACGGAGAACATCCTCAGTCACGCGAGGGTCTAGACCACCAACATAGAGAGCTCTTTTATTGGGCTCGGGAGCGGCACGCCGAACGAAAGGGTTGGCACTGCCTGGAGACGTGATGGTGTTTCCAGTCATGGGCGACGTGATCGCGGTCGGGATGGGGTTCGTGTTGGGCGGGATGTGCAGAGGAGGTGGTGGCATATGGCTCCCAGAGCCACCGTTCTGGCCATTCTCATAGCCAGGAGCCCCGGCATTGGGCTGCGGGGGAGGAGGCAGCTGAGCACCAGGAGGACCAGGCTCGGCCATCTTGATCAGCTTGGTGACAGGAACACTTCGGGAAGGTTGGTGACAGCTTAAGAGGCAGGTTTTGCTAAAAGCAACCCCTGGATTAAACCAAAGTGATCCACGACGCGCGAACAAGAACGTGGGGGCAAAACTGCAGAAGAAAGTACTTTCTCCTGTATCACCTCGCAGATCTCTGAAAAGTATAACCCTTTGAGCCTCTGGAGACCGATATCTAGTCTGGTCTTTTGGTCGGATGGCCTTTTGTCTTGAGCAAATTCCTCAACCAAGCTCTGGAGAGACACACAACAGGGTATGTGTCGTGCTACTGGCTGCGCTGCGATATCAAGCGGCGGCTGCCCAAGCTAGACAGCAGCGGGAAGAGCTCAGTCGACGAAAGGAAATATTCGCACACGATGATAAGCTGAAGCTGACAGGAGATGCGAGAAACGGAAGACGAAGAATCCCGACGCTCGAAGAGGATTCGGAGGTGATGTCGACCAAGAGAGACGAGCAGCGGAAGCAGCTAGAGATATGATGGAGACGGAAGACGGAGATATCGACTGAGGAGACCCGAGGAAAGCAGACGGCACTGGTGGACTGACGACTAGCAGAGCAGGAAACGACGAAGATAGGAGAGAGAGAGAAGGAGAGAAGGAGAGAAAGGAGACGGCCGTAAAAGAGGAGGAATCCCCCTGAAAAGACTTTACTGCAGCAGCCGATCCAGAGAAGTTGAAGACGTGGTGTTCTCTGCTTCTTAGAGGAGAAGAGCAAGGCAAAAGGGAGGTGAGCAAAGTGAGGAGAAAAGAAAGAGCACCCAATGAAATAGTGGGGGAAGGACGGTCTTCCTTCCAATCATGCGATCTGCCCAAGTTGGGGGTGGGAGGGGCAGAGCTGTCAAGCAAGCCAGCCTGACCCTTGGGCATTGGGGGACAGCTTCTCATGCCTCAGGGGTAAAACGGGACGGCAAACCACAGCTCTTCTTCACCACCACGACTACCATCACCCGTCAACACTCCCCCAGGTGTTGGATTATCAAGTGATTCGCAGGTGCTCAATTCCGCTCTTGATTTTCGCGAGTTTCCTTTAGTGAGAAGGGTCTTCCGTCATATATCATCGACGCGTGCGTCGTACAGTGATTCATGGGTTTGTTTGACTGGCGCTACACATCAAGCACACCTGGGCTACAAGACAGCCCTCTCTTAAACCCTATGCTAGGGATGCATGATGGAATCTCACCAGTTCAATTTATTGGCGGGATCAAGCCACCAGCGTGGAACGTGGCATGACTGTACAAGCTGTGAAGGGTAGTACCTGATGACGTGCCATTTCGCCCAGGGCCCGTTACAAGGGTTCCCTTGAGCCTTGCTGTAGAGCACGTTCACAAGGGTCCTTCTTCCGTGATCAGCACAACCAAATACGGCCACGGCATGTGCCCAAAGTAAAAACATCAGAGACGGTCCATCGATATGAGTAGGCCTGGTGTAACCAATAGAGCATGCGCATTTCTGGGAAACTGGCATCAATGAAATGAACGGAAGATGTGCAGATTATGGTTTGGGTCGCTAAATCTGGAGAAACAAGTACAGTAAATTCAATGGGCGAAAAGAATGTTTATGGACATAACAGTCAGGATAAGGTATCCACTGATGAGGAGACACAGCACATCAGATGAACGGTCTTGATCGCTCACATAGTAGTCTACGGATTGAAACATACCACCCAACTGGTTTCAAACTTGTTTCCTGCACATCATAAACTCAAAACAACGTCTCGGACAGCTGTAAGGCTGTAGTATACATATTGGTGCACTAAGGTCCTTCTCTGTGGATACATGCATATCTAATTCTACATTTTTAACAACTACTCCCACTCTCACTCCCTCTGCTTACATCTGCGCCTAAACCAATGCCTTTTGCCCGCCCCCTTATCACAGCCTGCAATGCATGTCCGACGGCACTAAGATCCCCTAGAATCGAAATGTGCCCCTTATCCGTAGAGATCCTGCCGCCTTTTGCAATCTCGTAACCCGGAGGCGGCATTGCCTGTTTGGCCAGAACCACACCATCACCGGATCCAAAGGCCAGGTTGTCGTACGCATCCTGGCACGGTATTGCCTCGCGGCATGCCACTCGCGCCGCAAAAACGGTCGGGATCTCCTTGCCGTAGATGACAGCTATGGGAGGATATGCATTAGCGGATTGGTGTGCCGGGTTGTGCTGGAGCTCCGCACGGAAGCGTTTGGTGTCGGCCAAAGTGCGTGCGAGGTACGCGAGGTTCTTGGCGCGGTCTGATTTGTCCTTGGGGGAGACTGCGTATTTTTCTTCTTGCTGTTGTTCCGTTGACGAGGATGAAGTATCCATCTGGGGCGCAAGTGTCCGGTCTTTCGCTAACTTGCGTTGGGGAGAGGCATTTGGCCCCGGTCTCTTAGCTGCAGGATCGCTAGAACTCCGGCCGCGGGATATGGACAATTCTGAGAGACTGAGAAACGAGCCCAGGGGCCCACTACGCTTTGCCGTGAACGGTGGCAGGGCTGGGTCGCTCACGCTTGGGCAGAGGCGGTACTTCACCCATGCATTTGTATCATAGAAATCCACAGGATACTCTTCGTTCGTGACCTTGTCGATGAAACAATATCCGTCCTCTGGGAGGAACACCCAGGTTGTTCGGAGGGTGAAGTTGACGTGTGCCGTCAGCACCTTCTCGTTCAGTAGCACCGCGTCGCCATTTCTCAATGGCCCAAGGATGTTGATACACCGTTGTGGCGCTCCAGCATACACAACACCAGAAAACAATTCTGGTGCTTCATTTACAGCATGCCGGGTTATCACGCCACCCAAGGAGTGAGCGATCACCAACGCTCCACTGCGGTTTTCACCTCGGTTTGACGGAAGTCTTCTGAGAAACTCAATCAACTTCCTGGAAAGGAGATGAGGGCTGAGTCGCCAGTCGTAGCCATAATCATGAACCCTCAGCTTTCCATTTCTCACATTTTCGCACTCGCGGAGTCGCTTGAAGAGCCTTTTGGAAATGTCCACTGGACCGATGTTTTTCAGCATCCCAGACGGGATAATCGACTTTTCCATGTTTTCCTCATCCTCTGGATTTAGTCCGACTTCGAGGTTGACTTTCCTCACTTTTAAGCCAACTTTCATGGGCACCCATAGCTGTCTATGTGGCGGTTCAGCAGACCGGAGGATCGAACCCCGGTATCCACCCATGATGACGAGGTCACCTGTGAGATGCTCAAGAACACTATCCAGCGGATCCCTGGGACCCTTGATGGTCCTCATGGAGCCTGATCTGCTGGAATCGAGATTGATCTCTGACGCCGAGAACTCGCTCTTCTTGAGAGGAGACAGCAGAGTGCTTGGTATGCTGGGTAACTTGAATGAGGGCGTATCAAAGGAATCCACGATTGCCTTGAATCTCGAATTGACCTGCTCACGCACGTGCGTGAACCGCTGGTCATCACCAAACGAAGACATGCGCGATAGCGAGTGGTACAGCATGGAGTCGTCAGACGTTGATCTCCTGAGAGCCAATGATTTCCTAGACACATTGGACGGTCGACGAGTGATCCCTGTGTTTCTGTTCGCGTCACGCTGAGAGGGCGACGGCTTGCTCGGGATGGTCATTGGGAACGTACTGGCCTGCCCGGAGTTCCCAAGTCGCGGAGATTGGGAGAGTGGCGTGTGCTTCGGCGTCGGATCTCTCGACTCTGACCTCGACGATGTGGAAGCCGAGGAAAAGAAGGAGGGAGTGGGCAGGCGGTTGGGCATGAAGTTGGTGGGCAGAGATATTGAAGGGAGAGCTTTGGACAGCCGCCTCAAAGCCTCTGCTCCACCAGAAGAGGACCTCCGATGCCGTGACTGAGAAAACACGCTTGCCAAAGCTGGTTTGTGGCTCTCTGAGGTTGAGGATGTCACGACGATCTCCTTAGGACCTGTTTTCCAAGGCGTCGGTAAAGGCTCCATAGGTCGCGGCTGGGGCGGCGGTATTGACGTCTTTGGCGGCAATGTGGGCTCAGCAGCAGCCCTGTCCTGTGTCTTGTCATCTCCCTGGCGTCGTGGCTGTTCCCGTGTTGGCGTGTCATCACCCGATGAATTCTCCCTACTTATACTCGCGCCATCGAAATACCCGGCGATTACTTGGTCCATGGATTTATGCTCCTTGCTTGCTCCGGCGTCGTTGAAATAGCCGTCGATGATCTTATCCATCGCAGCTGCCTTCTCGGCGGCCGGGGTCTTGGGCGACGTAAGATATGTCACAACCGGACTCAAAGCCGGCTGGATGAAAGATTGAGCAGCATCCTCGCCATAAAGATCCTCCTCTCCCTCTGAACCATCGGCAGGCGGACTGGGGTTTGGATCGTCCGGAGTTTGGGACCCGAGGCGAGGGGTCTTCAGAGAAGCATCACTCATCTCATCGCCGCGTCTAGCGAGTGAGTCTGCAGCAATGTGTACAGCCATTGTAAATCTGGTCGCTAACCTAGGATCCTCGGCCTCGTGGTGGTGTTGTACCGGAGCCAACAGGGTGTGCAGCCGGCGATTCCGGTTAGACGAAAAAGTCGGCAGCGACCAGCCAAGGCCAACATCAACGGTCGGTAGCCGAGGATGGAAGAGGCGGAGAAGACGGTGAGGCCACGATTCGCAGGGCTCGGCAACTTGAGAGATGAGCGTGCTGAATCTAATAAAACAACAGAGACGCTGAGAGGAATGAGTTCTCAGAGACCGAGTTTAGGTGATGTAATGAGAGGTATATTTAACGTGCGGAGGCAAGCCGAAGGGATAATCATGTACAGTGAGCGGCTCATTAGGATCCGGAGGCCACGGCACGGGTTAGGTTGGACTGAGAGCTAGAGTGGACTGGGGACGAGAATTAATTGGGACGAGCAAGGTTGAGGCAGTTGAGGCCGAAGTCCGACAGTTTCTGAAATGAGCAACTCGCTCGGAGCAGAGAGAAATACCAGACAGTCAGAGAGACGGTCAGGGGGTCAGACAGAGACACAAACAAATAGACAGACAGCCAGAGAGACAGACAGAGAGTCAGAGAGTCAGACAGACAAGAGAGAGATGGATTGCTTATGCGAGACTCAGCCGCTTCCCCACAGAATGGGACTGGCTAGGTGGTGCTGGCTGATAGGTGTCAAGTGCGGATTCGGGTTGGGTTGTTTGTGATTGCGGTTGGAATTGGATCTGGCGCCAACGATCCGCATCCAGATGCAGCTCCAGCCCCAGATCCAGCAGGAAGGAGCGGTGCCTCGACCGTGCGTTCGTGCGTCTCGAGTGAGGTGCCACCTCATCATAGCCGACAGCGACAGGCCGACTGTTACTGGCTGACGAACTGCTGGGCCCTGGTTGCCTCCATCGAGGTGGCACGCTTGCTCCATCCATTCATCCGTCCTTCATTATTCGTATACGTATGGGTATAAAATCAAAAGACTGGTATCCCGAGCCCCTAGGAGAATCAAGCAACAGCAAGGACAGGACTGGGCAATTTCAGGCCCAGGGGTCCTCTACTCTAGTCTGCGCTGGCCAGCTGACGTCATGGGGAATCGTAGCCTCAGTTGGACTTGGACTGGCAGACAGGCAACAACCATGCCCCCTCGACTGTCGTTGTACAACAACAACCACCAAAGATGATGTTGTGTATAGTAACAGCCAGTATTGGCGATCGCTGCGAACCATCCTCTTATGCACGCTCTTGACTGGTTGTGCATCTTGGTCTGCATGACCATGTGCATAAATAGACGCCAACTTGCAGATGCCAAGCAGGGGCAGCCGAGCAAAGAACTGTCAGCTCTGCCGCAGATGTGATCGACTCAGCTTACTGTACTTAGTCCGCGGTCTAATCATACGGTACACAAGCTTGAAACGGCCATAGATAGTACTGGTGAACACCAACAATGGCGCCTCTCTTGAACTTAGTGCTTTGGCATCTGAGTTGGTTCACCTCGCTGTGGACATTGCTTTCCAGACCATTCATGGACCACAACATTCTATGCCGTCCCAAGATACGGGGCCTATTTCTCCGGGCGGGCGGCCGCAAGACGCCGAAAGCCCGGGGTCTATATCATGAACACAACATTTCCCCGTACGAAGAGTACAGTCCATAGCAAATGCTCGTTGATGGGAAGTGGTGAGTGATATGCGAGAGTTTGAGGCCCACAGAGCCGAAGAGTAGATTGTCTTGATCAAATCACAGCCTGCAGCTCTCTACAGCACATTTCACTCCAGACGCAGAGACGGTCAGATTCTCGATGTTCTCACCCCTCCCCTCCTCGGCTGGAGATGGTGGTATCCTGCACAGTATCATCATTATAGTCCACCTCGCATTACACACCCAATGTACATGAGCCGTCATCTCCTGGTTGCCGCCCACAACCTTCCCTCAAGCAGACTGAGGAACAAGGCTAAACTTACCGCCATCGATATCCTTGGTTTTCTGAACAGCCTTCTGCCATCCAGCCTGGGACTCTAGTCGGTCCATGTCTTCGAAGTGTCAGCAACCTGCGGTCGATCCTGAACTCTTGGCTTACAGAGTGCTTTTCGGGCAAAAGAATTGGAGCCCGAAAGAGGAGAGAGCTTGAACATACATGCATACACCTTGGGGAAGGTCTCCTTGGCTGTGCCCTTCGCAAACTTGCCCATGCCATCGAAGCCCGACTGGCCTGCAAGCAGCGGGTAGCTCATGATAATATCGGCTGCTGTCAGGTCCGGTCCTGTGAGAAAGTCCCCGCCTGAAGTCTCCAGCTGCTTCTCCAGGAATGCCAGGTGCCTCTTGACGTTGGGAAATACCATCATCGCAATGATACGGTTGGCAATGGCTGAGGAGATGGGCCGAACGAAGAAAGGAACCTGGTTAGACTTGAGGGCTAGATGATCTCGATCAGCCAGTATCACTCATAGTGAACGTGGGGTGGGCCGGGCATACCAGACAAAACCAGGTACATCACCAAGTTTGGCATAAATGATCCCTCTGAGTAGTGAAGGAGGTACGAGTAGCGCATCCAAGCCTCCGTCTCCCCAAGCACCTTCCCCTCCTGTCCGTCCTTCCACCGCTTCGGAACAAGTGTCTTGCCCTGAGCAAAGTGGTCGCATAGGTACTGAAAAATGAATCCAGACTCGGCCAGGACCACCGGTTCTGATGAACCTGGCGCCGTAACAGTCACGACAGGGGACTTCCCAAGGGGGTGGACCTTTTCGAGCTCAGGAGGTGCAAGCATGTTGGGCTGCCGATGGTACACTTGGACATCGTACGAGATTTGAAGCTCCTCCAGAAGCCAAAGTATAGAGTTGGCTCGGGAACCATTGAGCCTGGCAGTTGTGCCTGTCAGTTAATGAAGCCGCACGGGCATTGGGAGCCACAGAGAGGGCAAATGCGCACCAGTGAAGCGTGATCTTCGGTTGTTCCGCCATTGTTACTCCTCAGAAGCAAGCTTGATCAAGATGAATGCACACAGATGGCTCGGGAAAGGGACAAACACACGAAACCAAGAGGTAGTCTCAGGATCGGATGTTATGAGAACGGATGGGACCGGACGCTTGGAGCTATGATGCTTTGATGCGGTATAGCTCGGCCGTTTTAGCTCTGCAGCTCACAGGCCGTAACACAAGGCCGAAGATCTACAGCACAACAGCCGAGGCTCCTGCAACGGCGACACCAAAATGCTGCTGAGCCTCGGAGGACAACCCTTGCAAGACAATTCTCGCAGACCCTAGGGCGATTGAATTGCTTCTACGAATGGCGGAGAAAGAATATCTGGTCAGAGTGCAGTCACCAACCGTGAACAACAAGTAAATGTCCGGGCCTGCAGCCAAAGCATAATCCTCATGAGAGAAATTTGGAGATTGCCATCGTCCGAAGCTTTCACGGAACAATTGATTTCCCACTTTCCCAGTAATCTGCCTCTCAAGCATGCTGTTCTGAAGAAGATTTGCCAATGATAGGAAGATAGTCATGCATAAGAATTATCTTGTCAGGGATAGAAATGAATGAGGGCCAAGAAAGTTCAAACTGCACGCGATGCACATGTCAGTCCTCTGTGACGGCCCACACTAAATGGGGAATGAGACTCTTGCACATTGCACATAATCGATCCTGTGGCTACTGTAGGTATGCGCTAAGAAATAGTATGCATATAGAGGGGAAGGTGGATATCAGGATGTGTCTGAGGAAGTTGCCAGGCTGCACAAAGTACTCCTCACTGCAATGGTGTACTATGCAATGATAGGGGTATATGTAACTACAGTGTACGGGACCCACCCTCCATCCCATGCTCGATTCATCGACGACCGGTCAACCGCCCTCACCTGCGAACCCAAGCCTACCTTCCAAGAAGCGATACTCCCCCCAACCATCGCCACTGCCACCTTTAAACGAGTCCACGGGGCAAATCAGTCAATATGGCGGGCCTCAAACATTTCAGTACGCCAACCAACTCCTTCAATGGCACATGTTACGCGAAATGCTGACCTCCCTCCGCAGAGCTGGCCATGGATCCGGCCATCATCCGGCTGAACAGTACGACGACCCTTCCCCCACGAAGATATCCCTGATAGCTACGCGATGAGCTTTCTATTCTGGGTGATGTAGGACGACCTTCTGACACGTGCCCGACCGACAGACATGAGCTCGAACCGGTACCAGTACTTCCGGTGGACACGACGGACGGCGCTGATCACATTCAACTACGTGATTCTGGTACCAGCGATAATCGGGGTCGCAGCCTACGCTACAGATGTATGTGAAAACTTGAGAGCGAGATTGTTCCCGGAGCTGTGGAATCGGGAAGCTGACTTGACTGGCGACAATTACAGGGCAAGTGGAACTTCAGGGCGAAGAGGAAAGGAGACCTGCTTGCTGAGTACTAGACGGGTGTTGTGGCTTCGCATGGGGGATTTGCACATCAGAGCATGCATATACAGGGCGAAGAATACGAGAATGAATCGTCAACCAACATTACTATTTATGCTGGGGCTGTGCTGCACCTCAGGCCTGTCCACCAGAACTCCATGCCGAACAAGAACCAATCGGGATATCATGATACAATAACACCTTGCTCATCGAAACAATCCGACACCGCACAAACCTTGCGGCCACTCATTTGAGATCCTAGCAGGAGCCTCTAACAGGAGGTCATTAACTGTATCCGCAGGGTGCTTCCCGCTGCCGAGGGGACCTATGCCTTGACGATCGCCTCTGTCCTCCCACGTAGTCTCTTGCCGAAAGTAGTCGCATGAGCGATCCGCCTACTCACCACCGTCTACCTCCTCTGCCTCGCCCAGGAGGTCCCTCAGGAAGCTTTTCCCCCCTGCGCCACTCACCGACCGGCGGCGCGCGGAAGCTGGCGCCACCTGCGGCTCTGGTCCCATACATGTTCGCAGACCAGCCATCCCGGCCCCTGCTCATCGGCGGCGGCCCAGGATCGACCACGCTCCTCGCTTGTCCTGCGCCGTATCCCCGCCCGGCTCTCGCCGCCGAGGCGGGCTGCACACTCCCGTCCGCCGGAGAGGGCGGCAGTATCGCGCACGAAAGGTAGTCGCCGACCACGAACCGCGCGTCGGCCAGTGACTTTGCGCTCTCGGCGGCCGAGCCTACTGTAGCGCCCATCCGTAGCCTGCCTTCCTCTGTCTCCCCGCCGACATCGTCCGTGTCTGTCGATATCCCCGGCCCGCCGTCGCCTATCACTACCGAGCCCAGGTCCTTCACGACGCAGCGCGCCGGCGCCTGGTCCTGATCTCCCGCGCCGCCGCGTGTATCGTAGTAGAGGAGGCGAAAGGCCAGCCGTGTGCCTATGGCCGGCGAGGGGAGCAGGTGTGGCGCGGTGGCAGCGAGCTGCTGGCTGAGTTCGGCAAGGGTCGCTGAGGGCCAGGTGTGGAAGGCAATGTGAGGGAGGTTGTGAGGCGCCGAGAACTCGTCTGGCCTGTTGAGTAGTTAGTATAGTGGCAAGATTGGCTGGCTGGCTGCAAAGGTGACGGACCTGTGGAAGGCGCCAGTCCTGTAAAAGACCTTCAGTAGAAACGGGGTGGTCGCATCACGGTCGACTTTGTCTGCTGGATCCATGACCGCCAAAGGCCCTAGTTGCGCGGGTCTTTTTCTCTAGAGCTCTGCCAGGATCAAGCTGCGTTGCCACTCAGAGATGGATAGTTCCGTTCAGGTTTGCTCCATTCGTATTTATCGAGGTTGCTGGCGTTCTCCTGCAAGCTTCGTAGGGCGGGATGCAGGACCTCGTCATAGCTGGAATGTGCCATAGAAAGCCCCGAGGGTGAAGCTCAGGTGGAAACAAGCTTCCCGGGCGCGTGGGGAACCCTGTCCACAGTGGCCCCGGCCGCGGAACGAGCTTCTAGAAGCTAGAATTTAGGCGCGGCTTCAGCCTCGGCAGGCATTTGACCTCGTGCCCTGACTACCGCATATTCAAGATCCAAATATCTACTGACCGTACTCACGACTCACCCTCAACCCGCTTTTCGGTGCCAAAGATCAACACTCGAATTGCAGAAGCAAACAAAACGAGGCCAAAATGGACTTCGCGGCGTTGATGTCCCAAGAACTCGCCAAAAAGAAAGGTCCATCCCCGTCCGAGTCCAAAACAGCCGCCGACACATCGTCCAAATACGTGCGCAAGGCCGACGCCGAAGCCGCAAGGCAAGAAGCATACCTCGCCGAACAGAAGCGACTCGCAGAAGAAAAAGAAGCCAAGGCCGCCGCAAAACGAAAACGCGAGGAGGATGCCGCAGAAGAGGCGAAAGCAAGAGAGGAGAAGCGCCGGAAGCTCGCCGAGGAATCAAGACGGCGCAGGGAGGAAAAGGAGGCCGAGGAGGAGCGCGCGCGGCGGAAGAGGCTTGGCCTGCCGGAACTGAAGCGTGAAGACGGGGCGTCGGCCTCCGGCTCCGGCGGCGAGGAGGATGACGGGCAGGACGAGGCGTCCGGGCTGACGGACGACGAGCTCACGGCCAAGCTGCGGTCCCTGGGCGAGCCGGCGGCGCTGTTCGGCGAGACGCGGGCTGCAAAATTGAAGCGCTACCGCAAGCTCACGACGACGGTGACGCAGGGGCCAATCCCGACAACGCTGCAGCTGGTGGAGGAGAAGGACATGAAGGTGCCGGACGAGATCCCGGCCGCGGGCGACAGGGAGGCGCGGAGGTGGCTCTACCGCCAGCTGGCGTCCTACTTCACGATGGTGCTGCGGGAGTGGGAGCTCGCGCTGGCGAGGGAGCGGGCCCAGGCCGGCGGCGAGTTCGAGACCACCGCTGCGAAGCAGGCGTACAACACTATGGTGCAGTGCAAGCAGACCATGACGCCCCTGTTCCGCAGGTTCGAGAAGGCCGACCTGGACGAGGACGTGCTCAAGCCCGTCGTGGAGATTGTCAGGGCCGCCCAGGAGCGGCGCTACGTGGATGCCAACGACGGCTATCTGAGGCTTAGCATCGGAAAGGCAGCGTGGCCCATTGGTGTGACCATGGTGGGTATCCACGAGCGAAGCGCCCGTGAGAAGCTTCACAATGGTGAGAGAGGCCATGTCATGGGTGACGAGGTCACGAGAAAGTACCTGCAGAGCATCAAACGGTGTTTGACTTTTGCGCAGGTAAGATGGCCGCCTGAGGATGTGAGGCAGCTGATGGGCTAAGGGAACAGGCCCAGCATACCAAGTAGATTGGTAGGAACTCCAATGCATAGCGTAATTATTTCCACGAAGTTATCGTCCAGTTTATGGACTGCCTAATCAATCCTGGATGCTTCTTACTCTAATAATGCACACACAAAACAAAATTGGGTCTCTTCCTGTGTTTTCCCGACTCCTAACGCCTCCGCAATTGGTTGGGACATCTTGCTCATGAAATCAAATCGCTGATCGCGATCGAGGATCCTCCAAGAATCTGGGTATCAGGGTAGTCACCCAGTCCACCCTCATTCGGACCATCTCCCCATCTTGGGCCAGTGCCCTGCAAGGCCCCAACACCAGCCGAGCCCTGGTTCTTGTGCTTTCCCTTGACCTCAAGATCTGCAGACACGATGCCTATTCGCCGGATGCGATCCAGAGCCTCCTTCTCGTAGTTCTTTGCAGCAGCCAGAGCCGCCGCCTGCATCTTCGCACGAGGATTTGGAGAGGTGATAGTCACAACCTAGTAGATCATCAGCATGCTGTCATGGAAACAAATGCGCCGGGGGGTGTAGGCTTACCCTGTCGATAGCGTCAATGCGAGCATCCAAAGTGCCATTCCCAATCATATCCACCAGCTCTCGGTCAATCGATCCTCCAGGTGGAGAAAACGCAGCGTTCAAATTGTCGATCGTGACGCAAGAGAAGGGCTGCACAAAGTGGAAGATACACTTGCCACGGATCACAGTGTACAGATGCTTAAGATGAGGCTGCAGGTTGATGTCGAGGAGATAGTCTGAGTGGTAAGACTCGAGGATGGACAAGCAGGCCGAGTATCTGCCGTTGACGAACTGAGAGATGGCCCTTCGAATATGGGGCTCGAGCTCGAGGTACGTGCGGAAGCTCGAGTTGTCCAGGACTCCGCTGAGCTCTGGTCGGCTCATAGTGGCTAGTGCCAGCAGACCTCCATAGACTGCGATGTCGTTGGGACTGGCGAACTCGTCGTACTGGGCAGGGCTTACGGCTGGATCAACCTGCAGAAAGCTCCGCGCCGCCTCTGGGTACTTTCCCTGACCAAGGTGGGCAATTCCATACAAGATATGGCATATCGTCTGTTGACTCTTGTCGGTGGTGCCCTCGGCCTGCAAGCCGCTCATCTTGTTCACGTTGGTCGTAACAGCTGACCAGTCGCGGCGGTAGAAGGACAGGCGGGCAAGGTGCATTCCCACCTCAATAATGTGCTTTGCCGTGCTGACGTCGGCGCGGCACTTGGAATAAGCGTCGTATGCCAGGGTCAGCTCGCCGATCTTCTCAAAGTGCTTTCCGAGGTCCTCGTTGCCCATCTGTGCCCATGTCAGTTGGGTGAATTCGGAGGGGAGGGGTAGTCGGGGAGACCAACCCTAATGGACTCCTTGACAAGATTGTTTTTGTATTTCTTCAGCTCAGCCTCGAGATGATGTGTTTCTGCTCGGTTCGCCTTGTCCGTCTCGTTGGCCCACACGTTGTCATACTTGGCCTCCGGCTCGTCTGGCCCAAGCAGTCGCAAAAGCTCATAAGCGTCCCTGTAAGTCTGAACGTCTCTTCCTCTAGATGTCACCTCGTGGATGACGAGCTTCAACGCATCGACGCTGAGGACGGTTGACGTTCGCGCGATCGTGAGTAGTCTGTCGAGCCTGGTACGGCCTTGGAATGAGGGTCAGCCGGAAAGCCAACACGCAGTAGCTGGAGGGCCCCACGTACCTTTGTAGTTCTGTATGTAGGATTCCAAGTCAAGCTTTGGGATGTCTGCGAGCGACCGGGTCAGCAAGCTGGGTATGTTTGGGGGTGGGCAGCGAGCGATGCAAGATCAGGCTGGCAGTGACTGCCAGAGAGCTCCTCGTGGGGAGAAGCGCAGGAGGACATACCTGTGACGACGATGCCGCCTTGCTGGGCCCTCTGCGCGAACTCAGGCGGCAGGTTGTCGTTTGAGCTCGCCATGGCGATTGCTATGGCTGAAGCTCTGGTAGTTCCTTATCGGGATGTAATCGCGCTGCTATCGTGTTCTGCTGCGCGTGGTGGTGGCAGACGTGACAAGCTTCCATTCGCTCTGCGGGCAGTGTAGCGACGTGCAGCTTCATTCTACCTAGGCTGCTGGGCAGGCAGGGGTGCAGGGGACAATGGCGGGGTACCCAAGAAGCACAGGCCAGACAGGCCCCCCGGGTCGCAGTTTCTGGGGCACACCAGCTCATCGGTCTTCACCGGCAGCGCCGAGCACAGCCCGGTCTTGGAGGGGCAGGCTAAAGCATGCCCAGATTCACAACAGATCACATCAATAAGCACACCTGGGGTGCTGTGCAGGCTGAGGCTGTCAGGCCTGTCGATCTCGAGTCCTGCTGATGCACACACCCTTCTTCTAGAAGCCTATGACGGCGACATCGCGTTATCACAATTTCACCACGAACCAGTCACAGTTCCAACCATCTCAAAGTCTTTCCGTGGTGTCATCAAGAAGTCTCGGCTTGATCTGCTGCCATCCACGGCCGAAGGGAAACTCTGCTGAGATGCATGAATTTGCTGGTCTTTGAATTCGGATGGATTTGGGATCCACACACAAATGATCGAAACCAAAAAACACGTTGAAAATTACTCCCGGGAATAAGTAGTAAACAATATTGTTGCATTGGTCTCAGGTTTGGGAACAGCCGCCGCCCAGAACTTAGCCGAGCTGCTGTCCGAAAAGTGTGTCGCACACTGGCTGACTGGTACACTGGCACTCGGGCTACGTCATGCTCGCTTCGCTTCAAAAGTTCTCTCGAGGGGGGGCCGGGGCCTGGCTTGGCTATTCGGAGCCGACGCACAACGTCCGAGGCGGTCCTATTGTCCTGAGTACACATTTACCTGCGCGCCAGCCATGTGAGCTTCGCACTCCTGGTTCCTGTACACTTTCTAAAGCTGGGCCGATCCATCGGTTAAAAGGTATTGGTATGATTGGTCATGATGGTCAGAACAACGGCATTCATGGCTCACGACCGCGCCGTCACGGAAGGACTCGACTCGACCCGACACGACTCCCCCGGGCGCCTGAAACACCAGCAGCGAGACGAGTGTTGCACGCACAGTCCCTCTCACCGCGCCTACCTTGTCTGTTCTTGTGGAAACATTTCCGAGCAGAATTGTTGTCCCGTGACTCATGCGTGCCATGGCGACCTAACTGCCATGTCATGATGCTGCAAAGTCTGGGAGGCTGACTGGCTGAGAGGCAGGGGAACCCGTTGGGGGGTTTTTTGAGATCTCCCCGCCGTCTTGGCGAACCGTGCCGACGTGCCAAGATCGGCGAGGGCCTGGCCAGTTGCAACGTCCTTCCGGCCGCCCAGACTTGCAGAGTGGGTGGCCACCTCGCGCCCACCCAACCCACCAGCCCACCTACGGGCTGCTCCGCCATGGTGGCTGTGCTCCTCCCCTGCCATGCGAGTCTAGAGGCTTGGTTCTCGCAGGATGGGGCGATTCGCCGGAGGACAAGAGCACATTACTATTACGCGGCGGATTGCCTGTCTCAAAAAGATTCTGATGCGGTGCGACCGTGACTGCTCTGCAGCGACTGGCCGAGCGAGCTCCGAGGTCTGGATCCTGCCTTGGTCAAGGTCAGGCACAACGACCTTGGCGCTTGGCAACATCTGTGACCCGGGTCAACGCAGAGAATGGCAGCAGGCATACCACTGTGCAGCGCCGAGGGGCAGAAGTCATCAAGGCACATGAGCGGCTCGCTTCCGGGGTACAGTCACCCACAAACCTTGGACGCACCACTGCCGCCGCCACCCTCGGTCTCTCTCCGTGCTGCGGTGGGCTTCCAAATCTCGGCGGCCACCCTTGACCCGATTGACCTGCCCTTTGCGGCAGACTACTGGCTGGTACCTGAAGAATGGCAGGCTGGGCTGTACCGAGGTGGTGTCGAGAAGAGAAGTCGCTTATCTGAGAGGCCGGATTCTGTTGAGTCGGATTGACCAGACTATAGTAGCAGATGGACCTATGTACTGGGTTATAAGGTATCCCCATACACCAGCCAGCCAGCCAGTCCAGCCCACGGGGTTCGTCCCACTCGAAGGAACCGAAACCCGGGAGACCTAGACTATGTGATCACTGCGGATCCAACGTGGCCTGGCTGGGGCAAGGTGTGGGTACATGGTGGCATCTGTTGTCCGGGTTCACCACAGTACATGATCGGCCACACGTACCAAGGCGACATGACATGACAATGCCGCTGGCCAGCGTCTCCCAGGCCATTATCCCATGGCAATTGGAAGATTCATCTTCGTCTCAAATTACAATAGTGGCACAGCATGCAGGATCTGCGTGCTGCTCTTGGTACTGCAGAGATTCAGCACGGGCAAATATTGATCTATTCCTCCGGGAATTCCTTTTGCCGTGCTGTAATGCTTGACGTACCTAAGTACTGAACAGTACCAAACCCCAAGAACCCCAAAGAAAATTTCCGAATGAGTGCGTACCAGCTAACGCCCCACACAGCATCTTAATCCCACACCTGTCTTTCCCCTGTGCCCCCCCCCCCCCTTCTCTGTCGCAACGCTCTACCTTTCCCGTACCCTACCTTAAGGGCATTAATCTGTAGTCTCGCCCTGGAGCTTGCGCGTCTCCTGTCTCTGGTGCCAAACATCAGCAAACCGTATTCGGCGCTTTGGCACAAGCTCCGTGCTCTGGTACCGTCGTATAGACAGACTTATGGCCCGGTATGGGACACCTTGTTACACTGATCCTCCCGCACAGATGGCTCCCCAGACCCTGTCTCCGTGTCCCAGCGATCTGAACTGACGGCTTGGCATCGCACCTCACGTCAAGCCCTCAACCGTCTCTTGGAATTCCAGTGACACTACTCGCCATCATATCATCCATCGTCAGGCCCCCAACAGGGCAATCAAATCGGGTTTTCCGACCCAGACCAACTGATTCAGCACTGCCTCTCACTACGTATACACCAGCCAACATTGTGTGCATTCCCTTCACAATTCGCGCGTATCAGAGTTCCTGTTAGCCATGCCCCCATCGAAGCTTTATCCACCGGGCCAGCGGGCTAGCCACTTCCACTCGATTTGAATGGTTATTGTGGTCCTCATGTCTCCATCCTGGATCATCCCAGTCCTGGTCTCTTCTCGTCCCCTTGCAACAGATAGCCTCGACTCTAAAGAGATGCCGGATACCACCCACTTCCCATTCCAGAGCAAGGACCCTGGAGTCACTCTTTTTCTTTTCCTCTGCTGGCCAGGACAGGTAACTACCTGGTGGCTCGACCAGTCATCGCCTGAGCGTTGGTGCTACGTAATCAACCATGCAGAATACCGTGCACTTTTACAGCTTCCCGTGTCAAGACTCCCTCGCAACCGTAGCCCCCCTCCCCCTTCGTCAACCCCTCTTCCACCCGGGAACGTCCCCGTCGTCACCGGTGGCCCTAAGAAGTTCCATAGGTTTTCCACCAGCCTCCACATCACAACCCATCCCTGCCCAACTTACATGCCAAGCTTTCTGCTAAAGTGAGCCTTCACAACCTTTTCTCCATCCTGCATGCCTCCGGCACCGAACCGGCGGACACAGCCCTCCACCCCCTTGCTCTTTCTGACTCCTTAGGTCGACAGCCAACGGAAGAGAACCCACCCAGGGCTCGCTGGATTCCGCATGGTACTGTACATACATGTGTAGACTAGTTGGGATATGCGCTTTGTCTGCTGGGCATCGCTGATGGACGAGACTTCGGGATTCCCCCTGCTCCACACCTAGTCACCGTCATTATACATAGGTACACCATATGTCCTGCCACGCCCCTCTGTCATCAGGAGCTGTACCTCTCCTAAACTTTTTACTGAAGTGGACCGTTCATTGATGACTGCTTCTCTTGTTTCCCTCTTGTCTTGAACCCGCGCCCAACGTACCTACCGAGCAGCGACGCTCTATCCCCAAAGTCGCTAGACTTGCAATACTCCCCGAAGTCGCGGCGCTCCCCGGCGGGTGAACCGTGTTATATCCGAGCTGTCCGCCCTGGGTTTTTGAATTAGAGTCGGCCATGTCACATGGTCCGCGTTCAACTTGACCCACAGCCATTGTGTATTGTCATTGACAGTACTTATAGCTACTGCCCATAAGACATGAGCCACGAGGCCTGGAGAGGTGCAGGGAGAAATAAAAAGCGGGAGTTGGCAGGCCACGGCTCTTGAGTCCTTGTGACCAAGGAAGGGTCTGGCCAAATAGGGAAGTTGACGACAACGGCCAATTTAACAACCCCGTCCACGAATTTCACAGTTGCTCGAGAAAAGCCGTCCAGAAGTATTGTAGTCTCTACAACCGAGATGACTGATCGGGAGCTGTCACCGGAATCCGGCTCCGGTGGGCCAAGCCCACTTTCGGAACACCATGATGACCAGCAGTCCCCCGAGGACTCCTCGGTCAAGGCAGAGCAGGGTGACGAGAATTCCACAGGGTCCAATCAAACAGTACAGATGCCCGTTCAAAAACGGCGACGTGTCACACGTGCCTGTGACGAGTGCCGGCGCAAGAAGATCAAGTGTGATGGCAAACAACCATGCACACACTGCTCTGTGTACAGCTATGGTCAGTAGATTTCTCTTCGAAATTCCGGTCGATCCCCCCTGACGTTGCCGAATTTGCAGAGTGTACTTATGATAAGCCTTCCAACCGGAGGCGGAACCCTGCTCCTCAGTACATTGAGGCCCTCGAGAACAAACTGGCGCGCGCAGAGGCATGCCTACGCAAATTTGTCCCGGACGTCGACCTTAATGACCCGAACCTGGATCCCGCCGTCCAACAGGAGTTCCAAAATCGAGAACGACAAAGGCTACACGCTGCAAAGACCCGACAGGAAAATGCCAAGGAGGCGGAGAAGCAGACGGCCCAGATCATGTCCATGATCGAGACCTTGGGCCAGTTAGACCTTACAGAAGGCGGTGGATGGGACTTCCGAGGCACCTCATCTGGCGCTGTATTCCTCAGGCGGATGAAGGACCATTTCAGGGGCTTACTCGGTTACGATTACCAGACTACCTTCCTCCCACGACCGACCCAGGTCCCAGGCTTGCTGAAGCTGGACTCGCCGCAGTCGACCACGGCCTCCACTCCTAACGATTCGAGGACTTCAAACGTTTACGATTTACCGCCGAAAGAACGCGCTCGTCAATTGAGCTATTGTGCGTTGTCGTGTGCAACGGCACTGCTGCGAATCGTACACTTACCATCTTTCTTCGAGAAGTTTGAGTTGCTGTACCAAAAACCGGCAGACACATTCGAGACAGAAGACAACCGTTTTCTTGGTCTGCTCTACGCAGTGATGGCCGTGGGTTGTATGTACAATATTGCTGAAGAGGACGTCGACAATCAGGTGAACTACAGCGAAGCAACAGAGGAAGGGTAAGCTCTCTAGACAACGTCGGGAAGAGGCCATCTTTCGAGTGCTGACACGGCGACAGGATGGGTTATTACACGTCGGCGAGAATCCTGCTGCAAGACATTACAGAGTGTCGGGATCTGACTTCGTTACAGTCCCTACTATTCTTGATTCTGTTCCTGCAGGCGACTTCGAATCTAAGCGCGTGTTATGCATTCCTGGGCATTGCTTTGCGTACTGCCCTCAGGATGGGTCTGCACCGGCATCTGCCCAATGCCAACTTCACTCCCCTCGTAAGCGAGTCAAGGAGACGCATTTTCTACTTTATCCGACAGCTAGACATATACTGCTCAGCACTCCTCGGATTCCCGATCTTGCTTCACGAGGAGGATATCGACCAACAGCTCCCTTCAGAGATTGACGACGAGTTTATCACTGCGGAAAGCATCTTGACGCCCCCTCCCGAAACGCCTGGGTCGTTCTTTCAAGCATTTAATGCGCATTCGAGGCTTATGGAAATACTCATGAAGGTCATCAAATACATATATCCACTCAAGGGCATTGAAGATGCCGTTACGAGTTCGGACAATGAATCCAGCGCAACATACATGATTGAATATCGACGCATCAAGGAGATCGAGGGTGACCTTCAAGTGTGGCATGAACAACTCCCGCAAAGGTGGCGTCCTAGCGCCGAAGGGCCCATTGAAGTAATGCGGTAAGGCTATGATCTGATTTCTGACTATGTTGACGAGGCTGTCCCCATGCCTCCTTGCTCTTTCTCTTGACCTGTCCGTCTTTCAGAAGCAGCGAACTAATTGTCTCTTTTACAGAGTTCGAACTCTGTTGCGCTTTGCGTACGCCCACGTGCAAATGATGCTGTACAGACCATTCCTACACTACATCTCCCCGAGGCTGTCAGCCGGCAAAGTCGTCGATGAGAGCTACTACGCCTGTGCGGCCGCTGGAATCAGCGTTTGCCGCAATATTATCCACATAGCGATGGAGATAAAAAACCAAGCTCTTGTGGTCGGCCCCTTCTGGTCCATGCTGTATACTCAGTTCTTCGCTATCCTGACGCTGGTTTTCTACACCCTCGAGAACCCAGATAAGCAAGGCTCAGCAGAGATATTTTCTGAAGCAAATGCTGGACGAGAGATGATCGCCAAAATGGCCCTGAGAAGCCTGGCAGCGGACCGAATCACGAAATCTCTGGACACCTTATGGGACAACCTTCCAGAATCGGTGAAACAAGGCAAGCCTCGAGGTTTGTCCACGAAGAAGAGACCTGCACCTGGACCAAAACCAGGTCCTGTCCCATTGTCAACTCATAAAGCACCTGTCCCGGCCAGCAGAGGCAGCGACACAAGGACAGGAGCCCCGTTAGCGTTTCGGTCTCCAATGCAGGGTGGCCGCTCCTCCTCGCGAGGCTTCAGCGTGAATGCTCCTGAACTTCATGCTTTGGACGTGTCAGGAACAGGGGCATCTGATACCGGTGGAGAGACGCCCTCGTCGAGCCACCCAGGCGAAAGTCCCTACATCCCCCAGCACCGCAACAGCACCAACCAGACAATGAACCAGAGCCCGAACAGTTTATATAAATTCGACGCGATGATGTTCACATCGGGCGATCCCTTTGCTTACCCAAATCAACCTCTTGTCGAGGCACAGCCACAGCAGATGCCGGTGCCTCCCCAAGCTGACTCGAGTAACTTCTTCATGGCACCAGGTCTCTACGGTGGAATAGAAGGGCAGTTGAGTGAGTCCAGTTCACATTTCATTATCCAAAATTCGAAGAATCTTTATGTTTTTTTTTATGAATGAGAAGTCCCGAAGCTGACGCGTCGCTTCCGCAGCGGGCCCTCTACCTCCGTACCTTATGCAACACCCGGCCGGGCAGGCTGGTCTCGACCTATCGACACAGATGTACCAATCACCCAGCTCGCTGGCTGCGCAGCAGTACCACGTGAGACAAGGGCACCACCACCAGCAACAACAACCACAGCCTCACCCCGGCGTGGGCAGGGAAATGGACGAGATGATGACGGAAGCGGGTTTCAGCCGGAACTGGGACATGTTCAACGGAAACTTCAAGCCGATGTGAGCAATACTGCCAGGGCAAGGGGAATGCGATTGATTCGACGTCCACCCGGATGATTACAACGCGCATCGCTACGAGAACAGGAATGATGAAGAGGGCCGGGCGGAGGGAGGAGGGCATGGAGGTGGCGGTAGGTCGGCGGTTGACCTACGCCCCAGGGCATTTTGGTCACCGATGGCGTTTTTGTGCTTTCTGGTCGGCAGATTCAAGGAGCATTTAGACCTGCGGATTGTTCCAGCGCTTGGCCCAAGAGTATCGGTATTCATGGCCATTCGGAGGGTTTTTGGATGGGTATAGGGAAAGGGGGCCAGCATGGGAGACACTGGTCCCCGCAGGCATAGCGCCAATCGGATTTCCTTTTTTTTTTTCTACTTTCATAACTCCCCCCTTTTTCCTCGAAACACTATGTGTACTACGTTTTAGATCGTGTTCAAGGTGGAACACGGAGTGGTCTTAAGGGTTGGGAGGATCAGTCCGCAGCCACAAAGTGTTCACTTCGAATGCCACAAACGACGCCGGCCTGGGACAGAGCGAATCATTTCCCACGCTTGCTGCAGTGGTTGTGTGTTGTCGCACGGTGGTCAGTGGTCTTGAAGCATAGCATACCTGCATGGGCGACGGCAGGTGGAGATCCTGTGTTTTGAACAATTCCGGTGTCACTACCCCTGAGGAAGCGAGGCTTCTCCGGTATTCAACAATGACGAATTTGGCCACCAACCAATTTCAAGCATTATGTAGATTCATTTCCAAACTTTTTTCTTCTCGACAACGCACTTAAATATTACCACAGGCAGAAGTGAAACCGTGGAATACGGGGGAGAAGTATTTCTCACCAGCGTTTCCGGCTGGTATGAATCGAAACAGTCGTACATGCGTACCTAACTCACTTGCCCCTCTTGGTAACCTCAAAGAACTCCGTCAGTCCTTTTGCCACAACGTCCACGTTCATGTTCACCAGCGGCATCTTCTCATAGCTCCCCTCCTTCATGATTGCCACCAGTGCCAGGTAGCGGTCGACCTCGCGCAGCATGACGGGCCTGAGTCCCTCGTTGACGACGATGTGGCTCTCGGCAAACGACACGGCCACCTGGTCCTCCAGCCGCTGGGACCACGGCGGGCCCTCCAGCCGGTCGCGGTGCGCCTTGGAGCGGCTCCAGCTGCCGTAGACCATGGATACGTCGATGATGACGTCGATGTAGTCGGAGCAGATTTCGTAGCTGGCCATGTCCGCTGGCGCCGAGTCGGTCGCGATGTAAATTTTGGACATGACGTCGAATAGGTATGCCTTCTCGAAGCGGCACGTCCGGCATAGGTTGGTCAGCATCGCCTCAAGCTGTCCCAGCCTCGGTATCAGCTTCTGAATGACCTTCGAGAAGGCCTCGAAGATGGAGTGGTTGTAAATGCTGGTGAGGTGGAATGTGACTGGGGCATTCTCGAAGCCCTCGTCTGAAAGCTCGTCCTGAATGCGAATGGTGATGTCCCGCTGGATGTCGAGCTTATAGTCGTCCGACAGGCCGTCGACCTTGTGAATGAACACCTCAATGTTTATAGAGGGATAGTTGCGCTGTAGGTACAGGATAGTGCCGTTTAGCCGTGATACAGCCTCGAGGTAGTCGTCCTGCGCGTCAATGACCCAAATGAGCGCACCGATTTCGCCAAAGACGGCGTCAATATCGAAACTCGGGTTGTCGAGAAAGTCAATCTGCCCAGGAAAGTCCCAAACTTGAAAATCCATGAACGACCTGGACGTCCTTTCCAGTGATCAGTCCGGGCTGGCAATGGTGTCACAAGGGATACTTACGCCATGGAGTCCTTTTGAATTCTCACTGTCGATTCCAAAAACAGCGTTTCAGTGGGCGGTACTTTGTGGAATACGACGCTTGAGATGGACGATTTGCCACTCCTGGATGTGATCGTCAGTCTCGAGTCGTAATGTTGTAGCATGCACCCAGAAGACTTACCTCCTCTGACCCATGAGTAACAGCCTAGGTTTACTCTTGCCGGTGTTTGCGGTCGCCAACTCGTTTGTCGGTGAGAAGGCCCCATCTCGTTGTTGTAATCGTGCTCGGTTCTGTTCGTAAAGACGTTCAAGATTTAGCGCTGCTGGACTGACATATTTGACATTGGGTCGACGGGGCGTTCCAGGAGCGGACGAGCCGCTGGACCCCAGAGAGGACATGGTAACATAAGTGAACCGGCAAAGATCAGGAACAACAAAGGGGCCGGTTTGAAGAGCAGGTCGAAGAGAAGATATACAAAGGTATACGCCTAGTCAATGGAGGAACCAGCGAGCTTCAAGACCTTGAAGCCGGCATAGAACGACATCTGGGTGATTGATCGTATGCACATTCCCTATATCTTCCCGACCAGCCCGAGGGTCCCCAGCAGTGGCTGTTGGTAGTTGCGTCCAAATAACGACTGTCATGGGCAAATCGAACGGGACGGACCGTTGCTGCAGTATCTCTTGGGTTGTTTGCAAGATCTGGCAGCAAGCCTTCGGTACTGGTCAAACGGTCGTCCGGATTCTCGGGAAGGAACCGCCACGATAGATCGGTGGGTGGGAAGGGCGGCGTGGATATCAAGTCTCTTTCCCACATGCATCGACGGGAGGACGCATGCGATCTGACGTTGATACGCACATGGCATCATTTCCAAGGTCGGCAGACGAGCGAGTGTGGCCGGCCGTTCCTTATCTTCTGCCCGCATCCGCTGCTCCCGTTCAGCTACCGGGTTTGTGACGTCCGAGCTAGCGAAGGAACAGAAGGAAGGCAGAGATACCAATCACTCTGAGGGTCGCACAAGCTCATAAAGTGGCTCAGCAATAGTCGGTGAAAGCTGAGATACAAGCTCGGAGTGACTCAACTCGAGGTCCCCTGCCTGATCCAAGCTGACCCAACAAGTCTGCGAGGCTGACTATTTCGCCGGACTTGAGAGAGCCCAGCAGATTTAGTCCTGGGAGCACTGGGTGTAGTGAGATGCCACTGGGCATGACATGTGAAGCACTTGCGGGTGAGGTGATGCAGATGGGTCTTGGGGATGGACAGCGGGCGCAGCCGGCCTCGGGACTTGCCACCTCGTAGCAATACATGGAGGTGTGACGAGAACCGAGGGGGTGGTTTTTTGCCGCGCAGGGGCCGAGACAATTCAACCGCATCGAGGATCGAGCCCGGAGTACGCGACGGGGCGAAAGAACATGAACATCCAACAGGGACAGCAGGAACATAGGAAGGACGGGGAGAGCATTACCTCCATCGTGGGCGTATGTGGGATCCAACCCTCACTCTTTCTGCCTCCTTAACCACTCAGAACGGCTGGCGCTTCAACGAATCAAAGCGAGAGGCAGTGAGTGCGTGAAAGGTGCAGGATTGCTTCGTCCAACGGCGCAGCTCATAGCGGTACCCTTGCCCTCAACCTGCATCAGAGGCCCAGAGGGGCCGTGAAGACGGCTGCGATACGACCTGAAGCTGACAGGTGACGCGAGGCGGATGACTGACCAACTGGAGCACGAGTTAAACATAGAGCTCAGAGTCAAGCCAAGTAAGAGCTGAGTGGTTACCAACCAGATTGGCAGATGATTTTGGAGCGAGCCTCTCCCTCGGAGATTTCAATGGTGAGATTGAAGAGGCCGGCGTCAGTCAAGGGTTGCGTGGCGATGAGTCGGCGTCGGGAGGCTGGAGACTTCTGAACTCAAGCACTGTGGACTCTGATGCAAAGCAAGTCGAGAACCTTGTAGTTCTATGCCGGCTGCGTCACTTGCGGCGGCTATATGTCCTTTCGTGGAGGCGATGGGTGCTTCGATGTGTTGATGGGCCAAGCACTAACAAGATGAAGATGTCCACGAACTGCGAACCGTCCAAGGACAGCCGATAACCTGGACCACAAACCCTTGTACCAGGGTTAGGGTCATTGACCGTTGAGCATCGTTGTGCCCGATTTAGCGTGGACCAGACTACAGTATTGACTCAACTGTAACTTATGTCAAACACATGTCAAAAAAGGCACGTCTGCATACGGCAGACACCTTGCATGGCACAGACATGGGCACGGCACGGCACAACGTCTTCGTGTCGACCGTATGATACGACAAGCTCCGGGGTGTCACAACGGCCAGACAGCTCAAATCACCTCTCGAATCACAAAGGCACAAGGCATATTTCCTGGGGGCCATCCGAGGGGCTATCTCGGTGCGCGACTGGTCGCATCTCCTCCGTGAGCCCTTCCTTTTGCACTAAATTTTTGCGGAACTCGGCAAGGAAGAATGGTATGCAGTAAACATACAACTCTGATGGCTGAAGACGAGGCTTCTGCAAAGCCTGTGTTTTGAATAAAAACAAAATCCATGGCAGTCACAGACTGTCCGTGCCCCATCTGTCAAGCATGGCGAATCAGACCGGCACTTGAGGCACTTCGGGTACCTGCTTCTCGTTTTCCTTCTTGCTGCCCGGCCTCCCGAACAGGCCCGCTACGAAGCTCTTCCTGCGTTTGGCTACCTTGACTTTCTCGGGCTTCTCGCCAACGGGCGCCATCTCCTCCGCACTCGTGGGAGGCGTGATCTCATCAGCCAAAGGCGACGCCTTGATATTTGAAAGAGACTGTGGCCAAGTCAGTAGCAGCCCTCTTCGGTTGATCAGCCATCTGTATTCACCTTGACACTCAATCTCTTCCTCCTCGCGAATCTCGCTGGTGGTTCCTCGTCAATAACGCCCATAGCAGCGCCACCATTAGCTTCCTCATCCAAAGACTGCGCCAAAGTTTTCCCATTAAGGGCTATGTTCTCATCCTGCATAGCGACAAATCGTATCAAGCCCCTTGGTGGAGGTACCCCAAGAGCTTCCTCGAGATGCTCTGATAGCAAGTGGGCATTGCGCTGGTTCGTGCTGGTTTGGACGTATGGGGCCAGAGCTGACAGTGTCAGGGTGTAGGCGGGCTCAAATGTGCCGGCAAAGAAGATGCAAGCAGAGTGCTGGACTTGTACGGCGATGGAGGATAGAGGCCTTCGGTAACGCTCGGCAACCTTGGCGCTTAATTCGGTGATGAAGATAAATTCATCCCCAATCTGTTTAATTTGGTGAGTTACTGTCTTGATGCTGGGATCCCACTGCGTTACACAGGCGATCTTATATGGTGGTGGACTCACGATGACATTTGTCTTCAACTCGGCCACGACCATCGAGTCACTCTTTATTCTCTCACGGAATGTGTCCAAAACGCACCGGCCTGAGAAGGCTTCCTCGTAGTAGTGATTCTTCTGTCTTGAGAGTTCCGCTCTGCCCAGCGTCAAGGCTGTTGATCTGCATGCGTCCCCTGGTGGTCTCCGAGTGATGGGCTGCATGAGCTCGTCTATCTCGGTGAGTTGGGGCAGCGTCCACGGGTGTCTGTTCGCAACAAGTTGCCGCTCTGAGAGGGACATCATGGCAGGATTTGTCGGCTGTCTGGTCGAGGAGGATAACAAGAGGTGGAAAGCTATGTATATTCAAGCTGGAAAGCTGGGCTCAGGAATTTGTCATTCAGAAGGTGAAAGATGAAGTTTGATGAAGTTTGATGAGCCCTCAGTGTGCCAGCGAGGCGCTCCATTCAAAAGCCTTTGTCAGTGAGGTGCCACCACTGAGGAGGTTTCCAACGGACTCGAAATGAATCGTGATACTATATCTGGTGTAAACTCCCGTGTCACCCTTGTTGTGGCTTGCTCGACCGTCGTTTGGGCCCAGGTGCCTGTTTCATCACCGTGATCCGGATCTTGGAACGTCGTTGAGCGGAACGCAAGTATGTCAGATTATTCGTTGCCCTTCAGCGATGACATTGGAAGCAGAATTAGAGCGATAGCGTCTCCTAGTTGAAGGGTATGATATGTAGAACAGGGTTCATCTTGAGCTACGGGTCGTGACCCAGTGAATCGGATTTCCGCCTGTGATGCGAGTTTCGTGTCACATTGCCTGAGTGGACCGTTCTCACTCCAGTAAAAAAAAAACGTTCCAGCCTGCTCCTTCATTTCAAGCTCACACAAACATGTACGCCAAACAGACGACGGAAGGGACAATTTGGATGCCGGCTCCCGCTGCCGGGTCGGTAGGGAAGGGGCATGGGAGGGTGAAAAATGACACCTGGGCAACGACTAACGATGATTAGAACGAAAACCTGCGCTGTTTGATTTTCCGTTCACAGGATTCTCCCTGTACGAACGACTGAATCTGCAACGGGAAGGAAATTTATGTCTCGGTAATTTGTGCTACATGGTGGTCATAGTAGTAAGCTCGATGTCAACCAGTGGCCACTGATATCAGTCGCCAATCGGCCGATTTGAGGTCAGCGGACCATTCTCAGGAGGCAACGATCCAAGTAGTTACGCATGTGGATTTTGTACAGGAAAGAATTCTGTCATTAAGTATACCGTGAATGGCCCCAAAACGCCAAGGATAAATGAAAGAAGGGCAAGAGTACGAAATCCAGTCATGTAGCCCATTCACCTGTACCTTAAAAACCGTTGCACTTGACCCTTTCCAACCACGTGTGACCGTTGACGTAGCCTGTCTCTGAGAGACACATTGCGAGCATGATGTGCACCAATTGGCACCAGCTCAAGCAACGGGGCTTCCCTTTCTGGCCTGCGCATACGCATTTACGTGCTTCTCGACCTTGAGCTGCCAGCCCGCGGCACACAGAGCTACGGCTTCCAGGGGCACGAGTATGACAGCCAAGTATACGCTCGCCCAGGACTGGCCGCACAATGTGCCAAAGTGGGGGGCCTGCCCCATGTTGATAGACCTCCACCTGCACGTCCAGCTGAGTAGGGAGTCAGTCGTGGCGGAGGCGTTGATCGCGTAGAAAACGATGACAGCGACGAGTGCAGCTGCGAAGCCAACCAGAGGCGCAGCAAACATCGTGGGAGTGTGAAGAGGTGTGTTGTTGCGGAGCTGTAGAGAGTCAGTCATCGAAGACTTTGGTTGATGGCAATGAGCTCTGGAAGGCAAGGGTGAACGACTTACATGAGGCACCTTGCTGCACAGCAGAGCGGCGATGTTTGCAAGGGTAACCAGAGAACTTCCAACGACGAGAGCAACGGTTGGCTGCATGTCGAAAGAGTCGGGCCATAGAGACAGCGAGGGGCCCCCTTCAAGCCTCGTAGCGTTGTAGACCCTAATGGCATCGGCGGAGAGGCCCATGATGGTGATGCCGCAGAGAAGAGCGAGGGCAGTGATGGAAACCCTGGCGGCTTCTATGATCCTGAAGGTCTTGGTTTGCCTCTCGAGGTAGTGGTCGCTGTGGGACTCTACCTCAAAAGTAGAAGAGGAGGCCTGATGCTTGACTGACGCGTTCTCCATGGTGGGTGAGAAAAGAATCGAACCGGGGTATCAAAATAGAAAGATGGACGCAAGTGGAGGAAAGAAGAAGAAGAGACTATGCAGACAAGTGGGATAACAACAGCAACTACAACAACTAAAGAGACGAAACTTCAGAAGAAACGAAACAGAGGGAGGAAGATGTGTTTTAATAAACAAGCACGGGGTCGAGGGATGACTTCATATGTTTCCTCCCAATAAGGTTGTTCATGTCCCCCAGATTGGAAACAGATTGGAATAGGGAAAAAGCATTGCCAAGGGGCGGTCGCGTAACCGCCGCCAGCACGCAGGCGGCAAACTGTCGTCTAAAAACAGCCATGGACTATACAGCTGGCGGGCACTTGTGCAGTAGAGGCAATGGGACTGCCAAATTTACCCCACGGAGACAAGACCATCGTGGTCAGCGCGTATGCAGTGAGAATCGGGGGTGCAGGTTGTGTGTTTCCAGTTCCAGCCGTGAGTGACCAGGGCGAAGACAGCAAGACACAACCAGACAACCAGACAGACTGCAGACAGACAGACAGAAATAGCACTTCAGCCTCTCGGATTGGTCTGGCTGGCGGCATGGTAAAGTGGGTGATGTGCGACTGGAAGGCGATGGCAGCACGGGATTGGCTTGGAACGAGGTCGACTGCAAGCGACTGCAGGCGACTGCAAGGATGGTGGGTTGCTCCCGCTTCCCGCATCACCAACCCTGGGGCGTGCCTGGGCCGCCGTCAAAGGTGGGGCCTCGCCGTCAGCGGCCCGGCGCTTATGTATGTCCATTCGCAACCGCACAAGCTGCAACAAGGTACCCACATGAACTATGTAGCTAGATCCTCCTTTCCAATCAGAACTGCCGAAGCGGCCCCTGCACACTCCTCCCTCGACACCCATCAGCCATCTCTCATCATCTAGCTTGTTATGCTTACCATAGTATGCTCTTTGACTCGACAAGGTTCGCCTGATTTTCATCCTCATCCTCTCTCGCTCTCTGTGGACGACCAAATTGGAACCGGCACAATTGCCATGTAGCTCTCAAGGGTCCTCTCAAGGGTCCAGCCGCCTCGACTGAGCTAGAAGCCCTGGCTACAGTAGACCCATCCAGTTCGGGCTGGATGCAGCAGACCATCCACTTTGGGCGGCATCAAGTTCGACATTCCAGCTGTGCCCGTTCGTCAATGGTCTTGACACCTTCAGGCTGCCAGTCTGCCACTTCCCGCTGGCCCTGCTCACAAAGACAGCAGCCGGCCGGCGGATATGAGACAATTCTGCTTCCTACTTCTTGTCTCCGATCTCCGAAATGCCCCTTCGCCTGCTGGGCGTGGCTTGCCTGAGTCCTGCTGGTACTTCTCACGGCCCCGAAGGCTATCGGAGTAGAGCCTCGACTCTTTCCCACCCACCCACCTCCATCCGCCTCTCCCACGTGCGTCCCGACAGATGCGGCTCACGTGCGCTGTAAAGCCATTTCAAGCCTCGATCAGTAATCCAGCAGGCAATCTGCGCACACCTCAAGGCCAGCCGTCTGTCTCCTGCGCGACTCAACACCCACTCGTGCCCTTGATCCGTGCCGTGCTCATGGCCTCACATCCGTCGGGAAATCAACTCGCCTGGCCGGCTCCCGGCGGGCTTCTCCCGATCCAAGCGTAGACCGTCCAGACAGTCTCCCTGGCGCCCTTTCTCGCAATCGATAGTGGAAGAATTCGGTATGACCGGGTCGGGGCCAACGCCATTCTCGGTTCTGCAGCAGAAACCACAAATCGCCAGCTATGGCTCTGCTGCTGTCTTAGGACCTACTCAAACAGGAAGGTATCCCTTGTGCGTGGGTTCCGATACTATGATCGATGCAGCAAGACAAACATCATGCCATTGACAGCCGGTCAAGCGTCCATCGCGGACCGGCGAGACCGGCCGTTTACACACGACAGATGGGTCTAGCCTCCATCTTTTGAACCTGTACGCTTCTTACCTTGGTCCACGCTAACGGCTTGTTGCAGAAAGGGTTGAGCTGCCGAAGCTGGCGCTCTCCGCTCAGAGAAGCAGAGGTCATCGGGGTTGTCCATCTAGAGCTCTCGCATCTTGTCCTGCAGCAGCCCAAATTGCCGGCCCTCTAGAGCCAATGATCTGGGCTGTGGGTGAATCTGCACTCCAGGGTTTGTATGGCGGAACAAGATAAGCGAGGAGGCGGCGTGATCTGGTCACTGTGCTTTTCTGTACGAGCACGAGGGTGATGATTCATACTCTTCAGTGCCATGCAGTGAATCGAGCCCGGGGCAGCCAGATCTCACAGCACTCACGACCCGTCAGACCGGAGACGAGAAGCTGAGCCCTCTGGCTAGTCTTGCACAGCTGGTTTAGACAGCTCGACGACAGTGCGTGCTTTTCGCCTCGCACCCGCCACCTCTACGTTTGTTACACAGCTGAGGGGGCGTACGCTTGCATTACTCCGTTGAGACCGTTCACCGGGCCAGAGTGAAAGGTCTCTTGTACATGGACCAGCAACTGTAGCGGGCATGGTTCCCTGTCGGCCAAGCTTGTTGTGCGCTGACCTTTGCATGCTGGCACGTAGACATCTTTTGACAGAGCAGGTAGATTTTGGAAGAAGCAACCGATGCAGCTGTCAATCCCGCCTCGATCAGCCCACGACTGTGATCTTTGACCGACTTGGGGGAGCTGGAGATCTCGCATGCAAAGAAATCGCCAGGATAACCGAGCGGGCCTTCGTGAAAGACTCAGGTCCATCTCGCAGTTATTATTTCTTTTGATAATCCCATACTGCGCCGTTTCCTTCGTCTCACAGAGTTTAATAGGGCCAATTACTCCGGACGGTTTCATGAGCAAGGATCCGCACCCGGGCTTTAACCCAAGAGTACAGAGCTGTGATGACAACAGGGATAAGTCCCAGTTATCCGGACACGACGATGTTTCTCGGTCTCCAACTCACTATCGGCAGCCGCCCGCCCGTTCGTCATGGACAGACATCAGAGGGGCCCTGGGTGTTTGGGCGTTGGGCCCGCCACATCGGCCACATTGTTTCCTGCGAACCTTTGATCAATGGAGCTTGGCGTGCGCAGCAAGTGTCTTTGCGTACCAGCTACCTCGACTACATTGCGGTAATATACATACAGCATGTATGTTTGTACATGCAAGCTAGACCGCCTCGACCGCCTGAACACTAGTGTCTCGGGTGTCCGAGTTACTTTCCCTTTTTATCTTACTTTCACGAACTTCATGTGAGTCCACTCATATAAGGGTGATTTGCCATACCTGTTCTTCACTGTTGTCCAGACATTGATAGCCGGATTCCTGGGTCATTCTTTGCCTGTAACGTCTCAACACAATCGACGACAAATGCATACCTACCCATTCACTTGATTGCTTCTCCAAAATCAGACAGAACCACGTGGCTTGGCAGTACCTTGGCTTGATCTGATTACCGCGTCAGCAATGGAAGAAACCAATTCGGCTGAGCAGGGGAGGATCTTCGTACGCTCCCCCACATATCCTCTGTATTGACCTGTCACATATTGACCTCGCTCAGCACCTATTTTCCAAACTCCCGGCCGAGCTGCGATGGAAAATATGGGCCTTCAACTTACCGGGCCCAAGGCTCGTGTCTGTTCACTGCGGCTCTAAATCATTATCATCCGGGCTGGACAGTAACCACCATCGCCTTGCCCTGTCCTCATCCTTTGGTTGCACCTCACAGGCCAAGATCCCGCCGAATCTTCACGTTTGCCATGAGTCTCGCCGTGAATGTCTCCGGCAATACCGGGCGTCGTTTGGGATTGCCCGGCAACCTGGGCAGACGTTCTTTGATTCAGAACAGGATTACATGTATTTCGGTCCCCGGGACGGCTTCATGGCCTCCGAAGCAAATCTGCGGACGGTGCTGAGCCTGTGTGACCCGACCGAGCTGGCGCAGGTGCGCCGCGTCGCGATCAATGAAGCGTTGTTCTGGGTATATGATTCCGCATGGCACCGCCAGGCCCTATGCTACCATGAACATGACCATCACCACCACCAGCAGCAGCAGCAGCAACAGCAACTGCAAAATCTGCAGTTACAGACACCCCCAAGCACACCCGTTGAGCAGCATCACCGCCACAATCAGCACGGGCTTATGTCGCGAGAACCAGACACACCATCGCCATCTCCCGGCCCATTCCCACTCCCATCGCCGCACCCCGCAGCAGCGGCCATGACGTACACGAGCATAGCAGCCTCCCTGCTAGTCGACATCCTGCGCCTGATCCATGCACGCCTCCCGGGGCTGCGGGAGCTCGTCTTCGTCCCACGGGACGAGAACCCGCTGTACAGCAGCGACTGCTACCTGACCCGGCCCGCCATGGCACAGAACCGCCTGGCGAGGCAGGTGCGCGAGGCGATGAAGGCTGCTTTCGAGAGCGATGGTGCCGCCGAAACAGTCGCCGCCCCGTCGTGGGACTGGAAGATCATGACGTTGAGCGCGGACCCTGACCCTCCCTCCTACGACAAGCAGGTGCTCGGTTGGTGTGGCACCGGCACTGATCCTGCGGATAGGGGAAAGGACGGCAGTACGGCTGGCGTGCTTGGAACCAAGGGGATCCTGAGTGTGACGACGAGGCTGGGCGCGGTGCAGGAGAGTGCCAGAAGGTTTCTCGAGATGGAAATGGAGGTCGATGTTTGTGGGGAATGAAGGGTCTAGTAGTAGTTGACTCTGGCAGCAGGGTAGTGGCACACATCTGTGACTACTTCAAACATTAGATGACCTTGGTTCACTCCAAAATCATTCCATAATAGTTTACGCAACACGATTATGTCAGGATTTGGCGGTATACTTCAGATCTGACTTGATGGCCAACTATTACTTGGATCTGTTCAAGGCAAGCATTGGCCCGTATCATTCGACACGCGCGTTCCAAATTTACGTCCATGTCGCCCACGCCTCGGTCCGCTCATCGAACAGCTACCTTGGCCGTCTAAGCCTGCAGCAAATGCTCTTGATCCGGTAGGGAATACACCTTGTAACTGACCCCGTCCTTGCCCAGCAGACAGACCCTGGCGGGAACGCCTCCCCTAGAGTCATTCGCTTCCATGACTTCCATGCGAACTGGCACAAATGAGGCCACGTCCTCGGGAAGCTCCATCACCCGTACCGACAAGGTCAGCGACCCCTGTGTCAATGTTGCGATTCCGGACTCGTTGGCTTGATAGCGAGTGTCCACCGGCCTAAAGAGTATGCGAAGCAAACTCGGCTTCTGGTCTTGAAGTGGTAAAGGTCAGTCACCCCGAACGGCGATACACGAGTGGTGCTTGAAACATACCTTTGGAGTGACACAACGCCAGAAGGACTTCTTCATCCAGGAATTTAATGTCGATTATCCGGCCGTCGCTGCCTGGGTCTAAGCAATGGCTGTAGTACAGTGCGGTAGAAGGAGCGCTGCTGATGCCGTTGATCACCTCGATCTTGGTTTCGAAGATGGCGACTGCACCCATGTTCTTAGCATCAAGTGATTAATGAGTTTTTCGCTGGAAAAGACTTACTCTCGAAAGGGTTCTCCTCAGTTACCACAGCAGTGTACGTGATGCCGTCCACACCATTCTGGACAAGTAAACGTCAGTATTATGTAAAACGCAAATCAGGCTCACTACGTGGAGAACTCGACTCACAGGTTTGGGGACGGAGCACATTTTTGCATCCACAGAAGTGAACGTCTCCAGGCCTGAACTCTCACGAACCAACTCCAATTTTTGAGCCTGTCCAAAACGAACACTGCGCTTCTCCGCCTCCGCGATATTCTTGAAGACATCGCCCGCCTTCGCCGTAAGGAAGTCAACAACAAAAGCCATTTGTGTCAGACCTTTCATATACGAGCTCCCTGCCTCTTGACGCTTGAGCTGGTTGTCCAACTCATTTAGCACCCCGGAGCTGTCCTGCATGCGCTCCCAGTCCTCATCCCAGGCCTCTCGCGGCACCTTGGCAAAGTGAACGGCCATTGGACTGCTGACCAGGAATCTTTCGATGTACCGAAGTATCTTGGCCGGGTCGAGGAGAGCCTCTTTCTCCACGAATTCCTCGGGCACCGTGCTGGACGAGACGCGATCTATGGTCAGGCGAAGCCAGGACGAGAAAATGCGGAATAGCTCTAGCTCCTCCATCACGATGAGTAGGACTCTGTGGCAGATGAGATTGAGGGCAGATAATATGTCGACAAGTCGTGTTATTTCGGTATTTGTGAAGCCGACGTGATCTTCTTCCTCGTGGAACCTGGCGATGCCAGAGAGCCGGCTTAGGATGAGTGTGCAACGCTCTATGGCTGGGAGCATATTCTCATGTATGAGGTTACGCAGATTCTCTAACCCGGGAATGACTGCTTTCTCCCAACGCTTGTGTCCCTGATGAAATCAATTAGACGAGAGGCCCTGAAACACAATATGAAGAGGGCTGACTTACTCGTTCCGCGATGCTATCGACCAGCCACTCTCTGACGGGGCGATGGACATGACCCGTCAGCACGGTGTGATAGAGGGCCTGGACGATATTCGCAGGACCAGACCCCATCTTTTGGAGGTCTTCTTGGATGTATGATAGGAAGCGGGAGGGCAGTTCTCGCGTTGACGTCCACTCGTTGACGATGTGTGTTTGCGTTTGCTTCAGGTATCGCAGTAGCTTCTGCAATGTGGTCGTTTTAGACGCCAGGAGTGACAGATTCACTGGCGAGTACGATACAAACCTCAGATCCATGGGGATTAAATACAGATGCTTCACGCTCTCCTCGCCACTTTTCCGTAGTAATAGAGAGTGAGTTGATACCTCGGGATGAGCGGCGTGCAGGCCAAGTTGATAACCACCATCGATTTGACTTGAGTTTGGGCTTGGGCCCTGTTTGATAGGAATTTTGAAACTCCCAATGGGGAAGGAGTCGTAGATACTCAGGTGCACACAGCCGTCTCTCGTCCCAACAGCCATGACATCGACCACGTCATTGTCTTCGGGCCTCAGCGGCGGGAACATGGACTCCAGGGATGCAGTTGTTGAGAATATAAACATGTCGTCTCCGATGCCCCCAGAGACCGGCAAGGGGCTGATCTTGGGCAAGGAAGTATCGATTTCGAGGAATGTGAGCGCGTGCGGCAAGTCTGCGAGGTCGTCGGCCTTCCCTCGTGCCAAGTCTCCATGGCGTAGCTCATCTGCTGAGGATAGCCCGAGACCTTGTAGCCTCGAGGCGATGTCATTGTCACCACCAAAGTGGCGCTTTCCTGTCAGGTTGCGGGCCCAGGCAACATGTGTGATAGGCTCTGGATCTGCGTCAAGGTCTGCTGCATCCTGAGAGACGCTGATGCGGTGGACAACCTTTGTGTTTTCCACTCCCAGGAGGCGGACAGTGCCGTCGTCCCATGCCACGGCCAGAAATTGACCTGGAATCGAGTCAGCAAGATTTGTCCGAACGAGGAGTGCCACTCTGGGGAGGGGGGGGCAGCAAACCATCTGGCCTCCAGCACAATGCCTGGATTGTGTGGACGCGGTCAGTGTTGCTAGAAACCAGCTCGCCTTGGGCACGCCTGATTGCCAGGGTGTTGGAACCACTGATGGTTGCCGCGAGGTTAAGCGTGGGGGAGCATGCGAGCAGCTCCGGTGAAACTGGCGCTGGGAAACTGCTCTGGCTGAACAGGCCAAGCTTCAGGGCTTTGGCAGACATTGCTCTCGTGATGAGTATGCCGAGGCCTTGCAGACTTCATGGCGCTCAAGGATACATTGTTTTTGCAGGTTCTTGGGCACTCAAACCCGAATCAAGTGTGGTCTCAAAGGGTCGCGTCTTGTGGGTGTGGAAGTCGCGTTCTGGGCGGTGCAAACACGCCTGCCTCCCGAGTCCCCTCAGGCACCTAAGTACTAGTACTTGGCCACCAAAGGGACAAATGGGACTTTCGGTAGGCACAATTCGCAACCATTCTAGTTCATGGCTGCTGTCACAAATACACAAATTTCAACATTCAAGATTCTCTCATGAAGATCATTGGAAGTGGTTTCTCCAATATACAGTAAAAGTACAGTACAGCACTACCTGCTTAGGCAATTCTTTGCTATCCAGGCCAAAGCGGCCCAAATCCCCTAAAACACACAAACGCCGCCGTGAGCATTGATCTTGCTCTATTTCCGACCAACTCCATCCTAATGACTCCTGTGCCTTGCAGAAATCCGCACGGCTCGCTGTAACCTTCCAAATGCTTTCTGCACAAGTGCTATGCAAGGTATCGCAATGTATGATTAGCGTTCATCTCCCTTCTCCCCCTGTTGAAGTCCGAAGATGAGGACGGCCACTCATGCCTCCCAACCTCACTCATTGTCGCTGGATGCTTCCTCAGCATCTTCCAGTTCAATCAGGACAGGCTCTGCCTCCAAATCATCGAAGGCACTTCCACCCTCCGAGTTGACTTCATCGTCCCTCTCCGCGGCAGCTTCCTCCCATACGTTGTGGACCTCTGCCTCTGCCTCTAGAGCTTTGGATTGGTCAAAGACAGATTCGTCCGCTCCTGCGTCGACTTCCTGTGCTAGGAACAAGTCACCCCACGGATTTCCTCCAAATACGCCACCCCTCCCGGCCGATTCATCTTCGGTAGCCTGTTCTCTGGCAACAAGACTCAGGTTTTCTTGGACTTCCCGCGCTTGCAGCTCTGACAGAGTGACCGATGGTCTTGGCGATCTGAACACCCTATGTGCTTCATCGTGCTCAATGACCTCAGCATCAACTTCCGACAAGAAGTCCGCATCGTTGTCGTTTGCGCCGTCTAACATGGATGGCTGCGTGGATGGCTCGAAGGCGTCGTCTAGGTAATTGACTGGCTCACTGTCGTTCTGCACACTTCCGGTTGCCCCTTGACGCATGTAATAAACCACACTGCCAGGTGTGGATCTGCCGGAAGTTGCGCCATCCTACTGCGCTACATTCTCGGTCAAACCCATCTCTGCCATCTCCTGCTCATCGAATGGGACAGCGGTGCCACCAGCTGCAGTGCCTTTACCTCCCATTCCACCAGAGCCGCTGATGTCGATGCCGGAGATACTCTTGGTGAGATTGCTCAACACGCCGCCACTGTTTGGCACATTTTGTGGCCGAGGGACTTCCACGCCGGCGAGCACAGTATCACCAAATGTCTCCGCAGCCGAGATGCTTGGCCGAGGGCTGTCGGGCGCTTTGGGGCTTCCAGGAATGCTGTTGGCAGTGCTCTGACCGGGCCGAGGGCTGGCTGTGGCGGATCGAACTGCCTTTGCAACCCTGTCGGTGGTGGCCGCCGCGGCATCCAGAGCGCCATTCATCTCTTTGTCAGCCCTGTTGAATAGCTGATGCCACCATCGGATCTCATTGAGACGTGGGAATATCAGTCGCTCCTTGCCTCTGACATTATCATCAACTACGGGATCGTAGCTGGGGTTCGTGAACATTTCCCGTCGGCTGAGGAAGTAATCCCACACAGATGATGTCCGCTCATGGAGTCTGGCATCGATCCTCTGCTTTTCATTGTTCAGCAGGAATGTGCCGTACTGGCAAGAATGCAGGTGATAGAGGAGACGACGAAGGAAGCGTTCGTTGAACTCAAACCGATCGGGAAATTGTCGAAGGAGCTGATACACAGCGTCGAGGTACTGGTGAAAGACGGGGCTGATCTCCTTTTCTCGGGTTGCTTGGTCCTCGATGACGGGCGTTGATTCCCGCTCGCTGGCAGCAGCGGCAGCACTCAGATTGTCAGGGTCTGAATCCTCTTTGTCCTTGTCCGAACTCCAGGCGTGCTTCTTGAAGAAATTCTTGGCATTTTCAAGCACCTCACCACGCCCGTCGCTCTCACCAGGCATTATCTGAGCACCAGCCATTCCGTCATCCTGGACGCAAAACCAATTTGGGCAGCCCAAATGGCCCGACCGCTGGTGAAACATGTGTCCAAAAGACAGCCAGTCCTTCTCAATCAGCACAATGAATCCAGTAATTGTGCGGTAGTATGGATCGAGCATGAGCTGTGACAAGGCGCTCAGCTGGCTGGTGCGATCCCAACCATCTGAGCAGTGGATCAAAACATGTGAGTGTTGGATGCCAACCTGTCTGGCGATCAAGGCTGACCCATCCAGGATTCCCGTAATGTGCTTCAGCCAGTCACTCTTGGCGAGGAGGTCCTGATTGGGCGGTCCGCTCGAGATGTCTCCATCCTTGAGGGCGCCGATGACCTTTTTCAAGCTGTTCCTCATGACATGAATGTTCTGGATGTTCAGATATGCCTTTGACGCAAACTTGTAGTATTCCATGTTCTCCGAGCCCTTGCCCACAACCTGCATGGCCATTGAGTTGATGGCAGGTCGAGCATCAATGATCAAGTTGTGCTGCTGGGCACCAAAGATGATTCTCTTGCCCTTCTCGTCGTGGAAGGCATCACCGGCAGACAGCAGCTCTGGCTCTGCCTGGTCCGGATCAGTGAGGTCATGGTCAGACTTTTCCGAAAAGCCCTGCTGGGTGCTCGAGGAGCTGGCGCCCGAGGTCAAGGAGGGAGGGGCCTCCTGGATGTAAGGATTCGCGAAGCACGCATCGACCAGGGCTTCATCTTGACGATTGCGGTTTCCGGTGATGCCGACCCTAGGCTGGGAGCTTCGAGTGATGGAACAGTTGTTGACCGGATGCAGGTAGGTCAGGGTGGGCACACGGGATCGAGTACGGTGGGAGGCAGCATACTTCAAGGTTGCATCGGAGATCTTGTTGGGAACCACGAGCACAGACGGGTATGTCGGAGAGAAGGTGTAGTCTGCGTTCAGATCGGAGACCCTCCAGCCTTTGTCCTGTAGCTTGCCGCCGATGCCCTGGCGCCGGAACTCGGCTTTGGCGTCGTACAATTGCCAACCGTGGATAACGCGCTCAGTCTTTGGCGCGTGAAAGTCGAAGGCATGCAGCTTGTCTATGCTACCGAGCCGACAAGACCGAGTCTGTATGAGGTTGAAAGCATCCTGAGCTGACTTGTTGTCCGGGAAGTGGAACATGACAAAGTAGAAGTCGCGACAACGAACGCGAAGGCTAGATTCTCGTCCGGAGCTGGGAGGAGTTGGTCGAAACTCGCAGAACGAAATCATGGGGTATGCGACCCATGATTCTCGAGGGCGCTCTTTGGCGCCATTTCCGGTGGCCTCGGTTTTGAGCGGGGGCGCGGTGAATATGATGTGGTAGTCTGTCAGTCTGAGGCAGCCCCGAGTTGTCTCACCCCGGGCGACGGCGATGACGTCTTCTATGGTCTGCGAGTCGCAATTGTCAGTGTCGGCGCAGGACGCAAGACCAAAGGAGACGTGAAGCGATTCGCGAAGGATCGCTCTAGAGGCTCACCTGTCGAATTTCCACCATCTTGGAAAGAGGCTCATGGAGCCTATGTATGTTCTGGAAGTGCTGCTGCTGAATACTATTCCAGGGTTCTTAGACGATTGCTATTGAACGTTTGCTCGTTGGTGGCGGTGCGACAAGGACAGCGACAACACCAACGCCAGAGGCCAAGCTGTCGGGGACGTGACGATGATGCTGATGCGAGGAATTAAGTGGGACAAGAACGAGTGGGCCCTGGAACAGTAGGTCCTCAGTCAGCCCTGCAGCTGTGGTGAATGGAGTAGCGACAAGTGAATCAAGCTGAGAGAGTTGCACTTGCTTGTGTTCACTTTGGTCGCCCAGGTGTCGTCACATAGTCCGACTTACTTGTCGCAAAGCTGCAAGCTCCAGATGCCAGGTCAGAGTGGATGGTTGTATCGAAGCATGTGAGCGCGTGCTCTTTGCTGTACTGAGGCGTGCTGTGCTACAATGCGCTAACACGCTGCTTTGCGCTAAGAGAAGGCAAGGTACCTTGCTGGCTTTTCTCCCATTAATTGACCAGAAAGCTGGGTAGGTACCTGAGCTGAGTACTCTGAGCTGAGTACCCCGCGGTCCGGCGGTGGGACGGCTCCCGGCAGGCAATGTTGCCGGAAGCGCTCTACATAGTCCCGGCAACTACGCCCAGACTAGTTAGCGCCGGATTCGAGTACAGCAGTGCAGCAGTGCAGCAGTGCACCGTGCATTTCTGGCAACTCCTGACATTTCGAACAATTCTTGCTGCCCCTGCGCTCACGAAGGCGAGCTCTTAGTCCCACGAAGGGACAGAATGGCTTTTCTGATTGTCTATACAATCAGCATGACCAGACGTGCCTCCAAGAAAATAGATTAGTGATGCATCCGTCCAAGTGTGAAGACCCTACAATTTTCTTACAAAATCTGAACACAACACCTCAGCTTGCCGCTGCACCATTACAAGCCAACTAAACTACACCATACTTTCACTGGGGCGGTCTGTGCGCAGTAGCCCTACCCACCAAATTGCACCCGAATTTTCCATTTTGACCTTCTCCGCCTCCATTCTTTTTGAGACTGGTTGACCGATTGACTGCCCGACCTACCAACCTCAAACGGCCAGCGACCACAACAACTCGACAACCCTCCACCAAACCGCCAATAATCTCATCACGGTCAACCGATCACCGAACAACTGAGTCAACATGGCGGTCCCAGGTGCCCAGATGTAAGTTGCACCCACAGCATTACCCCCCTGCCACGAGGACCACGACGACAACGACATGGTGCTGCACACCCAAACTACCACGAGTCGACGTTGAAAAGCCCTTGAACATGGTGGTCGTTGCGCATCGTCTGGGGGAATTTCCTCCAGACTGTGACAATGACCCAAATGTGCTCGAGTGTTTTTGGACCTTTCATTCAATCCCAATCCTGCATGCGAGAACCCTATGACTGACAACATTCACAGCTCCAAGAGGAGAAAGTTCGTCGCCGACGGTGTCTTCTACGCCGAGCTTAACGAGTTCTTCCAGCGCGAGCTGGCCGAGGAGGGATACTCTGGCGTCGAAGTCCGCGTCACCCCCACCGTCACCGACATCATCATCCGCGCCACCCACACCCAGGAGGTCCTCGGTGAGCAGGGTCGCCGCATCCGCGAGCTCACCTCCCTCATCCAGAAGCGCTTCAAGTTCCCCGAGAACAGCGTCTCCCTCTACGCCGCCAAGGTCCAGAACCGCGGTCTGTCCGCCGTCGCCCAGTGCGAGTCCCTCCGCTACAAGCTCCTCAACGGTCTGGCCGTCCGTCGTGCCTGCTATGGTGTCCTGCGCTTCATCATGGAGTCTGGTGCCAAGGGTTGCGAGGTCGTCGTCTCCGGAAAGCTCCGTGCCGCCCGTGCCAAGTCCATGAAGTTCACCGACGGCTTCATGATTCACTCCGGTCAGCCCGCCAAGGACTTCATCGACAGCGCCACCCGTCACGTCCTTCTCCGCCAGGGTGTCCTCGGTATCAAGGTCAAGATCATGCGCGGCTCCGACCCCGAGGGCAAGGCCGGTCCTCAGAAGTCCCTGCCCGATGCCGTCACTATTCTCGAGCCCAAGGATGAGACCCCAGTCGTCCAACCTGTCAGCCAGGACTACGGTGCTAAGGCTGCCCAGGTTCAGGCCGCGGCTGAGGCTGCTCGGGCGCAGGAGGAGCAGGCAGAGGGTGAGGAGCAGCCCGCTGCGGCGGAGCAATAGGTGGCTTCTCCAGCGAGACACGCGCGACACCCATCCCCCCAACTTCCAACACGTTCGGACGAGTTCTTGAATGGTCCTCTGTCCCCAGGCGACAACCGCAATCCTTTTCGACCTCTCCCAACGGCGGAGGCCTCTTCGAAGCTCCTGATGGCGGGCATTGCCTTGGATGGATTCGCCGGTCATCGCCGGCATGTGAGCGACCCTGATAGCCTCTGAACGGGAAAGTGAGGCGAGGGAAGGAGGTTTTCCATCACAAAACATCAGGGCTCGGCGTAATTGAAATGCATTTTTGCTGGATTCAGGGACAGGGAACGTTGCTGGCTTCTGTTTTGTGGTTTACCGCGAGACCCGCACAATACGGACAGTGGAAGAGCAATGAGAAAATGAAAAGATTATATCCCACTTGCCTAGTGATTTATTGACGTGCTCTTGTTTGTCATGCACCTGTGCCATAGAATTGATATGCTTGTAGAGGGCTCTCCCTGGCTACTCACCAATGTCTTAGACGCTATACACAACGCTACCCAGGATTCTGCCATGTGATGTACCTCCTATTCTCTTTGTAATTGTACTCGGCCACGAGTCTCCTTACTGACGGTCTCCGGCCTCCATATCCTTCCACACACGCCTCATACCCCTGCGGTTTCCAGTCTGCTGGTGCACCAAGCTTGGCTACCGCACAGCGGAATCGAGTCAGCAAGCAGTCTACGACGCGCCCAACAGCTTTCCAACACATCCATCTACAATCTCCTCTGATCCGAACGACCAAGCGCTGGGAACACCCATTCTGCGGGCGTAACAAATCGGCTGACGTCCAGTCAAGCCATGGACCAGACAGCCAAGGCCGACGACCCTTGCTCATCCCGCACATGTTGCATCTATCGCGCCGCCTCGCCCTCCGACTCACTGTCAGAGTCGTCGTTCCTCCTCCAGAACGGCAAAAGGTGGCGGGTACTCCGACGATCCTCACCGCGCGCCTGGCCAGACCCGGACGACGCCCCAGCGGGGACTGTGCCGTAGGAAGGCGCGGCGCCAGAGCCGGCGACCATGCGGGCCTGCGCGTCGGGCTGCGAGGACACCAGCAGCGGCGCGCGGGCGGTGGCCCTGGGAGGGGCGGGCACGGTCCTGTCCGCGGCGGCCCTCAGGCTCTTGTTGCCCTTGTCTCGCAGGAACGTCTCCACGCGCATGTAGTTGCGCGTGTTTGGCTTGATGATGGCCGTGAGGATGTCGCCCACGATCGGGATGAGCTTGATGGCGAAGTCGATGAGGGCCCAGATGAGCATCGCCACCAGTGTGGATGCAGGGAGGCCACCCTGGACCTTCCTTGCGGCGCGGATGAGGGTCAGGGCGTTGATGAGCGAGATGATGTCTGAGGGGGTTGTGTTAGTGAAGCTTACGGTCTCAAGGGTGAAGGGCGCTTTCTGTGTTGTCATCACGGTCGTGTGCTTGCTCCCTTATGCCTCTCACAATGACCATGAGTGGACCCAGGTTGCCCAGGACAGAAGGAGGTTTTCTTTCACAGTACACTACTTACCACCCACAACAGGAAGCAGACCCCAGAGGGTCACGGTACCGAATTGGATATGTAGACCGCAGCAGCAGTGGCAGTCTGCGTAATTGTATTAGCCTTCATGTTACCAGAAGTAGTAGATAGAGTGAGTGAAGCCTATAGGAGTGTCTCAAGTCCTCCTTGTCACTTGTCAAAGAGCACCAGGTCTTTGCATACAAGACGCTCTCGCCGGAATTTAAGAAGTGGGAAGTGGAATTGCGTGAGGGCAGCAACATACCAATCCACCACTCATACCGATAGGCCTTGCGCTGTATCGTCTTCAGCACACGCTCGTCTTGGGTGCTCAGGCCCGGCGGCAACGGCTTCTTAAGCTTCTTGCGACGGCCATCCTCTGTGACGATGATGTTGTATTTCGGGTTCTAGAGATATTGTGACTGCGTGAGCAAACATACGACTTATCCACCTCTCACGCTCTCTGTCTCTTTGTCTTACTTCAGGCCCGAAATTGTCCTCCAGCTTATCCCCTACGTATTTCGAGGCTGCGAACTTTGCAAGAAACGCCATATCTGTGAGAGGTCACTTTGAGAGGAGGCTGTAAATGAGATGCTGACAGGTTATGTGATGACGAGGTACTTCGCTTCGCTATGGAATCAGGTGAGGTTAGAAGTACCTTGGCACACGTCTGGTCGAGGCAAAACGTCAAGGTTGTTGCCAGAAGAGGTCTGTCTTTACCGCCTGAGCTACTCGCCAGCTGGTCCCAGCTGTGCCCAGCTGAGTGACTGGGACACACCCCCTGGAGCCTTGATCCATTGAGAGCTCTCAAAAGAAATGACAAGAGCTGTCAAAGACAATAAAGCTGATAACAATTTTTATTGCCATCTTTCGTCTCGGGATGCTCACTTAACGTTGCTGGTGATGCACTTCCAAAGTGCCTAGCGAGAGAAGCGTTAAGCCTCAACTTCGAGCGCCTAACAATCGTGGATAATTCGGCCACAACAACGTGAGCAAAAATTGTAAATTCTTTACATGACAGGCCTTCAAGGCCGTCTCTTCTATAGTGAAACTGAGTGTTCATGGTGGAAATTTGGCCTTGATCCCCGGCCACGAAATCGGACCCATTTGTCCCCCCCAATGGTGACAATACCAGTGAGCCGTGCTCCTCATCGTACAAGTACAGCTCCCCCGGAAGAAAACCAAGACATGTTCAGCAACCCCGTAAATATCCAAGACGCCAGATGCCCATTGTCAAATCCCCAAGCCCAAGCCTTCCCACCTTCCTGCATTGAATGCAGCCCATTGCATCGCGTCATGTCGTGTCGTGAGGTCGCCGTTCTCCTTTCCTATTCGCTGAAGATCACCTTCATGTTGGTCTTTCGGCGTAGTCGTTTAAGCCTTTCGTCACAGCGGGGAGCTCAGGTGCCCAAGCGGCTCTAGATGTCGACAAGGTGTGAATATACAGGGCGGAGTACCGCGTTTACGGTACATTTATAAAAAAGCAAATGCGACGCGAGAGGTACCGAAACTCTAATCCGCGAACTCGGTCTTCCAATCCGATCTGTTGATCGGTGACTGTCCCGTTGATCACCGCTCGCCAGACTTTGGCTGCTGTGTCTCACTTGATTTCGATCTCCCGTTCGCCGACGCTGAGCCGTTCTGCTTCGTCCCCCTGCCACTGCGTTCGTCGTCGCTATCCTCTGCGAGGTCCGTCAGGCCGAATTCGGCTGCCTCTTCCTCGTCGTACGCCCGCATCAGGCCCTCGCGGTCGCTGCCGTGACCTAGACTCCTACGAGCCTCCATGCTCATACGCGTTTGAATCTGCGATATCATGTCCGTGCCCACGGAATCGTCACCGCCTCGCCCAGAGATCATCTTGAAACCGTTAGGGTCGCTACGTGACAGATTCAATAGGTACACGCCCGTGAAGGTGACGAGGAAGCCGCAGAGAAGGGAGAGTGTGTTGATCGGGTCGGTAGTGTTGAATCCGCTGTAGAGGATGAAGGAGGCGCAGAGTGTTGCGGTCGTGAAGGTTACGTAGTAGAGTGGGTTAACACTGCAGAAATTAGTTAGGAATGTAGACACGGGTGCGGCAGGCTAGATGGGAGGCGTACATGTTGGTGGGGAACTGGCTCAGCGCCTTGTTGAAGTAGTTCATTTGGGTCAAGATGCAAACCGCCGTGATGATCATGAACACATAGGTCGAGGCGTGAGTGAATTGGTTGTTGCCCGCAAAGGTCAGTTTGAGGGCGATGCCGAAGGCCTTGATGGCCATGACTGACACTGATCCTACAAGGGAGCAGATGCTCAGGTAGATCAGGGGGTTCTGTTTGCCGTATACGGGAGCAATTCTGTAGATCATGAAGACGGAAAAGGCTGTCACTGTAATGGCGTATATCAAGAAACCTAGGAGACAGTCAGCATCCACTGTCGGGGAAGGTAGGACAATCGCATCTCACCAGGCCTAAGGGCGTATGCGAGTATGGTCTCGATAGTCTCGATGTCCTCGTCTGGCGGCGCATGTAGCACGATGATGACAGCGCCAATGAGGCAGATGGCACACCCGAGCCTCCCTAATATTCCAAGCTCTTCTTTGAGAAAATATGATCCCAGCACCGCCCCTATCAACACCGACAGCGCGCCCAGAGGCGTGACGAGAATGGCCGGCGCGAAGGCGTACGCTGCGAAGTTGCATACCTCGCCGACAACCACTGCATCACAAGTATCAGTATGTTGAGCAGAGCGGAGTCGAGCATGATGGTGCTCTCTTACATGTGCAGATGCCGGCCCACCACATAGGATTCCGGAGATATACGAAACCATCTCCTTCAAAGCCATGTGTTTCTCCGGCTTGGTTGAGGCCCTGCCGCGGTATAGTCAGCCAACCCGTTCGTATGGATGTGTGCTCGTCCCAAGGGAGTGGACCCTGTTCTCTCGAATGTGCGAATAAGAACTACCTTTTTCGTTATGACGAAGCTCGTGCCTGCGCCGCCAGATACGTCAGTCAAGACCGTCCTAAAAGGGAAGGTGGGAGGAAAGAGAGGGATGCGCCGTACCGATGGCTAAGCTAGATGTCATGGCCAGCCCCAGGCCGATATATCTGCAACGTCCAATGTGGTCAGCGCGAGGTGTTCAGCAAGGGCGTCATGGCGTCGCTGGGCGATCGACCAAGTGCCAGGTCCGCGAGTTGCTTGGAGCGAGTCGTACTTTTCCTCCATCATCATATTGTAACGAGCGCAACAGCAGCGAGGCGCTGCTTCTGTCTGTCCAGAGCCGTCTCGAGTTGCGGAGAGCGCAATGAGCGCAATGAGCGCGGGCGCCCGGAATGTCGAGGTGGCCCGAGGGAGTGAAGACTTCGCGCCAGGCGAAACAGGGGGTGTGGTTGTGAAGAGACGGGTGGATTAGACGGGTGTTCGGTTCACGAAGGGCACAGGCAGAGATCAAGCAGGTCCGCCGCGTCAACTGATTTCGCCAGGGCCAGTGCTCGTCGGCGAGTGGGACAGTGGACGGATGGATGAATGGGCGATGGCTTGTGTGTTCGGTTGTTGGGTTGGTGTCGTGATGCGATGCGTGGCCTTTGTCTTCCTTTGCCGTCGGGAGGTGGTTCGGCCAGGGAGGTGTTCGATGGTCGAGGATCACTGTGGTGTGTGTGTGTGTGGGGGGGATGAACAAATCGTTTCAATGTTCCGACCCCGTTCCAGGACAAGCGGCCAAGGCCAAGAGAAAAAAGAGAAAGTCGTGCACCAAACGGGGACGCTTTCCCCTTCTCAGCAAGGTCGAGGACAGGTGTACTGGACCGTAGTGCGTACGGGAGGGAGTCAAGAATCTGGGATAGAGATAAAATTGGCTGGGCAGGGGGAACCGATGTTGCTGGGTGCGTTTTGGCCGATAGTCATTCGCAGCGCAGGGAGAGGGCTGGTGAGGTCTCTGGAGGTCTGCAGGTCTGTTGAATTGAATCGGGTGGGCATGCGGCCTCGTTTCATCCATGGGCGTGGACGTCACTCTATCCCTGGAGCTAGTAGCCCTCTAGCGGCAGCACTCGTGGCCTGCACCTGAGGCGGCATAGCATGGTACCTGGCGCCCTCTGCCTGTCCGGGTGGGTGGGTATCTACCTAACCCAGACGGGCCTGGGAACCTTGGAAGCAGGTACGTACTGGTCCCTTGCTTCGCTCCGCCAGGGCAAATCGATGCCCCAGGTTTGGAATACGAGGGGCCTGTCTGCTTGTGCCTTGTCATGGGCTTGCGCAATTGCAGATGGCTGAGTACTTCGTAATGAAAAGGTACTTATTTCCCTGCCCACCTTGACTACGATAGACTACATATCCGGCGCCAGCCAAACAACAATCTTAACGGCCAGAGGCCAGCTTCGCCCTGCCGCCACTCATCACAAAGACTACCTGGCAATCCAATTCCCGCTTGCTCGCGCGCCAGCTGTTAAGAGTTGAAACGTCGGGTGCCCGGGTAGACTTCCCTACCTAGGTACCCGCCTTGGTGCTGCGGATAGGCCAAGCAGATCAACTACTCAAAGCCCATCCTCCAATGTCAACTTAGGCCAGGTGTCTGGCACGATTACACATAAACACTATTTACGTACACGAGCCAGCTATCGATGCAGCATTTATAAGAAGAAAAAAATCCGTTGCATCTGCTTGGTGAGCCCATGTCCTACCCATGTGCCATGCCACTTAACTGTATGTGGGTCTTACCCTTCGACACAATACGTATTGTGTGTCGAAATACCACCTCCAGCCCTCGATAGCCGCAGTGATGATACAAGGAAACAACCTTCACTGACGTACGAATGTACCACTAGTGGGTGTGCGTGTGTGTGGATATGTTGGCTTTGCTTCACCCGGGGCTTCCAGGGAAATAAAATGGGGGCCAGAGAGAGCTCCGCGTCCCACAAGATGACGATGAGCTGGGCCCAGAGCCTAGACTAGTCGCAGGTGGAGTTGGCCAGGCTCTCAGCTCTGGCACCTACCTGCTGTACACATGCTGACAAGGCTGCAGCAGCAAAGACGCTGGTGTCTATATTGCTGCAGTTCTGTAGAGGCCGTTGAGTCGTCATCGCCAGAGCATATAAAATGACTGATCAAGAAATCCGTGGGGAGAACCCGAATCTCGCTTCTCCCAAAGCAACAAGTCGCGCCCTCGCCTGTTTTGGCGGCCCCGTCCCACCTCAATTCTCTCCTATCGCACCAATTTTAATAGGCCTGCTTGGAATGCCGCGATCGTCACGCCTGCTCAAGTCCGACAACTGATCAAATACCCGAGAGTTTCCATGTTGCAGAGCATGCCACTCCAATCATCCCTTTCTGAATCGACGGCCAGTCGATCTAATTGAGCCAGAATCATACCACAACGTTGCCTGCGATGTTCACTGCAATCACCAATGAACTTCTCTAATCACCAGGAAGGCTCCTTTCGCATTGATACAGAGCTGCTCTACATAACCCAAGAACCCAAACAGCCATGCTTTTCGTGATATCGCCGCCTACAACGCCTGCGAAAGCAGCTCTGCACACGCCGACAGACCTTGGTAATCCCCTCAACAAGCCTTATCTATGTGTACACAAATAAATCATTGTCCTGCGCGAGCCGACAAGACCGTTCGTCTCGTCAAGAAAGATACTTAGCCTTCTTGGAATGATCATAACCGACTCGCCCTACCAACTCGGACGTCGTCATTCTTGAACTGCTGTGCACCTGTCTTCTGTGCCTGTCTATTCCTTCCTCCGTCACTCTGCGAGAACAGGCCATGCGGCGGTGGAAAGACATCCTCCAACCTCGTGGGCCCTGTGACTCCCCCTGAATCGAATGCGGCCAATATAATGGCAAATTAGAATTTCCAGTCGCTGCTCCTCGGGAAGCCGTCATGCAAGATGTCGCACGGGCGCAAGGTGATACTCGAAGGCCACACATAGCTGCGAACGAAGAGACTTGAGGTCGTAAAGGCGGCCGGGCTTCTCTCCGGATCAAAACTTACCTCTCAAATCAGTCGGAACCGTTGATCATTTCTTCTGTGCTTCAGCTCTCCACGTTGCTATACGGAAAGGGGGGTTGTAAGGGCAAGGGGTGTAGAATGGAGGGGGGGAATCAGGATAAAAGATGTGCAAAGGGTGCAGATGCACTACAATTGCTCCCTATGTTCGGGTTTTTTGACCCATAGTCATGGCAGATTGCTTGATGAGGTCCGAGCAGACGAAACCACACCGAGCAGCCACCTAGGTGCGACGACGCTTGGCAGCTGGAGTGATGTTAGCACATGCGCGTGTCCCCTTGCTGTAGGAGGACTGACTACTATCGTCACCTAGACCAACATCGTCCTCGTCTGCTTGTCTGCCTCTCTTCACAGAGAGGCTCGAAGGAGACAGGTCGGTCTGGTTCTGATTTCCAATGTCAAATTCGTCTTTGTCGTTGTCGTTGTCGTTATCGTCGTCGTCATTCCAATGGATCTCGTCGGTCTGTCTCTCCGGAGAGCCAAGCTCCGGCTGTGAAAGGGTCTGAATCAAATTATCGGCATCTGCCAATGCCTGGCTCGCAGACGTTTCGTCTCCATGGCCGTGCCCTTCTCCGTCTAGAGTTGCTGTGGCACTGGAATTGTGTGAGGTCGGTCCTGGCGTGCCTGCAGATGCTGCAAATACTGCAGACTCGGCGGGCTCCTCTTCGGTCGCCCCAATATCAAGGTAGTCGTCGTTTTCCGCTGCGTTATAATCTTGGAACTTGAAGTCAGCCGATATGCGTTGTTTGTGGTTGTAATAGCCATGATTCGCAGCTAGTGGGTCTTGAGTGTTCACAGTTGACGGCAAATTGCTTGACCAATCCCCCGTGGCAACAAGGGCTTGCTGAGCATCGATCAAAGCAACTTCGACCAGCCGGTGCTCAGAAACTCGACGAGTTCCCTCAGACTCGACCAGGACGTTGCCTGCAATACCAATAGCAGTTGGCTGGCCGGACATGCAAAATGCGCAGTCACATATTTCAGTTGATGCAGTGCATCCGCTTAATTCCAAAGAAGAAAGGTTCTCACCATCAGTAGGGCCATCATCTCCCTGGGAGTGTTCGTTTCCGGCCTCGGCGTTTTCTTCTGTTCCAGCCACTTCTTCCCTACCGACGAGGCCGTCCTCCACATAATGTTCGCCTTCAGACCCGTCATCCATGGCCTCTGCTGTCAGGTCTTCATCTTCACCCGGTACCATGTCGGCGTTTTGATGACTTCCATCTGCGCTCTCGTCGTGCAAGGCATCCGTTGCCACCAAGCCAAATTCATCTTGCGCGGCTTCACCAGACACAGATGCGTGATTGTCGTCCTCATCGTAATCGGGATGATCTTGATCAGCCTCTGCCGAGAGTAACTCATTTACTGAGTCATTCACCACTTCTCCCTCCACACCGCTGGAGTTTGAGGTGTTGATGACTTCCTGTTGGCTCTCACTGAGTCGAAAAGGGTTGTACGGCTGCTCAGTCTGGTGAGATGCACTCAAATTGCCCTCGGCCTGGGCATGAGACTCGTCGAAAGACACATCATCAGAGTCCACAGCCTGGCCACCTTCATCATAATCGTTTGACTCGTCCTCGACGGCTACAAAGTCGGGAGTCCCCTCGTAATAAAATGCGACTTGGGACAATCCCCTGCCCTCGTTAGCGCTGTTCGTCAACTCTGCGAGCCGATGCAAACAATTTGGACGCGTTTCCAGATAGATGTAGAGCTCAGGCGTTTCGGAGTCAATATCATCAAGCTTCACAAGTCGATCATACAGCTCTAGGACTTGACCGAAAGTTGTCTGCTCAAGGAAGTCTTTCGTTGTTGCCTCTCCGAACTCGAGTCCAAGTCCGTCCACTTTCACGAAAAGCTCATCAGAAGCTTGAAGATCCTCCGAGATGACTTGGCGAAGACCTGGTAGAAATTTTGATAGAGGCTGGTCAAGTATGTCCGTGTTCTCGAAAAAGTAGTCATCAGGATCAGCATCAGGAGACTCTGCAAAAAGATAGAACTCCGCTGTTCCGTATGACACCCTTACTCGGGGATGCTCCTCCAAATGCTTGGATTCTCCCGCTTTTTGGTCATCGACGTCCTCGAGAGCATCGACTGTTTCGATAGCGGCCTGAGATGCGACAGTATCGACGAGGTTAGAATCGTGTTCAGGACTCGTGTCCCGGGTGAACTCCTCGCGGCGAGGTTCAGCCATCAACGCTTCGTCCTCGATAACTTTGTCCAAATGGTCGCTTTCCACAGGCAGCTGCTCCTCATCAACTGCTTGCATCTCGGCAGTTTCTTCAGCACTGGCACCTCCAACAGGTGCCTCGTCTTCAAAGCGCTCTTCCTCCTGGTGCGGATACTCAAAATGTTCCGTGACAACTGTTGTGCTTTGGACGACTTCTTCTTCGTCTTGCTGACCAGCGTCGACGAGGCTTCCGAGCTCTTCTGCCGTTTCTTCGTAGTAGATCTCCTCCTGGTATTTCTCGCTCTCTCCATACTGTGCCTCGTCTGCGTGGTGAACATTCTCGCCCTCGGTGTTAGAACCCAGTGCATCGCCTTGGTAGGCTTGGTCGACATCCTCGGTGATAGAACCAAGTGCATCGCCTTGGTAGGCTTGGTCGACATCCTCGGTATCTGCTGAAGCGTCAAATGTGGACACCTCTAGATCGTGTTGATCCTGGACCTGGCCAGGCATCCGGTCTTCGTAAAACTCATCAACTGCCTCATGTGTGCCATGGCCTTGGCTTGAATGAGTGTGAGCGTCGTCGAGCGTGTCATTGCCTTCAGTCTGATACGTCGACCCTTCATCGGTGGATTCAAGTCCTCCCAAAGCTTCCAGATTCTCTTCATTACCACCAATATCGAAGTCAAACTCCTCATCTTGAATAACGTTGACGGTGTCATCTTCGAATCCGACCCCTGTGTTGGCCTCCAAATGGCCTTGCTCCTCCGCTACAGCCTCCATCATCTCGTGGCTGGCAGATTCCAGACCAATCGAGGCAGATTGTAAAAGCTAGAGGGCAGTGTACGGACGCCAGAACCGGGGCAGGTCGCTTGCAGGCAGAAAGATCACAAGTCAGATTCGGGACAACTCCTGGTCATGGTACTCGCGGCGATGGCAGGAAGTGTGGAGGAAAACAGCTCAACAGAGTCGCTGAGGTAGAGGAGCTGTTTGCGAAAGCTTGAATACAGGTGAACCAGGCGGCCAGGTAAAGAGTGACCAAAACCTTCGGGGCACAAAGTTTGATTGGGTGAGTGTTCCGTTCAGAGTTCAGCTGTCCAGGTGCGTTCCGTAGGTCTTGATACCATGGGCGTCAGGATGCGCGCAAATAAGAAAGGCGCGTTCCGAAGGTAAAGACGATAGTAGAGGCCAGTGAATGGTCGCAGGTTGGGAGCAGCTGAAAGAAGGTGACGCGAACGGCTGCTTGACTTTCGCATGGCGTCGCTGACTAAATGCGCCTGCTAGCGAGCCACCGCGTGGGTAGGTAGGTAGGCGCGCACCGTGGTAGGTAGCAAGGTAGCTTAGGCACCTGGTCAGAAACCGTAATTAGGCATGTGGAAAGCATGGTCTGCCTGCCGGGTGGGGCTGCATTACGGGCCAGGGGTGTGCTGCTCTGCGTCCAGGCCAGCTCGCACGAGCCACCCAGCCAGCTTCAGGACAGCACTATCAATTAATGGAAGCCAAGTTCAATACAGGGACAACAGCCCAACTCAGCTCGCAACCCTCTGGCAAGCCCACGATCGATCCTCCACTTGTCACAGAAACCCCGACGCCGGATTGGAATCATAATGGCAAGTCTCCTGATCAAGCGGAACATCAATCGGTTGAAATGGCTAACAAGTGAGGATGTCAGGTCGTCCTCGCAGCATCGATCTGCACCCGCGGGGGCAAAGCTGTCCTTTCGCGACAGTTCCGCGAGATGCCCAGGTCGCGCATCGAAGCCCTCCTCGCCTCCTTCCCGAAGCTCGCAGACAGCGGGACACAGCATACGACCGTCGAGCAAGACAATGTCCGATTCGTCTACCAACCCCTCGATGAGCTCTACATGGTCCTCATCACCAACCGCCAGTCCAACATTCTCCAAGACATCGACTCGCTGCATCTCTTTGCCCAGGTCGTCACCAGTACTTGCAAGAGTCTGGAGGAGCGCGAGATCTTGAAGAATGCCTTCGAGCTGCTCAGCGCCTTCGATGAGCTGGTCACCCTGGGTTACAGGGAGAATCTGACCATTAGTCAGATCAAGACCTTCCTGGAGATGGAAAGTCACGAGGAGCGCATCCAGGAGATTATTGCCAGGGTATGGCGCTCGCGCTCGCTTGGTGCTGCTTCCAATTCTTTGCGTTTTGTACTGACTTGTCTTAGAACAAAGAGTTGGAGGCTACAGAAGAGCGCAAGAGGAAGGCCAAGCAACTCGAGATGCAGCGCAAGGAGTCGGCCAGGGGGGCCCGGGGTATGGGCAATGTGCCCAGGACGCCCGTTTACCCAACATACACTGCACCTAGCCGCCCTGCTGTCACCGATACATACGATACATACGAGGCTGAGAAGAACAAGTCGAAGTACGTTAGTCCAGTCCATTCGCCCCAGGACCCGCGCTCACAGGAAACAGATTCACCGCACCAAAGGGCAAGGGAATGCAACTTGGTAAGAAGTCTAAGACCACCGATATGTTTGAGCGAGTGCGAGGTGAGATGGGCCATGAAGTCGACGACAGCCCGCTTGTCGCGCCGGCGGCTCCCTCGCCGATCACAGCAGAACCTGCTGCGCCCCGAGCCTCAACTACACTGGATCGCGACGCTATACATGTGACCATCAATGAAGCAATCAGCGCGAAGCTCTCGAAGGAGGGTGCTGTCGATTCCCTTTCCGTCAGTGGTGATCTGCAGTTGCGGATATCCGACCCATCACTGACCAAGATCAAACTCGACCTGAATGCGCAGCCTACTCATGGCGCGCAGTTCCGAACACATCCTAACGTCGATCGCAATCTCTTCAACAGCTCCAAAGTCATTCAGATGGCCAACACCTCGAAAGGCTTTCCGGTCAACAACTCGGTCGGCGTGCTTCGGTGGCGTGCTACTCCAAAGACAGACGACCCGAGCTCGTTGCCAATCAGCTTCACTGTCTGGGTTAACAAGGGCTCTGATGGCAGCTACACAATGACTGTGGAGTACGAGCTGACCGGCGGTGACGCGCTGAAGGACGTGAGCGTCACCATTCCGTACTCGACCGCTGAGCCCTCGGTGTCGAGCTTTGATGCCACGTATGACGTGTCCGGAGACAGTCTAGAGTGGTCAATTGGCACAGTGGATGACGAGAATCCGAACGGGGCTTTCGAGTTCGAGGCTCAGGCGGATGACGAGAACGAATTCTTCCCAATGCAGGTCCGATTCTCCAAGTCCACGCCATATGTGGACGTTGAAGTGAGTGATACCCTAATTACCCCTTTGCCGACTCATCTTTACTGACAAAAATCCAGGTTTCCTCTGTTGCTTTGGTGGAGATGAACGAGGACGTGACCTTCTCGAAAGAGATCAAATCCATGGCGGACTCTTATGTTATTGAGTAGAGCAGATTGAGCAGGTTTTAGAGGAGTTGACCAGAATCATGCCTTATCAAAAGTCCACGTTATAGGACACGAATCAATTGATGTTGTTGCAGTCTCGTACATCCTCCAATATTTGAGTGACAAAGCAGCATCAAGCTGGAAGAATCAGTCACAGAAAAATCCAGGAGTGCCGTGGATTACCACGTATCTGGTCAAGGGCCACTCGGCTGGGCAGAGAATCATGTCCACTGCGTGTGCCAATTAATTTGTCTCTTATAGCCCCAACGATAGGCATGGGGACCCAAAGAACATGCGACATCCTCAAACAAGGGCGCAGCCCCCACGGATCGCAACGACAGAATGTGAGGAAATGAATGCTGCGGCGATGAATATGAGGAAGACACGCATGAGTTGGGCACGGTATAGTGTTGTTATATGACAATAGTGGGCTCTTTCGCCGGCTATCGGGCACACGATCTGTTTAATATCTCAACTCCATGCGTCGCTGTCGAGCAATGACTGGTCTTCCTTCAAGTCCAGTCACAGTGACTATCGTAGTCCACCAAGGAGTCGCTTGATCTGAAGAGACGTAGCGAACAAGAAACAACTCCCCGGCCATTCGCCCAAAGGAAAAGGAATGGAGAGGCAGGAAGAGGAAGCAAGGAGGGTGAAAATGAGGGGGACAAAAACGCTATTCACAACTACCTACCCAGCGCATGTGTCTGTGTACCAAGGTACAGGAATATGTTCAAGTTATATGGGAGCAATGGGTAACATGCGTCTTGGAATCCCCCCTCCCAGGTTCCGTCCCCTTGCCCCCAGGGCCACTGGCAAGAATGAGTTGGGGGTTTTTTTTTGGGGGGGGGGGGGGCGCGTATGGACTTTGCCGACGACTAATGGAACAAGCAGGGGCTGCGGCTGAGCCACAACTGGTCTCAGTGTTGGCTATCCGTCCAGCCCTTCCAAGGCGGCTTGCAACAATGGCATGATCGCCAGGACGTAGAAGAGGTGAATGCGAGCCAGTGTTCTCAGCTTGCTCATCATGCTTCCGAAGTGTCAAGCTCGTAGGGCTCTGCGAGGCTCTGAGATTTGCCAGGGTCCCCCCAGAACACTTTGCCGCACGGGCACCTCAGGTCTCGCGACTCCTAGGCTGTCTTCGAGCACGCTTCGATTTTGCTGCCCTGCAGAACGAGATCTTCCTGATCCTCTTGATGTCTTCGCGTCGGTCGATCAAGGACTCGGCGACCAGGGGAATGAGGAAGATCCACGTTTGGTACCGAACACAATGGCTTGACTTGCGGATGATCTCCCAAGAACGATCAGTGATGTTCGTGATCCTCATCTGTTCATTAAGCGAAGCCATGTGGTTCCATCCCAACCACGACCACGACCGTTGCATCAAGATTGAGATGGCATGCGCCTGTTCGACCGAAAAATGACTGATATATGCATGAATTGTCAAAGCCACTTCTCAACCGACACTAACGAACACAAAACCTCATCCGTCTCAGAGCCTCATCCGCACTCCAGTCCGCCAAGGCCCGCCGTGATTGGGCAGACTTGGTCTCAACCGGTCCACTTCAGACGGAATCGTCGCAAGTTATCAGACGAGGGAGACTGCGGTCGGGGATTTCAAATCTAAGGTTATTCGGCTTTAAAGTCACTCCGGTGCGGTTCCCCGGGCAAACAGGTACATCACCAAGCTTTCCGTTTGACAACCTGCCAACCGAACTCGTTTGTCGCCCCAGGCTTAGACGCCCCCTGATCCCGGCTGCCCTGGTGCTCATGCATATCGTCAGTAAGGTCTGCATGCCTCTTCGAGCGACTCCTGCGATCTCGAGTGTCACTGACGCAGATCCCCCTCTGGAGACTCGAGCCGGATGTCGAGATGCCGGTCTTGGGCGGGGCCAAAGTCTTCAGGACCTCGTCAAGGAGGACGACGAAGGCAAGAACGGTCACATATATCCCGTGTGATCTCCCACGGCGATGAGGATCATGATCTTCGCATGCCGTCTTCCAAGAACTCCCAAGATCATATCTGCGGATCCGTACTTCTTTACTTGATTTCTCACCAAGCGCCCCAGAGGCTGCTGTTTCGTTCCTTGTATAAGCCTTAGTTGTCTTCACTCCTTTGATAGGATCAACAGACCCAGAGTACCATCTATATTATTTTCAATAATCCTCTCTCTTCAAGATGTTCTTCGGGAATTTTATCACCGCCCTAGTTGGCGTGTCTTTCGTTACTGCTGGTAAGTCACGAGTCTTCCACCCTGTCCACCACATTATCTTTGGCTAATTCATGGCAGCTCCCGCGTCCGTTGACCGGAGTGCAACACCCATAGAAAGGGGCCTGAAGCATAAGACCAGGGCACAACAGAAAAGGGATATCATCATCCAACAGACTGTCGTGGAGCCCCAGGTCGTAGTCATCAACAACAACTTGGATACCATCGCGGCCCTGGCCTTGACAGCAGAGCAGGAGTTCGCTGCCCTTGTTCAGTCCCAGCTTGCTCTCATTTCAACGGTGGAGACGATCAAGAACAATATTAGAGTGAATCACTTCAAGAACAGTAAGCACCTGCAAGTTCATGTGGTATGCAGTTTGGACCTCCATGCTAACCACGAGGTGAATCAGGATGGACACAAGTTAACACTGTCATTATTGCGGTCACAAATGTCATTGATCAGCGAGATCCCAAAAATGTCAACACTCGCTACATGGTCAACCAGCTCAAGGCTGATAACAACCAGCCTGGCCAGGAGATTCTTGTAATGGTTAACGCGGCTGAGCCTCTTACGATCGGCCCTGCACCTACGCCCGCAAACCTGAATGTCCCTGGTGTTGCTGGTGTGGGCAACGCGTCTCAGCCCTCTGGTGGTGCCGCGCCTCAAGTTGCTGCGTTCGATCCCAATGCACCCTTTGGCCAGATCAACGGCTCCGTCCTGCTGCCCTTTGGTTCTCAGCCACCAAAAGCTCCGAGCAACGCTCAGGTCTTCGCCGACCCAGCTGCCATTATTTTGCCGAATCAGGGCCTTTTCGTCGGTGACACAAACCTCATCCAGCAAGATTGCCAGCTCCTTGCAGCGGGTTCTCTTTTCAACCTTCAGCAGCAGCTGCTGGCCAGCGAACAAGCTATTGCACAAGCCGAAGTTGCTGGGCTTGTTCTCGGGACCGCACCCCCACCAACAGTCATCGTCAACGTGAATGGCGGCCAGCAAGGCCAGCAACAAGCTCAAGACCAACAAGCTCAACAACAAGCTCAGCAGCAGGCCCAGCAGCAGGCCCAGCAGCAGGCCCAGCAGCAGGCTCAACAGCAGGCCCAACAACAAGCCCAGCCGTCAGCTGATCCACAGGCTCAGCAGCAAGCCCAGCCGCCATCAGAGCAGGCCGCCACTCCACCAGCACCGGCTCCAGCTGCGGCCCCATCAGGCGCATAAGGCCAGGGATTACGCATAGTTGTTGCGATACTAAAGCAAGCAGCGATCGAATCGCTGAGCGCGGAGTTCGAGAGGTTGTGGTTGAATAGTTTGATTCTATATTCTAAATGTTAATTATCGCTATGCCCGTACATATTAAAATCTACATCAGGCGACTTGTCCAGGTCTCTGTATGAATTTCGTTCCGGCAGATTAAAAGCAATGACGGTTAGGTGAAGTCGTGAATTTTGCGATGCCCTCCACTCTCAATGACAAATGTCCTGCTCCGACAATGCCTACCGACTGAACCTTCAGGTAAAAGGGCCAGGAAGTATCGACAGAAGTGTGGCATGATGCCCCGAGAATTGTGGTTAAACATTACACCATCGATGCCATATGAATTGGGAAATTTCCGCTAGGACCCCAGAACCCTGCACATGAGCCCGGGTCTTGGAAACGGCTACTGGTCGATCACACCAACCTCGCTCCACACATGTAGGAGGTTTCAAGCCCGGTAACGATCATCACTTTGAACCGCAGGGAAGGATTCAAATAGGTACACCAAGTCAGTCCTGAAATGTAGGTACTATGTCACCCTGATGATACCGAAAGCCTTTAGGGTTTTACTGAATTTGCCTTCCCTTTCGACTGCCGAAAGTCTACAACTTATCGTTGCTGAACTCGTCCAAGCGTTCAGCTCCCACATGCGCACTTAGTGAGCGGCTAACTCAATCTAGCACATAACCAAAATGCAGGATTTTGTCTCCTGTAGCAAGAGATCTTCAAGGGCAATATTGTTGATTGCGATGGTGAGAAGCTTAGGATAGTCTCACTTCTGCTTTGCAAAGAGCCTTAGGTGTATTAGTGGGAGACACTTGATATCGACAGCCAGACCTACGAACAAATGTAAAATACCTACAATAGCGGTGCTAATGACCATGCTGAGCTTCCCGCAGTCGTGCAACAATATCTTTGCCTCCGAATTGCTTTCGATTGGTTAGTAAATTCACTTGAAGGATCTGGTGACGACGAAGCAATAGAGACCGAGACGAAGTCTCATAGGCCGCCGAATAGCCTTCGTTCCGTTTACATGTACATCCCAAGTTTTCGAGCCCTCGAGTATGTGAAAATTTAGACGGGGATTGGCGAGGATGAGGTTATGTGACTATTTGTTCTAAAAGTTCCGACGGAGCGCTCAACATTAACATTACCTGGAGGAGCTGAAATGGGGCTTTTCTTTTCAACGTCCCCCATTTTGTGCCTTTTTCATCAATACTGCCACTACCTAAAAACCCGAGACTCTCAGGTTGAGCTGCCTAGCATCCGCCTTTCGCAATGGTGGCCAAATCGTCCAAACCTGCGATCCTTCTTGTTCAGGGGTCGTTCCAGCTTCCGGAGGCTTACAGCAAGCTGGCATCCGCCCTTCGCTCACATGGGTTCTTCGTCGCTCAACCCAGTCTCCCTAGCATATCATACCATGACTCTCCTGAATTTGATAAGCGGGGCCTCGCCGATGATTCCAGCGCTATTGAGTGAGGCGAAACGTCTTATGTCGAATGAGGCGGGAATGTCATGTTGGTCATGCCCCTTCCTCAACCAAGAAAAAGGAAAAAGGACGAAAGAACGGAAAGAGAAAAGAAATTGAGTTAAATTGAGTTAAATGTTGTTATCCCAATTTCATCGCCCATGGTGGATTCTATCGCGTCCAAATTACACGAGTTGACAATGGTTGAAGGGCGAGACATGGTTTAAACATACAATGTGAGGCAGTCTCTTCATACACGGACAACGAAGGAAATAAAACTGCTCTAAGTTCAGTCGGAAGAAGACATATCAAGCCCTTGGATGAGCGTCTTGGGTTAGTATCTAAATCCTGATCCGTCGCTCGTGGGTTGCAAGCACTTCCATATTTACTCCTGCTGGTTCCAAAAATTGAGTCGATGCTCAACACTCAAAACATACATGGCATAAACGACACTGAAGGAACTGTAGACGCTGTGTCAGACCAAGCCGAGCCCAAAAGGAGAAAAGCTGTGTATTGGAACATGGTGTGTGGGTCGGAGTACTTGGCGTCGTCGTTGGTATCGGAATTACCGTAGTCGGGCCATTCACACTCGTGGCAGAGCTTCAATCTGAGTAGGACGAACGTCTGGAGCCAAGAAATCAGGGTGCTTTAGTTGCCAGCACGCATCCACTGTTCACAGACGGGAGTGGCAGAATTGACAAAAAGAAAACCAATGCGATCACGTCCGTCTCGTGCCTATTCGTTCAGAGCATTTCTGGAGACTGGCTTGTACTTCGCTTCTTCGAAACCAGCGCATATCTCGCCACGCTCGGCTGGATATAATTGTCATCGTAAGCTTGTCTACACAGTAAAAGCCAGTGGGTCGTAACCTCAATTTATTTAAAACTTTGAGAATATTTATCTACTGAGAGGAAGAATATTCATGCGAGTCAGAAACATCCATAGAAATACGCGCGCAGGAAGTGGTGGACCGCTCATTTCATTCAAAACCTTTCGGACAATTGTTTACTGAGAGATAAACATCGATACGATTCAAGAAGCACCTTGGTGCGATTCAAGAAAGCAGTGAAGATCTTCTATCTGTTTGTGTCGAGGACGCCCAGTCGGGTAGTAATTACGGGGCTATCTATTTTTGTAGCCGCCCCTGAACGTGGGAAGCACCTGAGGCTATTTTCCAGTCTCTTGTTGAATTTATAACGATTCTTTACAGGATGAAGGTTATTATATATTTGGTGGGAACCTCTCATGGCTCAATGTCCAGAACCAAGCTTGTGGCAGCCGGAAGAGTTTCACTCGCTCCATCATTTCCTTGACAGATACGCTCCTTTGCTTGCTTTTTCACTCTATACTGTCTCCAATGGCAACCAGACATTCTTTCCTGCTTGGCCTCTTTGCCAGCCTTGCGCTTGCTCAAAGCTCGACCCTCGACTGCACCCCCTCGTCCACGTCCGGCCTCCAGCCAGATTGTTGGGCTCAGCTAAAGGTCTCGGAATATATCAAAGACTGGCTCGATGCCAATGGCACGGCCGCGGACTGCGACAACCTGGGCTTTGCCCAGTGCTTCCTCCAATATAATGGCTACAGTGGCAGGACTTGCAATTTGCTAAGCCGGGGGACGTGCGATTCTTTCGAGACGACTGGATCCGAGGCCACGTACTACTCTTCTCAGCAGTTCTACACTCTTTGGAACATCTATGCTATGTACCAATTCTTCAACCAGTTCTCCGAGGCTCTCTCGAATGGAGTCAGCTTGGCAGGTGCTACCATCGATGATATCGTGGCCACAGTCAGCCCGTCCACAGATGCCAGCTCCCCGAGCACTCTGCTGTGGACGGCGATAAGTGGTGGATTCTGGATGCTTGCTGCGACACCTCTTGGGCCTTTTGCTGCTCTTGTTAATACTGGCTTGGCCGTTGTCACTGGCATGAGCAGTTTCTTCATGAGCTCCATCTCAGGTAGCTCAACAGCGCGATTTGTTTTGCTGGGTGATATTGGCAGCGAATTAGCTACCCTCGTTACGGAGTATCAGACCAGCCTTGAGAACGCTCTCAAGGAGCTTCAAAACAACAGTACGCTCTTTATCGCGGCAGCCGAACCCGGAGGATTCAGCACTCGTGCGGTGACCAGCTTGAATACCCAAAGCGTCGATATCTTCCACGACCTCCAGCTATACATACTTTCAGAAGCACTCAAGGGCAACAATATTGTGTCTGCTAGGTCCACAGATACCATCGCTATGGACGTTGCCACCAACACCGGTGCTGTCGACTGCCCCAGCCTCAGTGCCGCAGGCAACTGCTATCAGTTCTGGGTTGATGAAGAAGCAGGGAACACATATGCGCTTCATAGTACCAACGACTGGGGCTTTGACGACAGCACTGATGTTCTCAACAAGATCGTGGACTCTGGCTGGGCGAACCTTTCTGAGATATTTAAGGTAGAAGACTGCCAGGGCAAGGAGCCCGGCTTCGACGGGACGAAGGTGTCGTGTCTGGCTACCCACAAATACTGCGAATGGGACTATGCCTCTCAGGTATCTGGCGGCAAGTGGACACAATGGACCAACTGTGATGCTGATTCCAAATGGGATACTCAGTGCAGCTCTTGGTCCACGATCTATCTGATCCCGGACAGCTACCTCGGGCCGGCCTTAGCGGACGATACTTTGTATTGCAGGAAACTGTAGCGTTGTATTATGTGAACCATGGTAGCTTGAATAGCCCGTTGCCTGTCAGCAATGCTCACCAATGAAGTAATATGATGTATATTTCAATTGTACGGCAACTGAGCTCCTGTTGCGAACATATTCTTGAAAGCAGAGAAGTTGCTGATTTGCTTTGTGAAAAGTCTGGTAATCTTCAGACCCTGTGTGTAATTCAGTATCGCAGGCAACAGCGATCTTGCCTAGAAGACCAATATGATATCACATACACTATTGGAACAACACCGCCACACTCTCAAATATCACAGCACGTCATTCGGGAGCCCTTGTGGCTTATTTACTCCCCCACGTAAAGGTTATAGCGGGAACTTATCCCATATGAGGTTATCCTATAGGAGGTGATCCTAAAGGTGGTTATCCTACAAAGGGTTATCCTATAAGAGGTTGTCCTATAGATGGTTATCCTAAAAGAGGTCATCCCCTATAGATAGTCATCCCCGAAGTAAACCTCTAAGAATTGATTACTTATCAGAGATTACTTGCCTTTCTTCTCTTTGGGAATAGATCCTCCTCTATATTCTATTTATTCTACACAAATACTGTGGCCGAAAGCTGATACCTGAGCTTGAGCTCGTTCAAGGTCAAAGTTGAGCTTCAATTCGACTAGCGACGGGTGCTCGACTTCAAAATATTTAAGCAAATGAATCAGCTTTTCTCCTCTTCCCTGTCCCTTAGCTAGACGACAGGAGGTCTTTTTAGGATCCTGCGATTTTGGACAGGGCTTGAAAGTTCTGCCTCCTGTAAGCGCCTCTCGTCACAGATTCAACATCTTGTAGCTCTGAAGCTACCCATATTTCTGAATGCTTGCACTACGCTGTCTCTAGAATTAGAGCATGATGTCTGCCTGCCAACCTAAGTATCTACTTGGTCTTGCGTGACGCCTGGGCTTTCAATCTTATTCTGTTGTGTCGCTCTACCTGAAGCCTTCCTTTGATCATTGGCTCTCCGTGTCCGGAGATAGTCTATCATGGAAGACGGGTCGATACTGTTGAATCAGAGAAGTATTTTGAGGTGTAGTGTAAATCCGAATTATGTGCCATGGAACCACAGGACAAGTCACCTCAGTCACTTCGTGCTACATTTAATTAATCTCCAAACCGCCTGAAATCACCGAAGGTTGAGATGTCCTATTTAGAAATCTTTCGTCCACGCCGAGCAGATGGCTGCTTACTACAGAGCAGGGAATACAACTCTTTGCTGTTATTGGTGTGAAGTACAAACAAGTACCCTGCATCCGAGGATAACATGCATTTCGGGGGCTTTTGTCACAGCAGCGGCAAGGGCGCAAGTATCCCACAACTGGAACGCTCCTCTGGAATGAGATGTCCGCGTCTGAATGCACTCCATACCTGTGTAGCCCGCACGGAATACGCGCAGCTGGAAAGCACTGGAAATCATGAAAGGAAGGAGAAGAAAGCGGGAAATGGAGGAAGGAGGAGGGTCAAGTTCAGTAGCCCTCAATCGTACAACCTATTGCTGCCGCCTTTGCTGCTTTGCCGCTGCACGCCCGTTCACTCCACTTGTTACCCCAATCCTAACGCATGTATCTTTTTGATCTTTTCCTGGAGGTTTTCTCTATATTCATGATCGCCCTTTGGATGGCCAGGACACTGTCTCAGGTAGTTGTGTTGCATCAGTCGGGCACCACCTTGCGCCATAACAGCAACCAATCCAGACTCGAGTGTCTCACAGTCCCCGTCTCTCACACATGCACGTCGAATGGCTTGCGTCACCATCAGTTTCAGCTCGACGGATTACAGTACTGACCCCTAAGAAGTACAAGTTATGAAACAATACAATCACTACTAGCAGATTGATATCAACAATCACTTTTGGTCTTTCAGCGTTATACACCGTATTGTTGTCGCCGTAATGTGACTCTACGAATCATGTACCTAAACTTTGGTTGAACTTTGCTGTACGGATTTGTATCACACCGTTGATATGCACAGACTAGGAAATGAGAAAACCCCTTGTAAGTTATGTTTCGTAACTTTTAGAGTTCCGCAGTGCATGTTGGAGTTTATCGGGGTCTTCAGTGCGCAGCCCTTCTCGCTGGTTTGAGTTTGATGCGAGCTTACCTTCAGGTAGCGGAGGAAAGCCTTTGTGCCATCATCAGCCACCTTCATGGCCCAATCGATCGGAATCGCCCTTATGCTGGGACCAAACCAGCGGATGTGCTTGGTTGTACGCCAGAATACCCCTGCGCCCTGAGATGCAATAGGTAATCCAATACCAAAGTCATCCAAGTCAAGCTCGTTGTACTGTCTGCCGACAATCTTCAATCATCATTAGTTACAAATTATCCAATTCTCATTCCAAAGCCTAACAAATGCCTGGGGTGTTGCAGTCATGGTGGAGTTTGAAGACTAGGGAAAGCAGAACAGATGTCGCCAAGCTCGTATGTCATGAGGAAATATGTTTCCAAGTAATGCATCGACCATAATCAATATTTGGAAGTCAATTTTCTGAACAGATTCACTCGTGGAACGAGCCTGGTTCTGCATGCCCGACCTACTGCCATTCACTCAGGCTGTCAGATGAAGGCGCTAGGTTGGTGCCTGGCTGTATTTGGGCTCATTATATATTTCGTGCTTCGCAACGATGGTGGAGTGATTATGCGAAATACAGAGCGTCAAAGGCAAAAAGATATGGGCAGTTATTAAGTTTCCTAACGGAGCCAGTCCTAACAAGATTGTTGGTGCCGTGTCCTCTACCTTGCACTACCGGTATATCGTTTCACACCCGCGATTCTTCGCACAAGGAATGTATTCATTCACGGTCATTGTTTAAACTTGGTACCCTGAAACAGTTTTCATGCAGTCATTGTTGTAGTGAATGTTTCAGTTGAAGTCTGCGATTTAACCAGGCTTATGTGCAGTGGACAACAATATTCTCAATCCTGGACATAAATGCGCGTGCAGTCACTTTCTGCTTCCTTCATGGCAAGATGAATACAAGATAAGCAATCATAATGATGGAGACATCCTAGATCCTTTTTGGTCTTGAGTTGGCTTTAAACTACAAAGCAAGTGCTCAATATATCTTACTGTAAGTGGGATATACCTCTAGGCCAAACATCATTTATTATTCCCAGCTGCCTTTTCTACCTCCCAAGCCTTTCTGGTGCTTCTTAGCGCTTGCTCTAGTGCTGAATGGCTTAAAGCCACTTTCCCCACCCGGGGGTTTGGTGGTACGCCAACTCCGCCAACTCCGGATGGTGTCCCGGTGGACCCGGCCCACCCACACCGCCACCCTCCCGGCCCCATATCACATTTATAATAGCACAAAACCTATTTAAATCATCTGAAACAGGTGAGATGGCCGAGTTGGTTATGGCGCCAGGTTAAGGTTAATCTTAACATTCATTCCTGGTGGAGCAATCCTCCTGGGTTCAAGTCCCAGTCTCATCATGATCTTTTTCTTTTGGGCCCGTTTTCTAGTCCTGCCCGCCACCCTTTTCTATTTCATCTTTCTCTCCTCTGGTTTCTGATTGCTGTCACCGTTCTCTCATCTCTAGAACCTTTTATTTTATCTCAAGTTTTTTTCTGTAAAATCCTATTTGGATCGAGGAGAGAGAAAATGAGAAACGGAGACTGAGAAACGTTGCGAGCAGGAAAACGGAAAACAGAAAACGGAACAGCAGGGTACCAACGTAGAAAGTACCTTCCATCAAGTAAATACCTTCTATCATTAACATGTCTCTAACTCCCAGTACCATCATAAGCTTTTGCCTTCTTTTGCCCTCGTGCACTGTGACGGCGCTGCGGCAGGCTCAGTGACTGCAGGTGGGCCATATCTCACAGACCACCTGCAGCCCCAAGGCCCTCTGCTGTTAAGGCCTGACTACAATCGGAGGCAACCTTCCCTCTTACTCTTTTTTCTTAGCAAGACAAGGTCTTATTCAGAACTCCACAATAATGAGCAAGACTTGAGAGCATCGTCTCTTCTATGTCACTCTCGTGACAACACCTGCTTGTCCTTGCATTCTCTAGGTTCTGGTTCTTGCCGTTGTTCTCCAAAAGAAGCAACAGCTGAGAATTTTGCTTTAATACTGCAAACTCTATAGCAACGCGCTGAGGACATACCATGTACACCAATTACTCGGATATTCTTTTATACTATGCTTCTGTTTGCTATCACTAGTGGTTTTTGTCCTAAAGTTGTGAAGAATGATAAGTACTGCTAAGTTGGTATTTAGGAAGTGTGTAATACTTAAGAATAGGAAAAGAGGCTTATTGTCACCTTTATCATGCACCACAAGACCTCTTCCAAGACCTGGAGAGTCTATACCAAGCCTTGAACAAGCGCCCGGGTGAGGGTAAGATCTTGCTCAGTCTCCATACGCTGCCGGAGTCGGTCAGTAATGATTACGGAACAAGTTCCTACAGAAAGAACGAAGCGATCGGACTATGAATATATTCATATGATCTCGAATTTCCGCATGTCAACCCCTTTCCTGCCGTCTAATCCTCTCCCACACTTGGATAAAACCTCAGGATCAATCTGTTCCTTCAGAGTCACCGGAGAGTCGCCGTTCTCAGATAGTGCCTTTTCAAACTCGGCAAGCTTTTCTTCACTGAAAAGGTATGACAGCCGCGGGTCAACCAAGGATCGCTGCCCAGTCTCGATAGATATAAAGGTCATGTTGGATGTTCGAGGGTTGCAAATGATTCGGATTCCAGGGGGCAAAGGACCCAGAAACGCAGTCCCATCTGAATAAGCAAGATGGAGTTAGGTTGGAACCAACTGCTAACGAAGACGAGTCTTCAACGCAACATTCAACACGAGCAAGCAGGGCGCTGACTTACAAAGGGCGCAATGGGCGAAACACGTCCCGACCAAGCGGAACTGCTCACCACTTGACGAGGTCGGTCGCAGGAGCACATGATTGTCACTCCCTAGGAGAACACAAACTAAATCACCAGGGCGTACTAACGGCGGGGCCAGGACGAGTGATCCCCGTGAGTCCTTGCACATGCGCCGCCCGGCAATTCGATCTCCAGCATTCTTGAGGAATCTGACACTCATGCTGGATGACCATTTGGCTCTATCGGAAGTACCTTTATATGGTGTATTAGTTGCTGCAGCGAGCATGACCCTGAGCGTCTCTATACCATCTGCCATCGTGGGTGCCCATTGCGGTGGAGAAGACATGGCTTCGGCGACCCCCCCGGTCAAGAAGGTGCGCACCCATTCACACAGAGGAACATCCCACGGCCGGTTTGGGTCCCACAGCCCTTTCTGTAAGAGCATCTGGGCGACGCGAGTCTCGTAACCGGCGTCGATATTATCAGGGTAATCTGTTCCGATATGCTGGATCGTCGAAACGCTGACTCCGGCCAAAGTCAGAATGTCACTGCTGTCGTCCAAAATATCATTGCTTGCGGTCCAGCCTGCGAGCTGTGCCGAGGCGAATGATGCTCCCTCTTTAGACACGCGAAAAGCAGACTGGCACGCCCAATTTGGTACCCAGCTTGGCAACGACCTGTCGCCCTCTGCATTCGCCTCGCACTCCTCCAGTATCGTTAGATCGCCTAGAACGCCGATCATCCGTCTCACCAGTTCCCGATACACCTTCGCGGCGGGCATTTCATAGTCTGGACGGATGCGCAGGTGCCGCCGCTCGAGAGGACCCAGCAAATTCAGCACGGCGTAGATCCGGTCGCGCGGGTCCTTGCATGCGAGCGCGCCAAAGTCGTAGCGCAGGCGAGACAGATACGCCGTGTTATCCTGCACCGTTACATATGTCCGCAGCTGCGGCATCACAGCATGTTGGTGCCAAGATGTGGGCCGGTGTCGCCACTTCCAGCTTACCACAGCGATGGCCTTGCGAAATAAGGACCATGGCACAGCGTCTTGAGGTCCACAAAGCACGACCGTTCGCAAGGGATTTCCGAGGAGAACCTCCTGCACTACCCAAAGTCGAGAGAACCACGCACGCCCAAGCAAGGCAGTCAGGCACGTACCCATATTGTGGTCATGGGTTTCAAAAAGCGGCGCCTGGATGTCCCCCAAGGTCGGATCGGCGGCGCCTGGGACGGGCGAGAGCTCTGACCCGCGGAACGACACATTGACTTGCAAGCCGACGGAGCACATGAAATGCATGGCGCGAGGAGAAGTTTCGTCTGCGGGACCCAGCCACGCTACAACCCGGCTGGCGGACTGGTAGATACTTCCCATCATCGCAACCTGAGGGCCCTTCTCCGCGGCATTGGCCTGGTCGATGCAGATGGCGTCAATCCATAGGACACGTGATAAACTGGATGCGAGGGTGCCCTCAGGATTCTCGGCAGCGAGATGATACTTCCGCAATGCGCGCAAGGCGTCGTGTAGATTGCGCGTTATGGACAGGTAGTAGCTGTGGGAGTCATGCTTGTGACTTCGGCCCCGGACATACACACGGGCAGGATCCTCCTCGGAGCCCCAGGCGTAACTCAAAGCCTCGTACTTGGGTGGCGGTGGGTCGTCCCCGCGAATTGCGCGGACATCGTGCCAGACCGTCAGATTTGGATCGTTGTAATCGGAGTCGCTGAAAGGGGCTTTGAAGGGAACGGTATCAAGGCGGATGACAAGATTGTCCTGCGGTTGGGTAGCGGGCTCTAAAGTGGCGAGCCTGATGTATGTCATATAAGGCACCTCGATCTCTCTTTTCCCTGGCCGCCCGGGCTCGAATGCAGTTAGGTACCTGCAAATGGGTTCCGGCAGTGGTTCATACTTATATGGTCTGTCCAGACCCTTTGTTGCGTGCATTTGATGGCGAGCATGGACAACGGCGGCGTTGAAATTGACACAAACCAGAACTCGAATGTACAAGTGAAAGGGGCTCAGAAGGCTCAATCGATGCCCAACTATACTGCATCTGCGGGCTGCTCATGCAAGTCAGCCGCCACCTACGCAGGCATAATTGTGGGATAGCGGGGCTTGTCTCCTAATCAAGTCAGAACATGATGTCGCCGGTCATAAGCGACAGATGTGAAGTTGCGGTTGCTGCTTTTCCAAGCTTGGAAAGAGCAATCTCGCCTGGCGACGAGAAGAACGAGAGTGTCAGAAGCAAGATCACGAGGATCAGAGTAGAACCAGCTCATGACAGTGGGCTGGACAACAATCTGGACGCATCTTGAAGGCATAGCTGAAGCCAAATACCTTCACAATAGGAATACAACACCCGCACCAGAGGGGACCTGGCACATCGGATGGATATGGACAGTGTTTGGGATAGTCTTCAATGGCGCCGACATCGAATCAAGAAGCCCTCGGAGTCTTTGCTGCGGGGGGAATGAGCAAACTTGAATTTTTTTGTTAGACATGGAAGTACTTCGATCATCAAGTGCATGCAAGAAGCTTTACAAGGAGGTCGGACATATGAGAGATACCGGCAAGACATGAAGTCTAGGATTCTCCGGGCTGGGCTATCATTCTATAGCTATGCTATAAAATATTCTTAAAGAAAATTTAAAACTGTTTGTATCAGTCCCTTGTACCAGGAAGCAGTGGTGGTGGGGGTGTTACTTGGTGCCATAGCCATTACTTCACCGACTGCCCCTTTGCCAAGCCAGAGCCCCTTTGCCAGGTTGAAGCCTTTTTCTTTCATTGTTCTTGAGCGCTGCTGGGGCAGGGCTAATGTGACGAGGCCACCAATTAGCGATTGAGCAAATCACTTTACGGTGGCGCGGAATGTATGCAGAGGTAAGCAATGTGTCAGAGCTGAAAGTCTGTTGTCGTCATATTATTGGATACTATTAGGTCGCCTGAGGCAAATCAAGATAAATGTAACTTGTCAAAAGGTTTGGGTATTAAAACATTAGGGACGACTATATAGGTGTGGCCTACCCACCGAGCTAACAAGAACAATCCCCACCCTTAAACCATTCCAAAACACATAGTGATTCCTATACAGAGCTTGCAACCAGAAAACATCCCATACTTACCCAACACAGCCTACTCCAACACCATGTCTCACTCCTCAGGAGGCTACTTCACTTGCACCTACGAGTACCACGCGCCGTACACCGATACGAAGGGTGTCTCTCATGTCGACAAATCGCACAAGTCCCGATTGTATTCTAGCACAAAGAAAAACACCCATGAGGGCCTGCGGCGATGGTATGACGACACATTCAGGCCCGCCGCGAAGCGACACGTTGAGGAGGTGTTCCTGAATAAGATCAACAACGGCAACACAAAGGGTCTCACATACGCCCCGTTTGACGAGAACAATCTATGCATGGTGGGAAAGCCTGAGTGGAGTGAGAACGAGCCGAATGGGAGGGAGATCTCAATTCGTTGATTCCTCGGACGAGATTTTAATTTGGAGGTGCGGCCTTGACGATTTGTACGACGTTAGTGAAACCTCACAAGCTTGAACACACACCTTGAAACAGCTCAGCTGAGATACAGGAGGGCCTGTTGGAAAGACGGCTAGCTTCCGGCGTCAAAAGTCAAGCTGAGTGTCCAAACTCCAAAGCTAGATTACAACATCATTGGCATCCGGCGAACATCTCCAACGGGCACCAAGAATTCCTGGACATTTTAACTACTAGAGGTGATTAGAATACCATGGTACAACGAAACTGAATCGAACAATGTCATCGCCCGATCAAATTGCCTGCATGTCTGACTGAGATATCAATAAGTTCCTCGCCTGAAAGCCGAATGTTAGTAGAGAATAGAAACCGTCAAGGAGATTTCCCTTTCGACCAGAAAACTTGGACGACGCCCATTCTGCCACAATTCGACGGAAAACTCGCTCATGTAGTCGCCTCCGCCCTCGGCAAATATCTGTTTTCGCAGAATTTCTTAGATGACGGAAAAATTAAGATTCATTCAAGATTCCTCCAATAGGATTGCACGAGGAACAGAGCAGTTTATATTATTCAAAATCCATTCTTAGTCATTTACACATTCTCCGATAACCCAGATTAGTCCAAACCCGAATGCAAAGAGTTCTAAGAAGTCATGGCCGCACCCGGGATCTCAGTAAACCCTACGAAGAGGTTAGCTGAAGTAGACTGAGAATCCGCTTTCAAGATATAGACTTACAGCCGTCAACGTCTTCATCGACGGCACGCGGCTTGGTACATTTCATCGCCTCCTCTGAGGACTGACTTGCCAATCCGCTGCAGGTGTCGCCATCACATCGGAGGTTCATGGCACGTTGAAGGGAATCATCCTTCCAGCCGAAGACGTAGTCTCCGTGTTGGGAGTAGCCGTCCCTGAACATCATACTTAGCGTTGCGGCCTGCCTGCGAGCTTTCTAGAGAGACTTACTTGTCACCAGTGCTCCAGACGAATGGTTGTGAACCATCCTCAGGCCACAGATCCTTGTTATTGAACGGTCGCGTATCCCACATAACTTCATACATGACCTGAGGTATCTTAACGGGACTGCTATGCGTTAATAACCTGCTGCGGAGCCCGAAACGATGAATTCTGGACAATTCTAATGAAAGACGGGAATAGGCAACCGTAGCAGGAACAGGGTTATACTGACTGGGTTGTTGGGCAAGTACCCTCTGCACCGACACCTGTTTGCGACGCCGCTGAGCTTGGGTATGCAACGTGGCTCATGTGGTCCAGGCTGTCCGTGTTCTTCCCATCCCAGCACGTGGGAAAAGTGATGACAGATCGGATGCCGCCCGCACAAAACCCCGTGGGCAGGGTCTGGGTATCTGGAGCTGCGCAGTTGAGGTTGCTGTTATCCCCCGTTGCTGGCATGCAGCGATGGCACACCTTACGTGCCGTTCCTGGGGAGGTCGCCGCGGCGTCACCAACAAGCATGCGGAAGCCGGGTTTGAACGCGGTGACATTAACGGATGCATCCGGAGCCGCGATGTAATAGACCGTTATGCCACCATCGGCTGTCAGTCCTTCGCTTGCATACTGAGGTACACGTTTGTACGTCCCGTTGCGCGCTCGAAAATAGAGAACTGCAGTCCAGTAGTTTGAGAAGTCCTCGGAGAAAGTGCAACTAGTACATGTTGAAGCTGAAGGGAGGTCATGTGTCGCTGGGTCCATAGAAGCATTGAAAGAATTGCCTCCTGTGCGGCAATACGAAGTCAGGTTTGCGCCATCAAAGTGATGAAGTAAGAGATCCTCGACAAGGACTCAACATAGAAAGGAAATGCAAGCTAAAAGCGTCAAAAAAGCTGATGAAAAGGACTTACCCACGATCTGATGCACGTGAGGCGATGGGTTCACGCCTGGGTTCACGAGAGGATCAAGCCTTTCGACGACCAGTTGCGAGCAACTGAACCGCAACATCGGCATACGCGTTTGGGCGGAGACATGCTCAGCGAGGAGTGCTAGAGAGAGTGCTTTCCACTGCATTGTTTACAGGTTGGGTGGGTTTCTGCTGTCAAGCTAGGTATTGAAATGAGAAGACAGGGTGGCTTCTCCAAGATCCTGGATTGTGCTTCCTAAATACAACACAACTGTGTTACTAGATGACAAATATTATTCATATGCCGTTGAATGCTGGCTCGGCCTTTTATCTTTCACCACTTCTATATTAATGGATTTAGGCTGAGGCGGGTGCTACGTCCACTCGCAAATCATGTTTCCTCGTCACTACCTTTGTCTTCCGAGTTTAACCAGAATCCTTATCCTACCAATTGTAATTGAGTGGAATTCCAGTTGTCCCTAAAGCGGCTATTCAATAAACGTTCATTCCGACCAAGTCTTCGTTGCCACACATGTATTGCCCTGTCCTGTGATCCAATGCCATTCTGACTTCTGTGTGAAACTGTCCAAATTTTCTGTTCAACATGAACGCCGATCTTCTGATGTACCAGACATAGGTGCGGGTTCCGGCCGCGGCGGTGGCGGCAACAGAAATAATAACCACCCGCTGTTGTGACTCCTCTTATAAGTCAACGAGAAATACGATGGATACTAGACACACAGTGGTCAGCAATGTAGAGGTAGAGAAGCCGGAGCAGAGAGTAATATGTCAAATGGAGTGCCTAGATAGGCCGACGACAGAACATAGCTCATTTGAACATATACCTGGTTGGTACATAGGTTAACTGTATTTTATTTAAACCGTATCTCGGCACGTTAGCCCATTTCCTGTTCTAATCGTTTCCTCCCGTTTCTGATCGTCCAAATCCTTATTACCTCTTCTTGGTTCTAGTCGCACTTACAACACAACATCTCTTTTCTCGTTTCCCAGGTTCTCATCATCCCACAAATCGATTCTCAAAACTGAGACTCAAATTCAAATCAGCAGTAAGCAATCCTTCTGGGTTCAAGCCTTAGTGTCATCATTTTTGTTCTCTCCCCCCAACATGCTATATAATTCTGCTGTCCACTATTTTCTGTGTGCTGGATCTTATTATCCCTGCCCTGTCCAAAAGTCTTTGTTCCCTCTTAGTCTTTGCATATAAAATTCACTATATTGTCAGAGGAAAAGTAGGAAACGGTGATTGGAGAATAGAAATGGGAAGTAGGAAAACGAGAATAAAGAAAGCTTAACTAAGAAAATTTATAGATAAAGGACACTTCAGCTATCAGTACATCATTCTACCTTGTATCTAGTCGTTAGTCGGGGTAAGAGTGTAATGGTGTGCAGCTGGGCTACACTTGTTCAGTCTCGCCGGCAGTTCACAGCACAGTGTCCACAAGTCCCAGTCTGGTCTTGTTTTCTCCCCCTCCCCCCCCCCTTAGCCTACCCTTCAATTCTGCAACTTTGTATGATCTAACTTATCTGCGTCTCATACGAGAACAAAAAAGCAGGAATGAATAGGCTTCAATTTAGAAAGAAGACCCGAAGAATAAATCCAGTCACATCATGACGTCGCCCATCGAAATCACAGCCAGATAGTCTATGATTCAAGACTGATCATACCCACCAAGTATCGAGTTTAATCATCTACACCAGGCGCTGGAAATTGAGTCCCTGATGTCCTTAAATTACTGCCTTTGCAGTTCTCTCTCTGAAGAATGTTTTCGCTATGTCAGACAACGGCGAGATCTGTGACCGGGCGGATCAAATGCCCCTGATAGACCAGCAAGCCCTTTGTCGGCAAAACTTAAGGGAGCAGCTTAATGGAAGCACTTCCCTTCCTCTAGTTTGGGTTGACACACTTGTGGTTCAGAAAGTCTATCACTACACGCCGCGCCACCTCAACAGCTGTCTGAAAGGGAGATCCATCTCCTTATCCCCACTGCTGATACCTCCAGCATTCATCCACAGTCCTGAACTATATCCTCCCATTGCTCGTGCTACATGTGACTTTCTCCCATCACACAGCATAGAGCTCTGTTTATTCCTTCACGACTTTGAATGCCCGCAGAGCGGTGGAACCTCACAGGGATTGCAGCCACGGGAGCCGCGATTCTTGTCGCCTCGTCTTTGAGACGCCTGTTCCTGCGTCTGTCCGATCGAAGCATGGTCCTTCAGACAATCACCCGCACTGCCGTGTCCCTTTTCTCAGAAGTCAACGGATACCAGCCTATGAGTTCTAATCGCGCCGCTGCGCCAATGCTGTGTTCCGCGTGTCATGGATGATCGTCCACGCTGTATCACATAGCGGAAGCAAAATGTTCAGGACGATCCACGGGTCAAGCCGCGAATGTGACGACAGAGCCACATGCAGCAAGGAAGCCGTCTCCTGCGATGATGTTATCTGAGAAAAGTGCTCCGTAAGCTCAAACCTTGGATCTAATTGGCCCCTGGCTGCGAGACGGCCCCTGAAGTTCATTCTTCTGCGTGGGCGCCTCGGAAAGCTCGGTCCCAAGGCACTGGGCCGGCGAGGAAAAGCAGAAACATGCGTTTGCTAGGTGTGACAGGAAAATGCGTAGGCGCTCTCGAAGCTGACTTTGCTTCTTGAGATAAGAGGAGCAGCAATGGTTGGACGCTGGTCAGTCCGCACGTGAAGTCAAAAATAGTTTTTGATCGTCAGTACCGCCTGTAAGAATAGGGGAAGCCGGCATCACTCATGTCGTATCTTGTTGCAGGCTTCCGTGAGAGGAGCGAATTCGTCACCCAAATCTCGTCCAAGATCTTGACACGAATGTGGCAGTGGCCTCGAGACCTTCGTATGGCTGACCGATAGTGTTGGATAGCTCAGGGGAGAAATAGTACACCTAGCGTGGTCAAGGTACCTACCCAGGTACGGCAGGCAGCGAGCCCTGGACAAAAATAGACCTCGGGAAGCCGCCCGCTCGGCTGGGGCTGGGCCTGGATCTGGGCCTGGGGCGTCCGTCTTGTTTGGGGTCCACGGGCCTTGAAACGGGGTGGCCTCCAGCTAGCCCAGACAAGTCTGTCAGGTCGTCCGTCTGTCAGAGGGATGGTAATCTTGAAGGCATTGACATCATGATACATGAGGCTCTCGTGACAAGGTGGTATTGGGAAGATTTCTTTTTCAGTCTTGTTTGTCAATGTCAAATTGAGCCAATTCCCTGAGACCCTGTGACTTCGAATTGTGGCTGAATCTGGGGAATACCCAGTAGCCGGAGAGAAAAAGAAAAAGGAGTTCCAGAACCATCCCTCCCCTCCGCATGGCCCGGGGTCACCTGCATGCGGCACGTCGTCGTCAGGAATTTTCACGGCGCAACAGGGTCTGAACGCTCTGTCTATGTTGCCGCCAACTCCGAGTCAAGACCCAAGCCTTTAGGGGCCCATTGGCAAAGGAACAGAGAGAATCTGGGGTAATCTTGATACAATTGATTGGGATGATCGCGTGCTACCCCGGATTTTTGGCCTGGATTTGGCAAGCATGGGGCTCCGTTGGTGCGCGATCAAGTAAAATGGGGGTAACAGATTGCAAAATGGGGGTAAGAGAAACTCACGAGAGCGTCACTAACGCCCACCATGCTGCCAGGGTGTCAGCACCGGCCGGACAACAAGACAGCGGGTGGGGTCAGCCGCTGCCGGGCGACCGGTGTAAAGCGGACCAGAGCCTCCCGGACCAGCAACGAGCGCTTGCGAGCCCTTGCGCGCCCCATGGCTTTTGAGGCCTGAGACGCAGGCGTGCCCCGGCATTTACGTACAAGCCGTCAAGTTTGACACATCGTCGAGGTCACGTTGCCGCGTTCTGTTACTGCATAGGGCAGTCCCCTGATGCTCTTCGTATCGTGGGCATGAGAAGGAGTTGGTACGCGTCTGTACATGCTGCCCAAGCCCTCCTTTTCCTCGATGTGCGGGACGTGCCAACATTGTGGGACCCCGGGGTTCCCATCAATGGCGGTCAATTCTCGAGCGACACCGTCTCGCTATTACTGTGCGCATGACAGCACAGCGCACTGCATCGCGCCGCAAAGCACGTCAACGGTGGATGCAAGATTGGTTTGGTGAGCGAGCAGAAGATGGTAAGACGGTGCAGCCTGTCAGACAAGCTTCCGCCCCTCGGGAAAGCTGGCCAACCAGTAGGCCATCTCTACCGACGCTCGCCGACGCAGAGCTTGTGTTTGTGCTGTGGCACTTGATCGGCGCCCCTAGAGCAGCTAACTCAATTTGTGGGTGTTGGTTTGTATGAGCTTGAATCAGATGTCTGGGCTGGTACGCTGGTATACGCTGGTAAATGCCGGTGTGCTGCTCGAAAATGCTCGGAGAATCTTGAGAATCTTGCAAGACGACGCGTCCATTCCTGGCAAGTATAGCAGAGGCTGGTGGAGAGCGCTGTGTAGAGCCTCGAATAACCGTCTCGTCTGCGCAGCGAGTCCTGCCCCAGCATGTGAGAATGCCGGCTATGCCCCACTATTTTCAGGTACCGGCCGTCTGTTCCCGCCAGGTACTGTGTGTGTGAGTGTGAGTGAGAGAGAGAGTGAGAGTGCGTGTGTACGTATATTCGTACCTTGTCACTCCTGCCCCATTGAGGTCTGTCGGGCGTGGCTAATGTGCGTGCTTTTGCGTGGTATGCTACCCAAAGGGGCCTAGCTGGGCGTCGTTGCTGTCGAGATCGGGCAGTAGAGAGGCAAGCATACTTCGCCCAGCTTCCCCCAGCTTCTTCCCAATCAGGGCTGATGCCATTCTTGCGCAATTGCTGCTTGTTTTAGCACTGTCCCCCATCTGATGGCAACCTTGAAGTCACGATGGACGAGAGAAAGCATCCCCCCCGGGGCTTTGACTCATGGATTCATGGATGGGCCACGACGAGTTTCCAGACCAGAGATGGCCCCTAAGCTATATAAGAGATGTTGGTGCCTCTTGCATCCCGCGCTTCCTCCCTCGACGGCGGAGAGATGGTGTTGAGCCTCGAGTACCATCCTACAAAAATACATACCACACTTACATACCTACCAAATACCACTTCTTATTCCCATCCGTCCCGTACCGATCCCCCACGGGCCATCCAACTCGAACAGGTAAGAGCATGCCCTGAACCTTTTCTAAACTTGCATTTCTACAGGGTGCACAACAAAGCAAGGCCTCGTTGTCCAGGCCTCCCTCCCTCGCTCCTCAAGCTGTCTCTGCTCGGATCCTCTTGGGTCGGCATGCCTTGTCATGCCCTTATCTTGCCCTGCCCTGCTTGTCAGACGAGCTGGGTTGCACAGACCAGCTGGCGATAACGATGCAGTGTCATGTCGCATCCAGCTCTGTCGTGTCGGGTTGTGTCGTGTCGCGGCCTGGCCTGGCCTGGCCTCCCGTGGCACTTAGGAGCTGAGGATCTGACGCACTGCGCCGCCCTGTCTGCTGCTGAGCTGCCGGGAACCGAGCTCAAGCGTCTGCCCCATGCAGACAGCCAGCGGGCGACGGGTCCCAAATCCACTTATCCCGGATTTGTTCTCGAATCTCTTGGGTTCTGGCATGAGGATGCGAGCGAGAACATGGCCCCCGTCCGTTCGAGCGCAAAGCCGGGAACGATGGGCCACTCAAGTGAGTGGTCCATGACGGATGACATCAATCCGAAATTCACCAGCACCAAAACACACAAAGCACAAGCAACAAATCCAAGCACAAGCACCAACACCAGCACCAGCCGCAGCACAGGCACAGGCACAAGCCCAGTCCTGGCTCTCTCTCCCAGTTCCCCCTTTGTTCACCAACGCCTCTTGCTCGTCATCCCAGATCCAAGATCCAAGATCCCAGATCCCAGCGTGTTGCCCTGACGGCCCCTAATAATAACAGGGCAGCAGGCCAATACGAGTCGCATCGTGTTGATAACGATTCCGCCTCTGACACTATCTGAACCAGGACGATTAAATATCCCAGCTGGAGGAGCTGAAGGAGCACACAGCGGTATGCATCACATCTCACCCAAGCCCTTCCGCCTTTTATCCTTTGTCCCTCTCTCGGCTCTTATCTTTGCGCACTGCAACCAACCATCTACCGGACTCTGATCGAAAAGTAAAAAAAGACCGTGTCTGTCGTTTCGGAGACGGGACCAGACCCTTTGTCGCCTAACCGTCGAGAGCTGCCCCTCCATTCCGACCGCCCTCGGGACTAGAAAGGCCTCGCCGACGAAGCAGCGGGCCATAACACGGGCTCATTCCAAGCCTTCTAGGTCCTGTTCGACTGCATTTTGGCCCCCTGGGACGCGGTGGGCCGTTCGCCCTCTAGTTACTCGGATTGATCGCCGACTATCGACTGGATTCATATTCTAGTCTAGACGGTACGTCCGGTTCCTTACCCCTGTTCCACAGAATATCACCAACTTTCCTTTTCGACGTCAACATTCCTCCTGAGCGGTGAAGAGAGACCTGCCCTCTCTCTCGCTCAAGTTTGCACGAGGCGAGGTGCAGAGAACCAATGGCGTTGCTATGTGGGCCGTATTAGCCATACACGTGTGTCGTTATGCTTTACCATAGGCACAAGGCAAGACCTAGGTCAAGGTACCTGCTCTTCTCGCTACCGGCGTCCTCGATAAGCAACCGCTGCCAGGAACACCTTGTTGATTAACGGCTGCTCCTTCGTTTTCATCGCGTCTCCCGTTGAAACAAAACACATCTGACCGCTCGCGGGTCCTCTACTAAGCGGTGGGGGGGCCCGCCGACCATGGCTTGACCGGGTTGGCCGTCTGAGATCCATCTCTCGTCCTTTGACACTCTTCAGTCGTTTCTGCCCTGGCCTCTGGCCCTGGCCCCAACACTGCCGGAGGTGGACCTATTATCGCGGCCGTTGCAGCTTGACCACTAGCTCTAAACCAAATACCAATATGGTGCTGGACGTACCGACGTACCTGGTATGGACACACATGGCACGGTCCTATCCTGCACTCTGAGCCTGGAGCTTCGCTCGGCCATCGTGGCTTGGTCTGGCTACTGGCAAAAGGAGTTGTCACAAAGGGGGCTGTCTACCCTCTACTCCCTACCTCCCTTATATACATACCGCCTCTGCCCCCATCACAACGCCCTCGTCCCCGTTGATGTTGTTCACCTCAGGGCTAAGCCCAAACTATGAGCTCTCTTCCTCAGTCCAATTTCTTCTACCTTCGCAACTATATTCAATTTCATACAAACACAACACACCATGGCAGCTGCCACTCTACGGTCGCCCAACACACCGGGCTTGACAATCAAGACTGACTTCGAGGGTTGTGATAGCTTTCCAACATACGTAGATCCTTTTGAAGATTCTGACGAAACCTTCATCGACGAGGCCAGCATGCCGTCTTCCGCCTCATCCTCTTCCAGCCCTCTCAACCCCGGCCAGCGGCTGGTTGAGAAGGTCAGGGAAGATCCATCGAGACACGCTTCACCTCAACCCACCTCGGTCCATGTCCCCACCCTTTCCAGGGCCAATGGCGGCAATGGCTATAGAGTGATGCGGTCGGCCACAGTAGGGTACATCGCCCCCGAGTTCAAGGGCAAGCCGGATCAAATGAAGCAAGGTGAGTAGCTGCGGCTTTCCATCTCTCTTCATATACACCGGCTCGGCATGCTGACTTGAAAACCTCTCAGTCCGGGAATTGATCCTGAAGAATGACTGGATCCCTGAGACCCGTGTAGACGCCCAGATTGCGTGGTTCTACAATGACCTTGGCATCGACGATGTATACTTCCAGCTCGAGACAACACCTGTCATCGCAGACCACATCACTGCCCTTTATGCTGCCAAGGTGGCAGCCTACTCTCGCAAGGACAAGCGAGAAGAAATTCGGCTAGATATGGAGGCCAGCGACCATGCCATCTACATCGACACCAGCGAGCCTGGAAAGAGTGCCGTTGGAGGGCCTCGTTTCGAAACCAGGTTAGAGAACAAGTACTTGGATGGTAACCTCACCGACCGTTTCCGCGTGGAGACCTTCCGATCATCGGGTGTATTGGGTGACAAGGCCGATGCCAAGGCTTCTTTGCGCTGTTACTTCGTCTACCAGTGTCAGTTTGTTGATCCCAAAGCTGACCCCACCGAAACCCGCCTGGAGGTCATCAGCGACCGCATGTTCCTGGCCAAGGCAACAGACAACACGAAGCAGATGTATCGCGAGATCATCGAGGTCGCCGTCAGCCGGACGGGTCCAGTTATTGAGGTGTTTGACCATGCCGGATCCCAGGAGAAGCGCCTTGTCGTGGCTTTCCGGTCACGCACAGCCAGAGGCATGTTTAGTGCCCTCTCTGACCTATACCACTACTATGGTGTGACAAGTTCCCGGAAGTACGTCGAACAATTTTCAAATGGAATAACAGTCATGAGTATATACCTCAAACCTGCGACAAACCTCAGCGGCAACTACCCGTCTTTCGACCAATCCATCCACCAGATCATGAAGGAGACGTCGCTCTTGTACTGCATCCCGCAGAACAAATTGCACTCTCTCTTCACCTCAGGCCAATTGAGTCTCCAAGAGGCTATCTATGGCCACTGTGTCTGGGTGTTCACCCAGCATTTCTTGAACCGTCTTGGCTCGGAATACGTATCTCTTTCTGAAGCTCTCGATATCAGGAAGACTGCGCACCAAGAGATTCTATCCAAACTGAAGCGCCGGCTGAGGACTGAGACTTTCACACCCGACTACATCCTAGAGATCATCGCCTCATTTCCTCAGCTTGTACGATCTCTGTACGCTTCTTTCGCCAAAGTGCATCTCAGCGTTGGCCCAGAGTTTGAGCGACACACTATCGACCCTACACCTGCCGTGGAGATCCTGTCCGATGAGCAATTGAAGGCCCTCATAACGAGAGAGGTCTCGACCGATCATGAGGAAATGGTCTGGAATGCGGCTCGGGCTTTCAACAACGCCATCCTGAAGACCAATTACTTCACTCCTACCAAGGTCGCCCTCAGCTTCCGCCTGGATCCGGCCTTCCTGCCTGAGGTCGAATATCCCAAACGGCTGTTTGGGATGTTCCTCGTTATTTCAGCTGAGTCCCGTGGATTCCATCTGCGCTTCAAGGATGTTGCCCGCGGTGGCATCCGCATTGTGAAGTCTCGCAGCAAGGAAGCGTACGCCATCAACGCTCGTAATATGTTTGACGAGAACTACGGCCTGGCCAGTACTCAGCAGCGGAAGAACAAGGACATTCCTGAAGGTGGCTCAAAGGGTGTGGTCTTGCTGGACCCCAAACAGCAAGACAAGGCTCAGGAAGCATTCGAGAAATACATCGACAGCATCCTGGATCTGCTCCTTCCCGCCGAGACCCCCGGGATCAAGAACCCTATTGTCGACCTCTACGGCAAGCAGGAAATCCTGTTCATGGGTCCTGATGAGAACACAGCCGATCTCGTCGACTGGGCAACTGAGCACGCCCGAGCACGTGGTGCCCCCTGGTGGAAATCGTTCTTCACCGGAAAGTCCCCCAGGCTGGGTGGTATTCCTCACGACTCCTACGGCATGACAACACTCAGCGTGCGTGAATATGTCAAGGGCATCTACCGCAAGCTAGAGCTCGACCCAGGCACCGTCAAGAAGATGCAGACTGGTGGCCCCGATGGTGATTTGGGAAGCAACGAGATCCTGCTCAGCAACGAAAAGTACACTTCGATCGTTGACGGCTCTGGTGTGCTTGTTGACCCCAACGGGCTCGACAAGCAGGAACTCATCCGTTTGGCGAAGGAGCGCGTCATGGTGTCTCACTATGATATGTCCAAACTGTCCAAGGACGGTTACCGAGTGCTCTGTGATGACTCTAATATCACACTGCCCAACGGCGAGTTTATCGGAAACGGCACATCCTTCCGCAACACATATCACCTCCGCAACACAGGTCTCACAGACATGTTCGTCCCCTGTGGAGGTCGTCCGGAGTCGATTGACCTCGTGAGTGTGGGCAAGATCATCAAGGATGGCAAGTCGACAATCCCATACATCGTCGAGGGTGCCAATCTCTTCATTACCCAGGACGCCAAGCTGCGTCTCGAAGAGGCCGGCTGCGTTGTCTTTAAGGACGCAAGTGCCAACAAGGGTGGTGTCACCTCGTCTTCCCTGGAAGTCCTGGCATCTCTCAGCTTTGATGAAGAGGGCTTCGTCCAGCACATGTGCCACGATGCCAGGGGTAACGCGCCGGAATTTTACCGATCATACGTCAAGTCGGTCCAAGACAAAATTCGCGAGAATGCCAGACTCGAGTTCGAAGCCATCTGGCGCGAGCACGAGGAGACCGGACTCTCCCGTTCCGTCCTGTCCGACAAACTGTCTGTCGCCATCACCGACCTTGACGAGGAGCTGCAACACAGCGATCTCTGGAAGAACACGCGCATCCGCAAGGCCGTCCTGCGCGACGCCCTGCCACAGCTCCTGCTGGACAAGATCGGCCTGGACACTGTCATTGCACGGGTCCCTGACTCGTATCTGTGTGCTATTTTCGGCTCGTACCTGGCCAGTCGATTCGTTTACGAATTCGGCAGTCAGCCGAGCCAGTTCGCTTTCTACGACTTGTGAGTTAACACCCGCGCTTCATCTATCTTGTCCCATCCGACTTGTAAGCAACCAAGTACTGACAGAATCATAGCATGTCGAAGAGGATGTCCAAGATCGCTCAGGATTAGATAAAAGGGCTCGAAAGCTGCGCTTAGGAAAATGTACAAAGGGGTTTATATTTGTCTACAGGAGTTTCGGCGGGCTGCATTTTGATGCGATTCTCTTAGACTGGAAGATCTTGTGTGCTGTGCTCAAATCCGCCAGCACCTCATCCATTGACCCAACCTAACTAACCTGCCCTCCGAGGCGGTTGATGAGCAATTCAATGACCATTGATGACTCTGACATAGAATGCTTGCTTTGTTAATGCTGATGTTGGCCCGAGTCTTGTATGATCCCCAATGTATGTCACTGTAATCATCCTTGCTTTTTGTGAATGATAAATTCTGGGTAGACGGTATGTAGCTGAACACTGTATTTGTATTGCTTCAAGTAGCCTTCTTAGCCGTCTCGCAGTTGCTGAGATATGGGCAACAATCCTATAAAGCTGAATTAGTAATCCCCGAAACTGGAATTTTGAACTAATGCTATGCAGTGACCTCTCGACATAAGTTGAATCAAAAGGTCGATATACCGTTCGTGTGTAGGTGTGCTAAGCTGATGGGGGTTGGGGTTGCCCGTTGCACAGCGGATCCTGCGTGTTTATTTCTTGTGCAAGGATCATGGTTTCTCGCACGTATCATTAAAGCTACGACCTCTGGTCTATCCGCCATACTCCTCGTGACTGGTTCAGCCGCTTCACTAGCTACAGCACACAGGACGATGCTGTATAGCCCTGCTTTTCCTTCCACTCTGCCGGGCGACACAAGAAAAATGGCCCCGACACTGTGCCCAATTTCTTGACCTTGACCGCAGCGTCTCCTGTGCCATGGCGACGGCGAGCTTGTCTAGCTCCAACGCGCCGGAGCACGTGCAGAAACACATCCGGCTGCTCTCAGCCAGCGTCTCAGGCAATGAGAACCGGATCCTAGACCTTCTTTCCGAGGAGGCCTGGACATCCCAAGCAGACCATCATGCGCTCCGCCAGGCCCTGGTCAAGGTCGCAACCAAAGGCAACCTGAAGGTCCTGTGCTTGCTACTCAAGCACGGCGCGGGCGTCCACCCGAAGAAGGAGAACGAGCTGTCTCCACTTTTCAAGGCCGCCGAGGCAGGGCATCTGGCCGTGGTGACGGAGCTGTTGGAGCACGGGGCCGATCCGAACTGGCGCGGCAAGAACGGGCAGACGGCGCTCTTCCCCACCTGCATGCGAGGCCACAATGGTGTCGTTAAAGCACTCCTCGACAAAGGAGCCGACGTCAACGGCGGCAGAAACCAGGATGGAAAGCCTGGTGACAAGGATGGTCGGACTCCCTTGCTCTTCCTCGCCTCGGAGAAGCGCGGCAAATGGACCATGGACACCATCAAGCTCTTGCTACAGAAGGACATCAACCTGAACCCGCGGGATTCCATCAGCCGTACACCTCTGCACTGGACGGCCACGAACAACTATATTGACCTTGCGCGTGCTCTTCTTAGCGGCGAGTTTGGGAAACAGGCTGATATCAATGCCTCTCAGAACAGAGGCAAGACAGCCCTTCACCTCGCCGCGGAACATAACCAAGTCGACTTCGTCGAGCTACTTCTGGGCTATGGTGCATATCCGGATGCTGTTTCGGACGGGCGGTGGACGCCCTTGCACAATGCGAGCGAAAAGGGCCATGATGTAGTTGTTTCTAAGCTGCTGGCCGCTGGTGCTAATGTTAATGCTGAACTGTCAAATCGCATGACCCCGTTGCATTGGGCGGCTTTCAAGTCAGTAATTTTTTATATCAGTCCTTCGTCAATCCTACCACCTATACATGGGTTACTTCTGAATCAGGCTCAGGTCCCTCAAGTATCTTTTGCTTCTATTCTGTTTACGCCCGAGCATTCACTAACAGCTCACAATGTAGTGGCCACGGCAATGTTGTCAAGCTTCTTTTAGAAAGGCCAGAGACGAACATCTCTATCAAGGATCAGTTCGAGCGAACTGCTCTTCTTTGCGCCGCCGAACGGCACCACAAAGACCTTGTTCATCTTCTTTCTCCTTCCAGGGCGTCCCACAGGTTATCGGAAAGCGCCCGAGAAGCCTCCAAGCTATTCTCTGCGACTGTTGTTGACTTTGGAGACTTTCAAGAAATGAAGTTTCGGAAGGGCGACGTCCAGGAGAAAAAGAAGCAGCTGGTTTTCAAACCCTCCATCTACGAATTGCTCTATGGCTGGGAAGACAGTGAGAAGAACGTGCCAAGTGTTCCAATCCTGGCCAAAAACGTGAAGTGGGAACCGCATTTTCGGTGGATTCACCTGCCTGCCAACAATATTGCTTGGGTAGAGACCCTGCTGGCTAAGTCTTTCGTCGAGGGCGGGTTCCGTGACGTCGAAGGCTTCAAAGCTCTAGAGAAGTGTTTTGACCAAGAGCATCGTGGGCCAATGGCTCATGCAAAATTCCTGAGAACCTTCTGTCATCGAGTGCCGAGCCGCCGTGCGGAAAAGGAGGAGGTTGCCCTGGGAATCCTTTCCGAGCAGGCAGCCGAGATTAATGCGCCGACAGTCGCGGATTCCATCATAACAGATACCTCGGAAAACAGCACCTTGAAATCGGAAAGTAAGAAGAAAAGCAAAGCCGAGCAAATAACCGAACGTCATCCGCAGGCGAAGCCAAAGCGCAAAAAGGGAAATCCAGGTAACCCTCCTGGTACCAAAGAGGCCAAGCTGAATAGCAGGCAATCGTCGTTTGCGCCATCATTTGCATCGACAGAGGCATTCAGGCAGCTTGTGAACAACGGAAAGATGGTTCTCTTCGTATGTCGGACCCATCAATCATCCCCAAGACTGTGGAATGAGCTGACAGTCACAGATGCCATTTCTCCACTACGAAACCCATGACAGGCGCCTGAGCATGGCTGAAACTATCCAAAGAGCTCGCACGGGGGGCAAACCCCAGCAGAATGCGTCGCGCGATGAGCTTCTTGTCCACGCTTACGTCAATAATCTCCACCCGAGACGGACCCTTGACCAGTTCTTCTATCATGGAATCGACACTACACAACGTGATAATGATCAGGTCGTCTGGAGATATTGTCAAGAGCATCATCTGGAGCCAAAGGTGTTCATGGTGGATCAGCTTTGTGAGCAACTATCCACCCCAAATTCACATTGAGTCTTCGCTAAATAAGATCTCGAAGGGCTTTGGATTCTCGGTGGTGGTAAGTAGTCTACACAAAAAGCATAGTGAATGTCTCTGATCAGATTTCAGACACCGTGATTACATGTTTCCCTCAGCGATGGGATCAGCCCAAACAGGATCCGCTCAATGTCATCGACGGCATATTAGAGGAGACCAACGCGAAGACGAGGCCACCGATTCAGTCAGTCTATGATCTAGCGATGGCGATTACGGGCAGAGCATCTGGATTATTCGAGTAAGTCCTTTCCACGCCGAGATCTCCCTATGGTTCGCGAGACGTTAGCCGCAGGGTTTAAAGCACCCTCCAAACACTCTTCTGAGGAAATAGTGCGATTGACCAAACTTGAACAGCCGGCATCGACTGGATGAGCAACAATTTCAATTCCTCGACATGTTCGAGAGCAGTATCGGGCATGTCACAGACCAGGAAAGTCGACTGTTCAGTAAATTCCACAAGGCTTCGGAAAAGTCGACACAGTGGCTTAGACGGTACCGCCACGGCACCGAGAGCAGTGTCGAGCACGAGTTGTCTGATGACCTACTCAACATACACCAGGAGACGAGGCTCTTGTCAGAGATCAAGGACATCCAAGATGAGTTGAATATTATAGCAGTGGTATTGGACTCACAGATGCTCGTGTTAGAAGAATTCCAAAAGAACATCATCGACGAGCTGCGGCCAGAGGGAAGCCGCAAGTCCACCGACGGCGTGATCAAGGAGATCAGGCGACGGTTTCAGGATCAGGAGCGTCTGCTCGAGGTCCATCAGAACGACCTTATTCGCATGGACAAACAAGCCCGCAGCATATATGACAGCCTGACCAATCTTTTGGATCTGAAGCAAAAGCATTCCAATGCCCTAGAAGCGCGATTCGCCCGCGAGCAGGCAATCATAGCCGCAAAGCAAGGTATATACCGTCTTCTTGTGAAAGCCTACCGCTTTTAGTTCGAGTTAAGATTTAACGATCGGCAGGGCAAACCATTATGGTCTTCACCATTGTTACGATCATCTTCCTCCCGATGTCGTTTATAGCAGCCTTCTTTGCTATTAATTTCCAGGATTGGGGAAATCATCTCACCATTGGATATGTCACAAAATACATGTTTGGAATCGGACTGGCAATCTCGTTCATCTTCGTGTCCATGGCTTTCTTGGTTCACGATATTTCAGATGCTTGGAAGGCCCTAGTTCGGGCCACCATGGACTACGGAGGCCGTCTTCGCCGCAAAAAGGCAGCACGGGGAGACAAGGAAGACCAGCCGGATGATATGTCGACGTGGACCGTCAGGGAGAACAAGCCGGGGACCGCTGGTGCTGCGTCAACGACTGCTTACCGATCGCATGCGGATGACGTGGACTGGAAGAGGGGGCTTGACGGCCCGGATCGATACGCTGCGAGGATGAGCCGCGACCACGATCGCTATGACCACACACGGCTTGGGCTCTCGCCCCTCCGGCACGGCGCGCGGAAGCTCAGCATCGGTAGCGGACATGGTGTGTCTACCGTCCGGCGGAGTTTTGATGGTCGTCGTGGGAGACCCAGTGATGATCTTGAAAGGGGAAGGGATCCCTCGAGGGTACGATGATCACTTAGGAGTGCCGTTTTGCTAAATACCTGTTGTCTGCCTGGGTATTCCGGACAGTTCGTGGAAACCATTTAATTATTATCCAAGACTGCAGGTTCCTATGCGTCATGATAGCTCTCAGGACGGTACGCTGTGGCTTCTCTTGAAGTCGATCTCAACCCGTGTGTAGATTTCACAATGTTGGTATACCAGATTATAGGCGGTGGCCTCGTGATAGTCGCCGCCTCCTCTAACGTCCTTGTCTGGACAGTGGACGTGTTGGCTGTTGTCGTGGTCGTAGTCCAACTCGAGATGGACCTGACAATGGAGTCCAGCTTCTCTGTCCAAAATCCGCCCATCCGACGCTGTGGTTGATCAACCTCCTGGTCGAAATTGGCCAAGTCATCTTGCGGTGTTGCCCTTCCCAAAAGCCTCCTGAAGACATCCTGTATTCTGTCGTAGACGGGATGGAGTGTCGGGATACAGGCCGAGATAAGCATGAGCTGAAAGTGCATCAGTCTAACGAAAATTCACCTCAGGCGTAAGGCTAGATGATTGCGGCTTACTTACGCTTCCTTCGGTAGTGGTCCATATTATCAGGTAAGTCACGTCGTCTTCAAAGCGTCAGCAAATATACTAGCACCTCGAATACTCCAGACTCACATGTGAAATCAGGACTTGCATTGGCTTCAAGCCGCGAGGTCTTGTAACAGCCGGCAGCCGACGCTCTGCGAGCAACATGCTGTTAGCTTCCGGTTCCCGAGTGATCGAAACAGCAAAGTATATATCCGAGACGTACGAGACTCCCATTCCAAGCATTATGCTCAATGTGAGCTTTTTCCTCCAGTTACAAGTCAAGCGGTGAAAGACGATTGCCGGGTAGACGGCAAAGTAAAGATCCAAAGCCGCAGAGAGTGCTTGAGAATGTGTCAGTCTTGACGCCACCCAACCGCGCAGGACAGGACAGGGGCAAAGAAGTTATACTAACCCGCAGCGAAGTAGCAGTATTGCACGTACTGGATCGACTCGATACATTTCGCGCCTTTGATAGTTGGGTCCCACGATGCTCGAATAGGCTTGCAGCCGAAGAAAGCCAAAAAGGAAACGGCAAGGAACCCGAGCAGACACAGGATCACCGAAGCCCACATCGCAGCCTTGTGGAGCTCTCCGGGCTTGAAGATCCGGCACAGTAAGCTCACGACCGACATCTTGGACACGGCCAGATTGGTGCTGACGCAGATTTGACTTTCAGCATCTTGCATTCGCGGGCGGGGGGGGGGGCAGTTGGCCAGACAACTTACACGCTGAAAGGCGTCCCTACAACAAACCAGAACTTCGCCTTTACCTGTTGATCGTGTGATAGAGCAATCATGTGGCGACCCAGGCCGTTGAAAAAGCCAGTCGTCATGAAGGACACATTAAGCCACATGATTGCGAGCGACAGCACACACAGCCACTCCTCGACGTAGAGCCTCCTGCGCAGTATGCGCGAGCAGCCGTAGACCCTCGCGGCGACGAAGACGGTGGCGACAGCCGCCATGGACAAGAGGACAGCCCTCGCTTGGGGCGCTCGGTTCTCTGCCTCGGCCATTGCCAGGCGGCGGCGTGTTGTTGACTATGGCACAAGATGATTCATTTCTGACGGGCAGCCGTTGAAGGCTCCGGTACGCTCGTATGCATGTACGCGGTACGCTTGGAGTGGAGAAGAGACGGCCAGGCCTTTGTGGACCGTCAAGATCAGCCTTTTCGGTGAGATCCAGGACCCGATCTCCTGTATTTGAATCAGGGAATTGCATATGCTCCCGGGGCGACCATGGTTTGATTTCGACCAGTGCGTTGAATTGCCGAGGGGTTCCGTAGGGCTTGGCTCAGGTTCTGCGGGCGAGCCTTCGCAATGATATGATCACCCCATAAAGCTTAACACGGCGGTGTAACTTTGAATGACTCGAGAGGCCTATCAGATAATATGTGCCATGGCGGGGAGAGATGCCCAAGTTGAGGATCGCCACTGTCATCGATCTCGGAATGATCTTCTATACATAGTAAGTCTACGGGATGAAAGGGTAATCACTTGAGGAGGGAGGAACCTGGTTCGACACGATCTATTGCACGAGACAACTGTAGTATTTTGTTGTTTTATGCCTGATCGTCCAGTCCGGATGACGATCGCGAGAAACATCCTGTCCAATCATTTCTCATTTTCCCATGTTTCCCATGCAGCTCAAAAATGGCAATTCGAGATCAATGGTGTCGTCTATAGTGAGTCCCAAGCCTCGTACATAGTCTAATGTCCAGATAGATATTGTGCATATTAGGCGTCGGTTGTCCAGGTGGGTCCTTCCCCAAGCTTCCCCTCAAGCTCCCCCGAGCTGCTCCAAACCAAGGCTACGTCACGCTTGCGAGCGTGGGGCCTCAGCTTCCATCTCCCGCCAACGCCCAGTTCTACTACCTGCAACATCTGCTTGGGTTTTTGTCTGGAAAATACCAACCAGACTTGATATCTACTATCACCATTAAGACATCCACTCGCTGAAGGCAGCATTTGACCAGCATTTGACCCAGCCCTCACTGCCACCACGCCTGCACAGCCGAGCAGCCTGCCAATAATGTCCTTCAAACCACATGATCACGGCCTTGCTCCAGGCCTCATCGACGCCCGGGAGAAGGAGGTTATGGACGAGATTGACAAGCTCATTGACAAGAAGCTATACTTCGCCTTGGCCCGGATCATTCCTAGCGACCCGAACGCTGCCCATATCGTCAATGACCCCGAGATCCAAGAGCAGGCAAACAATCTGAAGACGGCCGTCGCGGCCGTTGTGGAGAGACACGAAAGCATTATTTCCACCATTGCGAAATCGAAGAGGGACAAAGACAATGACAAGCCAGTGTGATCAAGGCTGTGCCATCCCCGATTCTCAAAAAGAGACATTGGCCCCTACGCCCGGCTCACTCGGGAGCATCAGGACTGGGCCTCGGGCAGTATGGCCGATTTACCAGCTAGACATATGGATCTCGTGAGCTCCACAGGAATCAACTCCCATGATAGGCGTCCCGATACTTTTTCAGACGGGCCGAATTCGAACATCTAGGGTGCCAGAGATCTACGGACTGGTGAGGAGGACCGTGTGTGCTGGGTGGGGGTGGGGGGGGGGGGGTTGGTGATGGTGATGGCGGAAGACCCAAAGGGTGCCCCCCGGACGGTGCTGCACCTGATGTCGAGATATATCAACAATCGAATGCTTTCCCTCCACTTTTTCAGTCATATCGAACGAAATTTAAGTCGCTGGCTCATGCCATCTGTCTAGCATACGCCCTCAACCGTGCCCTGCGTCGCCGCTAAGAATGGAGGCAATAGGAGCAAACGGCACTAGTGGTGAGAGGTGAGTGGACCCTCAATGGTGTCTAAGAAGTCTATCTGTAAGTGACCACCACAGCCGCGGCTGTGTTGACTCGGAACCAAGATCATGACCTCGAGGTTGTCGCTCGGCAATTAACAAAAATGCAGCTACGGACTGCATATTGAGAGCTGTCAGAAAAAGCTTGGGCTTCGAAGGCCTGTCAAGATCAAGAATCGGCCAACAGCAAGGATGAGCATGTTTTTTTAAACAGCGGAACATGCCGTGCGCATCATTTTACCAAGTGGGTTTCTGTCTGATCACCGGAGATTTTCCCAGCCTTCTTCTCCATGCAAGGAAGGCGTATTCCCGGCTTTGCCCATTCCGTGAGCCAGTCAAGACTTCTTACCGACAAAACCAGATTTCAGCTTTCCTAGGGATCCAGAAATTTGAGTCATGATATACGCGTTTTTAAGGAACACGCGACAAGCTGTCCCCTGCACAGAGCATGTTCATGATCGCCCGACAAGGAATGGCATCCTGCCATGATGTTGCTATGATGGTGGCACCGTCTGGCGCATAATGGTTCCACGAAAGTCTGACCCTCAGTGACAGTATCGCCAACAGGCTGAAGGTTTGAAGCTATGAGCAATAACACGGTACAGGCGGCATTTGTATACTTTCCTCGTCACCATGCAAACCAGCCCACCTTCAAGCCCACATTTATTGTCAAACTCTACCAACGAAATGCTGCCATTCTATCAAAAGAAGTTAAATCTGCGGCAGCACGGATACGGCCTTATCAGCTGGCAGGGGTAGCCACAGCGTGCAGGAGTCTCGCGGGCTACTGCATCTGCAAGCCCCTGACAACAAGGTCCGCTCCAGGGAAAGACGGGGTAACGATCTGGAGGCTGCAATGGCTGAAGACCGATCATTGCTCCAGAACCCTTGTTTTACGCCCACAATTGAGCCCGTCGCAGTTTTACGCCCACGTGGTTAGCGACTCATTTTTTCTGAAGGGGCCGGGGGCATCATCAGGGATCAGTTAGACAGCCCTGACAGGTCCCACCCAAAGCGAAACCGGGGCGAGTTTAATGACCGAGACAGGAACTCGCTGCTCGCTCCATCAGCCGGTTCACAAGTAAACTCTCGATCTGGACACTGGCAGGACCCGATTGTCGACCGGAATTGAAAGGCAGCTCATGCTCATCGGTTGTTTCTCATATCTTTGTTGGCGTCGGCGGCAAGCTCTCGGGCTTGCGCAGGTCGATGAGGGCAGACGGACATGGTCTCCTACAGGCCGCTGCCTATGACCACTGTGGTTGAGGCGCATTTGATAATCAACATTGTTCTGGTTGGCGTCACGGTACTTGTCGTAATACTACGGATCCTATCTCGAATTCTAGCTCGATCGCGGCTGGGAATGGATGACTACTTGACTATGCTGGCTGTCCCTCAAGGAATCGGCATGTTGGTACTGCAAGCATTATGTGAGTCTTGGGAACCCCTTAGGAGCGCGCCGAAACCTCGTTGAAGCTTCTGCTAAAGCCACAATCCAGTCGCAAGATCGGGTCTTGGGTACGAATTCTCGAAGGTCGCTGGGAACTGGCGCTTCATAACTTTGGTGAGTCTACAAATTGTCAACGGATGCCCCCAGACGTCTTTATACCACCTTACTAACAGAAATACCACCATACCAGCTCATTCTCCCATTTGAGGTGCTCTTCAGCGCCTGTGTCCTGACGACCAAGCTCAGCGTCCTGTTCTTCTACAAACGAGTGTTTACAAGTAACGCAATGCGCCTCGCGACCAGGGTAACGTTGGTGATCGTTGTCCTCTGGGGAGTCGGAAATCTCTTGCAGACTTTCCTGGTTTGCCACATGATAGATGGGACCTGGTAGGACTTTTCTTTTTGGATTTGATTTCCCCTCTGTTCTTCTACGTCTTCATGGCATGGCAATATGGCATTCTACAAGCGCAAGGGCCATGTTGTGGTGGCAACATGCTTACTTCGAATCACCGAAGTAATCGCCCAAAACAGCACTTTCCCAACCATTGCACACTAGCCAAGAAACGTCACTCACAACAGAGGCAGGCATGCTATCAACACGGATTTCTGCCCGGATCTTCAGTCAAGCTTCATCTCCATTGGGCTTTTCAACTTAATCACCAATACTATCATCATGCTGGTACCGCTTTACACAGTCTGGACTCTCAAGAAAGTCAGTGTGTCGACTCGATTGGGCCTCAGCGCAGTCTTCTTATTGAATTTCGGGTGAGTAATTTCAATGAGCCCAGGACCACTCATTGCTGCCGAGTGAACCTCAGATAGATGCTTACCAACACCAATCCAGAGTGATCGTGGTTTCTGTCACGAGAATTGCTGTGATGATCGGCGTCCGCGATCTGTCCGATGTCATAGACAGCATGGTGACAGTAACGTTTCTGTCGGTGTTCGAAGTCAACCTGAGTATTTTCTGCAACAGCCTGCCGATGCTTCTGCCACTATACACCTATTGGAAGAATCGCAGATTTGGCGGAGATGGGGAGGACGAGTACGTGTCGAGGCTCAGAGGCGACAGCCAGTCCCGCAGGCACGAGCACCTTGTAGAGGACCTTACCAACGGCATACCGCTCGAGACTATCTACGGGAAGGATAACGTGCACTTCACAACGACAGTTGGGCGGGGTGAGTCGTCGAGACGGACGAATGAGGAGCAGTCCGAGGACGACGGCTCGGACTCGGAGTCGACGAGGAGGCTTCCGCGGAATGCGCAGGCCATAACGATTGAGACGAAATGGTCGATAACGGAGGAAACAGTCAAATAGGTACAGGATTACCTTCGATAATAATGCTCAAAATTTAATGCCGTGCTTCTTGATCGGATGTTGTGGTTCACCGGGCTGCCTGTTGACAGACCCCGGGAAGAGAACGCCGACCGATACCGGCTACGAGATCTCACACCACTGAAGAGGCACTGGTTCAAGCCCGTCCTTTTCAAGGTCTTACCGGGCCGAATCTCTCATTCAGTCGCTGGCGGCTCTCTCCAGCAGCTGTCAAGGGTAGAAATAACGCTCACCAAAGCTTATTTCCCCGCGACACCACGGGCCGATGCCACGTCGGATCGGCTCCGATTGAGTTTCGGGTGCCAACTTCTCGGAGCCCGGAAGAGCAGGGGTGCATGATCAAGGCCTAAATGCTTCAAAGGCCCGCACACTGCCCACATGGTGGTGGTCCAACGTAGTGTGGCAGAAGGACCCGCCGGGGCGCATGCACTGCTGCAAAGATTCTCAAATCGTAATGGCGACTTTCTCTCGTCGTTGCCAAAAGTCTTGCGGCTCCTCCCGCCCGTCGCAAACCTACCGGCGAGTCCCGGGCAGGCTAAGTAAGTGGTGAAGCAGTGGGCCCATTGCCATTTGCCAATCTAGGAAGCCGAGAGATTTCGTCTTCAGGCTCGGCTCAATTCTCCCTCGAGATTATGGGCAAACTAATGGACTTGACTGACTGCCTCATAAGCGCCATAAATCGGGTGTTGGCACCTCTATGAATGTCCGACAGAGACAGAACGAAAGGTGTCGATCAAACGAGCTTCAGGGAATCACTTATTCAAAGCCATTCAGACTGGGTGCATTATGTTGACGGAAGAACTCACACCAGATGTTCCCAAGTAGACTCACAATTTGGCGGGCTCATTCGCATTCTCAGGCAGTATTGGGTGAGGCCAGGAGCAAAGTATTTGATCCAAAAATCCGGAAAACAATAATCTGGGTAGCTGATTTGTTTGAAGATCCCGTGTTAGGTTCATAGATCAAGCCATGCTCGTGTTGACGAGAGCTTGTCTGTCGCCATGATAGCTAACTCGCTGCAATCAAAAGGAGATTTCTGAAGGATCAACTCTATTCCCACGCTAACTATCTTGGTATTGAGGGGTTACTTCTCAATAAAGACGTGTCAGGCTGGTCCCGTATGATTTAAAATCTTACGTCTCCCCCGCTCCTCTCCCATCAGGCTGCTGTGCCAAAGCTATCAACAGCAAGTCGTGCTCAAGGCTTCAACTGCGAGATATGGTCATAGCATCACAGTGACTCACAAAATAGATTCTGTCTGTGCCTTTACTGCATTGGCATTTGAAAGCGCATCTCGCGCGTTCTGCACCCCAATCATGGTTGTTGAGGAGTTCCTGCGTACCGGGACGTCTCTCCTTCAGGCTTTGGTGGGCAATGGCGCGGGCTCTGCAGATCTGGGTCACTTCATTAAACAATTCCAGTATTTCGTGACAAGTCTTAACCATGAAGCGACTGACAATACTGCTGTTGGCGTGGAAGGCTTGAGAAAGGCCTGTTGGAAGATCTCGCAGGACGTTCTCATCCGGCTGAAGCGGCTGAGGGCTGCTTCCGAGAGTGAGGATTTGACTCGAGACTTACGTAGTGTCTTCACTGAGCAAGATGTCGAATCTCTGCGTACACAGTTATTCGGGGTACAGATGCGTTGGCAAGGTCTTCGACCACATACCGATGCACCACTGTAAGCTCTAGAACCCAACATGTGCCACTTGCGAGGGCCACCACCACCACCATATTGCCGGACTAAATAGAGCCCTCCAAACAGTGATATCGCATCCCAGCTGTCCGACACCATTTCGGATTCCCCAGCCGGTGACAATGAGCTACTTCCGGATTCACAGGAACGGCCTCAGAGCAAGCCAGGTTCTGGGCGTGCCAGAGCAGCACCATCGAAAGAATTGCTACAGGAGTTCATCCTCGAAAGCTTGAGTTTCCAGTCCATGGAAAGCCGGGAACAAGATGTATCCAAAGCACACGGAAACTCGTTCGACTGGATTTTCAACAGCGCTGGAAGCCGAGACTTGGCGAGCGATCCCATGTTCACAGAGTGGCTGTCGACTGACAACTTGGGAAGCATTTATTGGAGTAAGTACAGCTGCATGTGGTGTTCGAGTTATTGAAGGTCTATCACTGACTTCGCCCAGTCACCGGGAAGCCAGGATCGGGGAAGTCAACTCTCATGCGTTACCTGTCCGGGCACCATGAAACCAAGAGGTCACTCCAAGTATGGGCAGCCGATAAACAAGTTGCCATTGCCGGCTTTTACTTCTGGGTCAGCGGGTCCGAGGACCAGCGATCCCGAGTTGGCCTCTTGCGGTCGTTGTTACATCAACTTCTGTCGCTTTACCCAGAAAGCATTCCCGCAGCATTCCCCCGTCTCTGGCAGAAGCTATCCGGAATGACTTCAAAGGAGAGGATCGCGATGGGCTTTGAGTGGACTGGCCCTGAGCTTACGAGCGGGTTTCTGCGACTGCTCGATACCGTCCTCTCCCAAGCCAAGATCTGTCTATTCATAGACGGGCTGGACGAGCTTGATGGGGACCACGACAGTATGATCCGTTTCTTCCGCGATCTGGGGACGGGTAAGCATGCGTCCCAGGTCAAGATGTGCCTCTCGTCAAGGCCGTGGGAGGTATTTGAACGGGCGTTCGCGCGCTCGGTCCCTAACTTGAGGTTGCAAGAGTTGATTTTGGGTGACATGACCCAATATGCCTATGACAGCCTGTACGTAGGAGCTTTCTCCTGTCCTACTTCCCAATGTCCTTGTGGGAAGAGTCTCTGGGGAACAATGCTTAGAGTCTCACTTTCAATCATTAACATTGTGCAGACGCAGAAATCAAAACGTACGCCGGGCTCTTCGGCAGAACGCAGAAGAAGCCGAGGGTCTTGTGCAAGAGATTGTCACATCCGCCGACGGCGTATTCCTGTGGGCTCGACTTGTGGTCCGGGAGATTATCAAGAAGTTTGGCGGCACTCAAACGACGACTGCTAATATCCGAGACTACCTGTCCAGTTTCCCCACCGAGCTTGGCGACCTGTTTGGGAAGCTTGTTTTCACTGACCAGTCCGAAGAACAGTTGACTGAGACATCAAAACTGTTCCAACTCGTGCATGCCCGAGAGACTGTGGCCGAGTTTATCAAGGACGATTCGGCCACTTCCTTGTCCATTTGGGAACTAGCGTTCGCTTCGAAGACAGAAGACGACGTGCTCGCTCTCACAAAGTCGGTGCAAGAAGCAACTGACGACACGATTGTACGCCGCTGTGCAGAAACCCAGGATTGGGTCCAGCGAAGCTCCGCAGGACTCCTCGATATCTTCCCAAGACGCAGCTCACATGGAAATGGCACCGTCCGAGGGACTCGGTTTGCAGAAGACGACCGAATCGAGACCCTGGCTCGGAAGGTAGCAGGATATAAGGTCACATATCTCCATCGGACGGTTCGCGACTGGCTCCTACACCCCTTTGGAAACCCCATCTGGCTTCGGCTCACAGCGGCCATGGACAACCCAGCTGCTCCGAAGTCTTTCGACCCCCATCTGTATCTGCTCCGCTCGTACGTTCTGCAGATGAAACACCCACTCGAGGAAATTGAACACCACCGTCGCTTGGACGAGTGGTATCCTGATATTGCGCTCAGCCTCACCCATGCGCGACACGTCGTCAACGACCGCCAGGGCTTCCAGACGAAGCTCGTTAATGAGCTGGATAAGACGATATCCTGGTATTGGCTCACCAAGTCCTCAAGCCTGGAAGACCACTGGGCACGCAATCGTTTTGGGACTTTCGAAGAGAGGCGGGGAGACAAGCTTTCCATCCCATTTCCCTTCCTCGCGCTGTGTACCAAGTTTGGCCTGGAGAGATACGTCCTAGACACTTTAGACGCGATGGCAAATACCGAGCATGATGAAGAGGGGGACGCGTCCGGAGTCGCAGGAGATGCGGAGACAGGCCTAGCAACGGAAGAGACGCCCCTTCTTTACCGCGCCCTTGAATTTCTGTGCTCCCGGCAAAAGACGATCTACCCTCTGTCTTCGCCAACACTTGTCCGGTCCCTCCTGGCATACTCACAAAAGTATTCCTCACACGCAGTCCTCGGCCCCCTCATCGGCAGCCCAAACAAGGAGTTCTGGACAAAGCTCCTGCATGTCAAGGACGCCACTCCGTGGATCATGGTACTCCGGTCAGTAAGAGACGGGCGGCGCAGGGGCTGGATCAGGCCGTTCGATGTCGATCACTTGGGCACGGAAAGATGGACAAGAATTATAGAGTTGTTTGTCCTGGAGGGAGGAGCTGACAGGGAGGCTATTGTGCGCAAGGATGGGTGGGACCCAGAGACAAATGCTTCGGAAGTGCTGGGGCGTGGAGGCATGCTCGATGTCTATGGGGACTGGTGGATTGAGGATAGGCTTGGGAGGCTTTTCGAGGCTAGGCAGGCGGCAATCAATAAGTCACTAGACCAGCTAGAGATATACTAGTAACCTGTAACGTTTTCCAGAATACTCATCTTTTTTTACTCTGTTTACCTCAGACATAGTTAGCTCCCTGTTGCTGTGTGGGAAACAAAACAAAAACATACAACGGCCAAGTTGAGTTGAGTTTCGGGAGCATTCCAAGCTTTCTTCTAGAAGCAGCGTTAGGCTAGACAGAGCCGGGACTACGGGACCCGCACCGGGGGGGCACAGACAGTTCCGCCACTCTGGTCGCACGCGGGCTGCAGGGCCCCTGCGTCAAGGCAGGCTCAAGGCGTAGGCATGGGCGTAGGCGTGGGCGTAGGCACCACAGGCTCGGCTATCCGAGGCAGCCAAGGTTTTGGTAGGTACCCAAAGGTCCCAAGGTCCCAAGGTCCCAGGAAGGAGGGGCAGGGCTGGGCTGGGCTGGGTGGCAGGTACATACTGTACAGTATGCAGCGCTGCAGTAGGGCAGGAAGGGCATGGCAAGACAGGGTGCGGTACTGTACCTCAGATCTTACGTCGGGGTCCATCAAATTGAATTTGCGACCCTTCACCCACGCAACTCGCTCTACACACTCTCTGTCCATTCCACCTCCTCTCACACCACCATCTTTTTTGGAACAAAACCTGCCAGGCCTGCTTTGCTTTGCGCAGCCTGTTCGCGGTCTCTAGCATCTTTGTCTTTCCCCCAAACTTTATCTGCTCTTTTCTTTTCCTCAGCCTCGCCTGCCGGTAGCAGTAGCACTTACCTACAAAGCACACCACCACCATTTCCTAAGGTGGTCCGTCGCCACGCCCGCATGGTGCGCTTGGGAAAGTAGCACGCGATCCATGACAGATCGCGCCTTGCAAAGTTTGCGACCAGCGGCTACCTTGCTATCTACCTCCTGCCTGCTAGCCAGGTAGCGCTCACCTCGCTCAATATGTTTTCCAAGCAGCCCAAGTTCACCCCAAAGACACTGCCAAAACCGAAGATCCGCACCGTCAGTGTCGAAGTACCAAAGAAGCCCAGCACGCCCGTTAACGGGAGACATGGCTCGAGTATGAGTAGTTCACCCCGTCCTTCTGCATCGACAATAGTCGCAAAGGGCGCAAAGAAGCTTGCCAACAGTCATTCTCGAGCCAGCAAGAGCCCCTTCACCTCGTCCGACGAGAAGGGCTCGCTCGCCCCGCCCGCAGACGGTCGCAAACGCATCCGCTCCCCCGCCACCGACAGCGATCGCGTCGCCTTCGATTCCGACGGAGACAGCGCCGATGACGATGACGACGACTGGGAGAGCCGCTTGAAGCGCCGCAAAATGTCCACGCGCATGGATCCCAACCGCAAGCTGCAGCATTCCGCGCTGGCCGAGCTTGCTGCCAACGGGTACAAAGACACCGGAAAGGCGCCCAAGATCGTACACGCCGCAGACGTCGTCTCGCTCGAGCTCGGTGACAAGCCTTGGTTTCCCGGGGCCGACCCAGAGGAGCTCGTGGTCAAGCTGCAGTACCCGGGCTCCCTGACAAGAGAGCGGTATGTTACGGTGTTCCCTTGCGCAGCTGCTGCTATCACGTCCCACCTTGACTTGAATGCTGACCTCGCGATACTAGATTTGTGCTCTCCGACGCTAAGGACAAACTCAACGTCTTCGAGGATATTAAAAAGGTCGTGGAGAATGTCCGCGACACGTTTCTCACACCTGAGCAGGCTAAGGAGTATGGATTTAAAGATATCATTCGACAGCTGGAGCGCAACTACAGCCCCCAGATCTTGAATCTGGCTGGATACAAGGCGGCTATAGAAAAGTACAACAATGCTGTGCTCCACCTTCTCAAAACCGGTGCCATCGTCGCAGCCATCGACAAGCAACACGAGCTATCCGAAGGCCTCATCGATCATATCCTCACCCAAGTATACGACCGTGTAGTCACTCCCAAAGTCGACATTTTGAAGAAGTATGACAACGGCACGGATAATGTCTATGGCGAAATGAACAGAAGCTTTGTGCGACAGGCGCTGTGCCAGGAACTGCGAATGACATCGGAGCAAGTCTTTGTTGACCTCGGGTCGGGTGTCGGAAATGTGACGCTTCAGGCGGCACTGGAGATCGGATGCGAAAGCTGGGGCTGCGAGATGATGGAAGGTCCCGCCACGCTGGCAAAGGCCCAGCACGCGGAGTTCCGGGCCCGTTGCAAGCTCTGGGGGATCCAACCGGGCAGGGTCCGGTTCGTGCATGACGACTTCACCAAGGATGAAGCCATCAAGGACGTTCTTCAGCGCGCTGAGGTGGTGTTGGCTAACAACTTTGCGTTCACGCCGCAGCTGAACGACACCCTCAAGATAATGTTCTTGGACTTGAAAGAAGACTGCAAGCTAGTGTCGCTTAAGAACTTCGTCAGCTCCTCAGCATACCATACAAACGACATTGCCACGCAGATCCTCGACGTCAGGAAGTACCGCTGGCCCCCGAATGGAGTAAGCTGGACCGAATCACAAGGGGATTACTTCATTGCGACCAAGAAGTAGGGACTGGGTCGGAGTAGGGGGCGGCTGCTTCGACGAGGCGATGTTAGCCGATGAAGACGTGGAGGAACGAGGATTGCACATAGAAGGAATGGGTCCGTGTTTTTGCAGTTTTATACCCCCCTTCGCACACGCATAGGGAGCAGCGCATAGGGAGCATCCATTGGAGAGGCATTGTTGGACAAGAAAGAGTAGGATCAGTGGGTTGTGTTTTCTTTTCCACGCACCTTTTTCGATAACATTGTAGCGAGTACAGCATATAGAGAAGAGGCGCTGTGGCCGGCATACCAATGAGATACCCGTCTCCTACTCGGGCTTGCCTCGTGTTGCGTCGGTAAGGTCCAAGTGCGTCGAATCATCCGAGTTCGACGCGTCTCATGGTATCATGTAATCCTGAGCAAAACATGCGACTTCCCATCGCGCCTCATGTCCCATCGCTCCGCTTCTCGTTGGCAGCGTTCATGTCGTCTGCCTCCTGTCGCGCCCTCCTCATCCAGCGCTCGATCAGCTGCTTGTTCTCGGCGGCGATCTTGGCCTTCTGCTGCTCCGCCACGTTGAGCTGCAGCTCGAGGGCCAGCACCTCGTCCTGCACCTGCTCGAGCATCTGCTTCTTGCCGCGCAGCTCCTCGGCCTGGTCGCCCACTCGCAGCCGCAGCGTGTCCCGCTCGGCCGTCAGGTCGCGCACCACGCGCGCCTGCGTCCGGCTCGTGGCCTGCAGGGCGTCGCGCTCGCTGGTGGTCTTGCGGAGGCGGGTCTCGAGGGATGATTTCTGTCGCAGGGCTTCGGCTAGGTCGGCGCGCAGGCGGGACTGGGCCGGGTCGGCAGCGGTGGTGGGTTCTTTGGTCGTCGTTGGTTGTGTGTTGGAGGGCGACGGTGATGATAATTGCCAGTGGGCCTTCTCGGCCTCGAGGGCTGCTATGCGGTCGTTGAGGAGTGAACCTTGAGGGGGGCGGGGGGAAGCTCGTCAGTCTTGCTTTTGTTGAGCGATGCAAGGGAGGTGCGGGGATTCTTGGGATCTGGGAGCGAGCTTACAGGCCTCGACGAGCTCCTGGTTGACCGGGCTGTTCCTCTCAGCTTCCAATATCGAAGAAAGGTATTCGTCTTTCCAGCCCGGCATGTTGAATGATAGTAGTATAAGAGGAGTCGGTGGTGCAGCTGGGGTGGGAACCTCGACTGTGATTCCGATTGTTTCTGATGCAGCTGCTGCCACTGATTCTGCTTCTGATTCTGATGTCTTCGGCTTGGGTGATGGAGATCGGGATCGGAATGAAGTGGACACAATCTCCCAATCATCATCGTCCCCAGACAATGACGATGCATCCATGTGCGTTGTCAAGGTGGGCGGGCAGGGCGGGCCCCAGGGTCTGGTCTCAGTTACTCTGGGTCACCTTGCTGGAGCATGTGAGCCGCGCATCGGCCCAGGCAGGCGCTTATCGATAGCAGTGGTGCTCCCCTCGTGGACGAAGCTCCCCTGCGGCTTCTGTTGTTACTTGGGTCCCTGGCCGGGCGTTAAGCAGTCCACTCATCTGAGTACTGAGCTCCCGCCTCTGAAGCTTATTTCATTTACCTGTCGGGCTTGCCTGTGCTCGAGATTCGCCGTGCATTTCGCAATTACTGTTGAAACCGACGTCACACTCGAAAAGGCCAGGTGGAAGAGGCAGGCGGACGCAAGCCCATTGAGCGAGTGAGTCTGCGGGAGGATCTTAAGATGAGATGAGCTGGTAAAACGAGAAGATGGACTCGACACATCCCACCGCCGGTTGGGAGCAGGTCGGCGATCGCTTTTACCGCAAGACACAGCTCTACACGGCCGTCTTCGATCGAGACTTGGATCTAGACAATTTCTTTGTCGCCGGAGCCCCTTATGGCGGCGCCGTAGGTGTGTTCCCTCGTCTCTGAAGCTCGCTTCTCTCAGCCAGTCACGGTTCTCTGCTCTTTGGTGTATTTTCTCCTTTAAACCACCATCATGGCTTCAAAGCAACCGCTTTCCTCAGATTCAAGACAGCATGAGAAGCTGACGTCATGTAGCACTTTACCGTGATGAGTCCAAAATCCTGGCTTATCGCACTGGCAAATCGTCCAAGCCCAGTATAGACATCTACAGCTGCGCAGGGAAGCTGATCAAGAGCATACCTTGGGAACACGGGTCCATAAAAGGACTTGGCTGGTCAGAGGATGAGAAGCTCTTGGTCGTGACGGCGGATGGCGTTGTACGGTGCTACTACGATCTCCAAGGCGACTTCACTCAGTTTTCCTTGGGTCACGGGGCAGAGGACCATGGCGTGCAGTCCTGCAAATTCTACGAATCAGGGCTCGTGGCTTTGCTGTACAACAACTCCTTAATCTCGGTATCTTCATACAACGAGCCGCGTCCCAAAGCCCTGGCCCAGCCTCCGGAGGGAGAGGTACACTCCTGGACAATCATACCGCCCAGCTATACCCTATCCCGTTCTGTGGAGGCGTTACTCAGTATCGAAGAGACCGTATACATGGCGGACGCTACAGAGGTGGAAGACCGCTTCCTAGATCTGGGTCCATTCACACACCTTGCCGTCTCGCCAAACGGAAAGTTTGCAGCCCTGTACACAAATACCGGCAAGGTCCATGTCATTACGAGTGACTTTCAGAACCGCTTGACCGAATACGATTCCAGATCACGAATTCCTCCGAAATACGTGCAATGGTGCGGGAATGATGCCGTTGTCATTGCCTGGGAAGACGAGGTTCACGTTGTTGGGCCAGGAGGTGCTGTGGCCAAGTTCTTTTATGAAGGAAGGGTGCATATTATCCAGGACCATGACGGTGTTCGTGTCCTCACAAATGACGTCTGTGATTTACTTCAAAAAGTGCCAGATGTCACGGATGAGGTGTTTAGATTCGGAACCGAGTCTCCTGCTTCGATCCTGGTGGATGCTGTTGCTCAGCTGGATATTCAATCCCCGAAAGCTGATGACAACATCCAGCTCATTCGGTCCAACCTTGTCGAAGCTGTCGACACCTGCGTTAATGCCGCCGGGCAAGAGTTCAGTATTCACTGGCAAAAGCAGCTGCTCAAGGCCGCCTCGTTTGGCAAGTCTGTGTTGGACATATACAACAGCGATGACTTTGTCGACATGTGTGAGACGCTGCGGGTCCTCAATGCGGTGCGCTTTTACGAGGTTGGACTACCTATATCATACGATCAATTCCAACGTTTGACCCCCGAAGGAATGATCAGCCGTCTGCTCAATCGGCATGAGTATTTGCTTGCCCTTCGCATAGCGGGCTATCTTCGGTTACCTTCTGACAAGATCTATGTTCACTGGGCGTCATCAAAAGTCCGCACGGGATCCGAAGACGATGAAACCATTTGCCGCCTTATAGTTGACAAGCTCTCTGGCAAGCCTGGCATATCTTTTGAGGCCATTGCGCGCGCCGCTTACGACGAGGGCCGCGGTCGTCTGGCCACCGAGCTCCTCAATCACGAACCTCGAGCCGGCCGACAAGTCCCACTCCTGCTCAGCATGGAAGAGGACGAGGTGGCCCTAGACAAGGCGATCGAGAGTGGTGACACGGACCTCGTCTATTTCGTCCTGCACACGCTGCGCCGGAAGCTTCCCCTAGCCGCCTTCTTCCGCACCATCAATCACAGACCCGTGGCAACTGCGCTGGTCGAGTCATCTGCGCTTCGCGAAAATGACAGCGCTCTTCTGAAAGATCTTTACTATCAAGACGACCGTCGCCTAGATGGCGCCTCAGTCTTCATCCGGGAGTCTTTAGTCCAGCCGGACAGCCGGACAGCCTCGGACAAGCTAGCCCTGGCGGCCAAATTGTTGAGTGACAACAGCAAAGAGAACGCATTCGAGCTGGCTGCGGCAAAGGAGGCAGTGACGCTCTTGAGGATGCAAGAAGCTTTCGATCGTGACCTGACTGACACGTTCACGGGACTGAGCGTCAATGAAACCATGTTTAAGCTGATTCGGCTGGGCTACAGTGGACGAGCCAAGAAGATCCAGAGCGAGTTCAAAGTGCCGGAGAAAGTGGCCTGGTGGATTCGTCTGCGGGCATTTGTCGCCAAGCGCGACTGGAATGAACTGGAGGATATATCGAAGCAACGGAAAAGCCCAATCGGGTGGGAAGTAAGTCAATCCAAATGAGATCCTGACAGAATAGCCACGAAAATACTGACTGCGGTCAACAGCCGTTCTACAACCTCATTCTCCAGGCGGGTAATCCTCGACTCGCCTCTGCCTTCATCCCAAAATGCACCAACCTTGAGCCGGGTGCCTCGATCACCATGTACGAGAAGTGTGGCATGCGTGTGAAGGCTGCGGAGGAGGCCATCAAAATCAAGGACCAAGAGGCCTGGTTGAAATTGCTGGACGCTGCTGGTAAGAATACTCAGGAGGGGAGGGAGATCGAGAGACTTGGTCATCAGGTTTTCAAGAAATAGCGAGTAGTAAATGAGACAGAGCCTCATGAACTGGGGCAACACTATTGCACTGCGCGCCAGCATCGCCTTTCTACGAACCGGTCTTCGAGCTTGATGTGGACATGACGTCGCATGTTCAACCCGTTTCCTTTTCTGTGGTGTGTCTAGCGCGGACCGTGGGCTTTTGTCAGGCTGAGGACCTTGATGTCCTCACATCTAACAGTGAACCTTGATGGCCCAATGGAGGGTGTCCAGGGGTTGCCTTTCCCCGGTATCTCCTTAAAATGCCTCTTTGAACTCCTTTCACAATAGCCTGTCCTCGACGGATATCTTTCGCATGTAGATTCTTTCTCAGATATTAATCCCCAAAGAAGACAAGATGGCCCATGAAAATATTTGGTTTTCCCACCCGCGCACCTACGGCAAAGGATCTCGTGGCTGGTAAGTTTCTCCCCTCGTCGAACTAGAGACGAGACTCGTAGGACGGGCTTAGCTGACAGAAAACCCCCGGGGTCTGAAGCCGCGTCACTGGTGACAAGAAGAAGACGGGCCTGATCCGCAAGTACGGGCTCAACATGTCCAGGCAGGCGTTCCGGGAGAACGCGGAGGCAATTGGCTTTAAGAAGGTAAGCCCCTTTGCCACCATTTTCCCTTGTAGCTTCTTTGAACAGGATGGCGTTGTGCAGTGTCCGCTCCCAGGGTAGTCGCTGATGTTCTTCCTTAGTACCGGTGAATGGGACCTGTGCTCTAAAGACGTTCCGGCCTCTAAGGATGGGTTGGCGGAGGTGAAAGCCAGCTTTAAAAGCAATATCTAGAGCCAGTCCACACAAGCGTTTTCACAAGCTTTACTGCCTGTCATGTCATCTTCATAAAACAGATAGATAAATCGAACACAGACATGGAACTTTATACAGTGAGGTATTGTGTCTACTCTATTTTACACATGCTGTCCGCGTCTGGAGGACAAGCCTTCAGCAAAACTATGCAAATATTAGTCCTGGCATCATTGCATTACCACACGTTTTGAGCAGTGAGGCTGTTGTCGTCATGCTGCTAAGGCCCTAGATGGCCTTACTTCGGGTAGTCTCCCGTTGAAAAGGTTGTATGCACCTTTCTATACTCGATGCCGCAAGTATCATCATCCATCTCTAAGCTTGTCTACCCAACCGCGACCGGTGGATCGTATCCTGGATCTCGTCCCAAGTCATCGTCCTCGTCGTGACACCCGGTGCCTCCGCTTCTTGTAACACCACTGTCGGCGCACCGCTCCCCTTGCCAGGATTGTCGACCATGCCGCCGACAACCATCTTCGCCACGCGCTTCAAGTCGTTGATCGTGAGCTCGCTGATCCTCCTTGTCATCTCGTGCACGGGAACTTTGCGGCCATGAACCTGTACCTGCCTCCCGAGATCCTCGAGCTCCACCATGCGGCTCTCGAGGTTCATGAGCAGGCTTGACCGTAGCTGGTTTTTGGCGCGGTTAACCTCTACGCTGTTGAGGCGTGAGAATCCCGAGTCCAACGTCAAGGCCCGAAGCTCTCGGCACATTATCTCGAGCATCTTGCCCGTTCGGCCTGGATAGCAGGACGCCGCGATACCGAAGAGACCGCTGTCAGTGTAGCTGTGGTTGAAAGCGACACATGACTCAACCCATCCGTACTGGTTCAGCACGTTGGTGTACAGGCGTGAGTACATGCCTTTGCCGGGGCCTCCAGCTGAAAAGGAGCCTCCTCCTCCGAGAAGGGTTTGCAGAGTGGCGAGGGCAAAGATGTCGTCCGAGGAGATTGGGAGGCCCTCGAAGGCAAGGTGGATGTGTGTGAAAGCGGGCATCATTGGGTTTGGCGAGGGTGGTTGTGTGGGGAGGGAAAGGAACCCACCTGTGTACTGGGCTGGGCGGTGGAGGTCTTCAATGGAGAGGGGGATATGAGGAGAGGAAGCAATGGAAGCGTTGTGCGGTGCCGAAGTGGAGAGATTCTTCAGAAACGGTATTTTGGAGAGGAGTTTGGACGACTGCTGTGGTGATGCCGAGGATAAGGAGGAGACAGACGAAGCAGCAGATTCGCTGCTCTGCGAGCTGGTCTCGGATTCCGCTGATGCTTCAGATGCGGTGTCTGAAATTGCCGGCAGCTCTGTGCCTTTCATGTCGCCGAAGTGCTTTTCGGCCAGCTTGACAGCTTCTGAATGAGGAATCCCGGCGAAAGCGACAACCATCCGCTCGGGTCTGAAAAAGGCATCTCTGTAGGCCTGGATCACATTCCTGTCGATTGCGCCGAGACGTTCCTGGGGGCACAGTAAAGGGTTGCCGAGAGTGTTGTCCTTGAATGCAGCAGTGTGAACCAACTCAGGCAGGATCAGTTCTGGTTTGGACCATATTTCGTTGATCTCGTACTCGGCCGTGAGCAGTTGTTGTTGCACCTCCTCCTCTGTGAGCTTCGGATCTCGTATTGTCTCGGCGAGCAAGCCAACGGCAGTGGGAATGGCGTTGTTGAAGGTGGCGGCCTGATACATCATGGACTCTCTGGAGGACGCACATTGTACGTTTCCGCCAAGGTTTTCGACCTGCTCCAAGACCTCATCGGCGGAGTGTCGCGAGGTCGACTTGAAGGCAAGTCGGTCCATGATGTGACTTGCGCCGCGCAAGTATTCGGTCTCGTATCGCGATCCGGCATCGATGTATACTCCCATGCCAGAGAAGGCATCTGGAAGAGCTTCACTAGCGACCCGTATCCCATTCGGCAGTGTAGTGACATCGCTAAGCTCTGTGGGTTCCTGTGTACTCGCATGTTAGCACTGGCAAGATGAAGAGGGCGCGAGCGATGGACGGGTCGGCATACTCGGGCAGGGGGAGGAGGGGCGACGGTGGCCAGGGACCTTGTTCGGAATGATGGTCTGGCACTGATGTTGTGAGGCTTTGCAAGGCCATGCAGCCTCGCTGGCAGACGCGAACAACATGAGCGCAGCATCTTTGCTTCGGGTTGACTTGGGCAAGGCTGAGTGCCGCTGTGATGTCAAAGCCAAAGAATTGTTTGAGACCGATTTGCCTCAGGCGCCTCCAGGCTTATCGATAAGCCTGCACGGCAACACAACGCCCTGGCAAGTACCTAGGTACCCTGTAAGAAGACTATCTACGTTTTAATGCACAGGCAGGTTGGTCTCTGGCGGCTTTTGATCTCCTCGTCACACAAATTGACTATTGTCGCCTAACGAGGTCCTTTGTGTCACGACGAGATGATTTTCTACATACGGTAGTGACACATGCCTTAGGCAAGTCTCCGTGACCACCCTCCCCTTTCTCAGGAGGTTCATTCCAGGAACCAGTTGTATCGAAGGCGCCAAACTTCCTCAGCATAATGTTCGGCAACATAAACTTATAAGTCTCTTTCAAAACTTGACCCCATGTACAGGAATTCACATCCAGTTATTCTCAAGGTCGAGGGAACCTCGTTGTGAATCAAAAATCAATTCTGATCCTACATAGTCTCTTTTTTCTTCTACATGCTCCACCTACTGCTGAGTAACATCAAACCCATCCTTGGCCTAATAGTTGGCCACAATTACCAACATCACGCTGGAACCCGTTGCACAGCTCAAACAATTAGTAAACTGGAACAGATGACTTTATGTCGAGTGCAAGGTACCAGTGCATCTCTGAGTAGGTATTTATAGCACTCAGAAACAGTCCGGGCTTGAGAGCCAGTGGAGGTACCAGGTTTGAGATGAAGGATGAAGTAGGATGAATGCTCCAAATCAGTATCTCGAACTGGGAGTCGTCTGGAAAATAGTTCTGATCATACTCGTCCTGTTATGACCATGCATTTGTGCCTGCCTACAAATATGGCGGACAACGCTCAACGATCTCTGGATGTAAGGCTGCGAATGAATACCGGGCTTACAAGCTTGGACACGCACACACAAATAACACCAAAGAAGAGGTCATCAGTATCCTCATGGAACTGCGCCGAAATGGTGGACAACAATCTCAAGGGCTTTTCCAAATAAAGAACAGAGTCAGGCTCATCATCAATGTTCCATCTGAACAGAACCCTGTGTTCCCAAGGAAAGTTTGTCGACCGCACTCCGGGTACGGGATACAACGTAGCAAAGGCAATTGTGTCGCAGCGGGTTCGATGGCTGGCCAAATTACATTTGCCAATGAGTCGAACTGGAAATTCAACATTCTCTGGCATTGGAGTGCGTCAGTGACGCTTTAGACGATCAATTAAGCCAAAAGGAAGATGGACAATCAATAGGTTCTTTGTGACCTGGATCTCCATTCTTCCAGCATATCATAGGGTCTGCCACTCCATGGGAGCCGGGATATCCTCTGCGGTGAAGATTTCCACTGATGTCTCAGATCAGTAAACTTTGGTAGTGTCCGCGGGACATCGTGAACGGGTTTGTTTGTGAATGGGAGAGACCCGCAAGGGGCTGCCTGCACGCCTGCTCGCAACACTGGTCGGCTGCTGTAGCCTTGTATAGAACCAATGGGAGCATCTCCAGAAGCTGGGAGCTGAAGGATTAAAGTTGTCTGACAAGAGGCGCTGGACCTCTCAAATGGCTGCTGATTCACCCAAGATCCGCCACTGACAGAAAAAACTTTGGCGGTCAAATGTTGCCGTCGCGAGTCATCAATCTGTCTCACAATTCGAGCAGCAGAGCGCGCTTCTCAATGCTGGCCTGGTTGGCGTTCTCAACCGTCAGCCTGAGAACAAGACCTGTCCACGGGCCTCTCCCGCGTTGCGTCGGCCTTCAGCTGCGCGATCTGAACAGTGTGCCTTGGGCAGCGGACCGAGGCAAGTTTTCGATAGTATGCAAAAATTGCCTTGAATCCAGTTTGAGTTGCCAATAGCTGGTGTACAGAGGACAAATTAATTGCTGGGCTCTGGCGAGGACGGCACGTCCGGATGAGACCCGACGTCACTGCCCACGGGATCCCGACCAACAGGCGTGTACGAAATTCCCCGAGCGTGGGGTCCAAGAGCCTGACAGCAGGAGCAAGCAGAGCCTGAGAGCTCCACCACGCACCGAGATGACGGCTCGAGTTGCAAGCCTGCAGTAGATGAAGGGGCAGCCGGCGGGGGGTCTGAACGCCGAGGACGGGCGGCGCAGGGCGGCGCATAGCAAGGGCATGGGCACCCCAGACAAAACTCAGCAATGCCGGTTCATGGCAGTCGTCATCTGTCAGATCATGTGGCCCAGGACCGAATCAACGACTTTGTGCCAGATCCCACATTCGAGACTCTGGGCTCTGGATTATCACGCCATCCATGGGTGGGCACGGAAGTCAGGTTGGGGAAGTCAGACGCCCTGGCGTCTCACGAGAGATGGCACTAATGGATACCACCCAGTGGCTGTAGAATCTCCCATCATGCATCCCTGGGGCAAACAGAATCTCACCCAGGTTCCTACAGTTGTAGGTGGAGGTGGCAATCGGTCTACTAACCTGTGGACGAGGTGGCCTCGGCCGCCAGAGTCAATGCTATGTAGCCTCGCCAGGCGCCAATTGCCTTTCGCCAGTGTGTTCGGAGCAGCCAAACCCCTAAAACCCATGTATGCTGGTACATTACCGAGTCGGATATTGGCGGTTCGTCGGGAGCTAAGTCGGCCGAATAACTGCAAATACCACAAGATGTTTTAGCACGTCGGAATTACTCCGTGCTGTAGTACTTGCCCGTGTACTTTAGTATAGTCTGTGCCGGGTGCTGATTTGAGTTCAGCCTCAGCTGGCTTTCACCAACAGAGCAGCACATGCGTACATGAAAAATACGCAGAGCAGGCACCCACTCATCTCAGAGTCTCCACTCCGGTTCTTCATGCAGCAGTTGATCGTTTATTGGTGTCGGGGTTGCAAGCGCGGGTAATGCGCGCTTACTTTGTGCATACCGTACCTCCCTAGGTGTTGTTCGACGCTCGCGGTATTTCAAGGTTCCTGGTCGAGGGAACCACCCTCCCACCTTTCCGTAGCGCCCACGGCTCAGTGCTGCGCATAAGTATCTAGCCCGTCTAGCTTGCTCACCACCTGCAACAACCCTGGACGGATGAGAATTCTTACTCGAGCCTGGCTGGAAGCCACTGGCCACGGGCGGTTTGAGGGATCACTGAGCGTGTTTCGTTTCCACTGGCTTGGGCTGGCGTAGGCTGGCTCACGAGGGCAGGACCTGGTTGGATTTTCTGAATCAACAGTAATCCAGTAATGGGACTTCACGATCGAGTGAGTCCTTGGTTTCGCCCTGCGAGCTTGGCTCTGTCTGGGCCGCTGATCCCCCGCGTGATTTTTGTCTTGGAGGGCTGGACGAGTGCAGGCTCCAAACCTGTCTGTGTTGCCCGTCTTCGCATGGTCTTGCTGCTGCGCACAGCCGATCAGCACCAGGGACACAGCAAGTGGCCGTACCCGTACCCGTGCCTCGTGGCAACCACGACCCCATCGAGGCGCGATATCCGAAGGGGCGGAACTTACTGTGGTAGACTAGCGACTTCTGGCGGCTTCATCAACGGCGAAGACACCCTGGGGCCAGGCCTAGACTTGTTAGGGCCAAACCCGAGCATTCGGACGATGGCCAGGCCCTGCCAACCGACTTGTCCAATCTCTTTGGGATAGGTAGCCTGGCAGTCTTCCCAGATAGGAGGATCGTTCGGAGGTGCGCATGGATGGGATGGGGACCTGGTGGATACGACTGACTACCTAGACCGACTGCCTCTGGTATCTATTGCTTCCTTTGCGACGCCGGCTGAGGCTCGATACGGCCTAGCAGACCAGGTCCAGGTACTTCTGACTCCTGACGTCTGACTCCGGATCTCTACTATGGTGCTGTGTGCTGCATCGCGAACAGTATATACTTCTTATTAGCATCTGCAACAAGGGGAGCAGGGCGTCGGTTTCTGATCCTGTGCATACCTGTGCTGTATCTCTATCTGTGTGTGACCCGCCACCATTGGCTCGACGTATCCAAATCTTTATTTGATCTCGTCTGCGGTACCACCGTACCATACACCTCAACACCACCCTCGTCCTGCTCTGCCTCCCTCTCGGATTGCAAATTCTTGCCTCTATCTTATTCCCATATTTGTGGCGTGTCAAGCTTGTTCAGCCTTGCCTCCCACACCCCACGCCGGACGTCCTGCCATCCTGCCTTTTCGATCACCACATCGCTCCTACTCCCCAAGCCAGCCAAGCCGATATTGGTCTGCGAAATTGGACCTCCAGTCTCGAGGCCCATAATTGTCGCGCCCCAGCGAAATTGTACCCAACGCCCATCCCTTCCCGATCTCTGTCCTTGCCAGCTGCCGGGTCCTACTTCGAGCCAACGGGCAAGCAAGGTTGTTCAGTTCGCCTCTTTCTCTCACGCGCTATTCTCGAGTCGGCCCTGCCTCCTTTTCCTTCCTGACCATCCTCTCAAGAACGCCTCAACGACCGCCCAGGTGGCCAAAATCCTCCTAGTCACATTACATTACATCGCCTCGCCTCGCCCTCGCCTCGCCGCAGACCCTAACAGCCTGCAACATCCATGTCACCCTGCAGACTCAGTGTGATAGTACGAGCGCAGCCTGAGACCGACTGACTGCACAGTCAAAGCTCATTTGCATCCAGTCGAGGCCGAGCCGAGTCGAGTCTCTGAATCGAGTCGAGTCGAGCATCCAAGGAAGGGTCCCGGGGGAAATCTCAAAAAGGTCCTAACCGCCCGTCCCACAGCTACACAGCTGTTGCTGCTGGTGCTGCTGCTACACACAGCCAGCCCGTTCAGATCCTCGCCTCCTCACCCGCTTACCTAAAAACAACCTCGCGAGATTGAGTTTATTGTTCCATTGTCTGGTGGGCTGCACCAAACCTGTTATCCACAATATATCCGGCAAAACGGTGCATAATCCGAACCAGTTCTTGATGGTGGTGCCCAAGGCCCGTCCTGCGGTCTGAAGAACGAGCCGACCAGCCCTTCTGGAGCCCCCAGTCGACCAGCCAAGCAAACAGCCGAAGTTGGATGCGAATTTGGCCTCGGCCTTTCTGCCTTTGCAGAGATCCTTCCAACGCCAGGACCTGAACGCCTCCATCGACTGGCCGCCAGTCCCCAGTCCAACCCCCCAGGCCTAAAGGCCCCGCCCGCTCCGCCCTGCTCTGCTCTGCAGGAAAGCATACCTGCAAGTGGAGACGCCATCCGATACATTACAGAAGGGGGCCCAAGTGCCAACCCTTGCTTGGCCGCTGGCGATTGGAAGACTGTGTCCCAGGACTCCTGAAAGCTTGAATCACCTGCCCACTGCCCCATTGCCCGCTGCCTACTGCTGCCGTTAGACTACGAACTAAACGGACTGCCCAACTGCCCCTAGCCTATCCGCCCCGTCGCTTACCTACCTGCTCGAGTGCGAGTGCAAGTGCAAGTGCTTGCCGAACAGACTTAGACATTCACCAAGCGGGCGGCAGGATTGCGCCTGGTTGGACTGTATTTCACTGACTGTGCCGTCCTGGCCCAACCAAGTCAGCCCTTCGATTGGACTGGAGCATTAACAATCCGTCGTCATTGTCGCAGTTTTCTGCCCGTGCACCTTTCGTTTCCAACTCAACTGAAATGTTTACGTCTCCTGCACCTGCGGCACTGACCGGTTCTGTTTCCTTGGCAGCCTCATCTCCATCCATCTCTGCCTCCGCTTCAACATTCCATCCAACGGCCTCGACCTCCAGGACAAGGAGGGGTCTGAGTTATCTCCGCAATTATACACACCAGCACTTGCTATCGAGGGATCACAACAGTGCCTCTTCGCCAACCAATACGACAGAGTCTTCCTCCCGGCCCCGGCCAGGCCTCACGCGATCAACCTCTCACACTCCTAGGACCTCAAATACGACCTCGACTACCTCGACCGCCGACGACCTTTCGACTGCCTCGCGCCGTTTCACGCTAGTGCCTGCTTTGTCCCATCCCTTGGGTCCATCATCGAGGTCCACTCCCGAGGACTTAGAAGAGACAGACGATTCCGCTGCTGTGCAATCCACCTACGTCGGGGCGCCTCATCCGGGGACCGCCATCACTACATCAGCAGAGCCAGAGCCACTGAGCCGTCGCAGCATGACGCGGTCGAGATCCGCGACGACAGGTACTGCAATGGCCACCCCCGCCAACGATACCGCCGAAGGTGGCAACCCCGGCGGCGTTTTGCCCTCCATTCGATTTTCCGTCTTCGTCGACCCTCGGAGTCAGCGACCGTCCCTGCACTTCTCCCCAATAGCCCGCACGCTGCCGAGCGGATCTGAGATTATACGTGTCGGTCGCTATTCCGAGCGAGACAGCCAGCCAGCCGTTCCAGCGAATGTCCCGTCGGCCGCACCAGTTGGCTTCAAGTCCAAGGTCGTGAGCCGACGCCACTGTGAGTTTTGGTATGAAGAGGGAAAATGGTACATCAAGGATGTCAAGAGCAGCAGCGGCACGTTCCTAAACCACATACGTTTGAGTCCGCCCGGCCAGGAATCCAAGCCTTTCCCGGTAAACGACGGAGACGTGGTGCAGCTGGGAATTGATTTCAAAGGGGGCGAGGAAATGATATTCCGTTGTGTCAAGATGCGGCTCGAGCTGAATCGCGGCTGGCAAAACAAGCTGAACAAGTTCAAGTAAGTCCCAAGAAGCACCGGTGGTACTGCAACCCTTGACAGGCCAGCGTATGTTTACTAACTCTTTGCTTGCAGTATGAACTCGCACAAGCGCCTGTGGAACATGACCAAGACTGAGGGCGCCGGGGGCCAGAACTATTCCCAGGACTGTTCTATCTGTCTGAACTCGATCGCTGTACGTCCTGAAGGCCTATGGTCACAATTTCAAGCCTTGAGAGGCATATGCTGACAATCGCTGCTACAGCCCTGCCAGTGTCTTTTCGTGGCACCGTGCTCCCACACATGGCACTTCAAGTGTATTCGCAGCCTCTTATCATCACCGCACTACCCCATTTTCATTTGCCCGAACTGCCGTGCAGCTGCGGACCTAGAAGCCGAGGTGGAGGATCCCGAAGACTGGGAGCAGCTGGAGGACGAGGTGGAGAGCAAGGATGGCGAAGACCCAGAGGGTAGCCGCTCAAAGGGACCTCGTCTGGATCCTGCCCCTGTTGACGTGCCTAGACAATCCGTGGATAGAATAAGGACATCGCTGGAGCGTGCGAGGGCAACTGCGGCCGAACGAGCAAGGACCTCGATTGAACGCTCACGGTCACGAACGAACGTACCGGCAGCGGCGAACGCACCAGAGACCGAGGCACCAGAAGCAGCGATAGCCAATGCCGAGAGTGCTGCCTCCGCCGAGGCAGCTATGAGTGACGGTGGGGCTAGCACGCCCTCGACGACGGCATCTTCTCGACCCGGCGGCGAGGGATCGCACGCAACCTCTGACCCGGTTCCGATCAATGGTCGCAGAACACCCAGCCCAAACAGTATCGGTGCCCATGTGACTAATGGGCACGAAGGGCCTATCACACCCAGGAACGACGCTGGTCCGTGGGTGTTTGACGGTAGCGGTGCACGGATCGGAGTCGCACCGGCCGCTGGAGCCAGACAGAGTCTGAATGGGGTGGTAGACACGGAGATGGAGGATTGATACCCTACTACCGTACTTAATACCGGGAGGCAAGAAGAAACACGCCAGTCCTACCCAACTACTGGAAGCAAGCACATAAGCAATAGTAGGCACCGAGATGCAAAGGGACCATGATGGCAGATTGCATAAGTGGAGCAACAGGTGCGGGATCGTGTAGATATCAGCAGCGAGCATGGTTTTTGTCTTTTTGCGTCTCAAAAGGTTTGGCCTATTCCGCCTCCTCGTTGCATCAACATCTACTACTGCATTGTGCAGAAAGGGACCCCCACCGGCTGATTATGGGCAAAGGGCGGACATTGCGGACAAGGCGTTTCGTGGGGAGCTGCCTCTGTGGGCCGGGCTTTTGTTATTTTTATTAATATCGGATTTGGCATTTCCAAGCATCGCTGTCTGTGAAAACGTTCTGCATAGTATACGAAGCTGCGTGATTGGGCATCGGCCGGGTATGGGCATTTACTGGAGAGACATGTATAATGAGGGTGCAGAGGAGTGAATCTATGGAGCACAAACGAACATGGCCTCATATTTATCTATGAAATTTCTATTATTAAACTAAAGAACATTTCATATGTTCTTAATTATAGAAGTGCACAGAGGTACTGAACGTTGTCAGGGCTCTTGAACGGGTAAGAAGGAGTAGGTTTCAAGAATGCTCGCGCAGCTCCGCTATCGATGCTTTCGACGGATAGAAATTAGGAATATTACAATATGTTCTTATTGAGGGCATTGCCACCGTTTCTCGCTTAGCAGCGAGCATATGTATGTACACAAGCCCATGACTAGCCTGTTCGCGTTGCTCTTGAATGCGCGCCTTGTCTCCAGATAACCTTCCCATCCTGTCCGTGACTCCTGCTACCTTTCCCAACCAAGAAGCACAAAAGAAAAAGGGGCTAGTCAGACGAAGCCCGTACTATCCCAGCCAGCCTGTCTGTTTGTCTCTCTGTTCACATATCAAATGAAATCAGGTACGATGCCGAGCCCCCAGTCTACAACTTTGATCTAACAGCCTCGAGTCTATACTTGACATCCTTCAACGCCTTGGTGGTCGGCTTCCAGTCGTCAAACTGCTTCAACAGCTCCTCCGTCTCGTTGCTCAGCTCTGTCTTGACGAAGTCCTCCTCTAGCAGGCCGCGCATGATCCAGGGGAGCAAGTAGGGGTTTGAGGCGGTTAGGCCCTCAAATTTCTGGATCTCGCACGGTACGTCGCCCACGTTTGTGGTTTCGAGGGTGTGGGATATGGCCAAGCTGAGTGAAGGTTAGTTGGCTCCCGTACTGGGCACAACGGAACGACGTCAGTCGGAATGGGAGACTTACTCATAGACCTGGCCGTCATCGTAAAGGCGTGAATGGCCCTCGCCGCCGTAGAGACTTCCTGCCAGCGGGACGGAAAGCTCACGGATCAGGCCGTGGTCAGACACGCCCAGATTGCGAAGCTTGCACGCGAATCCCACTAAATGCGCAATAAAATCAGGCGCGTGTATCCTTCCGTCTATAAACACAGCTCGGTAGATGTAAGGATGGCTGGCTGGCGAGTATATGGCTGACTCTATTGGGACAAGCTGGTCGTCGATGCTGCCGATGTATGTGATCCGGACGCCGTAGGCCAGCACTGTCTTGAGTGAGGCCTCGTACCTCTTCGAAACCTCGCTCTCCGAGTTCGCAAACTCCCACAGCTCCGCGGCGCTGCCCATCAACATGCCCATACCGGACTTGTAATCGGGGAACGGCCCCAGGTTGACTCCTGCCATGGCGCAGACCCCAATCTTGGCGTTCGTGATAATACCGAGCTCGATCAATTTCGCAAGCAGCATTACAGAGACAGGCACACCCTGCGAGTGGCAGGACACTATAATCAGGTCCGCCTCCCTGATGTGGTCAATCCAGTTGAGGAGCAACTTCCACAGATTTTCCACTCGGTCCGCAATCTTGCCCTCGCCCTCAAGGGCGACTTTCTCGATTTCACAATCTTCACAGCCGTGGCTTTCGGCCCACCTGCGGATACCTTCGGCGCCCTGATCGGCGAATTTAAGGGAGGTTCCAGTCGGCTGACCGATCATAGCCCTGAGGTATGTAGCTGGGAACAGCCCGTGTACGCCTATAGCCAGCGCTTTCTTGACCTTGGGTGGATCCTGGGCGAGAAAGACGTGCTTTGTAGGCTTTTGCTGGGTCCGTAAGAGTAATGAAGCTAATTGCCGCAATATGGAGGGGTTTTCCTTCATTTTGTACGTGCCCTTGAACGAGGGCAGCAACAGATTGGGAGGTGTCGGCCGGGTTGCCGTTGTTGGTGTTTTCGCCTTTGCCTTACTTGGTGAGTCTACCTTGATAGAAGCTGCGTCTGACTGAGGAGTTTGTGGGCGCGACGGTACGTCGTCGATGTCCATGGATTGGGGCCTATTTCTTTTCTTCTTCGACACCTTGTCTTTAATTTGCTTGATTTTCCCAGGTGCCTCCTTGGGTGGTTCCGGCTTTGGAGGCGCGTCTCGGCTCATATCCAAAGAATTGGCTCGCTTGGGGTGCGTCTCGGAACCATCTCCCATTACAGCCAATTCACCATGCTGGGTGGTTCCTTTTGGTTCGCCGGGGGATTTGGGTGTGTCTTTTGACCAGAATGCCCAGGTTGAACCAGCAGTGGGTTTGGTTGCAGGCTCGGGGTTTGCTGGCGGTGCCTCCTCCATGACTGTATCTTCCGGCTCTGTTGCTGTCTTCGAGATTGGCTCGGGTGCTTTCGCAGGCTCGTCTTTCACGGCTTCAGGAACACTGTTGTTTGACCAAAATGGAATCCACATGGTCATGGAGCGTTGCGGCGCGCTGGTTGCTGGTAGCTCAGCTGCGCCTGAAGCAACCGTATTCTCTGGCGATGGCTCTGGATTGGGTGGTTCATTTTCCTCTTTCGGCGACGGTGCTGTTTCTTGCGGCGTATTTGCATTTTCTGTTGCTTTTTTCTCCGGCACTGGGTTCGCAGTGAACCATCCGCCTAACCAACCCGATGACGTCGATGGCCTTTGCGGCGTGTCTGCAGCCGGCGGTGCATCGTGCATCGGCTCGTCCACCGTAGGAGCCTTGTTGTCTCTTGAATCACCCTGCTTCGTGTTCTCAGTGGTGTCCTTCGGGGTCGGTCCATTGTTGGTGATGTTCTTCTGAGCTTCTGGCTCAGCGACTGTCGCATTGTTGTTGGTGTCCGGGTCATCGGTGTCCGTCTCTCGGACCTTGGGCATCGTGTTGACCGAGGCCTGACTCGCCCCACTCAAGCTCGCAGTGTCGGCGGTCCTCTTTGTTTCGAAACGGCTGAAGTCAGGCGTAGAGCCTGCCTTGAGAGGGCTTCCTAGTATCGTCTCTCTTTGCAACGAAGTAGAAGGCGTGGACTTCCGAGGCCATGATCCGTACCAACTCCTAGTTTTGTGAACCTGTGCTAATTGTCAGGGGGGCTCTGCTCTGGTGGAGACGGGGTGGCAATGCGATGAACCTACTGTTTTGCTGCCTTCTTGCACGGATATAGCACTGCTGTTGCTCTTTTCGCTCTTGCTACTTGTTTCGAGGTTTCGCAGGGCCGACGGCAGCATGCCTTGCGCAGGTTCGGAGGCGGACTGTGATGGTGATGGCGATGTCACTGGGGCGGCGGAGAGATCGCTGACCTGTGACGAAGTACTGGCGCGGGTAGGCTGCAGCGATGTAGTGGTGGGGTTTGGGTTTGTCGGCCCCGGAGTGCCGCCACCACGCCGTGCTCGTTTCCTAGAAATCATGACGGCGAGGTTCAGCAGGCCAGGCTCATGTCATGTTGAGAGACCGGTGGTGCATCGTAGTGCATTTCATTGTTGTGATTTACCCGGGTGTTTGTTTGGGATATTGATCAGCTGCGAGCGACTCAACCCGCCGCTACGTAATGGCCGCCGTCACAGAAACCCATGTTTGTCCCGTCGCCTCGCCCCCCTCGGCAACACACCCCCGGATACCCCACTACGGGCTTCCCGGTACCTTGACTATGCGCCTACACAGCAGGGTCCCTGGGTGCTGCAGCAAACTGATCATCTTTAGAGTGAAATCAACCCATGGCCTGTGGCTGTTTACATTATCACTCGTCTTGCTGGTTATGAGGGCACTGTTGCAGAACGGAACCTAGTAAATATTGTGAATAATTCGATAATATTCACTCTGCAATGTTACTGTTAATCCAAGTACTGCTCCATATTACTGGGTACCTAGGCAGTGTGGTAAACATTGGGTGCATGCGCACTTGGCTTTCCTTAGGGACCCCTGCCGACCCCCATATATTTTCTTATCGATAACGGTCACCCTCGAATTTCTTCAAAAATCTATTTTTTGAATCCGAGGATAGAGACTTCCACACGCTGCAAAACCTACACAGTTCGGCCCAGCTCGCATCTATCGTCGAGCTGACTGCTCTGCCAAATTTATGGAATCATGAGCACCCTTAAAAGGAAAGGGGCGCCATCCGGCAATGCCTCCAAGAAAGACACTCCCTCCAAGAAAGTGAAGTCAGAGAAGCCCACCGACAAGACTCCCGAGAAGAAGACCTCCAAGTCCACCGACAAGACCGCCTCCTCAGCGCCATCCGTCGCTCGTGTTGTCAAGGAGGAAGAGCCTCTCTTTCCCAGAGGTGGTGGCAGCGTGCTCACTCCCCTCGAGCACAAGCAAATCACCATCCAAGCGAAGCAAGACGCTCTTTTCGAGGAAGAGTCGGGCAAGGCGACAAAGAAGGGGGACAAGGACTCAAAGAAGAAGAAACGTAAGGCCTCAGGCAAAGACGGAAAGAAGAGTGATAAGCCGGCCCACGACCCTGACGCTGTCAAGATCGAAGGGCTCAACTACAAGGTATGATTCTTTGCTGTGCTGCAGGAAGAGTGCAGACGTGACTGACTAGCTCTGCAGCGCCTTGTGAAAGGCTCACTGGTCCTCGGTCAAGTTTGCGGCATCAACGATCTCGAAGTTTCCGTGGCGTTACCAAACAATCTGATTGGGCATGTCTCTATCACATCAATTTCCCCCGGCCTCACAAAACGAATCGAGGCGGCGGCAGCAGCAGACGACAGCGATGGCGACCAAGAAGAGTCGACCGAAGACGATGTCGACCTCAAAGACCTCTTTGAATTGGGTCAATATGTTCGAGCCTATGTTGTGTCCACCATCGAGGACTCGTCCGCGTTGTCAAGCAAATCAAGGAGGCGGATAGAACTGTCCCTACGACCTGAGGACGCCAATTCCACGATCTCTAAACAAGAGCTGGTTGCGAACAACACAGTGATGGCTGCTGTGGCTAGTGTGGAAGATCACGGATACGTAATGGACCTTGGTCTCGCAGACACCAAGGTCACCGGGTTTCTGCCAAAAAAGGAGGTCGATACTGCCATCCCAGAAGATCGGCTGCAGCTGGGGAGCGTTTTCCTGTGCATGGCTACGGGCCTGAGCGGGAATAGCAAGGTTGTTCAGTTGACGACTCGCAGCGACAAGATTGCCAGCCCCAAGAGCTTCCCGTCCGAGGCCACGACGGTCAACACTTTTGTCCCTGGCACAGCTGTTGACGTTCTCGTATCTGAGCTGTCAGATCGAGGCATTGTCGGCAAGGTTCTGGGCCATCTCGATGTCACCGCCGACCACATTCACTCCGGAGTCGGCCCGCATGGCACAGATTTAGAAGCCAAGTACAAAGTCGGCTCGAAGTTAAGGGCAAGGGTAATCTGTACATTTCCTGAGGCGAGGCAACCTAAGTTGGGCATCTCGATCCTGGATCATGTCCTATCCTTCGAAACCCCGAGCGCTCGATTCGAAGGCACCCAGAAGAAGCCGCTGGATGCTCTTCCGATATCTTCAGTGGTCGAGAATTGCGTGGTGAAACGGGTCGAGTCGGACATTGGCCTTTTTGTCGACGTAGGCGTCGAGGGTGTACCTGGGTTTGTGCACATATCTCGGGTCAAGGATGGAAAAGTCGACGCGTTGTACGAGTCCAGTGGTCCCTACAAGCTAAATTCGGCACACCGGGCGAGGGTAGTAGGTTACAACGCTTTTGACGGGCTGTTCCTGCTTTCCCTTCAGAAAAGCGTCCTCGAGCAACCTTTCTTGCGCGTAGAAGACGTGCCTATCGGAGACGTTGTCGACGGCAGCATTGAGAAGCTTGTGGTTGGTGAGAACGGCGTCCATGGGCTTATTGTCAAGATTGCTGAAGGCATATCTGGGCTCGTCCCACAGATGCACCTTTCTGACGTCCGACTACAACACCCGGAGAAGAAGTTCAAAGAAGGCTTGAAAGTCAAGGCAAGAGTCTTGTCGACGGAACCCTCCAAAGGACAACTACGCCTCACGCTGAAGAAGACTTTAGTCAACTCAGATGCTGCTCCGATCAAATCGTTTGAAGAAGTTGCCATCGGAATGCAAGTGCTCGGAACAATCGTCAATGTTTTGCAAAACGGCGCCGTTGTTCAGTTCTACGGTCGTCTGCGAGGCTTCCTCCCGCTGTCTGAGATGAGCGAGGCTTACATTCAAAACCCTAAGGAGCACTTTCGGCAAGGTCAAGTTGTCAATGTACATGTCATCGATGTGGATGCTACTACGAATCGGCTCATCGTATCTTGCAAGGACCCGGCTGCTTTCGGGATGGACAAGCAATTGGCCTTGAAGAATCTCGCCATAGGTGACGTTGTCTCTGGTAAAGTCAGCCAAAAGACTGAAGACGACGTTTTTGTTGAGCTCCAGGACAGCTTGCTCAAAGCGGTGCTTCCAATTGGGCAATTGACGGACAAGAGCCCTGCTAAGAATCAGGCTGCGCTAAAGAGGATATACGTTGGTCAGACGTTGACTGACCTAGCAGTGCTGGAGAAGAATGAGGGCCGACGGGCTCTCACTGTCACGTCCAAACCAAGCCTGGTCGAAGCTGCCAAGAAGGGAAAACTTCTCTACAACTGGGAGAAGGTGAAAGCCGGGGACCTGGTCCATGGGTTTGTTCGAAGCATCACACCAACTGCTGTCTTCGTGCAGTTTGGTGGCAATTCGACAGCATTACTCCCAGCTGCCATGATCCCTCAGGAGCAACAAAAAGAGCAGAACTTTGGTCTGCAAAAGCTGCAGTCCCTGTCTGTCAAAATAGTTTCTGTCGATCGGGATCATTCCCGCGCCGTGGTGGCCATTCCCTCGGTCGCCGATGCCAAGGAGCAAAAGTCCTCTAAGCGCTCTACGAAGCCGGTAGAAAATCCTGTGGACGACTCGATCAAGGGAGAGGATGATATCGTTGTTGGCAGAGTCACAAAGGCCAAAATCGTGTCTATCAAGAGCACACAGCTCAACGTTCAGCTTGCTGATAATCTGCAAGGGCGCGTGGATGTCTCGCAAGTTTTCGACTCGTGGGATGAGATCCGTCACCCGAAGAACCCGCTCCAAAAATTCAAGCCAAAGCAAATCATCAAGGTGAAGGTTCTGGGGGTCCACGATGCTAGAAATCATCGCTTCTTGCCTATCTCTCATCGCTCAACACATTCTCTCATCGAACTATCAGCCAAGCCTAGCGACCTGAAGGAGGAGGGTGGCTGCGAGCCCCTGTCACTGGACCAGATCAAAGATGGTTCTGAATGGGTGGGCTTCGTGAACAACATCAAGGCAAATTACATCTGGGTCAATCTTTCACCATCTGTCCGAGGACGCATGGCCGCCAGCGACGCTTCTGACGACCTGGCTCAATTGGGCAATCTCACCGGCAATTTCCCCATTGGTTGTGCGATCAAGGTACGGGTCAAGGCTGCTGAGGCGTCCAAGAATCGCCTCGACCTCACAGCCAGGACCTCGGATGACTCCAATGCCATCACCTGGGACAATATCAAGAAGGGATTGGTCCTTCCTGGCAAGGTGACCAAAGTTACTGACAGATCAGTTCTGGTCCAGTTGAGCGAAGATGTTTCCGCCCCTGTACACCTTGTCGACCTGGCAGATGACTATGATGAAGCTCGACCAAAAGATTTTACAAGGAATGAGATTGTCCGAGTGGCTGTCATCGATGTAGACGCAAGCAACAAGAAAGTACGCCTGTCGACACGTCCATCGCGAGTCCTCAACTCTGCTCTACCAGTCAAGGACCGTGAGATCACATTGGTTTCTGGCCTAAAGACTGGTGATATCGTGCGAGGGTTTGTCAGGAATGTTGCAGACCAAGGCTTGTTCGTCAATCTCGGCGGTCATGTCACAGCTTTCGTCAAGATATCGGACCTGTCGGACACCTTTTTGAAGAACTGGAAAGAGCATTTCAGAATGGATCAGCTCGTGAAGGGTCGTATCATAGCCCTCGATGCGGCTCTCGGCCAAGTTAATCTGAGCCTGAAGGCTTCCGTCGTTGAAAGTGATTACACGCCTCCTCTTACTCTTGCAGACTTCAAGGAAGGCCAAACGGTGAAGGGCAAAGTCCGTGGCGTTGAAGACTTTGGGGCTTTTATTGTCATTGACGGGTCAGCGAACGTCAGTGGTCTCTGCCACCGGAGTCAAATGGCGGAGAAGTCCGTCAAGGATGCCAGAAAACTTTACAGTGCTGGTGATATCGTGAAAGCCCGGATTCTGAAGATCGACGCTACCAAGAAACAAATTAGCTTCGGGCTCAAGGCATCCTACTTTGAGGACGATGAAGATTCAGACGCAGATGACTCGGACGATGAAGCTGGAGTGCCATTGGACTCTGACTCTGAGGTGGACAGCGACGAGGACGACGAGTTCATGGATGCCGCTGAGGTCATCATCCACGGTACCGACAATGTTGATGAATCGGAAGATGAAGATGAAGATACCGCAATGGTGGACGCATCGTCTGGAGATGCTGGCGGCCTCGATGCCGGCGGTTTCGATTGGTCTGCTAATGCACTAGATGAAGTCGGTGATGATTCAGATGCTGGAGCAAACAATGCCGACGATGGCGCAGGGAAAAAGAAGAAGAAGAGAAAGGCAGAAATTCAAGTTGACCGGACAGCCCAGCTGGACGTGAACGGGCCGCAGACCGCAGAGGATTATGAAAGGCTCTTGCTTGGACAGACAGATTCCTCTGATTTGTGGGTTCGTTACATGGCCTTCCAGGCGCAGGTCAGCGAACCAGCAAGAGCGCGCGAGATCGCAGAGCGTGCTCTCAAGACAATCAATATCCGCGAGGAGGCAGAGAAGCTCAACGTATGGATTGCCTATCTAAACTTGGAAAACGCCTTTGGGACGGATGAGACACTGGCAGACGTCTTCAAACGGGCGTGTTCGTACAATGACGAACAGGTGGTTCACGAGCGGCTCATCAGCATTTACATCACGACCGGAAAACATGATGTAGGTTGTTGCCTTTCTTAATTATTTAGTGTGACAGTGCTGACTAGCATACAGAAAGCCGATGAGCTCTACCAGGCCATGCTCAAGAAGTTCGGTGCCAAGTCGCCACAAGTCTGGACCAACTACGCGAATTTCCTACACAACACGGTGATGGATGCAGACCGTGCTCGTGCTCTCATCCATCGCGCAACGCAACGACTTCCTCCCCATACTCATGTCCCCCTGATTACCAAGTTTGCCAGCCTGGAGTTCCGGTCCGCCAGCGGAGACCCAGAGCACGGCCGGACAGTATTCGAAGGTATACTGTCCGCGTACCCCAAGAAGTTTGACCTCTGGAACCAGCTGCTTGACCTGGAAACATCGGCGTACAGCGCGGCGAAGAAGAGCGGGGATAGAAAAGCCGATCCTACTCACGTCAGGGAGGTCTTTGAGCGTGGTACCAAGACGAAGGGACTCAAGGCCCTGAGGGCCAAGAAGTGGTTCCAGAGATGGGCCAAGTGGGAGGGCGAGAATGGCGATGCGAAGAGCAAGGAAAAGGTGATGGCCAAGGCCACGGAGTGGGCGAGGGAGGCTGAGGCGAGGAAGCAGAAGGGCGAAGAGGAGGAAGAGTGATGGATGTCTGAGTATGATATACCCCGTGCAATACTCCGTGCAGGACAGGAAAGGTATCAGTGTTAGACAAAAGAAAAGGTATCAATCGAAGCGCTACTATTTTCAAAGGGCTCTACAGCCAGGGCCTGCATGAGCCAATACTTATTATCTAAGACACACATGCTTGATCATAGGGACAAAACACGTAGACATGCAAATACGTGATTTCTGAGCATTGATCAGGAGATCATTGGGACAGAGGCCATTTGGAGGTAGCCTCCCAGATGGTATTACGGTCAATGAAGCGCCGAGAGGGATATCAGTCTACGGAGATTATGAGTAAAAGTATCCGCCCTGGAGAGTGTCCGGAAGGAGAGTTGGCGATGCCAATAGTAATAGTCTCCATCACGATAAGGGGTTGATCGGATGTTCAGGAGGATGTGGAGTTTTCGCAACGAAGCGAGTATGTGTGGGAATGGTGCATCAGCGGAGCTTTCTCATGGTCACATGGATTCTGGACCCTCTTGGTTAACTGGCGCTCTCCGCTGTTCAAATCTCTTGGCCATACGGTGGATCAAGGCTACATTTCCTAGCCTCTTGTTTACACGGACTGGTAGATATATAGGAAAGATGCCACTTGGCACAATCAAGATCGCCCCCAAGCTTTGACTGAGGCTTCAGATCAGCAACTGACGCACCTGTAGCCACTTTGATGGACTTCCCACACAAAAACAGACCACTTAACGAACTACGTTGCCCGCACACCGCTCTCGGGGGCCGACGGCGACGAGGTAGACGGGACGTCAAGTCGATCGCGAAGAGCGGGCGGGGCCGTTTTGATAGCGACTATAGCGCCAGAGCACCTCACGCCGCGTCAACGATCCACGCTGGCCCCGACCACCCCGGGCCTGCTGGACCAAGCGCCGCCGATCAGCATTTTTTCCCCCCGCCGCAGCCTCGACCAACCTGTGATCCTATACAAACGCCAGGGCCATTTTGATTGCCCCTCTATTTTCGCCGGGCTTGCCGCCGGCCGAGCTGCCGGGCTTCACTTCGCTGAGGTCAGCTGCCGCCGTCAGCGGGGCCCCGCTTGGGCCGAAGATCTGACACCGCCGAGGATATGAGCAATATGAGCAAGTGCTGCTGCTCTCCTTGTGTGGTGGGATTATACCAACGCGCGTGGGGAAGGGGGTGATGGTGGTGCCGTAAGACCAGCCGGTGCTCTTGGCTGGGCGCTGGGCGGCGCGCACGTTTGGTAGGAGTGGGCTGGGCCACGGGAACCAGAATGGACATCTTTTTAGGTTGGGGATTTAAGACACATAGCATTTGGTGGTATCTATTCCATCAAGTGGGTGGTCCAGTGAGAGTGAGAGGAGCATGTGAGTCAACGGTAGATACGACCGTCGCAAGTCGATAAGATCATTGTAGCAGTGCATTTTGGGCGTGACGGGAGCCCCCGCGAATCTTAACTTTATTTTGTATGGGGAAGACAGGGTTGTCTTTCGTGTCTTTCCGGGCTCTTTGTGTACTTTTTCAATTTCTCATCTGTTAGCTGCATTAGAAGGCTCGCAAATTGTTGCAGTAAAATTGAAGGGCTCAGGTCTATCCGTGAGACCACATCACAGGTGCATCGTCTGATCATGCAGTTTCGAACGAGGCATTGATGCCCGAAGACAGTCTCCCATATCCACTTGTGGAGTACACAAGTATCCCTCCCCAGCACGTTCTCAGGTGGGCACAAGTGAGATTTCGTGGGCTGGTAGATGTGTGCTTCCCGCCACCCCTTGAGTTGTCCATTCCAATCACTTGTCGACCCTGTGACGATCTAAAGTGGAACACGACCGCAGAGAGAGATGGAGGCTCCCCGACACCGCGGGCTCGCTTGCAGGCAGTATGCAGTAGATAAAATTGCTCGATCGACAGCAACGCTTCCGGCGCATGGGCAGTGTGTTGTGTGTCGGAAACCTGAAAACCCCACAAATTTACGAGGAAGCGACCGAGGGATGAGTCGAACCCGGAGCGCCCACCGGTGCAGGTGGTGACGGTGACACAGGACAAGACCGGGCCTGCACAGCGAATGAGCGAGGGATGATAAGAAATGCCTGGATCGAGACGGCTGCAGCTTGACACCTGGGGATGTGACGCTTCTTCCCCAAAAAGGCCAATCCTCGAGTGCCGCGCCAACGGGATCTACGCTACTATGTTCAACAAAGCATCGCCGTCTATGCTGTGGCAGCAGACGAGCGGATGGTGGCTTCCCCGGGCAATATGGAACATCCCGAAGCTCCCGTCGCGAAATTCAACATTGATGAGACCCACCTGGTTAGACAAGCCGACGGGCAGCGGCGCAGAGTGCCAATATATCGTTGCGCAACACAGATACTGCGGATTGCAAATCCAACATGGCATAAGCGGGCCAGTGACATGCTGTGGGGCGCAGGCCAAGCTAGCCGGCGATGTGGGCTTATATTCCCGTCCGGATAAGTCGCAGGTAAGGGCACAGCACAGACAATATTTTGCTCTCGCAGGCAGGGCTCAGTACCCGAATTCTGTGTTTGTGGCATAGGACGGCGGTGCCGTTGATATCCGCGGATAAATCGCTGATAGATTGGGTGGTGCCGGGCAAAGCCTGTCTGTGTATGAACCGGATATGTTCCGGCAAGGGCGTACTCGTCGGAACATGGAAGCAATGTCGGCCACCTGCCCACCGACGCGAAATTGAAGACAAGAAATGTGGGAGTCATCGGTGCGAAATTCGGAGTGCCCACCTCGGTGCTAGTCTGGGACCCATCATTCCAGTGTCGTCCAGATCAATCAAGATCCCTGCTAATGAAATGCGGTGGAAGGCTTCCAGAAGGCGGCTGTCCCGGGACGGCGAGTAAACAAATGCAGTCTGGTGCGCGGGCGACGCCATGGAGGACTCAAAGCTAAACGGTCCAATTTCAAGCGGACTTTGGCGACGAGAAATGAGGAAGGTCGAGGCGCTGACGAGATAAAAGACCACTGTGGAGATGCTTCACTGTGTATGTAGCCGTATGGAGTCGGCCAGAATGCACAGTAGACGACTGGACTCTGTGCGATGGGGCACTGCCCCTCCCTCACTCGATCCTCCCTTCTCTCCCACGTGCCCGTGTCTCAGTCGCATGCCTGCCGAGTCAGTGGAGAGTCCAAGTTTTTGCTGTGCATCGGGAGTGTTTCTGTGAGCCTAATTAATAGACATGATGAGACGGTCGGGAAGTCTCGCGGCCGGGGAACTCGGATACGGCTGAAGAAGCGGTGCTGGGATGAGGATGACTGCGTAACTTATGTAGAACAAGGGGCCATTGTCTCTCTTTGTCCGTCTGTATGTCTCCCGGGTCAGGCGGGTCACACGACAGAGGCAAAGCTTGTGAGCACCGAGGGCCGTGCTAGTGTAATCGGTGGTCGTGTGCTCGGTGCGTTTGACGTGGGAGTGACAAGTTCAATATGGTCTACTTGATCGGTGATTGATTGACTGACGACGACAGATGGATTGTGGTCATGGAATATGAGAGCTGACCACACAATAATCATCTGCCCATCCATCCATGTAGCTTATGGTGTCTATCTGCCCGCCCTCGCCATCGGGTGGAAAACACGTAGCACAAGCGCCACTGACCTCTGACCTCTGAGCTCTGCCCTCTGCTTTGCCCTCCTTTCCTCTCTGTGGCCCCCCCCCCTCCCCCTGGAATGTGTCACTGCGTCAGTCAATGTCCAGCTCAGCCTGTTTCTCGGCCTGTCTCGTGTTGAGCTGCTATCAACACGCACCCACGCACCCACCACCCACCACCTGGCCTGGCAGGCTGGCAGCCCAGCGAAGGGAAGGGGTGTGTCGAGGGAAGGGCGAGGGGGAGAAAGGCCAGTGACGGCCAGTGACGGTGCCAGGAATAGAGTTGGGATTTGGGAGTTCCTCGGGAAGGCACAGTCCACTTGGGCGCCAGCAGCGGTCTCCCTTGTCGAGCGCCCTTGTCTCCTTCCCTTATCAGCTCGGCCGGCGCATGTCTCGTCTCACCCGTTTAAGCGTGCCTGGGTACCTGGCACGCCTGGCACATCGTCACGAACTTGGTCACACACACATTAACCCGGTTGTACCGCAGTACGTACCTGGTTAGTGCTCTCCCGAGACAGACTGAGAGGCGCTCCTCCCTCGTTGGGCCTTCCCTATCGGTAATCGGTATCAGTGCCACTTCAGTATCAGCAACTCAGCGTCGGCCAGCCTTGGGGGTCGCCTGCCTGTCTTGTCCTGTCCTGCCCTGTTCAGCCGTCTTATAATCAGGCACACTCTCTCTCTCTCTCCTTGTTCCTCCTCTGCAGTCGGATGTCGCGGGCGTCTCTTCTTTGTCACTGCAGCCAGGCAATTCCCCATCCAAAACACAACACCCTTCGATCTCTGGTAGTTTAACCGCTTGGTTGTTGCCGGGTCGTATTGAAATACCCAGTGACGAAATCACCAAGCAAGCCGACGGCGACTCCCGATGAGGTCACACGCATAGAGGGTAGAAGAAGAAGGGTCCAGTCCTGTCCTGTCCTGTTTGCTCCACCCCGATCCGATTCGATTCGATTCGCACCCGCCAGACCTCAAGTTGAGCTTGAACTTGGTTTTACCCTTGGCTGGGTTGGGGAAGACCAAGGCAGCGCGATACCATCCGAACAAAGACCAGGAAAGCTGGCCAGCCAGCCAAACCATACCCAGCTAGAGCGGAGCACACACGACGGCGTCCGCCCAGCGAGACAAAGAGTCAAAAGACCCTCTCCCCATGCTGCACGCGACATCTCACCACGCTCCACTCGCCCGCTATACCCACCTCCCAAAAAGATTTGCGCCCTGTACTGTGTGGTCTAGCACAAAAGCTTATCGTTGGGAGACCAAGCGCGAGGCAGAGGCCTTCTTCTTGTACATGATATATGTATGAGCCCTCGGCCCTCGCTCTGCCCACAGCCAACACGACAACGAAACGCGACCTGGCCACCGACAGGCCCAACAGAGTTGCAGCCAATCCCGACCTCTCGGTTTGCCTTTGACTGGTCCGGCCCTGCATTCTGACAGCGTTCCTGTTACGTACTCTTACGTACAAACAACAAGACCCTGAACCAAACCCGTCAAGCCGCGGCTTCTCGCCCTGTCGGAGTCTCCCTTTAACGGCTCGACTCTGCAAACAAGCATCATAGCCCTACCTTGGTCGGCATCTCCTGGGTCTAATTTGGTAAATCAAAACCTTCCAGTTGGCTTCTCGACCTCCCAGGCTCAGGCCCAGGCCCACTGCCTGCATTACCACGCACACACACCGGGCCAAGCCCGCAGCAGGGCCCCTGCCACGTTCCCATTACTCACAGTCGTACCGGATATGTCCACGGCTGCACTATACCTGCAATCCTGCGCATTTCATGGGCCAAGCCTTGTCAGGGCCAGCCTAGCACGTACAGCAAGATGATGTCGCCCAGGTCCCTCCTGTTTCCCAGGCAGAATCAAAATCTCCGCGGGCCCGTCTCCAGCTCGACCATTGTCTCTTCCGGCTCCCCTCAGATGTTCTCACCACCGGATAGTCCACCCTCCACCCCGTCGCCCAAGAGAAAGCATGCTCGCGAGTTCAACTTTCCTCTCGGGACCCGCAGTTCAGCAGCAAGCGTGACTACCACCAAGATGGCCGTAACGTCGCGACAACCAGTCAAATCAAGCCACACGACCCCTACTCCCAGTCCCCCGAGATCCACGACGACGACTTCCACGAGACCGACTACCCCAACCAGCCCAGTGCAAATACCAACCAAATCCAAGAGGGACGCTGTTCACCCCCCAAAACAACGCAACCACCGGTATCATGACCAGCGCCGACACCGTTCTAGCTCCCCACGATGGGGAGACATCCACTCCCCAGATGCGATCCCGCCTTCGGTGGCTGCGCTCCTCGCAGTTACTGCTATCCCCCCACCCAGGAGTCAGCGCGCACAACGACAGCGCTTAGCCAAGGAAAAGCGCTTGACTGTCGATTCAATACTAGAGCAAAGCCAGGAGTCGGAAAAGGAGTTGAGTCTGAACTTCATCAAAGGACCCCTAGATGTGCTGTTGAGCCCGCCGGAAGACTTAGAGGACGACGAGCTATCCATTGGAGAGAGCACCATCGCATCCCCCCTCTCGACCCGGACTGTTTCTTACGAATCCGTTCAATCTATGCCATCACTGGCAGACTCGTTCTCGACCGACACTGTGTCATCTGTTGGGACACCTCACAGTCCAAGCAGGGGCCGGAGAATGCAGCCTACGAGAAGGTCACTGACGCCTGTGTCTTCACCCCCCGGGAAACGAGAAGAGCACCCTCTATCGCATGATGAGGAGGCAGATGAACTAGACTTCAGCGTGTTCGACTCTTCTCCTGAAACAGAAGAGAAGAAAGGCGGGATGCGGTCGGCTCTCCGGCCTTTCAGATCCGTGTTCAAATCCAACTTGACCTCGAGCCTGCGAGCACTTCGAAATGCTGCACGCTCCTTTTCAAGCATGAACATGCCGTCGATCCCGCCCGAAGACTTTCTCACTCGCTCTATACTTACTATGGAGCCCAATGTGCCCTTCACGGACGAGCGTATGCCACCAACCCTGGACGAAGAACCATCTGCGGCTGTGCGGAGGTATTTGAATCCAACTCAAACAGCTCGACTGGAGTCACAGGCATCGACATCTTCGCAGAACGCACGCAGTACTTTCACGGCTTCGATCCAGATGCAGACCTACAAGGTGCACCGGTCGAGAAGTGCGCCGGCCGGCTCCCGTGCGCAAAACGCCGCGCCACGTTCCTCCAATGGCGAACAGCCAGCGCGGGGCAAAGAAGCGGGTTTCTCGTTCTCCCCCGGACCAAGACAGCGCGAAATGCGAGAGAACTCTGACTTCATTCGCATCGCCGTTATGGAGATGGCCATGCGCAGGAGCGGCAAACTGGATGAGCAACGCCCGGGCCGAGCTCGGTGGGCACTGCCTCCCAGGAAGACGAGCACGAAGCCGTACGAGACTGGCGCCGATGGCGTTCCGGCACGATGGGTCTCCGTGACGTACTGATAGACTCGTTGGAGAGCATTGATGCGCATTTACCGCACGTGTTTTTTTCGCGCCCACTCTCGTCACAACGGTCGTCTTCTGTGGCATCCAGCAAGCGTGGGGTCAATACCGAGCCTCCACAGGAACGTTACGATGCAAATCGGACTACCAGCGCGCTTCGCTCAAGATGCCATCATCCCGTGCGGCGTATCAATCCTGATCCGATCGGCTAAAAGTACGTTTCTTGACTCGGCTGAGGGCTTTTGACGAATGCAGGGCCGCCTTGTTATCTGCAAGGCTGCAGAGCACGCATTCTGAACAGCCGATATCGCGGGACGAGCACCAGATTACGCAAGTCGCGACTCATGGCAAGGCAACATCATCATGCAGGATATGCAAGGATTCAAGATCGAATGGCCCACAACCGAAGTTGTCTCCACCGCCTTGGGTCCAATGCAGGTCCGGTGGAACCTGGGGATCTGGACCCTGTCGGGACCTGGCTATTTGCATTAGCCGCGCTGCTGCGGCACGACGAACAAATTTTTCTCTTTCCTGTCGACTTTGGTCACCGCTTGCTCGGGACTGCGATGGAAGCTGGGCGTTGAATCGCGAGGTTCAACTCACTCCACCCCACAATCTTTTGGACCCTACGACGATTTTGTGGTTGGATCGGGTATGAGGGCCGAACAGTGGGGCGACCGGGTAGATCAGGAGACTTGTTGCAGCTGACCATTCCAAGAATTTGATGGAGCGCAATAGGCAGAGATTGTCACATCGCTTTTGATGTCGATCAAGAGCACGCACAGAGGCGGGAACGATATGACGACGATTCAATCAGACCAGGGCGCTGCACATCATTGATGCGGGTGTCGGCCTGTCAACTATCGCGACGCGAGTCGTGGTCGCCGGCCCGTTTGACTCTGTCTGCGGGCATCAATCCCGTGCAGATCACTTTGACATTTGCACCCGACAACTGATTTCAAAAGAGCCGCAGGCTGGCAGCAGCGCGGTTCAAGAGCGTGTCTGGATGTTGGGAATTATGTGACAGCATTGCAAGCACAGATTATCGGGGCACTTTGTCGCTCACGCGACTCGAGCAGCGTTCAAATTTCACAAATTGGAATCGACTTTCATCGATTCAGTCCGTATTTGGAGTTGGAAACAGTAAAGAGGCTTTGTGGTATTTTTCGCATTTACACGGGCATGGCGCGGATCGGTTGTTTTCTGGATAGAGCTCCGACTTATGAGACGTGCATTGATGGGTGTTTTGGTCTGCCATATGGACGATGATTTTGGGGATTCGCTTGACCTGCAGGGCTTCTTAGAAAGAACCAGAGTATGGTACAACGTGTACATCATGTATGATACCTGTAGCACTTACTACCGAAGGCTAAGCTACACAATATGGAATCTACGTCTGCAAAAACGTCATGCTCGGGTGCCCGGTTCTTTTTTGAGTGACGGGCCCATCAGTTTCAAAGCGCTTGTAGCGCTGGACGCACGCACCTTGACGGCATAATCAGCCGGGCCGCACCGCCCCCGAATTATCTAGACGTTTTCTCTGCGCTGACTCGATACGTGCCCGTGTCAAGGCGCGTTGACGCCTGCCAGGTACAGAGACGACGTGAAGGAGGGTACTTGGTCTCCGGAAGGGCCTCCCGTGAAAAACTCATCTTTTCAACCTTTTTCACTCCTGACATGTGTCAGTGGCGATTCAATGCCAGAATAGATGAAATGTCCCGACATGGTTCTTCGACTTTGTCACTTGGGGTGGATAAGGTTGGGTGCCGGAGGGATGGGAGTTTGTGCTAGACTCTCGGTGTGACTAAGTGGCCAACTTATGAATGGACCGCACATGCGCGTGCAGAGACGAAGGTTGGCACGGTCTGGGAGAAGGGCGGGAATACGCGTATAGAATTCTGTAACTTGTACAGTCCAGATCGGACAGAGGCACAACTCTGTTGGGTACATAAAACGTGTTGGAAGAGCGCGGGCAATCCGTGGCCTGTGGGACAGGTTGGGTGAGAGCAATTGAGGAAAGGATATATGCCCGACATTGGATCGTCCCTAATTTGTCTATTCTACTTTTTTTCTGTCTTAATCTCGGTTTCAAATCATGGCGCACACCCACGTGCCGGTGAAACATGTCGAGCCTGGAGGATACTAGTGGAATTGTTCTTGAATTCTACATGCTCCAACTCTGACAGAGTCTCCAACATGTTGCCTTTCAACAACTGAGTGGCAAGTCCTTGATTGTAGGGCTTTCTCGAAAATTGTTAAAAGTTGGTTTTGCCTCGTAAGCTAGAGAGAGGGGGGCACACGATTTTCTTCGCGAAGATTTTGTTCCACATGAGGAAAAGGGATTCAAGAGCTGTGAAGCAGGAGTTCACTTCAGTATCCGACTCTGGGCTTCATTGTGCCTAAGCTTTTTGTGAATTAAGTTGTCAAATTGAAGAGTCTCTTATGGAATGTCTAACCGGAGTAGTAGCTTCACATGAGTCGTGGAAAGAGGGAAATACTTCCTATACAGATTGCTCAAATACAAATAATTTAGTCATTACAAAGGCCAGCGGTGAGAAATGCCAGTACCAAAATACTATCAAACACAAGTACAAGATGAATCTGATATGAATCCTTCACCTTACCCTCCAAGAATTCAGAGCCGTCTATGCCCGTACTAAGGTCCAACTCAGCTCGGTATATCGTCTGCTGCAGGCAGGAACAACATATCTGTCGACGTTGAGGATGCGGACCAGCTGATCAATTCAGCATGGCGAACATAGATGAACTCGGGTAGCTAAGCCTGTGAAAGTTGAGAGTGACGCAGTTGTCGTAGTAGAGCTTGGCCAACAGTGTGAAATTGAGGCAAGGGAAGACACAAATATGAATGTCTGAACAAAGCTTGTTCAACGTCGTGAAAATATTGCGTACTTGTAAATCTCAGTACACTCGTCGCCATTGAAAGACTGCGGCGGAATTCGAGTCATGAAAGAACAATAATGTATTTGCTGTGATAACAGAATCGCCAACTCCTAATGCTGCTGAGTCTATATGCGGTGTTTTGCGCCCCCGCCCATGTGCTCAATCAATGTCTCCTCCCAGCAAGTCAAACATGTCCTCCAGCATGCCGTAAACCCCAGATGAACAGTATAAAGATTAGGTAGGTTCCATTGCGTAATGGAAGGCAAGTCGTTCTGACTTGCGATAATCTAACGATCGTTGTCCCCCATTTTCCAGACGCTCGTCATAATCCAACCCGAATTGCTATAAAAAGGGAGAAAAGGGATCCACCCTTGCCAGATCCCACTGTAAGCTCCGTTCTTGCGATTATGTACAATGAATACAGTGTATACAGTGAAGCATCGGCCCCACTGTGTTGACGTCTCCGTCTAGCTTCATTGCCTAGGTTTCATCAAACCCTTCATAGGTCCAGGCAGCAAGCCACGTGTATTCTCTTCGCCTATGTTGCTCCTCTCCCTCTCAAGGGCAAAGCCTCCTTCATCCTCCTCGATGACATCATCCACGGCCATGCTCGCGCTCCTTGATGACCATCGCGACGCCGGCCGTCGTTTATCCTCATTATTGGCTTGCACAGGCGCAGTCGACGGTGACGCGGGTGATACTTCCCGGTCTGCCCTACTGTCCTTGTTCAGCTTGGACGTAAGTGCCGTGAACTTTTCCTTGAAGAATCCACTCGCGTTGCTTTCGCTTCTACCGCTAGCGCCGTTCAGAGCGCTGAGCATTGTTCGGCGTCTCTCAATACCCGACTCAGGGGAGTTGGGGTTTGGGCTTTGTTGGGTGCTGATGTTGCTGCCCCGGCGCTGGCTACTTCCAAAAGCGTTGCTGTTGAACGACCGCATACTGCTGCTTGAGGACGGCCGCAGCATATTGCCAAAGCCGGCATGCTTGTTGCTGCTCGACTCTGAATTGGTTCTATCCTTAGGCGTAGGCGGTGTCATCATCAAGAAGCTCGGTACGACTGGGCCGAGTCCTTGCTGAGAACTCGTGGCGCTAGCACTGCCTGATGGGGTATTGTTGGTGTTGACGTTCAGATGCCCGCTCCTGAGCGACCGGCTGCTGGACGCCACACTCGAGCTGCGACTGTTGCTGCGCACAGGAACAGAGGACCCTGAGCCGTGCAAAGACCTTGGCGGCGATCTGGAGAAGTCCACCGTTGCTGACCCGAACAAACTCGATGAGTCGTCACCGCTATTATTTTGGCTATCACCCATGGCTGGCGCTGCAAGCAAGACCGAGCTATTTGCGAGCTCACGCAGTTTTGTTTGTTGGGCCGTGTTGGGCCGATGCCTGAACTTGTTGCCGATGATCGCACCAGTGTGGCTAATCAGGGCCTTCATGACGCGGCTCTTGAAGGCTAGAGCTAGGTCAAGATTTGACCACATCTTGTTGTGGTACTCGATTGTGGGCAGACGGAAAACAAAGTCATGCACGTCCTCGATGTTGCGGTCGCCTTTGCCCTTATAGCTGAGGCAGAGGACCACGGACGGCAGCTTGATATAGGCGAAGGTCATGTAATTCGACGCTCGACTAATCATTTTGGTCAAATCGTCCGAAGGCGCCTCGTCCTTATTCTCGGTTCTGCGGAGGTTGAAGCGCGACTTCTTGGAGTCTGAGTTCACTGAACTGGTTTCAACCTTGGACGAGAAGCCCGTATTCGTCCTACCAATGCTGGGCCGGGCAGGATTGGGAGTGGCTCGAAGGGAATCCCACGACCGCTTTCTTGCCAGATTCTTGTTCTTTGACCCGAAGAGCTTAAATGGCGCGGACTCAGCCGAGTGGACACTGAGCGCCTTGTTACTCTTTGGCGGACTCCTCTTGGCCTCCGAGGTCAGCGTTGGACGCAGTCGAAGCTCAAGTGAGCCAGCCCGGGTGGAGAAAGTTCCAGGGTCGAGTCTCTCTATGTCAGACACAGCAGTAGCAGGTCGCGGGTATTCTTGAATGGAGTCGTCGTCATCGTCTCCAACTTCGTCGCCTGGCAAAGTCTGCTTGAGCATGAAAGGAGAGGCATTTTGGCCGTCACCTCCGAACTTGTCCCCATCCATTTCCGGGAAGATGTACTCGAACAGTTTCTTCCCGACCTCGCGTTCAAGTTGAACCTTCAACGGGAAGAGATTGACCTCAAAGTGCTCCATAACGGGGATGCCAGCAATCGCCTCAAGCATGTACCAGTACACGGTGATCATGGGCTGGCTATTCAGGAGTGAGGCGGATTTGGCATCTTCGAGATATGGAGCGACCATCTCGGGATAGATAGCGTCGGGAAGTAGATTCAGGCCGAGTACTTTGCCCACACGGATCAAGTTGATGTGTGACCCATCAGAGTTGTCAGTCCTGTCATACTCTACATCTCTGAGCTGCAGCTCGCACAACGGCTCGTTCGCATCTCGAATCAGGTGCCACACGATGTCCTTCACCGAGATGGACCACTTAAGTAGCGCATTGCTCTGCGACGTGTCGTGTTTGCGTTGCGAAGTGGTGATCGCCTTCATCATGAAGAACAGTTCATCTTCGCAAGCGGCAAGGTCTCTCTCTAGAAGTAACCTATCTTGCCAGCCTTGGTCGTCCAGATACTTGGAATGGATTTGGAAATGGGACTTGATGTCCTCCAACTGCCTGATCCGCTCTTGCAACTTGATGACCATCTCGGGCGTGCCTCTCAAGTCGCTGAAGTCGGACGCCAGCATGATCTTCTCGAGACGCTCGCTGCGTGTCTTTTCAAGAGGCTCGTTGTACATGAGCAGGTCCAGCACAATGACATATATCGCATAGTACTGCGAAGAGTTGCAGATGGCACGTGCCTGAGGGAATTCTACCCAAAGATTGTCCATACGATTCTCAGTGGCTTCGTTTGACTCGCCGTCCGCCGCATCGCCCGAGTTGACCTCATCGTTGTATTTGAGACGGAGCGTGTTGTATTTGTCGTAGCGAAGCATGGCTGATGTTTTCTGAACAACACGCTTGAAGCCCACGGGGTCCGTTTGGAAGTCAGACATCACCTCCATAGGCACCCAAGGGGGCCAGGCCGAGCCACTCGGTGCACCGTAAACGCTACCAGAGTACATCGAAAGTAGCTGACTAGAGAACCACTTTTGGTGGGAGACGAAAAATTGCGTGCTGTCCATGTTGACCAAGAATCGACGCTGGACAAGACCGCTGACTGAATCGGATATTCTGTCTTTATCCAAGACCTCTACGACTTTCAGCTCCATGCCCTTGCTAGTTAGCATGACAACGTGCTTTTTGTTCTTCTCGCTCTGGAGCTGAATTTGCGGGGCAATGAGTCGAACATGATAGCTGTTCTGTGGCGTGAATCCATCGGCAATGCCGCTGGTGAGATCCTCCATGGAGACATTAGGAACGGCGTCACCGCTAGCATCCCCGCCGGTGTCCCGATTATTAGAATCGTCAGAGTTGACGAATCTTCGGCCATCCTGGAGGATTTGCTTTATCCTGTCTTCGATGCCGGTTTGTGCCCCATGTGCTGATCCATTCGTTTTCGGTGTTGAGGTGGGATCGGGTTTCCCTGGATCCTTATGTCCATTTGAACTCTTGATTTTGGTTTGCTCCTCCACAATGTCCAGTATGAACTTGACAGCAGGTCGCGAGAGATAGTACACGAAACCCCGTCGCTGGCTGACTTGGTGAATGTAGCGAAGTATGATATTTCGCAAGAGATTGTTCCATTTCAGTTGCAGATTGTGCATGACGAAGCGATTCAAAAAGTCGCTGGCAAACTCGGCCCCTGTGGGTAGTGACATAGATTGGTCACCTGTGCCAACTGACGTGTCCGACTTGCCGCTCTGACCATTGGCTACATTATAGAGACCACCACGTGAATCTTGAGGCGACTTGGTTGTCATCTGGCTCAACAGATTTTCGAGGAAGCCCTTCTTATCATGTAGGAGGTTACTGTGCCCGAGGAGAGCTTCAAGATGTGTCCGCGCATCAGGGTCTTGGTCTCCATCCCTGACAACCTTCAGCTCTGCCTCGCCGAGATTGCGGTCGTGGTTCTTCATTTGGTCTGCCAACTGATCAAGGCGTTGTTGAACAAGCTGGGCTTGCACGCGGCGAGGGTCATCGTCCTGGCTCATTATACACAGATGGGTAGGCTCGTGTCCGAAGGGACTGGTCCTTGTTGGATCTCCAGCGATGACTCCACCGATGTCAGTCTGTCGGAAATAAGTGAGCCTGGGACAATAGGCAAGAGGCAGGATCTTGGTGTCCGGGTTTGGCTCAGCTGGCAAGATCCAATCGAGCTCAACGAAGTCGTCCATGTCCACCCAGCTGAAATCATTATCAGGAATTGTGAATCTTGAAAGATCTGTGCCGTCATCGTCCTGCTGCTGAAGTATAAGCGAGCCAATGTTATTCTTCCTGATCGCCTCTGTTGAGGTGCCTTTGATGCTAGCAGATACAGCACGAACATCTGCGGCGGCCAGGTCCAGTTGGCCAGCATGTATCTTCATTCCGGTCGTCCGGCTGCCTGCCTTATGACCTTTGTCACTAGTGTTGAATTCTTCACGTCTCATGTGAAGGTCGAGTTTCCAGCTGTCAAATCGAACTTTGATGCCGGTGGCGGACACAGCATTCTCGTCGTAGTCCTCCACGTCTTTGTGCTTGTAAATATGACTTAAGAACAACGGAGCAAGCAGCAAGTTGAATTTGATGGTTGCGAGATGCCTGCCGAACTTTTTGCTGCTCTTCTCTCGTCCCGGCCATAGTGCACCTTGTCGAACGGGCAAAGACATAGGCCCGCCAAACAATGACCACCATGCGAAGAAGTGAGTGAAGAAGCGCGGCGTCAGATGGACCGTGTTGTAACTCCTCGAGGGCTCTACATCAGCAGACGTCCAGTCACGATCAACTGGCGCCCTGACAGCGATGGATAGGTGGATGTGCTGGCTCCTGAAACCCTCGAAAGCATCATATGGAACACCATTTTCGGACTTCGCATACTCAGGCGCTTTAAGCACAACATCGTAGTGAGGGCGAAATTCGAAATTTCGTTTCCCGTTGTCGATTGCTTGCTCAAAAACGAGCCCCGCCATCCACTGAACTTTGCCAGACAGTTTCATGACCACCTTCTTGAAGGCAGAGCCAGACTTCATGCTATCTTCGCTGACCACACTGTCGTTGTCGGCGGTCCGGCGGGCTGCTTCCCGCGCATAATGTCCGAAGTCAGGCACGGCGAGGACGTATTCCCCACTGTCTACCGTCATGAAGCGTTTGGGATCGTCATCGGATCGGATGCTCCATCTAACATCATTTCGCCAGCACATTAGGAAGCCAGCACCATTGCCAGTAATCTGATAAGGATCCCTAGTTCCTTTGAGGCAGAAGTGGACGTCGCCATCTCCTTTCCAAGCGATGCGCACCCGGGAATGGAAATTGAGCCGAATCTTGTCCCAGAAGCCGACGCGCTCTGATGGATCCGCTTGCGGTTTGGTAAATGATTCGATGACCATCATCATGTCTTGGATGGCGGGCTGGTATGATGGGCCCCAAGTAATCCTTGTTGGCAGTGCGGTGTTGATGTCAACGTACATGTCAGAGAATGACTTGATCGGGCCAATGGTGCGCCTGACATCAATGTAAAAGCCGCGCTCTTTGCCTCCTGCTGAGTGTAGACTCTCTGGGGGGATGACGTTCACTCGGACGCTCCTCGTGGACTCGATGCCGCGAAATTCTTCAGCTATCACGAAGTCCGTTTTCAATGACAGAGCAGGCAGGCGTGTGGACTGTCCTGCTTTGAGACTAGGCACGTGCAGAAGGGGTAATGGGTAGTCCCTCAGTGACACTCTTGCTTCTCCCATGTTGATTTGAACGTTCATAGGGACAAGCAAAGAATACTTCATATCGCGAGGCATCCCCTTGCCGACTCTGTGAAGGAATTCTGGGAGCTGCTTCAACGGGAATGAAGGCTTGTCGATCATGAAATGAAGGTCGTGAACCAAGGCAGACATGAGAGCTGGCCGTTCTGGCATCTCTAGGATGTTCTCGTTATCTTCGAAATCATCGGGAACATTACCCGTGCCCCAGAAAGCACTTCTTATGTCTTTCATGCCGTTGCGGGCCATGGCGTAGAACCGATCAATCCGAGCTCTCCAGCTCTTGGAGTTGTGCTCGTTCAATTTGGCTCGAGCATCGGCGATAGACACCAGGGTATGTCCGCTAATACCACAACCGTTTTCTGGATCGTATCTTGGTGCTCGACCTCTCTCACGCCCGCCACTGCTTGATCTAGGCCGACGACCGTCGGCACTCTGGCTTCTGGCCCAAGAGGCACCAGAGTGGCTTGAGCGGCCTCTGCCCGTAGCCGACCGCGCTCGCACGCCGGTCTCTTTTCTTGCCTCCTCGTGGATCTTCTTAACCTTGACCTTGAAGGCGTCCTCGCGTGCTAGTCTCTGCATTTGCTCTATACGACCAGCTCGATAGATCATGCCAAGCTTCCACTCGAACGCCCCATCTTCTAGCTCAAAAAGCAGTGACTTGCATTTGACCGATATCTTAGGCACGTTCTTCGGTCCTTCAGGGCCTTTGTCCAATACGTATTCATCCGTTCCTGTCTTGAAGCGATGGTGGAGTTGCTTGACGGCTTTGATCACGTTGTTGATATTATCAGAGACCTTGCTGAAAACCAGCTCATTCGGAACAGCACCTCGAACAGCATCCGCAACGACGTCGAACATCTTCTCGTCTTGGTAGCCGCCAGTGGGAAGCTTGCGGCGTGATTCTCGGTAGTCGAGACGGCCATTCTTGATGCTGACAAGTTTGCTCCAGACTCTGCGCATCCTGGGAGGCTCGGAGTACAATCTAATCAGTCTCGTGTGGAAAAATGGCGGAGACCAGCGATGGCGCCCAGCTTCTAAACTGTGTATGTGCAGCATTAGTGGCGGATCCGCCGGCATGTCTGCTTTGATTTGCACGAAAACCGCCTTGAAGTCAACCGAGATCAATTCTGCCGCTGGTGCGTTTTCCTCCTCGGAGGCAGAGTGATCCTGAGTGGGAGGCGACAAGTACGTCGCTCCAAGGTTGCGCCGAGGTGTAGTTGGCGTGGTGGGTGTCGGAGGCGTCTGGGTCATTCCCAAATCCACGTTGTCTTTACTTGAGCGCAGGAAAGCCTTACGTAGCACAGTAACGGCAACTCCGATGGCGTAGTGCCGATAGAGAGAATACTGCACCAAAAGTGTTTTGACATGTGAGTGGACGTGGAACACAGGCCCCTGGTGATCGCTCAAAGTTGAGAGAGCAACTTCAAAGCGAGGTATGCTGAGGAAAGGGTCAACCTCCCAGCGATCAGCCGACTCGACGACGAAAGCTTCCAGACCACGGACGTGGAAAGCTATTCGACGTCCATCGCCGGGGTTTTGATGCTTTTTCCTTGGAGAAGCAGGGAGATGTTTGAGGATCTCTGGATCGAGCGACACGCTGACGCGACTGTTGGCCCGTTTCCTAGCCGGGCGGCGAGGCAGTCCATCAAGTCTTTGTGCTCGATATTCAGCTGTCCACGAGTCCAGGGAAAGAGAAACGCCTCGAGAGTCCTCCGAGACATCCGCATCAACCCCAGCAATCTCAGCGCTGAAGTCTGATGCCTGCAGCTGAAAGTGAAGGAGCCAAGTCGGCACTCCCCGCAGGAAGTTGGAATGCTTGGAAGATTTCGGGGTAATATGCTTGCCAGGCTCGACCTCGAGACGTAGTTGTCGGACGATTTGTTGCAAACCGTCCGTAATCTCGGGCCGGACAAGTCTGATAGCAAACGTTTGCAAGTTGCCATTGGCAACCACGGCGACGTCAGGAGACGCGCTCAAATTGACTTTCAGATCAAATGATTCAGTTTCCACAAGGTCGAAACGTTCTCCTTCGGAAGTCTGGTAGTACAAATTGTGAGATTGAATCCTAAGATTCGAGGCTAGAGAGTAGTGGAGCTCTTCCCCGGTCGGATGAAACGACTCGGCATCGAGAGATATGGAGGAGATGGAAGATATGATCAAGTCGAAATCATCAGGGTCGGCGTCTTTCTTGACTGGGGGAAGAGCTATGCGAAGGACTGGCTCATGCATAGAGAATTTTATGTTAGCTTTAGGAAGAAGCCGTGAGATCAACATGTGCCGTTGTTGAGGAGCTGTCCTTGCTTTCTTTGGCTTCGATCGAAGCATAGCAAGAAGCAGTGGGAGATGCTTCGGGTCCAAATCCACCGAAGGGGACGTGACGACAGAGTTTGCAAACAAAATATTGGCGTTCCTCTGCTCGGCGTTATCATTGCTGGGGAGCTGAACTGTTTTGGAAGGCAGCGTTGTCCTGACCGTCGTTGTCGCCATTGGTACATAAAGCAATCGCTGTGGGCTTCCGAGCCCGTCGTCAAGACCTATTGAAATCGACAGGGCGGCGAGGAGAGCCTCATGAGCAATGTCTGTTGAGGGGAAATACATCCTATGTGCCGGGGACTTCGGATCTAGTCGGTGAAGGTCTATGCCGACTTCTTTCATGGAGGCATTCAGGGTCACTGGTGGGCCAGTGGTCTTGACAGCTTCAACTTTCTTGGTCAACGCGAAGAAGCTGACCGCAAACTGCACCTCCTTGATGCCCCTTAATATCGAACTGACGAACTCCTTCGAATCGGAGACTGCTCGCATGAGCTCATCATCGGTGCTCCCCGGCTCTTCTAGCTCCTGGAAAACCTTGTCGACATACTCGTCCATAGGCTCGTCTGCATGCGAACTTGCTGCGGTCTCGAGCTTGCGCTTTTGGAAGCGCTTGGCTGATTGGCGGATCTCATCCAAGGGAACGTGGACGCGACCGAGCTTCAGGGCAATAGATGCGTCTCGCAATCCGTCCAGCTGCTCATACAGAAACCCATGCACATTCAAGGTCGAATGATCCAGAACTTCGATCGACTCGCTCCCAATCGGCGTGAAAAGGACGCTTCGAATCGTCATGATCCACTCGGCCTGGTTCTTTCCATGGCCTTTCCCAGACCTTGGTCCCCAGAAGAATCGAGCCCGGTCCACCATCTTCCGCCGGGTATCGACAGCGACCGTAACGCTCCCAAATTGAACATTTCCAACGTCCAGGATATTCACCGTCGAGTTTGTTGCTACCACGTCGACCATGCGCAGCCAGTTCACATTCCTGTGTAGCCTCTTGATCCGCTCTTTGATGCGTGTGAGCTGCTTCCATGTCTCGCTGCGCTTGACACTGGTGGTGGCACGTCGGACAAGCGGCGTCCTAGGGACTTTCAACGAAGCCTCCTCTTTCTTATGAGACGCAGGATCATCTGGGTCCTGGGCAAGCGCTTCGTTGGCCTTGCTGCGATCTAGCTCTACAAGGTCGACTGTGACGACGAGCTCACTGACGACAATGCTGAGCCACGTTGGCTGGGCGAAAGTTGGCCTATGGACGTTGAGCCCCAGCCCTCGGACTTCGATCTTGATGCCATCTTTGGGGACGTAAGCAAGGCGGCGCAGGGAGAAGTAGCCGATGCGCTGGATGGAGAGGCCGGTGAGGATTCGTACGATAGCGAAGAGGACGAAGGAGGATAGATAGAGGACGACAAAGACGCCGAATATGAAGGTCGGGTTCAAGAGTGCCATGTCGAGGCGAAAGGCAACAACGCTCTACCTGGCGCGCGCCGCTGTGCTATCTGGGGACATCTATGGTCAGCCTTCGATTATCTCCGACCGATCCGCGGGACGGGGCGGACGGTGGACGGTGGATGGTGGACAGTTGGTGTTTTGGTGACGGGTAAAGTGTATTGGCACGCGACATACATGAACGAGACCAATTTTGTAGCATTGTCCATTGGAGTGCTATCTCAGCATTGAGCAGGGTATGAAAATGTTGGGGCAAGGTTCGGTGTAATCGGACGCCAAGCAATTGGAGGTCGCGAAGGTCCAAATTGAGTTACAGCAGCGGTGGCAGGTCGAAGCTCAAGAGGCGGAATCTGTCAGCAGCACAAGGACAAGGAGACGGCACGTCCGGCTTATGCGGGAGCTCTGTGCCCAGCCCGAGCTTGGTGGTGGAGGAGGAGGAGGAGACGTCAGGGGCGAATCGAGTGGGAGGGAAAGGTGTCACAAAGGAGGAGAGAGATAGATCGCCGGCGACAAGCTACCCCGAGCAGAAACACACAATAACAACCCGGTCTAAGTCTAGGTCTAGGTGAGCAGTTGTATTTGGTGAGACGGACGGAGTACCGGGGACTACCAGACCAACTTTAGAGTTGACGTGAGTCTACTGTAGTCAGGCTGAGTCGAGTTGGATCGAGTCGAGTCGAGTCGACGGTCGGGTCAAGGGCGATTTGGCCAAAGTTCGCGGCTCGAGCCGAGAATGATGGACTGCAGGGCAGGTGGAATTGGAGACAGCTGCCCTTACCAGAATGGCCCATGGGCGTGCATCATGACGGGGGACCTTGGCCCCCTGGGCCCCACGGAGCCTACCCCCTGCCCACCTGCAGCGGCCTTCGATTCGGCTTCTTCAGCCCTTCTTCCCCGCCACAATTTCTCGAGAGATTCTGATGGGCCGGGTGCTTCATCTGTCCATCGACCATCCTCAATCTGGCCCGTATTTCTCGCTCAAGAGAAGCGGTCACCGAGCACTGACGGCTGCGGAGCGTGTCTCCCTCGCAATGCTGACTCGTACGAATACGGAAAATATCCCGACTGCTTAGCAGCATCCGCGCCGTGGTCGATGTGATATGCCGACTACAATATGCATCCCTTCATTCCACGGCACCCACGCCCAGTAAAGGCCGTTGGGGCCAGCAGCTGCGTTTGTGCAGGGAACATCCTCACCTCAGCCGGGCCCCCACGAGACCACCAGAGTGAAAGACAGTCATGAGCCCTCCGCAAAAGTCATTTGCGTGCTTGCGTGCGTGTGTGTGATAAGAGCGATAGGGGAGGGGGGAGAGAGTGTGTCTTTGTGTGTGGTGGGCATCTATTGCATCTTCCCGACTCTCCACCAACACAGGCAGCGGTCTGGGCGAATTCCTTACACGCACACATAAAAGACCATTAGACCGAAGACATCAGAAAGCGGCAGGAAAATGTGCTCCCTTCTGGTATCCAGACCCACCGTCCTGATCATACCCTGCCGATGACCGAGGGCATGGGTGTATCGTCATCTCCCATCGCGAATCTGAGAGCTAAGACTCGTCACCAAGATTTACCACCAGCCGGCTCCCTTAGCCGGTCTCTCTGGCTCTTCAAACCAGCCACAACGTGATCTCATGCTTATCTCTGCCAGGATGCTTGCTAAGGACTTTTGTACGTAGATGTCATCTATCTAGAAGTTGTATACTGTGGTTGTTGTCTCTCAGCTTGCAAACCCAGGTCCTCACGTGCTGAGGTCTCGAAAAAAAGAGAACCCTGGGAACTTTGGAGATCTCGAAATGCTATATCCGTCGCCAAGAGTGATACCCCGAGCAAAGCCCTGCTCATGGCTATCGGCCGTCACCCTGGCCCCTGCACCACCATGATACATCCCGAGGTCGCTGTGGTCTGTCGCTCTACACGTTTAAGCCACGCATGCTTGGCTCCAAGGTTACCATCTCGCTGAAAAAGACGGTCGCCACAACATCGTGCTGAAAGTGGATGGGGCTGAACAACTAAAATGACCAGCGTCCGCAGTAGCTGCCGGAGCATCTGCTCCGAATATAATCATGGTTCTGTGGCTGCCCGGGTATGAGGAAAAGGACGTCCTCCGTAGCATATCGGCCTTCAATGAGGCTCTTGCCCCACCCCTGTCCAGTAGATGCTGTACCCGTGGGGTCAGGGTCCTGGTCCTGGTCACGATCGTGATCCAGGCCTATCTGTTCGCCACACGCGCCGCCGCACCGGAGCAGAACTTACATCACTATGAAGACACAGGACAAAATGAGTATTCTCAGTGTAGCTTTGTATGCATACGATGTGCATAATTTGTGTGTACGTAGTAGAGCATTTGCAACGTTTGGCAAGAGGGCGCCGTTGATGATCTCATCGTATACACATGCATGACGTCTCGACGAGCACGCTCGGTTTTCTTTGACAGTTTGATATAAAAATGTAACGTTCTACTACCTCTGAATGCAAAAACGCCCGGTTAAGTATCCTGATTTATATTCAATCAAACTTCATAACCTCCGTGATACCCTCCGACACTAAATACCCCCAAAAATCCTCAACGCCGATACTAGCCACTGCACTCAAAATGGCGCCTTCCAAGGACGAGCTCAACAAGATCGCCCACGATGCCGAGCGCGACCTGAACTCATACCAGGCCAAGCAAGGTCTCAACAATGTTTCAGTAGATGATGCTGGTGTCGACAGCATTGTCGAGAAGAAGTTCCCAGGTGCTCAAGTAAAATCCGGTGACGAGATCAGCACCAATGCCGGTTACAACAAGAGGATACCTCCTGAGGAGGGCGGCGATCTGGACGATCGTGGAAGGTCAGGACTACTTTGGATCACCAACACTTGCAATAAATATATACTAACAACCAGATAGACAAACACTGGGCCAGCACTTCGAGGGCACTGGAGGCCCAGAGGATAAACTAGCCCAAGCTCAAGAGGACCGCGGTGGCGACAACGACAACGACGTCATCCCAAAGAAACCCCTTGGAAAGTAGATGTTGTCGGCGCAGGCAGACACCGCAAGGGGGTGATATTCTCACGCAAGGTGAATCTGTTGCTACCACCAACGTCGGGACGAACTCGTCTGAGCTAGGTGGGAATGAGTTCCCGGGGAGCGATTACTACAGGCTCGATCCGGACGGTATTTCGGCCGAGGAAAATGTGCCTCCGAGATCGTGACCAAGACCCCAAGGTAAAATTGGTTGGCGCTGGGTTCGTAAAGGAAGAAAAAAAAAGACCCGGCTGGATGAGGAGCACGGCGTCTTGAGTGGAATGTATATTATGGCGATCCACTAGCCTGGCATGTATTAGCACAACTGTCCATAGTCAAACTGAAAGACGAGACCTTGTCGCACCTCATTTTGTGCTCATTCCCTGTTGATAGGCTGCATGCCTACTAGTGGGAATGTGCCCTTGCTAAGTGCCCCGAGCTACTTGACGTAGACGATCCGACTTCCATACACGTGTTGTCGTTGAGGATGCGACCTTGTTGGAATATCTGACACTGGCGCTGTTTCGGTCGCATACGAGTATTATAACACGGCTGAATCAACCTCCATTGCGCGAAACCTCTTCAGCTTTGGCCCTTGATTCCTGCTCCGCTACGAGGGCAGCTCGATTCTCGTCGAGGATGGCCAAATCCGCCTCGAGTCTGAGGATTCTCTCCTCAAGCATCTCCTTGTATTGCTCATCCGAAAGTTTGGTCATCGGGCTCCATTTCGAAGTGAACCAGCTGCTCGTCTTCTTTGTAGAGGGGTCGGACCTAGACCAAACGTTTGATGCAAGTTGACCACCGGCTCCGAGCAGGGAGAAGACGATGGCGCCCGGAAGGATACTCCTGGGCCCGCGCAGCAGTAGACCCACGGGAACGACGGAGGCAGCGCCGGCCATTGCACTTGCACCGACCTTCTGGGCCGGTGTGACGTTGTATTCAGGACCATACCTCCCTATGGCTAGTTTCCTTGTACCTGTCGCAGGACGTTAGGATGATGTCTTCCAAAGTCACTGAGAAATCCGGCTGGCAAAGGAAGATTTCTACCGTAAAAGACCGAGCTGATGCTAAACCACTGAAATCCGGACACAAGAGAAAATAAAACGGGTGTTTTTACGCCACGGACGATGCTACTTGTGGCACCGAACAGCATTCCGCACGCCCCTACGCAACGGTCAGCATCTTTGATATGAATTCAGGGCGTGATATTGGAAGAGAAGAATACCTGCAGCAGCGCCCAGCTGGACGCTCTTTGCCAGTACGTCCACAGCCTCATCCGACGGTTCACTGCGAATATTCCTTGAAATTGAGGCCCGCGGTTGGGTCTTGGGACCTGGCTGTTGGTCCATTGATATTGACCCAGCGGCCCAGTACTCACTCAACCTATCTAGCAGGAAGCGTTGGGGGACCGAGCTGATGGAGGTGTTGAGCGGCGCTGATCAGGTCGTCCCGAAGACAAATGAGAGGGGGAGTAGGCACAACGAATGGGGCTGCTGATAACAGATATGTAAGTCGATAGACAGGGCTACAGATTTGTTGTGATGTTGCCTTGGGGTTGGATTCTGAGGACGGGGACGTTTGTGCCTGTTAGCCCGATAGGTGCATATGTCATGTACCTGTTTGGTGAATACCAGGCAAAAAGAGCACGGACAGCGCGCCCAAAGTACAGACGAGACGGACGCCCCACCGCCCACGCTAAGCCTGAATGGTGCTGGCGCGGCCACAGTCCACACTGGTTGGAGGGGAGCCGAATCAAATCCAGAGCGAGAGTTGCCAAAAATTTCAGAGACGCACGCACATATACCAACCCACCCACCGAAGAATACGAACGAATACCCCATCTTACCTGTCCAGCGAGAGAGAATCCAGACAAGACCACAACGACAGCCCACCCTCCATCCACCCACACAACCGGACCCGTCACCACCTCCTCACTCCGTACAGTCCAGGACCTGCCAGCATCCTTTTGGCATTCGCTCCTGGCTTTCTCTTGCGGCGTTATTTGAAACGCTGCCTGTGGACGAGAGGCGCGCACAGCGACACCCGGCCAAACGAAACGAGCCATCGCTCCGGCGAAACCCACACCAAACCCAGCAGCAGCAGCTTTTTTTGCTCGCGACTTTTCCCCCGCCACCTCCCCACGACTACGTGCCTCGATCATCGTCGCACGTAGCCAAGAACGATCCAACACCGCAATCATGGGTACGACAACCATTTCACCAGCTCCAAACTGGCTCTCGCTAACCTGTTGCCTGCACAGCTCCCAAGAAGAAGGAAGTCCAGAAGCTCTCCCTAAATGAGTTCATGAACGACAACTGTGAGTATCCCCCGCCCTCCCCGGCACAGCGCCACACCTCTTGCCCTCGTCGAAGCAAAGACTAAAACCTTGGCAGCTTTTGGAGCTGGAGGCAGCAACTGGGCCGATGAAGTTGAGGAGACCTATGGTGAGTCCTGTCCTGCCGCCGTTAAATACCGCTTCCCGTCCTTCCGTGTGTCGCATCCACGACCAGCTTTCATCGTCTGTTCGACGTATCCTGGCCCATCTTCTCCCTTCCCCTAGCCATCGCTGACACCGGTTACCAGGCACTCAACCTCTCCCCGCCTCCGACCGCCGCGGCGCCGGTGGAGGCAGCACCTATGGCTCAGGCTTCGGTGGTTCCAGCGACAGATACGCAGGTAAGCTTCCTCTTTCCACCCACCCCCTTTGCGACTTGTTACTCGCTTGTCAACTGACACTCTGGCCAGGATATGCTCGTCAGGAGCGTGAATTCCCACAGGAACTGCCCACCAAACCCCCTTATACTGCCCACCTCGGCAACCTCTCCTACGATGCGACCGTGGAATCAGTTACCGACTTTTTCGCTGATTGCGAGGTCACCAGCGTTCGCATTGTTGAGGACAGAGCTGAGATGCGGCCAAAGGGTTTCGGGTACGCCGAGTTCGCCACCGTTGATGGCCTGAAGAAGGCGCTTGAGCTTGAGGGACAAAGTTTCGAGGGACGCACTATTCGGATTCGCATTGCTGAGCCACGTACGTACCGCACCACCTCACAAAGCCTTTTTCCACACGGAGCATACTGACCGCTTTGCAGCCAAGGACAGACACGGAAATGAGAGCACCAGGGACTTCTCTGACTGGACTCGGAAGGGTCCTCTGGCCCCAGAGCCGTCTCGCAACGATCGACGCGGTCCCCGCGATTTCAACGAGCCACGTGCCCCCCGGGACGGACCAGGTGATGACTCGAGAGCAAAGGACATATCATGGGAACGAAAGGGACCTCTGATGCCGCTGTCTCCTCCACCTATCGAGCGTGGTGGTTCTCGTGGTGGCGGAAGCCGATCCCGAACTACGGACAGCGAACGGGGCGACTCCTTCCGTGACAGGAGAGCCTCCCCTTGGGGTCCCGGCGAAGGTCGCCAGGATGGTTCTCGACCGCCTCGCCGCGAGTTTGTGGAGCGACCGGAGAGGGCTCCTACTGCTGCCGAGAGCAACAGCCAGTGGCGCAGTGCTATGCGACCCGACCCTCCAACCCAGTCCCCTGTCCCGTCTCGTCCTGCCAGCGAGGCGCCTTCTTCACCTGCACTGGCCCCCGCCGCCCCCGCCGCCACGGGTGGTCGCCCCAAGCTTAACCTGGCTAAGCGTACTGTCTCTGAGGCCCCTGGTGTCTTGTCTCCTTCTCTTACTTCTGACTCCAAATCTAGTCCCTTTGGTGCGGCTAGGCCTATTGATACTGCCGCTCGTGAGAGGGTGATCGAGGAGAAGCACCAACAGGCACTTAAGGAGAAGAAGGAAGCTGAAGAAAAGGCAAAGGAGGACCGGCGGCTGGCTAAGGAGGCTGCCGAGAAGGAGGCCGCTGAGAAGGAAGTTGCCGAGCAGGAGGCCGCCGAGAAAGCCGCTGCCGAGAAGGACGCTGCCGAGGCTTCCAACACCAATGGCGATGTCAACAAGTCAGATGCCCCTGTTACTACAGAGGCTGCACAAGATGCTCAGGCTGCTGAGACCGAGAAGACTGAGGACGGCGTGAACGCTGCGAACACAACAGAAAAGGGTGCCACACGCTCGCGGGAGCCCACTGCCGCGTCGCGAGCAACTGAGAGTGGCAATTGGAGATCGTCGACAGCGGAGCGGGGAAGCCGTGGTGGTTTCTCAGGGCGAGGCGAGCGCCGCGGAGGTGGTGCCCCCAGAGGTGGACGCGGCTTCGATGAGCGTCAGCCTAGCCGTGGCGGACGCGGATATGAGGAGCGCCAGGCTAGCCGTGGCGGTGGCCGTGGACTCGAAGAACGCCAGCCCAGCCGACGCGGTGGCGAGCCATCGACCCCTACCACACCTGTCGTTGACGAGGACGGCTGGACAACCGTCTCTACCGCTGCGAAGAACCGCCGTGGCCGCCCTGTTGCCTCTTGAAGTACTTGTACAATACCCGGCGTTACGGCTCGAGCTTGAACACAAAAGAGATCTGACAGGATAGTCTTTTCTCATCTCCTGGCTTGACTTGATGCATTGCATAGCCTTTGCTTCAAGCAAAGCAGGGGAAGTGGCTTGAAAACAAAAAGATTTCATGCTCTGATCAGTTTCGATCACGAACCAAAAAGAAAAGGTTGAACGGGCGGCGTGGTCTGGCGTCGCAGGGTGTTTTTTCAGCATTTCAATCACGGCTTCTCTCATTCCCCATGGTCCCCTCTCTGCATTTGTCTTTAAATGACGACTTCTTCTCATCATTATGTGGAAAGGCTCAAATCGGACCGGATCTTCCTCAGGCACATACCATGATGTCGCAATGGAGATGGAGAGCTGCTTTTTATACTACGGGCGGATGTTGATGTGACTATGAGGCTGATGCGGGATCATGACTGAATATACGTAACATCAAGCTGGTTTTCGGAAAAGAAGGCAGCGCGATGTAAGAGGAGGAAGGCGAAAAGAAGTGGCTGAGTTGCTCTGTGAGGAGGAGGAAGTTTCTGAGACGACTTTTGATACCTTACTCCTGCGCGTCGACAACATAGACTAAGTTCAGAGAAAACAAATTCTGCTCAACATAATATTGTGAATGTCCCGTAATTAGCCCGCGATGCTAAGATATTTACTCCCGGCGAGGCTGTCTGGATTGTGTCGACGCTTTGCATAGACCTTACTATGGCATATTTGATGATTTACACAGATTTCTTCCACCGCAGAATACACCCACCGCCTAGCCACTGGCCCATTTACCTCTTCAGTGTCTTCTGCTTCTCCGCACTCAACGCAACCGTCCTCCCTTCGACCAGCATCCCCTTCTTCCGCCTCACCTTGTCCATGTACCGCTTTGCGACGTTCTCCTTGTCGCCAAACTCGCCCAGGTCCTCCATCTGTTCCTCCGTGAAGGGCACCCAGAAGGGGTCCTCGTCGAGCACCTCGAAGCCCGTGAAGATGAGCTGCGGCTGCGCGGCGCCAGACGTGCGCTTCCGCATATCGTCCGCGAAGCCGAAGGACTCGGCGACGGGGAGGAGCGACTGGATCGTGAAGAAGGGCGTGCCTTCGTTCATGGCCTCGGAGAGGACGCGGCCCCGGCGGCGGGTCAGGACATCGTAGACGCGGCCCAGGACCTCGGCTGTTAGAGGGGGAGAAGAGTGCTCGTTAGTTTGTGTTCACAAATGCTGGTGAGGAGGGGAGGGGTTGCTTACTGCTTGCTTGGATCTCGCAGGAGTACATTGCCAGCATCAACCGTGGTGACCAGTCCAGGAAGCCCTTGTGTATTGACTGCTGTACCGTCTTGAGTACCTCACCGGTCAGGCGACCGAGGTTTTCCCGGGCGGAGGTGTCGTCTTCGGTGGTGATGGCCACGTCCTCGATGAATACGGCGATACCCTGGACTGGCTCCCTGCAGAGCGGGCCCTGGGCAGTGGCCAGTTGAAACCCGTAGGTGATCTTGTCAGCGAGATGGCGTCCTCTTAGCTCTTCGTTGATTTCTGGGCGGCTTTCATGGCTCTTGTCAGTCTCGAATGCCTTTGGTAAACATCCCTCCTTCGTTGCGTCGATCAGCAAATTGGGACCTGTGCGCCGGGGGCCGAATGCTGCTATGGAATCAACGATGTTCCTGAATGGCTCTCGTCCCTTGCCTGACTCGAGAAGGGCTTTGAGCTGCGTCTTGAGGTCTTCTGGCGAGAGGCATTTCGTTGCTGATATGTCTGCATCGTCATCGATGCTTTGCTGGTCGCTTTCAACCTCATCTAAGGCCCCATTTCCATCTGTGTCCGTCCCGTTTGCACCCCATTTCTTAGAGTGAAGGTGTTTGATAGCACCAGCGTTCTTATTCAGAAAGTCTGTGACTTCAGATGGCAGTGGTCGGACTCTCAACGTGAGACTGACCTGCTTAGAGCTCGTGACCCCGACGACAGCGCCTCGTCCAAGCTCCTTGTTCGCTGGGGGCCTCATTTCCTCGACCCGAACGATCGTCTCTTTGTACGGCACAATCGGCTCACCGGCCTGTATTTCGCAACGAGCAAAACGCTCCTGTAGATCCCTCAGGCAACGTTCGAGATGCAACTCGCCTGCTGTAACTAGCACGTGCTCACCGCTCGAAAATTGCTCATACTCTGCACAGGCGTCGGCCTGAACGAGAAGTCTCAGCCCCTCGATCATTTTGTCGAGATCGTACGGGTTTGCCGGCTCCAATGCGACTCTTACGATTGGCTTGCCGGCCATGTTCGCTACACCGGCCAGGTTTACAGCGCCTTCGAGCTGAGAGCACAAGGTCCCAGACTTTAGAATACCCGAGCCGTCAAGACCACCGATACCGAAGACAACACCTGCTGGAACACTGTCGAGGCTCTCGAGGTTCCGTCCCATGAGCATGTACAGTGCGGTCACGGTGACCTTCTTCGGGACAGGAGGATGTTGCGGGTTTGCCGGCGAAAACTTCGGCGGTATAACATAAATCTCGTCCCCTACTGATAATGTTCCAGAGTAAATCCGTGCAAAGCCAATGAGATGTTCAGGGTCGACAGCCTGTTCCTCGGTTTGCGGTTCTACTTCTTCTTCCAGAGTTGCACTGTCCAGCGCCACAGCAAGCGCGTCGACTGGACCGCGGTTTTCAACAGCAGCCTGGGCTCGAGCGGCTTCTGCTCGCTTTTTCCGCGCAAGTTCTCTCGCTTCTTCAGGGCTGAGCTGCCCGCGGCGCTTGTTGTGCGGAAGCTCACTCTCGGGTATTGAAACCATCTTACTCACATACGCAACTACCGGGTCAGACTTCGAGTGCTTGAAGTTGACCATGGCGTCACGAATTTCCGGTGCAACGTGCTCTCCTCCAGGCGAGTCATCAAGCAATTCCGGTAGTCTGTCTGCTTGCGCGCTTCGAGGGGATGGTAAGGACTCGATCACAGAGACGAGCAGTGCGACTGAAAGTGGAAGCCATGCTGAGACCACGGCTGAAAGTAGCGTCCGAGGATCTCTGGCATTCATGATATGCCGAGGAATGGTGATGTTGAGTGATTTGGTGATCTTTTCGAGCAGCACTGGGTCGCCTTTCCCACTGTCGCCACCGACGGTGGCGGCGTACACCGCCCATACTTGCTCAAGAACAAGTTGGACAAACAGAGGCTTCATGTTGCGTCCTTTCAAGTGCTTCCGCCCCAGAACTTTCTTAGTCTTGGGGTCCAAGTAGAAGTCCCCCCATAGGACCTTCTCCAGCACGCTGCGTTTTATCCCAAGCTTCTTTTCGTAGAGCCCGGCAAATTGTCGCACTGTAAAGGCCCAACCATCAACAGCACTGCCGAAGATGACATTGTTCTTTTCAGGTGCGAAGTAGAGCTCCTCGTCGTCTCTTTCCTCGAACTGTAGGTCACCGGATTCGGTCTGCTGATCTGCCAGCTGAGGACCCTTGGTACCAGCCGCCAAGACTCTCTCGTCAATCCTCTCTCGCCAGTTGAGATCCTCTTCCATTCTCTCGCCTTGGAAGAAGCTCCCCAAGACGGCGTTGACCTGTTCCAGAAGTTTGCTCAAGTGCACGTAAGCTTCATTGGGAGTCATTTTCAGTTCAGTGATGAGCCGGTCCATCTTGTTGATCACCAGCAGCGGCTTGAGCTTTTCCTCCCAAGTCTGACGCAAGACTGTTACTGTTTGACTGCATACACCCTCGACAGCGTCGACCAGAACAACAGCTCCATCACACAGACGAGACGCAGTGGAGACCTCACTACTGAAGTCGATGTGACCCGGGGAGTCGATCAGATTGACGAGATACTCTTTCGGCTCCGGGGTGGCATCCGGATTTGATCTCCTTAGCATGCTGAAGTAGAGTGATATTGCCGAAGACTCCATGGTGATTCCTCGTTCCTGCTCGTCTGGTCTTGAATCCAGATAGCGGACCTTCCCGGCCAACTTTGGTGAGATGATGCCATTTGTGGCGAGCAAAGCATCCGTGAGTGATGTCTTGCCATGGTCAACGTGTGCGAGGATACATATCTAAAAAACTGTCAGAACTCTTCTACAATATGATGGTGCCAAGGGCCATGATCGGTTGTCCCACTGCCCAGATGTACCGACTGGCAGGCAGCAAGCGCCTCTATCTCTGTCCATCCAAGCGCTTCCACACTTACGTTGCGAATATCATCGGGTTGTTGCTGGAGTTTCGCCAGCTTCTCTGGGCTGACGACGGGCATCTTGGTGTTCTAAAGCGCGAAAATAGTATGGAATGTGAAGGAATGATACAGAAAAATGAGAAATAATTCTAAGGGTATCGTGCGTTCATCTGTACATAAGTACAATTTGTCGAAACTTGGTTGCCACCTGAGCGTAAGATATTATTCAGAATGAGCCATTCTCCCTCGTACTGAGCAAGTGAAAACTATGGTGGGGTGAAATTGTTAACACACTGCCGCCCTGTCATGCGTGACTACTAACACCTAGACCGTCTAGTGAGTTTGTGAATGACGGATGGATGCGGGGCACTCTTGACCCTGCGCAGAGACTTTGAAAGGAGGGAAAGGCCCATTCAGCAACCAAGCAACGAAAGATTCTGCGGCCTCTGCTTGGAACAAGATCCGTTCTCGAAGAACCTCGGGCCCGATTTCCATGACAAATACCTCTCAACAGCCCATCAGACGCCTACAACCCCAGCAGATCCAGCCAGGTCGCAACGCCAACTGCTGCGTGGCATTCAGTTACCGGGGACTTGCGCTTACGGCGGCCTGTCTTGGCCGTGTAGCCCACAAGATCCGATTTTTACCAAACTCCGCGCGAAATCTCAGCACCCAGCTGCCGCGGACGCGATCTCTCTGCCCACACAAGCCTACGATATCCGCCCAAGATGGCCACCTTCCAGAATGGCGCAGCCCCTGCGCGAGTTCTCGATGATAGCGATGTGGAGGAGGAAGCCCTGGTCGCCGACTACCAGGAGCAGGTCCAGTATGAGGATGGAGCCGAACTCTCCCAGGTCAACTCCTTGACCATGGCCCAGCAGACCGACGATATCCAGTCACGACTTGCCGCCGCCGCCCAGCCCCTCGACTTCGCCGCCCCCCTCGAGGTCAAGTTCCAGAGCTACGACTCCTACTGCAGCCTGTTCCACTTCATCCTCAACTCTGAGGGCCCTGTTGACCTCGAGCCCCCATCTGTGAGCAGCTTGCCCCACACCGACACGCCCACCTGGTCGCGGATAGAGAGCGAGAGGCTGACTTGGTGAAACAGTATTACTGGGCCTGGGATGTCATCGACGAGTTCATCTACCAGTTCAACTCCTTTTCTTCCTACCGTATGCGAATTGCGAGACAGGCCAACAACGAGGAGGAGATCCAGAACCTGCGCGAGAACCCTAACACGTGGGGCTGCTACAGTGTTCTCAACGTGCTCTACTCCCTGATCCAGCGATCCAACATCTTGGAGCAGCTGGCTGCCGGACGTCGCAATGAGGACCCCATGGCGGTTGCCGGCGAGTACGGAACCAAGAGCCTTTACCGCATGCTTGGCTACTTCTCCATCATTGGCCTACTGCGCGTCCACTGCCTTCTTGGCGACTTCAGCCTTGCGCTGAAGACCCTCGACGACATCGAGCTCAACAAGAAGGCCATGTTCGCCCGCGTCATGGCTGCCCACTTCACGACCTACTACTATGTTGGGTTCTCCTACATGATGATGCGCCGCTATGCCGACGCCATCCGCATGTTCAGCCACATCCTCGTCTATGTGTCGCGGACTAAGCAATTCCAGAAGAGTGCCCAGTACGATTCTATCACCAAGGTCAGGAGCCTTCTCCCCTGTGTTTTTGAAGAGGCGGGTTAGGCCATCAGCGTGGCCAGACAACTCAGAGAACCTCCACGATGACATGATCCCTGAAACTTCTCTGGTGCACATGATTCTAACGCATTCAAACAGAAAAATGACCAGATGCTCGCCCTGATCGCCATCTGTGTCGCCTTCCAGCCTACTCGTCTGGACGACACCATTCACACGGCGCTGCGCGAGAAGTACGGTGACCAGCTGCTTAAGCTGCAGCGTGGTGGACCCGAGTCTCTGCCCATCTTCGAGGAGCTCTTCCGCAATGCTTGCCCCAAGTTCATCTCGCCTGTTCCCCCAGACTTTGACAACCCGGAGTCCAACATCGACCCCATCGAGCACCACCTGTCCATCTTCATGGATGAGGTCAAGACCAACATGTGGAGCCCCACCGTCAAGTCTTACCTGCGTCTGTATACCACCATGGACCTCAAGAAGCTGTCCGGTTTCCTGGACGTCCAGCCCGAGGAGCTTCGATCATGGCTTCTCGTTACGAAGCAGCGAACCAAGCAGCTGCGCTGGACTGAGCGCGGCCTCCTTGACGGTGAATTGATCAACGTCAGCGACTTGGACTATGCGATGCAAGGTGTAGGTGTTGATAAGAGGTCTTCCAAAAATTTTCAGTATGCTAATGGTATTCTCTAGGACCTGATTCATGTGTCGGAAGCCAAGGTCGGTCGCAAGCTTGTAGACTGGTACCTGCGTAACCTTTCCCGCACTTACGCATGAGCGTGGGCCGATATCCTGAGGTTTGGGATTTTAAACAGTGGCCGTTTGTGTGATTTGGAAATCGCGGATGAGACAGGTCTCTGCATTGCACAGGCGTTCCGGAAATAGGTGAACCCAAAGAGGGTGAGGAAGCGGCAAAACGCTCCTAACGAACAAAAATGCCACCGAGGTGGACCAAAGAGCTGGCTTCATATGGGACGAAGTCGGAAACCCCTTGGGAGCCACACCATGTGGAAGAGGTGCTTCAAAACTCTTGGCGGCGTGCGATGATTTGGTAATGATGCACTCCCCGGCAGATACCGTTGTTCTGAATGTCGAGTCCTTGACCGCCTCCGGCGCGGAGACCATGACGAGCTAGAAGATAGAGGACTTGGCAATACCGAAAGAAAGTCATGTGAGAGGCCGGGAGCAGGTGCTACCTGTCTCAAGTGTTGCGTTGGAAATGCTACAACGTGGTAAATGAATGATCTCGTTTTGAGCACCCGACATGAGCATCTGCGGTCACCAAGGTGAGAGCGCCGCCGTGGTCCCAACATCACGCTAAGAGGGCACTCAGACTGTCAGACACAATGAGAGGCCGCCCACCAATGATTACATGCCGAAAGACGTCGTCCTCAGAAGAGCAACAGATGATAAATGATACTGGCGTCCCAGCCTGCATATGCCAAGCCTGAAGTAACCGTGACTTATTTCCCACCTGTTTAGATCTGCAGCCGTCCTGGAAGGTGGCTCGTCTTCCGGTCGGAGATATAGAAAGTACGAGACGAGGGCTCGGCCGGGACCAGGTAAGCACTGCCGTAGATGGGAGGTGCCTGTGCGACTAGCAAGCACGTCTTGTAAACAGAAACCTCGAGATCGACCGAGCAGATCGCAGAGTATACAGGCGGCATGGGTCAATGAGGCTACGCTTGTAACGCCCACGCCGCCCACCACCACCGTCATCCTGCAGGACCAGACCTAGGCAGCTACGGGCATAGGATTGGTTATGGTCGCGGGAAAGGGATGAGCTATCTCATCTCATTTCCACCACAATCATTATTAATATCGTTGCCGGCGGTGCTAGCTAAACAGGGCGGGAGCTGCTGTTGGCCCATGTCCTTGCTGGCGAGCGGCTGCCGAGATGCCAGGAAAAGGGAGCACCCGCGGGCGAAGTCTTGACCCTGGCCGGCAGCTCGGGAGAGCTGTGGTGCTATCAAGCGGACACGACCTCGAGCTGGCCCAATGGATAGGTCGGAGGATTATATAGAAGCTTTGCGAGATGTGATCCACCCTGAGGAACCACATGTCTCTACCCGTACCACATCGCCGAAGTCCCTCAGAAGAGATTCCCAAATTGCCCCCCTCCCCCATATCTGGGTAATGTACTTGGCGTGCCTGCGATCTTCCTCACATATGCCAGGGGTGGCATGCCGTCCAGCCGGCATACCGCCCCCCTCCAGACCTTTGCAGAAGAGGGCCCAGACAGCAAGCGGACGGGTGAAGATGGAGCTGGTGGCCCCACCCGCAACCCACACGCGCACGATCTCTGCCTGCGTGCGTCACCAAACATTGCCAAACACGTCGAGAGCGAGCTTCTGGTTCCCCGGCGACGGGAGACAGGATCCGTGTTGGGGGTAGTGCCCATCTTGGCTGAGAAACGGATCGCCTTGGCCTTTTACCGGCAGCTGGCATCACCTTGGGAGTGCGAGGAAGGGGGTGGGAGGGGGATGAGGCACAGGACCGGCCGCGTTGGACTGGCGCATTGATTCGAGCGGCCGAGCTGTCGTGTGCTGTGCTGGCTCGCTGGCTCGATGGGCCAGATGCAACACCATCCGGGCTCTCCCACAGGCTTAGCAGCCACGGGTGGGCTCCAGGAGCGAAAGAGAGTCAAGAACCTGGGACGGGCCAAGAGGCCAAGTCCTGCACTGGGTGCGACGGCGCTGTCTGAAGGTGGCCGATTCCTGGGGAAGCCTAGGTATAGCTGAGGGCCAGACGGCATAGATGTCGTCTCTCACTGTGGTATGCAAATGGTCCAAACGGTACGTACCGTGGCTTTGAGAGGTCTAGTTTCTGCTGCGTACATACAGAAGTAGCAAGCAGACTGACTACATGTCATGTCATGTTTTCCTGATCTGCGCAGATGTGCCACAAGACTCGTATGAATAGAGCAGTCGGCCGCTGCTTTGCAAGTATGAGACAGGTTCCCGCCAAGTGTTTCTTTTTTCCCACGGACGGGAGAACAGATTAGAAGAAGGGAAACAGACCCAGGCCACGCGCCGGGCGTGGTCAGAGCTTGTTCGTTGTCTTGGCCCCCCTTTCCCATCTTCTTCTTTTCGCCTGGCCTCGCTGCCAACACCATATACCAAGCGAGCACTGCCCAGCCCAGGTGCCCGCCCAACTTGCAAATTTGTGCGCCTCCCACTTATTATTGTTAGGCAGGCACGCAAACGCAGCGCCATCATCAGCATCATCATCATCATCATCTGTTGGTTTTCCCCACAAGAGACACCCATTCCTGCAGCGCACGTCGTTGCGTTCCAAGCTTGCAAGCTTGCTACGGCTTAGCTGCCTACCTGGACCCTGGAGACAGTTCGTCGCGCCACCAATAAGTCAGTCTGTCATTGCCATTGGGTTGCAGTTCGCGGGGGACAGTGGAGTGGCAGGAGCCGTCCCTTCGCTTCCCCTTCCCACAACATTAAGCACAAGCACAACAAGCCTCGTCCCTGTCGCAGCTCCCCTTCCGTGTGCAAACCCAATTTGCATAGGCAGGGTCGCATTGTTATTTCACAGCACAAGCCGGCGGCGCCGCCAGCCATATACAAAGGGACATCTCGGGGAGACGTCTTGAGAGCTTCAGAGTTCCCGAGCCGACTGAGGTCTACGTATTGTTACCTGTCCATCGCAATCAAATCACACAGACACAGACACACGCACACACATTCATACGACAGCCAAGTTTCAACGGCACCAGGCCGCAAACCTTATAACAGAGCAGCTGCTCAGCCTCCGCCACTGGGGCTCTTTTTGACGGCCAGACAAACGAGCTTTGGGAGAGTCGTCACCGGCCACCACCTAACCTGGGCCAAAATTAATAATAACCCATCGCTGCCCGACTGAAGAGGACCCATGGTCGCCAGACCCAAAAGCCAGGCCCCAACCTCGACCTTGACCTCGACCCCTACCTCAGCTTCAGTAGCATCCACTACAAAGCAGGAGCCTAGCTCTGCCAACGCCGGTTCGGCCCCCTTGCCCCAAACCAGATGCATACGTGTTCCAGCACTTGTCTGCCAGCCTGTCATGGAGGCTACCAAAGCGCTGGCTCAGAGACTCAGTCTACGGCGACGAAGTTCACGATGGAGAGACAAGAGATGGAGTGCGTCCAGGCTGATGACCGGAGACACCCCTGCTCGTGCTTCTTCTCCTGCTCCTGATGCTGGTGATCCACAAGCGACGAAAGCAACGGCAACGGCAACTGCAACCGCAACAGCTCCCGCAAGCGCAGCCGCGCCCGCGCCCGCGCCCGCACCCGCACCCACCACAACCACACCCAAATCTGGACCTGTAAATGTGACGACGGCCGAGTCGGAGAATTTGACAGCTGCGAGCCCACCACAGACCGATGCTGCGATTCCAAGCCCAGGTTCGGGTATATCGCCCACAACCATCGTCACGCAGCCGCTGTCCCAGTCCCCACAGACCGAACACAGTGAAGACCTGGGGAAGCACCCTGATGAGCGCGTCACTGATACCATCACCGAGATCGAATACTTCCCCCATGTAGCAACGCCGGATGCACCAAACGAGAGCAACCCCGCAGAAGACGTTCAAACCAACAAGATCACGTTCGCCATACCGACGAAAGAGGCAAGGGGAGATGGGGGTAGCCAGGACGCAGATCGTCAATCAGATGAAGTCGAAACCGTTACCTCGAGCGCTTCTCCCTCAACCGCTGTCAGCCCCAGAGAGTCTCAGGACGACTACGACGAAGATGCCGGGCGGTCGAGTACGCTGAGCGGCATCAGCGGAAACGGATCACGGCAATCAAGTATCAACTCGGTGGCGTTTCAATTGCCCAACATGTCGCTGCCGCAAGGTCGCACGAGACAGCACAAGAACTCTCCGCCGCCACTGTCGAGGTGAGTCAGGCCCTATCTTTTTATTGACAGCTTACCCTGTTTCGTAAACAAACACCAATTTCTTCCTGAGGTCGAAAGACCGTCATTTCATATGTGTGCGTGTGTATGTCCGGGGAGGCGTGGATTGTCGCATTGCATCTGCGAGTTTGACCTCGATGACTTCCCGGGTGCACGAGATCGTACGTTGTACGGAACAAGAATGCGGCAGAAGTCAGCGAATGAAGTAAGAGTCAAACTGGGCACGCAGTTGCAGGCCGGCCAGACTCGAGCTGCTCTGTTACACACGCCGTCAACCACACACCAAGGAGCTCCACAATGCACCTGAGGACCGCCGTTCCTGGTTCCCGGCCGGTCGAGATCCCAACCACTTATTTCAAGCTCTCCAGGCGGGGAAGCTTTCTTCAATGCGTGCCTCCTCCGCAAGGTCCACATGGCTGTGAAATCATGGCCGGCAAGTGTCGCTGCCGTCCTGCCCCATCATGACGCAGAAGGCAGGCCAATCTCTTCAGCGGGCACACAGGATCTTCTTTCACATCTGGAGCCTTGGTGGGCATTTTCCGCTGCAATTGTGCCCAAGTCCGAGGCCAAGGGAGTCAGCCTCTCGTCGCGCTGCTACATGCGGCGGGCGGCTACCCCACCATGCCCATCACCCCGCTTCGTGCAAAGTTGCTCCTCTCTTTCCCACTCTCCCAGCCCGCCAAGAGGGTCCGGGGACCCCCCTTTTTCAGTCAAGTGGCTTTCTCGAGGCTGCCCAAGACAACCAGAGCTAGTTATCAGGTGCAAGCTTGGATGGCTGCCCGGTGATAACAAGTGGGGAGGATTCCTGTAGTATGCACATGCACACACTTCGTACTTGGCCGAGCAGTACCACCACCACCACACTCTGACTGGCGGCCTCGTCAGGGGGCTGAGCACTGTCGACCCTACTGTCCCGACCACAGGCGCCCGTCATCATCACTTTTCTACCAGTCGCTACACTGAACAGAAGCCTTGTTTGCTTGCTCGCTACACTGCACACAAAGTTGTCGAAGCTTTGCGAACCGCGAAGCTTCCTCCTATCTCAAGCGACAACCGCATTCATCGAGAGACCTACGTCACGCGCGCACAATAGTCAACATCAAGACCACAAACATGGCATCGCTAACAGAAGACGGCCCACGCAGGTTTCGAAAGCATGTCACTTTCAACAACGTGCAAATCGGCGAGCCCACGAAAAACAACTTCCCCTCCTACACTCTGGTCGTGCGCCACCTCGGCTACTATTCGAAGCGACGCTCAAGGACATTCATGGTCGGTATCGACGACCATCAATATTCGGACGAAGCTCTGCAGTGGCTGTTTGACAAGTTTGTTGAAGATGGCGACGAGATTATCTGTGTGCGAGTTGTCGAGAAAGACGTCCGTCAGCTTGAGACCGACAGGAGAATAGCAGACTTCCAGCAGGAGGCCAATGCCGAGGTAGAAAGGATCAAGGCCAAGAGCGGCGACGGCAAAGCCATTAGTATCGTCCTCGAGTACGCTGTGGGTAAGCTCCACTCGACGTTTCAACGCCTGGTACGTTCATCTTCCATCATTCAAGCCAAATGCGTGCTTACCCAGATATTCCGGTTTGCATTCGCCCTAACTGACCCTGGCAAACAGATACAACTACATCAGCCTAGCATGTTGATCGTCGGCACGAGGGGACGAACCCTCGGAGGGTTTCAGGGACTCATGGCAACGCGAAACTCGTTCTCCAAGTACTGTCTACAGTACTGCCCGGTACCGGTCGTGGTAGTAAGGCCCGACGAAAAAAGACAGAAAAAGAAGGGCAAGCGCGACGCCGATCCAGAGAAACAGAGTTACCGACAAATGCTGCAGTCGAATCATGGAATACATGAGGCAGATAGCGATGCTGCCAGTGCCTGGGGAATTGAGTCCAAATTGACTGCCGATGAGGAGGCCGGAAAGGTGGCGAGGGCGATGGGCTTGCCAGCCAAATTCGACCCAACCTTGAAACCTTTCAAGAAGGCGGAGCGACAGCGCAGCTCCCTGAGTCAGATCAGCCAGGCGACGAGCACGGAAGAGCCCGGCCGGCTCATCTCGACCCCGACTATGACACCAACTGTCAGCGCGGCGAACAGCGAGGACGAAGGCAGCGGCGACGAGGATGAGGAAGGGGAGGGTGAGTTCGAAGTTACAAGTGGCGCACAGCTTCTCAAGGCTCAAAGGAAAGAACTTGAGGAGAAGCAGAAGGAACAAGAGAAGAAGGACCGCCTGCACAAGATGGAAGTCGGAGAGGCGGCGGCATTGTTGAAGCATAAACCCGGCGAGGATGAGGAGGAAGACGAGGATGACGATGAGGACGAAGACGACGAAGACGGTGGAGGTGCCGTAAGGACGACATCATCGGATTAAGCGCCACCGTAGATATACTTGGGGCTCGAATCGCGAGCGATATCCTCTCTGTTCCCTTTTGTCTCTCACACACTACATCATCCACGAGACCAATTTTCGTTTGATTCCCCCATGAGCAAGGAGTTGCAGGGTTATCAAGCACCTAGAGCGGGCACTTTAAAAGGGCAAGTCTTATCACTGGGGCGAAAGTCTGGGGAGTTTATGGAATACCGCTTCTGCAAATGGTCACATCTCAGGTGTTCACAGTCATCGCAATTGGGTTTTGGTAGCATATTTTCTGGAGGGCTGGCTAGCTGTCATCGAGGAATTCATCTCAATCAAATAGGACCAATTGACTGCTGGTCACAGCCGTAGTAGGATTGTGTTTTGGGACAGCTTCGTGGGATGGCGGCCAGCGTCCACAATTGGTTTTCCATGTGCATTCGCGTGAGAAGGCGTGGCTGAGGCGCAGGCATTTGGATGACCGGGAGTCAATCAGCCATCGTTTCTTTTCATCAAACAAAAGTCATCTAATAACTTGAACGCCGAGATCACGTTGGCCATGCAATGCAGAATCGGGGCCTGACTGCGCCTCGTACTCGGTTTCTGTGGGGCCCTTCCAGAGGGTTTCAGGGGCTTCTTGGCCGCGCGATACGTAACCGCTGTCTACGTAAGTACCCAAGCTAAACTACTGTAGGACAGCATGGACGGCACTCGGGAACGTTGGGAGGGATGGATCTCTTTACAGAAGCCGTCCCATTGGCACTTGGGCGGGAGATCTTCATCTGCTTAATCTTCAGACAAACCACAATTTGCCTGCCTGGTTTCCGCTGTTGCGAAACCCAACACCTCGTAATAACACGAAAGGTGTTACTCAGACTGTTCGGCCATGTCTCAACTGTGAACCAGCCCTGGACCGTGACCCATCACTCCTCGCGCAGATCGACAAAGACCTGCAATCCTGAAATGCGATCCATGTCTCCGACCTCGACGACGGCCTTTGGCACACACAACCTCGTAAGAACCTCGACCGAGACCACCCGACCCGACCTAGAACACACCACGCGACGATAGAGCTGCCGCAGCGCAAATGCCGCACCCCAGATACTCGTGTGACGATGACGCGTGCTCCGCAGCGCCGCCGGCCTCGACCACCACCTTCGGCATGATCCTCTCGCTTACCCCCTTCATCCTGACCTTCGCCCTGGTCTCCGCCGCCGTCTCCAAGAAGCTCCTCCCGCGCCTATCCCGCGCCGCCGTGGCCCGCGACGGCGAGGACCACTTCCTCCCCGCCAGCGCCCCGCCGTCCCTGCAGCAGGTCCACTCCGAGCACGGCTCCAAGTCGCTGCGGAGGCGCCTGGCCGCCGCCACCGTCGCCGCCACCATCGGGCTGGCCACGGTGCTGGGCGAGCTGATCCTGGCCGAGATCTCCGACGTCGTGAGCGCGCGAGCGCGGGATGCGGCGCTCAGGCTAGTTGTGCCCACGCTGCTGCTGCTCCTCGTGGGCGTGATCCCCTTCCTCGAGATCCAGAGCGTCCTGGCTGGCTCCGGGCTGTGCAGCTTCCAGCGCAATGCGAAGGGGAGATTTCCCAGATGGGCGTGGACCCTCCAAAGCGTTGGCTTTGGGCTGTGGTTGTTTGTATTCTGGAGCATTGGGAAGGCCGTCCCCGCGGGCCACAGCAGCGACGAGGGCATATACTCGAGGAGCGCAAGGGGCAGGGGCACTTTTGATGCCACGGGTATGTCCCTTGGCTTGAGGTGGACAGAGGGCGTGACACTACCCTGGACAGTGGACACCGTCGCGAGGGCGTGCCTGGAGCGTATTGGTATTATTGGCATATCGCTCATGGCACTGCTCTCGGGGTTTGCGAGTGTCTCGAGCCCGTACTCGATGTTAGCGGACAGTACAACCAGGAGGAAGAAGCCGATCACCGATGCGGACATCGCGAGGAAGCAGGCCGGCCTGGAGGCCACGGGAGAGCTATTAGTGACGAAAAGACATCGACTGCGGTCGCTACAGAGAAAGCAGGCCGCCACGACAGATTCAAATGCCAACGCGGGCTCTTCAGGGGTCATGGGAAAGATCGTTGGGTCACTGAAGGGCATCGGGACCGGTGGTGACGCGGCAGAGATCAAGGCTCTGCAGATGGAGATATCCGGCCTTGAGACAATGGAATCAAACCTGTCCTCCGCCCTCTCATCCCTCAGAAGCAAACAAGCCGCCCAAGCCCGCGCGGGTACCGCTTGGGGCCGGCTCCTCACCATTCCGGCCTACATATTTAGCATATACTGTGTCTACCGGATCATGGCCACCTCTCTGACCTCGTTCCGCCGGCTATACTACCCGGCCTCGGCGAGCTTCAGCTCCTCAGACCCCATCAACCGCTTCCTCGGCCTGCTGGCGAAGCATTGGGACCCGAAGCTGGACCAGATAGCCTGGGCGCGGCAGATCTCCTTCCTCCTGTCCGGCGTTATCCTCATCGCGAGCGCCAACGCCGTCGTCCAGACGTTCCACATCTTCGCCAAGTGGGCCCCAGGGCTGCTCCACCAGGCGCAGGCGAACCTGGCGCTGCTCATAGGGCAGACCAGCGCGACCTACGTCATCAGCGCCGGCCTGCTGCTCAGGAGCAACCTGCCCAAGGACATGGGCAGCGCCGTGGGGCACGCGCTGGAGAGCGCCCTCGAGCCGACCTTTGTCGACCGGTGGTTCGAGGCCTGGTTCCTGCTCTCGAGCCTGGCCACCGCCGTCGGCATCTGGGTCGGCAGGCGGATACACGGGGTGGGCGGGCTCGGCGGGGAATGGGACGAGTGGGACGAGTTTGCGGGCGAGGAGATGGCGCAGAAGAGGTCGTGATGATTCGACGTTAGTTTCGATGTTACCACTTTTTTTCGCTACAAGACCTATAGATTATTTATTCTTTTTGTTCATTGCGCTCACGTTCTGGTCATGGCTTGGCGTTATATTTGATTTGTGTATACATTGCTCACTTATGGCAGGAGTTTACTTGCACATACCCAGCACTGGCAATGATTTCAATTCAATCAGGTTAGAGACAGCTGGCAATACCGCCCAGTCGCCCAGGACACCAAGGACCGCAAGATGAGAGCATTAGTTCTTCATCACACATCTCGACGACCCATGCCGTCGATCGTGGCGGTTTACTGTGCTGATTCTGAGGAATCGAGTACTGAGCCGTTTGTCAAGCCGACAGGTTTTCCAGGATGCCTCAAGTATATTCAGGCCGTGTACAACCACATCTTCTTTCTTTTTTCATCAACGCCATAACGTCAAATCTTGTATGGCGACCTTCTATACAAATTTTCAAACCAATCCACCAATGCGGCGCCCTCCGTGCTGCAATCGCCCCGTTTCCCCCCTCCCCCACGCGAGTTCGCAAAGTCACGCCAATCGACGCCCATTCCGCCACTTGACTCCGGAATCTATTTGGTGCCCAGGATGCTCGAGCCCGACTGCTCCTGGTGCAGCTGGTGGGACGTCTTGACGCCGTCCCGGCGCTTCAAGTCCGCCAAAGCCTTGCCGGTGTTGGATGTTGGTGCCCCGATCACCTTGTCGTTCTCGATCTGGTGCTGGGCGATCTGCCTGGGACTCGCGAAGACGGAGAAGACGGCTATGACGCCGAAGGCCAGGCCAATGGTTGCTGCCGTGCGAACGGCAAACCCCCTACTTGCGTGGGAGATGTCCTGTCAGCCAAAGCCCAAGGGTTGAGGGGAAGGGGAAAGAGAGGATCATACCGGTTTTGTTTCTGTCTGTGCTCCGGGTTGGGAGACTCCTGGCCGTACGGTCCTCCAAGGTCGTCGTTTTTCTTGTCCAATGGAGGTATTGGGGAGTAATTGGCTCGTTGATATGTGATGGACGATGTTGCTTGCCAGACGGGCAATCGGCCGGGCCTCAATGCCGCTGCGGCCACAGGCCGGAACGAAAGCAATCTTGCGGGAGACATGTTCTTGTGGGGATAGATGTGTTGTTATGTGTAGCACCCATCAGATTATACTATTGTATCATAGAAAGGGCGACGAATAGAGTATAGAACATTTGTCAATGCTTTGGCAGAGGAGGAAGAGCACACACGACACCGGGAGATGTTCAGGACTGCAGCCACTGCTCCAACACACACACAAACGCACACACGAGCAAGACCGTCATTTTGCGCCTAGACCTGCTTTGGAGGTCGCAGCATTCCAGCTACTGATTACATCACCAGAAGGTCGTTACCGCTTTCAGGGTCCATGATGCAGAGACTCTCGAGCTAGGGCGGTTCGACGCGGCTGGTGGTGTTAGCTGCCGAGCACATCCTAGCAAGCAAACATGCATATTGTCGTCCAATCCAGCAATGGGCATTTGCAGACACCCCCCGAATACTCAGCTCAGAGCCTTTCGTTGCATAATTTTCACTTTTTGCAGTGGCTTTTACGTCCGGCCATCGAGGACATGTAGTGCATATATGTAGATAAGAGCTAGATCGCTCCCAGGTTGTGCGCCAGCCAAAATATCTCCCACCGCAAAGAAGCATTGTTTAGATCATGATCACCACAGCTCCGACAGAGCTCACAAAAAAGGGCCTAGGGATGCATATCACATCACCACAGCTTGCAAAAACACTGGTATTGTCCCTTCAGCGTTATCGTTGCTGCTTACAACGGCCTGCTCTGGCAACGTTGTCAGACTTCACGGTGCTTCCCGAAGACTCTTCTTGTTGTGACCAAGTCGCAGACAGCAATGGGGATGGATAATGACAATGGCTCGCAAACGGCTAGCTCGGTTCATTTGAGATCGACGTCCGTCACAGTAAGTCCACCAGCCAGACTTGGAGAGGCTTTCTTATTCACTCAATTGTCCGAGGTTCAAGGCCGATTTCATCGCACATGATCGCCCCATATCAGGGCAGTCAGCCACTCTCTGTGTGTGCCTCCGCGGACATATCTATTGGGCTCTGGGCGTCTGGTCTGTTCCTAGCTGGGATGAAGGTTATCATGTGTCTATCCCAAGACGGCCTAGAAGCTCGCAATATGTGCTGTAAGAGATACGGCCCGGCCGTGCCCTCAAGACTGCGTCGACGAGCTAAACTGCCTGTCCTCAGCTTAGCCGCGGCTCAATCGGCCTGTCACTTCTTGACACGGACGGTGATCGGGGTTGAACTAGACTGAAAAGATGATGATCCGCTTCCGTGACAAGTCGGACGCTGCGGCAGATGCTCCCGAGGCACTGTTTCTTCTGTGCCTGGCGGTGTAAAAGTGGTTCTCGCAGGTGGGACAGCTCGACAGAAGGGATAGCTATCAGCCAATCAAACGGCAGGTCCTGACGTCCAACTCCAGGCCTCCACAGGGGTAAGCAGCGCCGTTTCTTGTCGTTCCCCCTCTGCCCCCCAATCCCGTGTTTCATCTGCCTCGAACACCTGCTGGCGTTTCGACAGGATTGGCTTGTCTGCGCGGTACGCCAACTGCTCCCCCAGATCACAGCTGCTGGTCTCAAAAATGGGCCATTGAAACAACGGAGGCATGCAGAACCTGCAAGCCTCTATTTGGCTCCCAGCGAATCAAATCTTGGGCGCTGGGTCCTTTGGGGTTCGCATCTGCAGCCCAGCTGCAAAGTTGCGTCGGTTCGGCGGGACGATGCGAGGCAAATCGAGAGGCAGCGCCAGCCAGCGCCAGCAAGCTCGGGTTCGACAGGCACGAGAGAGACGAGATGGCGACTCCCCCCAAAAGGTAATAAGGAAGGTAGATTTCTTACTTGGCCATGCAAGTTCGCTCTGTTGCACGAATGTTTCCTGTGTTTCTGCATTTCTGGAGCCCTCCCACGACTCATCCAGGGGTCTCACGATCTACAACTTTGTTCGAACAACATCCTTGGCCGTCGAGGCGATCACCCCCTGGCGTTTGAACCTCATCACACCTCTCTCTCTGGCACGCTGATTGTACCTGCACCTCCCAGGTGTATGGTTCGCTGGTTCGCTGGTTCGCTTCCAGACTTCAAACCTGGGCCCTACCGAGTTGTGACTCGCCACTTCGTCATAAAGACCTTGGAAGCTGGACGGTGCCTTCCAATTCATCAGAGCAGTCCATCCGTCAGGCCTCGATACTTCGGATTACTGCCTCCTGACCGGCCTCTCGTCTCCATCATTGCAGATAATACTCTTCTTGGGCTAGCTTTCTGTCCGTTCTCTTGACAGCCACCCTGTTTCGAGATCGAGCTTGGTTCTCCCTCTGCAGACCTTGGCTTCTGAGCCGGGCATTTTCTTCTCAACTTTTCATCTAGTCAGCACCAACGTCGCGATTGGTGGTCTGAGATTGCTCGATCGCACACACGTTCCATCCGGTCCAATTTTCCAGCTCACCTTCGGCAATCGACATTGACAGTCTTGGAACCCTCTGCCCGGAAATTCTTACGTACGAAGGCAATTCCAAGAGACGGACGTCCAGACGACGACCTGGGCAGGCTCCTCCGCTATTACAGGAGGCTGGACAACAAGCTTGTGCCTGTGCTGCGGCTGAGCCTCGCTCTGCAGTCTACGGACCGAAGTGTTTCGACTAACAAGGGTTGGAGACGATCGACAGCTATCAAAACTGCCAACTGGAACAGTTGAGATCTTAATTGGAGGACTCTTGGCTTAACAGCCGCATTGACCGGGAAGGCTGCCACGTTCTGCCGTCATATCGACCGTGTTCGGGCAGTGCCCATCAGCGGGAAGCTAACGCACATCACCTCATCTTCTCCCACTGCCTGACACACATCGAGTTTCGGCCAACCACCCGGCGGCCAGAAATCCGCACTGACCCGGTTCGTCACGAACAAGGACCAACCCCAGCCCTGGGACTTACAAAGATCTTATTCTTGTTTGACGTCGAGAACTACAAAGCCGTTTCGCCCTGCTCGCGGCACTAATAACGATCTTCCGCTCTTGATCACTGTGACACATGGCCCTGTGGCCTTTCTCGTGGGATGGAATCCAATGCAGCTCGATGACAACCTTTTCACCCAAGAGACCGAATGGGCAGTCTGTACAAACGAAGGCAAAGAGCAAGATGGCAAGCCATAGCCGGACGAGGCGGAGGCAGCCCTCACGGTTGTGGGCCTTGGCAGCTCTGCTCTCAACAGCATCGGCAGTCTCCCTGAACGACCTCCAACCTATCGCAAATGGAGTTCTACCGACAATGTGCAATATGGCGTACAACACACCATTCGCGGGGTGTACTACAGCGGACTTCGCATCAGGAACACGATGCTCGCAGACATGCAGGGATGGCATCAAGACGGTCGAACAAGTGGTCGACATGGTGTGCGACGACGTTACTGCAACTAGAGACACAGTGCTTGACTTCGCACAACGTGGAGTTCTGCTGCTGCACACGTGCGACGGGAATGGGAACGACATCACGCTGGCTTTGACGACCAGCACGCCTCCGACGACCAGCATACAGGTTCCGCCGACAAGCACACTGGCTCCGCCGACCAGCATATCTGTGGCACCGACAATCTCAACAATTCCTATAGTTTTCACACCGCCGGCTCTGAGTTCAACTTCAAGGAGCATAGGCTCATTCACGATAATACCGACACCTGAGCCGCCACCGGTCTCCAGCACTCTGGTCGTTCCGCCGATCCAATCAACCACAACGGCTGCGGCCAGTTTGACCATAATCCCGCCGTTACCGACACTGAGTTCGACGACTCAACTATTGACGTCGACAAGTGAGGCTCGGACGAGTTCACAAGTAGTGACATCGTCATTCAGCACGTTCACACAAACCACCACGACTGCGTCTGCGGCGCCGTCATCCCAGGGCGATGGACAGGGTCGGGGAGGTGGCAGTCCGTTTGACTCCCAGGTCTCGCTTTCGTCCAAGCTTTGTACGAATTGGCCGCTTTGCCTCACCGTTGGTGCCATGGTTCTCGGCGTAATGTTCCGGTAGGGGGGTCCGGCTCGGTCCCAGTGATGAACTGGATGCAGGGACGGATGACGTTCTTTTAGAAAGGGAACGACCAATCCCTTCATGGCTTGTGATACAATAAGCGTAAGGAGTTACGGGAGTCTCTGATTTACTGAAGGGTTTATATGACGATTCACACGAATTTTGGAGGGGTATAACTGTACTATCAGTGTCGACCATGACCTGGTTGACATTTTGGACTGGTGGGCTACGAAGACCTGCATGGGTGGCAAAGACTATCGAGCAACTAAAGCTCATGATATCCAAAACTATGTATTTCTAGATGACTATGGACGATGGGTGTAGGGAGCGGAGTACTCCATGTAAAGCTGTTGAGCGAGGTACCGATTACTAAGGCAATTCGAACGTAAAGCAGTGATGAATAAAACAAGACGATTTATGATTATCAAAGAAAGTTCTATTTCGCTTTAAACAGTTCTATGTGTTCGTCGCTATGTACAACAGCGTCCCGTCTGAAATCACGTCGTTGCTTGATTTGCATGTCCAGGACTACTCTCGGCCCACCGGTTACCTCGAAGTCTTCCCGTGATCTTTCCTCCCGAGAAGAGCCATGCGCGCCGTCCCTCCGTTTACGCCGTTTCCCTCCACAATTTCCTCATCTGAATCACACCGGGGATACACCCGCCCGCCCCGACCACCAGATCGGTCAGGAAGCCCTTCTCCATGCTCCAGTGCACCGTGAGGGGTGCCCAAGCCATGTTGATGGCGGCACTCCGCCTCAGGGCGTCGACCTCGGCCTTCTCCTCGGCGCTGGCCTCGCTGTACTTCTGATCCCGCCTGGCGACGAACTCGCCGAGCAGGCGCCCCAGCTCCAGGGCGGTGTAGACGCCCAGCCACCGCGCGCCGACCACGTAGGCCTTGCCCTGCTGCGCCGGCGTCCAGCCCAGCACGCCCCGGCCCGACAGATACGCGCCGTTCTCGAGGACCTGGAAGATGCCGCACGAGATCAGCTGCGCCCAGCTCACGAGGACCGCCAAGCTGCTCTCGCCCTGCGCTGCCGCCGCCGCCGCCTCGGCACCCTTCTCCGAACTGCTGCTGCTGCTGCTCCTCTTGCGCGCCGCCACCAGGTTGAGTACCAGCCGCTTGGCCCAGAAGTACATGCCCACAAGGGCCCACAGCCGCGCGATGGTGCGCGCCTCCGAGGCCAGGCTGCCCAGGCTCTTGAGCCGCTGGCCGAGCAGGGCGGCGAGCTGGGCGAGGGCCGCGGAGGCCGGTGGTGGGGCGCCGCTGGTCGTCTCCAGGACGACGGCCGTCTTGTTGGGGAGGGTGAAGGCTAGAGCGACGAGGTCGCGCGCGGAGCGGTGGAGGACGGGCTGCGAGAGGTTCGTCAGGGCGGCGCCCGTGAAGCGCGAGGTGTAGCAGATGAAGAGCAGGAGGGTGTCGATGCCCGAGGGGGTGGCGAGGCAGCGCTGCAGGTGGGCGAGAAATGCGTCCGCGCTGGAGGGGAGGGACTTGAGCAGCGCTGCGAGGTTCGTCTTGGTTGCTGTGGGTGGTCTGGATGTTTTTGATTCTGCTGGCGTGGGGGCGGGGATCGGCTCGCCGGTTGGGAGGTCGGCGATGGCTGTCGCGCCCGTTTCGGGGGCGGATGCTGTCTCTGTCATTTTTGCTGTGGTGTTGAGTGGTTTATGCTAAAGGCGAGGGTCGGCGTCAACTTGCAAAAGGCAGGTGAGACTAGTGAAATCGTGACAGTTCACGAAGGGCAAAAGAGGCACAAGAAGCGGTATGGTGAATGGGATTGCCGGCGTGCCGAGGTAAAAAAAAGGCAAGGCGCCCAAGATACGAAGAGCGAGAGTCTACCGACGAGACAACAGATCTAAACTCAGAATCGCTCAACCCATTCCGACATGAATCAGAGGAGTGCACAAATGGATACGATGAAAAGTCTGGCAAGGTCAACGTCCGAGGAATATGCGATCGCGGAGACCGAGAGAGGGATGGCGTGTCGACGCCGCGATGTAGTGATGAAGCCTCGGAGATGAGATAAGATTAGATTGCTCATGCCCTTTTGCTCCCCGCTTTTCTGGGAAATCTGGGGCGTGCCTATTGTCGTCGTCATTGGGCAGTCTTGGCTGTCCACGACTAAGAAACACGCGACTTTGCTGGCAAAACACCGGCTTTGTCCAAGGCTTTGTGTGGAATATTGGCAGGTTTGGAGACCGTATTCACTTACTCAGGCCATATGCTAGCTATTGTAAATCCACTCGCTGCTTTCGAAGTTCTGCAGAAACATGGAGACAGCCTCAATTGCTCGACATTTCTGTACCTGGTTTCTCGGGCCATCGCACGGGTCCTGTACGCGTATTGTAGGCATGCATGTGAGGTAAGTGAAATCGTCACGTTCCCACATTAAAAGAATACGAATTCGAAGAGTTCCTTGGCACGGCTTTTACACGTATTTCACAGGTGAAGGTCCTGCCATGAATCGCACAAATAAAAGTACATGGCCTCGGAGTTCCGAGGCTAGCAGCAAGTCGACAGGGCTGCTATGAGCAGATTTCAAGCCCACATATTTCCTTACACAGTGACTCTGTGGGAACTTCCAGCCCGACCAGCCGGTACGACAAGTCCTCTGTCGGATCAGATAACGAATAGTCCTAAAAAAATTAGTGGGAGAATCACAGGCTTCGGACAACATCCGTTCCCGACCCAAGGAACTATTCGCAACTTTGAAGGCCGTGGGGAAGGGGATTTCCCTGGGTGGGGGTTAGGTTTCGCCTTCCCACCCGTACCTGAACGTACTCGGAACAAGACCTGGCTACAATGAAGATGGCTTTTTTTTCTTCTCTCTCTTTCTTTTTCTTAACGCAACAAGCTCACTTCTCCCCATGCTCAAAGGCTGAGACAGGGGCCATCCGTCATGACGGCTCCCGAGACGCCATTGCAATGCAAGGTCAGGCACCCGTCAGCCTAGCTGCGGTCACGAAACCCGCATAGCGTTGATGACTGTCAGCCACAAGCAGCTGGGCAGCCAGCCTTTGCCGCCCTTCCCATCAGTCCTGTTATTTATCCTACCGATCCCTCACAGCAGCCTCTTTCGCCCAGCTCTAGAACGTCATTCACGCAGGCAGAAGGATTCGTGGGACAGGAGCAATCCTTGGCGTGGGACATCGCCCGAGGCCTTGTCGCACAGGTCCGTTATCTGGGCCCTGCGCTCCGGGGTCGGCTGGTCACGTATGGGCGCTGCCGAGACGAATGTGTGCGACTCTCACCATGAATTTTCACAGTCGGGACCAAGCAGCAAAGAAAATTTTGTGGATTTGGAAGGAAAATGACACCTGAATTCGCAGATGTCCGTGAATACGCCTGAGAACTCCGGTCACGATGCATCCCGCGCTCTATGCAGTTCTACACCCCACTAATGCTCCTGGCTTTGTTGGCCCAGTAGGACCAAAATCATGCTCGGCTTTCGAACTGCCCTTTGCCTCTTTTGACAACCTCAACATCTTCTCATGAGGTTGAGTTCTGGCCCGACAACTCGACTGGTATTTGACTCTGGGCAACTCTTGCCTCCTCGGATATCCTTGACATTGGTCTTCAATGTCGAAAGTCCAACTATGGTGCTTCACGTCTCATCGTCAGACCCAGATGAGGCACGGCTACTCTCAGATGTCGTTGAGCCACTTGCAATGACCGTACTTGAAGCTGTTGACGGACTGTCGCGCAGTCTGGGGATCTGGGCCTCTTCGTTCGCGAGAGCCTGGTGGATAGCAATCTCATTCCCTTTCGGCGGGACTGCCTTGCTTGGTATGGTAAACGAATGACCGCGGTCAGGTGGCGATTTGACGTAGAATTCGATCCACACCGGCACTGCGAGGCCATGTTGGCTCCAGTACTGTATTGCCTCCTCTGCGTCGGACCACGAGTCCTCGCTCCGGATATCCACACCTGGTAAATTCTGGTCCTTGGCCGCACAGCCGCGCCGAAATAACATAACAGCACGGTCTATCGCCACAGTGAAGCTGTCCAGTGGGAGGGCATGGTGCCTCGCAACCTCCAGGCTTGCGGCCCTGGCGAGGGTCTGTCGCAGGACCAACCGCTGCTGCGACTTTGGGACCTGTACTGTTTTCACTGTTCGGCAGGTGCAGATTGGTCCCATAAAACAACCTTTCCTGCTCGCGGGTAGTCTGTGGCTGAGGTAGAGCCGGTAGGTTACTGGTGTGTCAAGTTTGACAACTGGTTGGGGCGACATGGTGGCAAGAATAAGTTTGAAAAAAGGCACGTAGCTGTCACGGAAAAAGGTCCCAAGTCTGAAGCACGGGGCACAAAACCATTAAAAAAGAGCACCACGCATGTCAAGACCCGCCTGGAGGAGGAGGATGAGGAAACAAGCTTTGTCTTAGGGTCCCATTGCCTCTCTTCCAACAGGGAGACCTAGACCTGTCAAACACAGGCTTTGTGACGTAGGCTGTACTTCAATCGGCGATTGAACGCGCTTATATCGAGTACCCAGGGCGAGATTGCCCCAGGCTCTGCTAGCCTCTGGTTCCTGAATCCTTCGCGCGCGCATCGAGCCCTGGTTTGGGTGTAGCCCGCTGCCCGCCTGGATCCCACGCGGCTCACCACGCTGCCGCCCTCTCCGGGTGCACCCCTTCATTCGACGCTGCCCCAAATCTGACAGTTCGATTTTGCCCGTTTCCTTACACTGAATGACAGATGGTGAGGTTACCCAGTCCCACTTGCAGCCACGATCCCCAAGAGATATGCTGTGATACCCGAATCGCTCGGGTAACTGTGTTAGTGATCCATACTCGTGCTCCTCCGCTTCCGTCTTGAACAGGACCCTTTGCGCAGCAGAGGAAGTGGGCCGCGGGAAGCACCCGCTGCTAGCGAGAACACCTGGCTGATGCTGTGGCTTACTGTGGATGACAGTGCAGTTACGAGGCTACGCAGCTTACCTCGGCGCATGGCTTGCCTCTTCGCTTATCGCTAAACGGTGGCGTTCTTCCACATGATTGTGGACAGATATTTCCAACATGGGACCAAATAGCCCGAGGAAGCTACTATGAAGCTCCAGTCTATCTCAATAGCGTGTAAAAACGACTAATCTGCGATGAAGATGGTGTCAGCATTGAAGGGCTATGATATCAGCGGCGTCTGAAACTGTAAATTCAGCTCGCAACACGTGCTGTCGTCGAAAGCTGCCCAGCTGCCACATTGATTAGTATCGCTGATCTCTTTTGCTTATGGCGGGCGGGGAAAACACCTGTGAAGAAGATCAAATGATGGTGACCATATCCCACGATGCTCTAATTCTCAGAGGATGAAACTTCGTCTCGTGGAATTCTTGAAGTACCTCTTGCTGTAATATCTGGATGACTCGGCCATGGAGCGTGTGTGAAGCCGTTGCACTAAGTTTTGACATAATGTTGTTGGAGCCGAAGCATGATGTTTATAAGCTCGGAGTCCTAACGAGGTACGACTAGAACTTAAATGGCTGTCAATCGAGTAACTCACTAGAAAACAATTTGAACTTTAGTGACCTATTTAATTTACTACTTCCACTTTCATATTTTCTAGTTATGACATGCTGGCTACGGCGAAGCTTGCCTTGAGGGCGATGTCCGCGGTCATAGGGCTGATCTTGGTAGGTGGACGGCATCTGGGATGTGTAATTGTCGTGTATACATATCTGTGCCCTTCAATCTTGGTTCACTCTGCCCTGTCTAAATGCATATGCCAATATTCAAATCGCAAGATGGATGCGCTGATAAATCTTATCAGCTTACTGTGCCACATTCATTGGGTATAACGACGCCGGGTACGAAGTATAGACCAGGTGATCGCCGACAAAGGTGTTGTTGGCATATGGAGCCTGATCTCTATGCTATGGTTATGTTGCTCAAGTTCCAGCGTACATAAGTTGTTCCTTGCCTTCACCAGCGTCCTGCCCCGTTCCATAGAGATCGGTCATTGTTTTAGTTGGATTGTGCACTGCATTACAAGACCGTCAGGTCATGCAGCATTGGGTGACGTCGTGAGTTTTATTGATTCATGGTCTTACATTGAAACATATGAAAAATTCCGTAACATACAAAAAATAAGAAGAGAAAAAAAGGGGGGCTTTCGTAACCGGCACGGCCTGCTATGTCTGGCTTGAAGACCATGAATGGAGCCTAGCGCATGCACTTTGGCGTTTTAACGCGGGTGTCCCGCCGAGTGACTCTGCCGGCATGCATGCAGACTAGTGTGTGGCTTGTTGCTGTGCTCCAATGCTTTTTGATTTCATATAAACGCTCAAGTACTTCTCCGACTTGTAGAGGCACACTTTGAGCCCCAAGCATTTCAAATTTCATCCGCAAACCGCCAACGGTCTCTCCACGCCCTAGCCCAGTCCGGGTTACAACACATCGTGCCACAATGTCTTTAGTTGACCCAGGCCGATCAGACATCGTCGCCTTTATGGCAAAGGCTTCTGAAGCTTTAGGCCGCGATCTTGCAGCACCCAAGGATGTCTTCGGTTTTGGAGGCAACAACCCACGATTAACCGACAAGTTTCTGCAACTGGCAATCGAAGGGAAGAAGACAGCAACAACCTCGTGGCCGATCCCGCAACCCCTTCACTGGGGCCCAGGCGACTTGTCGGTCATCCTCAACGGCAAAGGCGAGCCTGCAGCCGTCATGCAGACGTTGTCATTTGTCGAGTGCAAGTTCAAGGACGTAGCTGAGGATTTTGCGCTAGCGGAGGCGGAGGGGGACTACGACGAATATCGGACAGGGCATATCGCGTTCTACCGGAAGCAGGAAAACGGCCATGAGTTTGGCGACGACAGTATGGTTCTGTGTGAGCGATTTGAAGTAATATACCCGGAGAAGTAAATGGGGAAACCTCGTGTACAATGGTCAATCGGCTTGATGAATGTACGTGAATTACAGTACGTACTACTGAAGCGCCAATGGACAAGGAATATGGGCTAACCATCCTTATGGGAAATGATAGCTGTTTCAAGCATGCACATTACCGTCAACATGACTTTATTAAAACGGAATAGTGCCCAGGAATATGTTGTGAGGAAAGCCGTTAAATGCAGCGGATTTACATTTTCCTTGTGTTTGACTATACTATTTGATTCAAGATCTGTATCTTCGAGAACTACTCAACCCGAGTCTAGCAACAGTTCAGCTTCCAGAGCTGGATGGGATTCTCAGTTCATCCAAAGCATCACATACACCATTGGAAACACACCGCCACACTCTCAAAAATGATCACACGCCATCGCAGAGCCTCTGTGGCTTACATCCCCATACAACTTTATCCTACAGGAAAGCTTCCTATAGCAATTTATCCCAAAGGAGATTATCTTCCAGAAGGTTATCTTATAAAAGGTTGTCCTATATCCCTCTTTCCTGTGAATTTTCCTGGAGATACTGTGGCCACGAAGCGGATACCCGACATTAAGCTCGTTAGTTGTTCTTGTTGTTCACGTGCGTGTAGATTGAAAATATGTTGCCTGTATGTGTGATATGCTCTGCCCTCACCAGAAATTATCACTCAGATGCAGCTGTCCGGCCGTCTTGGAGCAGGCTTGAATGCAACCCCAGTCCGGACAAGGAGTCCATTAAATAGATAGTCTCAATCTTGGCACTGCAGTTTGGATGATTTGCTGGCAGAGGAAAGGATGTATAATGATTGGCTGCTGCTGTGGTTCGTCCAATCACAGCAAGCCAATCGACAGGGGCTGCATCAGGCCCCGCTTTGATGGCCCACCACCAGAATCTTATCCCCTCCCCACCCACACAAAACAAGCAATATAATATCGGAAAATTTTGCTGCTTGCACAGAACATGGTCCGGTGGTGTAGTTGGTTCATCACGTCAGTCTAACATCATTTCAACTCATTCGAGTGATTTGAGAATACACTGAAGGTCCCCGGTTCGAGCCCGGGCCAGATCATCTGTTCAACTTTTGAAGTTTTTGCCTATGATAGGCACTGCTTTGTGCCTTTTTGCTGGGTAGTCCAGACCAGCTACATGACTTGAAGGTGGCACTGATCCATATAGGTCTGTCTGGCTCATCTGAATGCAGATCACCCTGCCAAAGACACTCCTGATGGAGTAGTTTGGACCCCTCCGAGCTGGGTCGGTCAACGGTGATGGTTAACGGTGACCGTGTCGACAGACAGGGCCAATCTGCAATGCGTATGTAAATGAATCAGAAGTCTCCTTGTCTTGAATCAGAGTGGATTGTGGATTTCCAGATCGGGCAGTACGGTTGTCCTGAATTGGGTTGAGGAGCTTCGAGTTGCGATAGCTAGAAATATGCCAGGGGCTGCCGATGATCTTTTCGGCCAAGTTCACACACAGCTTTGGGCTTCTGAGTCGTGCAGACGACGAGCGTTGTTTTCCCTAGACCACCTCGACCGAAGCAAGTGGGGTAGAATAAGGTTTCGTTTGGCAGATCTTGGTAACACTGACGCGGCAAAGCAAGGATGCTATAACACGAGGCATTGTGTGATCGTCTTGATGTCGATCATCTGGACTTGGGAGTTTACTCTGAACCTTGCTGGACATCTGGGGAAGTAAAGCTTGGCGAGTTTTCGAAAGTCCTTGAGCATAGGCCTGGCATTCGCAGTCTACAATTTCCACGAAGCTCAACACACGGTGTCTATCGAATGCACTTGATCACTGGATGCAGCCCTGTCTCTACAAGGTTGGCATCTTGAGGCATATGCTCCTGGGCCAAGAAGGATGCTAGCATCATGGTTACGGCTTCACTGGCCTAGCAAACCTGTGGCTCTCCCGTTGTTTCTTCCTCAGTCTTTATTTCTCCTTCTAAAATTGAAAGCTTCGCTGAGTCTGCTTGCTTTTTGAATAGTGGCAAACGCCAAACACAGGCTTTGCCATCTTGGGAGCAGTGTCCCCTCCTGACCTCGGGACACAATGCTGACTCCATGATCTCCACAGTTGAAAGGAAATGACTGTTGATGCAAGGAGATCGACCTGAGGAGCTAAACTCGGGCGTCGGAACACACGCATCGAGCACCGGGGCCGACGGTCCTGGCCCCACCCACTGGAAATAAGGCTCTGGCTCGGAGTCGCCCGAGATCTGCAAACCTTAGGGGGCGGGTGGACCATTGCAGCCGCCTTGCCGCTTGAGGCTCTTCACAACTTTACCGTCTTGCGTGCAACCTTCACAAAATCCTGCATATCTGTCGCTCGCTCGACGTGGTGCAAGCTGGCGAGCTGCCCAGACTCGGCGTCGCTCCACTTTCATAGAGCCCATGCCGCGCGAAGACCTGTCTCGGTAAGTTGCCGCCGCAGCCCCTCGTCAACCACTGACGTCCGTCGAGTGCAGCTGTTGACGGATCAATTTTCTAGTCTTGGCGGTTTCAAATTATATTGTTTCCCTTCAGGCCCCCCCTGGAGCTGCCGTCATTGTCATTGGCCTGCCAGGAGGATGCGGCTCAGGTACAGCTAAATCCCCCCTGTCTTATGCGGGTCGATGTTTGATGTTTCTCCGTTTGGACTCTACAGATCCTTACAGATCCAGGTCCTCGGTTCGCGATGGCATCAGGAGCCTATGAGAAGTCGTCCACCATGTTCCTTTCGAGGTAAGCCGGCCATGTGAGGCCCAGAGCATATCCACTTCAATAAACATGAGCGTCTAGGATCCCGGAAGTCTTGCGACAGGACGGTGGGCAATTTCCCCCCTTTCGTCCCCTTACGGCGACACGACGAAGGGCATCACATACTTATACCAAGCTGGCCGGATAGTTGATCTTCTTGTCTGGCCCTTCTGGTTCTCTAACCTCGTTCAATTCGTCGTCTTCACATCGACAATATTCATTCATTTGGGTTTGCCTGGGGCTGCCATTCATTTCAACACAAACCGTTAACTATCGTCAATCGTTCTTCAAACCACCTATAACCCTTTTCGCCCCCTCTTGCCCACCTAGAGTGAATACCGCATCACAACAAAATGGCTGCCAGAAAGACCCTCGCGCTCATCGCCTCCGCCACCCTCGTTGCAGGACACGGCTACGTCACCAACGGTACCATCGGAGGATCGGATTATGAATTTTACCAGCCATACCAAGACCCTTACAAGTCCCCCGTTCCTGACAGGGTCTCCCGAAAGATCACCGGCAATGGCCCAGTGGAGGACGTCACTTCTTCTGACATCCAGTGCGGTGCCGACACCGCCCCGGCTGCCCTTGTCGCTGAGGCCGCAGCTGGCTCCGACGTTGAGCTTTACTGGACTTTGTGGCCTGAGTCCCACGTCGGCCCTACCATCACTTACATGGCAAAGTGCGACAACGATGACTGCACGACCTACACGCCCGGAACCGACGCTGTTTGGTTCAAGGTCCAGGAATCCGGCCGGGAGGGTACCTCCGACACCTGGGGAGCTGTAAGTGTTTTGATACGCTTCTTGACCCAAATGTTTCCGTGACTAACACATATACTCTCATTAGACCCCTCTCATGACCGCTGGTGGCAGCGTCACCTACACCATCCCCGAGTGTATCGAGCCTGGCAGCTATCTGGTCCGCCACGAGATCATTGCTCTCCACTCGGCCTACAGCTACCCTGGTGCCCAGTTCTACCCCGGCTGCCACCAGATCAAGGTCACCGGCGGTGGCTCGACCACCCCCTCTGACCTTGTGGCTTTCCCCGGAGCCTACAAGGGAGCCGACGCTGGTATCACCTACGATGCCTACAAGGCCACCGAGTACACGATCCCCGGACCTGCCCTGTTCTCTTGCTCCGGCTCCAGCTCCAGCGGTTCGTCTTCGGGCTCGTCTTCGGGCTCGTCTTCTGCCGCCTCCTCCGCCGCCACCACCCTGGCTACCGTGACAAAGGCTTCCTCCACAGCTTCCAGCACCTCCGTTTCTGCTGCCGCAGCGGTCGTGACCTCCAGTGCCGATGAGGGCGACGACGGCTGTGACGTTCCTGCCACCACCACCACCGCCACCAGCAGCTCTGTCCCCGCCAACGTTGCTGCTGCCGCCACCTCTGACGCATCTGCCTCCGACGACGACGCTTGCGACGCCGAGGAGACCATCACCGCCACCATCACTGCCAGCTCTCCTGCGGAGACTGGTGCTGCTGATGAGTGCCCCGCCGATGAGGATGAGAGTGCTGATGACGGCGCTGCTGACGAGGGTGACGATGAGTGTGACGCTTAAATTTGAGGCGCACATTAGTCTATCGTGCAAGTAGTCTGCGCGACAAGATGCATCGATCCATCGTTGTATGGGCGTTGACTAAGACAGACAGGTGGTCTGGATAAACGATTGAACTGTTGGATGCGTCGTGTTGCACGTACTTATTTCATCAATGTAAATATTACTGGTGTCCTGGCTAGACTGGGCGAGAATATAAATCTGCGGAACATCTTCTGTTATATCTCTGTCGTCTGTGATCTTCGTGTGTGAGGACCCTCAACCAAACCTGTGTTCCCATAAACCCTCACATTGTGTGAAGGAGAAGCCGAATACCAGATGATGCTAAGTCTTGAGAGCACGAGTACACGAAATTTGTGCTTTCATTCATCACTAGTCTGAGCTTTTACAAATTTGCCGGCTCAAGCTGGTTGCTCTGCTGAAGTGATCAGAATCTCGACGCACAAGATGTACCAATCCGAGATCTAAGCATTTTCCTCCCATCGTCCGTCAACAACCATCGCTCTCATCGCCGCGATAGTACTATCCACAGAGTGCTTAGCCATCTCATCCTCGACAACCCTTTTCTCAGCCAACGCCTTCTCGTCCAGGTCAGGATGCATCCACTCAAAGGTGTACGTCAGATACAGCTCGTCATCAGGTCCTCGACTGACAATGTTGGCAATATGGCTCCCATTCGGCTGTTTAAATTCGACCTTGATCGGGTAAAAGGTCGTGACGACCTCCTCCACACGCCTGTTGCCCTCGCGGAAGGTGACCATACGTGTTGTCACGGGCCGCTCGTGAGTGTCCTTCGATTCAGAGACAACCTCGGTGTTGAGGATTGCACCGCCGACGAAGTCCTCTGCTCGCCGGATCTTCCGGCGAAGGAGAGCCCAGATGTGCTTCTGGGAGAGCTTGGGCTCGGATGACGCCGGATTGATGGGAGCCGTATAAGCAACGTAGTTTGCCGCCATCTTCGGGTCAAGTAGTGATTCCGAATTTGTTCGGGTCGTCCAGGATAACAATTTGTCGCCTTGGGGATAATCGAGCATACGATTGAGGTCAAACACAGGTCGCCAAAGTCTCAAGTTCTCTCCAAGAGCCTCCGAAGTAGCCTTTTCTCCAAGTAGCTTTCCCCCAAAGTTGATTTGACAGGGTTGCACCCAAACGGGGGATAGCCAATCAATTAGTTCGCCCATAGTCTCACAGAATTCATGATTTTTGAATGACGTTACACCAGAATTGATCACAATGACAATTGTTGTGAACAGCAGGCGAAAATTGTGCCAACTCCTTGACACCTTTTTCTCATGTATCCATCCGTTGAGCGACACGAGTCAACCACGAATTAGATGTACTATTCGCCGGTGATGTTAGGACTGTAATGACCTGCAAAATGTGACCAAACTGCCGCAATCTGCAGCTGCAGAGGCTTTCGCCAGGGAAGTAGTTATTATCCTCGGCATCTGGGATTTCAGATTCAGGTATCTCAGTACATTGTCCGGATATTTCGATGGTTCATTAATTGACGACATGTTTGACAACAAAGATTCTGATGGCTCCAACAGATTTCCCTAAAATTATCTTTTGATGAGGGACCTATCTTGGTGCCAAAACCGAAACACGAGCACGTCAAAATTACGATTCAGTTGGAGAGAGGATGAAGGGCGCCTTGACAATGACACTGTAATATTTGCATCCACACGTAAGAATCTGAGCTGGTTAAGCCCTGCACTCTTAATTGTAACAGATCTATAAACATGCTGGCGAGGGTTTCCCGGGTGAGCCTAGCTTTGTCCAAAGTCTCAACTTCTGTTTGAAGCTGTGGTGCCACCATCCATAGTAGCTTCGATGTCAACAGCATTTGGCAGACACGCGCGATTTGATAGAGTCTGCAAGCAGTCCAAACTCTCCAACTCCAGGTGCAATGCCTCAGCATCGAGCGGTGACTTTGGGGTGTTTGCAATATTCCCAGCAGCATGGAGGGACGGCCGACCTGATCTCTAGCGCAGGCCGCCCACCACGACATGGGGATGGGAAGGCTATAGCATGCGATGTTTTACGAGCTAATGAGTTGACATGACTCTGCAGTCTTTAAAACACCAAGGATCCTTTAACCAGATCCAATTGCTATTATGACTGCTTGCGATTTTCCGTCATGGGTAATTGGCACGCGATCTGCGAAGCACGCGACCTGCGAAGACAAAATATGTGTGGAGGCATGAGGCAGGTCTGCCTACATACAACATCTCGGTGCTTTATGATGTTATTGGTGAATTTCTCGCTTCTATGCCTTCTGTAAATCTTGCTGAAAAGTGGATGGAGTGTTTTTGACGTGGCAGTGCACTACATCTCAGACTCTCATAATCCAACGTCAGGGTTCCAGCTTGTAAAGAGAACAATTGGGGGGTTCATCACATAGATTACTTGAAATCCGATCGGAGCATGTGCATACATACAATATGAAAACCTGTGGATAAGCCTGTCAATTCGAATTTCTTATTGATGGCCGCAAGATGATGCTCAATACTGGTAGTCTCATCTCAAGATCCGTGTGAAGACGCCCGAAGTTTTGAGATTAGGAGCTGTGGTATACTATAGATTAGAGGAAGAAATGAAAAGAACTTGGAAGAGAGGGGGGCAAAAGCGGCTGGCAGATATTTCTCGGTGCGGACAAAGTCGAAATTGAGACAATCGAAAAGTAATCTTCCCACCGATATGCCATTGCACAACAGAATGAGACGATCCTTCGCATGTGTCCTGAACCCTGTGCGCTTCACTCACGGCGCTAGCCTTCCCGAGGGCTATGGGCGAAAGGCATGCTGTCTGAAGACCACAGTTCCCGGATATGCCGGGGATCTTCTTCGCGGTCTCAACGACGACGACCTTCAAACTTCAAATAGTCGGAACAGAGAAATGAGGCCGAAAATTTTATAATCATCACATCCGTATATCAATATTCCAGGCAAACACCATTCTATCTGTGGCCCGAATGATCGACCGAGATCTGCGAAAGCCATGTGTGCGCGATTCCATGCGTGCAGCGTACCTAACGCAACAAATTGTTTCTGACTACATGACCCGGCCTCTGTAGACAATTGAGCCTATATGCCGTTGGCTTTCGTTTTTAAAAGTCCATGGCTACCGTCGACGGATGGTTACAATTCAATAATGGTAAATCGAGAGAGCGAGGGGTACTGCTGGGCACGCAGTTGGTAGCATCGATTTCACCGGGTTGGAAAAGTGAAGTCGCAAAAGGCCTCCTACAAAAGGTTCAATAGTTTGCAGTGGCGTCAGTACGACAAGGAAGCCCTCTGGTCAAAACCACGTAGCATTATACATTCGAAACCAGCTGCTAATGGTGAGACCGTGGGTGGCGATGTGACCTTGGCACCCGTGCACTACCCCAGTCCTTGACGGAGCTGATCGACATATAGGACAAAGCAGCCGCTCAGCCTTCCCGCCACGAGGAATGCCATAGCTCCCTGCCCTATACCTCAGCAGGCACGTGTATACTATAGTAATTGCCACAACTGCCTAGGATGGCCAGCGGGAGTCAGATCCACTTGCCGAAAGTATATTTGACCTCATGTCATAAGAAGTGAAGTATGAGCTGTGGCCAGAACTAGTCGATGTCAATAAGTGAAAAATGAATATTCGTTTTATTAATTTAGTTACGCACCGCTCTTTTGGTTAAATCGACCGGAACTTCAATTATGAGCGCTAGAGATCTGGTCGATTGAGATTCTTTTCGCGACTAACCCATTGTGATTGGCAGCACTAGTCTTTGGACGTTGCAATTTTACAACCCTTGACCACGAACAGACCGTGTTCTAGGCCACGCAGACCTAGTGACCAAGACGTCATTCTATACCGGGGATTGGGCCAATGCCAATGCTTTGCACATGGGCAAAACAAAAAGCGTCTGAATTTATTTTTGCCCATGTTGATCGACATAGTGCTCTGAGCTCCTCTGAGCTCCTCTGGGCCCCTCTGGATCGGAACAGAGTCTCCTTGGAAAAGAGCAAGCCAGCTGGTGAATGAGACATATGGGACGGCCCCGGAGTCTACAGTACCACTAGATGTTTTAGTGTTTGAGCTGCTGTCAATTCCACTGAGCCAAAAGGAGCCTTGCAGTTCAGATGACAGTCCTGTCAGCCACTCCGCAGCCACTGCGGCCGTTGAATGGGACCCAATTTAAGATATGGACTAGTCTTTAGCGTGAGAGATTCCCTGATTTACCCGACTTGACCTACGACGTTTCACCTGATCTCTCAGCCATCATTGGGTGGGCGGCCCGATTCTTCAAATTCCCTGACAGGGCAGGAAAGGGGCTGATGGCGGTCCTTAGGAGTGATTGTGTCAAGAGGTCGGAGCAGGCTGAGAGAGGCGGGCTACTTTGGCAGGTCGCATGGCGCATGAACGTTCAAGCTTGTGGCTTGAGCGCGCATTCAATCAAGCTACTGAACTCATGGATACAACTGTGGCTGTTAATTCCATGGAATCTCGATCTGGAAAATTACTCAGTCTGGTCTAGAGAGATCGGCAATAGCAAAGGCATGCTGGCATTGTTTGCATGACGGATGTTCAGTTCTCTTTCTGAACAAGTGCTGTCATTTCAGTCTGAGGTATCAACCCCTTAATCTAATCTCATAGGTCGTCAACACCGTCATCGCTGATCGTGCTATATCCACCTCCGAAACTCTCCGCGATAACTTGTGTTCGCGTCACCTTGCCCGCCGGAGTCACATAGATCCAACAGATGCTCTCTATACCAGGGAAAGGAGCATACATATACTGTAACTCAAACTCCTTGACCTGCCCATCAATGCTGATTGTCTTGTTGTGGCCGGTGAATGACATGTCTCGCTCGTAATAGCCAACAGTCGTGCGGCTCTCCTCGTCGCCGTCATTGTCCAGCTTCACGTCGTACAGATCACCATTCTGTGCCAGTACGCGGTTGGTATGCGTGTTGCCTGTATAGTCGTTGACGCTATACAGGATGCCCTCGTCGAGCGCAAAGTTTCTCTTGGCTTTACCGCCGTAGTCTCCAGATGTCAGGTCGCCAACTGTACCGTTAACGATCTTTCCGACGTCGTCTCCCAGAGTCGCTATGATTGGGTTCAGGTCAATGGAGTCTAGAACATCCGCAACCCTTGAAGTCATAAGAGTCAGCATTTGGCCGAGATATTGGAATAAGTGAGAAATGTATCACCGAACAGGGGTGGCTTACATTTGAACAACGTTCTCTAACCGAGCCTCAAGCTCAACCTTGGCGCTCACGTTTTGAATAGTGAGCTTGACTCTATCGATGGATGCATCGACGCCGGCGCTGAAGTGAAGCAGCTTCAGCACGTCGGCCTGCAGATTGACCTTGGCGGTTATGTTATCGACCTCGATGTCGATCTCGCCAACGGATACTGATGCATTCAGATACACATCAGGATCATCTGGCAGGATGTTATCCGCGTCGGTGTTGGTATTAGCTGTCTCGTATACTGCCGACTCTGGGTCCCCTCGCTGGTCGAGACGGTAGCCGATATATCCATCATCTTGCCTGCTGCCATGTTGAGCGCAGGAGACGGAGAAGGCGAGCAGACCAAGGCCCAGCAAACCCTTTGACGAAGCCAGCATTGTGAGTTTGTGTAATGAGTGACAGACGAAATGAGGGACGCGACAGTTGGAGTGAAGAAAAGAACAATTTCAAAAGAGTGATGGGTCAAGGTGCGACTCCTGCAGGAGATAGCGAAAAGTTGTTGTGGTCTGACTCGAAGGTGGCAGCTGCTGGTGGGCAGTGGTGAAGAATGAGCACCCTGCTGCGTAAGAAACCCGCCCAACGAAACGCTGGCGAGCGATGATAAAGGGGAGGCTGATGTCAGAGGTCTGGTCTTCTCGCTGGACAAAGTCCGAGGGCGCTTGCTCTGTTTGACCAGCTTTGCGCGAGGTAAATATCACTGCTGCCCGGTCTTAATTGCTAGGACAATGCATGATGGAGCAGGACCTTGGGACCACAATTTGCCGGCCATGGCGCTATTTCCAGTCTCGGACAGCATTTCCTTGAGGAAGTCCAGTCGTCTTTACCATGATGGTGGGAAGATGTGTCTAGGCTCTCACCGGGATCAAGGATACTTACCATCACAGCCCACAAGTTACTTTGGTTGTGGCCCAGCTAGTGGCACGCTACTGCAAAGAACGGCATGAGACGACGTGAAAAGGGGTAGGGTAGGATGACTGCAACATGCAGGAGGCTAAACAAGAGCCAAGACAAACTGACGGGCGGAACCTGCCTTATTACATCGGCTCATTTATCCTCGAACCTGTAATATCCACAGGAGCAATGCTAGAATGCTCAGGCGGGTAGGACGGTCGTTGCTATAATGGCACACATATCGACATATCGATGTTGAATATTCTGGTCCACTAAACATTTCATCACTCATCGTCATGGCCAACTGCTTATTCGCGCCCCCTGACTCGTCAGAAATCTCAGTGTCCACCCGCTTCCGCAGTGGGTCGGAGCATTTTACCATGTTCTTGCGCCCCGACTTTTCCTTGGAAGATATCCAAACCCCATGTCTGATCGAGATGCTCAAGGTTATTTTCCCCGGCCGGCTCAGGTCGCCTAGAGGACCGGGTCACCGGCCGCCACTACGCATCCCCTGTTAATTGCCAACCTGATTTCCTCCCGGATTTTCGAATTCAAGGGTGGTAGAGCTACGGAGGGTTAGCATTGATCAGATGGGACCATTAGTCCACTCACGTACTAGCTCTTTTTTCTGACATGCGTCTAATTGTCCCAAAAGATGATCACCTTCGTGTGCTTCCCTCTACTCACCCATCCGCCCACCTTCTCTCCGAAGACTTGCCATACTCGATCACCCAGAGGATCTTCCCAACATATCTCTCAAGGCTCACTCTTTCGCCTCGGGAACAAGCTCGTTTACTTGAATCCACTCCTTTGTCTGCCGGATAGATCAACTCTGGTAGGATTTGGCGTCAACAGAATGCGGTCCTACACTTTCTTGTTCTTCGCTCTGTGCTCCGTCTTTTCCCTGTCGGCAGCGCAGACGGCTTCCTCGACACTAGACTCTACAGCAGCCACAACCTCAGTAGAGGCGACTACAGGAGAGACGACTAGTCCGTCCGCAACTGTCAGTTCTGGAGGAGGCTCCGCGTCGAACGGCACCACAAGTCTCGGAGGTGGCACCGGCACCACTACATCTGCTAGTAGCACCAGTACAAAGGGGCCTCCAGACGTACTTCTGAAAGTGCCTAACCTCTCGGTCAAGAGGATCGAGTACGCCAACCTCGGGATGTATATCTTGTGCGTTCTATTGCTAATCAAGCACTAGACTGATCGTGGACAACCTTCAAGCAGAGATCAACCTCGCCGCCGAGGTTGCTTCTCTCGTGACTATTAATGCGGGTGTGGAGCTCAGCGTGTCGAAAGTGAACATCACTATCGCGGATGTTGAAGCCGAATTGGAGCTTATTATCCGTTTGGGCAACTGTAAGGCCACTGCATTGCTCGAATTATCTTCAGAATGTTGACTGACTTACCCTACCGCAGTGGTTTCCATCGTGAACCGGACGCTTGCGACTCTGGACTTGAACCCTCTGCTCATCAATCTTCTGAACGAAGTGACCGATGTTGTCACAGAAGTGGTAGCTGCTGTGGACAGTCTTTTGGGGAGCATTGTTCAGGGCAATTCGAAGATCAATTTCATCATTGACAACCTCGGAAATATTGTAAGCTGCCTCCAGGAAATATTCTCATTTTTTATTAGCACGTCCTTCTGTCTGCAGACCGTCCTTTTGGTTGTTGCAAAAGCCCTTCCTTGCGGTACAGCTCGTGAGGCGTTCCGTAGGCAGAGACTGCCTACAATCCCCTTTTTCATCCGTGGTCTGGATTGTCTGGATCGCTAACACTGAATACTTTAGGTCCAAGAAGTCGTCGGCGATGCAGGCAGCGCAGTATCCAGCATCGTAGGCAATTTCGAGCAGAACATGACTTTCACAGGGGACGCGAAGACGTTGTCGGGCGGACTCGTACAAAAGACGTACAAATACGATCCTCTTGGTACGCTGGTCAACATCATCTTCAACGCTCTGGGGCAAGTCGTCCAGGCGACAGTCGCCAGCTCCACATCATCCGGGTCGACGAGCACGACCAGCGCGACCACTGCGACTGCAGGCACCACGGCGCCTGCTAGCACAACAGCTGTGACAACTGCTACGGCGGCTGCACGTCTTTTCTGAGATAATTACAGCTTTATGAGTAATACATATTTGCTGGGTCCTCATGCAGTAGCGGCTGTGTAGAAGCCAGACCATAGCATATATAAGCTTTGTGCCAAGAAATCAAGAACGTCTGATGACGGACTGACCTTGAAGCCGTGATCCCAGTCCTCCTTCCTGATGCTGAGCTCAACGCCGCCTGTGAACCGTGGTTTATTGAATCTTATATTCAACATGAGTCGCTAACATTGGGCGCAGCTGGCCTCGTGTACTCGCGCATCATCGTGGGGTTGTAGGCGTTTTCAAAAAGCAAGTGGCCAGCCAATGGCGGAAAGCGACCAATCTTGGGACAGCGATTCAGGGTACTCCTCTAGTGGGAGGACTGCCGCCCAACGACGTAGTGATGTGACCCCCCTGCAGGGGCACACGCCCATCTTTACTCTTCCTTACTGATATCTGATCAGGTGTATGTGCTATATCGATGTGGGTTGCAAGAAAGAGCTGATTCTGTGAAACCATCCCCTACGTATGATGGCAAAGTCACGCTCCTCCTCCTTGCTCCACTGGTGGATGGAAAAGACGCAACCCATCTTTGCGCCCGTGACAAGCTCGACACCAACCGGACTCTTTGCTGCTCAGAGTCTCGTGCAGCTCGCGCCAGTAAGCAACATAAGGTTGAGCGGAAGTCCCCACATCTTGCATGTGGCACTAGTACTTTTGAAGGACCTCGCGGCGACTGAAAGCACTTTCATCCCAATTTCGGATACCTGTCGCAAAATCTTGCCGCTGCAACATGAATTACCTGTTTGATAGAACGTGCATGCACAAGCCCAGTGTTACGGTACAATCAATCAGCACCGAGATATCCTGAGCCTCTCAGGGTGGGTTGAGCAAGAAACCGTCTTCACCTCTCGATAAGAGCTGCCAGGCATACTCGAATCCTACGCCATCGTATTCACGCCGCACGTTCTCTTGCAACATTTAGACCAATGTCGTAGTCCCGGAAATGGCTCCCACTTTAGAAAAACGTGAATGTGATAATGGTTCCCTGCACCTCTGCTGCTACGGCGTGGCTGTCCTCACGTGCTCTCACGGAGCTTGTAAGTCCTGAAAAAGAAAATCCGAAAACTCTTTATGTGAAGACTGGAACAGACTATTCTGTCGATCTGTGGAGTCTCGAAGCCGAAGGATATTGCACCGGGGCGTCGAATCAAAACATCGACGAGCTGATCTCGACATTGGAGTTGACTCAAATTGTATCAAGATCTATGCCTCTAAAGTCTCCAAATGAGATTGATAAATATCGAGCTAGCCTTCCGACAGTTTTAGAAGAACCTCCAGAGAGAATCCGGCCCCTTGGTCTTCTTGAACGCTCCGTACCATCTGCACAAGGGATATAGCACTGCAAGCACTAGCACCAAGTTCAGCCAGTAGATCCAAAGGCTGTCGATGCCCACAACCTTGTTGCCAGTTTGGGGGTCCTCCCACTTCCTTTCATGCCCGAACCTGGGCAGCCAGATGAGCCTTGTGGCGAAGAGCAGTACCAGGTGCGTGATATAGAAGAACAAAGCTGAGGTCCCGTATGTAACGAGAGGGTCCAAGACCGTCGAAGCCACAACTCTTGGGATGGTGCCGAATATAGCAAGCAATAAGAGGCTGAAGCCCACGCCGTAAGACCAGAATGCGACGTCAGGGGGATACTTGACGAGGTAGAAGAATGACGGCCATGAGGCGAGGTAAGGGTTTGCGTTGGGGCTTGCCTCATGCTCTGGCATATGAAGACAGCCCTTAGAGAGATTCCCGAACTGCAGCACACGTGTCAAGACGAAGACCACCAAGAACGCCAATGCTGCCACGATGTTGCCGACGGTGAGGACCGTCTTGGTCCATGGTCTAGCGAGCACAATGCGGCCGTAGAGAAGACCCAGGATTGCAAACGACACCCATGCCAGCGGTGGATAGCCGGAAACAAAGCCACCTGTGATGAAAGGGTGAAACCATATGTCTAACCAATTACTTTGTGAGAGATCCATGGTAACCGCAAGGTCGCGAGTAGACCCCTGTGCCTTGCAGTGAGCCCCTGTGGGAGACAACCACAGATTCCACCAGATCGTGACCACAGCGAGGGCCAACAGCAGGGTGTTGTGAAGATGCCAGGAAATGTCAGAAGCACGGATAATCTTCCTGTCAGGCGCGATATCTTCCTCACCTCTGCGGTCGGCCAGCAGGGGCTCGCTGGCGTCGTCCTTCTTCGCATCCGGCAGGATCTTCAATAGACCAAATGCCAAGCTCTCCTCGGTCCTCGAGATGATCAGCCACAGCAGACCAGCCAGGAGGTAGTCCACCGCCAGGGCGAACAGCACGACATTCATGAACCAGACCTTGCCCAAGGTGAGCACCAGCCCCATTGGGATGCAGATCAGGGTGAGCACCAGGGCTCGCGCAAAGAAGTGCCAGAACATCCGGCCGGTGGACCAGCCCAGGGCCCTGCGGGACCTCCCGAAGTAGACGACGCCCATCCCGAGCAGGAAGGTGAAGCCTGCTGCGCAGAGGTGGGTGAGCGAGCGGGTGACATAGGCGATTGGCCGGTTCCACTGATGTACCGGCTCCCCGCTGTCAACCTCGCCGTGGATGGCGGTTTCGTGCTCCCATGGGCTCAGGGCGAGAGTGTTGTGGTCCAGGGCCATAAGAACCATCATCAGGCCTCGGAAGAGATCTGGTGCGAGGGCTCGGGCAGTTGACCCGGCAGGTGCGGTAAGCTTGGAGGGGGCATGTTGGATGGGACTCTGGTTGCTGGTAGGATGCTCAGATGCTTCCGGCCTGGACACTGATCCATACGATGAGTGTGAGCTGGTTGTAGTTGTGGTCTGTTGTTGTTGGTGGTGGCCTTGTCCATGTCGTCCAGCGTCGTCATTGTTCGTCAGGGCGTCATCTTGGAAGCTTGTCTCCTGGACCGATGCATCAGGGACGGCGCGGACAGCATCCTCCATTGTAGGTAGTGAGGAAGGAAACAATATCCAGAGATACTGCTTTGGCTGTCACGAAACAGATGATGCAGGGTTGAAATGGTGATCAAGTTCCAAGACCTCCCTGAACTGAACCACCTGCCGTGGCTAAGCTGTTTCGCCTCCCAGTGGGGCGTGCTGCGCAGCTTGTACAGCTAGAGGTAATGCAGTTCGCGCGACTCTGCGTTTCTGGCGCCAATCGCTGCAGGGCGACAATGCTCGCCGACCCGGATCAAATGCTCCGGCTCACCACCTAGGCACTCCGGCACCCTTCTCTCGGATCAATGTCGTACACTCTTAGTACTGAGTAGACATGTAGACAAGCAGTGATCGGAATTGGCTTATGAGCAATCTGAGATGCATCTATAGCTGTGTATTCCAATGAAGCCTTTTTAAGCAAAGCCTATTGCCCGAACAGTCAGACCGACTCTGGCTACGGCTCCGTAGCAGCTGTCAGCCGGGCAGTGGAACATCCCAGCCACCGGAAGGATTCATCGGGCGGATCATTTCTTCTAATCGAATTGATTTCATTCGAGACGATAGATATAAAGTGCTGACGGATGCAACCTGCCAAGCCCTCGAAAGACGGACCATAAATATCGGCAACTAATAACCAACAACCAACAACCAACAGACTACTATCAGTGCCACTTACGCGCCCGAAACAACATTAAAAGGCAGTGACCACAACAATTTGACACCTCCTGCACTTCGCACTGGCATATCATTCTTATTTGCCATTCTGTCGGAAACGCAATCCTCAAAGTTCATGGCCCTTCAACTCCTGCACCGTCCAGTCCCACAGCTTTTTCGCTAACGCATCATCCTTGTAGTATGGGCCACGCCGCCCACCAGTCAGGTCTGCCACGGGGAAGTACATCTCCCCAGTCTTGACCTCCCCCTTGGGCGCCGTCGCCGCCCACAGCTGGTTCAGCGCGCCCTGCTGCACCGTCGTGAGAAGGATCTTGGCGATGGGCATTACTGCCTTGGACCACCAGTACCGCTCCTCGACGTGTCGCGATAGGTTCGTAGTAACGACGCCAGGGTGGATGGCTGCCACTGTCCAGGCTGGGTGCTCCTTGGCAAGCTGCCTAGCGAACAGCGCGTTGGCGAGCTTGCTCTGCCCGTAGCGTGTCCAAGGGCCCATCGCCTCCTGCTCCGTCTTGAGCGTGTCGAACTCGATGCCGCTCTGCGGCGCCATAGCCACGGCTGCCGAGGTGAGCGCTACGACGCGGACATCTGAGCCGGGCTCGGCGGCGGTCTTTTCGAGGACCGGGGTCAGGAGCTTTGTGAGCAGCGCGTGGCCCACGTGGTTTGTGCCGAACTGGATCTCATAGCCGTCCTTGGTCAGACCAGCATCTGTAGCCATGATGCCAGCATTGAGAATCAGGATGTCGAGCCGCTGCGATGACTGGGTGAAGGTGCGCGCTGCGCTCTTGACGGAGTCAAGCGAGGACAAGTCCAGGCTGAGCGGCTTGAGGTTGGCGCTGGGCACCTCCTTCTTGACCTCCTCAATCGCCTGGTTGGCCTTATCGGCCGTCCTTGACGTGAGCCAGATCTCCTTGGGCCCGTGGCGGGCGAGGTCTAGTACCGACTGAAGTCCCAGACCACTGTTCGCGCCAGTGACGAGGATGACTTTGCCAGACAGATCGGGAATGTTCTTGGCAGTGAAGCCACCGCTGCTAAAAGGCCACATCCTGGGTATGGTTATTCGGGCTACAGAATCTTGGGTATCTGGTATGGTAAGGTACGGCTGGATAACAACTATGCCTGATATTGAGATTGAAGAGAAGGTGTCGCTGGCGCAGGAGATAATCAGTATGACGGGATCAGACCAAGCTCCGATGATTCCGCTCCGATGAACCTTGAGCTCGAGCTCGGGCTCGAGCTTGTCATGGAACCCTTGAGTCAATCTCGACCCTGACGAACCGGCTCGCTCTGGACCCGAAAGGGTAATGCACTCGGGCACATTATCACAAGTGACCAACCAGATGCGCCGTCACTCGATGTTTTGAGATCCGCACAGGCAGAGGGAGCGGCAGATGGCAACACGCCCTCGACGGTTAGTGCCCATTCCGCGCATCGGTGCTTTGGACTCGTGCTTGGGCTGTAATTGGAGCAGTTGGAGCAAGTTCTATCCAAGCAAGTCCCAGATATTAGGTAGATAACTTTAGAATCCCACCCGTTTTGAGCATGGGCTTTGACGGGCGAATATTTGGCCGGCCAGGATACATATTTGCTGGAGCATTTACAGAAGAAGATGCTTATATACATATGACTTATTTGGACGGCCGTTCACCCAGAAATGCCTGAGTCGGACCTCGGAGCTCTCGGTAATCCGAACGCTGGCACTGTCATTTCACGCAGCCCTGGCAGCTCCCTGGAGCTCCACTCGATGTTGGGGCACGCAGCGGCAGGTCCCGCAGCTGCGTCCCGGTTGTATGAGATTCCAACAGCAGCGTGTCGTCATCCCCCGGCCCACTGCCTCGGCGACGACAGTATCGAACCATTGGTATATAGACTACAAGACAAGACAATCGACGCTCTTTTTTCCACCGCTCCCACAGGCTTCTGTGAAACCTTCGACACCCCACACATTTTCATCATGACGACCTATATACCAGCATTAACATTGCCTGAGCGGCTGTTTGCCAGCCCAGCCGCGTCGATCCTCACGCCCATCGTCCTCGGCAGTGCCGTAGGTATTGGCGTCTCCAGTAGGTTGACTCCTGTATCTCGGCCTTGACACAGTCGCAACTGTGGACTGACAGCCTCTTTAGACAAGGACACAAAGACGACATATATGCGTCTGCGTCAACCACCTCTGTCACCGCCCACCTGGGTATTTGGGCCTGTTTGGACAGTTCTGTATGGTGTCATGGGCTACGCCTCCTACAGGGCATTCTCCAACGGCACCAGTCCTTTCAGCACCCCAAACGTGATTGCCACTACGAGGCATGCCTCGACCGTTTATTCCGTCCAGCTTGCCCTCAACCTCATCTGGACCCCCCTGTTCTTCGGCATCAAGCAGCCCGTCGCAGCCACCGTCGACATTGTGGCTCTCCTCGGAACTAACCTGTATCTGACCTACCTGTGGAGCACGGTGGACCAAGTCTCCGCATACTGCATGGTTCCTTATCTGGGATGGCTAGGTTTCGCAACCTACCTCTGTGCGGGCATCGGCTACGTGAACAACTGGGATCTGAAGGCGAAGGAACCAAAGACTGAGTAGAGAAGACGAGAACGCCCCCATTGCGATCGATTGACTTGGAAAGGACGGGACCGTTGGTCATTATTTAATGTTTCAATACAACAAATACCCAAGTTTGCTCTCAAGCTCCAAACCCTTCACACCTGCTTCCAACTCATCGAGCTTCTCCCCTAGACCCCTTCTCACGCCGCAATCGTGAGTGTCAAAGGTAGCCCTGAGCTCGGGCGATGAATCGGGAGTTAAAGTCTGCTTCGGCTCTGAGTTCGGCGTCTTCCGCTTTCTCGATATCTCCTTGAAGTTTGCCGAGCCGTTCAGCGATAGGCCAGGCACGAGCTGGGCCAGCTGGGCCCCAGCCTCCCCGACTGACTGTGAGATGCCGACAAAGCTGACTCCGATGAAGGGCTTCGACGGTCTTGGCCAGATGAGATTATGCCGGCGCAACGACTTGACGAGCGCTCCTAATAAGAAGGTATCGCATCCACGCGAACATGGCGCCTCGTCCTCCTGCAGAGCGTCGAGGGTGTTGTTGATGACCTCCAAGGCCTGCCGTACCAACTGCTGTCTCTGACTGTCGATTTCTCCTGCGATGATTGTTAGCAAGCGAGAGTCATTTCATCACCTGCGCTCGAGAAATCTTACTGATCAGGCCGTCTCGGAGCTGCAAGCCCAGGCTTCGTATCGGACCGTTACTCTGCAATATCGCCACGTTGGAGGCTTTCTTGAACACTTCATGCTGGCGGAACACATAAGAGATGTAAATCCAGAGCACTAGATCCCTACCATACGTCGTTGGGAGCGCACCCTCGAGTCTCTCGAACCACCGCTCGGCATACACTTCAGCAGCCTCATGGAACTTGAACGCATCCACAAACACCGCGATCTTGGCCAGCAGCTCCAGGTCAACCGACCGGGGCACCTTCCTCCCGCGCCCGTGGACCGCATCCATGACCACGATCACTGCCTTGGGGTCGTACCCGCCTAGAGTGATGTGGACTCTGCCGTCTGCCTCGACCGGGTTCTCCCACCGGAACTTGTTGCGGAAGTGCTTCGACGCGAGGCCGAGGTGCCTGGAAGAGACCTTGATGCGCACCTCGGGTGCCGACGCGATGGATGCATAGCTATTAGGCGGCCGCGATGTGCCGCGCAGGATCCCGGCGTAGACGGAGGTTGCGTCTGACGGAGAAGGTGCCTCTTCCCATGGTGCGAATGACTTGGAGGGGGTGGGAATTATGATTAGTGTATCCGCATCGGGGTCGACTTCGTACAGTCTGAACATTTCGATTAATTAGGGGTGCTTATGTTTTTGGAAATATAATTTTGGGTAATGGGTTGAATCACGGCCCTGGAAAGAGGTTGGCGAAGGACGTCTACAAAAAGAATTGTTACTGCCCAAAAGATGAGAGGCAATTGAAAGGAAATGCCCACGAGCAACAATGATTTGCAAATCTAGGGTGGAGATGATTCAATGTCCGCGGCAATTGAAGTTCTCACTGAGGTGCCAGAGATAGCGGGATTACGTGAGTAAGCCATCCCATCACGCAATACCAAGTAACTCTTGGACGGACGGGCTTGGCTGCCTTCCCTCATCTTAGCCGACACTGAACAATTTTTGACAACTGACAAAAGAGGAAATAATTCACGCTAGTCTCAAGCTGTTGGTAATCCTGCTAATACACGGTATTGAAGAAATCCATCGCTGGTCGTGCAAACTCAATGGCCAGGCGGCAAGCTATCTCCCTTCCATACGACGCAACAGCACTTTTCGCTACATGTCCATTTCAGAGGAGTTTCCCAAGGTGGCACCAAGTCTCCATTCTCCTGCCAGGCGCGTGAACGAGCTGTTTGCCAAACACCCCAAGCGGCATCCATGTCCTCTATCGGACTCTGGCCGCCAGGCTCCTTTTCGTAGCGTACACGAGCCGCTTGGCAAGCCTCCCAAGCGGCTCGTAGGCTCTCTTCTGTAGAATTGGTTGCTTGGTTGTGGCTTGTGTTGTTTTGGCTGGTGTCGTTGCTGGAGTCGGGCGGCACGGGAGTGCTATCAGTGGACGCACGAGATCCTCTGCTCTCCCTGTTTTGTTGTGCCTCATTAGTACGGCTCAAGTCGGCGTTCGGTTGGATGTGGTCTTCATTTTGAGGCCCGGTTCCTTCGGTAGAGTCTGGTGGTTGTACAGTGGTAGTAGTTGATAGCCGTGATCTTCTACTCTCCTCTCTATGAACTACTTCCTCAGCCTTGCCCTTCATTTTCTGATCCTCTCTCTGCCTCAACTTCTTGTTCATTTGCCTTCGTTTTCGCCGCTTGGCTTTGGCGCTTTGGACCCTGACGCTTTGGCTGGCGCCCTGATTGTCCTGCTGGGGCGGCTGTGGTGCGAGCTCGGCTGCTGTCGGAGTCCCATGCTCTTGCTGAGGTGATGCCGCTATACTGTTGTCGAGCGAGCTCGGCCTAGAGCTGGTAACCGGAGGTCCATCTGATTGAGACTGACTCGGTAGTGGACAGATATTCTTGTCGGTCATCTCGTCCTTCCTCTCAATCGCAAGTTTGAGTGTTAGCAGTGTTTCCGCGACCTCGGCGACCTCGTCGTCCTCGGTGGAGGTTTTGCTCTTTTCTTTCCCCGACGCGAGATTCTGTGAAGAGCTGGAGGCGGCCAATGGTTCAGATTCAAGTGCAGGTGCGGAACTGACAGCGGAGGAGCTCGCCTCAGCAGCCTTTGTTTCGGTCAATCTTCTCATCGCACTGTGCCTTTGGCAAAGTTGTTTGTGTCTCAATCTCCAGTCTTCAACTTGGCAGTCCCTGCAGCAATAGAAAACAGTCCCACATTCGCCACACGTTCGGTAGCTTTTCTGGTCGAGTAGCTCGATTGTAGGGCACTGCTGAGATAGAGAGATCAGCAAATGCAATCCTAAATAATGAAATTGTGGACCAGCCATCACCCTTTCGCTGCCACAGAGAATCTGGCCGGCGTCCAGCCCTGCCCTGCGGATATCTTTCGCAGCCTCAAAATCGCCGCATTCTTCATAGAGTCGCCCCAAAGTGTCACGCGACAATGCCGCGTCCTTCCTCGCCGATTGAATCGCATCTTCCGTACCTTGGGATGAATTTTGTGACAAATGATGGGCCGATCTGATCCTCAAGGCTTTTTCCAGACACTCCTTTGCCTCGTCAAGTCTTTTGGCTTTGAGGTACGTTTCGCCGAGATTGTGGGCTGTCAGTGCGACTTGTGTTGAATCCTCGCCGTAGTCGCGCGTCTTGCCCTCGAGGGTTCTCTTGTAACTGATAATTGCCAGCGTGAATTGGCCATACCGCTCAAGGTTGTAACCTACGTTATCCTCGGCTTGATATTTCTTCTCTAGTGCCTCTCGCGATGGCTTGTCGGAAGTCTCTTCGGGATCAGCCATGGCCGATGCGAAGATGGGCTGATACGTGTGCTAATGTGAGGATTTCAAACTCAAGTTGGGGCAGGATGGATGCCAGATCCCCAAGATTATAGATGCTTTTGAAACACTGACGATTGTGAAAGGAAAGCAAGGACATCCGACAACTACTTTCCTAGGTACTCCGCGGAAGGCACTACTCAGCCATCCACCAATAGACTTCTGTTAAGGCCAACGTTGGCTTGTGTTTGAAAGAGGAGAGTGTGTGTTCCTTACCACAATGATGACATTGGGAGCATACCTAGCTGGGTGCCTGGCAAGTCATCCAAAGCAGAAGTTCAGATGACCATGATCGATTGCTGCACCGCAATCTCATGACCAGTGAAGGGAAGGACTTGTGAGAATTTACATTATCGGACAGCAATCGCCCAAGAAGACACATCGCAAGTCACATGACTACCTCTTGTTGAGCTTCCAAGCACTCGTATGCCCTTTTTCCCTCCAGAAAGGTTAGCAATGACTGTGGTGGCTCATTCAGCACAGTAGGTGAAGCGGTCTGACGAGGTGCTGAAGTTTTGGGCAAGACTTCTGTCCAGGAATGGCTTGTTGATAGAAGATACAACAGGTACGGGAAGTGTTGGTAATAAAGGCTTGAGTCAAACGATAATATCAGATCAGCGAGAACCATTAAATACAAGAAACATTTGGTATAGAAAGCCTGAAGGCCCCGAATATTACTGGAAAAAAATATAAACCCGTGGGGGTAACTTTTTTTTACATGTTGGGCAGAACAAAGTACAGTACACGACACTCGGGGAGTTGATATGACCCCAGGCTCTACGGCCTGAATCTCACCATGCGGTCGGAGCACATCTCTGCTGTTAATGATGAGGCGGGAATGGCCTCGTAGAAAAATGAAAGCATTGGGAGCCCATTGACCATGCTCAAGTTGTGGCACAGCCTGAGTGGTTTCAGCCTTCTGCTATGTTTTTAACCTTTTTGACTGAGTCAAGTGTTCCAGCTCAAAATACAGGGAGGCATGCGGAGAGTATAAGGTTGACTCGTCTAACTTATCACATTGGTGACTGCGCATACCACGCAGTGTACTAGGTAGCTCGGATTCGGGGGTCCTTCAGTCTTTTACGGCATTGAATAAAGATGAGCTCAATCTACTGTGTTGATGTCAGTAAATGGGTCACATGCTGATGATTTGTCAACTCTTCTACCTCCGTTTCGAGTCAAAGATGACATGGTGGAGTCGAGCGTGTGTTCTCGCAACGATTATCCATCCGTGGATACAAGCACTTGTGGTGCTTTCCCTTTCATATTGGCTGCCAACCGATTCGCAAAGCGTTCAATATCCACGTCTCAGGCGGGCAATGTATCAATTATTCAAGCCCTGTGTAAGTTTCTCACGGACATGACTGTACTCAACTTTGCCCTATATGTTGTGTAATAGCTGCGCACTTCGACGCCATAGAGTGTTGTCCTCGTATTTGTGTTCGAAATCGCGTCTTTGTAGGTTTGCGCGTAGTGAATTTGAAACGTTTGAAGTCCTCATCGATACCCATAAAATTCGGCCTGGCTGACAGTGGTTGATAGAATTACAGCCTCGTCTGCTGTATTTGACGCATATCTTTTCCCAATAGTAAGCTCCACTGACATCGCTTGGCATATGTCAGGGGTCACTCTTTGTATGTACGTACTTTATTAACCTATTGATGTTTAGCCCACCAGCACTGCTTGTAAATCATTTGCGCCCAAAAAGGATCATCAGATCGCCAACTTAGACCAGCATTATTGTATTAAATCTCACTGTAATCTGTGGACGCATACTAACTTTGATATTCTGGCATCATTGTTTTCCAGGAAACGTATGGAATAACGGTGGCATAGATCTAGAGTGGAGGCAATTAAATTATCATATGACCCGGAGCACCTACCATGGCTCTCGAAATCCAAGTAAGGACTTTTGACGGTTTCAGCAGATTCCTCGAATATCTTGATCGTCCAGGAGACAAGTCAGAATCGGCGGATCCTGCATCCGTCACCTACGGTGGGGATAATTGCACTTCGTGTCTGCTTCTGTAAGAGAGATGGAGCGGCAGTCTCGGCGAAGGCCACATTATCAGCAGTATCTTCATCAAGGCATGGTCGAAGGATATATTCACCAGCAAGCTAACCGTGACTTCCACGCTACCTGAGTACTTTGTATTATCGATGGTGGGATGATGAAACCTGTTGTTCGGGCAATACGCAAGGATGAATTAAGTTCGAAAATTGATTTTCAAAGCATTGAATGTCAGCGCGCGTCTCAGCCGACGATTCGTACAGATAAGCCTTCGAAGATCCGGTTACACCAAGGACGACATGCCATTCATTTACATTACTCCCCCTTGCATCCGATACGGTGGGTTTTATCTGCAAAACAACCACAGGATGATTCAGTTTCTACTGTCAAAGTCCAAGAAATACATCGGTGGCTTCATAATGCTCATATGTGGTAGACTTTTTCTTCCCGAGAGACAACGTCTTGGCAATGGGAATATACAGATAAGCTTTGGATCCGAGCAAAGCTCAACGCAACAAAAGATGGGAAAGAAGTGTTCGCCAAGTTCTGTAAACGTCATCCTAAAATTTGGAAAGGCTTGGCAGAGAAAATGCCGTGATGGTGCATACATCATCTTCAATATCACTGATTATTTAGTCGCGGAGTACATGCCATCTCATCTTGTATTAACAATTCCTCGCGCTAGCTGGCCCGGGCCGTCGTCAGGGACCCTTCATTTCCAATCTCATGCGAAGGTGCAACTGAGTAAGAAGACCGAAGCCTTCATGTATATATGCTGGCCTGCCTCTATGAGTTCTATAGCGACGAACGATGCGTCTGCAACGAGTACCTGCTAGAAACCCGACGGCTCTCTGTGCAGTTGTAGTGTATATGCAGGAGAATGGATTTCGAGTCATTCACAGTCGCACGTCGCATAGAATACATCATACCGTCGCGGTGCCTCGCACCAAAATGAGACTTAGATTTAGAGTTTTGGGATGCGAGCGGACACAGGATTATCATTCAAGACAGAGCCACTTAGGCTGTAGCAATTAAACCGATGGAAGCATGACAAGGCCAGTTCTGACTCGTGCTGAAGCACCGCGATTGCACGGAATTGTCGCAGCATGAAATATAGTTTGTCACCCGCGTAGAAGCGACCAGCGGATACAACCCTCCCCAAAGGAGGTACCTCTCCCTGGAGCAGTTCTTGCAAACCTCAGCGGCTTGTTCTTTATGGTCCCCTTGGTCGTTCCCAGTGTGACAAATTTCATCTGAGCGTTCACTGCCGACCGATCGAGGCAGTTAGCCAAATACTAGGTCTCCCCGCCTTCCTTGGAAACACCCGCAGATCCACCAAATAAGATTCTAGGTGTTCGTGCGTCTTCGGCGAGAACGCCGTCTGTCCTGTACTTTGATGCTTTAGAACCGAAAGCTCGCGGGCGGAGCTACTCAATGGAGAGCAGCACGAATGCCTGATTTCCACCAGAGCTTCAAGGTGAGGTGTACTTTTCGGTCGCTTCTCCGGCCACCCTTGATCCCTTCACCCCTACCGCTCTGATGGGACACAATATCAGAGCATCGCTGAGACGGTTCCTGGCTTGTTAAGGTTCAATGCTGACCTTGGACAGCATTATGAAGTAGGCTTTGGCACATGCGTGTGCTTTTCTCAGTGATAACACCCTGTCGGGCCTCTTCTCTCCACTTCTTGCGCTCTTGCGGTTGCTTTCTTCAATCTCTCCAAGCACCGCGAGCTATGAGCTCTTCGCAAACGCTGCCATCCGCAATCACCGGCTACGGGTCGCGGGATCCATGTATAAACAATGAGCAACACAAGTATATTCACACCTGCTGCACCACCGCCGTTAGGCGAAATATCGGATCCCTTGCATCCCAAAGACGTCGGACACACCGCTGCCTTGGTCCTGATCGCGATTTGCGCAGCTGTCGTCAACATCCTTTTCATCATACACGTTTATGTCAAGTTATGCTTTAAAGGAGGCAAACTACTCCCAGAAGATTGTGAGCCTCGTGACCTTTCTCGGATTGACAAGCTTGATTCTAATGCTGAGCAGGGTTCTGCATAGCAGCATGGGTACGTCGAATGTTGGTGTTGTTTGGTCATTGCCAAGGACTCTAACACTTTTAGATATTTACCAACTCTTTGAGCGGTTGCATGTTGGCGAGTGAGTGCATCAACCTCCACACTGGACATCAAGCTGAGTGCTAAGACCTTGAAGTGACCTGTTACGGTGGAGGAAAGAATGTCTGGGATATCAGCATTGAATCATATTCTGAATTCCTAAAAGTAAATCCTCTACCGGCAAGCTTAAGCTGAAAAAGTTGTTGTGCTAACAAGTTTCCCGAAGTGGCTATACATATCCAGTTGTGTTTACAGTCCGGCGGCATTCTGCACCAAAGCTACGTTGTTGCTGCTTATCGCTCGTGTCTTTTCCGTCAAGCCCTTAATCTCTAAAGGCGTAAAGATATTCATTTGTGCGTTAGCCGTGGCGTACCTTCCTGTTCAAGGCCTCAAAACCTTCCTCTGCAATCCAATTTCAGCTTTCTGGGAGCCAACATACACGGACGTCGAGACTGGAAAGAACCCTTACTGCTTGGAGCAGGCTCAACTTTTTATGTGCGACATCTCGATTGCCATCTCAACCGATCTGATGATTCTTATTCTTCCAATTCCACTGGTCTGGTCGATGCGAGCACCTCGAAGACAGAAAATCAAAATGATCATCTTGCTGGGAGCCGGTGGAGCTGCGACTGCGGCGACGATGGTCAGAGCCTATCTCAACGTCCAATACATGCGCTCGAAAAGTACGTGTACCAGTGTATTCGACACACTTTCTCATTTTGTACCTGTCTTTTTTTGGCGAGTCTCAAGGTAACCTAACCACCTTACCAGACGTGTCAGCCGACTTTGCCTTGATAATCATGACAACCATTCTTGAGCTATCCATTGGCTTCGCGTGTGTCTGCCTCCCGTCGGCAAAACTTATCTTCGACAGAGCAATGTCGTCGCTCAGTCAACACACCCGAAGCTGGTTTGGCCAGGAGAGGCCAATCGGCCTGGACCAAAAGCCGACCAGTACCATATCAACCTACTGGGATTCGATTCGATCCAAGATGACTACGACAACGCGGACTGCCAGCATGACAGCAGGGGCTATGCAGTCTTCCAGAGCTTCACGACGAATGCGGCGCGGACGTGACGTTGGGCCGGGCTTTGACAGTGAACCAGTCGTTTTCCAGCAGCGTCTCGAGGTTCCGAGCCTGAGGTCGACATCTGATGCAAGATCCTGCGCCAGCCGGTCCGGCGACCACCGAGGTCTGTCGGATAGTGAATTTGCGCATTGCATGAGAGAGCTCTCATCTTCAAAAGGTCAGAGCGATGAATTATCTGACAACAGGAGAGACTCCATCGTTGACTTTGACTTGGAAATAGGCGATGGCCTGTAAATAGGGTTGCAACTAATACGGTGTAATTTACATATCACGACCTCGTGCCTCATGCACTGAAAAGAAACCACACAGATGCACAAATTGTCCATCAATTGTGCAACAGGGCATAGAATCAGCCTCGTGTTTGACCTAAAAAGAGCTTGCAGTGTTTCGCGTTGTCTAGGCTGGCCTCCATCGTGAAGCCTTGAATGCTAAACTTTGAACCCACTGACAATGAAATAGGCATACCCGCGGGCTGATCCTAGAGTCCGAAGCACCGCACCCGTTACCCTACCGGCCCGGCTTTTCCGCATCCATAGGGCGGAACGGCCCCTCTATCTGGGTCGTTGCGGAGGGGCCGATGGTTTCGGCCGGAATATCCGTGGGCTACTGCCCGATAATTGTGCATTTAGCACACCTTACCCCGTGGACACTATTAAGTTTCAGATATTAGACTCCCATTCTACCAGGTTCACCATCCCCTCTTGCGCTCTGGCAGCACGTTTTCGAGGGCAAGACGAAATCAAAAATAGTGAGACAGTGGAGGTACCGTTTGAATTCGACAAAATGGCCGTATGGCCTGCGATTCAGAAATTGATGCACGACAAAGCATCGGTCGTCTTCCCTTTGCTTTCCCTCATAGGTCTTTGCATATATTCAGTGTACACTTACGCCCAAAACAGGAGGAAACTTCCACTGCCTCCGAAACCGCGAGGCTTGCCTATGCTTGGCAACACGATCGACTTCGTCAAAGCGGCAAAAAAGCAGGAAATACACTTGCTGCTTCAGAAATGGGCTGAGCAATATGGAGAGGTCATGCGAGTTCAGGTAGGACCTATGACAAGTTATTACATGAACTCTGATCAGGCTGTGAAAGTGAGTGGTTCTCGGCAACATTTTGCCACTTCAATAATGATAAGGGCTAATCGATCTCTTACCCCCTCCTCCTAAGGCACTGTTCGACAAGTCTTCTGCTCAGACCTCAGAACGTCCTAGATGGATTGTTAGCAATGAGCAACTCTGCAACAAATGGAATGTTCTACTGCTTCCTGCCAGTGATGCCAGGTGGAAGGTAGGCTGAGATCGATAACAAGGCACATGTAGATGCTAATCAAGAAGCGTAGCTTCAGAGGAAGCTTGTCCACTCTGAAATGACTAGCGTGCCCATGTCGGATGCTGGTGTGCCGTATGTCCTCATTCCCTTTGGACCGAACCAAACTATGAGGAAACTGATAGATGACACAGTTTCCTCCACTTCGAGACAGCGTAAGGCCACCTCGCATTGCTCTGTTCCTATTGATGTGAATGAAGAAATTTTGCTGCACTTTATTTTGAGCCCTATGGAGACAGAAATCCTGGATAACAATTGAAAATATGCCCCCGTAGCTATGGCTGACGTCGAAAATTTGACAGCAAGTTTCTACATGAAGTCGCCCATGACCCTCACGCCGGTACAAACTACCAAGATTTGTGGACTCAAGTTGGGCGTTACACGTATAGTAACTTTGCCATGCAAGCCTTCGGCTTCAGCAGTAAGTCCTGACTCTTCTCTGATTGAGTCAAGATCAGAAAACCACTCTCACCATACATGGCGCTTTTGGCCTGTTCACGTAATGTCGAAGAGGGTATAGTGCGCTGACAAGGCCCAAGTCGACACCGCTGCCGACGATAGGATTCAATACATCCATGAGACTGGTGCTCGCCAAATCTTCGGCACACTCCCAGGATCACACATCGTCGATATCCTTCCAATCCTTGATCGCCTGCCTCTCTGGCTGAAACCGTGGGAACGGTCCGCTCGAGCTCATTTCCTCAAGGATCTTCAGTGGTGCCGAAATCACATGGTCCAGGTGCAAAAGGAAGACAACCCTCATAGCAATTTCTCCATGCTCAAACGAATCCTCGCGGACGAGAAGCGCTTGGGCATCTCTAGCAATGATGAGGCCGCATTTCTCAGCCTTCAGCTGATTATTGGAGCGGCTGACACCAGCCGCATGAGTACATGGTCTTTCCTCGAGGCCATGATGATTTACCCCGAGGTCTTGAGGCGTGGGCAGGAGCTCCTGGATGCTGTGGTCGGCGACAGAGTTCCGGAATGGGAGGACCTGAAGTCCCTGCCTTACGTCAGGTGCCTGATGAAGGAAGTGTGGCGCTGGAGACCGCCAGTGGCTCTTGGTCATCCCCACACAACGACCCGAGAGCTTGTATACAAGGGCATGCGGATTCCCACCGGTTCAAGACTTCACCTCAATGCCTGGGCTATCCACCACTCGCCGAGTCGCCATTCCGACCCAGAGATATTCGATCCCACCCGATACGAGGATGATACCCTCACAAGCCAGCAAAGTGCTAATCTGCCGGATCCTACCAAGCGCGACCACTTCGCTTTCGGGGCGGGCAGGAGAATTTGCCCCGGCTTGCACGTTGCAGAGAGGTCACTTGGTGTCGCTATCATGCGGATACTATGGGCATTTGATATCGGAATTGCTCCTCGAGCGAAAATGCCACTGAATCCGAGTGATTACCGTGGTTTCATGCCTGGAAATCCGGGTGCGGACTTGCCCGTCACGCTCACGGTAAGGACTGAAAGGAAGAGGCAGCTCATAGATGCATACTGGGCGGAACAACAAGCAAAGGGGTACTAGAGACTGTGTGTTGGGATTAGGTCACCGAGGGAGTGCCTACATCGGCATGCAAGACAAGCAAGAATGAGGCCACGGACCGGCGGATGTTTCCACGCGACGTTTCTACCGGACATGCGAAATAACCAGACTGGACAAGCAGTGACGTCAAAGTCTCGGCTAAGGAAAGCATTTTAGACTTACGATTGTTTCTGTACTTCCGATCGATTCCTTCGCATATACATGTATGCCTAAGAAGTTCAGTCCAAGCACGGACAACCTCATTCCTCTCACGTTATGTCCTTTTCGGTTTAGATGCAGAGTCTGGAGAACTCCAAGCCGGTGCGAATTCGCCGAAAGTCTCCATCGCTTTGGTTTCCTATAGCTATCTATGCGTTCGTAAGAAATCGTTATGCCTTCATATGTCAATACTAGTAAGGATGTTACAATACTTGACTTTAAGAGCTCGGAAACTTTTCACCTCGTCGGTCTCTCAATCGGGTGTTGCACCATTTCTCTTTCTTGCATGTAATCCCTTTGGCTTCTAAAGTCCCCGGGCTTCGAAGTATCCCTTCTCTGCTGATGTTCTCGATGTTTCCCGCTGAATGGCGAGCTATCACGCAAGGATTGAGTTATCTCAATGTCAATTGGGTATTGTCAATTCGATGAACTGACGCCGTCGGCTGGAGACCGCTCTTTGCCAAGGAAACATACTCAAGAACGTTGAATGATCCAAGCTTGTTATTTGATTCGACCGTTTCTGGTCAAACATCTGGTCCCTGAAAACTTGTTGCCTGGGCATTTTAGTTGTCACGTTTTCACCAGCCCAAGACACTACCCTTGAGACGTACGGGAAGGGAACGAGCGGAAGCTAAGAGGCAGAGATGTCTGAGACAGATGGACGTGTTACGTACGCTAATTCTTAGGTAAATATTAATCCTCGCCCATAATGTAAGACTCCGTCTGCGTGGGTAGTCAAACGACGCGCATTGTCACTTGTGAGAGACAACAGACTGTCACGGTGAAGATTGTAAAGTCGACCATATCAGAGGCTATTTACAAAACCCTCCAGAAACTGACTCTATGGCAATTGTATGGCGATTGGACGGCCCTATTCTCATGCATCACTGTCGCCATGCCTCCTGATGGCTGGTATTTTGACATGGCGATGATCGGCTTTCGTGTAATAGATCGTGGTGAGTGCTCGGTGGTCTCCGAACAGGCAAACTCCGGCCTCACGGGATGTCTTATCCTGCGGCATAATTGGACGAGGCTGGGTCAAAATTTCGTTTTCACAGGGATCCCCCGCGTCCACATTCCCCGCTCCAGGAGAGAGGACCATTTGAGGGTATGTTTCACTTTCCCGCCCTTAAATAAAGACGCTATAGTCGGATTAGGGAACTAGTGCTCTCAGGGATGCTTGACAAGTCTTTATGGAAGGGATGTGCAAGGGCATCTGGGGATCAAGATTCTGTCAGCCTTGCTAGAATATTGATGGTCTATAGAGCCTGGCAATTGTATCACCAGTGCAGTGTCAGTGTGACGTACGATACCTTTCTTGAGAATAGAGAGTGCTTAGCTCGACAATGTTCAAAGTGAGCTCTATATTGAGGACACTGGTTTTTCTTACGGTGGTTCAAGCCATTCAGACGGCACGACGACGAGAGGGAGGCCAGACGGGATAGTCCACAAGCAATTCAAGTATAAAAAGTCGCTCGTATCTCAGTCCGGGAAGTGTTATTCTCTCATCACCACACCTCCAAAATAATCCAATCTTCTGTGCTCAGTTCTCAGCTTTAAGGTCTTCGGACTATTCTTTCCACAACTCTTCCGGAATCACCCATCACTCTTTAACTCAACAACTATTTACATCCCCAAAAACCGATCATCATGAAGGCCTTCACAGCTATTTTTGCCATTGTGGCCATTCTTGGTCCCGCCATAGCTAGCCCTGTTGATACGGGAGAGGCAACTTATGAAAAGCGCGGCGTCGAGGCCGAAGTCGACGCTCCACAAGCTATTTTTCCCACGCTTCCCACGCTTCTTCCTCTTCCTACGCTTCCAACGCTTCCAGGTCTTTCTCTTCCCACGCTTCCAGGTCTCTCTCTTCCCACACTTCTTCCTCTCCCTACGCTTCCAACGCTTCCAGGTCTCTCTCTTCCCACACTTCTTCCTCTCCCTACGCTTCCAACGCTTCCAGGTCTTTCTCTTCCCACGCTCCCAGGTCTCTCTCTTCCCACGCTTCCCACCTTTACAAGTCTTTCTCTTCCTACGCTCCCCACGCTTCCTACACTCCCCTTGCTTCCTACGCTCCCCACGCTCCCCACGCTCCCTACGCTCCCTACGCTCCCTACGATTCCTACGCTCCCTACGCTTCCTACGCTCCCCACGCTTCCTACGCTCCCCACGCTTCCTACGCTCCCCACGCTTCCAACGCTTCCAGGTCTTTCTCTTACCACGCTTTCCACAATTATAAGTCGTCCTCCCCCTACGCTCCCCACGCTTACAGGTCTTCCTCTTCCCACGCTTACAGGTCTTCCTCTTCCCACTCTGACACCTATTCCTGGGCTTCCGACCCTGCTACCAATTCCTATCCCTACGAGCCCTGCCGAGTTAAATGCCGCCCTTCAGAATGCCTTGACTCAGATCATAACAATACTCGCATACATTAGTAAGTATCTATGCTCTTGGATCTTAACCACTCGAAATCCTTGCTAACAATGCCTCCTAGGAGCCAGCATACCCAGCTCTTCTTCTGGCCTCCCTCCATTGCCACTGCTTCCCAACCTTCCAGGGGTCACCCTCCCAGTCCCCGGCAGCACTTCTCTCACCCCCGACGCTCTCCTAGGTCAGCTGGGAGTCCTCCAAGCTCAGCTCGGGAACGTTCAGTCAATTTTCAGCAACCTGCCTGCTGGAGCGAGCCTTGACCAGCTGAAGATTGCTCTGTCGGTTCTCGGACAGATTCAGGCTCAAGTTGCCCCTGTCATTGCCCGCATCCAGAGCCTCGTCGGTGGGTAGTCCTTGTATCATATTGACACAAGGATAGAAGCTGAAATTCTATAGGTTCGGGCGCTCTCGCTTTGCCAACCAATCTTTCAACTGTTCAGGCCGCTACATCAGTCATCTCCACTATCATTTCCCTTCTCAACACTATCCTTGGACCTCTCATCCCAGGTCTGGCGGGCAACAGCGGCCTTGGCCGTTGAGAAGGAAGAGCGCTGGAATTTTGAATTGGCATGCTACTTTCGCATCTGGCAGCTGGCAAGTCCTGACTTCTGCATGGTCGCTGAAGTGTCAAGGTGGTGAAATTTTGAGTTTTTCTTTTCAGCTCTCGAGCTTTTTGTGGGCGCCATCGCATCTTCAAAGCGCATCTGCTTTGCTCTTGTGTTCTATACCAACCCCTAGTCGATCCTTTTCGCATTTGCATTCTCCAAGTAAATCCGGTCTGATACTGAAGCTACACACGAGTTCTCAAGCTTATGCATCTTTTCCAAACAAAGTGAGCCCTACGTAGAAAAGACCTTTTTAGTCTGGCTGGTCATGACTTTCATTTTCCTAACCGAATGATAAACTGTACAAGTCATACTGCATCTGCAGTATGAGACTAGAGCGCAATTTCTAGAATGAGCGACATTTGCCCAATTAATACCAATTTGATTGATTGCTAAGTTCTCTACTGCTGCTACGGATCCATTGTCTTTAGACTGAAACTACTCAGACAAATTCATCCTTTATGGTCACTATATTGCCATCTAATGGTGCTGACTAACAACTTGGGAGAACACAAATTTATCCCAGTGCCCGCCTCTACCTCGCATGGTTTTCTGCTACCTCTCTGTATCATCAGAGGATCTGGGAAGCCAATAAGCATCGACGCAGGCGACCAGACTATGACAGGTTCAACCCAAGGAATATTAAATGGTTTTTACTTCGGATCCAATGATAGGACTATGTATCACCCCTCGAGACTTTCCCCCCTCCTCTTTTAAATTATCGTTAGCCTCAGTCTCTCTGTGTATAAATAGGAAGTTTACTCGACTGCTCCCAGTTTGACATATAATGATTTTTAATATGTTTTCGATTCACATTTGTTTCAATGGAACAACAAGTGCGCTGATTCGTCTTTCTAATGAAATTAATCCTGTCTTTTGCAAATGAAAGAGTGGAAATACCAATGCATGCGCCAACCCAGCTCCCACCCCCGGGTTGAGGCAGATACATCAGTACGCAAGCAACGGTCAACATGTCTTGTGAGAAATGGGAGCCATTAAAGAATTGATTGAGATGACTTAATCCTCAAGACAACCAGATGATCCTGTCCAGGGATGGCAGTTGGAATTGGATCGTGGAACGAGAATTGATATTGGCAAAAGCAAAGAAGTTGGTTGCGTGAGGCTTCACTCTTCACTTCAGGGCACGAGCCACCCCCGCAGTTTCCCCATTTCTGCAGTAAAGTGGATTGATTGCCTGCAGTGGGGTCGAAGCTTGACTGGCATTTTCCCCCTTCCCCGCCATCGTTGTTCACCTCACAGCGTTCAAATGATCATGAGCCTATCTTGACCGACATGTTCACATACCATCAGTTTCACTAACTTCGCCTGCTCGAATACCTCTCTCATGACTAATTGTGTGTGTAAAAATGCAAGTTGCTCATACGGTGCACAGGGCCGTTTGGACAGTGCCGACAGACAGGCTACAAAACCACACATCATCAATGCAGTGCAACCCAGACACCTGTCCTTCGGAAACCTCGTCCGCCTGTGTGCAGTGGCAGCAGAGACCTTCTGCCATGTGCTTTCGACTACGTGTCTGGCCATGACGCCACTGGCAACCAGCTTCTAGGCAACGGCTGGACACCGTATTACTCATCCTTTGAGACAAGATCCTCCAACGCCTGACCGTTTCCAGACGTTGGACCAACCACGAGACAGTTCTGCTGCTGTCCTCAGTTGTTGCCCGACTCCTCAGTTACCGAAGGACTTGTCTTTTGTAGGTATTCTCGGAGGACTTTTCGCAGGACTTCCGCCAGGACTCTGTATTCCGAAGGCAAATCCGCATAATCCGGCTGCCTGGCAGCAGGAGACTGTTGGACGAACAGCCGTGGCCAGCTGGGCACTCACTGACCAGATACTTCTCCGCCATCGGTAATCAACGTCTGATCAACGGCTCGGCATGGCCAGGCATCCTCAGTTTGTCACCCTTTTGCAGCACCATTCGTGGGCTCTGATGGAGGCGATACTCAACGCCACCTGCTGGGATTGCCCCAGTTACCGCGTGGAGGTCTCTCTCAGCCGCACCAGTCTGACACCAGCTGAGCCCCAAGGTGTGGAAATCGCGATAGCTGCGTGTTGGCGGCTGTCAAGGACGGTCCGTTGGGACCTCGACGCCTTGGTGCCGAAACTCGAATTGCAGCATCCCTTAGGTCTCCCACCGTGATGATCCAAGTTTACGACCTGTCAGCGAACCTGATCGGCATCGCGTTCAGGATGGTGCTAGCAGGCTCAATCAGGCCCTCGACAGATGGGAGGCGCCATGCGCCGTGGCTGTGAACGGTCTGACAGAGTGCCCTTAAGGTCATTCCTTAATGTCATCACACACCGGCCAGTTCCTTACTTGTCATGATCGGCGAGCAGGGAACACCACGGCGGGATTTGCGAGGCTTTTGAGGACCACGGCATGTTATGACTGCATAGGCGGAGTCGTCGCCGCAATGCGGAGGGATGCCGCTTTGGCAGCAGTGTTAAGGAATCGGGCTCTCGAGGCTTGAGACGGGCCTGTGACAAGATGCTGGCCGTCGCCGGGCCTGTGTACTGTCGTACGCATTACGCCTCACTAAGCAGCCTTACGCCCAGCCATGCGCGCGTCTGATTCAGACGAGCGATGCGTGTATCTTCGGGCGCTCATTTTCCAAAGCTGTCAAGGCTGCGCAGTTCCACTTTGTGTGGCATAAACCGTCTGATTGCCGTTTTCGGCCGTGCGATGCCGCTATTCTCGTGGTGGAGGGGAGGGGCACAAGCTCCACACTGAGCGCGACCTGCCCCTTGTGACTCGATTCGCCGACTCGTACGTACAGTACGGGTTTCCACCTCGCCATGTTGACAATAAATCACAAATTAGGCCTCGCCGGAACTCGACAGCTTGGAATTCCATCGCGTCCCTGAGCCGGCGCCGCCATTGTCGAATTGGATTAAAGACCATCTGAACTGGGCAGTGTCTGCAGGTCCAGTCCTGCACTGCACCTCTGTCGCGCAGCTAGCCGGTGCATTAGCCTGGCATCAGCACATGTTCCCAGCCATGAGAGCCTCCAGGCCAGGCCCGCGTGGGATTACGTTTTCTACTGGTGAGCGGCAGCACACGAAACGAATTCGCAATAACTTTGCTCAAGACCCCTGGGCCTCTGGTGTTTCACGGTCGCAGAGTCGACGCCTGTTGTTTATGCGCTTCTGGGGGAAGCGAGGTCTGATAAGGGGTCTCCAAAAGGTCAAAGGGTGGGCCGCTGCGGTACGTACCAGGATCTATTTTTTGACGCCGCTACGCCGTCGAGTCTTCGGCTCCGCGCTGTTGGGTGCGAAGCTAGCTCCTCGCCGTCACCAAAGCCACCACGGCCAGTCGGGTTGCCTCTTCCCTCACTCCTCCCCAACACGCCAGTTTTCACAAGCTCACACCCTCTTCCGATGTCAATCACTGCCTTCAACGCGGCACTCCTCGTCTTTGCTAGATGCGTGTTTGCTGCTTACTCCATGCTTTCCCATGACGTTGCGTACTTTGCGGACCGTCACAGGCAGGTCACCAGGCACTAGCATTACGAGGTCCCCAGTTTTTCTACTTGCCAAATTCTTGTGTGATCAACTCACTATTCATACGCTTCTTTATCGTCAGGCGGTATTGATAGTCTGTGTCCAGCAAGCAGTAGCCATCCCTGAAGCTGACGTCTTACCGAGCTGTCAAGATGGCGCTCTGCCGTTGCGCTCAGCCTCAGGCTGTGTCAAGTAGCTGGTGCAAATAGTCGGCTCTCTCTCCAGATGACTATTCCCCTCCTGTCTAGCTGCTTGCCTGGTGACCCTCCCACACGATGAGTCTTCGGCCGCATCAGGAGCCGTGACCGGACAAGCAAAAGAAGGCTTGCCTACCTGCTTGATTGCTTGCCCTGGTTGCATCGTGCAACTCGTGAGAGCGTCCCGACTCGGTTTTGACCATACTGTACCCACCCACCCCCGTGCAGGTCAAGCTGTAGTTGCGACACTCGTTTCCCTTGCAAAGCTGAGTTTCCTGGCTACAGCACGGTTTCAGCACCTCGATATAGCTTGCTTTAAACTGATATCAAAGTAAGCTCTTGAGAGTCAAAGCCTGCGACCCGCTGGGGGCAAGGACGAGGGGAGTCCCTTGACAACCACTGCAGAGGATGCCTTTTGGGGGTCAAGCGTCCGTCGAAAGGCACAAGGTCAGCACACAGTAACAAGCTGGGCAGCTCGAGCAACATGGGCCAGGTGCATACATGTACATGGACCCCTGCAGCCTTGGTGTGGCCATGGGATCCATGACCGCCCCGGCTACCGGTTTCCTGGCCTATGTACACCCTTAAAAGGTGTCTCGTCCTACCCATCGACCCGCATTTGGCCTCATCAGTAACCAACCTATATTTAAAGGGAATCATAGCTCTGTTCCTTTGTATCTGGCCTGGCCTCAACCTCGAACATACTCGGCAAAGTTCAGCCCTTACGACAGACCAGTTTCGAGTCTTCCAAACCAGAGCTGCCATTTGTTCTCATCTTCCCAACCCTCTCCAACACAGCCAACTATTCTCACCTTGACCTGTCTCGACCGGAGCCCATCTCATAGCCCGTTTGACCACACCATCGTCGACCGTCTCGTCATCTCGACTTCTTTTGTCAAGCCTCTCGCCCTGCCAGCTTCGACCTCCCACTGCATGTTCCCATGTCTTTACAGTCAGCCCGATATTTAAAAGATCGTTTCGTCTCTGACACGGCCGACTGACACCGCCTGTGACCGGACTTGGGCTGGGCCTAAGAGGTTACTACACCCCGACCCGCCAACGAACATCGCCAGACCACCCAAAGCGGCACAGGTACTCCCCTGTCGTCGTCTTTGTCTACTTTGAAGAAAGCCTTGCACCTGACCCACATCAGAGACTCATACCGTCGACTGATATCTCAACGAGCTTTCCACCCTAAAGCCGGCTTTCCAGCACTCCCGTCCCAGCAAGCCGCCTCATCTGCTTCACCAACCCACCTTCAAGATGTGTATCAAAAACATTTACCACAACGTCTACGTCGATGGCGACAAGGACGTCACTGAGCGGGTTGACGCATGTCGTTCCGGCCATATATGCAGCGAGCCTATCGTGCGTGAGTTCGACCGCAGAATCAACTGCACCAGGCTACAACTCTCGACTTCCCCTGGACGGACGGACTCTCCCTCCTCCTCACTGAAGGACAGGCAGCCAACGCCTTACTACTTTGATCACCGGTCACCTCCGCATTTTGGAGACGCTGATAGAGAACGACGGCGTGAGAAGCGTGCCAGCCAGCAGCGAGTCTACGTCGACGGAGACCGTGTGACCGATTATGGCCTACGCAGGAGCGGCTCTCGCCGGACTGAGCCGATTCCTATCCCCAAGGTTCATCGCTCATCGACCATGCCAGTCGAAGACGGGTACTACAGCGAGCCAAGGCGCGAGCGATCACGACCTATCGTCGTCGAGAATGGCGACCGTTCTCGCCGGTCTTCATCACAACGGCGAGAGTCATCTGCCGTTCCTTTAGGCCCTTACGATGTGCTGTACAATTATGGTGCTGGGTCTTCCCGAAGGGACCGCGAAAAGCATGCTCGGGACTCCTACCTGGAACCATCACGCTCCCATCGCCGGCACTCGAAGTCACCCGTGGAGGTCTATACGGATCCAGAGCAACATGACCGCGGTGAACGTCGCCGCTTGAGACGCGCGAAGCCTACGATTGTTGATGGCCCTGCTATGACCGGCGTCTCCGCTGATGTTATCTATGGTTCTTCCCCATTCGCCGGGTCATATGGCTCCTCGTATGGCTCACACCCTTCCGATGATCACTGGACACGCCAGCCCACGTTCGGCACACAGACACCTCCGGATAGCCGCGCTCCGGCTGTGAAGGGTGTTCGTTGGGATGACGACCCACGTGCGGCTCAGAATGCGAAGATCAACAGTCGGCCCAAGCTAAGCCGTTCTGCGACCATCACGGGGGCTGGGACTGGCTCGCACCTTCACGGTGAGGTCAAAGGGATCCTGAAGAACACCAATCCTACCACCTACGGCACAGCTGCAGTGGCAAACTCTGGCTCTGCACCAGCCGTCCAGCCTCTGCGACGCGAGGAGCTCGACGACCTCTACAAATCTGTCCGAGGCATCGGCGTCGATGAGAGGGAGACATCGGCACAACGACAGGCCAGACGTGAGAAAGAAGAGCGCGATGACAGAGAATATCGCGATCGCCTTATGAACCGATTCAGCCCCCGCGATCGACGCTCATCATTTGACATGCCACCTAGGCGTTTTACCAGTGAGAAGGGGTCAAGAGGAGGCAGGAGGTCTGAGGTGTTCTACCCTGACGAGGGAAGATACAAGTACACTCCAGGGTATTGATTGCACCAACATCAGCATCTCATTTTACGAATACGTTACGATACGCTGCAATACATGGGTTTACGGAATGCATTCTGATAAGCGTTTTGAAGTTTTTGGGTTGGAGTTAGGGGCGATATCATTCTCACTCGCTTCAAAAATATCTACATGACAGATGGAGAGCATTGCACCTAACCGGCCAATGTAACCATGTCATTTACCAAACAGTCAAACATTCTTTAGTATAGACAATACCAAATTTTCTTTTGTTCACCATCAATTCTGGATCTCCTCCAACTCAGTAAACACTGAACCTCCCATTCCGGGGTCGACAAACATCCAAGCCCAAGCCATCGGGTGCCCCACTGCCAACATCTAGGCCGCAGGGCCAGATAACCCGAACAGCGAAATAAACTTCGCACCATGACGCGAATGCCGATCAATACGGATACAACTGGGCCCTAAGCTGGATGCAGCCTGACGATGCATAGAGGCCCGCAGCCTCAGATGCGCAGGAGACCACCACAGTCGCCGCCCGCCGAGCCCAACTCGGTCTTGGGATCGACCAACCGGAGACCAGGGAAGGCAATGCTGTCGTGGCCAGGGAGCTCGGAGTTTCCAACTCCCTGCGCGCCGCCGGACCCAGTGCTCGCCTCACTGCCGTCATCCGACCTCTTGGGCGTGGTTCGCCGCGGGCTCACCCCAGTCTGCCACAGGGCAAGCGAGGGAGCGCCCCCGGGATGATCGCAGTACATTATTCCCGAGGCGGTGGGGCATGGTGCTTGTGCGTCCGCATGCATGCAGTGGGGGAGGTCCGCCTGCAGCAGCAAGCAGGGAAGTGAAGGGTCGTGGTTTTTGGCAATTTTGGGGCTGGCGTGAAAATCCATCCATCCGAACCGGGCAGCTTACTCTATTTTCCTCGTTTGTGTGTCCCCACTGTGCCAGAGTTACTCCTCCACCGGCGCACGGATGGGGCACGTTTCATCAGCTAGAGTGCGGCCCGCACGCGAGGCAGGGCTTCTGCGGCCGGGTGGGACGCTCGGGGTGGATGCGGTCGACAGGACCGCCGGGGGGCAGCATTGAAGCTATCTTTAGGGCGCATGCGGCCGTGCCTATTCCTGTATTTCATCGCAGCAAATATTGGGTCGCTACGCGGACGACTGAATCACGGCGATGAGTTGTCATTTTGCGATTACACAATCTTTGAGTCTTGCTCCTGTCCCATAGTCCTTGTTTGTTAATCGCTTATGCGGCAGGGTCTTGGTTTGCCACTAGGTCAGCATCGGGGCCTTGATTCTTGCAACGGTGCCGAAGATCATCAGGGTAGGGCGGACCGGGGCGACATCATATCGGACGTGATTCAGAATTTATTGCCTATCACACCTTACCTCGTTCTATCTATCACACACCCACGTCCTGCCTAAGAATAACTCGTCAAAATAGCTGCAGAAGCAGCCCATAAATCAGGAGTCCAAGTACAGCCCGAGCCAGTCCCATGCCACTGCCCAAATACTTACAGGAAGCGGAAGAGGAACCTGGCGGATGCAAGCTGAGCTTGAAAGCGACCAAGGCACTATCCTTGTTTCCTCCCTCGTCGCTGCATGTCGTAGTTCCGGTTTCGCCATGCAGCTGACCAGCGACGCCAATTTCTTCAATGACCTGGGTAATGAAATTCACAACATCCTGGTTCCCGACCCCAAAAACAAGAGTTAGTAGTTGCCATGGGGAGATTTGACTAAGGACTTACTTGAATCCTCCACCCAACCCATCAATCCTCGCAGCGCTGCAATATCACTTGTCGTACGCGGAGAGGAGTCCTACGAAAGGGTCGCCGTCGTCATTGGTGACGGTCCAGTAGCCGGCTGGTGACAGCTCGGAATTGACTATGTCGATTATCTTCTTGCAAGCCCATGTTTCCATGTATCCACCACTTGAACTTACGTCTGTCCAGTTGGAAATCCGTCCTGTGTCACAGGTTGATGTGGGAGATTGGGATGTGTCATTACTTGCTCCAGTAGTCCAAGTAAGGCCCCTCAGTCGGACACTGCTTGATGCCGCGGGTATGTGGGGAATCATTGCAGAGGGTATTAGTCTTTCTTTCATCATATTCAGCGTAAAGTGAACGCAAGGAAGGTTAATTCAAGAAGGTTAATTCAAGAAGACGCTCATTCCTCGATCTCTTTATGTTGCGCTCTGCCACCCATGACGAAGAGTCTTGCGTGACTTAGTGTTTTCTCTTCGCAATTGCACAACTCTTAGCTAAATCTAGCACTCAGACACTACTCAGGGTCACGAAAGGCTTCTACTCGATGTGATCAATATATCAAGCGTCAGATCAGCCAGTGCAGTCATTGCCAAATATCTGCGGAGCCTCTGATACACCCATCCATCGCAAGCAAACAAAGTTTAATCGATTTACATCGTTGAAATTTTGAAGAAATACTCGAATGTGAAGGCTGCAGAATGACAGAATGCATAGACGCAACTTGAGAGACTCGCGCTCTGCGTCGGAAGGTACTCACACTTCCGTGCACATCGGGTGCTGTCAACTGGCAATTGTCGACATACACGTCGAAGCCTGACAATTCCGCCCGGCCTTGTGACAGATGAGCTGCCTGGGTCAGATGAAAAATCGTCAAGCGCACAATTCTGAGAAAATCGAGTCTTCTGCCCCATGCACACAACTTGAGAGTTCCTGACTGGTCATAAATTGCTAATGTCGAATCCCTCACTTACTCCAACATCTCATCCGCCCAATCGTGTATATGCCGGCGCTCCGAAGAACACCTGCAGAGGCAATCTGCCTGAGGCGCGTCGCGAGGTCGCAGCGCATATGCGAGATCTGCACAACACCAATACCCAAATCGCTGGATCATGGACTCCATATGGAGACTGACTGTGTTCTTGTGAGTGACTCTCAAATCCCAAGACGATATCATTCTTAGCTGCTACATGGCTTCACACCCTATTCATTTGTGCACTCCACCAGTAACACGTCACAGTGTCTCGGGGCGGATCGAATCGCGGCGGTCGGTCGAACGACACGCGGTAGTGTACAGAGTGAACGGTCGCGGAAGCTACTCGTATCCTGCAGAAGATGGTGTGTTGCCTCTGGAATTTCGTTCTGAATCCATTTTAGGTGCGTAATTTGGTGTGGCGGGCATAGTGTTGTGACCAATACCACAGGCAATGATTGGTCGGCTTCGTTGGTCATGTAGGAGACGCAATGCGCCTCATCTGCATGTCTCAAATAACCTTGCAATGGCTCTCAGTGTGGAATTTAGTCTTCTGTTTGTTATTTGACTTGCTTTACTTTTATTAATTTCACTGGTATCCAAGTTCAGTGTTCCGAATTATCAACTCAGCCTGGGTTGTGCTGTATCTCAGTATTGTAAACCGGCCTAGGTTGAGTAGAATGACTGGGAGTCCAAGTTTGCCCAAAGGAAAATCTGCTGGAACTATTTCATACTTCCTCATACTTTCAGGACCATTTAAATCCGCACAAGTTGATGATAAGTCGAGTAGAACCTCGGCCGGACCAGTTGGTCCAGGTTCTAGAGCGATTCGACCCAATACTAGTTATTTGTGGTACCAGTACTTGCCACCTGCTTCGTCTTGTTGTATTCCTTCTTTTCCATAATCCAGTCCTCCTTTAGCCTTTTATACTGTTCATTCTCAATGCACTTCTTCCACGCCACTTTGAAAATCTCACTTGCCTCCTCCTTCTCTCTCCTCTTTCTCGCGTCTTCCTCGCTACCGCCGGCCCACTTTTCGAGCTGTTCTCCTGTATCCTTGGCGTATTTTCGCCCTCCCTTATGGTTTGCGTATCTGCGCGCTCTCGTCATGCCCATTTGAATGAACTTTCGTGTCATGTCCGCACCAACAAAGTCCTTCCGTTCTATATATGAACCGAATATGGACGAGAGAATTTCTGACGAGTTGCGAGCGATTGGCACTGTGCGAAATGCCCAATAAGGTAAGATGTGGCTTTTGTATGGCTCAAAGGTCAGAACTCCAGTCTCCCCACGCGCGATTTCGTAGCTGTATCTGAGGGCAGAAGAGTCCAAAGCAGGTGTCGGGAGCGGAGAGGCTGGAGGGGACTTCAGAGAGTCGGATGATCCGACAGTGATGGATGAGGTTCTTTTCGGCATGATGGTGAGTGGCCTGAGACCGACGCTGTATTTAGTGGCCCCAGTCCAGCCTTGTTGTGCAGGGTTGTGTCGTGTCGCTGCAGTGCTGCTCTGGCGTGAAATGATGGGCATGGATTCAGCTTTGGCTAGACGATGCACACCGTGAAACTCACGTGTGAAGAAAGTGAGTTAGCAGCGCGAACAACTGTAATGACTGAAGGCCTTGCAAACAATCCGTTGTTGCCCAAATGGTTTGTGTTGCATGGTCCTAGTTGTTTAATCTGCGAGGCTAGAATCCGTGACATTGGGCCAAAGGACAAAGCATGACGTCAACACTTTTCCGCCTCTTTGCTTAAGTCAGTTCTCCCCGCCGTCAAATACCACAGTAGGTAGCTTTGTATTTCATCCTATCTGACTAATATCAGCTATATAAATAAATTGACTTTCTAAATCTGTCGGCTTTTCTCCTTCGTCCATAGCCACAACTTGAGAAGGGCGGATTGTGTCAGCTAAAGCTACTTAGATTTACCTGACACGTGCTTGGGTAGCAACCCGGATCTTTGTGAGTACAGGTACAGCACTGTTCTGTAGACCTTGGGAGTCTGTAACCGAGCCTAGAGCTCCATTGATACTGCAGGAAGTGTTCAAAGATCTCATCCAATTTTAGAAGTCTGGAGCATTAAGGTGAAGCTGCTTCGTGTCTAGACGAGTCCTTGTGACTTGACTCGATTGCAATAGATATCTTACCATTGCATCTCGTTTGAACCTCGAGTCTGTCAATGGGCTCGGCCGCCTTGTTTGCTATTGATGCAAATCAACAAGCAGCTTGAAACCCCTTGTTGGACAAAGTACCCGGCATCAAAGCCTCGACAGCTATTAGTAGTAAAGGACTTCAATTTCACATTTTAAAAACCTGAAATTATAGTTGGGAAGAGAATATATCCCATACTAATGCTGCATGGAGACAGATGGAGAGATAAACTGAAGAAATTCATTTGTGCTTGGGCCAGGGTTGTGAAAATAGGTGTTTTTAGTAGTGATTCTATGGAATTGTTGCTTTTTGGCATGCGTTCCCCGTGACTGCGACAAGTCCTGGACCGAACGCGTAACTTCAGACTCAACGCGTCTTTCTTCTCTCATAAAATCTCCTTGCAAAGTTGATTTTGGCATTACCAATACCTTCCCAGTCAGCACGCATAACAAAATCCATGGCGCCGAAGAGAGACCAGGGAGGTAGCCAAACTGGATTCGATGTCTTAGACTCAGTCCACAAGGGGGACGAACGCGATCCTCCTCCACCTCCTAGCCACAGAGACAATACCGCAGAAGAAGCTGCTCTGGCTGAAGAGCAGCGCAATGCCTGGATCCTCCGCAACCTTGGCTACCTGCAATCGTTCGACGTTCGCGGCCTACATCAACTTCCGCTGCTGTCGCGTCTGTGGGGATATGATTTCGGCTGGTATGGCTTAAGCATTATGTTCAAGATCGCAGACTTGACAATGCTCGCCGGTCGTCGCCTGAACCCTCAAGAGATGTCAGTCTTCGCCTCTCACACCGCAAGGGGAGTTGTAGCGGCCTCTTACGATCGGCCGATTGCTATAGGGGCAACCAGTTTTGCCCTCTGGCGCGGGTGGTCGTCATACCGGATGCCATTCTATCAGCCCAAATTCACCACATGGGTGCACCCACAGGCTAGTCGGCGCCCATTCCTCTCATCTTTGGCCTGGCATTCAGCGCGGGTGGGGATTTACGGGCTTGTTGGTCTCAGCGCCTATAAGCTATTCTCAGATCGCTACATCGACTACATGCTGGTCAATTTCGCTGAGGACGCCTTGAAATTCGATCCAGCCTTGAAGAAAATAAACCAGGATATGAACAACAACTTGGACCGACTACGCAGCGAGAGGGCAAGAAGGCATGGCAAGACTGAGTAGCCTGTGGTAGTAGCACTCTGTGGTCTTATTACAAAAGACGTGAATCGAGATCCTCAAACAATATCGACCTTTCCTATGTCCGAAAATCAGAATCAAACGGGAATCTAGTGTGTTTGCATCGCGAGTGGACAAATATACCTTAGAAGACCCGAATAAGTCAAACGGAGAACATTTCTTCTGGAGTTTTGCTCATTCCTGGCCGCGATCATTGTGTCTTCGATCGAGCCGTCTACCCATTGACTAGAAAACATGTGAAAGGTATAGAGAGTATATGTGATTCTAAACCTGCTCCTCTAAATTAACCCTTCTGGACATGTGGATGTTTCTAGGGAACCCATGGCAATCTGCAAATCTGGCAAGCGTTAGCGAGTATAGACCCCCAAGGCTGGGCCTTGCCTGTCGCGAGTTTCGCAAGCCAGAATCCTAATTGGAAGGCGCTGTTTACACAAAGATGTCCCGATAGTCACCAATGAGACCGTCCGAGTCTTTTGATGCTCGTATTTCATGCAGGCTATATCGGCGAGTCTTCTAGCTCCGGTGTTCACACGAGGCAACTAGGAGTAAATGCACGTGCATACTGTAAGCTCGATGCGGATCTTGGATGAATCCGACATAAGCACCTCCAAACTACTTTGATGGCAGAGCATACCTTCAATTCTGGACTCAGCATTATGATACGAACTCATTGACGTTGGGTGTCACAACGCTGGATGAAGATCCTTGGTGTCGTGGTAAGAATTTATTTCTTTCTCAAGGAGGAGAATGCTGGAGTACGTGCCACAAGTAGTCTGCATAGTGAGCCGCTATGGTGCATACCGTCATAATGAAGTTTTGGAGGAAAGAAAAGGCTCAGAGCTTGAGATCTCTGCGCATTTTGAAGTGCCTGGATTCAATGGTTACATATGTATCTAGACTCTGTCCCTGCTCAGACTTCCCTCAGCCGCTTCTGTCCTATTTGTATCTTGTCCTGAAACGCATAGACAGAGGATTTTCGCGTAGCGATATGGCTATCAAAAGCATCATCACACTGCACATGAAAAATTAATGGTCCCATATTGATACATTCAACGCCATCTTTTTGTGGCTGGCGTTCAAAGCCTGGTGGTGGTGGAGGAAGCCCAGACACAAGAAATGAGTGTTGGTGAAAACAGCCAGAGATCGGTCACGCGGGTCATAAGAGAGCGAGCAGCACACTATTGATGTCTTTTTCGGAATGCGAGCGTCAATGCGATGATGGTAAATCAACAACAAATAATATGGAAGTTACAGCCCCCCTGAAATGCTTCGGTGTTTGTCCCCAGCCCCCCAAAGGGCCGAAGCACCTCTAAAACGACCATGTGTGCTCCTGGATAAATATTATGTGTTTTTCAGTGGCCAATAGTGCCTCCATAAGTTGAGCAATCCATACTTGAGGCAGCTAATCGCGATGTTGCAGACTTACCTTACATTAAGATTCGCATAGTGAACCCTTCAGCTGCGTTCCAGTACGGCAGTCCATAATTTAATGTATTCAAGGCTAGTAGCGATAGGAAGTGTGAAAAGAGGACCCAGATTTCCATCAAAAGGCCTAGATCTGCCTCTAGTTGGTCTACACCCTTCACACCTCCTAAGGTTCCGGCGGCGTAGATCATTCGGCTCGCCTTTCTAGAAGTAACCTAGCGGATGTAGGTAGCGCCTCAGCACGTCAAGAAGGAATACGAGCTTAAGCCAATGTTTAAATAGCTTTCGGGTATCGTCGTTCTCGTTTTGCAGGGTGCTGGATTCGCAAGAACTAACGACCCGGTTAGCCCTACATATCTAGCAACATGACATGGTAGGGAGGGTAGACCGACAACCGCGATAATTATTCGTGGAGGACGTACTTGGCGCGGGTGAAAACGGCGATTGTTCTTCTGCACAGGAAACAGACAGGTTGAGTGGGTTTCTTGGTATTCTAGGAGATGTGACATGCCTAGATATGCCTCAAAACAAACGTTTGCACGGCACCCCTGGAGGAAACAGCCGCTGACTTGTATATCTTGGCATACCGCTATCTCAGCGATGCTGAAAGAACATCTGAATAATACCCTTTTTGCGTGACGAAATCTTTATTTAGTTGTTCCAGTTGTCTTGAGTGGGATAAAACAGATGTATGTTGCCGACGTCGAGAAGTATTGTCAGGGCTCCACATGAACTACCTAGGATTACAGACTTGACGCTTAGATTTCGAGGTAGATTCCAGAAAGACCTCTCCTAAAAATTTTGACGGCCGAGCCTAGAACAAATGTACAACGGCCTCACCCGTGGTAGGCTCTGGGGTGTTGTCTTCTAATCAGCTGAATTAAAGACTAATGTTTGTGAAGTCGACGCAGCTCAGAGCTTGTGTAGGGGTGTCCTCACATCCACAAATGTAAAAAGGCACGACTCTCACTATACGTGTAGAGAAAGTCCGAGCCCGTTTCTGCCAAATCTAAATTTGCAATCTCATCGTACGATGGGCGCTCAGGACACAAGAACCACAGACCACATGTCGTTATCGCGTTTCGAGTGCTCTTCCTTGCAGAGCGGGAAGCATATAAGGCCAAGTCCTGTCACAATTGGCCTATCTAGGTATGCCGAAAAAATCGCTCATCAGTGCCGGGATTCAGCTCCATAGCCGACCAAAGGCGCCGAAAGGTCTAGAGTCAACCAACCGGCTCTTCCTCAGCAGGCGGCTTCCATGGCCGCCAAGCTCCCCAAGTTGGAAAACTTCCGGGGAAGCGATACGCGTCGGCCCAAATCCTGGCTCGACACGAGTTTCCCCCAAGGTGAGATGGCGTCAACAAGACTTTCCCAAGAACTACGGGCACCAGCCACCCGTCTTGGTTGACAGTGAGGAACACACCGCCTGCATAGCGTACCGCTGCTTATCACCATCTTCTTCCACTGAGAGGCTCATTCCTGAATGTCGTGATGCAAGGCAGTTGTCATGTCTCCTGATTCTAATGCATCTGAGATGCATCTCGAGTCAAAAAAGCCGCATCTGGTTTTCCCTGATTTGGCTTGTGAAGGATTTGAAGATCTCTCGGCGGGATGCTTTCGGGCATGCAAGTTGACGTTCATCCGAGATTTTGTCTAGTGTTTGGGATAGTTGGTAGACTGTCAACCAAATTTTGCATCCTACCTTGGCAGCCATCAATAGAATCGTGGATTTTTCTAGAGGCGACTGACTCTGAGAATCCAACAATGGCGCCACTAATCCTGGTCACTAACCCCGGAGTGGATCCCAAATATCATTGAAACGTTAACATTGATCCAATCTGCTGGGTCCAGCAGCCCCTTGTGGATCCTAGACATAACTGCAACTAGATAAAGAACCGACCCCATGGGGAAGAATGGTCGAGCCACGAACGCCTCGCCGGTGACGGCCCAATCACAGCACGCGCGAGATCCATCCCTTGCTGACCGCAAAGCAGCCAACGATATGCCCCCTCATCTTGGCCAGCACTTGGCAGAAAGCTAAGACACTTGGCGAAGCCATAGACGAAGTACTCCCCTCGTCAGCCGTTGTCTCTCTGCATATTGGCTGTGTCACGATGTGCCGAAGCCATCAGCACAAGCGCACGCGGACAGCCTGCGCGGACAGTCTTCCGTATTCCTCCATGCCTTCCGGTCGTCTTTCGTTTCGTAAGTCTATCTGAGATGGCGTCGCGCTAGTCAGCTGGAATGCGAAGAGGAGAAGGCCTGGCATTCGTATATAGAGGCGCTACTTCCCGTGCCTAGACCACCAAGTTGTCTTGTTTCTTTTGGAATCCAGCTTTCTTTCGACCTTAGCCCCGTTCAATTGTGCAGTCGGGAGTGTTCCTCTCAAGGCCAAGCTGAATAGAGACTTGTCAAGCTTCTTCCAAGCCTCCTTGTTCAACAGCACTAAGAAACCGTTGCCGCTATGGAAACGACTCACGAGCCGGCTGACCCCGTTGCCAAGGGCGTAATTCCAACGGCCAGCCAGTCCATTCGTGACCTGTTCACCTGGAAGCAGCGCGTGGTCGTCACCAACCCAGATGGCGAATCATCTTGCGAGTGGGCGAAGCCCATCCCGCTCAAGAACCCCGTCAGCCTGATGGCCCAGCTTTCCGCGAAGGACTGGATATTTTTTATCGTTGGTTTCACAGCCTGGACTGCTGATGCCTTCGACTTCCACGCCCTATCTATCCAGACTGTAAAGCTGTGAGTACCCTCATGCACATATTGTGTGGCTTCAAACTAGTCCCATTTTGGGGCCTACTCCCGTGGAGTGATTAGAGCTGGAAATGTCGTGTAACCCATATTAATGCGCCAAGCTTCATAGGGCCAAATACTATGATGTCTCCAAGACTAGCATCACCGAGGCTATCACCCTCACTTTGCTGCTGCGTTCAATCGGCGCGGCCATGTTTGGGCTGGCTGGAGACAGATGGGGAAGAAAATGGCCCATGGTAGTCAACATGATTGTCCTCGGGCTGTTACAGATCGCTACCATCTACTGCGCGACGTTTCAGCAGTTCCTTGCTGTTCGGTCTTTATTCGGCCTGTTCATGGGTGGCGTTTATGGTAATGCCATAGCTATGGCATTGGAAAATAGTCCCGTGGATGCCAGGGGTCTCATGTCTGGTATTCTCCAACAAGGCTACTCCTTCGGTTATGTCTGCGCGGCTTGCGCCAACCTCGGAGTGGGCGGCGGCGTTGAAACATGGAAGACTGTCTTCTGGATCGCCGCGGGGCTTTCCATCGGAGTCGGCCTTGTCCGCATGTGCTTTCCAGAATCACAGCAGTTCATCGAAGCCCGCAAGGCTGGCAAGACTGGTGGCCATGCCACACACTTTTGGCAGGAGACCAAGATTATGCTGGCCCAGGAGTGGAAGATGTGCATATACTGCATTATTCTTATGACCTGGTTCAACTGTGAGTATTCAAAGCCCTATTCCTGAGTTATCATTCGCAGGAGGATTAGAAGTTGACATTCGACACTAGATTACAGCCACACCTCTCAGGACAGCTACACTACCTTCATGATCACGGAGAAGGGCCTCGACAACTCTGGCGCCAGCCGAGCTTCCATTCTGATGAAGGCAGGTGCCTGCGTCGGCGGAACAATCCTGGGTTATGTGAGCCAGTGGTTCGGCCGTCGTCGCACAATCGTCCTCGCAGCTATTATCTCTGCGGCTCTGATCCCAGCCTGGATCCTTCCCACCACCGAGCGCTCGCTGTCTGCCTCTGGCTTCTTTATGCAGTTCTTCGTCCAGGGCGCGTGGGGTGTGATCCCAATCCACCTGAACGAGCTTTCGCCCCCAGCATTCAGGAGCAGTTTCCCTGGTATTACCTACCAGCTCGGAAACATGATCAGCAGCCCGTCGGCCCAGATAGTGAATGCGCTCGCTGAGAGCAACTTCATCACTAACAAAGCTGGCAAGAGGGTCGAGGCTTACGGACCCGTGATGGGTATTGCGACGGCTATCATCGCCATCGGAATCGCAGTCACGACTGCGCTGGGACCGGAGAAGAGGGGACGCGAGTTCTCTGCGAAGCCAGCCGGCATGAACATGGAAACGGAAAGCAGCCTCAAGGCCAAGGACATCGAGGCAGAGGCCGCGTCTATCCATGAGAACGAGAGGGTTGATTCTGAGAAGAAGGAGACAAATGTTTAAATAAGCCCGATGGAAAGCACACTTGCGATCGAAAGATGACCGCTGCGCGGCCAATCATGCAGATCTGCTTCTACACTATGTTCACCAACTACGCCAGATCTGGTAGGCTAATTAGCCACTACAACAAAGCTGTACCATGGATCGGACTAGAGTTTGTGCTGTCTTTCATAGTATAAGAAGATTAGTGTTTATGTACCAAAACAGGTCCTAATACATGTGCCTCGATATTGCCGATACTGGCTGGTCAATTGCTTAGACATGAAATCACCAATACGTATGTTGCAATTGTCTTTCAGATGATCTTGTATTTCCTATCATCTATATCTGCTGCGTGCAGGTCGTATGACGTGCACTTAGCCGGTCCACTCCTTTCGCACCCTGTTAGTCCTCTTGTACGAGGAGGCCCCAATGTACTGTATTCCGAACTCAATCGTTTCGACCAGCTCATAGTCATCAGCCGAGTTCCGGTCACCAAAGATCTTCATCGCTCTAACTGCCAGCTTATACACGCCAGCAGGCACGTACTCCCCGGTAGCGAGCCGTCCGTCCCAGGTTGTCGATTGCGGTCCGCGAGGCTGATACTCCAGCGGCGTCATGTACAGATCGCCGATAGTGGCAAGGCCGAGCGACTCGGTGGCGTTGGCGTCCGACGACACCGGGACGACATCGACGCGAATCAGTGCCGAGCCAAGGGCGAGGTTGATGAACAACCGTGGGTAGTCTGTGCTATTTACGTTGTATTGCGTGTCATTGGAGTGGCCGGGTGGGGGGAGCAAGAATGTGTGGTTCGAAGATACGGGGGCATCGTTTAAGTTGAGAGAGCTGCTCAGATATGTCTGGTCGCTGTCCAAGACCGTGGCGGAGTGCAGAGACCCAGCCACACCCAAATATGGGAGAGACAAGCTGGACGAGTCGGAACCGTTGATTGCAATGTAGCCCGAGTAAACGGGCAGTCTCTCAGCATCGAGTCCAGCGGGCGGCGTGGCCTTCACTGACACGATCTTGCGTTGACCAGCCGGTAATGTAAAAGTTGTACCGCTGAGGAATTCCAAGGTAGCATAGTCATCGAGGAGCTCGTTGGGGAATGGCGCAGGGAAAATGCTGCCATTGCCCGAGAGAGTATAGCCGGTAGCCGCACCCACGTGGCTCAGCGTATAAATGACAGATGTCTTTCCGGTGTTCGACACGGTGAAGTTCTGCACTGGAAGGATGTTGTCTGTGTCGTTAAACGAGAGACTGCTGACGCTAAGAAGAGATGTCGTGTATGCTGCATCGTAAGCCTGAACCAAGCCCGAGCCTTGTTGCGCAGCCGGTGCTAGAACGGGGTAAGTTGTGGCGCCATCGTTGAAGAGATTTGGGTTCGATGTCGCGGAAAGGGCGTTCTCCAAGGTCTTGGGGTCCTTGGTTCCCCTGACTTCCATCAAGAGAGCGTAGATACCAGCAACAAGGGGGCAAGCCATGGACGTTCCCGAGAGCACGGCGTAAGAGCCCAAAGCCGTAGGATACGTGGACAGGATGAGGCCACCAGGAGATGCAAGCTGGGGCTTGAAGTCAACCTCCCATGTTGGGCCCCAAGATGTGTAGGTGCTTAGGAAGCCACCGGTCAGGTTATTAGGTGTCAAAGTCAAAGACTTGTCGGCGGTTGTTGGGTCAGTCATCGCGACCGTCACGTTCTGCCCGGCTGAAAGCGCAGCAATCCACTTCGCTCCCTGATCCGCTGTGACCATAGCAACAGCCTCGAGTCCAGAGACAGTAGTGCCGCTAACAGCAGTGGCGCCAGCCGGAACATTGTTGTAGACGATTACGTATCGTGCGCCCTTTGCCACCACGTTCTGTAGCTTTTGAACGAAGGTGCATGAGCCCCTACGTACTAAGACGATGTACCCAGACAAGTCGGGAGTATCGTCTGGCAGAGCAGTACAGGCGTTCGCAGGGTCTGCGGTGTCGTAATTGACAGACCACAGGGGCAAAGTGACACCAGCCCAGGCTGAGGGCTGCCCTGGCGTGTAACCGAAAGACTCCTCAGAACCACCGTCGACAGTGTAGCTGGCAACGGTGAGCAGTGCTGGTGTAATCGTGTTGTCAATAGATGCAATGGCAGTGACTCCCTTCCCGTTTGCTGCGGTACTAGCGTAGAACAGGCCTTCGGCGCCATCGTTACCGGCAGAGACGGTACATGGTACTCCGTTTTCGACAATTCGCGACACCGCGACGGACCAAGGTTCCTCGCCCCACCCTGATGCTCCTCCTATGGAGGCAGTGATGAGATCAGCGCCTGCTTCGTAGGCCATGTTGAACGCAGCAATGAGAACATCTATTCGCAAACATGGTATTAGCCATCAAACAAGACTGGTGAAAAGCACTCTTAAGACCGAACGCGCATGAGTGCAGAGCGCACTCAAGTTCGATAGAGAGGAGGAAGAATAAGGTAGCGTACCATCAGGGGAAGATCCATCACAACCAAACACACGATAAGAGCCCAGCGTCACTCCTGTGGCAGCACCAATGATGCCGTATGGGTTGTTCGTCTGAGCAGCGACAATACCAGCGACGTGGGTGCCGTGACCGCCACAGTCGAAGGGATCTGGGTCTGGAACGGGAGTGTTCGATCCGTTGAATGCATCTCCAACAAGATCGTAGCCGAAGGAAACCAAGCATCCAGGGCCGAAGCAACCTCCGAGGGCCGGATGACGGTAATCGAGCTATATCACAGTGTTAGCTACGAGTGGCCATGGTTATTATATCGAATATTGCTTTTCCCTCTTGACAATATCATCCTCCACCGGCCATAACAGCATTTACACTGACTTGGTGAAGCTTGTGCTGTCGATCATAAGGCCATCCCGCGTTTTGACAAGGGATGCCAAGCAGAGGATGCCCAGACACACAAGATGCTAGGGAGAAATTCATGAACTTACACCAGTATCGACAATGGCCACTTTGATTCCCTCGCCCACAACGCCCTCGTCCCTCAGCTTGTTCACCTGGGTCATGACGTGAGGCGAGAACGTGTCCTCAGGGGCCTGACGCGTTTCCGACGCGTCCTCCCTGCCAGCATCGTCCCCTGCCACCCAGTGGACTGTGTGCTTTGGCACATTGTACAGCCTGACGGGCCACATCTTCTTGACGGCAGGCTTGGTGCCCATAAGATTGGCCTGGTCATCAGCCGTGTCGGTGTCGTGGAAGCGAATAGACGCTCCCTTGAACAGCTTGTAGTCGAGCTTCATGCGGGTCGAGGCCACATCCTGGACCGACGACAACTCCGCGTCAATGTTAACCCCATCTTCATATTCAACAATGAAGGCGCCTGGGACGATGTTGCTGGCCTGGACGAGGCCAATGGCAGCCAGGAGGCCGCTTATGATTCGGAGTCCAACCATGGCGCTTAGGAGAGACAGCTTTGGACCAGGAGTCTGGAGAAGAAAATCGACAAGAAGAGTTCAGGGTAGACAGAAAGAGAAGGACGAAGTTGGGGGCCGCCAAACTGCAACTGCGGGAAAGAGTGACATGCAGAAGCTGGGGCACAACATCGTGGAGAGGTGAATTCCGAACAAGTGAATGCTGGGGCACCAACTTATATGAAGGGATAGAGCACTTGCTCTGCAGGCTCATATTCACCATGTGCTGCACAGCAGGTACAAGCCAAGGACAAGCCAAGGGTGAATAGCGTAGCTCGCACGCTTGTGCCGCATTGGCAGTTCATATGCATGGCCATCGCATCATCTATTCTGCACCTTGAAGACATCAGTATTAGTAGCTCCACAAGGGCCGGCTCAGTCAACTCGACTCGCCCAGCCGCCAAAGATACACGAGACCAGGGACTCGCCACGGTGTGGGCCAGTCGCGTTGTGGAATTGCGGGTAGTTTAACCGGCCTCCTTTATCACCATGGCTTGTTCGAGGGCATGAAGATCCATTGGACAGCAATTGGAAGATATGCAAGGTGCAGGGTCAGGTGCAATATAGACACGCCTGGAGCAGTTTTCGACGGCGGCGCTGGGCAAAGCTTGGCCTTTCCACTGTCCTTGCCTAGGCAGGCAGGCCGGTGTGCAGCACAATCGCCAAGCTGCGGAAAGCTGTCGAGAAAGTGGGGACAAGGATTCATAAATGAGGGCCTAATTTAACACAACCAGACAATCAGGAAGGTCATTGTTGGTTCAGTCCCCTCGACGACACCGGGACGCTTGATGATGGGCCCCGTCCTGGTCGTCCACCCAGGAGAACATAAGCTCCAAGAATAGGGTGAAAGCAGCGCGTAGTGCATGGTAGTGTCAGTGGTACCCCCGCCGGGCTGGGATACAACAGAGGTGTCGACACCACGGCTGTCAACGTCTTGTCTGGTTCTTCAAATGGTCGGTGATGGTAAAGAATCGCACATGGGTAGTTGGATTAGACTCAGATTTAGCTTGCTCCATCCCGTCAATGATGGCCCGGAGAAGAGGGGGCAGCCAGCGGAGATTGAACGGCGGCTATATGGCGCAGCCGCCACTTCGACCTCCCCGTTCCGGTCAAGCGCACTGGGCTCACGATTTGAGTCATTGACTTTGTTGATGGGCTGTGGTTCGAAGGTTGTGGTCGAATACGAACGCTAAATGGAGATGAACGCCAGAAGAAAAAGATGCAGCTGCTCGATATTGGCAGCCTGGCGCCTGGCTGCTCGCCCCTTTCTGGTGTGGCGATGGCAGCCGGAAATTAGGACGTAGTTCGCCCAGGCTTCTGGACTGGAATCTGGCCCGAGGCAGCGACTAGAAGATTAGAAGATCGACAGGGAGACACGCGTGCCGTAGATCACCGGAAAAGCATTCGGAATCCATTGTGCCGCGGAAGGGTGCAGTCCGGGAGTCCGGGTTCCTGCTTGAACATGCGTCGAATATCTTGGAAGAAGCAGCACACCTCTCTCTGTGTCGGTGGCGGGGGATGGGCTGAGACATTGAGCAATATCTGTTCGGAGCTGTCCCTTTCAACCCGAATGCAAGGCAGTGTTTCGTACCTGCAGTCACCCGATCAGCAGAAACCCCACCTAGTACAAACATGCGTAGAAGCTCGCACATGTGAGGTCGTGTAAGGGTCCGGGCGGGGGTATTGAGCTGACAAGGAATCTTCGATGAATGGTGTTTAATTGAATTGGGCTTTGGTTGAAACCCAGCATATATATCACAACGGCAGATCTTCAAATCGTGTTTAGCAAATTCAGGGCATCACATGTTTGGAGGTGCCTGCACCTTGCCTGTGGCTGTCCATTGGACTGCCAGCCGCGCGAGCTGCTTCGCCCATGCAACCGTCGGTGGGAATCACTGCAGAAGCCACCTTCCTGACTGTCGGGATGCATGGGTGGTAATGACTTGTTTCTGCAGCTACTGTATCCCATCGCCTACAAGCCAGCCTCCATAGCCGAGGACTTTTGGCGGTGACACTGGTAGCGTCACTATGCCAGCAACTCCCTTGCGACATCGTACGTGTTCATGTAGGCAATGCCCTCTTTCCTCCATGTATCCGCTTCAACCCAAGGGCCAGCCGTGGCATTCAGGACCATATTTGTCGGGTCCTCAATGCTGTACTTCGGCCATGCGGGTAGGGGCAGCAGATCCACGTTTTCTCCCACTTCCCACGCACTGGGCGGATTCGGATCAAGGTTATGTACAAAGCTAACATAAGCCACAGCGACAGACCGTGCAATTCTCAAGTCGTTGTCGAATGCCGGGCTTGGGCCGAGAAGCCCGGTGATGTTCTGAAAGCTGAAGGCGACGTTATCAAAATGCTGGATCCCGGCGAGTTCCGTCTTGTTCCACAGGCGCGTGTCAAACCTGTACGAATAGACGTCCTGCCCTGCTGTTCCGGCGAACACCTCGCACATCTTGCGGCGGCCGGAATGCATAACCATGTCACCACCTATAGCGGCGCCACGGCGCCAAGCTAGGCCTTTCGACGGGAACACGGAACAGTTGTTGATGTAGAGTGGCGGCTCGACGCAAGGGTCGTCGGGATATAGCTCCAGGAACTTCCGAATGGTTGGGGGTGATAGCGCATAGCTGCGCCACCATAAGAATGCATTGAAGAGATCAGTCTCAGTGTTGGGCCCCGCTGGACCAAAGGAGGCGCCTTCATCGGTGTTCGTGCCAGTCAGGAGGGGGATGGCGTTGTACTTCCCGTCGCGGATAAGGGTGCTTGGGTAGCCAGTGAGGAAGTTCCCATCGATGAGAGGGTTCCAGACCTGTGCGGGCGAGGCGGCGAATAGCTTGTCCTGGTCAAGTCCACGCAGGCACGCAAGTTGGTCACTCGCGGTGTAGCAACCGACGGTTCGTGTGAGGTTTTCCACAGGAACAGAGTAGTAAGCTAGGTCCTGCACTTGACATCCTGTTGGACCGCCGCTTTCAAGTATGGCACCGCGGTATAATCCATCGTCACGACCGTCGTAACTAAGCAAGTGGTATGCGATGCTTTGAGCCCCAGCGCTCTCGCCCCAAACGACCACGCGCTCGGGGTCACCTCCAAAGGCGGCGATGTTCTCCTGGATCCACTGTAATGCCAGCCTTTGGTCGATCAAGCCTGCATTGCTCGAGCCCTCAGCCACAAGCGCGGGTGTCTGCAGAAATCCCCACATCCCAAGACGGTAGTTCATGTCTACGGCGATCATGGGCTGTCCCATATCCTGGCTGACTCTAACGATGCCGCTTAGGTTGTACTGGGGGTCTGCCGTCGAGCCCGCGTAGAGACCACCCCCATAAATCCAAACCAGGACTGGTAAGTTGGTATGGTTGCCGGCTGGGCGGATGACGTTCAAGCTGAGACAGTCTTCGGAAAGGTTGAAGGTCGAGCGGTACTGCATGCAGCTGTACCCATAATTGGATGCATCTCGGACTCCGTCGAAGGAGCTATTCAGGCTGCGTGGCCACCTGAAGCGCAAGTCTCCCAGGGGAGGTTGCGCATAGGGCAGACCGAGGAAGACATCTTGGTCGTAAGTAGGGAGATAACGCCCTTGGTAGGTCCCATTTCTCGTAGTCGCGACAGGCGCGGTGTCGCTGCCATTGAATATCGTCACACTGCTGCCGGGCTGAAGCAACAAAGATGCCACAGCAAGCGAGATGGGCCTCATGGCAGGCGACAGTCTGTTTCCAAAGAGAGAATCGTTCAGACTTTGACCCCTGGTCCGCCCATTGAGACAGCAGACGCCGAGACACGCTCTTCTGCCATCTTATTATACTGGCTCATCATCCACGTCACCGGCGCAGCTCCCAGCGACGGCCACGGGTTGCAGCCATGATTGGAGGGAAATTGTCAGCCGGGTGCCATCGTAGACTATCGACCTGGTGAGGATTTGGAGACAGGCCAGGGGCAGAAAGTGGCCAGTCGAGGAGTAGTCGGCCATTCTGCGGGGTCGACTGACGAGGTGTGGTGGAAGCAAAAGTCTGGGCGAACAGGGCAAACAGAGCAAACCGGGCAGGGTGGAACCAGGATATGGAGAAATGACAGGAGAATTGGGGACGAGGAACGCGGTCAGCGGCAAGTCAGTGTAACGGGGACCCGCATATAAAGCCTCTGATGGACTGCTCGACATTGAATGGTGACATGCGACATGTCAGTTGGTGAGGTGGAAATAGGCAATGTCACCCGCTGCCCGTCGGTCCACGAGTCGTCACATGCAGGCCGTCGCCCGGTGGACCAGTGGACTTGGGGCCTGGAGGAGCCATCTGCGGGGCGCACGGGCCAGCGGTTCGTCCCAAGCTGGAGCTTCTTTCTTTCCCCGGAAACTCAATTGCTGGGCGATCCAAACTTTTGACTTTCGGAAGCCAACGATGGTGGAATAAAGAAGAGGATCGATGCCGGGATGTGGATGAGTACCCAGCCCCATTCGTCATCCCCAGCCAACATTGCCTTCCCACAAGATTGTCGTCATTAGTCCAGGTACTCTTCTAAATAGCCAGACTCTTGTGATGACCATCGTCTGACAATTAGCAGCAGGGCCACCCACATCCTTTTCAGCAATGGGTAGGTTCATTGTTTGGAGTGCCGCATCGCGCCTAGAAAGAAGCCCTCCCAAGAGTGCCAAGTACATCTTATACGGCTCGAGCCGAGACACAATGCTTGCATCTCAAATTCACAACGTGACATCACCTCCAAGGTGCTCGTTTCAGCAACATTTAGTCTCCTAGTTGCCACAGCTGAACCACCAAAGGTGCTGACCTGCCTGAAGCTGGCAGTCCCTCCTGGCAACACGAGAAACTCAAAGCCCAAGTCTGGGAGATAAATGAGTAGAAAGCCATGATATAAGGGTATAGGTATCTATGTGCTGCCAAATAACAAACGCCGATCAGGAGGGGCTGCCGCCTTATTAAATATCCGCTAATTCTTGAAAATGTCTCTGATGCTCGATTCCGCTGAGATCAACTGCTCTGCCGGCCAACGTCCAGGTTCGACAATCGCATTTATGCTGCCACCTTGACATCTTTCAGAGCTATTGTCTGACCGTTCTTCCAAGGCGTCTTCCCAACCTTGTAGTGGTTCTCGTCTGCAAATGAAAGGGTGTTGCCTTGCTTGGCCACCAGGGGAATAAGGAGGAGGTCGAGCAAAGCGCAGTCACCTCCAATGTAGGGGGTGATGTATTGGTCCGCGAGTTTCCACAGCGGGTTGTCCCACGCCACTACTCGCGTATAAAGTCCTGAGATCCCATTCATATCTGAAGCATTCTTCTTCCTTATTCCCTGGTAGTCCTTGAAGACCTGGGTGAGCGCATCATTGCTCGGTTCGGCGGTTTTCGTCAGCAGCTCATGCAGGCCGTTTGTTAGAACTGCAGCAGACTGCCATCCACTGTTGAGTCCTAGACCGACGTTGGGTGTCATCTTGTGCACCGTGTCTCCAATCAGCACGGTGCGTTCGCCGTACCAACTTGGCGCGACGCCTTCCTCAAGTCCGGAAAAGTAAGACCATGAAGTCTGAGACCAGATGTCGCCGAACTTGACATTCTCGGAAACACTTATATCCTCCACTGATTTTGCAAATTCAGCTTTTTCGTCCTCTGAGTAGCGTTTGCTGCCCTTGATCGTTGTTGGCAGACGCTCGTAAACAACAAACATGGCCATTTCGGGACCAGGGATGACCTGAATTGAGGTCTTGTCTCCGTGCATCTCGTACAACGTCTGAGAATCGAGACCTTTTGTCCAACTTGAGCAGCCATACAGCGCTCGGTAAGACGTCGTGAATGGCTCTGCATCCCCTTGACTCTTGGCCATATGTTTCCTGACCGAGCTGTTGACGCCATCTGTGCCGACAACGATGGAGCCTTCATGGACGCTGCCGTCCTTGCAGCTGACTTTGACACCATCTGCAGTGGTTTCGATCCCAGTCACCTCGACATTGCTCAAGATGCGAGATTCGTGCTCTGGGAGGGTGTTGTAGAGATACTCATGCAGCTTCGGCCTGTGAAAGCACATCCATGGGTGCCCGAGCCTAATGAAATCCTGCTATCAGTCCCAGAAGCCTTCTTCGGGGCTTGGGTAAACTTACGCGACGCCGACTCTCTCCATCATGTTGCTCTTCTGCAGTACAGACCCATCTCTTCGCACGTTCTGTTTGAACTTAATTCCGCAGTCGATCTCCTCGGCTCCCTTCAGCAATCCGAGCTGGTCCAGGAGCCTCACGTTGTTTGGCCAGAGAGCCATTGAGGCTCCACCTTTCGGAACAAGCAGGTCACTCCGCTCCAGAACGATAAAATCAATTTCCGCCTTGGTCAGGCAGTGGGCCAGGCCAAGACCGGACAGGCCGCCGCCAACAATGATTACTTTGAAGCCCATGTTGTCTTTGGGGTGAACGGAACGAGAGGAAAGGTTGGGACGTTGAGCTCAGAGACAATGAGGCCTCAAAGATCGAGAGCATTTGTTTTATCTAAAGCCTTTTTTTTTTTTCGGCGCGAGCCTAGAAGCGGACCCCCGATGCTTCAAAACAATGCCCCACCGAAAGCCGCATTCGTAGCCCCCTGGAAATAGTCCATGATCTCCGGAGAGGAGTTGTCGTCTAATGAACACGTGGGAAGTGGATTTCATCCTCGGTCTGGCCTTGAACAGGAAAGCAATTCGTAGCCGAGCGGCACTTCTGCGGCCCGGATCTAAGTCCACTCTCGCATTTCCGTCGAGATCTACAAAGTTTTACTATATGCTCCGGCATCAAGGTTTTGCGTCTTCGTAGGATTATGGGCAAAGTAAAATGGAGTCTTATCATTTCTGGGGAGTCTTCGACTCCTTTTGATTTGCCACTAACAAGCTCAGAGGTTCCATCGGCAATCTCACCTGCATGTCAATAGGGGTCGCACGCCATATGCGCGCCAGGGCAGGGTTTCCTCAAAGTTTGGCAGGTGGGTCAACATGGGAAAAGGGGAATCGCATGTGCAACGTCTCGGACAAAACCATCAGACCATCAGTCCGATGGGCACGGACTGGCTAGCACGTGGCGATCGAAGAGACCTGCGCTCGGAAAATAATTGAAGCTCAAATTCTCAATTGCTGTCACGACACGCGATTCAATGTTGCAGACCGAAGCCAACAACCCTGTCTCCCGAGCACGCAGGGGTGAACGGGACGAAGGGCTGTGGGTATATGTATCGAAAGTCCCAAGTTTGCAAATTCATATGCTCGAGCAATGGTGTCTACCTCCCATAATCTGACACCAGCATGGAAACCATTTGGCCTTGTACGTGCTCCTCAATGTTGGCAGCAACGAGGTACGGATCGACTCGATCAACGCCTTTGCTCGGAGCAAAGCGGCAGCAGCGATGTCGTCGTTGCAATCTCGGCCCCTGACTGAGCAGGTAATAGACCTCGGTGCTCTGCTTGAATCAAATGATGTCTCCTGCCAATTTCTTCACCTTGCTGGCATTGGGAAGGAAGAAACCTTCGGGGCTCCCACTTCATGATGCCTTTCCAGCAAGCTATGCCCAACTCTTGGGTCTGAACTGTCGAGGACCAAGTCAACACGGAGCCTCTGCGTTAAATACATTCGTACAACACGCGCACCAACAACTTTACTGTCGTCTTTTAACAATCGCATCTCGACTCTTTGGAAATGCCGGCTGCATCTCCAGAACGCATGGATTCGGCCGTCGACATCTCTCCGACTTCATCAGAAGATTCCAGCCTGTCTGACTGGCCATTTGGCGACCCTGATGACGATGCAGACACTTCAGAGGTCGCATTTACAGTAGCTCCTCAGGAACCATCCAAGAGTTCTGTTTGTCCTTTCAAAGCCCCGACGAGCAAAGGCTCGGTACTGCCTCCATTAAAATCTAGCAATGTCTTTTCAGAATCAGCAAAAGCAGTAAGTTAGACTACAGATGATCATCACTTTCCCTTAAATAGTGCTACCTGCTTGTTCTGCTGAACCTTTTCGAAGCACCTACAACTGATGCATGTATACCTGGGAGCGCAAAACAGGACTACAACGCCATTGCCTTGCTCTCCCTCATCCAGATTCGTTTGTATACTGCTTTTTAGCCATAGCTAATATCAGGTGTTACAGGCCCTCGCCTGGGCACCGAAGACCTGGAGGCGGGATCTCAAACCCATGCTTCGGTATGTAGTTGTGGAGCCTGATGAAACAACCCGGGTCAAATACTTGACCTGGGATCAGTCGGGTGGCGAAGGCCTCGGGCCCCGTACCACAGGCGACTTCTTCAGCGAGGACGACTACGATCAATCCGAACCTCTGTTGCTCAAAGCTGGCGACTGGAATCACGCAACCATCTGCTTCTTTAAAAGCTACCAAGATGATGAGTGGGAGATATTGCACACGGTGTCTGGGTACGAGAGCATAAAACTCCCCACATTAAGTGGAAAGGCGATCTGGACAGAGAAACCGAGTGTCGAATGGGTCGGTTTGGAGTTCTGCGACACTATTTTAAACGGAACTTTTGGAGTCGGTCAAAATTCTCACCGTGGCAGATTACGTGTTGTCACGCATGAAGCATTTGAAGATAGCGACTTGGAAATGGTCATGTGAGTATTCCCTGCGCTTCGGGTCTGTCACTTGTTCAGTTTTCGAAGGTTTAGCTGGTCCTGAGAAGCAATTTTGGAGTTTTCATGCGTCCGGATTATGCTCTCTAGCTTGCAAGTTGTACATTTCGCTGATTGGAATTCGTGTAGGAAGATTTGGCCATCGCCCATGAGTAGTAAGCTCGGACTAGAGAATGAGATGATGGCATACAAAGCTTGTGATGGCTGGGACATTACGCCCGAGTTTGTCGGCTATGTCACAGAGCAGGGCAGAGTCATCGGAATGTTGACTAAGTACCTTGAAGTCGCGCACAAGCCGGAGAATGATGAGGAGAAGGAGCTGTGCCGCACAGCTCTGCACAATTTCCAGGCAATGACTGGATGGCAGCGCAGGCCCAAGGCCAGCCACAAAGGCAATTATCTCATTGACAACGGCAAGGTCTTCCTCATCGACCTCGCCAATGTGTACCCACCTGAGGAGGTTGCCAAGAAAGATAATGACTGGACGCAGAAAATTCTGCATGAGGATTTTGACGCGTACTAGGACTACGACGAGCATCTCTACCATTGAGACCTCGGGATCAAGGTCTGTTGAATGGGTATTGCGCAGGTGAAATCATACCACACAAACGAAAGTAGAAATATGAGGCTTTTCTTGACTCGTCGCACTCAGGACTTTTGTCATGTGGTTCGCACTTCTTTATGATGCCGGACACAGACAAAAGACACTATCAAGACGAAACTGAAGGACCCCGCAAACTTTGAGGCCATTTCACGCAAGCCTCCAGCCCAATGAGTTTCCGCATAGTTGAATCAGAGCTGAGTCTGGTCTACAATTTGGGTTCCGGATCCAATTGCTGCAAGGCACTCGCGCGGACCATCCAGACTGCATATATCACTGCTTAGACCTTCATACCAGCCATAAAATTGACAGGCTGTCGAGTCTCTTGAAGTCTCGATACCAGGTCATCTGCTTCGGTGCGGACATTTGAGCTACCGTTAGGCAATCCGCAACCCAATCGCCTCGATCCATTCTCGGTCGATACCATCTTCACCAACAAAGATCTCTTGAGTGTCGAGGAACCTCCTGGCATAGCTGACCGCCTCCGCTTCATTGCCTAGATACATGTTGTATCGTGCACAGTCCTGATAGCTACAAATGCTGATGTGTTAGCCTATCTGATCAGGCCGATCTGTAAGTGTTGCTGTGCGACGATATCGTGCGCTGCCAATCAAATGTAAGCTAGAGGGGCCAGACTTACGTCTGACAGACCTTCCAGCCTCCCAGCTCGGACTCCTCCATCAACCGTAGCAGCTCTTCTGCATATTGGACAGCCTTCAACGCTATGGCTTTGCGTGTTTCTGAATCAACAAGAGGCCACTTCTGGTGTGACTGATCTAGAGACCTTCTCAGACTTGTCATGTCTTTGCGCACACGGTCTGCGATCTCTGGCTTAGTGCAGGCTCTGCAATTGCACGTGAAACCCCAGTGCGTTTGTGTTTGTCTCAGCCTCTGCTCATGGGTCATGAAATCGCCACGGTCACCAAGGTAATTGACGAAGATTTGCTGCCCTGCCTTGATATCGCGACCAGTCTGAATGGTTTGTCGGTTAGTCTTGTCGTTCCAAATGCTGTAGGAATTTGGTACACAGGAATGGTTGATGCGGCTGCAAGTGAGAAAAACAGCTGAGCCAGCATCTTTGTTGTCTTTTGTAATTATCGACGCGTTGGTGTGGTAAATAGCGTACAGCTTGAGAAACTTTCTGAAATCCTCATTCTGGACATCAAGTGGGGTTTGAGGATCTTCGCTACGGATTTGAGTCACAATATTACCGGGTAGGTTTTCATTGAGGAGCCGGACGTTGCAGTAGAGGTCTTCAAACTCGGTTATCTTGGTACCTATCGAGCTAATGGCATCGCAAAAGTCTTGGAATGGAGTTGCAGATCGAAACAACAGTATCACAGGACTTTCAGCGAGAATGTATGCTCCCATGGGTATATCAACAGTCGCGAACAGACCTCTGCCCATGCCACTGTGTGCCGCGCGAACTTCGATCATGCTTCTGGAATCCATCGTTCTTCGAGATCTGCTCACAATTGTACAGAAGAAAATAAAGATTTGTTAGCATGAACTGGTTGGCAAATGCCGTTTTGATCTCCAAAGGTTGCCACGCCAATAATATTCAGTGATCACGTACTTGAGTCTAGAAAACAGTCGACCTCTCACACTTGATCGTGAATAATGGCAATGAGGACGGGAAATTTTAAAACGGACAATATGTTTCGAGCCTCTAGACCAGCTTTTATACAATGAAAACTATCCATTTGCTTTTGAAGTGAACACAGCCTGTTGGAGAATTTGCAGCCGTTCGAAAGCATGACAGGCAACAATTCATGACACAAACAGGGCGAAAACATGGAACATGTCTCCAGGATGCCATCACTCGCATTCCCTGCAAAGGTTGAGGCGGGCTGAAAAGTTAGAAATATCAGTCACGAGCAAGGACAGAGTTTGAAAATTGTCCCTTCTTTTTCCTTGTTTTCTATCTTACAAAAAAAAATACAGTGACAATGTAGAGGAAATTGGTGTTACATCATGGGAACAACAGGATTCGTTGGCAGGTAGAAACACCTATGAATCATCAGGATCTCTAGTGCTTCACTCATACACTGAGTCCGATAACAAGGCAACATCTTTCCTGCTTGCAATTTTTGCACACATTTCTGTGTAAGGAGAGCTAAAAGCGCAGAACTGAGTCACTCCACTTCCAGCATCTGCTGATATAATACAGCGTGCTGATTGGTCAATGCTATGACGTCAAAATCTGCAGGCTATGAGCTGGAGACCAGGGCATTGCGGGAGTGCAACTCCGATCTCTAGCAGCTCCGAACCCTCTCCACCGAGCTTTTCGCAGTTGCAGACGTCTTCGAATCAGCCCTCTAGGCGTATACATCCAACGAGTATGCTCTGCCAGAGGTGCGCCGCCATTCTGCGCGGCACTCGCCTCGCCGGGCTGCCACAGCGCGCGACTCGCCAAGCCTCATCGAGCTCCGCGCTTCCGAGACGACTCGGACGGTCCTCTACGTCGACAGCTCTCTGGCCGACTCGATCTACCCCTACACATCCCGCCACAGCCTCAACAGCCGGTGCGATCAGACTCTACTCATCATCAGCTCCGCCTGGTACAAGCCCAACCCCCACCGAGTCAGCGAGCCCATCAAGCACCCTCGAGAAGCCCGACTTCCTCGACGAAGCCGAGTCCACAATCTGGGATCGCCTCGTCAAAGAGTTCAACCCGGTGGAGCTGGTGGTCCAAGACATATCAGGTGGCTGTGGATCTATGTATGGGATCGAGATCAGCTCAGAGAAGTTTCGAGGCGCGAACATGCTCAAGCAGCAGCGGATGGTCAACGCTATTCTTGGTGACTTGATGAAGACCTGGCATGGAGTACAACTCAAGACGAGGGTTCCATGAAACAGACATGTGACCGCATTGAAGCAAAAATTACATGCATAGCCCTGGATGTCTTCCAGAAAGGGTTGGGCTCTGTAACGCGCATCGCGTGACGCGTGACAGAGGCTGCATGGCTGCTCCGGGCCATACACGGGCAGACAGTGCTGTGACTGAGTCGTCATGCACATATAGGAGACTTGAGCGGCGACGAGTTAACTTGTGAGCATCCACCAAGAGGCACATTTTACATGGATAGACAGTCGCGAAACAGAGGCACGCTACATGGGTCATTGGCCAATTTATACCACCAGCATCGGCTCCGCAAACACTCAGCAATAGTCGATGCCTTGTACAGCTCTAACGACACATCACCACTCAGAATATATGAAATTGAGGCTAGGCAGAAATAATGACTCAATTTAGTAGAATTGGTACAGGCCTTAAGCCTTTCTTCCAGTCCCCTTTGAAACTGAAGTGGAAGTTGTCCAAAGGTACTATCTTAAACAACAGCTTTTTCCTGCCTTTAAAGACGACTCCAAATGGCGCCCTGGTACGCTGATACCTAAATCATAGCCAGGTTCGTGTCGGCTACCTATCCACCTAGCGAAATGTCGTGTGTGTTCCTTACTCCTCTGCAGCCGAATGAGCCACCGCAGTCTGTGATGGATTGAGGTGAGACTTCAAAGAGCCGAGGCAGCCGGGGCATCCTTTATCTCGCACTTTTCGCACTTCTCATGCAGCCGTTTCTCAGGTAACTCTTCGTATTTATCTGGATATAAGATCCAGCAATCACGTCCTGTGTGGTTAAATTGTTTGCAGCCATCTCGGTCTAGGTTCGGTATACCAGATGTCACTTCACACTGAATATCATACATTAGCCTTGTACGGAGCTTCTCTGGGCGTGTGGTCATATGGAATATGAGAGAAGTTTGTTGATCTATAGAAGAAAGCTGTCGCCCCGCTGGGGATGAGTAGTGAGGGAGAGAGCAGCAACGGATGCCTGGGGGATGAGGCCGGCGCAAGCGCACACTCACACCGCATTCGTAACATTCACGAACCCACCGACACATTTCTTATTTGCTGAATTTTTGTGACAACGAATTGTGTTTTCACGGTTCCCTGTGGTCGACTTCTCTTCAGAGAGGCGCTGTGATCGAGGGTGATGCTGTGTCCGTTCGGGTTCGAATGTTAAGAAGTCAACACAGACAGGGCGGGGGAATATATATGGGAAGTATGCGTAGATTCATTGCTTCTCGATAGTCACTCATTTTCGTCTAACCTCTTGTGTTCATCACCCTCTTTTATTTCATTGATGCCAGCAGTATCAATTTATACAGGGTGCGGGTGATACACCGCAGTCGAAGCGATTAGCAGCCCACAGCCAACGTCATTGAAGGATGTAAAATTTTGCCCACATGGAATTCCGCTAGGTCACACATTTTAAAGAACTCCTTATAATTCTGCAAGTCATCAACTAAAATGACTGGTATAAAACAATTGTCCTCAACTTCTTAGTAGCCACTTTGAAGGTGTGGGTGGGAAATGTTGGTCACTTCATACGATGGTGCGCAATATCTATGTAAATCCACAGAGCTACGTTGGATCTTGCAACCCACCCTTCTAAGTATGGTTCGTTGAGTGAGCGGGTCTGGCAGAAATCGGGGGTATGTTCTAAAAGACGCCCTCCTTGGAAGATTCGCAGCTTGATTGAGAGTTTCTGTAAGTATATTTCCCCAGTCACTCGCTCCTTGTCTTAGCATATTTGCCTTGTAGGGGGACAATTAAGTGCTTGTCATTGATGTCCCACACTCCCCTCCCACTTACACAACTTCTAGTCACAGTAAAAGTGGGTCCGTGCTTTGGCCGCCTGCAGTCACCGGCGAGCTTTGGACCCTGGAAGCTTAGCTCAGTGCCTTCGTCGTGGGGTAGCTCCAGTTGACCTTCCTCCTTGCCCTCTACAACCAACATCGAAGGTTTCGCAGACACAATTAAAAGCACACACAAGCAAGTAAAATAGCAACCCACCTTCCAGGTATCAAAACTCAGATTCCAGCTCTCAAGATCCTCGCATTGCACAAGCACCAACCGTATCGATCCTCGAAGCTGTAATCGCAACTCCCAACAATGAAGACCGACCAGTATCTGAATCTTTGTCTTGAGCAGGCTGCCCTGTCCACTCTTCACTACCGCCATGGCTGCGTCGTCGTCAAGGGAGGCAAGGTTATCGGTCAGGGCTACAACGACTGTCGTCCTGGATACGACGGTAACAGCGTCCTGAAGACCGGCATCTTGCCAAAGTCAGCAGTCAACGACAAGCCTGACAAGCCGGATCCGCCCAAGCCCAAGAGCGACTTCAAGACTGTTGAGAGCATTATCGGCAACTGTGGAGGCGGCCATCACGCTAATGCGCGATTGACTATGCACAGCGAGATGATGGCCATCAACTCTGCTCTGTCGTCGCGCAGTACCCTGGCTGCCAATACCGTGTCTCATGTTAAACCGAGCTTCAAATTACTCGGTGATTCCAAACGCAAACGAGCATTACAGCGCGACGCTGTCCTCTCCTACACCAAGGCCGTCTGCCTCACTACCTTCGGACCGCAAGTTCAACAAGGTGCCGGCCCGGCTCAGGCAGGCGAGTCGCGTGTTAGACCCTCCACATATCGATGCGACGGTCTCCTATCAGACAGACAGGAAGAATGGCTATCACTACTATCACCATCACAGTCATCATTCGCATCAGTACCACAAAGAGAAGTCGAGGTATCAAGAAGAGAAGGGGTACAAGACCAAGTACGACAGGTACAAGTATAAGTCGTCGAAAAGGGTGAAGGAAATTCCAGCACCAGGGTTTACTACCCCGAAAGGCGAGCATTCTGACTACGACTCCGATTGTAGCGGCGAGAGAAAGATCTCCCCAGTCGCTACAGGGAGCAATAAGAGCAAATTTGGACTACGAAAGGTGAGTTGCAACAGCCAGCTAGCATGATTCCCTTAATTAAGCTCACTGACCGTCGACAGGCACGGAACCTGCACCTCCTTGTGCCCAAGGGCCGTACCGGGGGAGCCTCACCCGGCGTCAAGGAAAGAATGAAATGTCCTAAGCTTGTCGGGGCAGACGTCTATGTTGCGCGCCTGGCGAATGATGGCCCAGCCCCGGGAAGCAGGAAGAAACGCCGTGCACATAGGCAGCCAAGCGATCAGAATGCTGAGGAAGCGGATCCGGATACCTGTACCAGGGAACCCGCTCTGTCTGCTTCGACAGGGTCTCTACACGACGAGCTTATCACCAAAACGTCCAAGCCAGAGCCCCCGCCCTCAATCTTGGAAGATGTCAAGCCTCGACCTACTGCTGCCGAATCTCGTCCGTGCTATCGCTGTGTCGCTTACATGCACTCGGTTGGGATCAAAAGAGTGTTTTGGACGACCAATGAGGGTAAATGGGAGGGTGCCAAGGTCCGAGATCTGATCGATCAGCTCAACGGTACCATGAAAAGCGACACCGACACCTCCCTTGGACAGCCTGCGATGGGTCTTTTTGTCACCAAGCATGAAGTCCTGATGCTCCGGAGGCTGATGGGAAGCCCAGGGTAAATACATCGGAGTGCAACACCATCGGACTGTAAGGTGTACTACATTGCTGAGTATCAATTCTAAATCTTAGTTCTAAATCTATGTGCCGTTCGCTGAAATTGACTAAACAATATCTCCACGTCCAAATCCGTTACACGATCGTTATTCCTGCCAGTGCTCGCTCATCGGAGTTATAGATCCTCTGCTTTCCCGAACCATCGAGATTGCATTTGTACAGAGATCCACCCAGATCAGTGAGATAAATGTGTCCAGCTTCCAGATCCAGCTTCAGACCAATCGCCTCGTTCAGGTGTCTCACAAGCACCTCGTATGGCTTCTTACTGTCAGCCTTGGCCACCAAGCCGGACGTAGGATCCAATGTTGCTCGGTTCACAGAGTTGCCCAATGGAAGCTCGCCACGATCCGTCCAATATAGTAAATCAGTGCTGTCGTCAATCTCAAGATCGATCGGCTCGGGAAGGTTATCCAAGAGAAGCTCGATGTCAGGTCGAGTCTCAGCCGTCTTTCCAGCGGGCATGTCAATGTTTGCGCAGAAAATACGCCCCTTTCCGGATTTCGAGGCCGCCTTCTGTGTCCAGTAGAACTTGCCGTGCTTGGGCGAAACGGTAATGCCCACGCACCACTTTGTCTGGTCTTCGAAGCCGTCTGCCTCCCAATCACCAGTCTTGATGATCGTTTCGAGCTCGCTGCCGTCGTAGTTGCAGCGGAACACCCGCATCCCCTCGCGGTCGCAGAAGTACAGTTTCTTGGATGTTGGCTCAACGACGAGCTGCTTGGGAGTATTGGCCACCCCTTTGGGTACGATACACTTTACGTCCGAGCCGTCTTCAAAGTTCGCGGAAAATACCTCGCCATTGGGTTGCCCTGGAAGCCCCATGCAGGTCCAAAACATGCGACCCGAGGATTTGTCGACGTCGATGCCGTCGGGTAAAGCCTGACTCTTGACGAGTGCCTTTTCGTTTTTGCCGTCGCCTGACATCTCCAGCACAAAGCCTGGAGCTGGTGAGATCTTTGTGGCGGCCAATCCAAGATCCAATACCAAAAGACGAGGGACACGAGGATACAGCCCTCCTTTCTGACTTTTCGCGCCCAGTCTCCCTTTATCAATGTACTTCTTCTGGACGAAATCAACGGTCTTCTCCGATGGCAGGCCCCTTTCCGCGACGTAGTGCGACTCAATAAAGGCAACTGTGTCGAGCCCGACATCGTCCATCATCTTGCAGGGCCCCATGGAAGTCTTGAACATGGTCGTGAACATTTCGTCAATCTCCTGTGGCGTTGAAACTTCCTCAGCCAAGATCGTGAGGACCTCGCGCTTCACTGCAGCCCAGAGTCGGTTGAAAATCAAGCCCGTTGACTCCTTCCTGGCTACATAGGGCGTCGTCCCCGCCTCCTTCTGCCTCTCGAAAAGGAATTCAATGATCACGGGCTCTGTGAACCCACAGGTCATCAGCTCAACGACGTTGTTGACAGGCGGCATGTAGTAATGCGTGTTCAATATGCGCGCCTTCGTCGCCTCATCCTTGATCTTGTCCAGCATCTCAGAGCTCTTGTACGAGCTCGAGTTGCTCGCCAGGATCGCATCCTTTGGCGCATGGGCTTCGAGGTCTGCGAAGGTATCGATCTTGATCTGCAGCTTCTCCGGCACGGCCTCGATAACGAGCCATGCTCCTCGCACGGCGTCGGGGAGCTCGGCTTGCGTGGAAATCTCTCCAAAGCCGTTGAGGTTGGCTTTGGCTGCTGGATAGTCGCGGGCGTTTGCTTTTACGTACTCCTCGCAGGCCTTTCGCTGCGAGGCATCAGGGTCCCTGACACACACATCGTAGCCTGCTGCGACCCAGCTCGTTGCTAGAAGGGCATGTTAGCTTGCACTCATGATGGCACCGAGGAGGATATGTGGCTATTGTCTCACCTATGCGACGTCCTAGTACACCACCGCCTAGGATGGCAATCGGTCGACTGTGATAGTCTTCTGGGACATGCCAAGAGGAGCTCATGATTGTAGATGGTTCAGTGTTTTGCGAGGCGGGGCAGTCGGAATGTTGTTGACAGTCACGTTACGGAATCGGGGCCAACATGGTGCCCTAGAGTCGGCCGACTGTCTCTTTTATGTCGAGACAGCCTCGCAAAACCATGTGGGCCGCCGCGGTTTCGCGATTATGCGTCGCGTCGCCGGCGACGTTGAAATACGTGATGTATGACGACATCCTCCCTAGACAAGTAGTTAGGATCATCGGGGCTGTGGTGCTATCATCTCGCGACGTCCGTCGAAAGCGAAGGGCCGGAGCGGCGGGGAACAATCTATAAAGTCCGCCCGGTCTGATCGCCGGGGCTGCACACGGAATTGCCTCGGCCAAGCCCGCTGCCTCGGCACAGGGTGGGTCTTCCGGCATCACCCGACCGGAGCTCCCGGCGTGAAAATGACACCACTAGTCCTATTCAAGGTACATATGCTTAGCTACGTTGGTTTTAGCCAAAAGTATACGACAAATGTCGCTCCCATATCTTCCCCTGCTCTAGATAAAAGACAATCTGACCCAGGTGCCAGGAATATGCTATTAAGTGAGGCCTCTGCCAGCGGGCAATAGGTAGTTAGTGTTCTAACGTCTATTGCTCATCCAGCATCCATTGGTTGGACCAGAGTATTGGAGATGCGCCTTTTCTTTCTTCATAGAACGCAAGTGTGGATGATCCATATCAGTACGTCCCAGGCTACCTAGCTCCTTGCATTCGGATGGATTTTGACACAAAACTCCTGGCGAAGGCACGTCCAGGGGATCCTGAGGCATTTTGAACAAAGATTGTGAACTGATAGCATGATTATTATCCGTGCTGAAATCCAACGTGCTTAGGTACGTCTCAAGTCTCACACTCAAGATATGACTAGAAATTGAGAAATGTTGTTTAATCTAAATCGGCTCTTGGCGGTGCAGTTGTGCCTCTATGTAGTCCGTGGGGATAATGTATGGATGCGATTTGGCCTAACCTTTTGAATCCCATGAGTGCTGTTCAAGTGATTGACTTGTCTCGTTCTTGCTGCCGCCCAGCAACCGTGTTTACTTCAATGTTCCGAATTCAACCGCGTGTCGATCAGTCTGTGCTCAGATCATGATCGGGGCCTTAGGTCTCTAATTAGCATTCATTAGGAAAGATCGAACCGATTCAAATTTTCTTTCAACCCTTCTCGCAAGCTTGAGATGTCTAGGTGTATTTGACTTTCCGTTATGGAGCACCTCACCCTGAGTAGTCAGAAGCACCCTCTGATGAAGTGTAGGTCCCGGATGGTCTGTTACGGACGTTATTCCCTGTGGTGCGGATTATTACTCCGAGAGCAGCATTTGTGGAGAAAAACACATCTTAGAGCCTTGTTCGTGGTGGAGAATTCTCGGGGAAGATTACTCACAGAAACGTGCCAACTAGTAGTCTTGTTGTTTCTCATTATAGGCACCCAGCCAATCAGGTTATTTGTTTCAGCACGTTCGGCCCAACTTTCAAACAAACACATAGACCATCCATGCACGGTTGCCGAGCTTTTGCAGTCACATTGTAGACTCAGCGCACGTCATTCAGCAATGAACCAGTAGAACCACACCCAGAAATTCTCGTGATTGTTGGATTTAATCTCGCGACTTGATTGATGCGCATCGACTCTTGGAATTGTTTTGCCCAGCAAGTGGCTCGGTGCCACTTCGCAAGACATTGCTTAATCAGATCCCGAATATATCTACACACCGAACGCCAAGTCGGAGACAGAGAAAGTTAGCTCGTGAGTGTGGATGTCTTCGTACGAGACAAGAGCTTTCCAGTTTCAAGTTGCTCCGTCCCAGCTGAGGTGGAGGGCCGTGTGCGATACGGTCGAAAGCTGGAGGGCATCGTCATCGCGGCTGAATATGAGGCAGTGCCTAGCGTGGCATCGCTCAGCACTGTCCAAGCGAGATGATAGACTCACGGCTTACGTGCACGATTTTCATGAGCACGAGACTTTAAACTTTCGAGCAGTTCACAGCTGTCTTGGCGAGATAAAGATAGGAGTTCAATACATCTCTGGTATGACTAAGTAGCTAACCTCATCGAGGCACACACGTGTCCTGGAACCAACAAGTTTCCTCGTGGAAGGGTTGACCAAAGAGAGGCCTTCAATTCAAGACCAGAAGAGGCGCCGAAACGATCTAGCCTACCAGCACAGATTGACAGTGCCAGAAATTGTGCAGTCCTCAGTGCTACCTAGGTAGGCGCACAAAGTGCGTTGGCAGGGGATCTTACCCTCCCGAAGCAAACAAGCCTAAACAATGCGCCTTTCTCATGGTGGGCTTGTCACTTGTCGCCCTTACAACCTCAACATGGGGAATGTACGATTAATTATCCACAACTTCACAGTTTCCTGACGGACGGATCTCCGTATGACCGACGGACTACAAGAGTAATATGGTGAACTTACCAGATCTCCTAGCCTGTGAGGATCTCGCTTGACATGACATTATGGAAATATCTTGTCGAAAATATCCAAGCAGCACACCAGAAAGACTCTAATGTAAACCTCGTGTGAGGAACCGACTGTAAAAGGTCACTCCTGCGCCTTAAGCAGGTCTTGTCAATTTGTGTACTCAAGTATCAAGTCTCTCTTGACTGCTCTCTCTATGTACATGGATGATGCAATCATCTCAAGGGGCCGCGAGATGTCAGCCTGATTTGAGCACCCATGAACAATATTCAATTTCGCCGTCCATTTCAGCGTAGAGGGTCTCATCGTGATCCACACATAGAGTCTGGCAAGAGTAAACCTGATTGTCAAGACCCTCGCACTTTTACAAATTTTTGACAATGACACGTCAGTCTCGTCTCCGTCTGCCCCTCCCATTCGCGCTGAATTCGGACATTCTCATGCTTTTCTTCTAAGGTTGCAGTTGTGATCAGCCAAGAGGCAAATCGTGACTCAGTAAAGGGGCAGGACAGGGCGTGTATCACCATAGTACCTGAAGACAGGATCCATTAATCGAGAGCGGACCGAATTATGGACCGGACCAGACCGCGGTGGCGTATCAGATCGCCTAACAGTGGGTCAAACGGGGATCCGTTGCTATAATAGACGTATTCCAACTCTGCATCGAGGGCGTCATGAAATGCCATTCAATATGTGCTCATCACTTGGCAGCTTTAGCCCATACCTCGAGGCTCCAATGGCATCGGTTCCGCGTCATGTTCTCACCGAGTTGTGCCCGCTTTGCAATGCTCCGCCCTTGTGAGAATGACGAGAAAGCCAATTAGATGGAGCCAGGCTTCTTCCGTTCCGCTGAATCATGAGCCATACAGCAAAATATTTCCGGAACAAACCGGGTGATGCTCCGGGTCTGACGAAGCCTTCCAATGTTCCTTGTTGTTCCCACCAGGATTTGTATTTATTCCCAGCAGGTCATATCGTCGAGAACCAAATCTGGCCACATCAGAGACTTGGCCGGATCAAATTCGGAATCGTGCTAATGCGGCTTCGGCTTGGCAGCCGTGACGGGCTTGGCAATTATGTGCCGCCTTGAGATTTGAGCTTGAATTACGAGATTGTGTGCAGCTAGGCTTGGCAGGCTGGGCAAGAAGCACGCCGAGACGGGTCAGTCCGGTAAGCATCAATTTGTAACGAGATTGGAACCTGGCCGCGAGAACAGACTGAGGACGAGTGTCAACAACTGTCTGATCAGAGTGAATGGTAGCAATTGCATGCGGCGGAGCAGAGTAAAATATGCAACACATAACAGATTGCAACTATTGTTTGTTCACGGAAGGGATCGCGATAGCCCTGTCACCAGAGTCATTCCGTCATGTCACATTCGGAGTAATTGGGTAGATGAGCCCAAGTTTATAGAAAAGTTGTGAGAAGAGAAATCATGAAGTTTGGGAAAGGGAGCCTCCTGGGCTTGACAAATTGAACGAGCGACGATAGTTGGTCTTTTTTTTTTTTTTTTTTTTGTAGTAGCATTCTAGTCAAAATCAAATTAGTCTATGGGGATATCGTACTCTACATCCAGAAATGAGTGCCTGATGGAGCATTCTGTGACTGTCTCCCAGTAATGCCTGCTCCCCTCCAAATTTGAACTGGACAAGCAAGCAGCTGTCCGAGTTCTTTTTTCCCAGGAAATCAATCCCATCCACAACGCCTGGCAGAAAAGAGCAATGCTGGCAATTTGTATGCAGAATCCGTGACGTGAAAAAATGTGAACTCCTCCTTACTCAGTGATCGACGACGTCCTCGTCCCTGCCGGGGTACATAATATCCTGGACTATCACAGCCCGGATGTGGTGGTACAAGACAAAGAAGTATGTCAACAATATGCACACCGACATAAACACAGCAAAGTCGAGCACGATCTTGCTGTTGATGGCGTTGCCGAGTGTAATAGTTGCGAGTGTGAAGCCTGTGTTGGGGAACACACTAGCCCACCATCCAAGATGGAAGTACTTAGGCCTGCTGTGGATCACTGCAACGACAGCAACACCCCACCACCAGAGGCTGAGGCCCCAGAGATAGATACCACCAAGAACGGCCATCTGACGGACAAAGTGGACGTCCATGACGCCATTTGAGTCAAAGTCGAAGTTGTCCGGCAGGCCGTTTGACATGCCGATAAAGGCTAGGCAGGTGAAAGCTGGGGGTCCCACATTCATGAAAAGACCGGCCCTGTGCTCGCGACTGGGTAGGCCAAATGACATCAGGCGCCCGACCATGTGTGCGTACATGAGGAACGATACACTGATGCCGAGACCCTGGCATGCGAGACCACCGTACACAATGGCAACAGACATGAACTCAGGTTGAGTGTCGGCAACGACGGAGGCGATGGTGCCAGTGAGCATGATCGGGAAGATTGGCAGGATCCAGGTGGGCATCATAGTCTTCACTTCCAGGTTGTGACGTCGGAAGACGTAACTGTACTGACCGACGGCGACGATGAGTGTCACGGCCAGGTAACTCCAGAATGCAACTTGGATGGCCCATTGGAGAGTCTCGTCATTCTCCGGTATGGCGTAACGATAAGTGCTTGTGATGAGTGTGGCGATGGACAGGAAGAATGTCGGGAAGAAGAAACCCTCGCGCTCATGGCAGATTGATGCCTTGAGATCGCCTGGGTACATGAAAAACCGGGCAACCAGGGCACTGGCTGTGAGGGCGAAGAGGATGAGTGTGATGACATAGACGACAAGACCAATTTGTCTCAGTCCGGGGAACTGATACGGTTGTGCAAAAATGAGAAGTGATAGTCCACCGGTGCTCATGATGAGAGTCCACCATGCCCAAGTGAAGTGGTGTAATCTTTGCTTCAACCCTAGTTTCGGCCTGTTTGGGTCGTAGATATCGTATCCTTGGTACGTTACTCGGTGAGGGTCTTTCTTGATCGGGTCTTCATCCTCGTACTTCTCGAGATCCCGCTCGTTGGAAGGAGTCGATACTCGAGTGCTGTCATTGCTCTCGATCTGAGGGTTTTGGAAGTTGTTGTTGAAGTTGTTGGAGAAGCTATTTGGGCGAGGAAGGTTGGTCTCGAATAGTCCTTGTGGAGCTTGAGATTCCATGAAAGATGGCCTCTGTTCGTAGCCCCCGAAGGATTTTCTTGCGCCCTCCATCTTGTTGTTGAGCAGCAGAGTGCTCAAACGTCGTAAGCCTCGCTATCGGATGTCTATGCGACGCGGTGCATGTACGGTGGTGAATGGTTCGTGCAGAGGCCGAAATGCCCCTATGAAACTCTTGACGAAGTTCGAGTCGTCGCCAAAAACCTCACCGCTAGGATGAGATAGACCGAAGAGGTATGTGCTGAGGGACCGTGAGTGGCAGAAGCAGTGAACGATGTAAACAGATTGCGCAGTTGAAACAAAATAAAAGTCAATACTTGGTGGGACCAGCCTGTGACAGAAGAAATGGATCAGAGAGACCTGGGATATATATCAATAGAAGGGAACAGGATTCACAGGATAGGCATTAGAGTTATGTACTTTGTTCAGAGCTGACGCCCGGGGATCGCCAGGACTACGTTGATATCAAATTGTAGATGGAAGATCCACATGAGCCAAGCCCTTCGCCATGCCCGAGCAGCTGGTGTTCCAGAGAGCACACAAGAACCTCCTAGCCACGGAAAACGGTTGCGAATGTGCAACAAATTGTTTCTGATTTTGGACTGGCCCAATCCCAGTACTACGTCGTGGCGATCTGGTACAACACACATACCCACCCCCCGGCAGTGTGTGCGAAGCGGCTCTTTTTCGTGACATGGCAGCCAAGAGTTTGGAAGAAGTGGGTACGACCGCCCGCGAAGTATCGACGCCAAGAGCGGACTGAACTACAGGCGTCTAAGCAAGAACGACGGAAGCTTCAGATCTTCAATCTGGCGGCCTACTAGTGGGGACTGCCGAGAGCAGGTCTGGTCCACAATTTATTATGCTTTGCGACGTGAACGGCCAGAGCCTCAGAACCTTGTCCTGCCGCTGCCCCTGAAAAGGAAAGAGAGAGAAACACTTGTTCTAAAGAGGGAGAAGGACAGACAGAGCTGAGTAGTGGAGTGGTGGGGCAGAGTCGAATAGGCGTGTATGTGCAGAAAGAAACAGGACTGACTGAGTGACTGATTGAGTTCGGAATCACATGAAAAAAAGCCAGAGGGAGGTACTTGCACACAGCTAATGCACTGCCCGTTTCTGTGGATGTTTCCCTTAGCAGGATGAGTTTGCATATATCAGAGATCTACAGTGCATGCACGATGATGTCCAGGAAAAGCCAGCCAGCCAGTCAGTCCGCCAGTCCGCCAGTCCGCCATCCGGTGATGGGTGGTAGGCGTGGCTGTCATGGTCAACCATGAGTGACATCGACTTCAGCTGCTCGCGGTGGGCGGGAATACGGTGCATCGCTGCGGTCCTGCTGCTTGCCGAAACCTTAAAGAAACTTCTTCTATTCATCCCAAAAACCCTGCCCTGAAGATTGTTTCGCCCGACTCGGCTGCTTGGCGACTTGGCACCCATGGGGGCGTGAAATTGGTCTGGACTTAGGCCAACTCGCCCGAATGAGTCGGGTTGTTATCTGGACCCCCACGGAGGTGGGATGTGGCTTGATGAGGCTCTGGATGATCGACAGAGGGAAGCGATCAAAATTAGAAGCAGGCCAAGACCCCTGAGGCCGGGAGAGGCAGCGGACGGCGCCGTCTCAAGACTTTGAAACCCATGCTGTCAAAGCCCTCTCTGCTGCCGCCATCGACACCCTTGCGGCGGCGAATTTTGGGCCAACCGGAATGCCACCCTCGTCCTCTCGAGAACATCCACCTCTCTGCCCTCAGCCGGCCGCCTTGTCCTGGCACGCGGGCACCCTGCTGGCTTGGCGAACCAGGCCAGCCACTGAATCCGAACTCCCAGACTCAACAAAAAATCCACTGGCGCCGGTCTAGCTGTCTGACAGTCTGCGTAGCTGTTGCTGGTGCTGCCCGAGTCCACTTTTGATAGCAGATCGCAGCCCTCCCCCCGTTGTGAGACGTCGACTCTTGACGTGTCGTTGCTCTTGGCAACCCCCTACTTCAGGTCTTCACACGCCCATTCACACACCCTTCACACTTTTCACTCTCTTCACACCCAACAGTTCCTGGCCTACGAGGGCTCCCGTCTCCAACCTCTTGGCTTATTGCCACAAAAAGATTTGCCCAGACCTCGAGAGCGGGTACCTCGCCCTTTACATAGGCCAAGGACGCTCCCTCTGCAGGCCCAGCCACGCAAGCTTCTCACCCGATCTGACTCGTTTCGCGCAGTGGTACATTGACGATGCCTGCAGCTTCTGCTTGCAGGCGCACAGCACACACTGGCGATATAGATCAAGCGCATGTTATACCGGGTACAGACTACAGCACCTGTCTTCTTGGAGCTTGGTTGGCCAGTGTCACAGATTCACAACACTCGCATCGCGCTCCTCACGATTGGCCAGGAGCTGACCCGACGTATGTCAACAACCACATTAGTCTAGGAAGTGATTCTCACGATGTGGGACTCGGTGGCCCTTTCCGGACTCTCCGTGTTGACTTACGAGGGGGCTTAAGATTGGTATTGCCCTTGCTTGATCGTCGTGTCTGGCTCTCAATGTTCGTTAGCTTCCCTTTCGGGCAGCAAGTGTGCCTGTGTATTGTGGGTCTCATTATACTTCTCCCTGTACGCCAACCGCCCAGACCAACCCGACTGTGGCAATCGCGGTATCATCCAATACTTGTGCACATGTCTATGTCACAGCTGCAGTGCAGGGTGATTTGGCAAGCTGCCTATCTAAGAATGCCCAGGCGGGAGAGCGTGGCTGAGCAATTATCAAAAACGAGCACTCGAATTTCCTTCTCGAACTTCCAAACGGCCACTATGTCGCTGAGACCGCGACTCCCTTCCTTGGTATACCATAGCGCCCCAGGGTTGCGCCCGGAAGAACACGGGTTGAGATTCTGGTATCTTGCTTGTTGAACACGGAATCCGTTGTTCCGATGTTTGCTCGTGCGATCATGCACATCCAATGATGGATAGTGTACGTAATGAGGCAGGACCAAGTCTCTCATGCGCATTTGCTAATCATTTACTATAATGGTCTATACTCCGGTCAGAAACACTTGGCTATGGTAACCCACCATCTTTTGATTTGTCAAACCAGTGCTGAGGCGGCCGCGTGTATTGGCGAGCATCAATCCTCACTATGAGGACTTTCCGGACGACGAGGGCGGCGATGTCGCTGATGATACTATCATCTCAACACCACTAGGCTTTGCCAAGTACACACATCTCACGCGTACGGAGCAACAAGTGTTGCGCGTTTGATAACCCAGGTGAAGAAATTCCCTTTGAGGAAATCAAGGATGATTTGAGTTGCTTCCTCAGATAAGAAGGTTTTACGATTTTCTACGGATGCCCCCAGCTCCCTCATAGTTGGCATTCCCCGCCGAGAGGGTCCATTTGTCAGGAATAAGGCTTGGATACACCTTCGCCGGAAACCTAGGGCTGTGGGTTCCCGGTACTTCTCTCCGGGCGTCGGGACTTTGCGCGGGCTGATCTTACAGCAGGCGGCCCCGTTCTAGTGATATTCCGGGACAGGAGCCGAAATGAAGGCAATGCAATGCCTCTCATACAATAGGCCCTGGTCCGCCCCTAGAGTCGCTGGCGGCATAAAATGGAAAATTTAGAATGACACATATTCGGCGAATCGATGGCGTGAACTTCCCAATTTTTCATATAATCTCGGTGACAAGAACGCGATCAATCCACTAATTCGCGACACTGGATTTATTGGTAAGTATACAAAGATCTAAATTAGTGTGCGGGACCTTCTGCGCGCGGAGTCCAGTCTTTGTGTGGTTGACGTTACAATTGAAAGTCTTGACCGTCACAGGAGAAATGCTTACTTACCAATTGGCAATTGCCAAATTCCCACTTTGAAGCTTGACCCATTCCAAGGCGCTTGACTCAAATCGCCAAGTATTAGGGGACTGGTTGTGCAACTGTTTCAATGATAGCCGAGCAGTGAGTGTGTTTCAAGTACATCAAATACAAGGGTTGAAACCACAAGACAATCCTCAGATACCGAGCTCTAAATACATACATTGTGGATGCAGCTACAAAGACAAAATATACTGGAAGAATATCCAGTGGGCGGTTACGCGAAAATAGACGATTCAATTAGATATTCTCCAAATGCGGGCGTGCAGTCTCAATCGACGATTTCGACCAAGAGTTCGGTTGTACCAGAATTAGTTTTGCTCCAGAAATAGCTATTTGTATTGATACTCGAATGCAGCGCGGAACCTGGTGGCTGGGAAGCATCTGCGTAAGCATCACCGAGCGATTGTTACAAAAAAAAACCTGCATCAAGAGTTGTGAGGTATTTGGTAAGTACCCAATAAGGAGAAGACTTGGCTGCGATGAGGGATAAAAGTAGTTCTAGGCAGAGACATGAATAGACACCGTTCAATTTACCACGACGTCGAGCCAATGCGAAGGAGTGACAGCTCATGCCTCAAGGACGCAAAACTCATGGTGCCGTAGAGCTTTAACGAACTACACTTTGAGACGAGCAAATTCAAGTAACGGGTGATTGCGATGAAGATGAGAAGTAAGACGAGGATGCAGACACTGCTTCATAGCGTCCTGATCTCCTGATCCAGTAGACAGAACCAGAGATCACGCGCCGGGCAGCGGTCAAGAGTGACGGCCAAATCCATTCTAAGACACTTCTGTTAACGCGAACATGAACTACGGAGTAATAGCAATCTCATCCGTGATGTTCCGGGAAGATGTATAATTAGATACCACTAGAGTGTTACCGGCGCCAGGAATGGTGCGGCGGGTTATTGAAGTTCCACCTCTGTCTGAAAAGGGGCTACTCGGCTTCTCTCGGGAGTTTCTTGATGGAAAATGGAAGGCTTCGTGCAGGGAACGTTTAGAAGCCAGACAGTTCCATACCCGTTCGGTTGCACGATAACATGTTGAGACGCGGTGGTTGGAACATGGCAGCTGATTGATCACAGTCGGTAGAATCCACCTCGGAAACCAAGAGATAGACGACGGCGATCTGTTCCATCCGAGGGGCGAAAAGACGTGTCATTTTTGCTGCCGATGGAGTCGTGCCAGGGCACGTTGCTTCTTTCCCGTGCCTATGCTTGGACAAATCTTGGCTTGCAGCCACTGTGGACACGTGAGTGGCTTGCTCACCATTGCGCCACTGCTGTTGACGACATCTCCGTTGAATAATCAAGGGAGAACTGATTGATGATGAAATCATCGTATTAAGGTATGTGGCGTAGGAGAATGGCAGCTGTAAAGGCACCTTGTTGCTTTGAGCTGCAGCTCCTGGTGAGATGGCACAGTAAGAGCAAGCGGACATGGACCGGACAATCAGATACTGATTCACACACAGCGGTGTCTTGGTCCAGAGAGCTGCTAAAGATCACGCACTCAGGTACATTGCGGGACCGGGAGTTCTGATGGGATGGGAGGTTATGGGTATTTAGATCGCTGTTGCTTCAATTTTGTCTCTTTTCTTTCCTTAGTGCACCTCCAGCCTCATTGCAGTGCCTACCTGTGCTGCTCTAATTCTACTGATTCGAGCTTCTCGGGCACGGTAACAATGCTCCTTCGTACTTGATGAAGGAGCCTTTGACTCGATTTGTCTGCGCTCAAGCGATACTGCGCAGACAGCTAAGATACGCGAAGCCCCGTCTGCCAATTCTCCATGGTGACTTCCACCATGAGATCATCTTCAGGTTTGTCTACTCAGTCAAACCCAACTCTTGTCCTCCGCCTCTCTCTCTGTGGATCATGCCCGGCTTGTCCCAAGCCAAAGTTATGCAGCCTCTCCCCAATAAGGTAGGCCTCATCCCGAATCCTCACCCTCCAGGAACGGAACACACCCAGCATGCTCCGCAACATCGCCACGCCAATGGCGCTGACCAGCGCGGCGAAAAAGCAGAACCGATGGACAAGAACCACAGCTGCGTCGTTGCCAGGTTCTATGCCAGCAGATATGCCGTACGCGATGCACGCTCTCGCCAGCAGTGGGGGCCCACACACTGCTATGGCCCAAACAGACAGGCCCGGTACGACGAATGCGCGCGTGAGTACTTTGATGTCGGGCTCGAGCCAGCCACGTCTCAGGACAGCGCGGGTGGCAGCTGCAACGCGACTCTCACGGTGCCAGGAGACTACATACCGAGCAGCGAGTTTGAGGTAGATCACACCGATGGTCCAGGACTGCATCACGCGCACTGTGTGACGGGGGTTTTGAACGTCGAGAAGAGTGGCGTCTGGAGCTGCGTCTTTGGAAACGACAGTCCCGTACATGTATGTGTCCAAGGGAATTAAGATGTACAACTCCATCAGGCTAGCAACCATGAGTGGGAAGACCACCAGCAGGAAGAAGTATGCATATACAAGCTTAGCTGCACGAGTCACACCAAGTGCAGCGCGGCGGAGGGTTTCGCGATGAAGGATGCGTGATGTCGTGCTGGCTAACCGCTTTTTGGCCTTTTTATAGATGTCTTTCAGGTGGAACAAAAAGTAAGCAGCAGAGCCGAGGATATAAATGCCAATGCTGAAGGCGTAGATGTCGTTCGTACGGATGCGGTCAGGTATGAGTGACCGAAACATCCAGCGCCCGAATATCAAGGGAATAATCGTAAATCCCAGGCCTGTCGCAGCGGCGAATAACCAAATGAAGAGAATGAACAGGAAGATGCGAAGCCGGAAGTTTGGCGGAACGTACACAAACTGGTACTGTGGTGTTGAGTAAAGATCGACTCCTGGCTGCTCTATGCGATCTTGTCTTTGATTACCCTCCGTCACATCCAAAAAGACTCTCTGCCCTTTGGGTATCTTCACTTGATCTGAGGCTGGAGCACGAACGAAACGTCCATCAGGAATGAGCTGGTGGGTGCGCACTAGAGCAGCCTTCCTTGCGTTCGAGTCTTCCAGCTCCTGAGTGCTCAGCGGTAGAGCGGGTTTCGCCTTTCCCCCGTCAAAGGTGCCTTTCCAGGTCTTCGGAACGACCTTCTTGTCATCAACCTCCAAAAAGACTCTGTTCCACAGCGGCAAAGCCTGTCCTTCTGGCGGTGGCTGTACTTGAATTGTGCCTTCTTCATCAAGCTTCCTCTCGCCAAATAAGAACCATGTGAGCCGCAAGCCACGGGCCAATTTGCGGAACCACCAGGTATACATGGCATGGAGCCCGTCACTTGGCTTGAAGAATTTGACGGCAAGAGGCATCAAGAAGTTGTAGAACAACAAGTCGATCGGAAATTCCAGCACAGGCTCATTGGATGAGTAGTGAATGGGAAGCACGTTCTGGAACCCGTATGACAGAGCCCATACAACACCTCCTAGGCAAACGATGACTAGAGCGCCGTATACGAAAGCAGAAAACAGGATCTTCCGCAATTGTGTGGTGACGTTTCGCTCCAGAACATCGCGTACGGGGTGGAATTCAGCGTCATCAGGATCGCGAATGAAGTCTGCAGTTCACAAGGTGAGTAATGATTCAAGAAAGAAGAGGAAGGGGGTTTGTAAATGTCGGGAGAGCTTACACAGTACCCCCTTGCGCATTATCTTGCGACACATGGATACGAACAGAGCGAAATGGAACATGTATCCTGTGCCGACAAACCAATGCACGAAAATGGAGGTGAGAGGATAGTTGATGGTGAACATCACGCGGGACATGATAGTCGTGTTCTCGAACAACGGCAGCAGCCCAATGTCCAGCAAAAGCCCGCAATACAGCGGAAAGACCAGCATCTCAATGCCAATAATGAGAATCACCTTCATGACGCCACTTGCTTGGTTCAACGCGTCTATCAAAGTTGCTTCCCACTCCTGGCCAACTCGACCTGGAGAGATGGGTCCGCCCCGACCAAGATAGAGTGCCGCAGAGAAGGACAAAGCGACGTACCCGCCCAGAATGGCCCAAACTCTGTCCATGGCACTCCAAGATGCAAGTTCGGCCTTCAAAGGCGTCGCGCTTTCGGAGGTTCCAAGGTCGATGACCCATGAACCTGGATTCAACAGAAAGCTAGGTAGACCATGCAGACCATGCCATATTGTAATTGTGGCGGACGTGATCCAGTGGCAGATTTCCACTATTTTGGTTGAATAGTCACCTCCAAAGAGGAACATCGCCGATCTCCCGAGCGTGGCGAATAAGAGAGCCACCTGGCCCTTCAACGTAAACAAAGCGACATGGCTAACTGTTGAGAAATTGCGGACTTCATCGGCCGATATGAAGGGAAGGTCTGTCCACATGCTATCGAGTAGCCTCTGGAAAGCATTTTCGGTCATATTCCACGACCCTTGCATCGACTGGCTGATCATTTCCGGTCGCGCTGCACTTGGTTGGATGAGGGTGAAGAGCGCATCTACCGCACCAAAAAGGAGCGTAGACGCGAATCCCATCAAAAGTAACGCCGTGTCCTGTACTAATTTGGAAAGACTGAAGAGGATTCGAACAGGCCGAGCAGGATTGGCAACCAACCAGATGGCAAGACGTCCCAGGTTGTATGGCAAGAAAACACCAAGAAAGAGCGTAATGGAGACCAGGAAAGCACAGAATAAGGCATTCTGGAATAAGCCAGCAATTGGGCCGCGCATGCCAAGAAGTTCGAGGATTCCCTCTAGATCTTCAGCGTCTTCTATGGCCTCAGCTTCGGCATCTATTCCAGCGGCGGCAGCTGCTGCTGCCACTTCCTGGTCTTGGTCTTGGTCTTGCAGTTCTGGCAGGGGATCCTGTGCGATTGCAGCGGCGGCATCTTGATCGTGATCAAAGAACTCATCAGCAGCATCTGGCAAAGGCGGAAGCTCGTGTGCGGGAATGGCTTCGACGTCACGCCACATGAAATCCGCGAGGCGCCGTGCGAGCCCATCGGCTTGAGGCGGTTCCTGAGCTTGATCTCCAATGTCTTCAGCATTCTCGTTTGGTTGCACTTCAAGAGGCGCATGGAAGTCTGAGCCGGCATCCCAGTCCAGAGGTCGACCAGTCTCCATTTCGGGATTCAACGTGTCGACGTGATCAGGATTCAGCTCGTTCTCGAGAATGTCATCGATCTCAGACGAACCCGGCGTCTGCCCTTGGGAGCTTGACGGCGCACTCTCCGCCAAGGTGCTTGATGGAGGCGTCGCGAAGGCCCAAGGCTGCGAGGCGGAGCCAGCTTCGTCGGCAAGTACTCTCTGAGAGGTAGCCGGCATCCCTAATGTGGGTGATTGACGAGGATCTGCACGTGGAGACTCCAGGGAAGCATCTGGCCATGACCAATTGTTATTGCCCAAGGGGTGAATGCCTCCAACTCTTTGCGGTCCATCTGTGGCAGACCTTGGCCTGGACGTGTGGCTCTGCTCGACTCTTGCATCCGGTGTTCCGTTGGTCTGTGGCGCCTTGCCCTTGCCAGAATGACGTTCTTGCTCTTGTGCATCATCTGGCCAAGGCCAGTCCGACTCTGATCCCCACTCTGCCATTTGACTTGACGATTCCTCTTCTTCGGTGTGCAGGTCGGGTCGTTTTCGGTTCATCTGAGACTGGGTAAGTTGAACAAAGTACGCAAGCCTATCCTCAAGGTTCTCTTGGCGAATAATCCTGATGATCGTCTCTGGGTCTCCCGCAGCCGCGCGATGAATCCTCACGTATTCGTCCACTGTGCTTCTACCAGCCTCGGTCGAATGTCCCTCTCGTGCATTGGCAGAAGTTCCTGGCGTTGTTGGCGCTCGTAAATTCTGTTGCGAAGGTTCGTCAGAGGGTCCATCAGAGGCACCTGTTGCATCTCTTGCGACCGGCTGACCGTCAGCTGCAGCAGTTCCGTCAGAGAATTCATCAAGGTCAGCCCAGTGGTGCTCGCCATGTCCCTCGTTGCCATTAAGTGGGCCGTTGAACCCGATATCTTGTGCTTCGGGACCGCGAAGCCTGTCTATATCCTCTGGCCGTAAACCTTCCGCAGGGTCAGGCATAGCTGCGGCTGGTGCGACGTTTTCTTGGGGCGCTGCATTCTCTGCGGCAGCAAACGCAGCTCGCATATTTATATCCGGCTGTTGTTGAACAACGTAGTCCCGGACCAAAATAATCAGGATGAAACATATGATCACCAATACGGTAATGATTTGTCCCTCTAGAATATCAATTGCAAACCCACCCAGTGCCGGTGAGGACGAGGAGATCTTCTGTAAGAACCTGACCTCGCTCAGTAGGGTGGGCTGGTGTGTGACGGCCGCGGGGGCGATACTCTGCACGTTAGCTGATGTGTTGCTGCGTGACGCCGTGCCTCCGATGTAGAAGGTCCCCAAAAACATATTGAGGAGGATGTTGGACAAAGGGTTGTCGGACGTGATGTTAATCCCGTAAAGAGACGTTGTTGTCATAGCAGTACTGCTTCGAGGGATTTGGCTCAAGAGGCCCTGTAGCGAGGCCGCGGTGGTCGTTGCCGCATGCAGAGGACTTGAAGGGCACGTAGCCGCACCAGCCGTTGACCCAACACTCTCGCCCAGAACATTGACAACCTCGGGTCTCCCAAACACCGGCGCCAGGCCCTCGTCGCTGAGCCAGAACAAAGCAGACCAGACTCTCCTCATGAGGTAGGGCAGCCACACCAACCACACCATCAAGACCAAGCCGCCTCGAGCCCATACCAGCATGTTGCGGAACAGATATTTGGTGATGTGACTTATGAAGACGTAGAAGGGGACGGTCTTTGGCATGTTCGGGGCGTAGAGCTTGGTGAAGCGGAAGGGCGTTTTGCACAGCTCGCAGTGCTTCTTCTGGGAATGGGAAAGCCATTCCATCAGGCAGTCCTGGTGAACGTATTTGATGCTGCCACTGCATTTGCAAGGGTAGAACAGAGGCTCATCTGGAGTAGCCTCGCCCCTGCATATTCGACAGGTGTCGGGTTCGGCCTGTGAAGTGGCATCTTGCGCAGAGGTGTGTCCGGAGGGCATGCGCCTCAGTATGGTATCGGGCTCTGCGTCGATTGTTGAAGCCCGACGGCGCCTTGGTTCGGCCTGCAAGGGCTCGAATGTGTGGTCTTGATCCATGTTGTATGATGGTTGGCTTGGGGCATTGCCCCTCGGGAGCGGAGCTGGCTACGGTAGGTTCATAGGAAGTCTCGGTTATTGTTTTGTGAGGATCGTCTTGTTTGAAAGCCGAACACCTTGCCCGGTGACCTGCAATTGCCAGCACTGGGACAAATCCACGGGCGGATCAGGTTTGTAGAGGCGTGTCGAGGTGTCGAAGGTGCCAAAGGTGTGGCTAAGGAGGAGTCGCGACAAAACGTCTGACGTCGATAGGAAACGTAAGGGTCGCTGCAGGAATCAAGCAGAGTCAAGCGGGCCCTCTATGATTTGTTGGGTGGGCGGAGGAGGGGGGGAGGTTAAGGGCGTCAACGTTCTTGCAGAGGCGTAGGAGGCTTGCCTATGCAGGCGGATGGCAAAAAGTCGCTTCGCAGGCGATGGATTGATTGAAAGAAAGAGTGAGTGATCAACCAACTGACCTCGAAAGGCTGGTGGGCTATGTACAGTGCAGCACGGATTCCGTGGAAGGCACAGACGGGCACGGAAGGAGAGGAGCAGGGATCTGGATTATCTGGAAGGAGCGGCAGGATCCCGCCTGGATGATCAAAACCCGATGCTGATGCTACTAGCGAGGGCTTATCGATAGCGATTGTGCTGATGGGAACAGCGGCCCAGTCATCAAATTTGGAGAAGAGGGCAATCACATGGGGCACAACTGCCATACTACTCTCGTACATGCCTAGGCAATGTATTTTGGGTACCTAGAGAAGGTGGTAGACTAGACGATGAGGAGGTCGCACGCGACGGGAAAGGTATCGTGCTCAACATGGTAGGGCTGAGGGAGTTGGTACTCGCAAATCGCAACCCCTTCTCGATGCCTGCCTGTCTATGTCTGAATTACCAGAAAATGGGTAGACAAGTCCAGATAGATAGGTGCTGCTCTGTTGTTCGCTTTCCACCCCGTCTTTGATGCCATATTGATGACGCTTTATCTCTTAGTCCTGCAGCCCCAGCACTCCTTGCACTCCTTGCACTCCTTGATAGACCGCAAACAGAGGACCGCAAATGAAAGGGGAAAAGAGCAAACATTCCAGTATACTGTAGTCCTATCTGTAGAGGTTGATGACGTCTTGTTGCATTGCCTATCCCGGGTTGATGGCCTGTCTGCTCCAAGGTTGTTACTGGACGGTGGACGGTTCCAGCCCTCCAGTCCCGGCTGCCGCCTACCAGGTGTCTACTCACACTAGGTACCACCTGGGCCAGAACAACACCCATACTAGACTTGCCTGGGATGATGGACATGATGGACTGACAGACTACCTATTGCGCTAGAGGAAAGTCGTCTGGGAAATCTTGGACATGTGGCTTGGCACACCATCACCGAGGTGCAACAGTATCGCTCTAGGAACGAAGCAGAGAAGGCAGTATAACAACAACCTTCTGCCCCTCCCGAGCGTTTAGTTTCGTCTTTCTGTAACCTGTCGTGAAAACCGACCTCTCTGCCTGGGCCCTCCTATCGTCTGGTCCTCATCTCGTTGCTGCTCATCTGGCACCTTGCATCTTGCACCTGGCTCGGACGGTGTGCGGCTCTCTGCGTGATCCGTGCCTGCTGTTGGATGGTCTAGGTAGGTAGGTACCCACCTGCTGCTACCGTGCGCTACCTTAAGACTTAAGACACAAGCGGAGGTGAGTCCCACTCGCCCACTGTCGAGGCGCCACTGACGTTCGAGCTCCCCCTGCTGCAGCAAGCTTGTTTTGCTGCAAAAGGCCCCTGCACCTTGCCATTTGCCAACCAGCAAAACCTCCATCGTCCGGTCTATCGCAAGATCGACTCGGCCTCCTCACATCTTTGTCTCGCATCTCTCTCCTCCCCAGCACAGGACACTGATAGCTGTACGCTGCCCTTGGACACGTCGTCCCTCAGCCACGGCCCCGGACTTATGCACAACTGACTGATTTCCCAACGTAGCACATCTCTCTGAGACTTGCTACCCATAAGACCGGGCTCGGAAAAAACACAGCCTGACTCGGCCGCTTGGTAGCGCGTGTCCCTTGACTGATAGGCCGGCCTCGTCTCGCGTGCTCTCCGTCCTTGGTCTGCTGCTCACTGCAGCCTCGCCGCCATGGAGCACGTAAATGGCTCTGTCAACGGCTACGCCAAAACAAAGAACGGCCTCAACGGCGTGAATGGCATGAATGGCTTCAGCTCTTCTATCAACAGCCACACCGCGACACCCCAGAGGAGGTCAACACCGAAACCACGTCCTGGACGTCTCTCGTGGTTCTTCAGCGTGCTTGCTCGGTGCGCCTTACCCCTCCAGAGTTCCAGCCCTTCCCGTCCATCATTTCCCACTCCTGATCAAATAATATGCTGACTGAGTGGCCATGGCAGGTTATTTACCTGGTACTCCATCCTGAGCGTTCTCTTCCGATGCCCTGCCACGCTCGAAGAATGTACTGATGCCGCGCCCCGGATCTGCAAACCATATTTTCAACTCAAGCACGCCGTCTCTCCGCATGTCGAGCCTTACTACAATACCTACGCTGCTCCTTATGTTGAGCTCGCGAGGCCGTACTACGAGACAGTCGACCAGAGAGTCCTGACGCCCTCCTGGGCTTATGCCACCAAGCACGGAGCCCCTCGTGTCGCACAGGCCCAGGCGTTCGGCAAGGAGAAATGGGAAAAGAACCTGCAGCCAGAGTTGGCCAAGTACCAGGCTCTCGCCCAGGTAAAATACGATCAGACCCTCGCTCCTCATGTAAATCAGGTGACCTCGGCCGTCGCACCGTACTACGAGGTTGCTAGGACGAATGCTCTGCAGACGTACCACGACTATCTTCTACCAAGTTACATATTTGTGCAGCCCTACGCGCAGCAGGGCTACACTGCCGCTTCGACATTTACTACTGAGACTGCGATTCCCTCGACTGTTTGGGCTTGGAACAAGACCCAAGTCTTCTTGGATGGGACGGTCTGGCCCCAGCTGCGCTCCCTCTACACGGAAAATGTCGAGCCTCAGCTGTTGAAGATTGGCCAGCGACTTGGGCGTTACAATGGTAACAACACCCAGAAGGCTACCGATGCTCTTTCCAGGTATGTCGTACCAAAACAGCGCTGAAGTGGCCAGGAAACTAAATTATGGCAATAGTACTGCGGCAAAGGCAGCCTCCACTTTGACAAAGCCAACATCAGTTGCGTCGTCTGCCTCTGCTACCCCCGTCTCTAGCGACGCTACAACCTCTTCCATCGAGCCAAGTTCTTCCGATGTCGCACCACCTAGCTCCCAAGAAGCCGCAGCTGAGACCGCTGAGACTGCTGAGACCGCGAAGACCAAGTTGGGCGCCGAGCAGGTTCCTGCCCCCGATGTCGCTCCGAATGAAAGCGAAGTCCGCCGAATCGCACGCGAGACTGTTGCAGAGGATTTGAAGGCGTGGCAGGAGAAGTACGCCAAAGCCGCAGATGAAGGAGCCGCTGAAATCGACGATCGGATCGAGGAGATAGCCAAACGCATGGTAGATAGACAGGCCAATACTATGGGCAAGTCTTTGGTCCAGCAGCTGAAAGAGACTGTCGACACAGAGTTGGCAACGTTGAAGAGCGGCATCCAGGACATTGTCAGCGAGGTCAAGAGCAATTCCGGATCACCTGAGGCTGCCCAGGAGAAGGTTACCGCGGCCGTGCGGAAGGCTGGGCTGGAAATCAAAGAAAAGTCGCAGGACATCCGCAACTGGAGAGCCAATTACGAGAGGGAGATAGAGATCAGCGTCACCAAGTTCGCCGAAGATCATTTCAAGATTCTCGACAGCATCCGCGACCTGGCGCTGCAGAAGATTGGTATGAAGTGGGCTTGGATGGACGGTGTCACCTACAAGGACTGGGCCAAGTACCACCTCCTCAAAGAGCGCTTCGACGAATGGCAGTCTGAACTCAAGAACCTGATCACTTCCCACCCCGGACTGGAGTCTGCTCAGAACGAAGGGCTAGCTATTGAAGGCGAGGCTATGGAACTGGCTCAATCCGCTGCCAAAGAGCTTGCAAGCCTGAAGCAGGTGGCAGGCTGGAAGATCATTGCCTTGGACGATTCCAAAGAGTTCGACTCCGAAGTCACACGGCTCGCCGCCGAAGAAGCAGAAAAAGCGGCGGCTGCATCTGAAGCTGAGAGTGCTGTGGAGGATCCAGTCGGCACTGAGGACGAAGCGGCCGCTAGTCGTCTCCAACACAGCGCATCCGATGCAGCTGAAGGAGTCGAGTCTGTCGCGAGTGTAGCTTCTGAATCGGCTGAAAGCATTGTTGAGGAGGCATCAACGTCGGTCCTTCCGAGTTCCGAAGACGAGGCACCTGAAGTCGAGGCCTCAAGCGCCATTTTGGAGGAAACTCCAGTCTTTGTTGGTAACACCACCGAGGCCACTGAAGCCGCTCAGCCCGATGAACCTGGTACTGTCCATGTGCTGGTTGACGAGGTTGCCGAGCCCGTCGAAGCTGATGTGTCAGCTGTTGAAGAACCCGAGGCGTCGTCAGCTACTGCTACTGTCAAATCTGCGTTCTTGGGGGCTGCAGCTCAGTCGGTGCCCAGCCGTCAACCGATACTGGAGGACGACGACAGCTTCGAAGCTGCCAGCAGTGTGATCTCTGCGATGCAATCTGATATCCCAGCTACAATTTCCTCGGCGGCTAGCTCAGCCTACTCCGCTGCTCTGGCCGGGGCTGCCGAACGTTATTCTCAGGCGTTGTCACTGGTCTCTGCCAAGGTATCTGGGACTCCCAAACCTGCGCATGAGCAACTCCTTACCTCCGTCACTGCCGCCTACAGTAGTGCTGTTGCTGCTGCCAGCTCGCAGTTAGATGCTGCACTTGGCGCGGCCCAGCATGGTCTTTTCGCCACTACGACCACGAGTGCCCTCCCAACTATTCCTACCCTTGTTGATTGGGCTCACGTTGAGTCAATCGCAGCCCAAAGACTAAACGACGGCAGGGCTTGGGCCGAAGCACAGTACGAGAGCGCTAAAATTGCCATCGGTGCTGCAACTCCCACACCAACCGACATCTCTGGAACAGTCTCATCTGTGGCCTCTGTTGCTGGAGAGTCACTATCTGCAGTCACCGCCGCCGCGGGCCAAAATGCTGAGAAGCTTTTGCAAAATGCGCAATACAACTATTATGCGGGGCTTGGAGTCGCACAAGCTCGATATTCTGAGTTCCTGGCCGCCGCGTCGAGTGCCTTTAGCTCTATGACTGCAACGCCCACGCCGACAGATCTGGCAGGTACTATCTCATCTGTTGCCTCAGTCGCTAGCGAATCCGCTGCCTCGGCTGCTTCAGTCGCTCAGGAGAATGTTTCGGCGGCAGCGTCCGTCGTTGGGGAAAATGCTTCGGCGGCAGCATCTGTTGTTGGCGAGAATGTGAGCTCGGCTGCAGCGGCTGGCTACGATAATATCGCTGCTGGCTACGAGAATGTTGCTCAGGCAGCCGAGGCCGCTGGTACATTCGCTCAAGAAAGTTGGAACGTGGTCTTGGACCAAGTCAGTGTTCAGATTTACGGAGCGGCTACTCCTACCCCCTGGTACGAAGGCCTCTATAGTGCCGCAGGCGATTACGTCGCCTCTGCGACAGAGGCAGTTGGTGGCAACGCGGATGCAGTCACTAGCGCAGCAGGGACATACGCAGCTTCTGCTTCAGAAGAAGCCTCCAAGCAGTATGTTCTGGTCAGCAGCATTGTCTCAGAGCTGCTCGTGGGCAAGGAGCCGACTTTCAGCGAGAGTGTCTACTCGCGTCTCGCCGTGGCTTATTCTGGAGCTGCCAACTCGCTAAATAGTTTCGCCAGTGTTGCCTCAGAGACAGTTGCGAGTGTAGCTACGGAGGCAGGTGAGGAGGTGAGAAAAGCTACACAGCATGTGAAGGACGAGTTGTAGATGTGGCGTAAGATGTCACTAAAGTCTTCTCACAACAATACTGATGGCATCAGGACTGTTACAATGGGATTCCGGGCTCAGGCACCGGATAGTCTTGACACAAGAACGACGATACGACAGTAATGATGCGGGTTACTGGGTGGAGGGTGGAGGGTGGAGGACCGGCAGTCCGTACTGCATTGCATGGCCAGAGACTGACAAGCGGCAACAATTGTACGGTGGAGTGAGAAGGGAAAAATTCGTATGAGCTCGAGGACATCGTCACTCGTGCCAGAAGGGCAGACTCTCGTTTGATTATACCCCATATTCGTCACGACACACCTCAGGCTCCTACAAGCGCGCGCTTGCTGGCCAGAGAGATTTGGCCCTCTTGGGGTGTGCTAGCATTCTGTTCTCTCCTTTGTTCTAGTTCCGCAAGCAACGTTCTTGATGATCTTGGCCGGCAGATTTGTATATGTACACGCTTGGGATACTGTTTTGAGTTTGGAGTTTTGAGAGAAATTAATTCAGCAGGGTTTCCAGGATCACACTATCCTGTGGCCTGCGGGTCGGAGTCCCCCGGGAAGAAGTGTATTGAACGTATTACCAGACGCTGAGAAATTCATTACCAACGCTTATCTTCCAGATGGTCCGATTTTCAACGCAATGTGTGGAATGCTCATCCTGTTGCAGCTTGAGGTGCTCGATAGCTAAGCACGCCATCAGCCGACTTGTTGACGACACAAGTTGGAGAATCTACACTGCGCTCCTGGCGCGTTAAATCCGACATCGCATTTGATTGTTACATACTGTCTTGGCCCTTTTCTATAATGCTAGGTTATGTCTGTGATTAGTCGATTAATGTCCAAATTGCTCCCGCCTAGGTTTAGATAAATCTTGGCTACCTGTATGTGACTGAGGCAAACCAGCAGACGCCAGACTGTTAGCAAGTACATCCGACCAAACGAAATTCTAGAGCGCAATCAAACAAGACAAAGTCCACAATGACGGCAAACAACACGTCAGAAAGGTCTTCCCCTAAGCCGCTGAGAGTCGCGGTGGTCGGAGGCGGGCCCGGCGGCCTGGCCACGGCCATCGCGCTCTCAAAGACCCCGAACGTTGAAGTCCATATCTACGAGAAGGACAGTATCCTCCGTGAGGTTGGCGCCGGAATCAATATCGGGGCTAATTCGTGGAATGTTCTTGAGCTGCTGGGCGTCGCAGACTCGCTTGTGAGCGGGCACCCGAGCGATGTGGTACTAAATATGTGAGCGTTGCCCTTTTTTTCTTCTTCTTTATGGCCCGGGTACCTATAGCCTAGAATCTGGCTTTCAAATCACCAGTTGGACTGAGCTGATATCGATTTGATCTTCAGGAACGGCCGCTCAGGGGAAGAGCTGTACCGGATGGAACGGCCTGTGGATCAGGAGTGGCCGACTGGGGACTGGAAATCCAGGCCGACTATCCGGACGCAGAGGACCAAGCTGCAGTCTGCTTTACTGGCACACGTGCCGTCCGGGGTGATCCGTCTGTCGAAGAAGCTCGACAAGATCGTGGACCTGGGTGAGAAGGGCGTTGAGCTGCATTTCGCGGATGGCACAACTGAGGTGGCCGACTTGGTCGTTGGTGCCGATGGGATACGTTCGGTATGTCAACACTCTCGGCCAAGGCTCTCCTATGAGCCCACAAGACCCACCCTCAACTCGCGACTAATATGAAGACAAACAGATCGTCCGAGACGGCGCATGGCCAGACTACAAGATCGCATTCACAGGCACAACCATCTGGCGTGCACTGATACCGTTGAAGGACCTCACGGACCAGGACCCCCGCTTCGGGATCACGGGCTGGTGGCACTTGCCCGCCTCTCATGTTTACTTCTCCCCCGTCGGCGAGGGCCTGGGCGAGATCGCCTCGCGCGAATACCAGGACCCGGCCATCCACAGCGCTAGCAAGGTCGTCTGGGGTGTGCCGGTGACGAATGAGCACGTCGAGAGCCACTTTAAGGAATACCTGCCGGAGATCCAGACGGCCTTGGCGAAGATCCCCGACGGCGCCTGGAGGGAGTTCGCCGCGTTCGCCGGGCCGGAGCTGGCTTCGCTTGTGGCCTGGGGCGGGAAGATCGTGCTGGTGGGTGACTCGTCACACGCCCTCTCAGGCGCGTTTGGCTCAGGGGCGGGTTTTGCTATGGAGGATGGATGGGTCCTCGCGCAGGCCCTGAAGCACTACGGAAATGACCTCTTCAAGGCTTCAGTGTTGTTTGATAGGATACGCGTGCCGTACTACTCCCGCATGTATGAATACCTTGGGGGTCAAGCGGCGAAGAGGGCTGAGAAGTTGAGGGAGCTGGAGGTCACAACGGCCGGGCTGACGGAGGAAGAGAGAGTCAAGATAAAGGTTATCAAAGAGGGTGGTGACATGAGTTGGATCTACAAAAATAATATCGGCAAAGTTTGGGACACGGCTTTGGCGGAATTGGCAGGAAATGGTAAGGCTTCATGAACTTCGGACACTTCTAAAGGTTTAGAATAGCGCTCAGATCGGTCACTTTCTTATTCAATATTTGTATAGACTTCGTTTGCAGACTTTGAAACGCACCCAAGACTAGACATGATTTCCTGCTAATTATCCTTACTGAGCGAGGTGGAGGCAACATGTTCTACTCCAGAAACAGGGGTAGACCACTTACTCTATCGGATTGAATAGTAGAAAAGTCAGACGCAGAGCTTGAACAAATATTTTCCATGTCATGTGTGCCCGCGTCCTAATCGTCTGCAGGCAAAGGCCACAACTGTTGCTTGTTCACTTTCATCTCTAGAACCTCGGGTCGCTTATAATGACCGTTCCCGTCAATCCAAACTTTCACTTGCCCAATGTCATGCAAGTCCAGCTCTGCAATCAGCATGCGTTCTTCGTCGCCAGTATGTGGACCAGACAGGTATGAGCAGAACGGATGAATCACAGCAGTCCAACCACCCCCTTTCTTTACAAGATCCTGCTTGCCAAGATTCTTCTCCATCCAATCGAGGCAAGTGTCGTCCACGGGATTTGATGCTGTCAACACAAACACCTGCGCCGTCAGTGCATGCGCCTTCATCAGCGCCTCGATTTGAGCATCGGCAACGCTTTCAAATCCTTTCATCGTCGACAGCGAGGGCCACGCCCCGACATGAACATGCTGATTCTGCTCGATTAGAGCCTGTCTCGCACCGTTGAGGGTGTTTTCCCAGCAGCACAATCCCCCGAGGTTGTAGCTCCCCCGGCCTTCGGTTACGTTGGCTGGCCAGACACGCAACGTAGACCCATCACCTTGGGCCCATACATACCGCTCCGCATAAGTGGGCTGTAGCTTACGGTGGACTCCAAGGATGCTACCAGAGGCGTCGATGTGCACCTGCGAGTTGAAGAGCGTATAGCCGCCGCTCGTGCGTTCCGACACGCCCAGACTCACGGTGACACCAGCTTCACGGCATGCATCTTGGATGGCGCGGATGGATTGGTCGGAGCTATCACAAACCACGCTTTGCTCTGCGTATTGAGCAATCGCCGAGGCTTGAGACAGTGGAGGGTATGCCTCGACAAAATACTGGCCAGAAATTCAGCTTCAGCGAAGGGGAGAGGTCCAGGTTGGGACTCATACTGGGTAGCCAGGAATGAAGGTCTCCGGGAAGGCGAGTAACTCGATGCCCTGTGCTCCAGCGTCCCGGATAAGATCTACCACTTTCGCTGTGGTTGCGACCTTGTCCATGAAAACAGGAGCTACATGGGCAGCCGCAACCTTGAGCTTGAATCTGGGGACAGCCATCGGCGCATGCAGCTGCACGTTGTTTGACTGGCTTGTTCAATATCTCTAATCTTTTGACAAGTGTCGGAAGGTGCAAAAGACGGGGCCGTGATTTAAAGCCTCAAGAGGAAGATATCAGCACTTTGCTGACGAACTGAGGGGTCCGTCAAGACTGCACACTACAGGTGATTTGCGCATGCCTGTCGCATACTAGGAGTGTAACCAAACAGATGAAAGCTATACGTGATCCTTCTGGTCTCCGCATTTACACGTGGCATGGCTCAAAATTGACTGGTTCCCAACAAAAATTTGCGGTAACATGGTTTACGGATTCTCTTTGTACTTTATTCTAGCATTGTAGACTATGTGGTCTTCGTCTTGCTATCTCTATAGCTGTTCAATTTGGACTTGTATGTCTGCGCGAGACCTTCAATAACATCTAATTGATGGCTAAGTCCAAGCTAAAAGGCTCGGGCTGAGGTTCGAGAATTTTCAACGATGATATTTCTAGACGCGTTTGTTGCGAGAATGTGGCCTGGCCACAAGAAATGTATTTCCAGCACGGGCGGATGAACAACCGAGGTCTCATGATTTTCAACCTGCACTGGTTGCAGAAGCTTGCATTGATGCTCATTTTTCCAACTGATCTCTCTCAGTGTCATTGATCAACTGCTCAAAAAGAGGAAATGAGGCTATTCTCACTTCTTGAAGAGATATCAACACATCTTCGCCAAAACGAGGCCAATAGTTCCGCACTACACTTGTGAGAATTATCCTTAACATTAACATTCTATCCCCTACTCCTCCTGTTCCTCCAAATAAATAGGCCAGAGCGTCTGCATCGAGGGTGTATAGTACAACCATTGCTCAAAATCAACTCGATGCATCACCCGACTCCGAGGAAGACTCGCGCACGTTGATCAGAACATCATGATCGCTGTCACTCCGGTCATCCATCTCTCCCAATTCCTCGCAATGCTTGCGAAGCCCTTGTTCAGACTTCTTGGTCACATGCTCCAGGCTGCCATCCTTGTTCAGCACGAGCTCCTCATCCTCCTCCTTGGCCGCCTCCCACATTGCCCTCAGCGTCTTCACCTTGGCCTCCCCTCCCCGCGGAACAGCCTCAAACGGGAACTTGACAGGCTTCGCGATCAGCAGCGGGGTGAAGCTGTTCCAGTGTACAGGCATCTCCTCGCCAGTCTTGGGATCGCGCCGTTTCCGGATGTCGAAGGCCCACGCCATGCCACCCATGGTCAGGAAGAGATCCTGTTCCACAATGGGCACGCCCTGGCAAGTGCGGCGGCCGAAGCCGAACTGAGAGTAGCCATTAAGGTTTGGGTGCTGGGTGAGCGGTTCGCGATAGGTCGGATATTCCTTCGAGAGCCAGCGACCTGGGTTAAAAGCCTCTGGCTCTGGGTAAAGACTTTCATCACGAGTGATTCCCCTACGTAGAGAGAATGTCAGACCTCAAGATTCGGGTTATTTATGCGGTTGGAAGACTGTTGCTTACCATTCTAGTGCATGGATCGTTGCCCCAGCTGGGATGAAGTATCCGTTGTACACGTCGTCTTTCTCGGTAGCATGCGGGATCCCAGTCGGGACAGGTGGCCGCCAACGGAGTACTTCCTTCACCACAGCTCTGAGAAGAGGGAGCTTCTCCCGATCCTCCCACTGGGGACACCGCCCCTCACAAACCGAGTCAATCTCCTGTTGCAACTTCGCCTGCCAGTCCGGATAATGACACATGGCGAGCAAGTAGCTCTGGACAGGGCTGCCGATTGTAAGCGCACCGGCAATAGCCATCAAGCCGACCGTGTACATTGCCTCGCCCTTGTCGGAAGCTGTGGATGTCATCCAGTCTTTCTCATCTAGCCCCTTGGTGTTCCTCTCTTGGTCATCCAAGAACGTCCTTATGAAGCTCGGTTTGGCGTCTCCAGTCAGCCTTCCCTTCTCCACGAAACCGACATTCATCTTAAATAGCCGCTCTTCCAGCTCGTGCCTTGCGCGCTCCTTTCTCTTCCATGGACTCATAAATGCAGGAACATGAGCCAGCCAGCTGATGACGTTCGGCAGGGCGCCGGAGGGGGAAATGGTCTCGAGAAGCCCAAATGTCGTCTTGCGCAGAATCTTGGCAGGGTGTGGGCTTCCCCAGCCAAGACGGGAGACAGTCCGGCTGGTAAACTGTTCGATCCACTCGATGTAGTTATCACTGTCTTGGGACATGAGATACAGGAACCTATCTCGCTCCTGTGTGGGGTACCCATGGAGAGACGACTTCTCACTGATAGTCATGAGGTGATGGCAGAGTTTGCGCTGGCGCTTCCACGTATCTGTCCTCCCCAGCAGCGCGAGATAGTCACCGCTTGTGCGGTTATCCGGCAGGTTGGGAATAACTGGACGATCAGAGTAAACCGCATTGCGCTTGGAAAGAAGGTCGTGAGCTATCTTCTCATCTGAGATCCAGACGTGGGAAGTGCCAAAGATTTCCATTTCGTAGATAGGCCCGTATGTCTTGGACCACTCATAAAATTTGAGCCATGTTGCCTCTGGAGGGACATCATGGACCCGACCAATGAAGGGCAGACCTGGTACGAAGAACATCAGCCCGCTATATCACTCATAATTACATATGGTGAAGCTGATTGTTGGGTATACCTTTTGGCCCGGGGAGACGGCGAACTCCCTCGGGAAGCTTCTTTCTCTTGGCTCTCGTGTATACGGCTTGAATGACAGCAAGAACGACAGCAAGAGCTAGGAATAGCAGTGGTGGCGCTAACATCTTGAATGTAGAGTACTGGCCGCTGGTGGCGGACTGAATACAAAACCGCAAAGGATTATCTCATAGGATTCAAAAGAATTTCAGTAAGGGTGGCGGGCCTTGATGGAAAACGAGAGCTACTAATACCAGCTGTTCAGAACCTCAGCCATAGACTTGTCTGTTCTTGATGGCGTCGGCTTTCTCAAGGGCTCCGGGCCCGCCATGGACGTCCGCCGAGCTTGAGACGAGATAGTCACCGCTCAGCCCAAGCATGGCTGGCACACTAGCCCCTGAATATGGATCAGCATGTTACTTGAACGACGGGTCCAAGCCTCGGGGACAACATTGTGACCGGGGCAAAACACGCCGATAGGCACTGACGTTGGATGAGTCCCAGCATCCTATCAGCACGGCGCAGGCACTTAGCCTATACCATCGAGTACATTGTGAGCGACTGTTTGGGGCAGAAACAACGATCTGCTTTGATGTTTTCCTGAGCAAAGCTTAGCGTGATATCATTTTCGAACCCCCTTTCCCACCCCCTTTCCCACCCCCTTACACTCACTGGCGGTCGCACATTGTGTTTACAAGTTGTCCTGTTGTTGCATGACAAGATTGCTCACACCAGCCATACTCCTTCAGCGGAAGGCCTTGTGATAAGCAATCAGCGGCATCGATTCTTTATTCGCACAGTCATTGCCATCCTCGTTCCTCTGGCGACGGGAAGGGGCAGATATAGAGCGCGGCCTGTGCTGAGTTAGCAGCCGTGGTTTGCTCGGCGCCAAACAACTCCACGTCATGGTGCAAGCGAACAGACACTTGAGCCGCTTCCGCTTGTTCGGATGAACGGTCTTGGCTCCAAGGTTGGAAGCAATGTGAAATCCGAGAAGTCAAATGTATTGGATGTCAGCCATACTTTGCAACTTCGTATTCGAAATTAATGGCAGTTGAGGTTCGATAAAGGGACGACAGGCCTTTCATATAGCACATAGTGTTGAGCCTCATTTTCAGTCACATGCGAGGATCAACAGCACTGCTGTGGCTCGTCCGAGACTGCAGATGATAAACGTGGAAGATTGTCGCTGCTCTAGCAAGGCCCAGACATTAGTGCAGGACAAAAATAACATGTAAGTTTTCTGTGAGGTATTGAAATGTAGGATAGCGGCTTGCAGGATCACCTCCCAAGATCTAGAGTACATTCCACCGTGAAATCGTCAATAACAATAATCAAGTCATTCCCACAAGCTGTCATACTTGCGCTAAAGTTTCATGCTCGTGACCCGTAGGACGACGTCGAAAGACGGAGGTAGGACATCTTTCGGTGCGGCTTTGGCGCTTGTTGGCGGTGAAACAACAGCACGAGCTGAGAATGCAGGAACAGTCTAATGAAACAGCGTTCACGAGGGAGACGCGGACCGACGTGGGCAACTTTCGGTGCTACACGGCCTTGGGATTCCCAAAGCGCCGGTCTTGGTCACGTTTAGCGCCGGTTATTCCCCAACAACGGACGAGAAAACGAGAAAAAGGGTCTGTTCGGGGGCGCCACCGATGTCACTGCAGTACAAAGCGTCGGCAACAAATCAGATGGGCGGGACAGGACTTTGACGATCCGAAGTCCAGAGTTGATTTGGTCCTCTGTACAGGACAATGCCATGTCCTCGGAGCCGAAGAATCAGGGGGAATCTACCGTATACACAAAACTTTTCCGAGCCATCCTCCCCTGCATAAGATCATGCAGTCGGTCACATCCGCTCCACAGGGGTAAGACCCAGCAGACGCATGCCGTTGGCAACGACATGTCGTGCGGCATCATACAGAGCCATACGAGCGTTCTGTAATTCCGGCTCGCTCCCCACGATCTTGAGATGGTCGTAAGAGGAGCTGATCACGTGCGTCAGCTTGAAAAGGTAGACCACAACTGTCGTTGGCTCCAACGTCTTGAGCGTGTTCTGGACCACATCTGGCCATTGACTCAATACCCTGATCAAGTTGATGGCATGCGCCTCTGTCAGTAGTGAGAAATCCGCCTTCTCGAGCTCCTCGACAGGGATCGCGGCCTTGCGCTCAATTGAGCAAAGACGAGCATGGGCGTATTGGAGATAAGGACCAGTGTCACCTTCAAACGATGTCATGGTTTCCATGTTGAAGGTGTAGTTGTTGATCCTGTGATTGATGTTAGCACAACAGCCTGGAGATCGCAAAGACTTCCATGCCCTACCTCTTTCCAGTCATGTCCTGGATCATCACACTGCTAATACCAAGGGTATCAGCTGTAGCCTCAGGGTTCTGAACCTGAGAGTACTTGTCTTCATTCTTCCTCATGACCTCATGCATCTTGTCGCCAACGTCCCGGAGGATGTCGTCCAGGAACTTGACCGTTCCCTTTCGGGTGCTCATTCCCAGGACCATACCAAAGTTAATGTGTTGGCACTTATCAGCGATGTCCTTGTGGCCGCTCAGTTCCGTGATCTTGAAAAGCTGTTTGAAGTGCAGATCTTGTTGCGAGGCAGCAACGTAGATCATCTGGTCAAACTTGTACTTTTCATGTCGGCCGAGCAGCTCACTGATGTCCCGAGTCAAATACAACGCCGTGCCGTCCCTCTTTCGAATGATGGGGCGCTCGAGGCGTTTTCCCTCCTTGCCTGGGATTAGCTTCGCGAAATCGACAATTTTGGCGCCTTCCGACTCAGTTGATATGCCCATTTCCTCAAGCCTCTTCGCAGCTTCCTCCATGGCCGCCTCAGATACCTGACTCTCGCCTGAATAGCTGTCGTAGTGGATGTTGAGCCGGGCATAAGTCTTCTGGTACCGTGTAATACTCAGGTCTCGGAACCGTCGCCATTGTGCCAGCGCCGCCTCGTCTCCCTCTACCATCTTCTTGAAGTATTGACGCGCCTGCTCGTCCGAGCTGCTCTTCTGCAGCTCAGTCGCCTCGTCCTCTTTGCCTGCCGCCTTCAGCTCCTTGATCTTGTCTTCCTCCTCCTTGATCTCCTGGTTAATCCTGACGTATATGTTGAACAGGTGGTTGATGGGGTCCTTGTTCAATGCGTCCTCATCACCATATCGCTCAAAACCCAGAGCCAGCATTCCGTACTGTTTGCCCCAGTCACCAAGATAGTTGATACGGGTCACATCCCACCCCGCGCCTTCGTACAGGTTCGCTATGAAACCTCCGATGATTGTACTCCGTAGGTGACCAGCATGGAATGGCTTCGCGATGTTGGGGGAGGAGAATTCGACAATGATGCGCTTTCGGTCTTTAGGGTTCTTGGGGTCTCGCAGCCCCTGGGCTGGGTTCTTGCCATAGTCCTTCCCGAGTGAACGGATCATTGGCACGACAGCCTTAGCGAGAGGCAGGGCCTTGAAGTAGAAGGACATGAAGTATCCTGTCACCGATGGCTTGTCAACCAGGGGGTCGTCTTCGGGGAACTGTTTGCGGTCTGATATCAGTATCTCGTCAAGATGCCTCAGAGAATGAGCAGGCGGGCTGACCTTTTCTGCCCACTCCTTCGCGAGCTCATCTGGCTTCTTGCCCTTGACCCGAAGGGCGGGCGCGGCGACGATCAGGTCGCCCTTGTCCAGGCCCTGGGTCCATTGAACCGCATTGTAAATAATTTTTGGCTCAACGCCTGTGATCTTCTCCAGCACATTCGTCAAGTGCGCCCGGTAAACATCGATGGGGTTTGTCTCAGGGTAGCACGTTGGGTACTTGTCTCGGATGTTGTCGAGGGAGAGGTCGGAGGTGAGCTTGACGAGCTCGTTGATACCGGTCGCCATTGTTAGTCTACCGCTCTGGAAGAGTGGATGGCTGCTACGGCTGGTAGACGCAGGGCGGATGTTACTGTCTGAACTTTTCGCAGACGTAGTTGCAAACAAACGAGGAGGAATTGAGGCTGAGGTGGGGTTGATTGTGCGGAAGGAGGGGTCCTTGAGTCGCAACAGACTGGAAGTCGATGTCGCCCGTGGTGAAGTGGCAATGCGCAGGGAGCTGTGAGCGATGCTAGAACTTCGAAGCAAGGGACGAAAGACGTTCATGCCCTCTTCTTATATGGCCAATAATATGAATCACTCCTGCAGTCTATTAGTCCACCGAATTGGGCCTCCTTTGGATCGTGACTCAACCCTGCCCAAATTTTGTCCGCAAGCTTCCAGCAAACCAATGCTTATCGGTATCGATACTACCCTAACCCTGTCCAGAACTTGCCTTGGGCTTCGCCAGTTGCAGATCCTCCAAACCTCTCCAACACGAAACAATGCAAGCGGCCTACCGGTTCTTCCTTCGATCAGTTTCCTAACATAGCTATCGAAAGTGCACTGGCTCTAGAGGAGCTCTCGTGGCAACCAGACACTCAGGGTGGTTTGGGTATGGTTACAGAAAATTGTTGCAAAAGTGAACAGAATCGTATTCCTGGCTAATACTGTCACCCCGCACAGCCACCATGCTGTTTATTGTGTCTTCGGACCCCCTTTCTTCGCAGAGAACATTACACTTGACAGCGAGGCTTATCAGCCGAGGTTCAACTCAATCCGTGGCCACTGTGGCAGAGTGACCTATAAAGACATACTGTAACTTTGCACTTGATCCTTCCGCTCAAGGAGTCCACGACTCAACGCGTCACTTGTGTTTGAAATCCAAATAGAATGATCTGCAGTTGAGCATAACGTAATATAAACCGCCCGCAGAACATACTGAAATGACATCCAATTCAACAATGATGGATAACATCATGAAACCTTTCTTGCTTGGTTCAGACATGGCAGGTAGAAGATGCCTGAGAGGAAGTATCTCACTCCACGTGTGAAGAAACACACACCCCGACGAATGGTCAAGGTGAGCAAAAATTCTTTTTGACAGAATATACTAAAGGTGGGACATGCATGCTTGGCGGGACAGAACGAAGGAGGATATAATACTATTAAATATCACACAACTAACACAATGTGAGTGATAAAACCACTGGAGAAGCATAAGGACGTATTGATTACTCGATCATTAATCATTCTAATTATATACATTGCAAAGCGTGTATGAAACATTTGCATATTACGCTCAGAAACAATATTCTTCAACGTGAAGATGGATGCCCTGCGCTCCGGTGCCCTTGTGCACAGCACGCTCGTCACTCAGGCTCGCAACACAATTCCTCGCCCTAGCAACCAGGGATTTCCCTCCACACACCACCACCGACGTCTCCCCTCCCGTGGCCTCGACAGGGTCTCTGATGAAAGCCTCGATGTTTGGCCTCGAGGACGACTGGTGAACGTGGGAGTCGCTGCTCGCCGTGCTGCTGGGCCTGCCGCCTTGAGCAGCGCGTTTCTCGATGTCCACGGATCCCATTTCCGACTTGAGGCTCCCGCGGTTTGACGGCGAGGGGACTGCTGACGATGAAGAGATCGCACCTGCCATAGTGTCACCGGTACCAGTCCTATTCACCAAGGTTGGAACCGGCGGTCCCCGCGTTACGTGGATGTGTACTCTCAACTCGATGCCCACTTCCGTTGCCTTATCGATCATCTCGTGCAGCCGTTGAATGTAATAGTCGATTTCGTCACCTTTCTTGGATGCAAGTAGAAAGTCTATACGCCGCGTGCAGAGTGACTTTTCGTTGGAGAGTAGAACGCTCTCCAGAATTGGAAGAGTAAAGCTCGCACCGGTTGATGCTGAGATGAGGACGAGGGTCTCGTATATGTCCCAACGGGGCGGCAGACCGTATGGGCCGGTCACGAAGGCTGTCAAACTCTCCTTGGTCCCTGAAGCTTGCATCTTCTTTGCGTGATTGTGAAGTCTTCGCGAGAAACCCTTGTGCTTCCGCACAACGAGCTGTACGCTGTTGCAAATACATGTGCCTGGAAGCGTGTGCGCGGAGGCAATGGTGTATGGGTGGTGATCCGAGATTCCAATCTTTGGCATCCACAGATACAAATGCTGGCCTGCGCGCCAAGAAAAGTGAACGTCTTTGATGGTGACCACAGTAATGTCCTCGCCCACAGCGCGAAGCTGTGCCTGATGGCCAATTCGTTGCCCGCCTTTGCATTGAGACCTGTTAGGCCGAAATTTAACATTCTGCCACACAAGCAGGACAGTCCGATAGAAGCGGTCGAAGCACAGAGCAGCAATCGCGAACCACACGTTGTACTGCGCATAGGCCGGTATATGGACGTAGATGACGTATAGAAAAAGGATCCACGTCAGCATATGCTGCGCAATGAACAATTCGTAGTTCAAATGGCGAAGCGGCGACAAGCCCGAGACGTTTGCCCATAGCAACAGACCCCACGCCGCAAAGCCGTATTTGATCATAGGCATCATTTGGATCATGTAGGTCACGATCCCCGCCTGCTGATACTCGGACCAGAAGTGGAAGCCATGTATAGTCGCAGTGACAAACATGGTGCGAGCAACCCATCGGTGCAGCCAGTTGAGCCTCTCGTAGCTGCTTCCAGCAATAACGCCCAGGATACTGCTTTTAGAGGCCAGTAGATAGAGGAAAGGAATTTGAGTGACGGTTACCCAAGCGTTGCGAAATCCAATCCGTTCCCAAAAGTAGGCGTCCTTGACGATAGCCCCAGCTGTTGCCATATACACAACCACGGCCCAGTAAACTAGAAGAACCAAGACCCGGCCCATGGGCGGTGGCGTCATCCAGGAAAGATATCGAGTGGGCACATAAATCTGAGAATAGCTGGCCTCACGGCCAATAGCAGTTGCGGTCGCCCAGGCTTGTGATATTGGGCCCGATGGCTTCGTAGGGAACTGAACTGAGGATGAAGAGCACCTTTGCAGCCTTCTGGGGGTTAGTTCGATCGTTGATTCGAATGTGAGGTTTTTACTGACCTCGTCCGTCTCTGCAAGAAGCTGCCAGCGCGCACTGCTACGAACAGACCCAGTACACCTGCGATGAGATACCAGTACGCTTGTGCGAGGCCCATGTTCTCGGTCTGGAACATGCCAGTACCCATCCCCATCCCGCTCATGCTCATACTCATTCCTGACATATCCATCTTGACTGTCTCCGAAGCGAAAGAAGGCCGCGATTGGCAGGTGGAGGATTGATCAGGCCTGCTGCTTTATGAACACGAAAGAAACCATCAAGTGACAATGAGTGCTTCTTCGACGTCTGGTGTGTCTGTACCAGCCAAGACAAGTGGTTCTTCAGGCGCTCAGGAGATATTGGGTTGCGACAACAGACAGTATGTGTAAGGTCTGCTTGGTTGCCTTTCTAGAGGCTGAAGAGTGGATTCGAGTCCAGGGCACCAAAATCTGGAACAGTCTCAACAGAATGAGTAGGCATAAAAGTGCGCAGATACGACACGGCACGATCCAAGTACAAGGATCGACGCTTCAGGCGATCCAGGCTTCCGAGGACCGATGGGAGGAGTCTAACCGACTTAATTGGGTTCGTAAGATTTGGCTTCCAAACGTCCAAAGATCAAAGAAAGGGTATCGAAAGACCCAAGATGCTGACCATCGAGCAGATCCGAGAGACAGCGGTGAGGACGGGCGGGTCTACAGAGAGCTTGGGAGGCTTTGGTGCAGATCCGAGAGGCGAGATCGGTAGTCGGTAGGAAGAGTGATGCCCGTAGCACACCAAACCGAAACGAAGGGGAAAACTTGCTCAGGCTCTTGATACGCTGACCCGACGTCGAGCTACTCTCCGCGCCGCGTGTGAGGTGGTTCTGGTATAAGCTCTGTGCACAGCCAGAGTTCGGGAAGAGATAGTCTACGTAGTTCAATCAGATCCTCGAGTACTTCGCAAGCGAGGTTCCATCAATTTTCGCGGATTTCTTGCCGTCGTGCCTTGTCTACTGGTTCCATCATGGAGTGAGAACATGCTGGCTTGCAAGGAGAGTTAGACTGGTGGTACAGCCGGCCAGACATGACCGCCAGCGACGGCACAGTCGCGGCTGGAGAATTCCAGGGGCTGTAACTCGTGCGCTGGTGAGACCGACTTCCCGCGGGCCATTTCGAAATGTGTTCGATGCTATTCGGTGACCTAGCAGAAACATGCTCAAGTGGTCGAGACCTTATCCTTGCTGGTGCACGGTTGTGGCGGCCGGCGTCCAGACGTCTAGCGACAAAAGCTTGACACTTTTCCCCAGGAGGTCTAGACACTGAGCAAGTATCTGTGCGGCTAGACCATTTCCAGTCCAAGATGGCCCCTCTTCAGTGTATCATCTGTGGTGGAAGCTTCCTCGATAATCTTTCACAGTGAGGAGTGCTTGCTCTGGATATTGAACTCTGAGCCTGCTCCTGCTGCCATGACACTCATAATAGAGTTGAGCAACGTTGGGCAGAGTTGTAAACAGTCTCGGGCAAATCTTTTTTAACAGATAACAAAGCAGCAACACACAGGATGCTTGCACCTGCATGTGTCTGCACGTGAAAGAACGTGGCGTCCTGCAGAACAAGTAGTTCGTGTGCCATCCACACCCACCTGCCACCGGGTTTCGAAACATGAAGAGACCCAATCTTCAACCCCAGATCGACACTCATAATTGCAGGGGTGTGTGTTGGAAGTTTCAGGGTCCCATGTGTCTACCACGCACGTAGTCTAAGTACCCAGGCACGCGCCTGGCTGGGATGGCTGATACCAGAGAGGCGGTCACGGATCAGCCAGCGTCGCCACGTCTCCGGCCGGAGAGCATGTTTGAGGTACGCCCCTACAGAAATGCGCTCAATTTGCTTGACTGGCCCCATCAATGAAAGTTATGAAAGATAGAATCCTGTTGAAGTTCCCACAATATGCTCAAGTGTTTCACTTCCGCCTGAACATTTTTTTCATCCGATCCTCAGGGCTGGGCTTTTGTCCAAGAGGATGCGCGCCCGTGACTTGACTTTGGTGTAAGCTTAAACCGAGACACATGAGAAGTACACCTCGTCAAGTTCCGAACCCTGCCAGTGATTCAGCGAGCCAGCCATCTGGAGGTACTCCATCTACCAGGTTTGTCCTACTTTCACCCCTTGTAACTCGACCATCCGGTTGGCATCCGAGGCCACGTCCGTTGGCGTTCTAACCCCGGCTTGAGCCCTATCTTGGCGCCGGCACCATCCCATAGCTCCTCTAGCTCTACCGATCACCTCGAGCTCTCTGTTCAGATTTATAGCTCTGCGCTCCCACTATCGTAGCATCTGGAATGAGCCGTTCCATTGACTATTGTCTTACGCTGTTATTTGATACCCTCAACTGTTTTTAAACAAACAAAGCCAATTCTGCCTGAGACCTATCGCCCCAAATCTCCTACTACTACATTACGCTCTGTATTATTCCCCAAATCGCCCTTGAATATGGCTTCCCTCAGATTGCTCCTCCTTCCAACTCTGGTGGCAGCACACGTCACCCTCAATGCTCCCGCTTCCGTCGGTCCCTTCGACGAAGACGCCGAAAGCTCTTCACCCTGCGGCGGTGTTACTATCGATTTCTCCAAGGACAATGTAACGGACTTCCATGTGGGCGGCGAGCCGATTGACTTATTCCTTGGCCATCCCACAGCCGGCTGGTTGATTCGCGGCACCCTCGATCAGACCGCAGCCTCCAACTGGTCCCAGCTGTACCCCATCTTCACGCAAACAGGCTTGGGTGACTACTGTCAGCCAGCGGTCGCAGCACCTGAGAGCTGGGTCGGTCAGAAGGGAATTTTGGGAGTTGTTGCCAATGCGCCAGACGGGCTGCTTTACCAGGTACGTGAACAAAGCAGTTAAAGAATTGTATTCCCCTTGATACGGGGACACACCAGCTGACAGCACGCCTCTGTAGTGCGCCACGGTCAACTTTGTGTCTGGATCTGGTACCCGCACGTCAGACTGCAACAACGGTAGTGCCGTGACTGCCGCCTTCTCGACGGACGCCAGCCTGTCTGCTCTCGTCCAGTCCGACCACAGCACCACCAACGGCACTTCAACCTCTTCGAGCTCTTCAAGCTCCTCGAGCTCAAAGAGTATGGCTCCTGGGCTGGCTCCTTCCATCAACGGACTGGCCGGCAGCCTGGCTGCTGTAGTCGTGGCTAGTTTTTTCGGAGCTGGCCTCCTGCTGTGATAACCTGAGATCTTTGTCTATAATTATTAGTTAAATATGGCCTGGCGTTCTATCATGGCGTGATTGTGTCCGGTATCAAAAGGATAGGAAAATGAATCGCAAACTGTCTAATACCTTCGAGCTCTCCAGTGCCTTCCTGTGGTGCGTTTGAAGTGACGGAAGGCTGTGATGTCTGGTACAAGGAGCCGCCCTTTGTTGAGATTGACCCATTATATTCCTCTTTTCTTTTCAGTGCCCAATTGCTGTTATTCTCAATGACTCGATGGTGTTCAATTTTGCAAGGCTTTTTGATACGAGACTAAGAATTTGGTGTGTTCCAACTTTTGTGATGGCCACATGATGGGCGAAAAGGAGGATGGCACATGTCTTCTTTCCTGTGGTGCTAAGAAGAGCATTGTAAATTGTGTCTTTTCCTTCTCAACGTGGGCTGCCAAGCCACATGAGATAGAAATGAGCGCTCAAGGTCATTGGTGGAGGCTGGTGCTAAGTCAATTGATCCCATAGGGACTAGTAGGGTGAGCATGAGTACTGCTCCAGCTCACAGAAGAGTTTGCTCGCAAAGTAAAATAGTATGTAGTGTCTCAATCGGCTCAAACATTTTAGTTCCATTGTCATATGAAACAAACATTTGCTCAGGCGAGAGATGTGGCGTGCTCTAGAACAGAGGAAAATGGATGCACCCATGCCCTCTGAGCATGGTTTGAGCCCCATAAGGCTTCCTGGATTCAACAGCCCCCCTAGATCGTCACTCCCAGTGTCGAGCTGAACAACAGAAGCCAGGAAGTCAATTGCTCTTCCCCTGTAAGCGGCTCTGCCATCAAACGTTCGCTTAAATGAACACCATCCGGGATCGAACTGGAGGATGTCTCATCACAGGCGGGTAGCTACATAAACGCCCAAAGGACGAGCTCAACCCGGGCTCATAACCTCTAGAACAGAGGAAAATGGATGCACCCATGCCCTCTGAGCATGGTTTGAGCCCCAGAAGGCTTCCTGGATTCAACACGTGCCAGTGTCTGCTTGTCTCTATGCCGCCCTCTGTGACCGTGAGAGGTTTCTGAGCTAACCTTGAAGCTTACATCAATCCAGGAGGTCGCCAACGAAGATCCCAAGATGGAGGATGTCTAGATTTGTGGAGATGTGCATATGTACAAATGCGGCAGTGAATAATTCTGTGCGACCTTCCAGTGGATAGAGGAATGCACCAGTTGATTTGAATGCTTCCCAGACTTCCAAAGGCATTTCCGTGTTAATATTGCAGAGACGAGTTCGCCAATTCCTTCTCGGTCTGATTTCTTTTACCGTGTGCTGCTGGCGTCTCGGCTACACACCCAGAACTGGTGGCCGGCGCTTGGCCAGAATAGGAGAATAAGACGGCCAAGAGCTTAGCCCCTGGTCTGTTGGTCCTTTCGAAAGATATCGAGAACCGGGTACGAGAATGTATGCACTACCAATCTGGCAGATGTATCCTGACAAGTCCACATAAAATCGCAAATCTATGCACCAGGAGAATGTCCCCTGCATACATCAGCAGCTAATTGACGTCAGCTTATGTTCCTGGCCGAGCTGTCGGATCAACAATTCGAGGACATTACGTTATCTACTTGCATTTCTCCATGCTTATCGAGGCATCTTTTTGTCCACATCCAAAGGTCCCTACATTCCACTACTGTCACCTGTCCATATCACATCGAGCCATTGTTATCAAGTATCATTTGGAGGGTTACAGCAACGAACTATCAGCGTTGTTCATGATCAGAACTCTGGGTGCAAGCCCTGTTCCAACAGTCTTTTCAATAATCTTCACCAATCAAGCTCATGAGCAACGCCGAAAATGGACGAGCACCGAAAGCGGCACTGTTGGGAATGTCTCCGTCGCCGAGTAGTCTGTGATTTCACCCGTCCAGCATGCAACAAATGCTTGTCATCGGGAACGCAATGCCCTGGTTACGACGATACGAAACCTGCAAGGTTGAGGTGGCTTCCACCAGGGAAGGTGCTATCTCGAAAACAGAGGCGAAAGGGGTCTGCATCCCCTAAACACGCAGCCCATCCTACTGAAATAGCCATCAAGACTGCGAATGACGTGACTGTGCCACGCTTTAAGATGGAACCAGAGATCTGTGCCTTGCTTGAGGCTGTCGAATACTGTAATGTCCCCGCCACGTTCCAAGAGACATTCACTGACATATACAGACAACACCTGCATGTACCAAGACCTAATCCCCATCCAGGAACTTGGGCCACATCCTGGCATTTATCTCGTCACGCCCACGCACGTCAAGTTAGGGGCTAGTTTTCCTGATTACATCCGACTTACCTTGATCTGTACAACCCTTAGCCACCGAATCAACCGAATACGGAATGAAAGTCAACATGGCCCCCTGATTAAGTCATTCTATCATTACCGCGGCATAATCATTCGCTCCCTCATGGAGAACATTCAAGGTGGAGACAATCATACGACTGATATGCTTGTTGCCGGAATTATTGCACTTTTACTGTCTGATGTGGGTCTCATGGTATATCTCATTATCATCACTCATACTAAGGCCACACAACGCAGGCCCATCACGGCGCCTCGCCAAATTGGCGATGCCATCTCGAGGGAGTTCACAATCTTGTTACGCTTCGTGGTGGCATCCGCTCACTTTCCGACACGAAAAGTCTAGATCAACTGCTCCTTTTCTTCATGTTGTATGTGACTTCGAGCGGAAAATTGGGCATCTGAAGCGATGTTTAGAAGTTGACCTCTCACAGCGCGGCAATTATCGGAAATACGACATCCCCTGCGCCAGACCTGCCAATGACCGAATTGCACCTCGACGACCTCGATATTATTGTCAACAGATATGGCGGCAAGTTATTCTCTTTCCAGATGTGCCCTCCACCTCTATTCACCGAGATCATCAGAATCAATTATCTTCGGATGCGAGCTGTGGAAGGTGAACACATCGAAGCCGAGTGCCACTCGCAAGAGGCATGCGGTATTCTGGACCGTATTCATACCTTTTCACCAGATGAATGGTCTGGGTCCAAGCCTTTCTCCAAAGAAGGGTGGTTGCTGGTTGGGAAAATATACCAGGCAGCCGTATCACTATACTGCACGTTATCGCTGCAAAGCGTTTTGGTTCTGCCCAAATCCTCCGAACTAAGAGATCAGTGTGCCGAGAAAGGCCGCCTGCTGCAGGTGCTGCTCAATGAGGCGCTGTCGTCTCCCAAGACTAAACACTCCATGATCTGGCCCTTGGTCTTGCTCGGCGTGCAGGCTGCGAACGACGACACAGCGATGCGTACTTTCGTGTCGGGGAAGCTGTCCGAGCTAGGCTACCATATTGGCTCAAATGTCCCGATGACGGCAAAAGCCGCCCTCGAGAGATTCTGGGCTTCGGGCGACACGCGCTGGGATGCTTGCTTCGATCGCCCGTACGCGTTTGTAACACAAATTGCTGTGGACATGACCCAGCTGGTAGAAGCGCATTGAAACAAGGCTTGTGGACCAATACCAGTATTACAATACAGACCTAGTCATGTCTGTTATGAGTGGAGTGTTGCGAGAGGCCTAGAAGGCAGCTCCGACATCCTGCAAATCCATCGTACAACAACGAATGTTGAAGCCTAAGAACATCGAAGGTTGTTGAATGATTGTAAATTACAGGGAAAAGCAACCGGCTTTCCTTCCGCATTCCATAAACCTGTGGATAGCCCCATACGTGTACAGGGCTCAGGGGCCTATGCTTCAGCCAGGTGTGCCTTTTAGGATGGGAGCATCCTCTACAGGCTGGCCATGTTACAGGAAGGATCGAATCGGGCGAGCTATCCGCCAATGTTCAGGATTTCACCGTCTGTAAAGGAGCATCGAGCAATCCGAAATCTTGAGGATTCATTCCATATGGGGCATGGTGCGATCCTGCCGGTTTGGCTGTGGAAGGTACTTATGTTAGCTTACTCCCAAACGCGATCTACCTTCCTGGTCATTAGACTAATGAAACAAGAGTTCCATGGTGGAGCTAGGCACCTGCTTCTGTAACCTCAGTACCATGGACATGACCGATACCGTTCGCCTTGCTATTTCTCCACCCTGCAGAGCACAGTCCGGCAGAAATGACAGAACCAACACTCACAGAAGGGTATCCTAAAGTATGCACACTTCAAAACCTCTCAACTTATAGTAACGGAATTTCACAATGATGACTAGAGAAAAGGGTCTGAGAGATGTCCACTTAGGGTAAGTTGTCCTTGGGGAAAGCTGTTATGCCTGCCTCACGCCGGAAAGACATCCACAACCTCAAGCCCCCAAGTCACCTGGGTATGGTCACACTGCACAACCAAACGAGGTGTCATTTTACAGCAGCTCATAGAGAAATAAACCTCCGGGCTCAGGTGGCCACCCTCGGTTATCCCGGTTGTCAGGCGGAACATGGTCATAATGGCTTGGAATGGGGTTGACTTCCCTGTCTGACTGGTGGATGAGTAACCGACGACTGGACACAAGGTGGGCATCAATATAGACCATGCAGGGTCCAAATGTAAGATCAGCACAAGCAAAGTGATTTGGTCGAGACTCGCTCGACATTGATTTGGGACTTATTATGCGGGCCTGAGACCGTGAGTTGGGCCCACAGGAAGAGAGGTCAGAATCCCAATCAGGTAGCCAGAAGAGGGACCTTTGCCCACACGTCAGGTAGGACTAAGACGCCAATTAGCGCTCATCACATTGCTATGTTGAGGATGCGAGCGACAGCTAATGCGAGCCCGTCTGCCTGTGAGGCAGAAGTTTTGTGATGGCCGAGCCAATCCCCTCTCGTATTGTCCAAAATCGGTGCGAGGTCATCGAAAGGCGAGACTGACGTTGGAATATCCGCTGACTTCCTGCTATCGTGTTGTCCGCTCGAGGAGAAATTTTCGAATTTCCGCATAGGGATGGCTCACGTAAATGTGGGCATTCTGGCATTATGGAAGAGATGTCTCGGTGCCGGGGCTGCTCTGAAGGGGGACGGGAGGTCGGTACATAGGTACATGGATACCGGGGTACACCAACGTGCTGTCTCGGCTTAGACTAGAAGCCCCAGTCTTTCCGTCTCGAGGAGCGGCCAAGACGGCAGGCCATTGGACACCAAGCCATCTGATGGTCTGAGATTGCACAAATCCTGATGCCTGATCCATTACCTCCAGGCAGCCGTCAAACTCGGGACCGGCATTTGCTTGGGGCTTGGACAAGCGGCGCCACCGACCATTTCTCCTGTCCCTCTCCTGCAAGTCGTGTCCTCCAGCCTGTAAGCGGCCCGCCACGACATCTCGACGCGAAGACACGCACAAGGCCCGCTTGTTCTGGCGTTAGGCAGACAAATTATCCGGCATCCCATTTGCAAGGCTGCTTGCCCAGGTCCATGTTCGGCCGGGACACACGCACGCGGGCAGCACGCTATCGACGTGATGCTTGGGACTAGAGCTTGAGATTACTGCATCTGGCCGCCTTTTCTTTTGTTTCACCCGGGCCCGTCTCCCTAAGGCTAAGAGGGTCCCCTCTTGCGGCCCTCTGATGAAACATTGTCGGCCCTGTCTTGAGTCTTGACGATGCCTCTTCCCTCTCGCTTCTCCTCGTCCCATCACAGTCCTGCGCCGCATACCCGCTGCCATTACTGACCCGAGCTGTATGAGGCTTCCAGTCTCCGGCCTGGTTGCACACGCCCAAAGCCCACCACCCAGGAGGACATACACGCGGCAGCTGCGCCAGACGATTCGTTGCAGGGCATCTGCTGACTGTCTCCCCGAACATCCTCTCCCGGATCCACCTCTTGCTGGACACTCTCCCCAGAGATACTCTCCACACTGGTATAAGCCTGGGGTGATGAGGTGAATAGCGAAATCACCATAGCCGTCTTATCTTCGCCATCATTGCCGCCACCGTATCTCTAATTCCTCGAGCGCGTGGTTGAATCCCACCCGCCGCATCGTCATGGAGTCGTACGGTATCCCCCAGGGCGGCTACCAGCTGCCCGTCCAACGGCGGCTGAGCAGACTCTATAACGACACCAAAAAGTCGTCCGACTTTGTCAAGGAACCGGTGCAGAACGCTGAGGACCCAGACATCAAGTCCCTTCACCGGAAGCTGAAGATCCAGAATGACCGACTCGTCACCTGGGGCCTGGAATGGTCCGACCCCGGCCACCAGGACATCATCGATGATTCCCTCTCAAAGGCCGGACTCAGCGAGGTTGTCGGGAGTATCATGTCAACGATCAAGGAAATCCTGGCTGAGGCGGAGCCATTATGGGCGAGTTCCAGACGGCAGGCTGGCGGTCTCTCAGCACCGCTAGGGGATAAGAAGATCCCTATTGTGGCCTGGGACAAAGCGCGCTTTGAGGACTTGGTCAGAGATCTGACTACATCCATCGACACTTTGTACGACCTTTCAAGGACAAGATCAAATGCTGCAACATCAGCCCGAGCAAGACCTTACCCAGGGGCTTCCACCGAGGATTTGCGGGCCTTTGAGTCAACCAGAATGCAGACACCACAGCAGGTCAACCCCCAGACATTAACCAGCCTGAGAGACAGACAGCCAATTCCCATGTCCGAGACTACCCCAGACGTCCCCCCTCGGGATATTGTCTACATGAGCAAGCAGGCGTATTCCGACTTGACAAGGAACAATGGCCGCCCCTACACTGCACTGCTTCTAGAACATGCCGAGTTTGATCCCATGTACTCTGCGACTGGCATTATGCCAGACATGTCTCGATTCGAGAAGCTTTCTGCTGGATTGCAGACTGAACCACAGCGTTCTCCGGGTTCCTGGACAGGGCTTCCTCAGCTACTTGGTTATTTTGAAGACATGGACAACTCAAGACTCGGTTTGGTCTACCATTTCCCACCGGGCTTCAACCCCATCTCATACGAACCTCTCACACATAATACCTTGAACACACTGTGTTCGCTCTCCGACCTTCTGGCACGACCTGATTTCGAGCCAACCCTCGAGGCCAAATTCCGCCTCGCATACAACCTGGCCAACACTGTCTTCGACATGCATGCTCGAGGAATTACCCATGGCAACCTGACCAACTCTAGTATCTCATTTTGCAAGGCAGTGGGGGTTGAGCCGGGAATGGGCGCCGGAGAGGTCGACATTAGGCGGCCACTGATATCATCCTTTGACTTGTTTCCAGAAAGCTTTCAGGAAGGGTCCACACCCACGACCTCGCTTTATCGACACCCTCTCGACCCAAAGACGACGGCACAACAGTCCCTACTATCAAATCCCGACTCCAAGGCATTCGACGTGTATTCACTTGGAATGCTCCTGCTTTCCATCGGCATGTGGACAAATCTCGAGAATCTTGTTTCCTCGCCATCAGCTACATCTGTGCCTGAGGTCGTTCTGGAGCAGTTGGCGAAGAACTGTGGAACGCTGTACATGAAGGCCGTCCAAACGTGCTGGAAGGCAGTCGATGACGAATTGGCAGCTGGAACAGAGAGCAACCAAGTCATGACGCGTGTCCAAGTCAGTGCCAGCCGATATCTCGAGGTTTGCGCGATTCTTGACAGCGTCGGTGGTCTTGAGGATCGTCTGAGCAGCGATTTGGGCATCCAGTCTTCGTCAAAACAAACCCAGGGGCAGAAGTCGGAAAAGACGATCGCATCGTCATCCAAGGATGAAAAGGCGCGCGAAGCTGGCTTTGCCGAACCTGCTCCTCAGACAATCATGACGAAGAGCACCGTGGGGGCAGCGCCACCAGAGACTCAGACACAGCGAGGTATGCTCTCCAGCGTCCACATACGGCTTTCCAAACTCACTGACCAAGCAGCCCATGCAACATCCGAATTACGAGCGAAGCGATCAGCCAAGAATCGCCTTTACCCACACACGCCGTTGCCTCCCGAGGCTGTCGAACACTGGAACTCTGTGCTCATGCCCCAGATCAACCAAGCTCTTCGACATTTCTATCGCAAGAACCCTGAATCGGTGGAGATATCGCTTGAGTCGATTGGAGAGACGGCAAAGGAAACCACGCCTACTGTACTCGTAGTGTGCACCTCCGTCTCAAAGGTCAAGGCAATTCTGAGACGTAAGATGGGCGCACTCTTCGATGGCACCACCGGCTTCGCCGTGAAGGTGTGCCGAGGACAAGTCCTTCGGTCTCGAAATCAAGGTACTAAGCGCAGCATGGCCCACCCCGAGAGTGCCGAACAAGGGGAAGTAGTGGCCGCTAATGGAAGCTTCCAGGAGCGCCCACTGAACGGAGCCAGTATAGGAGCTTGGATTGGCGATCGTCACTTACCGCCAGTCAGCTTCGGAGGGCTAGTTGTGGTTGATGACAAGACATACGGCATGACAGTGCACCACATGCTTGATGACCCCGAGTCATCTGGTCCCGAGGGGCCACAACAACCCCTGCGGAGCGGAGCAGGTTCGGAGAACCAGGTGCCTGACCTGGCTGCGTGGTACGCGCAACAATACCCGGAGGAAGACTCGCCCAACTCGGGGAGTAGCAGTGACACGGAAGACTTCGCGGCCGAGTTCTCCGACGACGGGTCCGACGCCTTCACCGAGTCAGCCGTCACTAGCGAATACTCTGACGAGGAGACTGGGGAGGAGGATCAATACGGCGACCCGGGAGACATCCCTGGTGTAGAGCCCGGCTGCGGAGACGGATATGTTGTGAGCCAACCTGCGCTTGACGACGTCGAGGAAGGCTTCTTTGCCAGTCCGGACACCCAGGACGAAGAGCACCTCGACACCTTCAGTCTCGGTGAAGTGTTCGCTTCGAGTGGCATCCGCCGTCGCAATGACGACCGTGGTCTTATTCACGAGATAGACTGGGCCCTCTTTGAATTCAAAGACGACCGGCTACCCGGCGACAACGCCATCCCCGTGGCCGACAGCGCCGTGCGACAGCCTATACGGCCGACTTCGGTGGTGCCCGCCTCTTCTCTGCCGAACCTCGAAGTTCAGTGCATGGCGCGCACTAGCGGCCTGCAGACCGGAGTCATCCTGCCGACACTGGTTTCGGTCAAGATCTATGGCCGGACCTCTCCCAGCCATACCTACCAGATCACCAGCTCACCGTCGCCCGAGAGGAACAACGGTGCCAAACCACGGCGGCCTCTAGGTCTCCCTGGCGATAGTGGAGCCTGGATCATCGAGCGCACAAACGGGCAGGTCTGTGGACATGTGCTAGCGTGGTCTCAGCGGAAACGAGTGGCGTACATCTGCCCGATGGACGTGCTTCTCCTGGATATCGCCGAGACGCTTGAGGCCACGGAGGTGAGGCTGCCTGGTGGGGAGCCGGTAGTGAAGATGGTGGACGACAGCGCCAGCGTCAGCGTCAGCGAGCGTGACGAGGGCTATTGCGAGCCGCTGGGCGACGAGTCTGATTTAGATGCTGAACTCCGGTCCATGGCAGCTGCGAAGCGCCGGAGCTTGAGGAAGGGCAAGGGGTCACTAAGGGCTAGTACCCATGGCATCGCAAGAGAAGAGGGAGTGGACAGGGGAGCGTCAGTGAGAAGCGTGCCCCCTTGCAATAGGAGCAGTGGCCTAGGCCATATTGAGGAGGACTTGTCGAGGTTGAGTCTGGGGAGCAAGGAGGCAGAGGCTGGATATTCGAAGGCTTGATATTTTCTACGTCGTCCACGAGACGAGACACTCTTCTGTTTTGAGCGTTTGATATGCCAATCAGAAGTGATCAGATACCAATACATTGCATATTCAAGCTCTACTTGATACAGTACCAGTCCAATTGGCAAGATGCGTGAATCCTCACTCTACATACAGTGCAGCCCTATACAATTGGGGTTTTGTAAAATGGCATGGTAGGGTGTGTCTTGGGAGATGGTCCTTGACCAGGGACCACTGAGGCAAGAGGCTGTGGACTATGGGGGTGTCAAATTGGTCAGCTTACGTAGTAGCATTCGGGTCGCTTCGTCCACCAGCCAGAACAGCCCAAGGAAATAAGCTTGCAGTTCTCGAGCAGGAGGATGGAGTGATGGAGTGGCAGCAGTGGTGGACCCTCCGCTTTGGGCTCCACTGCTGCACAGAGGTGGGGTTGCAATTGAGCGTTTGGCTCCCCGCGGGACGGGAATGACGTCTGAAGCGGGGACCCACACAAGGATTCCCCCACGATACGGCACAGCAATGTCATCGCTTGGCCACCTGGGCATGACAGCCACAGCCAGCCCTCTTGCCCTGCAAGGTTCGACCGCTGTTTCGCGGAGCAGAGCAAGTGCTCGTATGCCGTAATTCCCAGTAAATGGAATCTTGTACATGGAATATTAATTGATTCTGCACCTATCCATTGCCTTGATTAAATAGTGGTCGTACTGGCCAAGAGCGAGGACCAGGTCAGGTACGTGGAGATGGAGACGGACATGTTCCAAGAACCATAGCAAGAAGCTTGGCCCAAATCAAGCACCGCGACACCCATGGACTGCTGGGCTTGGCGCCTGTGTCCCCGTAACCTCCAAACAAAAGTGACGGGCCCCTCAAGGCTGAGACGGCTCTGGGAGTGCCGTCTGCCATGGTGCGATAGGCCAGCAGGGACTAAAGGTGCCTTAGGCTTGCGCCAGACGAGCCCAGACAAGAAAGGCATCCATGCTCCCCCAGACCCTACCCTGCACCACGTACGTCACCCTTTCCAAGTTCCTCTGCATGTGGCCGTTGGTCCATCCTTCGCTGTCTAGCCACGCCGAGGACGAGAGCCAGAGCAAGAACAAGGCCCAAGAAAGACGTCAGACCGTTTGGAGCTGGGTACGGCCGCTCGTTGTTTCTTTATAATGTCCTCGCCCACTCAACCCGTTCCTTGAAGCAATAACCCACAACCAACCTGCATAATAAAGAGCTGATCGTCTGTCTGACCCTCCACATACATCCACCACCCAAAAGAACAAGAACAAGAATAAGAAAAACAGCCCACCACAGAAACGTCACACATCATCTCACCCTCTCACCCTCTCTCCGCTATTACATCACACTGCCACAACCACCTTTAGCCACCCACGCCCCGATCACTTGACCCACAATGGAGACTATAAACTCAATGGCAAGCACAGCGGCCAAGGCCATCTGGGGTGAGAACAATACCAACACTTCTGCCAACGACGAGAACGTCAAGCCGGGCACAGAAACCATGAGCAACGAAACAAAGGGAACAGAGCCCGTCTCAGGCAAGCTGGGAGACACATCCGCCGGAGAGCCTTACGACGCAGGCAACCTGGGTATGTTACCTACTTCCCTCTCTTCCACCTTTCAACGTACTCGATGTACATGACGGGAACTAGGCGGGACTGACCTCGTTTGAGCAGAATCTGGAGCAACCAAGACCGACACCTCCACCAGCACTAGCACCAAGCAAACCGGAAGCGAGAGTGCGTCAACCGGACTGCCTACTACCTCTTCCACCACGGACACCACCCAAACTGGTAGTAAGGACACCACGGAGACTGGGACCAAGGGCCCAACAACAGAACACCCCTCCACCACCGGCGACACTGGTTTCAAGGCTCCCCAGGCCGATATTAGAGACCCGGACTCGGCTACCGCAGATCCCAAGACGGAGGCTGAGCGCAAGAATGTCGATGACAGCGCCGGCGTAGACAAGTCCGAGAACCCTACCAAGGTTGAGGGGGCCGGGCCCAAGCCCATTGAAGAGGTAGCAAGGGAGCACGGCGGAGATGCCGGGTCCGCGTCGAAGAAGTCTTCAGGGCAAGGCGGCGCCGAGGACGAGGACGGCCCGGGGGCCGAGAGCAAGGGTGAGGGCACTGGAGAGCAATACGTGAAGAGCTCCGGGTTGGCTGCCGACGGTGGTGACTTCGACGCGACAAAGCCGGGTGCTGGTCGCGAGGCTGACCGTAAGTTCTTAACCTTGATGACGCTCTGCGTGCGAACATCTTTGCTCACATAACGCAGGTCTCCTTGAGGAGAAGGGTATGACAACCCAGACCGCCGCGGCTGCTGCCTCTGGCAAGAAGACCGAGGACGACAAGTCGGAGAAGTCGGCCACGGACTCTCCGGACTCCAAGAAGGAGAAGGCAAGCCTGAAAGATAAGATCAAGGCCAAGCTCCACAAGAACTAGAGGGCTTTCTGGTGCTACCAAGCCTTCCCTGATGATATCTGAGGGACTTGTTTTTCCTCCTCGGGACGGGGGCGACGAGGTCAGGCGTTGTAGCGTGCAGGACTGCCGTGGGGCAGACGAGTAATGAGGAATACCTATCTGGATTAGCACTTGCTTGTTTCCATAGTCTCTCTAGTAATCATTTGATTAACATGTAATCACCAATCGTCAACGAACTTTCAGTCATGGTAGGAATCTTCGCCTCGGTAATCACGCCTGATTGGTGAACGTGAATGTGGAAAGCTTCAAGATGTTCCATTTGAGGCACTCTTCACGAGCCTCTGGAGCTGTTCCTTCCCCTGTATCACCAGGCACATTGGCATTAGGCTGAAGCCATTGTGCCGCGAGAGCAGAACTATCTCCCTCTCTCTCTCGGCTATCTCGAGTAGGTGGATGATTCCATCCTAGACAATATGCCTGGTTGATATTGCTTCTACACGTCCACTCCTGCGCCCACAATTCAACTTTTCGAAGGCTGGGTTCTTGGACGCATAGGTATAGGCTAAACCCCCCCCCCCCCCCCGGGAGTCCTCTTCTCGAAGCTCCAAGATGATACCCGTGACAATAAACTCAGGCTGCAGTTGCTAAATGGAAACTTGGTTAATAAAATGTGGTTGAATGCGTGTTATCTGTGCATCGTCGGCGATAAGGACGTGAAAATGAGAGCGGCAGTGACGCTGCAACGAACGGCCGGCATTATGACGTCGGCGAACATCGGAGCCTTCGAAACTGGTCGGCGACCACTCAACCTCCTGGACCGGCCCGCCCGGCGCAGGGAAACTCGGAAGTCAATGCGCCGTCCGTCGCCGTCTGAAAGGATAAAAAAGGCCACAAGCAACTTTCTCACGCTTCATCTACGACTTGGGCCCGCATTCCACTAGCCTTTCTCTTCCTTTTCGAGCATTGAGACTTTGCATCGCGCCAAGCACAAGGCGGTTTTCACGGCAACACAATTCCGGAACAGTAAGAACACAAGCAACTCAAAGAAATCTGACAAGATGTGCATGGGAGCTACTTGCCCAGACTGCTGTAAGTCAGAGCCCCGGTTCTTTTGATTGTGTCCGGGCCCGGCTAATCCTGGCCTCCCCATCCGCACAGCGAAGAAGTCGTGGCGCGGCTGCGGCAAGCACATCCCGAGCGCCATGTCCGGGGTCCCGGAGAACGACTGGTGCACGTGCGAGCCGAGGGTCGAGGTCGACGGTAAATCATATCCTCACGCCGCCCCTGTGGCTATACCCGGCGCGTCGTGGCTGGGCGGGCTGATGGGCGGTGGTCAGAAGAAGGAGGGGAAGGATGAGCTGTGAGCGTCTTCAAGTGGGCGGTCTGGGGTTTACGGGATGTTATGGCGTGGGCTTGTCGGAGCGAGGAGTCTGAGCATGGTGTATGAGTGGTGTGCTTTGTGGGTTTGGTTGTCTGAAGAGGGGATGTTTCTTGAATCTGAGCTGCCGCCTCCCTGTCTCATTTGGAGACTTACACGTTGTGGAGTCAATGCTTGTTAATCAGCCCGCGCTTTTCTCTGGGCTCACGATCGACCAAGCAGCTCTAGATCAGCCAGTCGCTACGGGTGGACAATCTGAGAAATGGGCAATATTCTGTATGTATCCAGGAGTCCTAGGTCAAACCTATCACGGAGCACTTGTCATGTTGTTCGGTGCCGAAGCGGCAGCGCAGACGGGACCGATACTTTTATCACCGTGCAATCCTGTAAAATATATATATATATATATCTTGTGCGCACCATTCTCACGTTTGGGTTGACTGGTAGTCGTTTTCATGTGCTGCCACCTCATTGGGCAAAGATTGCGAACCAGATCGGGATGATTATGAAACGGAGCCTCACATAAGCGGCCAGATACACTGTAGCGCGCTGAGTCTCAGCAACTGTCGACAGAGGCTGGCACCCTCTCCTGCGTCACACAGAAGACACGATGCATCCCGTCGTAGAGGTCACACTCTCATGGCTCCTCTCGAGCGCCAGGGGTCGTGATGAGAAGAGCTTCTGCCGATCCCCCGCCTTCAAGGACCTGCCGGAACCTACCATCGAGATCACGTCTATAGATTGTGGCGCGGGCTCCTTGGCTGAGCCTGCGCAATTCAGAAAGGAACATTCTCACGATGGAGAGGGAAGGTTCCCGGGCGTGCAATGGCAAACACCGCGAGACATCACTGGGAGAGTGAAGGAGTGGCTGCTCGTGGTGGAGGATCCTGACGCGCCGCTTCCGACGCCCATCGTCCATGGGTGAGCTGTCTATCCCGGAGTCGTCGCTTCCTCAGTACGACCAAATCGCTAAACTCTTTTTGATAGGATATACGCAGGCATTGAAGCAATGAATATGAAGATAGAACAGTCGGACCTTGAGGTTGTCGATGAAAGCAAGGGCATTCTGAAGGGTGGGTTTCAGTATGGGCAGTGCCGCAGACCAGGGGTATACCTCCCTCCTCGACCCCTGATGAATCACGGGCCTCATCGGTGTAAGTGTGCCACTGCCCTGAAATATGCCATGTGCGGAAAGCTGATAGGAAGTACGACAGACTTCTTTGAGATCGTAGCGTTGAGCGAGTCTCTGCCTAAGGAGCTGCTGGGGACCAGGCCGACGAGGGAGCAAATCGCCGACGCGGTCACGGGCAAGGTGGTCGCCTGGGGCCTTTGGGTCGGGGCATATGAGAGGAAATGGGAATCAAAGTAATTTTGTATGAGATTGATTTCCTTGTTGGAGAGAGCTCACTCAGGCACACAAATAACACTCGCCCTGTTGGCATGGAAGCCATGCCTCGGGGACTCACACCTCAAGTGCACTCTCAGGCTTGAGTGAGATCAGGGGCTCGGGCGACACTGCTGATGCACGTTTCATGAAGATTTTGTTTATTAATTCGTTCGATTTATAATAATGCATTGAAAACTCGAGAAGTGTTTGCAATAAATTCGACTTGAGGTCCTCCGCCGTCCATGTTGGTGACTTGGAAATGTCGTATTGGGCCCAGGGTCGGGGATAACATTATCTCAGCATAACCCAACCAGCGTGTCAGACAGGAGGTCTGAGACTGAGATGGACGCCCCCGCCCCACCCCGTCAGCTCACAGAGCCGAACCGGCGAACATTGTCGGTAGCGCTTCGGCAACTCTGATCTCTCTCCCCTTCACTACGGCATAGCCAACCGCGTCGACTGACTGACTTGCATCGACAATGTCCAACGGGGAGTCGCGTGAGTCGCTCGACCTGTTGGCCTCGGCCGCGGAGCAGTCATCACCTCAGTCTCGCATCAAGAGGAACACCGCCTGCGTGTCGTGCAGAGACTCCAAGGTGCGTAAGAGTGCCCGTGCCGTCGACTCCTCCTCGGGCTTGGCCTCATCAGACGTGCCGCGCGTAGTCCGACCACAAGGCTGACCAAATGTCCACAGGTGAAATGCAATGCGAGCACCGTACCTGGCCAGCCTTGCCAGCGCTGCCAGAAGCTGAAGCTGCGCTGTGTGGTTGATAAGTCTCACAAGAGAGTGAGCAAGCGGAGGTATGTGGAGTCTGCGCTTCCCTTGTGCCCAAGCCACACCCCCTGGTCTTCAGAAGACATATTCGACAAAGTTTCCCGGCCATCAACCTTCCCTCCCCTTGAAAGCATCCCATATCCTTTGATATGTTTCAGGTCTATATTAGGCTTGTTGAAATATCTAGTCTGAATTTTTCAACTGGAAGTGCCGGCTCTGTTCAACTAGGAGAATGCTGGTCTTCAGCACCGCTGTACACCACCTCATGCTTTACTTGACCACATGTTCTCTCGTTCCATCCTGCGTTTTTAGATGGGATCAAACACATTCTAATATGCTGCAGTAAATTCGATGAGCTCGTTCAGGAGGTTCAGAGCATTAAACAGGCTGTGGCTCCCCAGTCATCGTCTTCAACTCCTCACGGCCAACTCCCCCTCCCCCCTATTCCAGCACAGACACCACATTTACCGAGCCCCCGGGCGGACCAGGCACGCCTGTACTCTTCCGCCGTCTTCTCGTCCGGAGTATCACCATTGGCCTCCATCCCGTCCTTCAGCAATGCTCCACCCCCACGAACTTTCCCAGAAGCCTCGTCCGTCCCTGCATTGACTCCCGGCCCCTTGACCACCCCGTCTTCTGCCAGTAGCCGTCCTGCGCAGCCTAGAGCACTGAAGTCGAGGGTATTCTCCAGTGAAGATATCGATCGGTACTTCGATCAATATTTTGAACACTTCCACCCATACTTCCCGGTCGTACGCATTAGGGAGCCAGACGCCGTATATAATGCCGGACCAGTTCTTTTCTGGGTAATTGTCGTCACAGCCTGCAGGAAGTCGACACACGAGGGCGGAATATTTGATTTCCTAGTCGATGCAGTTAGGAACGAGATATGGGGGAGCGTATCCGACCCGCCTGTCTCTCTGGCCACGATCAATGCATTGTTGATTTTGAGCGTCTGGCCGCTGCCTACCATTCGCTTTATGAAGGACCCGTCCCCAATCTACGTGTCACTCCTCATGAACAGCTGTTACATGCTTGGAATTCATACTGGCCGCGGAGACTTTCCGACGCAGGTATACCCGGCATATCGTCTGTCTGTCAGTGACGAGGAGGCTGTGTATTCTTGGGTGGGGTTCAACATCATCTCGCAGCGCGTGTCGACGTATAGTGGCACGCCTTCTACGGGTCAGTACTTCAACAGCACGATTGAGAGTATCCTCGACAGAACGAGCCCCATCAAGATTCCGATGTATTTCTACATCCAACTGGAAAGTGCTGCGTTCCTACATAGGGTGGGGAGAACTGTGGCTGCCAACCTCGAGCAAGGGAAAGGGATTTCTCATCATGTTATTGAACAGCTAGAGGAAGACTTCCAGAAGGTTCAGGGCCTCATGTCTGCAGGCATCTCAGGTAAGCTTCCCAGCTCGTGCGACCGATATGTGCAACGTGATTGTTCTGGCTCTGACATAAAATTGCACACAGAGGTGGATCAATTCACCATCCTTTCCACACTTCTAGAGCTTCAAGTCTTCTACTTTATGCCAATTCCCGGCTTCAGTCAGGAGGCGTTCAAGCGCAACGCCCTACGCTGCCACACCACCGCACAGTCAGTCATCAGGCTCGCGCTGAAGCTCAACAACGAAATCGGCTTCCTCACCCACTCGCCCCATTTCGTCTGCCGCTCCCTGCTGTCGGCAGCCTGCATTGTGATATCGGCGCTGCTATCCCCATCTACAAAGGAGGTCGTTGACCGCCAGATTCAAGACTCCGGGACGACCCCAGACATGGTGGTCAACGAAGCGCTCGCCGGAGTGAGACTGTGCAGCGTCCAGGACGGCGACCTGCCCGTCCGCGCGGCCAAGATGATGGAGAGCGCGTGGAGCGTGCGCGACATCCTGCCCGCGACGGAGCTGTCGCGGCTAGGCCAGATGGACGTCTCGCACCGGCTCGGGATGGGCCTGCCGCTAGACTGCATCCGGAGGTGGAAGCGCCAGATGGAGCAGACCCGTCCGGACAAAGTTACTCCCCAGCCCGGCGCCGGCGGTAACGGCGGCATGGCAGAAGGGGCGGGCAACGCCGCCGTGGCGAGCGCCGCCGAGATGCTGGCCGGCGATCCATTCTCGAGGGTTGACTGGGACGCGTTCATGAAGGATTTCGACATGAACTTTGACCCGGCCCTCATGGACACCGTTGTCGCCTAGGAGACTCGCCACGAAGCCGGGAGGGGCGCGGTCCGAGGGGCGCGGAGCCCATCGACAGGCAGACAAAGAAGCATGGTGTTGCTGAGGAGAGGCTGGGTAGCGTAGAGCACGTACACTATAATATTATTCATTACAGACCCTACCTGAACGCAGAAGGCATCCAAGACAAGCGCGCCAAGCTTCGTTCTGGAACCCCCTTAGTACAACCGTAACAGGATTTCCCGCTGCCTAAGCTGTGCAGCATCAATTAGGAACATGCACTTGCTACGGCGAATAGTAAGCTTCAGTTGCCGTCGTTGGGAATACGAACTGGCTGTCTTGGCCTTTAGAGTAATATAAACACCTTGGCTCCGGTGTGCAACAATGCGGCTGGATGCGGCATGTGGTAGTTGGTGAATCTACTAAATGCATTTTGCCCATGCTGCTTTCGGAAGGTCAGTTTTAGCTCCATGTCGTGACCTGAGGGCCATTTCAGAGACGGGCTGAGCTGGGAGGTTCACCATGGATACATCATTCCAACGGTACTTAGCAGCAAGTCATGTGAGCGGAGGAAAGGTCCATGTCTAATATTGAATTGGTATCTCAAAATGGGTTTGATTGGCAAGGAATTCCAGTTGCCCTCATGAACTGTCTAAACTCAACGGTGAATGTATTTGCATATAAACCAAATGACCTTGAACTTCGCTGTTTCAGCCCAGGATTACCCGGCGTCTAGAACAGACCGCGGGCAATGCGCTTGAACCATGATTGCTTCTTGAGTTCATCATCGGCGTCGGTTTCCTCAACACTGTGCAGACGGGCACCAGCCATGAGATCGATCTCGTGGATGGGCACCAACATACGCCAGTCTCTTGAGTAAATCTTCCAGAAGAGGTACAACGCAATAACCACTGGAGCGGCCAGGTACTGTTGGAAGAAGTACATTGCATCGGGCGTAGCATCTGGAGATGGCTGCAGACATGAATTCGTTAGCAAGCTTGGCTTGAATAATGGCGAATTGAAGGGCAGATGGGAACTTACGTAGAGGGAGCTGTAGAACGTGGCAATCAAGCACAGCCCGCACAGAATAGCGCCGATCCAGCTTCCATAGACACCCAGTGTCGGCTTGTACGGGATCAGATCCAAGCTGTAGCCTTGCTTCTTCCATGCGCTGCGGAAACGGATGTGTGTCAAGCAGATGGTTCCCCACACAAAGAAGTAGGACAGACCAGAGAGCGATAGCAGCCAGGTGAAGATGGTGCTCTGCGACGATGCCTCTCCGATGAACGCCAGCAGACCAAAGCAGAGCTGGACCACGATGCACCAGATAGGACGTCCGGACTTGTCGACATATGACAGGAATTTGGGGGCCATGCCTTGCTCAGCCATGGCTTGCATCGTCCTGGTAGAGCCAAAGGTGCAAGAATTGGCGACGGAAATGACGGCCAGGGTGATAACAGCGTTGAAGATGGATGGAAGAACTTTGATACCAGCATCCTCGATGGCAAGCACGAAGGGCGATGCCTTGGTGTTGGCACCAGAAGAACCCAGAAGACGTTCGTCGTTGGAGGGGATGATCAGGCCGACAATGAACAGATTGACGACATAGAAGAAGAAGATACGCCAGAAAACCTGCTTTGTGGCGAGAGGGATGGCCTTCCTGGGGTTGGCAGATTCGGCAGCCGCAAGACCGACAAGCTCAGTGCCACCGAACGCGAAGGCGGCAACGACAAACACAGAGCAGAATCCATTAAATCCGTTCTGGAATGCGCCAGGGTCATGCCAGAACTTGGCTCCGAGGTAGCCTTGGTTTCCGACGCCTCCGCAGTTGATGACGATTCCAAGGATAATGAAGCCAGTGCAAGCTGCGATCTTGATCATGCTGAGAACGAACTCGACCTCACCGTAGCCTCGAACGCCGAATACCTGGATGCAGGACAGGACAACGAGGAACACGGCAACCCAAATTCCCATGTTGAGGTCGTCACGCCAGTAGCTGATTGTAATGGACGCAGCGACAAGCTCGAAGGGCAGGATAGTCAACCACGAGATGGCGTAGTCCCAGCCCATGGCGAAACCCCATGATGGATCGATAAAGCGGACGACGTAAGTGTAGAAGGCGCCGTTGACAGGGTAGAGGACAGCCAATTCAGCCAAAGCCTGACATGTGAACAGGAGCATGACGCCGATGATTGAATAGCAGATGACGAGCGACGCAGGGCCACCTGTGTGAAGGGCACTTCCGGAACCGACAAAGAGACCAGCACCAATAGCACCACCTAAAGAAGGGTCATATTAGTTTCCGTCACCAAAAGGGATTTGAGCAGGTGAGGGCTGGATGTCATACCGATGGCGATCATTTGCATGTGTCTCGATTTCAGGTCGCGGTTGAGGGAGCCCGACTTGTTGACGACTCCCACCTCCTCGTCGACAGTCTCGGAACCGTAGCCATTGTGAGGCTCGACGATCTCCTTGTCGGTATGGTTCTTCTCGCCGTATTGAGCCATTGTGCTGGACTCGTTGTCAGGCTGTTTGGCCTCTTCTCGTCTAAGCGGTCGATCCAGCGGGTGGGAGGCAAGTGGTTGACCAAGAGTAGGGGAACACCAGAGGCAGGAGGCACATGGGCAACGAGATAGAGGGGCAACACATACTTATAAGATTAAGTGTGTGAATGAGACGCGGAGGGACTGTCCAGGACTGGGGCGACCGGCCAGAGCAAGCATTGGGACAGGGGTGGCAGATCCAAAAAGGCCTCGATGGCACGCTAGCCGTGGAGGAGGAGATTGAGCTAGCACCGAGCTGCAGTTGGCCCTGGGCCCAGAAGTGCGGCTGACTGGGCAGGGAGCTCCCCGGTGGCAAAGACAAGGCGGGCGTCTGCACCGACAGCGCGGGACCTGGGTACGTGTGGTGGTGGGTAAATACCGCGCAGGCGAGGCTTTGGATGCCCACAGCCCCCAGGTGCTCATGCTCGATAGAGGACGAGGCCAGAGACAGGAGGGGCGCCACTGCTTATCTGCACGGTGACGAACCAGGCGGGACGAAGGCTCATTGTGGGCGTGTGCAACGTCCTGGTGGGACGAGGACATACACATATGGCATGTCATATCATGGCACGCTGATGGGACCTCGAAACCTTGAAGCACCGAAGGGCTGGGTTCGTGTTTCGGGAAGCGGTGCCCTCTCGAGTCTCAGCAGGAAGCTCCCGGCACCTGCCAGACAGGCTCCGGTATGCTTCTATACGTGTAATTCTAAAGAAGCTCACCGCGGATGGGAGCAACCGCGCGGGATCTACGGGAAGGCATGTAGAGGGCACCTTGTCCAGTGTGCACTCATGTAGCCTAGCCATCTGACAAATACCTACGATGTCGTGTAGGATGCCAAGCTGGGCAGGCTGGGCAAGTTTGTCTGGTTGTCTGGTTGTCTGAGAACGCCAAGGTCGGGTTTGCAGGCCAGAGCTGCAGGGTCTGGAGTCAACGAACGTTTGGTCCAGCCGTCCGCCGTCCTGACAGCTACGTACCCAAGGCGACTGCTGCTTCTGTACGGAGCAGACCACAGTAATAGACTAATTGGCAATCTAGGCACGAAGCTTGAATGGACGACGGTCGAAGAAACAGGATCCCTGCCCTTCGTGATCCCTGTCCTCGCTGATAAGGAGGCCTCGACTGCCAATCAGGGCCGTCAGGAAAGGAAGGTTGCATCCAGTTTAGTTTTGGGCACGGGACAGAGTTCAAAGTTCAGACCGAACCCAAGGGCTGTTGTATGAAAGAGCCGTTTCTGGCACAGCTTGGCTGAGCGGGATACAACTTTGTACATATGCATCCATATTCAAAGCCACCACCTGCAGTCAGCTGCTGTACGTGTATTTTGTAGACTATGCAATATGGTAATGAATACACAGTAGACTGCAGTAACCTGATGCACGCCAGCGGCGGAGAGATTCCTTCGGGGGGCCCAAACCCTCGTTCCGCTCCACCCACCTGCAGGAGCGACGCACATGGCTACCCACTTTCTTGGTCCTGCCTTCCCTGCATCCCCCCCCCCTTCCCAGAGGCTCCATGCCCTTGCCCCTCCACCTACACGTACATATCCACTCGACTGGCAACGGGGCAAAAGAACAATGATGAGTGACTGCCTCGACTGCAAATCACACCATGACTTATTGACGTGACTGGGCCTTTGTTCTCGGCTCTGATCTGCGCAAATGACTGATTTTCAATCGACCGCCGTCCTTATCGTCGTGCCGCGCCTGACTCGGCCGCTTGATCCTGCCGACCCACTGCATCCGTAATCCATCATTTTTTGAGAACTCTGGGGTTGGCCAGCCCAGCCCAGATCAGATCTTCCTCTCTCATCAATCAATTACGTACGTAGCCGCTGTGGAATCTGGGGTTTCGAACTTTGCTATCTAGTACTATCTTCGCGCGAACTTCTTTCTGACGAACCGCCCCGCCCTAGGGCCATATCTAAATCCACCATGGTGCTCATCCTTCATTCACGAAGGTCATCATGACAACTAAGTGGGTGCACAGCTTTGCTGCTCAAGCTCCGAGACCTTTGGCGTGCTGCCTAGCCTGTAGCCTACCGAGCCTACGTGCAAAGTAGGTGGTCATCCCGAAACTCAAAGGCTCCCTGTGATTGCCACTATCTCCTGTCCAACTGCCTCGCCGACAATCCTTATTGGATCATACCCGAATGCTTCTAGCGTTTCCAGAAGGGTGAGCAGACAGGCCGCCCACTGGGACGCCAGGTAGATCGTTCGAAGGGCCAGAGGGCTCACTTGCTTGCATCCCCGTGGAACCATGGCGGCGGGCGGCTGGTCTGCAGGGAACGAACGTCAAGTTCTGACCACCACCTGCACGCACAGGCCTGCTCGTCTACCTACAGTAGGCTACCAGCCGCGCATTTGGCGACGACACCTCCTAGCACAGCCAGCCTGTTTGTCCAACCGGGCAGATCAGGGTCGCTGTCTGCCTCGCCTGGCTCTCTCCACCCCTTCACTCCATGCTTTCGCACCATATTTGTTGGTCTCCAACAGCAAAGCTTCATCTGTAGTTGCGGCTAAGCTTTACGAGACCCATGGCCAAGAGTCGCCCACCGAGCTTGGCTGCGGCCTTCAGGTCTATCACATCTGGGCAAAGGCTTGACCCTAGCCAAGAGTTAGCCCACTCTCTTGGCCGATGGGGTACCAACGAAGGATCTGCCTATAGAGCACAGAGCTGTCACACGACCGGGGGCTCCTTCAATACACCTCGTACCGACGGAACCGAGTTATCAACCTCGACCCACTCTGCAACCAACATGCGAACCGTCCGGCGTTGAGTCCCTTGCTTCCTTGGGCCTTGCACGGCCTCTGTCACTTGAACTTGTTTTGATCCGCGTGTCTGCCATCTGGGCGCACTCTGCTTTCTTGCTTGGCCGATCAAACTCTGGCTTGCCCTACGTTTGGCAATACACCCGCAAAACCGCCGAGGGCAACCTTGGCGAGTCTTGCCTGACATTTGCTCGGCGACCCCGGCCTAATTTGCTGGAGGGTATCATTAGCTCCAACCCGTTCCCCCGCGAGGACGTTGCGACGGGTTCCAATTCGCCGGGTCGGTCTGCAGTTGGTCGGGCGTCGCTAACACCCTTCTGGAAGGATTCCATGCGGTGCGGGCAGGTCTGGAGGCCAATCCCGGCCTACATGCCTCTTCACGCCATCCTGCCAGCAAGCTTGTTCGTAACCGCTCGTGAGTGTCAGGCTAACGGCCATAACAGGTTTAAGGGACACTATAGCTCATTCACGAACAAGCGCGGAGGGATTATCTAGTACATGTGAGGCGATTCATGGCGGGTTTGGGCAAGCCTGACCTTTCCCACCGCGGAAGCTTCTCCGTCCCCCCATCCCCACCCCGCGCACCTCGGCCAATGGCGTCCACGCCGGCATGGTCTGTTTCGTACCGCCGCGGTGCATATCATTCATTTCGATGTTGGGACCGCCGATCTGGCCAGCCCTGGCCGAAGCTTCGGGTCAGTGTCAAGCCTGGAGAGGCAGGTACAGACGAACGGCATGGGATTTGAGCTGTTCTAATCCCTAGTCTGCCGACATGCTGCAGGTTCGCTCCGAAGCGGCGACTTCTGAGCCGGTCCCTTGACGGATCCGTATTACGTGTGGCTTCAGCAACCGTGGAACGAGTACGCGCGTACTAGGCTCGATGTTAGGGACGCGGTCACCACCTTGTCGGTCGACCAGTAACAGAGCATGGCAAACCCCCCATCTGCTGAACTTACTCGATCCCGCCACTGCACGACGACGGAGGGTGTGCTGACGCTCCTTCTGTGCATGCTTCTGGAAGAACGTACGGAAAGTCACTGTCACGGTAGGCACCTTGGGACGGGATGTTACCTTCATGGTCCCCACCATAACCAGAAAGAACAGATTCGGATTGGGAACCTGTCGTATTGGCAGTCTGCCTGGTTGATGCCGAGAGCAAAATCAACAAAGCATTGATCATTGGCATGTGTCAAAGCAATAGCAAGCAAGCCATCGCCTCCGAGGCGTGTGATCATGTTTGCGAAACCAGCTTTTGTGCCCGATTCACCCACGGTCATCTGCGAAGTGTGAGGTACGTTGAGCCGCGCTTTCCAGGCGATTGATTTTACCTATCAACTCGCCCGGCCGTCCTCTGCGTCCCTGCAAGGCTGACAGCTTAGCCTCCCACCTTCTCAAGCTGTGCGAATCTCACCCCTTCCAAGACCGGGGCTGGCCATGGCTCAACAAGACCCCTCTTGTATAGCGCCAGCCAAACTGCATCAGCATTGATGACCTCCAGGGCCCTGCGGGCTTCCTCATTACGCGGTAGTACGTCGTCAGCTAACAGGTCCAGGATCTGCTCAAATAACGTATCCTCGATCCGCACGAATGATACTATAGCGATAAGAAGCGACACCGTTGCGTTCCAAGTCTGCGCCGCTGACGCAAACCTGCCCAGGCCGCTTGTCACTGTGTGAGATGATGGCGCCTCGAGTTGCAGGCCCGAGACAGCATCTTCCAATCCTCCACGGACAGGTATCAAGATGCCGTCTCCGCCGCCTGCCTGGTGCTGTTTGCCCGGCATGCTACCCATCGACGGCTTTGCCGCGCTCGTTCCGCCTCCGCCTCTCCTGCTCTTCCGCGCCTCGTCCTTCACCCTGAAGCACCACTTGCCCAGACCATCTGACCATTCGGTCTTGACCCGCGAGCTCAGGAAGTCGCCAGCGCTTTCGCATAGTGAGGCTAGTGTGCCACACGCCGATATGACGACGTACGGCTCTGGATCATGCAGCCTGCTCACGATGACAGGCCAGACATCGTTGACGAGCGGCAAGAAGGCGTTTTCGTCCAGCGCGAGAGCTGATGAGACCTTGGACAGCAGGTCAAGCAGCTGTTTTCGTAACGTCGGCGTGGGGGAGGTGAGGTAATGCTGCGTAAGGGAGGTAATCTTGGTGAGGATGGTATAGGTAGGTGTTTTGGGGACAACCAATTCCTCGTTGTTGTTGGAGGAAGGGTCTTCGGACTCATCCTCGCCTTTGTCTCTGGAGTCAATAGCGTCGAGCTCCTCTTTTGCAGACTTCCATGCTTCTTTGGGGTGGTCCCGTACTATCTCCTCCACGTCATCATCCCCCAGTTCCCGCTTTCTCTTCGCTCGTTTATCTAAGATGGCGAGCGCATCACCAATGCCCGAGGACTCGAGTGGTCGTTTTCTGTGATTGACGGCCTTGGCCTGTGCGTCTTCGATCAGTAGTCTGTCGGACTTGACGCCTTGCTCAACCACTTCCGACAACACCCCGAACAGGCTCTCCACAAATGCGGAATATCCATGATAGCTATCTAGGGCGGCAAAAATCCCTGCGACAACATCGTCCAGGTATGGCAACAGGCTTGGGCCTGTCAGACGAATCATCATGGTAAGCACCTTTGTCGAGGCAGGCGAGATGTCGAATTGGTTCAGCCGCAGCGACACTGAATTCACCATGTAATCCACATTGTCGATGATCAACTCAGACACGCTGCCGTATCCGCACGAGGATGCGACGCTATTCAATGTCGCGATTGCGTGTCCTTTGAGCTCCGGAACCGAAGACCCCAGGAAGGTCGCCACGGGATAGAGTACATCTATGAGTTCTGGGCGGAAAGAAGGGCCGAGACGGTGGCTGGCGAAGGCGGTGACTTCCAAGGCGATGGCCTCGAGGCGCCAGTCCACGTCATCGGTGGCTGCATCAGAGTGTGCGTCGAGGACAGAGACAGAGAAGGAGTAAAGCTCGTTGAAGACAGACTCTGCGTCTTCAGGGGATAATGGATCCGGCGCTGCGTCTGTAAGATCCAGTAAATCGTCGGTCTCGGAAGTCTTGGTGAAGGAAGACTTGGTCAATTCGAAAGAGAGCCAGAAAGCAGAGATCTGGTCGACACCAGTGGATTCGAGGATGAAGGGCAGCATCTCATTTGCAAGCCTGATCTGCTGTGAAGACGAGCCGATGTTCTGGATGAGATTTGCGACGTCTTTCCTTGTATCCCGCTGGCTTTCCTGAGGCAGTAAAATCGGCCTGTAATTTTGCAGCTCCTGGTTTGCTTTGATCAGACCTGCACTCCTCCAGAAGTTCTCATCTACATCGACTTCATTCTGGATCTTGGAACTCTTAGAGTTCAGGATCAGGGCGACAATGCTGTCCCTGAGGGCTGAGGAAAGTGACTCCTCAAGATTCGAAGATCGAATTTGCAGTGCAGACACAAGCTCGTTGCCCTTAACTATGTTGCGGATGGCCTGCTGCTTTACTCGCTCATCGCTTGACTGCATCATGCGCGGCATGCTGGTGATCCAACTATACACAGTGGCATTGATAGAATCCAACAGTTCGGGATAGATAGTCGCTAGATCCTGCAATGAAGTGCCATAAAACCCCGTCCTCTCGTCTCCAAGGACGTCGATCCCAAGGCTGGGCTGTTCATTGTCTTCGTTCCGAAGTATGATGGCACTCTCCACGAGCATCGATGTGCAATCGGACAAGGTCGAGTGACACTCGTCCAACAGTGTGATGCAGAGCCTATCCATGGCTCTCAGCACGTCTGACGCGCCGTGACTCCTCAGCTTGAGAACAGAGGACAAGGCCGTTTTGACTTGTGCAGCGGTGGCCCTCAACCATGAAGCTGTGAGGACCTTGCCCTCGCCCTTCTCATCCGTGCTAGGCTCATCAGGTTCGGGTGCACCACTCTCGGCCTGTCGTAGCACATTCCGTAACTTCAGGTCCCCCAAAACTTTGGTGAGCACGACCCTCAGAACATTGATAGCATTGACAAGCACCCGCCTCTGCGCTTTGGTTGAAAGAGGCGGCGAGAGAGCACGGCTCAGCGAGGACACAGTCCCAGGGAAGAAGGTGGCGAGCACATCGTCCTGCTTGATGGTTGTATACACAGCAAGGATGGCGCGCAGAGCTTCGATCTGGATCTCAGGTGTGCTGCCACCGGTCACACCATCTAGTATGACAGAAACGGAATGCCCAAACGACGGGATGATGTTCGCGTCCGTCAGCGGAGAGTCTTTGGCCGACAGCCCTGCTGCCTTGATCAGCGCTGTCAGGGCCTTGTAGCCTTCCAAGATCGTCTCCTCGGGCTTGACGGGATCGCTCTGCTCCCGGCCGGGCACGCCGCCGATTATGAAGGTCAAGAATATGAGAAGCTGCTGCGAGAGTTCCTTTGAGATCCTGGACTTCCAGCCGTGCTGGACCAGGAGGCGGAGGGACTTGATGACGGCCTCGATGACCCGGATGGGATGGGACTCGTGCTGCCGCAACAGATGTGACAGGGGGAAGAAGACATAGTCGGCTATCTTGTCGTCGAGCACGGTGCCGTCGTACTGGATCTGGTCCTCCAGGACGCCGATGAGCTGCGTGAGTAGCTCTCGCAGCCGCTTGGCACCGGCCGACTTGTCCGGGCCCTTGTTGCCTTGGAGGGCAAGCCTGCTGATTTCGACACAGATTGGTTTGAGCTGATGGTGAGTCAGTAGGATGCAGTGTATGCATGGGCATCTCAGGAGAGGCGGGAGCGTCACTGACCTTTGCAAAGAATTGATTCCTCGCCGATGATGTGAACTCAGACTTTGGGCCAAGCTGAGAGGCCATTTCGACCTGAACGCCCGTGATGCCCGGGCCAGGCGACTTTCAGACACGGTCAAAATTGCTAGGCAAAACACTAACTTGTGTGATTAAGGCGTTACGAGGAACTCATGGTGCTATTCGGCAGAAAAGATGCAGGATGTAGGGAATGAAGTTGAAGAGCGCAGTCTAACTCGTGTATGCTTGGTGCACCTGGACGGCCGCCCCTGGGAAGGACAGCGCTGGCGCGGCCTGACGTCCCCTAGAATTTCAGGCTCAGGGCAGCGCATCTCTAGCTGGCAGTGGCGCCTGGCCGGCCACTGGGACCGAATCAAACCGGTCAGGCGGGGCCGGCCGGTAAAAACGGTCCTGGGAACTGTGGAATCCCGGGCCACTGTTACGGGCCCGCTTGACTACGGGCACAGGCGGCTACATGCTAAATGCAATAGTTGGAGGAGACATGCAGTTGTCGAGCTGTTGCATCAGCGAGCGGTCTTCATAAGCAATTGATTTGGAATTTGAAATACTGTAACTGAACACCACCTCGAGTCTTGCACCATCGTCACCACCTACCGACAGTCTTGTCTAATTACTACCGCTACAGATCATGGCTGCGCCGACGCCCTTCCCCGTGACAGTCCACCCATACCCATCCAGAGTCAAGCACGCCTGTGCATATGAACTGGGCTCTTCCCCGGCTCGGAATGCCCTCATCTTCGTTGGAGGTCTCGGTGACGGCCCTCACACTGTCCCCTATATCCGGACCGTCGCCGCCAAGATTGAAGCCGACACCGGCCTCAGCTACTCGGTCTTTGAGATCCGGATACGCTCTTCCTTCTGTGGCTTCGGCTGGAACAACCTGGCCAAGGATGTCCAAGACATCTCGGCTCTCGTCAAGTATCTACGGGGCATTGGGAAGGAAAAGGTTGTGCTGATGGGCCATTCCACTGGATCTCAGGTGTGTGCAAAACTTTCTGTCGCTTGACATCACACAGCTACTCACTTGGGATAGGACTGTATCGAGTATACCGACTATGAGAAACACCAGAACGAGCCCATAGATGGCTTCATTCTCCAGGGTGCGGTATCCGATCGCGAGGGGTTTATCGTAGACCTTGGCAAAGACGAGGCGGAGAGGATGGTTGGGCTCGCTACGGAGATGATCAACACCGGCAGGAAAGACGATGCGGTGCCCAAGTCACAACTGCCCCGGCCATTCTTCCCTTGGCCTGTGACTGCGTATCGCCTTCATTCTCTGGCAGGTGTTGGGTAAGTTGCTGAACTTGCTTCCCGTGGCATGAGAGCGCCAGGCTGATACCTATCGACCCTCCAAGCGGTGACGACGATTACTTCTCCTCAGACATCCCGGATGAGAAGGTAGCAGCTATTTGGGGCCGGGTCAAGCAGCCCATAATGGTTGTACCGTCTGCAGAAGACCAATACGTCCCCCTGGACGTCGATTCCTCGAAATTGCTGGCCAAGTGGAAGTCATACTGTCCTGCTATGAGTGATCTTTCGGGCTTGATCCCAGGGGCCAATCACACGGTCGATGCTCAAACATCACAGGACTGGCTTGGGGACAAGGTGGTCAGCTTCTTGAAGAGCCTGGAAGAGCCAAAGTAGTTAGGCAGCATCGATGGAACTGGCTATGTAGGACTATAATTCGAAATAAACAAGAGTAGAGGTGCAGTATTGCTGTTGCTGGGCCTTGGGTCGGAGCCAGCCATAATATTAGAAGACGGGAGATGGTGGTGCCCGACAAGAGGGACAAGACAACTTGTTGATTTGTGTTTTCTAGGGTGATCGCATATCAGATGAAGTTAGAGACCAATGTGGCAAGAAATCCTCCCACATATATTGATCTGACAAGAGAAAACAAAAAGAGAGCCCACCTTCAGGGTCCAAGTTACGTGGCGTCCATGTCAGTCAGGTACTGCAACAGGTTCGAATTTCATGTCCCAAGTTCATGCGTTTTCCTAGCGTCACTTTAGTGCGTGCCAGGTCCCCATAGTGGAGGGCGGCTGATCCCAGCATGAGACTCCGACGCTGCAGTGGGAGGACCGCCAGGCACCCATCCAGCCAACCAGCCGGCCCAGGAACCAAGCTTTGTGAAGACACGACTACCAGGACTGCATAGTATGGTGTTATGTGTGTCTGGGTGGGGGTGTCATACACAGCACAGTACTGCATGCATGTGCATTTACCACTGAAGCCAGGTTTAGCTTGCGTCACGACACGCATCGGCCCCTTTGCGACGACAGCAGCAGCAACGAAGTCAAAGATCGACTCAGCCCAGCCAAGCAAAGCACAAGCCAAGCCTACTCAACACCCACTGCCTCTACTGTGTACAGTCCACGTTCATTTCCAGCAAAACGCAGCATAGGCAGCACATGGAGATGGCATCGTTATAGGCAGCGTTAACACTACTCTGTGCCCTGATCCTGCATCCTGATCCCAACCCAGGCTGCGACCCGCTCTCGACGCCGTCGCCGACACCGACACCGACACCGATATATCCCTTTACCTAAGCGACCCCTATACTCCACCCGACGCTGCCTCAACGCCCAAGTTCCACCTCCATTTCCCTCGACGCCGCCCTTCCCCCCCTTTCCTGCTCGATACTCGGTCCAGCCTGAGGCTCAGAGAGGCCCCCTCGATACCCCCAGAGTCCAAGCCACCGCGATGGCTTCCTACGGCCACCCTGCGCCGGTCGCCGCCCCGAGGCATGGCCAGGCAGTCACATACGGCGCCCCCATCCCAGTGGTGCCAGGTTCCGGAGCTCCTGCTGGCACCTTTGCGCCTGGAACAAAGATTCAGGTCGGCGGCCATCGCGTGGTGATACAGAAGTATCTCTCCGAAGGAGGCTTCGCCCATGTCTACCTCGTCAAGATGCCCAAGCCTGTCGACGGCACAGATCTGGCCGTGCTGAAGCGTGTTGCCGTCCCGGACAAGGACGCATTGCGAGGCATGCGTACCGAGGTCGAGACCATGAAGCGGCTGAAGGGGCACCGCCCAATTGTCACGTATATCGACTCACATGCCTCCGAACTGAGGGGCGGGGGCTACGAGGTCTTCCTGCTCATGGAATACTGCAACGGCGGCGGCCTGATCGATTTCATGAACACCCGGCTACAACATAGGCTGACCGAGCCCGAGATCCTCCAAATATTCACCGATGTCGCAGAGGGTGTGGCCTGCATGCACTATCTGAAGCCCGCGTTGCTCCATCGCGATTTGAAAGTCGAAAACGTCCTTATAAACGCGACGGCGTCCAGGAAGAAGTTCAAGCTGTGCGACTTCGGCTCTGCTGCTCCCCCGAGAGCTGCGCCAACAACCGTCGTTGACTGTCGGCTGGTGGAGGAGGACGTACAGAAGCACACGACCATGCAATACAGGAGCCCGGAGATGATCGATGTATATCGAAAGCAACCTATCGACGAGAAGTCAGATATTTGGGCATTAGGCGTCTTGCTGTACAAGCTGTGCTACTACACAACGCCATTCGAAGAGCAGGGCCAGCTGGCGATTCTAAACGCAAGCTATAGATTCCCCAGCTACCCGGCCTTCTCGGATGGATTGAAAAAGTTAATTGGTGCGTCTTGTGTTTGAAAGAGGTTGGAGTTGTGTGCGATGCTAACAAATGCTACAGCATCCATGTTGAAAGAGCAACCGCAAGCCAGGCCCAATATTTACCAAGTGCTGAAGGAGTCCTGTGCCATGCAGGGCCGTGAAGTTCCAATTAAAGATGTATGCTCAACTCTTTGATATGCCCTGCTTACTGCTTCCGCTGACACGATATCTAGATCTACACCGGCAGGTCGAAATCGGAAGGGCGGCCTCAGGAGGCCCCTCGGCAAGACCCCTCGGCGCCTGCTGTTGGAGCTGTATTCTCACCACCACCACAACAAGAGACAGTGATACCAGATATTCAACCCATGCGACGGGGCAGGCTTCCGGCTTCGGCTCCAAGGCCGAACCCATCACCGAAGCCGACCCCGCCTACGGGGGTTACCAATGGGGATCCTTTTGCTGCGCTTGACGCCAACGCCAGTGTGAAGAGCGTCGACGAGCTGTCATCTCGATTCCCCACACTGGACCAATTCTCGATATTGCACGAGAAAGGTGTCGCATTTGACTTCGACAGTTCCAGCTCGCCAACGGCTTCGAAGAAAGTTCCCGAGGCCGCTGTGGAAGAGGCCTTCGCTGTGCCTCAGAGTCAGCCTTCTAAGCCGCCATCAAACAGTAGAGCATCTAATGACATAGGCCGTGGTCCTGCTCTGCCCTCGACTTCACCGGAAAGGCAGTCTGTCTTGCCAATTAAGAGCGCGTCGGCTCCTCCGAAACCTACCGAGATGAGCCGTGCATCAGCCATTATCAAGAACACACCGGAACTGCAAGCCATCTCTTCTGGATCAGCCCAAGGCTTTCAACCGGCTCCCAGTCGATCAAACATGGTATCAACAGGGACAATGACGACCCCACCTCCCGAACGGCAGGCATCCACAACTCCATCACAATACCAAATTTACCGGTTTCCAAATGACCACCACCGTTCCCCAAGTCTCTCGAGACAGCAGCAGCAGCAACCACTTCAAGATGTTCCGCTGCCAGTTCGTACGGACTCCCCATCTTTACGGCCTGTCGCGTCCCCTCGCATACCGTCATTCCAAGGTCATTCACGACAACCGTCCTCGTCCAGGCCTTCTCTTGAGGGAGGGCGGCCTAGCATGGAAAACTTTGAGCCTATCACAAAGTCGAGATCGATGTCTTCACGTCCCCGCCCAGTCAGCACTCATCTCGAGTCGAACCTAGATTTTCTTCGCGAACAGGAAAAGAACTCGAGGCCTCTGGGGTCCCCCGGAATTCCCTCACCCAGGATTCCTCCAGCAGACCGAGCACCGTCACCGAACTTGCTTCTTGACGATGACATGAACATTGAGTCGAATGTTGACTTCCTCCGGTCCATGGAAGATACCCAGCCAAGGAAGAGTCTAGAGGGTAAGCGGTCGAGTCTTTCCAACCTCGGCAAGAAGTCCATTTTTGCGGGGAAATTTGGTGATGCTTTCAAACGCTTCGAAGGCAGCCAGTCTGAGGGACCACCTCCAGCTCGCACTCCCTCGCCCTTCAAGGCCATGGATCGTAGAGACCTGACGCCCATCGCTGGATCAGAGGCCACAGATGGTCGAAGTGATGATGGCCAGGCTCCAGGAGATTCCGAGGAGTTGACACCAGCGATGCGCCGCGAGATAGAGCAGCGACAGCTCGAGGAAGAAGAAAGAAGGGTTGCTGCCGCGCAAGCGGAATACCGTGCACGGCTTGCTCAGCGCGGGGGAGGCGGTAAACCTACACCGCCTCCGGTCGGTGGCTCCTCGCGTGCAATAGCAATACAGAACAAGGTGCAGAGCCTTCTGGACGAGAACGCTCGTTCATCAGCCAACATAAAGAAGACCGCGGAAGGCTATGGCCAATACACGGCACCCGCTGGGAGCTCAACACAGCCAGCCGAAGGGCGGCCAGAAATACCGCGGAAGCCGATTGGTACTGGTAGAGGCTCGACACCTCGTCCGATGTCCAGCTCTAGCTCCCTGAATCGAGCCGCAGGTATGGCTCCAGCAGCTTCGGATTTCAAACCCACACCGCCGCCCAAAGACCCGACCAGCAGGCCGATGGCACCACCAAAGCCGGGACACCTAAATAAAACCTTGACCAGCAGCAGCAGCAACCTCACTCTCCGGTCATCCTCGCCACCGAAGCAAGGCATGAGCACAGCCGGGATGCGGCAAACGGGCAAACTAGAGGCGCTCATTGCCGCTGATCTCCCCGGCCAGCCAGCGCTGGATATGACTGCCGAAGAAAAGGATGACTACGTCCGTGATTTCTCTAAGAGATTTCCTAGTCTGACATCCATCGAGATGGTCGAACGAGATTTGTCAGCCGAGGACAGTAATAAGCCCACGGGAAGATAGAGTGCACCCTGGGCTTGGTCGTCTAGGCGTTTCTCTCGGCTTTGCGACTACTAGGAGAGGGCGACTGTTGACGGTCACAGCGGTGCCAATGTGGAGGATGACGAAGCTGGCGAGTAAGGTACTGGGCCACAACATCAGATATAGCAGGGACGAGTGTTGTAACATGGCGGGCGTTTGCAAGCAATTAGTGAGCGACTTAGTCTTTTTGCATAGCAAGTCTGGCTTCGTTACTTTGTGGTCGACGGGCCGACTCACATAGAGTCGAGCAGGGAGCATACACATACCAAGGCTTGGGCTGGCTGCACAAGAGCTCGAGCTCAGGGGCTGAGGCCATCCTGGAAAGACGCAGGACAGCTTGTGCGAACAAACTATAGACCGATCATACGAGCCAATAGAAATCAGAGCATATCTACGACTCAAATCTCCCCTTTTCTATATATTTTCTTGCGTTTGGGGTACTCGAGGCTTTAGACATCGGCCATCGGTGTCCTCCGATCCAAAGCCGATTGCCGGCCGGGCTGTTGCTGATAAGAATGCTCAGGACCTAACTATTTCACCGTACGGGAACAGAGTTGCTTTGTCCCTGGGCAATGGTCCTTGAGCCCCGTACGTACACATATACAGACACATCATTTGCACTGCCAGCAGACACTTCTCCTGTTGTTGAGGTGGATGAGGCTGGTCTTGTGATGTCCACGGAGACCTCAATTGGGCATATATCGAGGGTTTTGAATCCAGTCCGGACTAGCTTCTGTTCGCGGTTGTTGGAGTGGAATCACCTCTGGTCACACTGAGCCACCCTGCACACCACCATTCAACTAGGAAGGACGATAACAAGGCTCAGCTGCTCAAAACTCTACATCTCAGTCGAGTCTTGACAATACCGGTAGTGCTCAAGATTGGGAGACAAGTGTAGCCCAAGGCAGACCTGGGCTTCTCACGACTTACACGACCCTTCGCTGTCTTGGATAAAGTTGAGCTTCACATTCACCAAATTTTCACGATGTTGCTTCTCTCTCCAGTCATAATTTGGCCCTTGCTCTTGTTGTTCGTAGGCATAATCATCCTGCGGCGCCTTCGCTCACCACTTGCCAGCGTGCCAGGGCCGTGGTATACCCTGTTCACGTCCCTACCGCTCAAATGGCACGAGTTCAACGCCAACCGCACGCGGCACATCCACGCCATGCACCTGCGCTACGGGCCGGCAGTGCGCATTGCGCCGGGGGAGGTGGCCTTCAGCTCCGCCGCGGCGGTCAAGGAGATCTACTGCTCGGGCGGCAGCGGGTACGACAAGACCGAGTTCTACAACCTGTTCACGGTGTACGGGCGCCGGACCATGTTCAGCACTCTCAACAAGGAAGACCACGCGCGGCGGAAGCGCGTGCTGGCGGACCGGTACGCCAACAGCAACGTCATGAAGCCCGAGAGCCTGGGCGGCATCGAGGAGCGCAGCGGGCGGCTGCTGGCGCTGGCGAGGCGGAGCGCCGCCGGCGGGAGTTTGGACTTGTACATCAGCCTGCACTCGTACGCGTTCGACTGCGCCTCGCACCACCTGTTCCACCCCTTCGGCGCGGACTCGCTGCAGAGCCGCGAGGACGAGAGCATCATGCGGGAGGTCACGTTCGACTCGTCGCTGCAGAACCGCCTGGTCAGGTACTACAGCCCCGCGGCGCACCGCGCCATGGGGAGCGTGCTGAGGCTGTTCGGCGCGGCGCCGAGGGAGACGCCGCTCGCGGACAAGTTCGTGCTCGACAACAGCGTCAGGGGCCACGACGCGAGGAGCTTCACGCTCCTCAGCAGGCTGAGCGACAAGGCCTGGGACCTGGAGAGCCTGAGCATCGCCGCCGAGTGCCTGGACCACATGGCCGCCGGGATCGACATCACCGGGGATGCGTTGTGCTTCCTAATGTGGGAGCTGAGCCAGCCGCGCTCTCTACGGCTCCAGGAGAGGCTGAGGGAGGAGCTCCGGGGTGCGAGTGCTGCCGAGGGGTGGGATAAGCTCCCGTTCCTGGACGCTGTGGTCATGGAGGGGCTTAGGTGCTTCCCTGCCATTCCGATGTCCTTGCCTCGCTATGTACCGACGGGCGGGAGGATGATCGACGGGCACTTCGTCCCGGAACGAACAATTGTCAGCTGCCAAGCTTACTCGGTCCACCGCATCGACGAGACGGTGTTCCCAGCGCCGGAGGTGTTTGACCCGGAGAGATGGCTTGTGAGAGAAGGCGATGCGGAGAGGAGGAGGGCGTTTTTTGCCTTCGCGAACGGCGGACGGGGCTGTGTGGGCAAGCATCTCGCTCTGGCCGAGATGAAGATCCTGTTGAGGGATGTGTACTCCGAATTCAGCACTGTTCCAGACCAGAGCATGTCTGCCGCGGAGATGGAGATGGATGACCAGCTGATTTCGTCGAGACCGGCTGGGCAGAGGTGTTTGTTGCGATTCATCCCTGATGATTCCAGTAAGGAAACATAGAAGAGGTACCTAAGTAAGTGCGAGAGTTCCTCCTACAAAACACATCAGATTATCCTGCAGTATGCACAAAGTCATTTCTGAGTAGCATGGGAAATCAAGTCACATGTACATCGGACCTTCATATGCCAACATCTTGGGCCATTACGAAGTGAATGGGTAACGAAAGCGGGTTTTCGAGTGAGCGATGCTCTAAAACCCAGTCAAAAGGCGCACTCGCGTACGCAGATGCGTAGAAAACAGCCACAAATATCGATCAGGCAGTCAGGCTGCAGTCTGGTGTAGAGTCGTCCAACGGGTTTTGAGGCCAAGCAGTCATTCTGGCCGGTCAGTCAAGTCTCGAACCGACGAGCCATTCACGGTGCAGATCCAAGCCAGAGGATTTGCAGCTTGTGCAACAATGAGCCCAGCTGAGCGGCTGGGGAGTCAGAGGCAGGGCTGACCGGGGCCCAGAGGTACATAGTGCTATGCATGTGTGTATTGGTACATTCCTGATTCTTCTTTTTCATCAAGCTGTCCCGGTAACCGCACGAGACATCTTGTCCTCATCACCCTCCTAGTGTTGCAGCTGGTGCTTCACTCGGTCACCGGCGAACTAGGGCCCAAACCCGCCTTTTGTCATGCGGTCTGGGGTAAATCAATGATACGACGAGCCGGTGCGTGCGTGCCATAACAGTGAGGCCGTGGAGCTACTAATAGAATTGCCTGGCGGGCTGGCGGTTCAAGGTTCACGGGGATGCAGAGACGGCGGTTGGGCGAAAGTATAACCATTGACCAAGCACAAGAGAGGGTGTGTCAGACCCGACCAAGCGAGTCTCATTGATTCGGTGTTGCTCTCTCTGGGGGCACGGTTACGGGTACTTACAGTCTCTCTCACACGGTAATGGGGAAGGTAGCCGCTTGCATTCAGCCCTTTCATTAGAAGCGGCTTGTCTGGTTTGGTTGTTTGGTTTGTCTGGTCCCACGATGGGATGGCTGGCCAGTCTGGCCCGTCTGGCCCGATTACGTACTTTAGTAGGAGCGACCGTTCCGTTGCGCCTGGAACGGTTCCAGCTATAATAAGTCACGACGGAGCGGGCGAACAAGCACTGGGTGACTTGGGGTGACTTGGCTTGGGGCACTGGGGCACTGGGGCACTTGAGGGATGGGGGAACAGAAGGAGGGTGCCACTGGGGTGCCTGACTTAGGGCGGACGGGCGCCTGACTAAGGGTGGGCTGTGTGTGTACTGTGTGCATGTGCCTGTGGGTGGGTCCGTCCTCCCGTTGTGCTCTTTTTTTCAAAGCGTCTCCAATTTTCTGCCTAGGAACAAAAACGTGCCTCCTCTTCCCACTTCTCCCCTTGCACACACCATTCGACTTCTCACTCAACCCATCATCCATCGCACTCCCACCACCTGCGCTGGAAGTCTTTCCATCAACCATCACCACTGCCAGAAAGCGCACTCCTGTCTCCCCTACCGCCTCTGCTTCGCATCGATCGAGGCAAGCCACGCTCATCCTGCCACAGCTTCGTCTCGGCCGCCTCGCCTGAACCCCATCCAACCCCGCCACTCCCGAAGCCTGCTCCCTACGAGTACGGTCATTCCCTCCTCCCTCGCAGCCTCAGCCTTCACCACCCGCCACACAGCGACGAGCCCACCCATCGGCGTTGCATCTCGTCATCTCTGGAGTCGTCTTCGAGAAACCCAACACCATACGTCTCAGTACCACGACACAGAAGCTGTTTATGTATCAGCACGACAAAATTCCCGTCCACCGACACTCCGACCCTCCCCTCAAGCTACAGCTCTTTCGCAACCCGCGGAAGCCTTGTAGCCCCAATCCCAGCCCCGACGGTTGAACAGAATAGACAACAAGCGCTCGACGCATTCATGTTCATGCCTACCTACCAGCCTAACATACAGGTCTGTCCTATGTTGAAGCAAAGCCCCGTCTACCATTAACGCCTTGGCTCGCTCTGCCCGCCATTTCTCCATCTCCTCGCCTCCTCCAGCAGGATTCATGTCACCTCAGTCTATACAAGCCCAATAACTTGGTTCACTTGTCACTACGATCTCCTCGGTCCAAGATACCGCACCTCGTCTATCCTTAAAAAGCCACAGCAGCTATACAAGCCAGTCGTCAGACACTATCCGCAATCATGGCTCCCCTCCTTAACGTTCGCCGCGATGTCAGCGATCCCTTCTATCGCTACAAGATGGAGCGCCTTCAGACCAAGGTCGAAGGCAAGGGCAACGGTATCAAGACCGTCATCGTGAACCTGACCAGCGTCGCTCAGTCTCTCGCCCGCCCTGGCTCCTACTTGATCAAGTACTTCGGCTTCGAGCTTGGCGCCCAGACCAACATTGACCCCAAGGATGATCGTTGGATCATCAATGGTGCCCATGAGTCTCCCAAGCTCCAGGACCTCCTTGATGGCTTCATCAAGAGGTTCGTCCTCTGCCACAAGTGCAAGAACCCTGAGACCGTCGTCAACATCAAGGATGGCCGCATCATCCTGGACTGCAAGGCCTGCGGCCAGCGCTCCGACGTTGACCTGCGCCACAAGCTCAGCGGCTTCATCCTCAAGAACGTTCCCAAGAAGGGCAAGAAGGACAAGGCCGAGCGAAAGGCTGCCCGCAAGGCCAAGCAGAATGGCCAGGCCAACGGCAGCGGCAGCGGCGATGACGACAACTCCAACCACTCTGGCGAAAAGGATAACTTTGAAGACAGCGGGGATGCCAACGGCGAAATCGCTAGCGACGATGACGCCTTCACCCGCAAGATCAAGACTGAGGCTCAGGAGATCGAGCATACCGAGGTCAAGGAAGATGACTGGGCTGTGGACATGAGCGAGGAGGCCGTCAAGGCCCGGCAGCAGAACCTTCCCGGCGAGTTCAAGCAGAAACTCGTCCTCAACGGCGACGACGAGGACGAGGATGGCGAAGGTGGTGGCAACACCGTCTACGATCAGCTTGGCGACTGGATCCAGGAGCAGGCCAACGAGAAGGGCAGTATTGACAAGGTTGACGATCTTGACATCTACGTCAAGGCCAAGGAGCTGGGCATTGAGACTAAGCATCGCACTGTCCAGGTGCTGGTCATGACCCTCTTCGACGACCGCATTCTTGCCCAGATCCCTAAGCGAGCTAGTATGCTGCATAACGTGAGTCACATGTCCTACGGGTGTTCGGGGTATCATGCTGTCACACAAACGGGCTAACAGCTGTGTCCAGATCATTGGCGAATCCGATCGTCATCAGAAGGCCCTCTTGGGTGGCACCGAGCGTCTCATCGGAGAGCGCATTGAGGCTCAGCCTGAGTTCGTCGACAAGATCGTCAAGATTCTAGGGCTGTACTACCAGCATGACCTTGCCTCCGAGGAGGTCATCACCAAGTGGGGTAGCAAGGCCAGCAAGAAGTACGTCGACCTGGCTGTTTCTCGCAAGATCCGGAAGGCCTCTGAGCCTTTCCTCAAGTGGCTCGAGGAGGCCGAGGAGGAGGACTCGGATGATGACGAGTAAGGCCTTGCCTCTGCTGTCTCCCTTCATCTATTTTGGATGACTTGATCATGGCTTTGGCCAGGTGGACTTCAGAATTGCTTCAATTCATTGCCTTAGTTCCAGTTGCCACACACCAGAATGACATCAACGTGGCTTGTGTATTATCGCGTTGCGTTTCCAGGGAAGGTGAACATGATTTTGTGGGCTTCGTAGAATTGCATGCTGAAGTTCATGGCATCGTGTTAGGTAGTCTTGCCAAATTTAAATCACCACTCTGAAACGTTGTCTATCACGTATGTGATCTCGCATTCAATGAAAGTGACGTCTTCCTTAGAATTGTAACCATAAGCTGGAGAAACTCGGAGACTCCACCTATTCGTGAAGGCTACGTTGCGAGCAACCGCCATGTCAACACAGCGAAACGTTCGTCTCAATATAGGTCTATCCGACTACAAGAAGAAGCCATGAGTGTGGAACCCTCAGGATACTTGGGGAATGTACTCGTCCATGGTTGGTCAATTTAAAGAAGAACGTTCTAATCAATTTGGATAAGCCTGGGCTATATGGATATGCAAACCAGTAGTGGGAGTCCTCGATCATGGCTGGCAGGGCGAGCCTATGACGAGCTTCAAATCATCACCTCGACAACCCTCTCTTCTCTACGGCGCATTCCTGCCATCCTGAGCCATTCGCACCGTTATGATCCACTCCCATGCCAGGGGAATTCGAATGGCGCATCCACTCCTGTGTAGATGAAGAAACCAAGCGCTGAAGGACAAGAAGCAGGGAAAGAAACAGTAAAACCACACAGCCACCACAGCGCCGACGCTTCTCATGTCCATGTGATGGCCTTGCTTATCTCCAGTGACCACATCTATGACAGTGGGGATACCGAGGTCGACCCCAGTACTGCCACTACCAATTCGTTGCCGCGCCTTTGGTGTCTCCAGCGATATTGGCCTCCCACGAAGTGGTGGTCGGTCCAGCGTTGTTGGATGGGTTCTCGTCCCATCCTCCTCCTGCACCTCCCCCTCCAGCGTTCCAATTGGCCGCCGGACTGCCGCCTTTGAAACTTCCTGCTCCCCAACCTTGACCGCCACCCTGGCCTGAGAACTGTGGTCCTTGAGGTGCAGAGGGCCCATTCCATCCATGGCCGCCGTTATCACCGCTACGGGGAGAGTTGACATTGCCGTGCTGGTTCCAGCCTTGAGAAGGCTGATGAGACCCGCTATGCTTCCGGGATTGAGTGCCTCCATTGTTGTCCCAGGAGCCAGGCATGTGACCTGGTAAACCGTTGCTGTTATTGTTATGATTGTCATGGCCCATAGCCCAGCCAGAGTAATCCCATCCACCACCAGCGTTGCTAGGGTGCCGCGAGTGGTGAGATTGCGGCTTGGATCCTGGAGGTCCACCCCAAGTATCTCCTGCCTGAGAGCTGTTGTGATTTGGGCCTTGCTGACTCCAACTTTGGCCGTTGTTCGCATTCCATCCCTGAGGGCTGCTACGGTTTGGACCTTGTTGGTTCCAGTTTTGGCCATTGCTCGCATTTCCTCCTTGAGGACTGTTGCGGTTTGACCCTTGTTGGTTCCAACCTTGGCCGTTGTTCGTATCCCATCCTTGAGGACTGTTGTGTTTTGATCCTTGTGTGTTCCAGCCTTGGTCCTTGTTGGCATTTCCATTGGATCCGTGATTGGACCCGGTTCCCCAATTCTGGTCATCATTTGCAGCCTTGCCACCACCGGTATTGTTCCAGCCATTGTTGCCGGTCTCGTTCCAGCCACTGTTACCTGTTTGTTGGCCCCAAGCGTTGTCACCAGCTTGGTTTCCATTCTGCTGATTCCAACTGTTTTCTCCTCCACCACCCGCTGAAGATCTGTTAGCCATGGAAGGTGCATTTGAAAGATAATGATCATCAGACTTACCCCAACCGTTATTCTGGCTGCCTTTGGCACTCTTGTTGCTCACTGTGGCAAGTCAGTTATCGACCATCAGAAAATATTTTCGGTGTCTTACGTCGCTCCCATTGAGGCTTGTCCTTGCGGAGAAAACTGAAGTCGTGCTCTTGGGTGTTATTGTCTCCCCCAGCTGCCTGGGCCCACGCGTTGCCGCTTCCATTGACATTTCCATCATTTCCCCAGCCTTGTTTTCCACCGCCCGAGTCCCAGGCTTCAGTGTTGCCGTTTTGAGCCTTGTTCTGCGGAACGCTTCCTTGGGAGGGTCCTACGTTGTTGGTAGCTTCCGATCGTGCCTTTGCCTTCTCGCGGGCTCTCTCCTCCCGAAGCGTTGGCGGTGTTCCTGGCCAAGGTATTCCAGTAAGTCCCAGACCACCTGCGGCTGTATTCTGGCCAATGGGTGTGCCTGGTGGAGGCCCAGCTGGATGGAAGCGAGGCGAAGGCCCCCCCGGGGGATAGGGGGGATAGGGAGCAGAATGGCCATAATGATGCGGTCCGGCCCAGTTGGGAGGGTACCCATGGTAAGGTACCGCAGATGGTGGCAGTGGGGACAATTTGGAAGGATTGGCAGCCCCATAGAGTTCGCCTGTGTGGTTGCCCCAAACAGGTCCATGGTAGACCCGCACGATACCCTTTCCACTGTCAATGAAGGCATTCGGGCGTGGATCGTTGGGTCCTTCAATGGCATGCTCGCATTGGACAACCTTGGACTTGATGGGCATGATGAGATTCGGCTCCATGAATTTTGGGTACGTGGGCAGTTTAAAGGCGTTTTTGTCGACGGTTTGTTTTTGCTCTTCTGTCTTGGGTGAGGATTTCTTGTTCTCCTTGGAAGCCGGTTTCTTCTCGTTCTCTTTGGGTTCCTCCTTCTTCTTCTTCTGTTTCGATGGCTTATCTTTGTCCTCTTCTGTAGCTTCAGTCTCGGTCGTTTCGCTCACCTCTGTGGATGTGGCGTCGTCTTTCTTCTTCGAGCCTTTCTGCTTTCCCTTCTGCTTTTCGTTGTTCACCTTCTTAGAATCTCCATCCGCCGCTTTTTTGGCATCCAGCTTGATCATCGCCTTAAGGATCTTCCGTCCCTTTACACAGTCTTTGCAGTCACATGTCTCGTGGGGCAGGGCGTCCTTAACGGCCGAAGAATCCTCGGAATCAGTCTCTTTCTTGCATACAGGTGCTGCCTTCGGCTTGTTTTCTGCCTTGAGCTTCTTCTTCTTCTTGACCCAAACCTCATCTTCGGAAGTATCGCTCTCATCAATCGCCGACGACTCGTCCTTTTCGGTCGTCGTTGCGTCTTCAGAGGTGTCTTCAATCAGCGTGTCTGAAGAGTCGCTCGGGCTTACCGCCCGCTTCTTGAGAGCTGACTTGAGCGGCTTGCGATCGCTATCAAAGCTGACCTTCTTCCGAGATGAGGACTTGGGAGTAGCTTGAATGGTGGCGCTACCCGCGCGACGGCGTCCTGGGTAAGTTATTTGGAGAGTCTCATCGCCAGAAGTCTCGTCTTCGGAAAGGGAGACTTTGAGGATTTGGGTCTGGCCCGAGGAACGTCTCGGAGTGCTCTTGAAGTTCTGCCCAACCATCCACTCCGAGAAGGAGTTCGGTGGCCAAGCTGCTCCCCGACCCATGTTGCGAAGCCTCTTGGGTGGTGAGTGGGATATTGTTGGGAAGGATGAGGTATTCTAGAAGACAAACCTTTGGATCGATTGGAGGTAGTGTGCATGAACGAGATAGAGAACCGCTTGCTGCCGAATTGTCTTGAAAACGGAAAGATTGAAGAGCTTTCAGAGATTGTGCTGGGAGTCAGGTAGGGCTTGAATTGAGATTGAAATTATGGTGTGTTCAAGTAGGAGTCGACCCTTCTCAAGTGAACATCAGACGAAATCAACGGCAGCATCCAGATCTTCTGTCATTGAAGGCAAGTGACCTGGGTGCCTAGGTAGGCCGGTAGGCGGTGCCCCAGATGACGCTGAAGCACCTAGGGCGGTCTTGTAGGTGCTTGATCAGATAGAAAATTGACCTCGGAAGGAGCACTTCCAGCACTTGCTGGATCCTCAAGCAGGGACATGGGAGAGGAAGGCTGTCTCAACTCTACACGCCTCCATGGACATGATGAGCGTCTGCACAGGAGTCTTTCAAGCTGGATGACCGCAATTTGCCTCCGGGCAGACAAAAATGCGAGTGAAAAAAATGTTGTCAGACAAGTTAATATGCAGTTTGCCTTCCCAAAACCGCGTATTGACCACGATTTCCGTGAACGCCGTCCTCCCGTCGTTTTCGATGCTTGATGGCTGTCTCTAATCCTGGCTTTGGATATTCTAGACGTGCACAGACAAGTCCTCTGCCTCTTCACAGCTTCGCTCTCTCCCTAGATTCGTCCTGCTCCCACCTCTTATTAGTCCTCCAGTTCATTACGACACTCCAGACGCCAGAAGCCACAGCCAGCGGTGGACACACCCACAGCGCCGTACTCCACCACCACGGGCTCCTCCCCCTAATCTCGGCCATAACCCTCTCGACCTCCCGCTTCAGCTCCTCCTTGTCCCCGTCGTTCCACACGACGACGCCCCTCCCCTTGCCCCTGGCCTCGCACCTCCTCGCCTTGAGCCGCACGTCCGCCTGGCTGCGCACGCGGTTCTCCGCGTCCTCGGCGCTCAGGTGCGCGTCCCGCGCCCGCAGCCTCTGCATCTGAACCGCCGGGTCCTTGACGGCCACCACCATCACCGTCCCGCACAGCCTGTCCGTGCCCACCTCGAACAGCAGCGGCACGTCCCACACCACCGCCCAGCTGCCCGTCAGGTACGCCCACAGCAGCGCCTTGTACGCCTCCCTGCGCACAGCCGGGTGCACGATGCCGTTCAGCCGCGCCCGCGCCTCCTTCGCCTCTGCCGAGTCGCCAAACACCTTCCGCCCCAGCGCCGGCCGGTTTAGCGGCCTGCCCTTTCCTGCCGGCCCGGCCTCAGGCACATCTGGGGAGGCGGGGACGATCAGGTCGGGCGTGGTCGGTCCGAAGTAGTTGACTATTGCGCGGTACCCCGGTGTTCCCGGCTCGACGACCTTGCGTGCGAGGACGTCGGCATCGATGATGGGCAGGTTGTAGGGCGGCGAGGAAAGCACAGATGAGACCGTCGACTTTCCGGTGGCGATGCCGCCGGTCAGGCCTATGATGAGCATTTTCTTTTGCTGTTCTGATTGATTTGAAATATGCTGGAGGAATTGGAAAATATTGGAATATCACACAACCACATTCGATGACTTTCGAAGAGAGAAAAAGGAAGAATCAATGTGATCGCTATACAGGTACTGAATGAGGTGATGTCGCAATTAGTGGAGCTCCAAGTACATGGGGTGGGGGAAGGGGAGTCCCCCACGCTGCCGAGGCCCAGGATGACAGGCCCTACCCCAGCGCCAAACGTGCCTGGTGCACGAACTTGTGGGGAGCCGTTAGATCTTCGGTTCAGCCTCATTCATTTCATTTCACTTCACCTCATATACGCCTTCACACAACTCGAAAGATCGTGTTTGTGTGGATGTCAATTGATTTCAAGACTATCACGACTTCCTTTTCTGTGTGTTCCGAATACCATGTGCATAGGTCAAGCCTTTGCGTCGAGTTGAGTTCCGAAAATGCGTCGAGCAGTTGCCGACAGCCTCGAGAAGCTCGATCAAGTGATCTCTCAAACCCTTCCAAAATTGGTCTTCATAACCATCGCGATGAAGACATCAGTCCTTGCTCTGAGATAAAATCAACCAGAGAATGTGCAAAGAACTCCAGAATCCCTTGTCCAACCACATCATCATATCATCATCTCCTTCCCTGATCAGACCTCCAACCGCACCGCGTAGAAGACTCCCTCGTCTGTGACGTACCAACGGGCTCCCTTTCCGAAAGAATCGATCGTGGCGCGCGGCATCTGGATGTAATGGCCGTCGAGCTGGCGGACCATGTACATGCGAGAGGGGGTGTCGTCGGCGGGCTTAAAGTCCTGTGGCTCGTTGAGCTCGGGGTTCGTCATGAAAGCAGCAGCAACCTCGCTCGCAGTCTGGCCAATGCCAGTGGCAGGCTCATTGTGGACAGGGAACTGAGAGGGGTGAGCGGGAAAGTTACCTGGCATCATGGGCGCTCCTCCCATTCCCATCGGCGCGGGTCCTGCGTGCACAAGCACCGGCTGTCCGGGAGGGACACCGCCACCGCCAAAGCCTGCTCCCATCATCACGGGCGGACCCTGGGCGGGGCCACCAGCGACCATCATCGGCTGCGCCGGGTAGGGCTGCTGCGCGACAACAGGCATGATGGGGGCGGTGACGGGGCCGGCTTGCATGGGGAACGCGACGCCTTGGGGACCCTGTGAGAGAGAGACTTGTTAGCGAAAGTGCTCAAGCGGAAGGCAGGCGCGTTCGCAAACAAAGGTTTCTGTTTGGTAAACGAAAGGGAAGGCGGAGTGAGACGCGTCTCACAAGCACGCGCGGAGCAACCACTCCGTTATCTCCTTGAAAACCCAAAGTCGTATACATTGGGGCACTTGCAATCAAGGTAGCAGAAACGACGGGCGCGACGACTGGTGCAATCGGGACATCTGGCGCGACGAGAACTGGCTGCGGTGCAAAAGTAACAGGCCGAACCGGCTGGATTGGGATTGTAAGAGTGGGGATTAAAGGGGGTTCGGGGACGGAAATGAGAGATGAAGGTTGACATACAACGATGCCAGGATGAGAGTAGGCAACAACGCCGTTGTCGAATCGAGGCTGGTAAACATGAGTCATCGGTCCGAGAGAAGTATCGGGGACCTGCGGCTGGAAATGAAGGCCATAATTGTTTGGCATCGAGTTCTGATATCCTGGCTCCATGGTGGTACCGTTGGCGACAGAGACTAGTGGTGCTTGACCTTGGTGGGTGGTTGCGTACGGGTAGGGTGCGCAAGTTGTCGTCAGATTGGTGTTGAGGAAGGGTTGGCCAGGGATGCAGCCGTGGGTGAAGACCTGATTGGGGCCAAGTTGAGGTACAGTACCAGTGGGCGCGTTGTAAGGCGCGATACCAGGAGGGAATGAATTGGCGGCAGTGTTGGCGGCGGTAGTGGTGGCAGTCAGAGGCTGGTTGTGGTTGTGGTTGTGGTTTTGCAAGTTGTTGGCCTTGTGGTCGTCCTCGTCCGGGGTGGAGTGACGCGACAGGGCGTAGGGAGTGGGGGCTCGAAGACGGCCAAGCTCACAGAGTCTCTCATTAAGCTCCTCCTCCGAAGGGGTGCGAAGCGTGACGCGCCTAGACTTGGAAGGCTTCAAAGAACTCTTCATTTTGGTGGAAGAGGGAGGGCTAATGGTTTGCCACGAATCACTGGACTCGGAGTCGGCAAGGTAGTCGCTGTAACGGCGATCTGCTTTGCGCGCCATCGAAGACCTGATAGACTGGCAACCGAACCGAAAGGAGAGTGAAGAGGAGATGGCAGCTTGCAAAAAACAATCTACGACTAGCCAAATTTGTGTCCAGGCTGCCTCAAGAGATGGAAGTGCTGTGCTGTGCAACAAATGGATTGAAGAGCAGCTGCCGTTGCTTCAGGAGAGGTTGTTGGCAAGCCTCGAGCTTCACTGAAGCAATGGAGGAAGCATTCACCGTCCACACTCATGCTATGGAGGGGGAAAGCGGATCCAACTAGACCGCCCAGTGGTGTATCAACGAGACAAAAAGACAGCTACTTACAGTAGGCACTTGGATCTGCTGCAGATCCCATGACTGTCCGTTCCACTGGTACCGGTATCCTGTCGTGGTGTTTAGATATTTTGGAGCTGGCTCGTACTCAACGTCCTTGACTGGCCAGCCCATGCAACACATCTTGATTGGAGTGACGCGATTTTGGAGGTCGTGGTAGCAAGTTGTTGGCAACGTTTCGTGCAGCAAGTTCGATGGCAGGCTGTTTGCGGAACGAACAGAGCGCTACAGGTTTGCTGTTGAGTGTATTATCGTTGTGATAAAGCTCGCACGTGGGTCAGATACTAGCGAGCACCAGGGGATGGCGTTTTGGAAGTAAATTGTAGTGGTGGACACAAAGCTGCCATGGACGGCTTGACCTTGACTTAGGCCGCATGTAGTCGCCACGAGATCCTCAGGAAATACTGTGAGCCCAAGCATATCTTACCGTCCATTAAGAAAAGACGACCTCAAAAGATGTCACTGCTCAACTATAAAACAATGCCCAGAGCTTCATCACTGCTGGCAGAGGAAAAAGGGATCACAGACTCTTGACTTCGGCCTCTTGTGGTCTCAAGAAACAACCACCACAGGTGGCCCTCTTCATTACCACAGGGCCAACTTCCTAGCCAGACTTGCTTCAGTTTCCTAAAATTGAATATCCTACAAACCGCGGCTCTCATCTTGCTTAGTCCAATCACTTGGCGCTGATATCCTTCGAAACGCCTCGGCCACGTGGATCCTGAAGAACCGGATGTGTCCCATGCGCGCCTCGATCTTCTCATCATAGCTCCGCAGGGGCTCCATCATCATCATCGCTAGTTTCCACCCAGAAGACCCCAACACCGAGAGTGTTCGCGGAAAAGTCGAATGAAATGTCGCCAACAACAGGTTTGTCTCCCTCGGACGCATATTCGCCATCGCTTCGTAGGTCACTCCGCTCGTCCTGGGTATGCTGCAAAGCCGCTTGGTCGCTGGGGTGAACGCCATCCTTCTGCTGATTCTCGAGGGCTCTTAGCTCACCGCAAATTTTGATCAAATCCTTGTCCACAACCTGTATAATATAATTGTTTCAATGAGATTTCACTTGTGTATAAAGTAGAAAGAGATTTGAGTCGCACCCGACATACCCTGATCATGCATGCCAGCCGATTCTCCTTTGCAGGATCTCTGACAATCTCTACAATTTTCTTGAAGACGCTTTCGTCCTCAATCACCTTGAGGTTGTAGATCCGTTCGTTACTTGTATAGTACATCCATTTGGGATTGGCGTCGTAGTTCGTGGCGTTGTGCGCGGCAATGAGCTGTTCGATCTTGACGAGGCTGGGATGGCCATCGCATCCCATCTTTTTTAGGTCTCGTATTTTATGCTCGAACATGGTTTTTGCCCAATCGACATTATGGTCGTAAGAAGAGGGATAATCCTCCATTAGGACGAGGAAGGATGAAAAGTCTGTGTCATGGCCGAGAAAACGGTATTCTTTCTTGAGTTGACCCGATCCATCGAGGAAAACAACCTTTAGATCAGATCCCGACTCTTTTTGCTCGGCGTATTCTACCTCGAGCCGATGCCTGGCAAGCTGGGCGAGCTGCGTACAAGGCGATGAGATCAGATGATAGCACACTAAGCAGGCTCGCAAGGATAAGGCTCACCATGTCAATGAAGCTAGTCTCTTCCCCGTCAGTGCTCTCGTCTAAGCTCTTAGCAAACAAGAATTTCTCGAGTTCCTCCTTGAGCAGCTTCACAAGTGCCTTAAGGTAGCCAAGACCGATGTGCTGCATGCGTTCAAGACAGTCGACCTTTTGGCGTATCGTCTCAGGCATCTTGTCCACGCGAAACGTGACCACACAGTCCTCCTCGGGGTTGTAGACAACCAGCTCGTCGGTGTCAAGTGTGATGCCCGTGTCATTGGACGTGTTTTTCCGTTTTCTCATGGTCTTCTTCCACTCATCGGTGATCATTCCAACCAGTAGGTCGAGATGTTGGCGGGTGCTCAGTCCTGGAACTTCCGAATTTCCAGAGTCAGTCCCCAGAGGAACAGAATGTTGCGCGCTACTACTCGTATCGAATTCAGATGGATTAGTTGTCATCTTGCTGGATGAGCATCCCCAATGAGAGCACATTGAGGATGGAGGTAAGTAGTGTGTATGTCGATCTTGTGGCAGTATCAGGAGCCACACTGCTGGAAGCGATGGCGTGGTATTGTGTGAAGACTGGAAAGAACGATGCGCAAAGGCACTTGATGATGTGTTGAGTTCCTAGCAATAGGAAAACATTGACGTGAGGGGTCTTCCTGCCTTGAAAAAGTGACCTTAATGGCTGAGAGGAATGAAAAGCCAGCACATGGGCACACCATGAGCTACCTCCCCTCCTTGTCCCCCGCCCATCCCACCTAAAGTAAATTCTGTAGAGCATGTCCAAGCAATCGCGAAGAATTGGGAACAATATGGAGGAATATGGTTTGGTTCCTTCTATGTCCTCGAGCCTGAGCACTATCTGCCCTGCTCCCCAGCCTTCTATGGTCGTGAAGCCCCTTTCTAATGTTACAAGTTTCCAGAGATGAGGAGAGATCATCCGTTGCTATGCTCGCCACTATACCGACAAGACTATGAAATTAGCCCACCTAATCGAGCAATCTTTGGCATGAGCGATACCTCTGCTCCCGCTCTTTGACGAGCCCTTTTGCTGGGTCAAGTCATCGACTGCATGTCAAGTCTCCCCGCGCCTGTCTCACCCCGCTGTCCGTTCGATGTAGGAGCCAGACGGCGTGACGCCGTTCGTGAACATCATAGAGCTCATCGGATTAAGTTGTTTCCGCCAGATTATTCGCCTTGCTCTACGGGTGTTGTTCAGACGCTGGGAAGAATGTCTTCCGTGTGACCTATCAGAATGTCAGCACCATGTTCGACTGCTTCCCCTTCAAATCCTGGATCGTGCAAAGCTTACCGTCCAGACACCAGCAACGGAGGCAACGATTCCGCCCGAGATGGCCATTGGCCTCAACCCCCTTGTGCTCTTGAACAACATGCCGCTCAGGAAGCCCGCCCCGATGCTGTTGGCCGCATCATGCTTCCCACGCACATATCCGATGTACGAGTTGATACAGTTGTACACGATGGCGACAACACCCGCCGAGTTGCCCAGGAATGGGCCTCGTCTTGTGATCGCGTTCAGAGTCGAGTTCAGCCGCAGTTTGGGTGCTTGGCCGGCGCTACGCCTAAGGCCCTCCTGCAAGCCCCATGCGCCACCTATCGACAGGGCGGAGAGGTATGTGATACCGGTGCCGTAGCAGAGATCGTCTGTGAATCCGCGCGAGGGCAGGACGGAGTTCCCGCCAGGCAGGTCGGAGACTGCGGATTCCTCGAGGGTGATGTACTCGAGGGCGTCTTTGTTGAGGCCGGCGAGAGGGTGTAGTTGTGAGGGGTCGGCGAATGCGGAACTGTTCAGGAAGGAGTCGACACCTTGCGCCGAGGATGGGTCGAATGGAGGGGGGCTGAAGTTGGTGGTGGGTTCTGGTGGTGGTGGCGCATGGCTATGATCTGGCTTGCTTTGGTTGGACTTTTGCCCCGTCAATGCGTTCCAGAGAGAAGACATTTCTGCAGGGAGGTAATACACAAGAGAAGAGGGGAAATAAAGGAAGGCTGTGTCACGAAGAACGCATGCAGTATGGTGGTGGTGATCGCGATGGTGTTGCGTGGGTGGAGGCTAGGCGCTGGAGCATCTGCCCGGAGTTGAGGTCGTCAGTCCAAGCAGCCTCGAAAAATTATTCCCAGCAAGCTCCAAGGCGATGACGGCCGATAAGTCACCGTGGCCCACCCGGACCGCGCATCCAAGTACGTACAGTAACAGCGGAGGGCCCGTGCTCGGACGGGTCTCTGCTGCTGACAGGGATGGCGATCTTACAAAATTTAGGCTCAACATGGGGCGGTACGTACCGGAACACCACCGCCCGACTTGCATCGGTTTTGCAGTCTGCAGCCCTTTCTTCCCAACTTGAGGCAGTAGGCAGGAGATGTCGGCCTATCCTTTATATGTGGAATCCAAGCCTTCTGACTCTTGATGTTATCATATAACCTCATATGAGTAAATCAGCAGCATGAACTTTCTCGTGCAGAATCTGTCAAACTCCAATCCTTGAGACCTACCAAATATGCCGCCGGTTGAGTTCCCTCCCCTCGAGGGATCCAGCAGCAATGCGAATGACCTTCTCAAATGGATTCAAGATGGCCCTCAGGAAGAAATGGTTCCGTGAGTTGACACTTCTTTTGCTGCTGGAACAGGGACTAACGCCCGGATTCAGATCTGCGCAGAGGTTGTTTGAGAAGCTGCTTGCAAACGCGTCTCAACCTCGAGGTTCTACAGCGGACGCCTGTGTCAAGCTGTGTGGTTTCGTCCAGCTATGCGCAAAGTCACAGGATGATTCTCTGAAACAATGGGCCTTCTCAGAGAAAATATCCCAGGACATGTTCAACTTCTTCATAGAGTGGAACGAGAAGGACCAGCATCGGTCCATGAGACTTGTTCTAGACCTTCTTTCCTTTCTGATTACCCAGAATCCAGTATGCCAGATTAAGGAGGATGTGAAGGCAGATCTACTGCGCACCATGGTTGCCATCATTGCGAGGAACTCCACGCGCCCGCTCGTTAAATCATGCATTACCGCCCTGAACCATCTGCTTACAAAGTCTGTCCTTACTTTGGAGGAACTAGCACAGATGTATCAGTCCATACGGCCTGACTTGGCCAACCAGCCTGCCATCCTTCTATGGCAGGAGTGGGTGGCAGAGATATTCCGGTGGATGGAACTGCCCTACGTCTGTCCGGTTGCTGGAAAGCTCCTTGGCATCGTAATCAGCGGTCTCTATGCTTCTTTCCCACTGTCTGGCTGCTCCGAAGAACAAAAGCCGGTGCTCGGTGCGAAAACCATCCGAAGATGGCTAGAGACAGCCCTATCAGCCAACCCAGACCTCCTTGAGAGTATCAAAAACTATTTCTTGGCACCGTTATTCAAATCTGATCGCGCCTTGTCCATTGCATTGTTAAAAGAGCTTCATCATGTGCAACCGGATGATGGTACACATGCACGGGGCGAGGAGATGGATACTGCCGCTTTATTACAACTCGCTGCCTTAGAGCTTGGTAAAAAGGCTTCTATTGTCGATGAACCTCGTGAGTATTACATTTCAAGACCCCAGCACACCTCCTAGGGAACCCAGATATTCGGTCATCGCTTGACTAGCGCACACTGTTCTGTCAATAACCTTGTGGGATAACCTCTTATGGGATGATTTCCTGTGGGACAATTTTCTGCGGGATAATGTCCTATGGGTAACCTCCTATGGGTGACCTCCTATGGGATAATTTCCTATGAAATAACTTGACTTTGTGTACTCGATTGTTACATCTCAGTTGTTGATTAGTCTACAGGTCCCGAGGGAACGAAAGCCACTGCCAATACTGTAGAGCTTGACAGCAAGGTCCTAGAGCGCTATCTGCTTCACAACTCTTACGATGTCCGATCTTTCGCCATGTCTCTCCTGATAACCTCCTCTTCTAGTACAAGGCCTTACTCTTTGGCGACGTTTGAACTTCTACGAAAGCATCTCCGATCCTGTTATGCAGATCCTGATGCCAAGTTCCGGAACGAGATTCTGGGTCATTCCAAGAACATGGTCAAGAGAATCAAAGGAGCAATCAGCATTCTTGAAAAAGATATAGCTCGAATTGGGGCAAAGGCTTCGACATCCAAAGCCAGAGAGACAGCGGTTAACACACATATCAGCAAGGGGGCAAAAGAGATTTCAAACGCTGGGGAGGCTTGGCTGCGAGATACCCTCAAGTTCCACGAAGAATTCTTTGGCTGGTACTTGAGATTCTTAAGGCAAGAGCTGTCACCCACAGCCTCGTATCAACGACACATTACTGCTTTGAAAGCGTTAGTCTCGGTCTTGAAACTCGGGAAGGACAGTCCAAGTGCTGCTGAAAAAAACATATACAAAGATGCCCAATGGATTCGCATAATCATGGACCTGATTATGGATCCATTCGACGATGTCAGAGAGACGGCGACTAGCTTGTTGATGCTCTTTCCGCCAGAGACTACGCAAACAGAGGTTGTGTTCGGTGACAAGCTGTTATCTGCCACGCCATTAATGATGTTGAAGGAGTTCTCTTCTCGAGCAGCAGCTCAGGCATCTCGCACCAGCCGTGCGGATCACTCAGATGGAGCCGCTCGATCGTATGGTCTCCTGTGTGCCTGGGAAAATACAGTTGAGAGTCGCCTATCATTGCTTTCACAAACATTGGACCTCTTGGACCTCAAGGTCAGCCGAGCCGAGAAGGACCTAGGTCACGCAGTCATGGCAGAGCCAGTGCATGGAGACTTTGCCGCTATCAGATACATGTGGGAAGTCCTCTTACATCCACGGTACAGCGAAGCCCAACTCCAGCTACTTGCAGCTCCCCAGACTCGGATCGTGGATCTTTGCACGCGGATTTGGGATGCTGTCAGCTACGTACTATGCGATGATTCGCCTGAAGGCAAAGAGCTTGAAGACGAGGATGTTGATAGCAAAGGTTTGCTCAGCTACAGCTTCCGCGCCATCCACGAATCCAGCAACCTCATGCGCACAATCGTGGGCAATCTCAGCTTTAGCCGTATGCTTGGAGCTCTCTTGCCAACGCCCGAGGTATTTCGGAGCGTCGGTGATTTGGCGTTCTCCCAGCTGTCAACTTTGAGGCATCGAGGTGCATTCAGCTCCGTCTCGCTCAATTTTATTTGCTGCTGTCAAAATGCTCGCAATCCTCATGTCACCTCGCCCGGGCCCGAACCCTCGCTGCTTGAGAATTGGTATAAAGGGGCACTGGCATGCATCTACGAGCAGAGGTCGACAACGAGACGGTCGGCAGGCATACCAGCTTTGATTACTGCCATTTTGGCGTCAAACGCGGACAGTCCATCGTTCGAGCATGTCATGCGGACTTTGGAGGAAATAGCACAACGGCCAGCTTGGGTCTCAGAAACTGACGGGAGTAGTCTGCCTCAAGTTCACGCTTTCAATTCCCTCAAAGAGGTCTTCAAAAGCTCACTCCTTAGCAAGAAGGCCGAACGCTACCTTCCAGAATGCCTCCAGCTTGCCACAAATAGCTTGAAATCAGAGGTTTGGGCGATCCGGAATTGCGCACTCTTACTCCTGCGTAGTCTGTTGGACAGTCTATTTGGAACAAACGAGAGCAAGTCTGCCATGGAGTCGGGATGGGACGGGAAGACGCTACGAATCTCGTACACTAAATACCCGTCTCTACCGCCTATACTTCTGAACCTCCTACAGTCAGGACAACGGGCAATGGAACCTGGGACCTTGACCTCGAGCTCAGCAGCCGAATCCGTATTCCCCGCCTTGGATATCATCCGACGTGCCGGGCCCCCAGAATCTCACCGTGACGAGTTGTACAAGTTGATCACCAGATATCTGGGCAGCCAACAGTGGCATGTCCGCGAAATAGCCGCCCGCACTTTGTGCTCCTTTCTTCTGAATGAAAATTGGCTGTCCTCGGTCAAGGCCCTGCTTGACGAGTCACGGGGCGCGGCAAACAGGTTGCACGGGACTTTTCTTACGATCAAGTTTCTCTTGGAAAGGACGTCCTCGGACATGAAGGAAGGCCGGCTTTTTGGTCAAACGATCATACCCGAGCTTAATGGACGCTCTCAGTTGGCAAACTTTGCAGAAGACATCAAATCACTTAGTCAAGCGCTGCAAGAGTTCGAGAAGGATGCGACAATATGTTCCGAGGTCTGGGCTGCTTTCGTCGAGATTCGCACATTGACTTGGGAGAGCGCACCTCCCTCGGACATTCAGGCCAGCAAGGCTGAGCAACTCACTCATGTGAAAATTGCACAAGGGAGGAGTAGCTTCGCCTCGACAGCACTGCTCGATCTCCGGTTGGGTATCAGGTCTCTGCGGGAAGCAGTTGCATTCACAGGCATTGAGGGCCTTAGATCCTGCCTCTTCGACACACTTGATCGAGACACAGACACAGCATTAATGCTGCTCGAAGTCATTCCCACGATCTGGGGCAAGGCGAGAGTGACTGAGCTCTGCACGTTATATCTTGACACCTGCAAGCATACCAAAGAGCCGGAAGCCCGCGCCATTGCCCTGACAAACCTGGCGGTGCTATTTGATGACCACATCACTCAAGGCAAATTGCAGGAGCTCCCCAAGCCGGAAGAGCTCGAGTCCTTCCAGCAGTCCATCCTGGACACCATCAACCCAGCCCTGGCGAATGCCGTGCTCCTGGCCTCGGGATCAGTGATGGGCATCCAGACGCTTCCACACAACGGGCAGCTGTCATTCTTCATGTTCGAGCAGAGGCTGCGAGCCTGGGGCAAGGCCGTCGCCGACGCCCTGCACGACAGCAACACATTCGACATGCGCATGGCGGCCGCCAAGTCCATCAAGTCCTTCGCGGCAGCGGTGCGCTCAGCCGCCGGCAGCGACGCGGCGTACCTGCCCTTCCTGCTCGCGCTGTACAACACGCTCGTCGACGACGACGACGAGATCCGTGACGTCGGCGCCCTCGCCACGGCCCTCGTCACCTCGCCCGGCTCCCGCGCACAGCCGCAGCCCCTCGTCGCGGTCGACGCGGCCGACGCCCTGCTCTCGTGGATCCAGCGGCACTTTGGCCAGACCAACGAGTTCAAGGCCTACGTCGCGTGCCGTCTGGTCGGCGACCCGCTCATTGCCCTCGACATCGGCGTGCAGGACCTGTCCGCCTGGACGTCCCCCGAGCAGCTGTTTGCTCAGGCCCTCGAGGTGGACGAGAGCCTGTTCGCGGTGGAGGAGCAGAACCTGTTCATAGACGAGGTCCGCGAAACGGAGCGATGGGCTGAGGTGTTCAGGGCCCTGCCGCGGGACTTTGACGAGATAGAGGGGAGCGACGGTGCGGCCAGGAAGATGCTGATCATGGACAGCTCGCTGACTGCGTTGAAGGGGTGGGTGGAAAAGGCTTTGGAGGCTCTAGCCGTGCAGGCTGGACAGGACGATGGCCCGCTCGGGTGGGCTTCGACGGCTGATGCATTTGCATTGTGCCACCGTGTTCTTGTTTGTGGTAAAGTCATGGTTGAACTGTTGGGTGAAGAAAGCGGAGCGATTGACAGCTCTATGGCTAAGGTAAAGGACATTGGACAAACCTCCAGGCTTCATGGGCTGCTCTTGTCAACACTTGATCAAGTATAGGCTGCCGATCAGAAGAGAATGCCGTGTTTCTGTCGGACTGATTTTCTACATATTTGAAGGAGACCAGTCCAACTACAAGACAATGAGCAGTTTACCATAGACCCACAAGCGTCTGGTTTCTCGCATTCACACTCGAGAGCTCAATACCTAGCTGAAACTCCTTTGCGACCACTTGCCACACAGCATTCGCTTGTACACCCCTCAAAACGCTCCCACGAGGAAGCTTATGGAATATAAATCGTCTAACGCAGTCGTCGTTTTTGATATTCAAGTGACAACACGGCGCTGCCGGAGATGTCGCTTGCCATGCTATGGAAAAGGGTATGAAAAGGCTATGCTTGTTGCTTGTAAATATGACCTACATGTATGCGCTATCGATCAGAATTGTCGGAGTTCTCTTGCACTTACTCCCCCTCACTTTGACCGTGACGAAGCCTGTGACAGCTTTCCATCATCCAGTGTTGCCGTTCCGTTCGCGGATAGCTCCTCCGTACTGACCAGCCCTCCCAGTTTACCCAGCTTTGCGACGAGCTTCGTGTTCTGTGCCTGCAACTGGCCGACCTGTTCCTTGAGGATGTCGATCTGCTTCAACGCCATGTCCCTCTCAACCTTGACCTTCTCAAGCTGCATGGCCATGTTCGACCTCTCATCCTTCTCTTGCTGCTTCTTCCTCCTTTCTTCAGCTTTCTTCTCCTCCTTTAACCGCTTCTCCTCCATCTTCTTCACCTCCTTCTTATAGTTCTCCTCTTGTCGGGCAATCTCCTTCTCGTGCTTCTCCTTGAGCTTTGCGAGCGCGTCATCGCCCTGATCTGACTTGCCTTGGGAGGCACGCTCCTGCTGCCTGGCCATCTTCTCCGCGAGCTTCTTATGCCGATCTTGCAGCTTCTTGAGGTGCTTCTCGTGATGCGACACTGAGGCTTTGGAGGGCGATTCCTCGCTTTTGCCGGAATGCATAGATGCCATATCGCCTCCGCCTAAGCTGGTATCTCCCCCGGAGAGGACTTTGGCCAGGGGAGTCTCGATCTCGGGCTCCTGTGCAGAGGCGAAGCTACGTTCTGACTCGTCCGAGTCCGAGTCACTGTCTTGGAGATCGGAGTCGAGTTCTGATGTCGAGTGAGCGATACCTGGTAGTCGCGACGTCACCATAGACGATGCCGCGCCTATTGCTCCAGCGATCATATTGTAGAAGCCACTGGGCTGGATATCCTCTTCTGCTGCGACTTGGGACTGCTCCGGCGCTGGTCTAGACACGCTGGCAGAGGATTGGTGGGGCCGAGACGTCGTCACCTCGCCTGCATCGTCCTTTGTAGCGTCGACCTCAGGTATCTCATCAAGAGATTCCTCAAGGTCTTTTGCGCTCCTCGTGTCTAGCCACTTGAGGAATTTCCCAGCGTCTGTCACGATTCCACCGGGAGTACCCTTCTCGACCATGAACCTCGGTACACTGCCACCAGGGTCGGATCGAGTCACCATTACCCATTCAATTGCCATTTCTGTATCCTCATCTGCCTTTCCGGCGCCCGAAGCCTCATCAGTCTCGCGGGGCGGCAGTCCGGAGAGCGACCGCGACAAGCCTCTTTCACCTGGGCCTTCGTCCGACTTGGCGCCAGCTCGTTTCTGAGCAGCTCGAAGAACCGCCTCCTGACCGATGTCCATATTGCCGCCCATCTGCCGGCTCGGCAGCTGGATGTCCTCCCGTCTCATGTCCACTGAAGACCTGACCCGCCGCAGTGGCTTCTCGATGGGGATCTCCCTAATAAGCTCCACGCTCTCGTAATTGCCTCTGATATACCCCGAGCGGGGCGCACATTCGGGGTGATTGCAGGGCTTTGACACGATCATGAATTGCCTCGGACCCTTGTCTCTTTTGTTGCTGTCCCAGCTGGTGGTGCCGGTCAAGAAGAGCGTGACAAAGTCCCTCGGTGTCGTTGGCCCCGGGAACTGAGCGTTCAAAAGCCATACGTCGGCCTGGCCCACCCCGTCACACTCCAGATGCTCTGCTTTCCTCTCCGCGCCAATGCCCCTGACGTTGCCCGTGCCAGGGCCCGTGGTGTGCTGCAAAGTGTGGCCAAACTCCTTCTCCAGGCCCAGCCTGAACTTGTCAAAGCTTATGCCCTCGTGTGCGCTGCGCCTCGCGAACCAGGCGCCCCGGCCGTCCTTCCCGGCGAGCTTGTAGACGTTCATGTTGTAGGGGTTGTCGCGCGGCGGGATCTTGACCTCCTTCCACTCCTTCTGCAGCTTCGCCGCATGGGCGGCCGCGTCGGCGGTTGCTGCGTCGGCGCTGGCCGAAGTGCTGGCATGGTTCCGTGACGAAGGGTCGAATATAACGGAGCTATCGGTGTGGCTTCTCGCGCGGCCGGCCTGATGGGGCTTCGCGGCGGCCGGTATGCTATCGACGACGGTCTGGGCGTGGAGGAAGGTTGTGGCCAGGAAGTGCTTAAGGTCGTCGCCCGTCACAGTTGTCCAATCAATTGGACCTAAAGCCTTCAACGGCTCGTGATGAGACATGGTGGTCCTTCAATTGGAGGGGAAATCAAGTTGTTGGTCAATAGGTACTCGCTGGCAATGATGTTCTCAAAGTCATAAAGGATGTTATGCCCTATCTGGGCTTGCTATGAGGGAGGTAATTGCTTGGTGCGTCTTGTGTGGCGTCCATGAAACTGGAGTGTGCCGCTGCTCGAATACGGGCTCGATACGGCCTGGATACGGCCTGGATACGACTGATACGATATTGACCAGATGATGGTATCCGTGTGTATGCATAGGTGGGTCAGGACTGAGGCTGAGGCCGGTGATAAAACAACTCAATGTGCTGCCGATAAACACCTACACAAAACCGAGGCTGCGAACCTGCTCGTTGAATGTCATGGCCAGAGAACAAGGGGCCAAGAACAAGAAAAAGGCGACATTATGCGCCATCACGTCTGCACCCAGCCTTTGTCCATCCGAGATGTGTATTAACTGACGTCATCCCTGTTGGAGCAGAGGCCAGCCCCAGCTCAGCTCAAAACCCCTCCAACCGGACACCTGGGACACCTACCCCTGGCCTAGACCAAAAGACAGACAGACGTCAGTTGGTTTGAGCCCCACATGGCCAAGAGGCGACCCCTGAGCTGTCCGGAGCCAATGCTCCAAGACGTAGGATAGAGGAACTGACCGGCATGGGCACATCAAGAAAAAGGTGGCAGGCTGGCACGCTGGTTACAAGAGACATTACCGTGTTTAATGAAGGCTATCTAGACCGCACGGGTATCTGTGTATATGTGCTTATTGCGTACAGGAAGAAAGGAAGAGGAAGGAAAAGAAAAAGAAAGTCAGTCCCAGAGACATCGCAATGCAAATTAAACCCAAGTTTACCCAGCTTTCCTAATGCCCCCCTTCCATATATGTATGTGTGTAAGTATGTGCGTATGTGCGTACGCTTCTCCCCAGTCTGTCGACAATTACACCCGCTGCATCCCCCATTACAAACGTACCATGGGACGCTCTCTCCCTACACGTCCACCATCTTCATCCTCTTCGCCAGAGCCTTGTCCTTCTCCAGCTTACAGCTCCCACAGTACTCGGCGTGCCACTGCGCAAGAGCCTCGACTCTCTTCTCATCGATAGGCCGCATGACTTTTTGCCCATCACCACCAACCCCGGTGGTGCTGGCCGCCGCCTTGCTGCTGCTGCTGCTGCTGCTACTGCTGCTGCCAGTCTTTTCAGACAGCATCATCTTGACCTGGTCGCACCGCAGGTTCTCGTCCGCGAGCCAATTCTCCCACTCGCTCTGGATCATCTCCTTTTCGATGCTGTTGACAACCCGCATCGCGACGAGTAGGTCATGGCGGTACGACCCCAGTCGCTGGCGAGTGCGCCGGATTTGCCGAGCCGTGGCCTTGCTGGAGCTCGACGCGAGGGCCGCGCCCGCCTCTTCGTACGACGAGTCCAAGGACGTCGTGTTCAAGATCTGGCGGAATGTATCGTAGCTAGAGCATCATCACATCAGCATATGGTCTTTGGAATATGGGGATAACCAACAGCAACTTACCACTCACTCCCACCCTCGGGAGCCGCGACCACCGACGCCAGAGCCGCATCATCCAGGTCGGCAATGTAGACAGCCTTGCTCATCATGACGTTGGGGCCCACGCCCATTCGACCCATGAACTTTGCCGCACTCCTCTCTGTCCACCACGTCGATCCTTCGCGGCCAGTGAAGGCAAGATTTGTAAGGACGCTCACAGCCAGCACAGCTAGTATCACCCGGTGCGCTGTCACAACGCTGAAAATCTTTCGCACACCCGCGAATGTCCACATCAGCAGGCTGGTTGCCACGCTCTCCATGAAGCTCCGCACCGTTTCGAACACCATTTCCGTCAAAGTCCTCGGCTGGATCATCTGCGAGCCCTTCTTGACTCCGGCCTCATCTGTCTGTGACGCCTCCCCGGGGGTGAACACAACCACCTGCTGCTGGCCTCCAATGTTGCCATACACCTGGATCGCCCTCTTGGTGCGGCTATGTGCCCCCAGTTTGCGCACCTGGTCTGTCGCCACTTCTGCCAGCTCTTCCGCGTCGCGTCGCGCGTCCTCGAGAGCCTGTCGCTGCACGAGAGCCTTTGACAGTGGTGGCGTCTTAGACCACTCAACCTTGGTGTAGAGCGCGAGCTTGCACTTCGACTTGGCGACATGCGTGATGACAACTTTGGTGATCAACTTGAACGAGGAGGAGTGAGGCAGATGCCACGGCGTCTTGACGTGTGTGACCAGGTAGGTGATGTGGTCGCTGAATACGTCAATGAGCTGGAAGTCAGTCACGTCCTCGCCGTGTTTGGCGCGGCCCATGAAGCCGACTGAATCGACCTTGAACTTGAAGTCTCGCTTCATCTTGCCATGATCAATAAGCTGCCAAGGGCCTTGGGCGATCTCCTTGGCGCGCCGCTCGAAGTACAGTTTGGGGAAGATAAACGACTTGTCGCCAAATAGCACGTGAAAACATGCCTTTGCGCTGATCTCAAAGTGACGCTCTTCGACCGCCTCGCCCATACCCTCGGGCTCGTACACAACTGGGTGCACTGGAAGCTGGAACTTGGGAACTGGTTTCCGCACCTGTCTCGATGACCTATCTCTGGCCCCATAGCCACCCTTAAAGACAGGCCTGCCCGATGCAGTGCCATCATCTATCGGGGTGTTAGGGGAGACTTCTTCCCAGCTCTCGGCACTTGGACTCTTCCTCTCATATTCGTCACTCTCCAGGTTCAAGAGCGCGGCGATGACATCCGGTACCTCCATCGGTTCCTCAGCCTGAAGATCATCCACGAGAAGATTCAGTCGGGAATGAAGAAGTCCTAGATCCATCAAAAATGTCTTGATGGTGATGCGAGTCAAGCCATCGGTGCTCATCTTGTGGCTGAGGTGTAAGAATAAGAAATCGCAGTCCTTTCCTGGAGCCGCTGTCACCTCCGAGATGATGTCCAAACTGAGCGTGTAAGCAACCACCAAGCCCATCTGGTGACCGTAAAAGTACATGTTATCAGAAGTGACGTAGATGCGGCCATTTCCCATGATGCCATTGCCACTGCCAGAGCCCTCAACTGAAGTGCTCGTCCAGGCAGCATTGAATACCATGACCAGCTTTTCATCGAGTGGCACGTTGGGGAATAAGAGCCTGAATTGTGGGTGGTGTGCCTTGAGCTCAACCGGGTATTTCGACGGGAATGTCTCGCCGGCGGACTTCTCCAGGAGTTTGAAATCGGAGGTGTTGCCCCCGGCGCTCAGAGTTTTCCGATGAAGCGTCGATGGCGCATGGCTGCCCATATTGGAGGTGTCACCACTGGCAGGCAAGGTTTGCGCATTTGCTGAAAGCAGTGGGTCATCCTCCAGTCTGAGATGCGTCGTGTCATCCTCCCTTGGCGGATATAATGTACTCCAGGGGATGCTGCCCCAGTAGTTGGCGACCACAGCAGTTGGTAAGCTCAGGCAGCTGCCATTTTCTGAGCTGACGGACCGTTCAGCACTCACAGACAACGCTGTCTTGCTGAGAAAGGTTGCCGTAGGAGCTTTGGCCAGCGTCGGAGGCGCGAGACTGCTACCACTCAACTCACTTATGGGCTGCAAGGCTGGTACAGAGCGGCCAAGATTTGTAACAGATTGGTTGTAGGCAGCGTATCCTGGCAGGAGATTGGAACTGGCTGAGATTAGGCCGGCAATACCTGATGACTCCCCACGTCCAAGAGGTAGCTTGCGGTGAAGTTCCAACCTCTGCATGATGCGTGCAGCATGCTCTCTGCCACTTTCGCCCTCCTCGCGTGGAAGATCTCTTGCAATGTCTCGTGCCAAGCCTGTAACGGAGCGGCGCGGCGCAGCCCCTACATCAAACGAGGACCGTGTTGCCAATGCATCGTTTCCAGGCACTGGCAGAGTGCCGGATTTCTCCTGACCGTCCTCGATTCCCTCCAGAGACTTGGCCGAGAACTCAGGGATGGTGGGCGGAGTGATGGCGAAGGCCGGATCAATGCCTCCTGGCAGCGTACTGGCGTCTCTGGCCACACTAGCATCGAAAGCCTGCTTCTTGGCAATCTCGAAGACCTCAATCCATTGCTCCAGCTCCGCCTGGGTTTCGGCCTGTAGCATGATGTTTTGAGACTTGGTCTTGACCTCAAAGCAGAAGCGCCGTTCCTCTGAAACCGCAGGGCGGGCGCCGCATAGGAGCACACCGATCTCGTCACCTTGTAAGACGCCTTGCGGTCCTTGAACCAGCCATCCAAAGATGCCGTTCCGGCAATAGTACCAATGCCTGACCCAGTTTGTCCTGGCAGGCTTTCCCGTGATGGTCCGCAGGAAAAGCCAACCTTGCTTTTCTGAGATGACAGTACCCTCTTCCTTCAGCTGAACGTTCACAGGACCTCTGGAGCCGAGAAACGCGACCGTCGATATGTTGTAGTCTTCCAGCTCCCGAGACGGCTTAAACAAGGCGACCGCGTTCTCGCCAACATCCCTCCTCGCAGCCTGCAGCTCGCGCTTGAACACAGCTTCGCTGGACTCCATCTCCTTTGACCATCCTCGGACGCGGTCCATCTCCTGTGCGTACTTGTTGGATGCATACGAGCTGTCACGCCATCGCTTCATTTCTCGCCACATATCGGTGGAAATGCGCACGAGTAATTTGTCGAGCGTGAAACGAAGCTGTGGTGCAAGCTGGCAAAAGTCCATGGATGCCTTGAGATAGGCCTTGCGGGTCTCGTACACGGCAAATGCATCCTCGCGCAGGGCAGATGGCTCTTTCGTCTTGCTCTGCGAAACATAGCGTGCCAGTGTGGTATCGAATACCTTCTGTGTAGTGTCCAACGTCCTTCTCGTCTCCTTGAAAGTTTTCAGCTCGCCAATCAAGAACGAGCGGACTGGTTCCACGTTCAGGTTGTCCATGCGACGCATTACTGTCAAGATCTGGTTCCACCATTCCCGCTGACCATCACTGCTCCTCCTCAGCGCGAGCATTGTGTAATCCGGATCGATGAGACCATCGGTCGCGACGGCCATGGGGGGCATGGTTTTGCCGAGGAAGCCATTTATGGTCTCCTCGAGCGCGAGGATGTCGTGGACGACCTTGGAGCATGACTTCATGTACCCGTCGAGCCAGCGCTCGACCTGCTCGACCTGCTCGGCGAAATGGACGGCGACGCATCGGAAGGTCGGGGAGTCGAGGGCGGCTTCTTGCAGACCGAGGGGGATCGCCGGGCTGGGATGCTTATGCGGCGACGGGGAAGACTTGGGAGGGCTGGTGGGCTTGTCGGCAGCCGGGTTGGCTGGCGCCGCACCGGAGTCAGCCATGGCTTGAGATGTCGGTGTTGAGGGAGGAAACTATCGCAGCAGTGGGAAGTTTCGATGGCTCATCCTGGTCGGTAAACAAATCCAGGGGTTGCAACAACAAACACACGCACTGGGTGCAACGGTGGCGGTGGAGAGCCTGAGAAGCAATCAAGCAGGACAGATTGACGAAGACAAGGCTGAGAATGACGATCTTTGGAACCAGGGACCAGGGACCAGGACGGCGATGGATAGAAGGTTCCTCTCTCAGCCTCGGGCTTGCCCTGACGTCGGTGATGCTGTCTTGAAAGGGCTGTTGCGGCTACTCTGCTGAGTCCTCCTCATTTCGGTTGGGGGAGGAAAGGAGGGCTAGCGTTTCATCATCATTGTTTGACAGCGGCACAGATCCCGCCCCCACTTTCCATCTCAGCCTACCCCAGACGGCAATCTCGACCTTAAAAACTTCAGACAACCTTCTTGGTTGATTGTTTGTTTGACTGTTTTGTCCGTTTGCCTCTTTGGTTCGTCGGCGGCTGAGATCGCCTCAAATGGTAGTGTCACCCGTCTCGACTTGCACAGATGTTTACAGTTGCCCGTTCCGTTCCCGTCTGCCCGTCGTAGCAGCTGCTGTCTGCAAGTGCGCCCCGGGCTATGCAGCCTCCTTAGCTCGGACTATGTCCAAGCCTCGAGTGGCAGCTGCTGTGAGTACCTCTTCCATCTGATTTCTTGACTCGTCTACGTTCGTCTCGAGACACCGAACGCGTGGCCGGGGCGGCTTTTGAATCTTTACTGTGCTGTGTAGTCCGCAGCATAGAGTCCGCAGGGATTCTAAACGTTTCATGCCTCGATTGGTAGCTCATAGCTTGACCCTTAGGTGCCGTCACGCCTTCTACGTCCCTCATCGAAACAAAAGACGACCTACTGTGATTTGGAAACCCCCTGATTCATGCCTACTAGGTAGTTGTAAGGTCATCTCTTATAGGATATTAAAAGAAGCTATCAGTTACATTTGATCTTGTTCCATCAAGAGACGGGGTATCTGCACTAATGTTTGGGACCGCCGGTGTTTGGCACACTTGAGGATGAAAATAGCTCTATAATGTTTCAACCGAACCCTTCTATTGCAATCGGACGGTGACCGAACGGAGATTCGGGATTGAATCGCGGGTGCAAGTACGGGACAAGACTGTCGGCACATTAGATGCAACTATGGGACCATTCGCTTTGTAGCCTCTTGCTCCTGGGCCAAATTCTGCTGCGGTGGCTTCATTACCTTAGGAGGACGGGAGGGAACCGGCCGTCCGTAACCGAGGTCCGGCTCGCTCAGGCAGGCCGGGGTGGGAAGAGAAGAAACATGGATACTATATCAATCCATCTGATATCACCGTTGAAGCAATAAATGAGGCGTTTACAACACACAGTAGACATGGGTCGGGCACTGAAAGCCAGTGGGCCGGCCTACACCTCGCTCGGCTCGGAGGCGATCGGGCTTTGGTCCGCATGGAAATGCTCAGCCCACCGTCCGCGACGTTGACAAATGGGCAACACAATTAGGCTCTGTCGGGGGGAGGCCAGCAGTTGTGAAACACATAGGCGGTCAAAAGCACAAAGTCAGCAAGTCCCTCCGAAGCCATGATGTTCTAAATGATACGCAATTGGCATGTGTCCGGAGACACGTCGACTTTTTTGCCTCATCCGGGACCTTGTGTTGATGTGCACCCGTGCATGGCGGTTCGAGTGGAGAAAAGCTTCTTTGACCGAAGTGTTGGCCCTGCAAAAGTCAAAATGTTTTGTGGCGTGCTTGGGGGAGCAATCCGAGAGAGGGTTGCCCCTGGAAAACATGCGGAACGAGGTTACTATGTAGAGGCAGAGGAGCGGGTGATCCACGCTGCCTTCATGCAAGCCCGCAGCTTTTCAGCTCCTCAAGGATCACAGCCGGGCAAAATGCAAGAAACAGGACGAATCGAAGGCCGACGTGTCTGGAAATGTCTCCTTGACAGCGAACCACGGCTGCAGACTTCGACACTTTGCATGCATCAGACCAACAATGGCAGGGCCAGAAGGAGAAGTCTGGTTCAGGACAGCACCGTCTACGCTGCGCCACAAGCCAGATCAAAAATCGCTTGGAGGGGATCCTGTCCTGCCCGCCAAGGTCCCGCCCCCTGCTGTCCACCCCACATTTTAGAGCCGCCGAAGCGCCCCCGCAGGGATTTTCAACCCCTGAGCCGATCTTGACGCGGCTCACAGGAGATTCCGAAGATGATGGACGCCGTTGTGGCTCTGAAAGGGTTGCCTCTCGGTGACGAGGAGGGACGTTGATACGAAATCCCAATTGCTGGATCCCATGACCATTTGCAGGGGCTGGCCTACTGTGCCGATCCATCGCCGTCGTAGCATGGCAAGCGCTCTCTAGGACGTTTGGTAAACACGTTAGAACCGGATTCTGGATGTTGGTTCCCATCTAGTGGTCTGGCAGGTGTCTGACGAAGCCACCCGTGGGCTAGGCAGCGAACAGACCTGGACTGCTGGCCAAGAGACTTCGTTAGTTGGAATCGTCTGTGCCGCCCTTGACGCTTCGGGAAATTCTTGCAGACACGGGCAAGGACGGTGCGTCACGCCTGGGGCATCTTGGGGACGCGTAGCCGGGTCATCCGGTCCGTTTGAGCAAGGGGTTTATCATGACGACAATATAGGCCGCGGGTGTTTTACCAGTGGTCCGGCGGACTGAGCAGAGAGAAAGAAACACAACTCTTGTCAAGGTGTGGCCAGGAAGCAGCTTGCAAGGTGTCGAAACGAAACACACAGAGCCCCCCTGCAGTGGATCTGACAACAGGCTGGTGGTGATGGGTCGGTAGCTTTTGGGTGGGCATCTCTTGCCGGCCACGCAACCTTGGAGAGTGTGAATGCGCGGACCCCTGGCTCCTTGGACTGGCGTCAACACGCGCAGAGATCAGATCGTATGCGGTAGATACGCAAGACTGACTTTTTTTCTATCCTGGTGGACATTTGCCGCCACCTTGGTTCTATCGCGAGGGCTTTTGGCAGATAAGCACCGGCTTTCAGGCACTGGTGGTTAAGGGACCCATGAAGCGCGGAAGAGATGCATTCCCGTTCCAGAGGTGGGCTTCGGTGTCCCGGCTGCCTCAGTGTCAATTCATGACAAGTGCAGTGCATGAACGAAGGCCCCATCGCCGGGGGAGCAACGTTGGCTGCAGCAAGCGGGCCTGGCCTGCGGACGGAGAAGTCTACGGAGCACGGAACACGCATGGGCTGTCAAAAGGAGTCGTGCCATCCATGTCACGGTTCTTGCACTGCGGCAAACGGCGGAAGAGCGGCGGCTTGGGCGGTTGCTGAAGCACAGCTACTGCACAGTAGACTGGTTAGGGTCAGGGCCAGGACCAGGACGAGGGCGAGGAGGGAAGAAGGCGAGAAGCTGGTGGTGGTGGAGTTGGTGGTGGTGGTGGGCAAAGAGGGGGAGGCGTTGGTTGCGAAGGACCTGGGAACCTGGTCGGACTAGTGCGGGTGTTCAGTACCTCAACAATGTACCCAGGTACCTCTGCTGGCCTCGAGCTGGCCTCCTGGCTTGGGACGCTGATGCTCTTGGATGCATGCACTGCGCAAGGTGCAGTGCTGCAGCTTGGTTCTAGCGCCTTCCCTTTCTGTCTCTAGACTTCGGCTTCGCCAATTCTAATTTTGGCCCCCATCCAGGACTGCCACAGGACTGCCACAGGACTGCCAGATCTCCCCTTCCCTGTCCTGTCACTCGGCTGGCCTCTCATCCTTTTCCTTGATTCTGTCATCCAGTCTTTCCACGTCTCCGTTTGCCCCTTTCTCTACCGAAGCGTCCTCTGCGCAGCTGTGCCGTTACCCAGATGTGGCTGAGTCCTGATCATCAACCGCTGGCCGCTGATCAAATCGCCATCTCTCTCACACAGAGGCTCGCCCATCCTTGAAACAGCATGCACATGCCATGCTCGTGACTCGGGCTCGGGACTGGAGTGGCCTGAATGGCACCAGTCCGCTGCCGTGCTCTGCAGTCGGCAGCACCAAATGCGACGCCCACGTCTTGTCCCGCGAAACGAAACCTCAAGCCCCTTATCGTTGACTCATCCGTGGCCAAGCCAAGACAAGATGCGGTAATCATTGTATACGCAGTACGCAGTACGCAGTACGCCTGTGTGTGGTACCGCGCCCCAGAATCGCCAGCCATGTCAGCACGGTAATCGGGTTGCTTGCAGAACGCATGCATGGTCTACTATGCACTCTATGCACTCATGGAGATGGCCGACACCACCGCGCCAGTGCTGTGCCGCACGGCGCTTCCTTGACGCGGCCACTGCCACAGGATCGGCCTGCCGGGCTGCTGGTCCACAGATCGTGCGGGCTCACTTCTTACGCACTCTGGCAACACTGTAGCAACCAGTACTTTCACCCATCCTCTCCTCAAACTGCTCTGCATGTCGCCCATTTCGGCAGTCGGCTGCGTCACTCGAGCCAGGCCCACAGCATAGGCCACTTTGCTTCATCCAGCCCTGTTGCACCTCCAACTTGCCCGTGGGATTGGCCCATTGCCTCGAGTCAACCGAGATTGGTAGACGACATCTCCAGACAGTGTCTGAACCCGCCGCCTCTGGCTGGAACGGCTCGGAGTCCGTCCAAATCCGGAAACCAGCTGAGCTGTCAAGAGGCCATACGTAGCCCTTTAGGCGCTCCAGGCCGTGCGATTAATCGTCGATTGGCGCCATAATTTGGGGGAGCTGTAGCTCGACGACCGTCTCGCCTCACCCGCGGTACCTGGTCTGTCATGGTTTCGTCCTCTTATCATCACCTCCTTCCTGCCGCAGTACTCCTTTCCCGTGCGCAACGGTGCGGATTTTACACCCCTCCGTGGCCTGCCCATTTCCTTTTCATGGCTGATTTTTCTCATTTTCCGGCCAATCAGAATTCTGAGACGTTCATGAACCAAATAATACTGACCATTTCTGGCTGAAACCATCAGACCAATGATAACTCAGAGTCGGCCT